AATTAATGGCCATGAGAATTATTTCATTATAGATTGAAAGCAACTAAACTACATCACTAACGAAAAAATTGAGTATGACACAGGCTAAAAGGGAAGCTGTTGAATTGAAAGTGTACAACTAATAAGTAAATTAAGTAATTTGTTAGTTACCACCAAATCGTTGCATGTCACAAACAACAAGACAACGTTCACCTTTCTTAACTGCATGACAACTTTGAGGAAAAACGAACCGGGCTTCAGACGGACTGATGTCGCACATAAATGCATGGTTTTTATTTGTGGTAGCAGTGTTAGTTTATTTTAGTAACTATTTCCCCTTTTTAAAAATTATTGTTATACTGATCGAAGTTATAAATAGGTAACAGTAAACCTTCGCAAGCGCAATGGCATCGCGATCGATTTGCTTAGTATTAAAGATTCGGTTAGCCGCGTTTGTTTTTGTAATAAAGTTGATTTTCATCTATTAAAATAGCTATCCCTCCATAATAACATATAAATATGAGCTGCATGGTATAGCTGATTTTATAGATACCGGTATCTGGCGAATAACAAAGACGCGGTTATTATAAAATACTCTTGCTCTTTGCAGACTTTTCAGGTGCGATTAAATACGCCACCAGAATGGTAAGGTTACATTTGCACTTTGACTCGTACGGTAGAATATGATGCCATCAGCGTAATAAGCCCACGCATAGCGTTTCAGCGAATAAAAAATTCTTGAATTTTTGAAAGTGGATACGCCGATGGCCGGTAAATCAAAATATTAGCAAAAATAAACTTAGATCTTTCTGGCTGCAACGCTACAATTAGGATATAATTCAATCAAAGCAACGATTTGCCAACAACAACTTCCTCATCGGGATCATGTTGCTCGAGTACACTAGCTTGTTGCATTGAGAAATGCCGGCCAAGCGTTGAAAGTGCAAAGAACCAGCCGCTGCACAACTTGATCACCGTCATAATACTCCCGCACGACGACAAATACGGCCGCAGCCTATATACGGATCGTGATATTATCTTTCCATCGATCGGCATTCACATGATTGTATGTTGTTTTTTCCCTTTTGAATTGCTTTCTTTTCATCAAGCACTTAAGTCGTTGCTGACGAGCGTTTTTCGTCGGTGTTTTTTGTATGCCGGCCTCAGCAGAGTGCGGCTTGTGTATACTAGCTTAGACATGCATCTACCCGTCTCGTTGGCCAAAAGAAAAGATATCACACATATCGCGTGGATGGAGATCCGCGAGCGAAAAAGGCCTGACGGATATAGGCAGCAAATAAGTAGTCGTTCAGAATAAAAGAATTTATATGTACCTACATACCAGATACCAACGTAGTTTTTAATATCGGCAGACGTCGACGCCGCCGACGCGTCATTTCTATCACGCATTCTGTAAACCGTGCCTCTTTTCACTCTGTGAACACTGTCACGACAAAAGCTCTGGGCTCCCGTTGTGTAATGTGGGAAGCCCTTGGGCCGTTGAATTGTTAATCTGGTAATTGATGTCATGCCATCCGGCTGAGACGCTAAATTGCTTGTTCATCCATTGTTGTTTCTCTACTTTTCCAGCCAGTTTGAAAGTTTCAGGCATTTTTCTAACGGAGGTTATTATCGTGTTGATAGTTATCTGCTTAAAAATGCCGGGAAAGACTAGCACTAGCACTAGAAGTGCAGTACTCGTAGACACTCCAACAAATTACTGTGTTACTAAGAAATAATTTCACTGATTTTTGTAAAAGCCTTTCAGGGATTTATTATACGGTTTAACTGGCAATCTTTCGCTTTTTTATTTAAAATGTACAAAAGATTTTAAAACTTAAAATATTATAATGAGGCTAAAAGTTGATGGTCGGCAAGCCGTCGGAAGGTGTGCAGCAGTGGAAGATAACGCACCGGTTCGGTGTACACATCGGTCACTCTTTTCGTGGCAGTTTTTGTTGTGCTATACATGTATTGCAAGCCAAAGCGTGAGCTAGTAAATCCCCATTGATTGCAACTATTTTCTCTATAGACATAATCTATCAATTCATTTTTCTTATCATTCCACTTTCTTCGTCTTATGAATTGCTGTGTGTGATCTATTCCAACAATAGGATGTCTATCGTCCTAAGCCAGCCTTGATGAACCTGGTAAATCATTCTGTTCATAGTGGTAGGGATGTAGAAGGCGTTAAGGACAAGTTCACAAAGGACACCCCGGGCAGTTAGGATTAATTGTCCAGCAAAGCGATTGGGCGGATTTGCTGTTTCAATGAAAATATATGAAGGAATCTATATAACTTGCGCAGTACGCGTCAACGTGGCAGGTAGCATAATAGGCTAGCACCGTTCAGAATTCAGCAAGCTGAACTAATATATAAGCTTCCTGAAAAATAATTCCAGCTCAGTCATTATGATAAGAATATAGTGATATATATGTTTATGGCGGCATTTTTCCTGCTAAAGTGTTTAGCAATTAACTGCTGCAACGTCTACAAGTGAGTTCAAGAAAAGACTGCATGTATCTGAGACCGCTATGTTTACTTTCATTAGATTCAATGGATTTGATTAAGTCAGGCGTGAAGTAATTTTATTGACAAAAATGTGTCAGATGGTAATCGTTCTATTGAGGCTTAACGAGAATTAAATCAAGTCTTCAAAGGACAGCACAATTCAACATGGACCATTCGCGGTGTTAACGAGTGGCCGTAATATGGACGATGCATGCATAATGGCTGCAGTCATTACTGCAGCGTTGTATACGGTGCACATTTTACCCAGCATATACATACACAGAAGTGCCCGTATCAGAATCCTTGATAACCCAATAAGAATTTCTGTTTGCAATGCAACGTGGCTACCAGACAGTACATATATGTAAAATTAAAATTTTGTAAGTCTTACAATTCGGTTTTCGAAGCCTTCGTTTGTAAATTTTGTTGGGTAGCATCAGTGAGGCACTGAGGTTCGGAAGTTTGTGTGTTCCCCATATAAGCTAAAAGCTTAACTAGATGCGCAATCGACATGTCTGCTGGAGCAGGATCAATTATTCGATCAGTACGAGTATAAATGTTCTGGATAGCCCAAGATGTACACACTCATGCATTACACTGCATGCATGAAAACCATTACCCGATAGATTTCACCCAATTTATCTCTTTTGCATCGGAAAGAAGGGGCTGAGTCATATCGGCATTATTTTCTTATCAGATTATTATCGTTTTCTTATTATCGACTTTATCGTCCTTCGATTTTGCTTCTGTAAATTAAACTGTGTAGGGAATGCAGTTTCATAAAAGACAAAACTACTACAATTTTCATAAATATGATAGAAGTAACAGCCTGCACTTCAGTGTTACAATTTATAAATTTTGTTCTTTATCATTTAAAATGTATAAAAATCTTGGTTGACGCAGATATCTGCATATTACATTAGCAGATTTTAGAAAAGAACACCGCCGCTTATTAGCAGCTTCAGTGTCAAGTGATGGAAATACTTTCGTTAAGCTAACCTTTCGGTATATAGACGCAATGGAATGTGAAAACTTTGATAACCGATACGCCCCATTGTTCCAGCACTCGATTATTGTATTTGAACAGTTCTCCAGTGACGTTTTTAGCGATGATATTCACACCAGCAGGTAATCTCCTCCTTTTGAATAAAGGCGGTTCTTATTATTAAACATCTTCACAAATGTTTTCCAGACACTTGCGAAATCTATGAGATTTCGTGCGCAGCGTGTTGTAGCAGGTGCAAGAAAATTTCGACTTGTGGATCTCGTTACATAGACCCGAGAAACACTTCAACAAAACGCTGTTAATTGTAATATCGTATGCTCTAACGGCATTATGGTAGCCTTACTCACACTCTTGAAAAATATTCTATGTATCCGCAGGAAAGAATATATATGCAATTGTATGAATGCACGCTTTATGCCTGCATTAATCAAATTAAAATTTATGAAAGTCAGCGAAAAATTATGAGAATATAAGGTTGTTCATAAATTATACGCCAAGATTTAATGCTTGCAGGATAAGCAATTTCACCCGTATTTTGCAATTACTGCATTAGATTTGTTTTCATGCCAATAGCATTTAAAAAAATACGAAACGAGAAGTTTGAACAAATCGACCAGAAGAAATAAATAATTATTATTATGGTGGGAGTGCACAGTGCTCAAGATTTGAGAATTTTTAGCTGTAAATAACAGAACACATTATATGTTTTTGTTCTGAACGCGCAAGTTACCTACGGAGTACTCGTGTACATAAATAAAAGCTTTTGCTACATGTTCTCGGTTATTTCAATGTAACGAATAATTATAAAAAGTCGAATGTGGCTAACGTTTGTTGATATGAGTCAGATCACTAACAAGAAAATGGCGAAAAGGAATCAAGAAGTTCAACAAGGTCCGTATTGGCACTCAACGATAGTCTGTCCGGATAAACCCGTGCTGGGACAATCCGACAATCCTATCTTGTAGTATATTGTACGCAGTTGCTTAGTACGCATCAATAACACGGGCTAGTAATCCGCTTTTCATCTGTAAATTTTCTCACTGGTAATCAAGAGGAGTCTTCTATTTATGTTTGAAAATGTTATCGAGCGGAAAAATATGTTGTTGAACTGAATATAACCTGTATGAGATTATCGTGCTGCACGCGAATAGACACTCTTTTATTTTGCGCACATACAGCTGGTAGTCGATTATTACAAGAAGCGCTGCCAGCTACGAATATTGGCCATGGCATACTAGAAATTATTTTCTTACATTTCAATGAAACTTGTCAGGCATTGTTAGTTGACATGTATTCAGCAGCGAAATAAATCTTTTGCCGCAATTAGGTATTTATTTCCAAGGCAGGCGTCTCATCGAACCAAGTCCTATTACGGCGACCAAATAATACACACTTGATATGATTGTTTTGTTTAGCTTCTGGTTACCTTAAGCGGTCACAAACAAGTTCGATGGACGGATAATTAAACACATCATTCAATGCTGGTTTGTTTATTCGTTTAGTTATCTCATCCATTTCAATCGTCTTAAAAGAATAGCAACAGTTAAAAGTGTACATATAATGCGTGAATTCAATAACTAATGCAACTGCTGGCAGCAACGCTTTTTATAAGTTGTAGTACATTGTACACGGAAGATAGGAAGAAATAGTAACTATCAACCACCGTATGAATGAGTCGGTAACATTATAATTATTCAGCGATGCGCTTCGTAATTGTAACAAAAGGCCACAGTTAACCGAATGCAGATAATAGTTTATACGGCAAATATAATGTTATTGATGGAGCTGAATGCAGATTAAAATTAAACAACCAATATATTTTCTGAACAATGGTAATACATGCACCTGGATTTCGCATCGTAATCATCTTTGATTCAGTCGTCACGCGCTACTCTTTTGCATATGGCCAACCAGTTGATCGGTGACCTTTAGTCTTTCCTTCTGCCGACCGGATGAATAGGTGCACATGGCACGGGGTCACCGGCAATCATATTCGACGGCCTGAACGGAATTTAGCTTTCTCATTCATACTTAAATCGATACAAGTGCTGTTTGAATCGGATGCGGGTGCATCTCCGGTGTTTGGTAGGGGCTGCGGTGCCGGCGATCGACTGCGGCTGCGCTGATTGTTTTGGGTCGATGCAGTGGAAATGAAACTCTGTGGGGAATCGGGTCGATGCTCTGATTGGTGATATGGAGTGAAATGGTTGGGCGCCGATGTTGAAGACACTTCAGAATTATGCACCGGCATTGTCGATAGTATATCGCTAACGTCGGGTTTGACGGGATTTATGGCACAGTGACTGGCAAATAGATGTGGACTGAAAAGAAAAGGTGGCGGGCCTAAGGGATGCATTGGCGGAAGCTGTGTGGAGGAGGCCAGTTGGATACTGTTGGAAGGCGATGGCGGGGAAGGAGATTTCTTCTGGAGCTTGTCGTCATCCGGCCAGTCGTCCATATCTTTACTGTTACAGTCGTCGGCGTCCGAGGACACGGACATGCCGCGATCCATGTGTGACCCATGCAACCTAAAATGAATAGTACATTTTATTACACATCGGCACTGTCCATATATTATTTTGCAAGATTTGCAATACGTAAAATTCACAATTCTTTCGTTTTTTATGTGACACTATAGGTACCCTTTTACCACCGTTTACTATAGACGACACCCATTTTCAATGGCCTGTTGCTCGCATTCTTGAGATAAATTTTTGATGCAGTTTTTTGGCAAAAATCATTTTGACAATTTTTTTGCCATTCAATCCGCGTTCTATTTGCAGCATTTATAATCAAGTTTAAGTTAAGCACAGTGCATAACTACTTATTTCATCCCATTCAAATACCATGGCAAATACCAAACCACACAAAACTTCTCTTGCATATGCTAAATATGTAATTTCAGGTAAATCGGGCGTACACAATAAATCAATGATAACTGTAAAGGATATCTATATCAGATGAAAATCTGATCGCTTATTTCGATTTTGTGGAAGGATGCTGCATATACATGTATCTAGAAAAAAATTTTATTGATTTACCGCTTATAATGATCGGCATTTTCTAAAAAACGTGCACAAATAACTTGCACTTGGTAGTTGATGCTGAATTACTGATATACGAGCACTTATTACGCAAAACGTAAGCGGCCAAACCACAAGGAGCGTAGAGTGACTTTATGAGTAGGAGTACTTCTATATACATTATTACATGAGCTGATCGCGCAAGCACCGCTCAATGCCGGAAAAGGATATATGCAAACTCTAGCAAAACGGTAGTGCATAATAATACGTATTTGTTTATTGAGACAGTTAATCTCGTTTATGTCGTCTCCTAGGGGTTTTTTAAATGGATGATTTTCTTTTCAGTGAGAATGAGCTCTGCGCATGTGCAAGCTCGGCGACCAACGCAGCGGTCGCGGTTAGCTGAGGGCAAACGATTTGATGAATCCGTTGCTTACATTAGAGATTTAATTTATATCTCTTCAGACAACAAAAATCCAATGATAATGTTGGCCTCTTGTCATATTAGCCCGCAGGACATTGCTACACAAGAGTTCTGCTGATGCAGATGTGTGCACAATCACATATTCACTCTCGTACGGCCGCGGACGCAATCGCGTCAGTGCTAAATGGAGAACACTTCTGTCAGAATCCGATATTCTATTTGCGTGTCTTGTTCGTATTATTGTCACCAAGTTTGCGCTATCTTTGATGTATAAAATCTGTCTTGAACTGCTGGATCAGGTACTTCTTCTGTTCATTGATATTAAAATCCAATATGCTCTGATTCGCAGTTTAACCGTCATAATTTTCGTTGCTTAGGTGAATCTCCTTGTCGCTATACTATATGTATCAATAAACTGCGAAACAAAAAGTTTGAAAGTAAGAAAAAAGTTTGAAAGTGTTACCATTACTTTTCTAGAACAAAAAAGAAAATAATGATTGCGCACAATGTTTATACTGCTCTACTAATTTGATAGCGTTAAAAGATCAACTAACATTTGCATGATAAACCCTTAAAGTTGATGCCGGGGGCCATGAAATCTTCATCCCGAATTGTGCATGGTAAAGTTTTCGGGAACGTTGATATATCTACGTATTATATGTGACTCGCTTCCGGGCTATGTAAACGTTAGCGAGATCCAATTTGTCTCGACCCCATCAAAAATCCCCGCATCACTAACGACATCGCGGAAATGATCTCTTCAACGATATTCACGCAACAAACATGCCAAGCAAAAGAAAATAGTTCCGGGCCAAATACAGACTACTTGTTTGTTTTCTCCGTATTCGATAAGCTCGAAAATTAACCACTGCAGTCTGCATATAGATCACTTTCTGCATTGATTAAATGTATTGAGCTTTATAGTCGCCGATCGAGAGTTTTGTGCCCTTACTCAAATATAACTTTGCAAAAATGCACCCATGCACTCCATACCAAAGTAACTAAAATTTTACTGTTACCTATTGTATACCGAAAATATATATTGGGTATCTTACAAAAACGCAAATAAGATACGCATTTGTAGATTATAATGTATTTTCGTTCTGCGTTTTGATTGAAGCCATGCAATAAAACCTTGTTCTTGCTAAAAAACGTACCCATCTGATTTGGAATATGTAAGTTTAATACCCACCATAATGTTAAATTTATAGCACATTGACAGATACTTCCATGATTTACAATTTTGCGGTACTTCAGTAATAAATTTCTTCTATTATCCTGTTTTTTTTAGTTTCCCTGTTTTGATACGTGCTTATTGTCATGATACTCGTAAATGCCATATAAAACTGTTTCGCAGTCAATAATGAGTGTAATCAAAACCACGAAAAATTTATAGCACCGACTAAATTACCTTAAGAGCACATGGGTTGTTAATTGTTATTATATTTCAGAATTTCTGTACTTGATTAAAACTGTATGTCAAATTTTCACTACCGAGTAGCAACAGGAACCGAGTAGCACTACCGAGTAATGGTTGCGGAAGCAGTTTGGATGTGCAACGGGATCACTTACTTGTTTTTGGCTGCGGCCGCTCTGTCGCGCTGTCTGCGGTTCTTAAACCAGTTGCCCACTTGGGTGGGTGTCAAGCCGGTGGCATGGGCCAGTTCCTTTTTCTTCTGTGGATTAGGATAGGGATCCTGTAGATACCATTCCCGTAATAAATTTCTTGTCCGCTCCTTAAAACAGTGCGTCTTCTGTTCGCCGTCCCAGATAGTTTTCGGCAGCGGATACTTCTTCCTCACCCGGTATTTATCGACCGGGCCTAATGGTCGTCCGCGCAACTTTTCCGCATCCAGATAATGCGCTTCCATCCACATACTCTGCAATTTCTGATGATGTTCCTTACTGAAGCGGTGATTCTCCAGCAAATAATAGAGATTCCGGTAATCTCCGCTGTAAAAGAGAACAATGGCTTGAGCACGGAGGACCGATTCGTGTTTCCGCACTTCCATGGCCTGAGGGCTGGCGTTGTTATACAATGGCAGTGTCCAGAGGAAGCGAGCTAGCCGTTCAATATCATTACTCTCCTCCAACGCTTCACACACTTTGGCGATCTGTTGTACGGACAAACCAAGACCAAGGCCGGGTGCGACCGTAGGAATCATTCCCGAATTGGCCGCATGGGCCGCCGCCGCCGCGGCCATGGCCTGCATGTGCATTTGGTTATGAAAGGGAAATGGTGGGAGGCCACGGAAGGATGTTGGTGTGAAGGCCATGATGGTACAGCAGTGCGGCTGGCACTAACACAAAATTAATGTTTCAAGTGACCTTTATCCGTGTATACGGCCATTTGACCACAAGACAGATTAGTAACCCAGTCACATATGTACGAGAAAAGGAGAAAAGGGAATCGACAACTGTCAAGTGAAGATCATTGACGGTGGGGTTGAGAATGACCTGGGTAAGGAAAAGTATCCTGAGCAATATACGTGTGTATGATCTGCGATTCAGTCGTTTGTCAATGCCTTCCTTCTTTCAGTTTCGGCCCACAAGAGTCTAAATTAACTTGGACGGCATCATTATCGCTAACGATAGGGGTGGAGTGCTTAAAGTTGTAAAGAATACGCGTACTGGCCTATTTGCTTCAGCTAAGGCTTTGCATGGAGCCAATAAGGGTGCGAGCCACGGTTGTCTGTATACTGACACCACCGCATCGCTAGCAGTTCCAATAAAAGCGCTACTGTACAATGTTTATTCAAACCAACTACTGTACGCGCTGTGTGTAGGAGACCGCCGGTTAAGTAAGCGATCGCTGCCGCTGTACGATCAACGCCGCTAAACCGTTAAGATTGTCGTATTTCCGCTCGTGCCGCTTGATGCGGTGTATGGTAACCGCAAATTGAGCCGTATCGTGCATTACGCAGCTCCCCTTTAAAGTTGTGTTCGGTATTGTATTACAAAATTTTTATTAATTGTTATTTAAAATAAAGTTGCGCATCGCTAGTATGGTTAGCAGTTAGAGTGGGATTAACAAATTTTACTGTATGATGCCCGCAGTAGCGCCATGCGAACGGGTGGTGTGTTCCAGCTGCGACAATTGGAGTTTTAAGCCGATTACAAGTAGCTTATTTCGTCTAGCTGGTGATTGGCTTTGTTACTGCCCGCCCACATCCAATGGCGGCAATCATATGGCACCGATGCCAGATATAGATGGCATATAATAACGCTAATACTCCTAACTCCGAAATGGAATCGTGCGGCTCGATCACATTCTTGTGAATAACACACACCACGGACGAGCCAAATGCTTTTAAAGCACTCAGCAATAACTGCCAGCTGGGCGACATATAATCGTGAAAAACATCTCCATGGCCGACGTTATAGACTGCTGTTCACAAACGCCTGATTGACACCGGGCATCAAGTACAATAAAAACTGTCAAATTCATATCGATAGCCATGGCAAATTGCGGCTTAATAATATCTGAGTGATAATTGCAGTGGTCATATTATATATAGAGTGTGTAGCTGGTTTATATCGGACTAGGCTTGCAGCCGTATTACATGTGCCCTACATTTTCACGCATTGCAGGCATTTAATTTATACGACGGAAGCCGCTGTACAACGATCTCATTAGAAGCTTATTTGCTGTAACATATGTTATCACGTATATTGCAGTGTAATTGTAGCCAGTTTCAGTAATGACTCGATAACTCATCCCTTCACGCTATAAGATTTAGCGGATGCATCTATAATTTAACGGGCAGAATCCCGAGATATCCTGTTTAAGTGAATTGTGCGTCTCTTTTACAGGGCATCGCCTATCCCGTATATGTCCTCATTTACTGCAAACCCCAATGCCGGGGATGGTGGATTAATGGCGTATGATTGCACTGGGTCGATAGAGATGATGGCAAAATAGCTAAGCTCTGTAACAAATTGGGCAACACGAAGAAATTCAATAATCTAATTTTCTGGACGAGCTCCGTATCCTGCTGCGCTCTATGTAATTTAAAGTCATGGCGATTCAATCAGAGAATGGTTTCTGTGCCTGATTGCATACACACTACACAGCCAGAATCAAACTTTGTGAGCTGTAAGTGTTTTTATCAAATACAGCTTCAGATTTGATAACTTCTTGAAAATCTGCCACAATTTAGTTATTAGACGGCTATATAAACCCATGCAAATTTATCAGCATATTCTTCGGTGTTTTGAGACCACACTGTGATCAAAAAGTCCCTCAAAATATGTTATATGACGGCTATCATACTGCCCAATAAATTGAAATGTTTTTTTCCAGCACTAGTTTCCAGCACTAGTTGTGCCTCGATGCACGTGTTTAACCGTTCTTTAAACAAGCTAGCGAGCGGTCTCCGTTTTTGCATAAACTGCTTGTTATATTAGCCCAATGCGCACAACATAATTAAGACCGCAGTTATCCGACTTTCTTATGATTTTATACGATTCAAAAAATAAAGAAAAGTATGTAAAATAATATTTTCGTTTACAAGAGTTATTTTGATTTATTGATAAACGTCTTTCCAATCGGTCACTTGGAAGGTCATAAGGTACAGTATTATAATAAATTATGTATTCACATTACGTAGTGTAATATTCTACCCATACAAGATACCTGCCATCAGTACTTCACTCATACTAAAACTTTTGATTACAGTAACGCTCCCAGTTAGCAACACAGTACTTTAACGATATGCTTATGCATCCCTGACACACACTTTTTTGCAGCTCAACAGTAAAAATATTGACTTCGCTACGTTTTTAAATTAAAGACTTGCAACTGAAATTTATGAAAACTATAGTAAAAGAAACTTAGCATCGCTTTTATCAAAAACCACTACAAACACATTATAATAATGTACTGTTATATTCAGAAGTATAGTGATAAATATCATTGCAGAAGCTCATAACAGTATTATGTGAAACAAGAAGCTGTGACGATGGTCGATTATACTCGTATTAGCAAACACTCCGCATGTGCGGGTGAGCTCCGTAATCCATCTGAATACAGCAGGAAATCGAAATTCTGACAATAGACGAAGCCGGCTATTAATGCACTGACGAAAAAACCACTATTAAGTCAATAACACTTTTGAGGCTCAGTTTTGTGCGAAAGTCGTTTAAGAAAGCAAACAACGGTGGCAATCGAAGCGTTCCTCTCCGCTCGGTTCACATTCTTTTGAGGAATATTTGTTGGAAATAATTGTCATTTGAAAAGCAGGAGCCGGTGGGTATGTTTGCTCTTTTGTAACCATTAATTCATGCTCATGCAACCATTTTAAGTGACCTCTGGAATCTGATCTATATGTATTGAACCGGTTGCCGTTTGTGCGTATATACCGTCATGTAGTATGTCAGTAAAAAATCAATACTCTCCATCTCTAATGCCTAGAGGTCAGATATGTCGACGGCAATCAACTGTGCTGATTTCAAACCGTAGCAATCACCAGCACAAAAACACATGCCGCAGTGCAGATCATAAGAGTCACACAGTCAGTACTTCTAATTAATTTCGCAGTGCGACAGCACAGGAAGTATTTTACGCGAGAAGTTGTTTACAGTAAAGGTCATAAGGCATAACAAATTCACATGTTGCAGATGGTTTTATACCATTAATCACTGAAGCAACCTACACGAATGTTTAAAATGTATGTATAGATTCGCTACCATAATGTACAAGTAAGCGAAACTATAAAATTAACGCTCTTCGGTTTATTCAAGCTACTGCGCTGAAACAAAATGTTTTGCTTTACTTGGTTTTAATTCTCCAGATCAATTTAGGTCGCAAGCTTAATAACAAAGGGAAACCAAATGCCACGCAAAATGTCTGAAATGTTCTGCACGGATGCGGCTAAATACCGTATGCAATGCTGAAAACCTATACTGTGTAGCCTTCGTATTTTTTCTGTTTTGGCAGAAATATTAGTTAAATTACATGAGCGATTTCCGATTATTCGGCCCGTTTTTCGTCTCGGTGCAGTGTAAAAGCTGATTAATTTCAGAAGTGAAAGGTACAAGGCAAAATGTTGCCGAAGATGAATACCCCTTTGGACCGCAACCATAAAACCGTATAAACTAATATAACACGTAAGCGTTCAAAAATAAATAAGGTTAAATGTGAATATCGAACAACTCCGCTGCTATTTATAATTGGATATTATTACTCACTGCAAAAAATAACTGCAGCTAACTTATTCAAACTGATCTGTGTTGCATCGTATGCACTTATTAATTATTGCGGTACTGGCTGCAGCTGATCATTCGTCTTCAAAAGGAGCCTGTAACATCACTATTACATGTTTATTCTAGTACACGTAATTTTTATGGCAATTGCGATCTTCGTCATTTTCTCTTAAGATTTTCGTATTTTCGTATAGACACAAATTAAGTACTCAATCGTTTTGCAGCGCTATCAGTTCGTGCAAAGCAGTTCCCGTTCAATATAGCATATTAGGTAATTTAGGCTCATATCTCTTCCACAATTGCATGCTATAATTTTCGCGCCGTAAGTTTTACGTATTGACATTTGCGGTAATTGTGGCTACTACAAGTCCTGTAATTGTTCAACTTTAAGCATTGCAGCAGATTTCGATGCATTCCGATTTGATAACAGCATTATTGTTACTAGTTTACGTTTACTAGAGTAGGAGCTGCGAAAGATCTGAGCGCTTTAGTATAGTATATAGTTTTGCATACTGCAGATACAGTGAATATTAAAATATATGAAGAATTTGAATTGTGCTTATGTAAAATCAACTGCATGTATAGTAATATACTTATCAATCTCGAAACCCAGTTAACCCACTAATCATAATGCATCGAAATTAATTTATGATTGTGTTGATTTGTGGTGCATGCCAGGCAGCCGGTGTTGTGCGTAATGTACTGTAACTTCTGCAAGCACGTTTGGGAAATGAGGAGCAAGAAACAGATACATGTTTCTTGTACACAGGCTTTTCCTGCATCCGACCGGGGAAGACTGCGTATTTCTAACAGTTTGGGCGATGATATTTCCCACCGAGTCAGTTCATTTGACGGTTGTATTACGGAGTTTTGCAGTTAAGCTAACAATGCGAATTGATCAAGAGCCGGAATGGCCTGAAGAGAGAAGATGATTATCCGCATTTACGCAGCATCACACAGCAGTTGGTCTCCACTCATTTTGTCCGTGTGGCAAAGGGGATCCAGACTCCAGTAATAAGTCTCCAAGATGAGATGAAGCGTTAAGCATACAATTACATGAAAATATAGCTCACGGATAATCACATTACTATCATGCCTCCTCTCTTCTTCCCCCGGCTGGCTCATCATCTCCCACATCCCTGTGTGTAATTCCCGCTTAAGCATTCCATATATTCCCCGATCAACACATGCATCCGCATTCTCAGTGAGCGACATCGCATATGTATTGAAGAAAATTAATATTGTGCGCCTGACGTGGACATTGATCGGGCAGTATCTCCGGCGTGTCTAGTGAGGTGATATCACATATAATACTCGGGTAGCACACAGGAAGAATCACCGGCGGGATCTAAGACCGGGATTACTCTTTCTCTATGTACAATAACCCTAAATGAGTTGGGTAATCGCTGGCGCGCTGCCCATCGAGGAGCATTAAATTACTCACAAGGCAGTATATCTTACAAACACAAGCATCATCGTTCAGGTGTAGACCGGCTACATTTTACTGCTGTATCCTCATGATATAGGCTATTTCCGGTGGCCTTTAGCACTGTCGCACAGTCTAATTGAACCCGCTATTGTTCCGCATTACTCCCCAGATCAAATTATAGTATCGCATTGCTTGAAACTGGACCACATGAGTTTTTAGACACCGCTTTAGAAAAAGTCAGACGCAGTTAAAGAGATGCACATGATACTATTAAGACAAGTTTAGGTAACAATAATTATTCGCATTACCCGTACAAGCATATACCCATAATAAGCAGCGTAAGGGATGCAATTTTGCACGGGATTACACTTAATTTGTTGGGAGCAATTTGCAATCGAAATTGCTTCAGTTTTATAAAATTTGATTGTTTGCGCAATTATGTTGCTGAATTTAAACGTATCATTATATCTGTGGGCACGAAGAAATGTTCTACCATTCGAAAACGATGACCAAACAAACTTTGATTAACATTACATAGAAGCCTAGAATTACTGTTTTTGTACACCCATATTAGAAATTTAAATCAAATGTAGAGAAATTTTCGATTAATGCCACATAATATGTTTGGGACCTAAAAACCCTTAAATATCAAACCCGACCAGCCCCTAAAATCATTTGTTATCCGTTTGTTGCCGAAATTTAGATATCCTGGTTTATTATGATGCTGCTATAAGCAGCGGCAGCTACGCGAATACTGCAATCATGTTTCATTTACCGGAAGTTTACTTTGTGACAAAAAATTTAGAGCTTACAGTTATGTTCTTGTGGTAATTAATGTATTTATACTTGTATTTTCTTTCTTTTCTTACTTGCATAACTGCATATTTATATTGTATAAGCAAAGAAAAAATGAAACAGAATATCAGTGAGGTACACAACTGCAGTACCACATACGGCACAAAAAGTTAACGTCAGGTTGACCCACGAATACAAAATACTCGTAATTCACTAATAAACACTCAACAGTCAGACAGTTTTTTATTTCTGCGCTTTATTTGCATAAGTTACAGTACATGCTGCGCACTAGCCAGTGATTCTATTTAACTAGATTCTGCATTTACAAGTTTAACGATCACTTCAACAGTAGAAAAGTCCGTAATCTGGTGTATCAGCTACTGATTGAGTTACAAACGATAATAAAAGCATTGACAGATGTGCTAATGAATATGCGGATACTATATGTGATTCAATTATCTTGTACAGCGTTATTTTCATCATCTCGGTTACGTCACCGCAATTATGATACATCTGCATACACAACGTCAACCTCTAATACACAGTTCGCTGTCCTTCCCAGATGTACAGACAGACTGGCCATCGTCGCTGTAAAAAATCATTTCACAGCTGCTTAGCTTTTTGACACGCGAACGACCGGGTTGGATTGAGGAACAAACGGATGATCTCAAATATTATGAATAAAGTTTACCTTCCGCGCCGGATTGTCTTATAGCATCCTTTGACGGCTAATAAAAAATTGATCTATAACGCTGTTTAGACAATGGTAGACGAACTCCAGTATCTCATTTTAAGATGCTTAAAACAAACAGTCACCCGTAAACATCGTTATGGTTTGTCTTAGTCGTACTCACCTAAAGTAGATGGTTATACCGCGGCAACGTTTTGTTGTGCGCTATATACGAAATGTTGAATTACGTTTATCTTTGAGCCTTGGATTTTAATGGACAGCGTGTCTATCTATCATCATGAGCCACGGTTCAATTATGTCGGGACGCATCATTTAATGAACTTCCCTGAACGATTACATATCTTCATTATTCAAGATGATTTTAAGATTGCCGCTATCGACATGGATGAACACTGTGATACTATGCATAACCTTTGGGAATGTTGCCTTCGCTCAAAATAGTACTCATGCGTCTACTGGTACCGCATCGACGTCCACTTCTTCTTCTAGTACTAATACTCCAAAATTACTTCAAGGAATTAACCTTAACGGTAAGAGCAGTCTAGATTCATTATTTTTGTAACATAAAAATTATTGTATTATTATGTTACCATGCAGATTATAGAGTAACAAACATGCGTGGCATCCGCTGCTCAGGAAAGGTGTACATATATACAAGCCCATCCAACAATTCTTTGACCGCTGTAAGCGCAGCGCATATAAATCGCGCACAGTAATGCAAATACGCATCGTAGTGTAGTGGCAGATATATTTATCAATATTTAACCAATAATAATAAATTAGATCACAATTAATCACCGATAAAGCCATCATCACAGTTAAAATTATCAGGTTAATCAACAAAACCAAACAGATCGCAGTTAGAATTATCACAGTTAAATTATTAGTAATTACAAAAGAAACAGATCGGTTTATGAACTACCATCCATAAAACGAAATATGGAACGAAATATCAGTACTCAGTTCGAGCGCCACCCGCGTGGAAGACCTTCTCATATCTCACTGGAATAGATTTGTAAAGATTCTGGCAGAATTCTGTTGTGGCAGACATCACCCAGGCTTCTTTTATCAGATGACGCAACTGCACCAGGTTCTGTGGCTGGAAAAGGGTGATATATTGTTTCATCACAGTCCATAAATTTTCTATCACGTTTAGATCCGGAGACCGCGCGGGCCAGTCGGCCACAATGATTCCCTCTCTCTCGAAAAAATTTCGTACACTAGCCGCCGTATGGATATTGTATTGCAAAGCAAAGATAATACTGTTACAAAACTAACAAAAGCATAAAATTATTATCAATTATGATGGCAATAAATAATGCCAAACATATTATAATATATATCACAGATACAGTAACTGCAACACATGCAGATTTGTTGCTTATACGCAGACCCATGTGGCGTGACGTGTCGAAGCACATTAAATGGCTCAAGCCCACGTTTCTTTAAATTCCCGCTTACAGCGGTCAAAGAATTGTTGGATGGGCTTGTAGCTTGACAGTTAAAAATTCCAGATTTCTGCCATTGCATAGAAATAAATCTTTATGTAAGCAGAACAGTATTAAATCTTTAAATGTTTGTTTTAATTATGAAAATAGATTTCTGACAAAGCATTTATAATATACGTTCTTTGAAGCATGTGCATGTTGGAAAAGATAAGGTTGGTAGTGTTTCTTGCGTGTTTCCAGTATACATGTACAGAGCACATACAGAGTACTAATATGACTGTAGACTTTCGTTTCACGAAACGGGATTTTGCATATAAGGTTCGTATGAGTTCTTGTAGGAAGTTTGTAAACACAATGGACTTAATTTTAAATTGATGTGAAGAAATATTTGTCCTCTTGAAACCATTGTGATTTATGGGCACACAGGAACCGGTGTATTAAGCGGCATTCCCATTCCGACAATGTTCCCACCTGTGATTACTCCCATTTCTGAAACACTGCGTGTCAAAACGGACCCGGTCGCCTCTCAGGAATCCACCACCACAGCACCGTCGACCTCTTCACCATCGACACCAACATTCCATTTATCTGACCTCCTGGCGGACAATGCCACGCTGGCATCTCTACTGGCGGCCGTTATCAACACGGCCAATAAACAACTGACCGTTCCCAGTCAAGCGTCCAGCGTACCGGCCGTGGCGACCGCCGGGGTCGCAGCACCGGCAGCGGGCGCCGCTATATCCGCTAGTCTTCCGGGTCAGCAGTCTGGATACAGTGCCGGACAGGCGGCTCAAAGCGGCCCGTCCAACCTACCCGGACAAGTACCCCAGCAACCGGCACCCGCTCCCGTAAACCAAAACTTCGCGGTCCTTCCAGCTGGTGGTGCATACGGAGGGGTCGGAGTCCAGACACAGCCAACGGGAATTAACAGTTTCGGATTTTCCGGGCAGCAGCCGTCTCAAGGTGTCAACGCGGGAGGAATCATCCAGCAGCCCAACACGTTCGCAGGAGGAAACACAAACTTTAATACTGGTAATCAATTTTCATCTAATCAGAATCAAATAACCGGTGGAATATCCGGAATCGGCGGCAACCAGTTTTCCGGCGCTCAACAGAATCCAGCACAGCAGAATCAACTCAACAACTTTGGATCCAATTTTAACCAGCAAATGCAAAATAACGTGGGAGTGACCAATCAGCAGCAGTACCTGGGACCATCGAGACCTGCCAGTTCATACGGAAGCGGAGGTACAGTCGGCATCCAGCAAGCACCGATGCAACAACCGGTGCAGCAACAACCTATCCAGCAGCCGCAGCAGCCGTTACCGCAAAATCAGCAGGGTGGTTACGGAGTTGGTAATATTGGTCAGCAGCCGATCCAGCAACCGCAACAACCCCTGTTGCAAAATCAACAAGGCGGTTACGGAGGCAATAATATCGGACAACAGCAAATCCAGCAACCGCAACAACCGTTGCCGGCGCAGAATCAACAGGGTGGGTATGGAGGCGGCGGCGCTGGTCAGCAGCCGATCCAGCAGCCGATTCAGCAGCCTCAGCAACCCTTAATACAGAATCAGCAGCAGCAGGGTGGTTACGGAAGTGGTGGTGCCGGTGGCATCCCTAATAACAATTTCCCGCCAACATACGCCACGCCCCTTCCAACCGGATTCACCGCCGCTCCCACGTTCCCGCCCCAGCCGTTAACGGGATTCACCGCCGCACCGACGCCACCCATGAACTTACAAACGCCGTTGCCCATTAATTCCAATACGTACAACCAGATGACCAGCGGCTTTCCTCTGCCGGTGGGGTACTACGCCAGTCCTCAGCAGTCCGGTCCCGGAGGTATTCTGCCGCCACCCACCACGGGGTACGGCGGCGGAGCCAGCATGCAGCAAGTCGTTCAACCTGCCGTCAATAACCAGAACGTGAACAATAATCAGCAGCCGAACAGCGGATTTAATGCTCAGAGCGGTAACACGCAGAATGCCGCCGGCTACAGCGGTCCAACGGCCCAGGCCAATACGGCTTTCCTGGGCGGCGGCGGCGGCATTAGTGCTGGTGGTGGATTCCAAGGTCTACAGCCGGTACAAAATACCAACGTTAACAGTCAAGCGCAAAATCAGCAACAAAAACAGTATGGAACGGGACCGTTCGGCAGTGCCGCCCCGCAAGGTCAACAGCAGCAGCTGGGCACTGGACAGCAGCCCGGGCAAACAAACAGCCAAGGAAACTACGGGAGCAGCAGTTACAGTGGTGGTGTGCCTAATCAGCAAGTCCAAAATCAATTTGCGAACCAAGGGGGTAACACTATCCAAGGAGGCCAAACGGGATTTGGTGGAGTGGTCAATAGTCAACAACCTGTGCAACAGCAGCAACAATCTGGGTTCGGCTTTCAGGGAGTACCAAACCAGAATCAACAAATCGGTCAGCCTCAAAACCAACAAAACCCGAATCTAGGATTCGGCAACAATGTCGGCAACGTAAATTCGGGAGTGTCACAGCAATCTGGCTATGGCAACCAAAATAATATCAATCCAGGCGCGGGAAGTTTCCCACAGAACACCAATATCGGATCAGTTGGTCAACAGGGAATAAATCAGCAACAGCAGTTCCCTTCAGGTGTCCAAAACCAGCCAAACAATCAAGTTCCCGCCATTCCCGCTACACCCAACCAAATTCAAAACCAGCAAGTCCAGCAGTCAAGCATCAGCGTTCCCGGTCTCCAGGGCGGCTACGGCCAGGCATCCGGCGGACAGCCAGTGAACAACCAACCGGTACAGATTCCGGCATCCGCTCCGCCGGTTATTTTATCCGCCGGTCAAGGTGGACAGAATACCGCGGCTTCCATTCAGACTCCTATCCCACCGGCAAATTTAGGGCAAAATCCTACCACTGCCATCACCGCGCCCAATGTGCTGGTGCAGAATCCGGGCACAACCACACCCTTTTCGGGATTCGGTGGACTGGGATCACTGGCACAAAGCATTCAAGAGCAATTAGGCGTAACGCGACCCACCACCACAGGTCAACCAGCTACCACATCGTCCAACCCGTTTCCGGTCATAACACCGACGGTACAGCCTGGTGTGCCGGTGTCAAACACCATTGCCACGAGTAACCAGGGAATTAATACACAAGTCGGTTCGGCTGGGGCTGGACAGCAAGCCACGTCAAATCAACAGATGCAGCAGCCATCCGCACAATTTCCTTTGGGTTCGCAGTTCGGTGCGCAGCAAGCGACGGGTGGCCAACCGGGTCAACAGATCAATCCGGCGTTTGGCAATGCTCAACAGACCGGTGGTCAATTTGGGTTGGGCGGAGTGAATCAGGTCACTCAGCAGCCGCAGACCGGGGTGAATCAAGCACAAAATGTGGGAAACGTTGGAGGATATAATACTGGTTCTTTGGGAGGCGGTATCCCGGTGAGTCAAGGCATTGGCGGAGGATTTGGACAACAAGCTAGTGGAGGACTGCAGAATATCGGCACCGCAAACACTGGTGGTGTACAGCCTGTCAATACCGGACAACAGCAGCAGAACATTAATCAGCCAGTGACCTATGCAACTTTGAACAGAGGAAATTCTTATCGATAATTATAATACGTGATACAAGCTATTTGCAATGTTTTTTTAGTTGCTGCCTAATACTTTTAAATGCTTTCTTCGTTTTGCAGAGATTTATGACCAATGGAGCTAAAACGTTATTAATTTTGCCTGCCACAATAAAACAGATCGAATATTGTGTACACATAAATTGTTCCAGATTACAGAAATTCGAAAGGCATTTTCGTACAGTTGCAGACAGAAATGGCGAATTCGAAGTCGTATTGCAGATTGTACTCCATAATATATATATGTTACATACGTATGTACAGAGTACGTCGCGAATTAAACTGACTTTTAAAATAAAATCCGTAGACTATCGAACTGTGAATTTTTCCGAGTTTATCGGTAACTGTATTCCATTTTGATTATAAACCGCAAACCGGATAAACGATCAGCGCAGTCACTAAAATGACTTAAATGTATGTTACAACAGAATACTATTATTATCGTACATAGAGAAGAACCTAGAAAGAAAATTCCAAATTACTTTTATTGGTTATTTTCACTAGTTGTCAGCGGATGTCATAAATAGAACTTGAAGATTGTATACGTGTTCAAGAAAGAACGGTAAGGGCGTAAGGCAAAGAAACGCTGGAGAGCTGTAAGTTTTTTTATTACTGGAAGTCTTTTAAGTACCGAAACTGTAAATCGCAAGTACTCTAGAAGTATAATAATGAAACCCCAAGGCATGGTAATAATCATTTGAGGAACAACAAAGCTAAATCAAACAACTGGAAAGGTCACAGGTGAATTGAGAAACTTCCAAAGATTACTAGTACTAGTGGCGGGCCTTCAACGTGGTCAGTACTCGTACGAACGGAAATCAAGGAATGAAACCTTACACTGTTCCCACTGCCAGCAGTAACAACAGATCTCTGTTGTACTGGCCATTAAAATTACGTACATAATGTACTTACTGGCACGGCACAATCAGGAGAACTGGGATGTTCAGCACTGAATAAAGTGACAAGTGCAACAAATTACTGCAACCGCTGTGAAAAAAGTGTTGTATGAATCTCAAATCACAGTACAGACACTAGAGGAATTTTTGCTGGTGACAACAATACTAAACTGTCGATACTGGAAAAAATAAAATATTTTGCAATTATGTATTGTACACTAATGTAATCGGCAGACTGTTATCGTTGTCTTTATTATGCGATCAAGCACTCCACTTCGGTGAAGCAACAGTTTCCACGCGAAATTGCATAAGAAACGATATTTCCAAAAATTCTCCATATTGTTAAGTGGTCGCCGCGCACAGCCAGTGCATTATTGACCATAATTAGGGTTTGTGTCCGGCCGACTCCGGCGTAATCGCGGAAGAGAAGACGGCCAATTTGTAATCGGTGCGACGCGATGGTTGACACCAGCGAACCGGTTGGCGGGGATGATGAGATGCACAGATTATCACATAATCCCGAATACAAACAACGAACTAGCATTGAAGTGCTGCATAACAAATGGCCTGCGTAACCATCACGTCCATATTCATCATACAATATCCGAGCGAGCGCGGGAGCTGCTACAAACAAACAGCTGCCCCCTCCTCCGTTCGAGACCCCTGCACACACACACACAGTGACAGTGCACACATACACATCCGATGCTGACCAATACCAATTGGTGCAGACGTACGTGCGACCGACGGCCACGTTCTTGACCGCTGGTAAACAGCCGGTTCTAGCGTGTCTTGTCATAATCAGTGATTGTGGAGTGGATCCACTGCTGACACTGGCAGTTACGATCGTACTGTATGTGTGATGTCTGAGAAACCTCAGCAAATGCTCATCTCCTCTTCGCTACTTCTCATCGCTATTTAATTCTCACGACCGTTAGGCCAAAGCCATCAGTCCCCGTGTCTGTTGTCTGCTAATTCAGTCTTGGTCAACTGTCTCTCTAACAGCGACAACTAACCGGATAAAGGATTTTTCATTTGCACCACTAATCCAGTAAGAGCAAGGACTAACGGCGAGAATGTCGCAGTGGAAGAATGGTGTTATCCTGCTGGGAATTTCCGCATTCGTCCTGACCATCGCTACCGGCCAAAATGTATCAGATGCAGTGGCAGCCGGGTCATCCGTCTCATCCCAAGTCGCCGCGCCGGCGAATGGCCGCGTGAGACAAGCTTATTCGTCAGGTAAGCAGCTGACCCCGCTAACGTGTACGTACACTGCTTATCAATATAGCCGGAGGTCACCAACCAAAGACAGGAAGGATATCTCCATTAATTTATGTAGCTACACATGTTGTATAGGATAATAAAATATTAATTAAAGTTAGTACTCGTATCAGTTACAGAGCTTTGCAACAATTTTGTCCGGATCTTTAGCTAGTGGTTACACCGATTATGCTGATCCGGTTACTCAAATTTTTCTGAAAGATTTTCCCGAATTTTCGCTAATAGAATTAAAAGCGTGCTTTTCCTCAAGTTTTTTTGGTTTTTTATCCAATGTTTGTCACACTTTGAGTATTAGTTTAGCTGGGAATTGAGTTAACTAGTTTAATGACGGTTACAGGATCAAGCGGAACTGGATCTAATTATGGAAGCTCCAGTGGCTCGTCATACGGCAGCGGATCGCAGCCCGCATCCTCGGGTTATTCCTCCGGCAGCACGGGAGGATTATCCAGCTCACTTTACGCCAGTGGAAGCAGCGGCCTCGGAGCGTCTGGTTCGTACGGCGGCATGGGCTCTTCCGGCTCATACTCTAACGGTCAAAGCGGTTTAAGCTCGGGATCTTACGGTGGTCAGAGTGGCTTGAGCAGCGGTGGTCAATATGGCGGCCAGTCTGGATCTGGACTGGGCAGCAGTGCGGGTTACGGCAGCAGCCAACTGGGAGGAGGATTGTCCGGTGGTTCATACAGTTCCGGCATGGGAGGCGGTTTCGGAGGTCAATCAGGATTAAGCGGCGGCTCAGCGGGATACAGTAACGGTCAGAACGGTTTGAGTGGCGGTGGATACGGTGGCAGCAGTCAGACGGGTTTCGGCGGGATGCAAAGCGGCTTCGGTGGTGGACAGTCGGGATACGGTGGTAGCCAAGGCATGAGCAGCGGTTACGGAGGCAGTCAAGGCATGAGCGGCGGCTATAACGGTGGCAGCCAGGGTATGAGCAATGGTTTCAGCGGTGGCAGCCAGGGTTACAATGGTGGCAGCCAGGGATTCAGCGGCGGCAGTGGATCGTATCAGAACGGCGGTGGTTCCGGCATGAGTTCGTACAACGGCGGCGGCTCCAGTGGCCTGGGAAGTGGATCGTATTCCGGAAGCGGCATGAGCAACGGCTACAGCTCGGGCGGTTTGGGCGGCGTCGGTGGGGGCTTCGGGGGATTATCCGGTTCCGGCATGGCCTCGCAGCTCAGCGGCGGGAATGGCTACAGCAACGGTGGTAGCAATGCGTTTGGCAGTTTCGGAGGGATGTCGGGATTCGGAGGCAGTGGTAACGGGGGCCAGTACAGTTCCGGCATGAGCGGCGGCAGTCAGTACGGTAGTGGAATGAGCGGCTCTGGCTTTTCTGGTGGCGATTCGGGATCCTCGCAAGGATATAGCGGTGGAGGTCAACCTTCCGGTTTTTCCGGTATGAGTCAAGGTTATGGATCAGGAGGACAGCAGCAAGGGTTCAGCGGTAGTGGCTACTCCGGCAACGGTGCCGGGTCATCTGGGTCATACAACTCCGGCAACTCGGGATTATCCGGTTTCGGCAGCTCCGGTGGAATGTACTCCGGAATGGGAGGCAACGGAGGATCATTTTCCGGTAGCAGCGGTCTCGGCGGTGGCATGCAGCCGTACGGCGGTGGTAGTTCTAATGGATCCGGATACAGCGCCAGTAGTCAGATGTCTGGTGCAACTGGTGGCTTGGGATCCAGCTTCGGTCAGACAGGATTTTCGGGCTCGAACGGATACAGCCAACCCAGTGCCAGCAGCGGTCAGTCCGGAGCAGGATATAGCTCCAGCAGTGGCCTTTCAAGTGGCAGTTCTGGAACGAATTATGCGGTACAGTCTGGAGGCAGTCGCGGGGGCTACTAAATTTGTATGCCACATTGTTACGCAATATGATTTGTCTTTCTGTCAAGTTTTGCTAGCTGCGTTTGGAGTAGTCACAAAGTTGTTAGTCCAAAACTTTAGAAAGTAGTTTTTTTTATACAACGAACTCGGCATGGATTTGTAATCACGGAAATAAACACAAGGAAACCACATTATTGCAACGAATACAAATACGATATCGATACTTTATAGCAAATTGAGGATTAAATACAATCTGGTAAAACTTAATTGTAAGTATACTTTTGTGACACCAAACCAAAGTTTTACTTTTCTCCACTCCCAAAATTTTTACATTAACTTGCGTACAAAGTTTTTTTGTTGAGCGCTTTTTTTTGTTGAGTTTTCTGACTGCACGTAATTTGACCTTTGCCAAATTTTATTTAGGTGCTTGTAAGCGATACATTATGCTCGCATATCTTGGTCAGCCGAAAGATCAAGCGTGAAAGAAAACATGTATCTAGTACTGTACTGTATCTACCATTAAGCACTTTGTTCACATAAAGACGATAGATTCTTCTCAATAAATCATATTCAAAAACAAAATGAAACGAAAAGATCCAAGGCATGGCGCACATTTAAATAAAAACAAAAACTCATCCCTAAAACGGAGAATTAAAACGAAAATAAAAGAGCAACTATCACAAATAGCCCGAATAAAAATTCGCGATCATTACAATCAGAAATACAAAAAAGAGTCAGGTAACTCATGGTCAGGTTGACTCAGATAGCACCGTAGGTCGAGCTAATTGACTCGTAATCACGATAGCGACGCGCTGCTTTCACCGCTCGCAGACAAAACACCATAGCAAAAATCAGTAGAACGGTAAACACGACCATCAATGATATAAAGACTGCCGTCGACACGAGATTTTCCGGTGGCTCATTGTCTCGCGCATTAGTCGAATTCAAAGCTAATCCTAACGTCCATCCAAGCGCCATGCCATCGATCTAATCAAATTGAACGCATAAACATAATTTTCTTTATGATACTCAATTTCACTACTGAATACATACATCGGGTACAAATCGGATCTGCTCGAATGTCGTATCATTAAATCCATATCCCAATGTCAAGATATTGTCCACGAAATGTGCGTCAAAGCAATACTGGGTAATGAACGGCGAATGTGGATCACTCGCATTCAGAATATTAATCTGTGGAGTAAATTAATAAGCTCGATGTAATCAAAATAAAGACGTAAAATGTCTGTATCAAACCAGTAAGATAGTCAATTATCAATTTTTTATTAATGATTTCTAAGTAGCTCCACGCGAATGTGCCTTGATAGTTACTGCCAGAAAAACGCCACAGTCAAAACCATGATAACCAAACCAACAAAATGCCAAACTCGATCAACAGAACTCACCTCCGAATAATTCTTTAGGCAGAAATCTTTAATCACTTCCCTATAGAGCGGAAGAGGAACGACTCCGCCACTTCTATTAACATTGGTTAGATTAAAAAATTCCATCACAAAGTAGAATCCAGAAAATGCCTACAACAACAACAGCAGTCAGCTTGCGTTTCAGGGAATGAGTCTTGCAAGTATGCAAGCCCAGTACCATAAACTTTCCAGTTAGAGGTGCTTCGTACACGCCATTGAACGAACACCGATCAAAGCCCGAGTAGGGACAATACGTTTTGTTGAACAATTTTCCAACCATAGCCGAACATTCCGTTGAATTACTGGTGCCAACGAAGCTGAGGCTATCTGATTTCACATCCGAATGGAAGCCGCTGGTGCAATAATGTCCAAAGACAGAATTCATGGGCTCAACAGTGGTATTTCCCGTTGGAGCACAGGGATTCAAAATGACACTTTGATTTTGTTCTTGCACCAACAACGCCTTGAACTGGCGTTCGGCTTCACGCAGACCATAGCAGAGGAAACTATGCGAATACAGATCATAAGTTTCCTGAAACAACGTTGCCGTTTGAGTGTAGTTGACTTCGGAATCAAATGTAATCTGCGCTGAAGCTCCGCCAAGATCAAGGGCTCCCACGGACGACTTCGGTGCAATGTGGTCCTATCAAAGCAGAAGAATAAAAGTCAATAATTAATCAACTACGGCGTATCTGCAAGCCCCTTAAAAGGTGGTGAAACGGCGAAAAAGACATCAGCATCAAGTAAAAGAAATCTGCAAGTACAATTACGCTAGAGGCTATTCTTCGCGTACAAATAACAGCGTTTTGGCAAGGTAGTTAACGGTTATCCATCCATAGATCCCTTCCTCGATTCCAGAGATTATTCTGACATGTTCTGCCGAGTATTTAAAAGGATAATTTCCATTAACTTCCGTTCTTATGGCATCCATTATTGATGCAGCCATAGTGGCATTCGTCGCTCTAAAAGAAATCGGCATACATTTGCTTATCGAGTTGACAAAATCGCACCGCTGGTTTTAGTGCTCGCCCTGAACTCCTGAACTTACTCAAGCAGTCTCATGCCAGCTGTGGCTCCCAAATAAATTTCGGTTTTATCCCAAGATGGCCGAGGAATGCTATCTTTTGCGAAACCCATACATGTCTCCAAACTTCTGGCAGCCATTCGCGGATCGACATAATTTTCCAATCCATGATCTGCAACGAATTTCTAAAAATTAAGCCTTAAAATAACGAAACTGATAATTAAATAATGACTTCATGTAAAAGCATTGCAGTGGTCGTCGCCTTTACAACAAATTATGCTTGCAACATTGGAAACATTTTCACATTTTAAAGAGACAAGTGTGTCTCTTGGTAAAATTAACTGGCGATAAAGTTTCGATCTGCTTCGACATACGGTAAACAAAGAAGCTACTCACTTTCGCAGCGAGTATGAGCGTTCTGCTTCACCAATCCTGTCCCTCGGATTTTCATTCCATCCCACTGATAAACATACAAATCAGTGTGCGTTGAGCCAGCATCGATGACCACCACAAAGTCCACAGGTACTGCTCCAGATCGTGCATAAAGGTAGATCATCACCGCAAACCCAATCAGCGATGCACAACAGGCCACAGCAGCCAGCGCAAACCAGTTCTTGCAGCCCAACAAAATTCTTGTTTCTCCTACAAAAAATAAACACCTTTTATTGGATGGCAATCATGGCACGCATGGCTGCAGGCGGGCAAACTAATGTTTATAAAAATTAACAAAAAATGCTCATACGTTTTGCTAGGAAAAGTTTATCACCATCTCGAATTGCATACGAGCCCACTGTCCGATGATTCTTCAAAACGTTTCCCTTCGGATCTAAATAAACAAGGAGGACTTCCATAAATAAAAACAACAAGTAGGAAACTGGCAATCCGTGTTTAAAGTTGCAGCAATTGGCAGCATTGATCATATAATTAACAATCGTAGTGATTAAATCACCTGGAATTATGTCGTGCACAAGGAAATATGACAAAAACATAAAATAAAATGATACTAATCTGACCTTGAACACAGAACTCAGAAACGATATCCGTACGAAGCCTCCGTTCAATAATGAATCCCGCTATAAGACTGCAAATATACCAGTATTGTTGGATTCTGCACCTTCCGTACGATTGCTTAAAGAAACCTTTAGCATTTCCAGCACCCCAGCAGTAGAATAATATCAACTGATGACAAACATACTCAAGCGAAAAATCACAAATTACCTATCACCTACACGTAAACAATACGAAGTGGAATATAAACAATGTTACAATGGAAAAACAAACGCATCCTCAGAAACTCACTTTCCCACAGTGGCGCTCTCGCTAGTCATAATGGTTTCAGCGCCATCGATTCCTGCCACCAAACTTTCAATCTGAACCCTAAGCATTTTTTCGGAATGAATGGATGCCATCAAACGAAATGTACAAAACCAAACAGAGGCTTTCAGATGTCAGTAATTACAAAATGGAACCACACAGCTATTAATTAATACTGCATTTCAAATTCACAACAGTCTATCAAGACCCAATCAACACATCCAAGCAGTCCATAACAGAACGTCAAGATCCTAGTAACATCATGCAAAACGGAAGACCAGATGAATTAAAATGAAACCTCTCGACGATAATATTCAGGATAGACTGCAAAAGAAAAGCCAGATATTTCTAAACGTTTTTTAACAATACTCGTACAGTACACTGTACATTGCATGTTTCTTTTGGCAATCTGCACGGCTGTTTGCCTGTTTCCGTTTACATATCAGCATCCGTTTTATCATTGGAATTGGAATGCAACATGGACAAATCCATCCAATGATTGGATTGGAATAGATCCAGCAATTTAAATTTCCACAAATTTAATATATTGAGTTTAACTGCTGTTTGTTTGCAGTTTATTTTAAAAATTTGAAGTCACTTTTAGTTGTTAGTTCCGTTAGCTGATGAATTTTAGCGAAAATCTTGACGCAGTAAATTTTTAAGAGAGCAAAACCCACGTACGTTTCGCAATTCTCGGCACTGTTTATTTGGATTAAGGAAACTGGAACCGGTCGATGGAAGTACAGTATGTACTTACGGCACTGTGTATTTATTGCAAACGCAAACCGATTGACCCATGTGACGGCCACTGACAGATTTGGATTTTGAAACCGAACAACAACTATCGTTCCAAACCATACAGAATTTCAGTAAGTGCTCCACTGACTTGCTACGTTTCAGTACGTCCAGGCAGTTCTAACAAATTTGAAGCATACATTTTCAGTTTCAAACCTGTTCTATCGGTTTGTGACTTTGTGGTAAACTTGCTCTCTTCATAAGTTGCTTGCTCGTTTGCGGAACAAAGCATAATTTTTGTTTTATTTGTGTGTTTGAGACCACATACTCTGTAGATATTTACACGCCTTGGACTCTACTATTTTGAAGCTTTTTAATTTGCTGTTTCTTGAACTGTTATAAAAAGGAAAATTTGGAAAAAGGTATGGAACTGCATAAACAAATGGTTGTAGGTTACGGCTAATTTCTCTGATTTGCTCATCTGCAAGAAATACTCTGGTCAAGAGTTGAAAACCTGACAGGGATAAAATCTAGCTAATTTTTAACGGTACTGATAATCAAGCATGCTCCGTCAGCGATTTTTTGTTGGGTTTTGTCACTTTTGTGAGCCTTTATTATTTTCTAGTGGCTTACTGTTGACTGATTATACCACAGTTACATACATGATATACTTCGTATGTAAATTTTCAAGTTTTGCAAATCTTCTGTAGGCTTTAATAAGTCTAGTTCTGCTTTTGCTCGTGCGGTGCCTCTTAAATTACAGTTGATAAATTAAAATAAAATGGAATATGAGTAGAGAACAGTAAATTTTCGTATGATTGATTTCGTTTGTCGTCTTGCTGCGTTTATATATTTATCGTTAATTCAACGTTAAAGAGTATGCTTTTGTGGTCGGTAATCGCGTAATTTATTCACTTTTTTGTTTCCAGGAAATTCATCGGAATACTGGTCTTTTAAATGAAAACGTGAAATATTCTAAATTGTGAATTTGGGAATTTTTTCTAAGTCTGACTCAATAATCGATCAATTATAACGTATAAACTATAAACATTACACTTTTTGCCAAACATGAGGTACTTGTGGTTTTGACATTTCAAAATTTATACGGTCAGCGTATTGCGTACGCATCCTAGACCTTGTGTTGCTTTGTCGCACATTTTATTTGCAATTCAAAACAGTTTTCGTCAGTGCTTTGCATTTTTCTAAGTGGCTTTGCTTACAGGTGACTCTTCTTGCGATAGTGCTCACGATTTTGTCTCGCTCTCCATGCATTGTTGTTCAAGTTCCACGGCCCAGACTAGTACCAGACGTTTGCGCAGTACAAACACGGTTGGGTTGCTGTCTTATTACGCTTTCATGCGGGGAATGTGGTTTGAAGTGCAGACTTGTTCTTTAGAGTATATCTCCGCTGAGGAAATGGGAAACCACGAGAGCAGTCAGCACCGCAGCCACAAAAAATCCCCGGGCCGCGCCAACAGTATCCCGGTGGCCAGCGTCCACTCCGATCCGCTGATCACGCCGCACGAGTGCCGTTCACCCACCTGCAGCAGCCAGGAACACCACATGTCGGTGCAGCGCAGCAACAGCGCTCCTGTGCGTTATCGCCATGATTCTCTCAGCTCCACGTATTCCACCAGTCTGGAAGGAGCTTATACGGACGCTTACGACGGGATGTCCCCGACGACCTTTGGAGGAAACTATCACAAGGTTCGTGCATTAAGCGTTCTTTTAATGCAGGTTTTTAATATTGACGGGTTTTCCTCCCAAAGATCTCCAAATCGGCTTTCGCTACACATTTATTTTGCATTACACATTTTTTTTTGCTACACATTTATTTAGTAATTGCGCGAAATAATCGTGTGGCAGTACGAGTACTGCTGTGCGGTACCAAGTGTACTTCGTACGCTTTAATCGCATTTTTGGTTATTTAAAAAATTAAAATGTTCTGGATCATTCTCTAGTATAAAATGTATTCCGTTGCTGTATCATGTGTGTGGTCACATGCTTTTCGCATAGATTCAATCTTCGACTGGTATTCACAGATACATCCGGTTAGCATCAAATAATCATTTGTCAGACGGAATTTCCGGAAGACGTGACCTGCAGATAAACGCTCAAGGTCACGTGTAGTCTAATTTAGCTGGGTGTGCATAATTATATAAGGGGATTTTTAAATTTCCGGGGTGTTTTTCTGAGCCGTAACCTCGCCAGGTCATGACATACAACAACAGGGTTTTTACATTTCATGTTTAGTGAATGTTTCATCGTATTCGTTCTTGTATATGTGATTTTAAGGTTATGAAAAAAACCTTTAATCTGGTGGTTTCTACAATGACAACGTGCTTTGTTTATAGGACGTTCCGCGAAAAGTGCGCGCGCAGAATTTCGATGATGTGCATGGGAATAAGCTGAATATGCCCTTTGATTCTAAGCAGGGCTCGGGATTTGATTTGGACTGGCAGTATAACGAGAAGATGCGCAAGCGTGTGATTGTTAAGCGGTCACTCAATCCGGATCATCCACTATACCATAAGTTGATCCCGCGAATTGCGGAAGGCAATGAAGACTCTGGCCGAATTTAATTTCTGACTGCATGTTTGCCAATTCGTTTTCGGTTTTATGGCGTCGAGTAATTCTTCTCTTATACGGAACTCCTGCCTGAATATCTCTGAACTCTTTACCTTGGGAATCCGCTCCACTCTCCAGTTGTTTTGAGTTCTTCACTTTGGTGGTTTATGTCCTTCCGTTGTTAGTTTAGATGGTAGGCCGACAATGAGTCTACTACCGATTGCTGGCATAATGGAAAGTGGTGCCTACAGTATTTGTTTCGTCAAAACTCGATTAATCAATTTTATGTCTTTGCACGTTGTTATGTATTTTACATCCTAGGGTAAATGGTTTCTTTTTGAATGAGTTACTGCTCACTTGTATGTATTCTGTACTTCCCCTCTGTTGGTGGTAAATGTAGACTGACCTTGAGAGGTCTGTACGCTGTGGACGTTTTAAATTTCAGCGAAATGTTGGGAATATTGTGGTGGAGACTGTTAGATCATTGTGTAAAAAAAATTTACCAATTTACCCAGGAATTCATTCAAGAGATAATTTATTAGCGTAAAAGGCGCATCCGCAGTGAACTGACGCGCTTCTGATTTCACTGATTAATTATCGCTATTTCAAAAACCAGAATCTAGAACAGACAGCAATGAAATCTGGAACCAGTCCACACTTGTTTGCACATTCTATTAAAGTAGAGGACAATGCGATGTTTTCAATTTCAGTTCTGCAATTTATTTTTAAATTGTATATGTGTGCAAGCTAAAACTGCATACAGATAGGTATGTGCAATGTGCATGGCCTGCATGATGCTGCGCTTGCAGCCTTGCACTCTTCGCGGTTTGGGTCATCCAGCACGCAGCCCTACGAGACTTCTTTTCCGGCGCACGGCTCTTTTTTTGTTCAGCGATGTTCGAGATCGACACATTCTCCTTCCGTGAAAAACATTTTAGTTCTGAATGTCAGCCTGCAAATATTGAAAAAAGCTTACTTACACAGGAACAATAACGCGACAAGCCATCATAACAAATGGAGCATCTGTCAGTCATTATTTTATGAACTACTGCAATAATCCTATAATACGAGAAAGCCATAATATCTTCTTCTGTATATAAAACCGGGACAAACACGTTGCAATTGTGTATCTGCGAAGTGCGAATTACATGTTCCTATCGTTGCTATCAAAAGCCGCTACGCCAAATTAAATAATTATACAACATCAAATACCTTATCGTTGGTTGGATAGAAAGGTATTTCACTGCCTCGCACGTAGTGGGTTCACTCCATGATGCAGTATACACATTTTTCTCCGGCGATACGGCAAAACGGCAGTTGAAGTTGCCAATAAGGTCATCGGAACCCCGAAAAATCCTGTCATCGTCCTGGACTTTTACCCGTAACGTAATATTGTTCTAAAGAAATTGCAAATATTTTTCTCACAATCGAAGAAATGAGCGGATGCCCCTGTCAGCATGCATACAGCGTCTTACAGACCAGTTAAATTGCAAAAGCATAATAAAATAACCATAATATCGTGTACAAAAACCTAGGACACTTAACGCCATCCGACTGTACTCAACTGATTTTACTGTTAAAATTTCTGAGAAAAATTCAAGCATGATAAAAAATTATAATTTTGATGCATTTAACTGCGTACAATGATTTTGGCAAATTAAAGTTATGTACGGTATATTCTACTCGTAGAATATGTAACAACCGGTAGTTACTTGAGAATGGTTTCCGGTGCAGAGCTGCGCAATGAATATTTTATTTATATCGAACGATGTTGGCACCGCTTCCGCCACCTCGAAGACTGTGTCATCTTCCTCAAAATCTCGAAATCCCGGCCATTCTTCGTCTGGTTTGATCCTAGAGTAATCTGGCAACAATCTTTCAATGTGCCTCTAGCCAATTGCAGGGTGCCGAGCAATGACGATAAAAAGGCGCGGTCTAGTTCTTGAACTCACCAGTCCAAATACGCAAAAAATCTGGTGTCGCATCCCTGTTTCATGGGGTCACACGGCAAGCCGTTTATTTCCAGCCCCTGCGCATTTTCAAATCTCAGCAATTCGATGTCCACTTGGTACCGCAATCCACTGGCACCGTAGACACCAACTGGCAGACATGAAAACTCCAAAACTCGGATGCAGATTACGAACACACAAACAGCGAAAGAAAAGAGCGGCATTTTTAATGCATGTAGTACAATAGGCACTATGTATTTGTACGAAATACTTGTTACATTGCAAGGTTAAGAAATACCTCAAATAACTGCCGACGCATTAACCAAGAACGATTTAGCCATTTATTTTCAAAATATTTAAGGATGCTGTTGTTCGCTGCCGCTGGTAAATTATTGTGTACCGCAAAGGAACGCACAATCTACAGATCGGTCGTGCTTCCGGACCCGTCGGCTGCAACACTCGGTTTTGATATTATCTTGTATTTTGAACAAGATAACAACAAATTAATTTACATTACACAAGGGCTGTTACAAAGTGCATTAAATAACATATGATTCGGAATCTCGGACGTGACATCGGTGAAAGCCACTGACAGGAGAAGGATAACCACATCTATGACTATGAAACATCAGACAATTATCACCGTCTTCCAATTATCCTCAAGAAAACTTTCCAAATGTACATTTCATACTACAAAAACCGACAGCAATTGTCAGATCAAATTTTTGGCAAATGATTAGGAAATTAAGATCTTTCCGCCGATATCACAAGCGAAAAAATCGCTCAGGCCGGACATCCATCCCTGGACGATTTACGGTACATTCTGTATTTGAAGACCATCCTACAAATTTCAAAGTTTGACGTCAATCGATGCCACCGAAAAGAGGCACAGGTCGCAATCTTTCTAGAATCTTGTGCTGTTATTACGCAAGAAAAGCTTCAAACTATTATATTTCGCCAACAACAGACAAACGAAACTTGCAGATCCAAAATGAGGAAAAATGCTACGAGTAGAAAGGGAATCCAAACTACGCATAACTTTTGTGAAAGTTCTTGTCAGCTTATGGGTCAAATATCATCTTGTCAGCTTATGGGAAATATTTTGGAAGGCATGCTTAAAAGTATTCTGCTTATCAAAAGCAAATGGACCTGCAAATGCCCTACATCAACAAAACTGGAACGAGACGCTTGTTACTAATCACAATAATATAAACAAAAAAAGCAGACCGAAAAACCATTCAAAATTCAACTATTTTTTAGATTATCAAACGACGACAGGCATACGAGATCCTGCAATATTATCGTAGTTTCGCAAATACTGCCGCGCTCACCCCATTAATGGATTGGAATACATGGCATCGCAGGGTATCTCTTTTGACCACCCAGCGGAAATCGCACTATCCGCGATATTGGGAACTTTCGTAAAAATGCAATTGAAGTTGTTGATGCTAGAAATTTTAACATTACATATCAATTAGCTGATACTCCGTGTCATTGCCACCAGACACCGCCTATCGTATTTCACGTTTGTGCAACATCTTCACATGTAAACAGTCATAGTTTTTCTTACAAATCATCCGCTCCACGCAGTCCACCATCTACATCCATGAGATTCACTCTGAGATTTCCGGCCTGATAAATTCATATTTTTATGACTTCCGTCTGCGACGCTTTCAGATATCAATAACAGTACCTTAAAGGAATTTGTATCGCAGATTGTCTTGCGGAAAATGTGATTGAACTTGGGTGAACTTTCCTCGCCTCGATACCAAAAATAATCCGATGGCAAAAGCTCACGAGATCCAGGCCAGTCGTCATAAGGTTTCTCCCTGCACAAATGCACATTTAAAAATATTGAGGTAGTCATAAAATATGTGGCAGCAGTTCACGACCACTTCTGTTTACACTTTACACTCACGACGGTAGTGCGGTCAGTTTTATTGTGAAAAACAATCATATGATCGAGTCATCAACAATTACAATGCGAAACCGAGATTAAAACAACATAAAAATCGCACGATTAAATTATACACACCGGGTTGCAATGCCACATTCTAATATAACAAAACACCTTGTTATATTAGAATATGCATAGCATAAAAATTTATAAAATGGCCTATATTAATTATCCACTTTGCACTGAATACATATTAAATAATTATCGCGTCATAAGACAAAAAAATTGCAGTCTGAAACAGATGTTCCACATCTCTCATGACGAGCAAAAATTAACCAGACTCCAATGACTGCACTACTCTAAACCTGTTGTTTAATTTACCGCCAACATGCTAAATGTCAATAGAGATTTTGTTTATGTAACATAATAACATGCATGCAGTGTGCAATCAAAACGCATGCGTTAACCTCGACGCACTATCTAGACCAATGTAATGGGAAACCCTATAGTGCGCAGAGTACGCACCCCATGCAAAACCTGATTTTTACACATTTACGACAACGGCCTGCCCGAACAGCATGCACTCATGCTTGCAATTGTTTAAGGATGGGCTCTGAAAGCCGTTCTCAAAAAAGTAAGTTCAACTCCGTGAGTAATGCGCAAAAATTCCTATTCCGATTGTGAGCAAGCGATTAATACTGTTGCATGCGTAATCCGGTAATGCAATTAATTTTTCGCTAGTTAAAATGCAATTATCGCTTACACATCAATATATCCCAACGCCTTAATGTCGCATCCCCACCAGAAGAAATCGCACTTCTTCCCGCTGTATACGATACCATGGGGATTGTCGAAACGCAAGAGGAGCACTTCGATTTCTAACGGCAAATTCCGGGAATCGGTCGATGCGGACACTTGTGCGGCTGCCCTCATGTTCGGCAGCAGCTGTCCATCGATCACACCCAGGTAAACAATCTGCAACATAAGGAGAAAGGTGTACGGGATTACCTCATATGACTGCTAACCGCAGCGAATCCATCCGAATCATTATTAACTGTCGAGCATACGATTCTTCGTTGAAACTAACAGGACTTGACAATCAGCCCAAAACGTAATTCACGCGACGGCCAGTTGGCTGAAGCTTACCACGGCAAAGAGGGTTACACGACCGATTCCTTTCGGTTCCATTTTCCACTGCCAATAACGAACTAAAACTATTTTTATCACTAAGCTTCACCGAATTTCCTAAAAAAAAACAACTGTCTTAATAAGTAGAAATTCGACTGCACGACTATTTTTGCGGTGCTCAAAATCAAAATTACGGCATGTCAAATAAAGCCGAAGGCTGAGAGTGAAACAACGCAGACCTCCTGATGATTTTTTCTGTCAGCACGTGAGTCATGAGTAGTAAGGCGTTCACTCAAATGGAGCCCACAAACGTTGTTCGGCCAATCACCGACTTTAGCAATTACAGCAACGTTGTTTAGTTAAGTTGATAGGTTCCCAAATATTATCCTAATTTGCTATTGTCTTTGGGATCAGAACACAGATTTGATAACACCAAATATTACAGTCACACATTTACGTAATTATCAATACTTAAAAGTATTCAGTTAACTTCGGATGGCTTATAGATAGGGCTCACTGCCACCGCGTCGACAAACACGGAACCACCACAATTAAGGTCATCGGGATGGCAGGGCGGTTGTGTGGGATGCGACTTGCTGGGACACAGTGGCCGTGTCTCATGTAAGAGCTAGCTCGAAGAAAGCCGGGAGCGTTGCGCAGTTGGCTGAAGGCAGTAAGCACGGAAAATACGCCTAGATCGTCGAACAGTTGAGATATTTCTTCTACCCTCTGGCAGTCGAGACGTTCGGGACATTTGGAACTTCTTTTGCTGAGCTGATCCGTTTCGTCGGCCGGAAGATCCGTGATGTTACCGGAGAACCTCGATCTACGGCCTTTCTCAGACAGCGTTTAAGCCTCGCAGTAGTCAGAGGAAATGCAGCGGCTGTTTTGGGTACACTACGTGCCCGTAATGACACTAACGATTTTGGGTGTTTTTTTAATGTTTAAAATTCAATCATTTTAATTAGTGTGAATCTGCGCAGGCGTGTTGTCATTGTGTACTGCATGGCCAACTAGCCGAATCAAAATTCACTGGGAGAGAGTTGTACACTGTACACATGCATATAGCGGCTGACTTATCCACTGTATAGGTTTTTTCACGTTAAAAAAAACTGTATTGACGTTAAACACATGCATTCATGGGTTAATAGACAAGATTCCCCCGGAAAAGGGAATCTGTCCATTATTGGCTAGCGGCGCAACCTAAGCCCGCCCGCTTGGAGATTGGCCAGCGGTCAGTGTCTGTATGAGGTATATAAGCAACTCACTGCACACAGTGCATAATCATTGCTCCTACCTTCGCAGTTAGCAAAATTTTTGTTAGCAATTTAGCAAATTAGCCTGCTACTAGCAGATACTTAGCTTTTACATCGTTAGCCTTTAGAACGTTCTGTGACCTTTTTAATAATAACCGCCAACGGTCTAATAATGGTCTCGAAGAACGAACTGAAGAAGTTGAAGGTTCCACAGCTCAAGCAGGCATGCCGTGATGCTGGTCTGGATGATACCGGCGTCAGGAAAGTCTTGTTGGCACGTTTGTATAACCACAACGACATCCCGCCATCACGCATGGAAGGCGCTGTGGATGCCAACGGCGCCATCGCACCGACTGACCATCCTGTTGGACCTCCAGCAGGAATAGCTGCCGCCGGACCATTAGCCGACCTGGACAAACTTCTCCGCCTTCATCAAAGTAAGTCCTATCCGAAAGATCTGGATTTCATCAAGCTTCCTGCCGATCGCAACGAGATTCAGATCTTCATCAATCACCGAGCACCGCTTGCCGTTTCCGATCTCCGCCAACTGCTGCGCTCCCGTAACAACAATGCCGAGAACGCCCGTAAATTGCCGTTACCACATAAGCAAGCTCCAAAGGTCACCTTGCATAGCGGCAAACGCAGCCGACCCACTGCAACGGATTTATCGTACGACGAGTTTATGGTATACGGTTTGAAAACAGCCGTGAAACTTGCACGGACTGTTTCTGGCAAATACCATCAGTCGCTTACTGAATATTTGCAATATTTAGAATTTCTGGCCATACGTCGGCGTGATTTCGACGATAAGGCAGTCTTGAAATTTGACGAAGAATTTCGTGAAATGGCCACTCATGATGGTCTAAGTCTTTCTGATTCACATGAACGGTCTGCCCTAAACGATAAATATTTTCATGCGAAATCGCGTCGTTGTGATCTCGATGTTGATCGGAAAACACAAAATACAAAACCTACACAGCAGAGCCCATATGGTCTCGGGTGCTAAACACCCTCTGTCGCGATGGCAACCCCCATCGCCTGCCGGAAAATAGCAATTGCTATGACTAAGCGATACAGCTTTATCGACGGTATCGAAAGTAAAGCATTCAGCTTCAACATAATTATTTAAAGAGTTGTCGACAGGGCGGCTACAGTCTGTGATTGGACGCAGGCTATTTTCGCCTTTCTTCGGTACAGCTCTAATTGCGTTAATGCGTTTGGGTTTGATTAATTGACGAGATATTTTCCCACTATCAAGCTCTGCTCTGAACAGTTTGTCCAGCATCGGCTTGGCAGTCTCACTCAAAGCCGAAGAATAATTTCGACAATCTGCTGATGGGACACTGTCAATATCATTAACTACGGTATAGCAGCAGGTAAACTTATAGCGGATTGTGCCGGCGCGTTGATTGCCGGCATCCCCACGAAAAAGCGGACGCTTCTAGAGTAGTCTTTTGTGTAGAAGCTGTAGTTTGGCCATATGTGTCCTGTCAAGGACTAATTCTGAGTTGGGTATTTCGATATAAATGAGGCCGCTTTTGAAGTTCTCTGACGAAATGATTTTGGCTTGGATGGTTTTGAATGGAGGGGTTGGTATTTGTTGAGGATTGGTAGTTTTTCGAGCGCAGTTGAGCTTTGGGTATATAAAGGAGACGCGGAGTGTGGTGAGAATTCAATTGGTGAGATTGCTGGAATGAGAAGTTTGTTGTGTGAATAGAGTTTTGATTTATGGTTGCGTCGCGAGTTTTGGGATTTCTGGTGGAATAAATTTGGTAATTGTTTAATGGTATTTTTTAAATGTTTTATTTTTTAATTGTTTGAATTGTAAATTTTGTTTTAATAGGGTGGAGAGGGTGAATTGATCTTCATTGCGTGGAAAGTGGTGTGAGAAGGATTTCGGTGGATTTTTGCCTAGGAAACATTTGATTGGTAAGAAATTATTTGTGTATGTTGATTAGCATACGATAATACTAGGTATTGGTTTGATATGGTTAAAATGATTCTATATACGAAAAGTGGTATATTGTGTTAAGAGATTTAACTTTAGTTGAATTTGTACTGGAATAATATTATTTATTACTTGGAGATATGTTTATGTATATGTATGAGAGGCAGATGGTGTGTTGATGTATGTGTGTTAATGAGTGGTATTTTGTCAATGTTTTGTGTTAGTTTGTTGAAGTTGATATGGAAGTGTGATAATATATGTTTGTGTGTTGAATTTATATTTTACTGGTGTGGTGTTTAAGAAGAATTAGCTATTGTGGTAGCGGTTGAACTGAAATGCTATTTGCATCGGTATTACGGTAATTTAAATTATTAATTTTTAGAATTTAGTAAGAGAATTAAACTAGGGTTAATAGACTGAAATTTGTTAGTCCGAGTAAAATGCGTGCGAAAATTTGTTGGTGTATATTTTTGTAATGGATGATTTATGTATTGCGGAATTAAAGGTTGACTTAAAAATTAGGGCATTTATAGAAATTCAATATTTTGTAAAGTGATACGGAGTGGTTTGATACAATGGATAGAGTTAATAAGTGTGGATTAAGATATTGCGTGCAATGTGTAGAAAATTATGGAGTGAGGTTATGGAGCGTATTTAATCAGTTTTAACGTGCTACACCGCATATTAGATATTGCAGTTTAGGTCACTGTACTCATTTCAATTAGCCCGCTTGAGTGACTGTGAACGTGACATAGTGTTAGAAATATTGACTCGCATAGTGTAACCGTTCGAAATAATGGTAAAGCTAAATACAGAAAATTTATGTGGCATTATAGAGTCATGGTGTGTCGATATTGAAGTTGATAAAATAAATTTGAAGAATCAGGTGGATGTAGTGTTCCGTATGGTTTGGTGTATAGCAAATTTAGTATTGGTTGAATGGTTTTATGCTGAGAATGTGGATAAATTATGGAATAAATATGATATTTGATGTTTATGTGTTATGGATGATGGTGTTATGGATGATTGTGGATGCGATAAAAGTATTTTGAAGAAAAAAGTGGGTGTAACGATCCGTATGATTGTTGTATTTAAGTAACAAAGATTTTTGCGGAAATTGTCTGACTGAGCCGAAACTGTCTGCAATTGCATTTGTTTTCAAGCGTTAAATGTGATTTTAATTTTAGTGAAAAAAATTTTTAATGTATATTAAAAATATCTCTGTACAGGTGCAAATTTCGGACGATAGTGGAGTCGTTGATGTCATGGCATATAATCAAATTCAACAACAATTATCTGGGCCTTCAGCAGCTGCCCATCAAAGTGGACTGATTGGAGTTAACAATTTTTCAGTTATGAATAAGCAATATCGTGTCATTCTGAAGCAGGCTTACAGTAATATTGAAGTAAGTTGAAGTTCTACATTTTAATACTTATTATAAATATGTATGAATGGATATATATGTATGAATATATTTATTAAATATAGTTAAATACATATTAGTATTTATTATAAATATTTATGAACAGATAATATTACTATTGTTAAATAAATGTTATTACAAGGCCGCAGCAAAGAAAGCATCAGTGTAACTTATATGGAAGAAAAGAAGCTTGGTATAATATTATTTTAAACTGAAAACGCAATAAATTTTAAGTATGAAATTATTTTGTTTTTGTAGAAGAAAATCCATGTTCAGCTATGGATATTGGTGTCAGCGAAGAGCAAACAACGACAGTGCAACCTGAGTGCAGCAAACGATTGAATGGTAAGAAATTAAATACAAATAAGTTATATGAATTTGAATATGTATTTTTGTATATAGTTACTCCGAAAAAACGGAATAAATGTGTGGAAAAGTGGAATTGAACTGCGAAGCAGAACTGAATGGTCCAAATTCTTTGAATTTGGATAACATGATAATATTCTTTTACCAGTACAAGTATCATTTTGTATTATTAGCTAAATTCATTAGTGGTATGCTATTTGTATGAATTTTATATTATTATGGTGAATTGATTATGCCCGATTTTTGTACTATTATATTAGGTACATTAGTATCATAATAATTTTACTGTTGTGATGTGAAGGTTCAAAAAATCATGACTACGGTGTAACTAAAATTTAATAAAATTTTTATTTTACAATAAGTTAGGATCTGTGTATAATCTGTGTATAATAAGTATTGTAAAATAAATAAAAATACAGTAATGAATGGAAGTGTAATATGATTATGCTGTGCGTTATAATAGTACATTCTAACCAATAATTGACTGCCAATTGGAAGATGGTGACAAAAAAGTAAGGTTTAGGCTATAAATATGTGCCCAACTGCGCCCAACTGAATTACAAATAATTGCCATTTGGAAGGTAGTGACATAAATCGTATAATATCGTATAATAATGTGGTTAACAACTACCGCTAATATAAATATACCCCGTACTGCGCCCAACCAAGAACTTGGTGCCATCTGGAAGGCGGTGACATTAAGAGTAAGGTGTATGTTATAAATATGCGCCCAACCTCGCCCAACTAAACTAACAACTTACTGCCATACGGAGAGAGGTGACACGAAGAGTAACGTGTATATTATAAATATGCGCCCAACTGCGCCCAACTGCGCCCAACTCAACTAACAACTTACTGCCATCTCGAGGGAGGTGACATAAGAGTAACGTGTATACTATAAATATGCGCCCTTATGCGCCCAACCAACAAAAATCAAGATAATTATGTCATATGCTAATTGTATAATTGATGTGCGTAAGAAATATGCGCTCCTGAACCGCCTGCCACATGGCCCCCTCCCCGAGGTGGCCGCCCGTTAGGTGTTTCAATTATTGACATCCTTGCAGCCTACCGTTCGGTGCCGGTTTTCCCAGCGCATCGCCAGTTACAACGCTTTCGCTGGCGATTTCCGAACGAAGCTGAGCATTTCTACATTGATAATTTTTTATGCTTCGGCTTGGCTAATGCGCCTTATATTTCTCAAAAAATTTCAGGTGCTATAGCCGACTTTATGCGTCGTCGCGGGTATACTATAATAGTATACTTAGATGCATACTATTATAGTATACCGCGGGTATACTATAATAGTATACTATAATAGTATACGGGTATACTTAGATGATTTCCTGATAATTGCTCAAACTTATGCCGCCTGTTTAGCCGTTAAAAACTGTCTCATTTCACTGCTAACCTCACTTGGTTTCAATGTAAAATGAGAAAAAGTGATTGGGCCATCGCAGCGAATTAAGTTTTTGAGAATCATCATAGATTCCGTTAAGTGCACACTGGAAATTCCAGCAGATAAGTTAGCCGAACTCTTAAAAGACGTGGACATGTATAGAATGTCAAAAGCGATATCAAAAAAAGATTTGCAAAAGCTTATCGGCAACATGTCGTACGTCTCGAAAGCAGTCTACAGTGCGAGAGTTTTTACAAGGTTGTTCATCGACGTTATGTCCAGTCTCAAACAGCCGCACGATAAATTCTTAATCGATGACGTTGTTCGCGCAGATCTTTCTTGGTGGCATAAATTTTCAACAGTTCTCAATGGACTGGTACCGTGTCCATTAGGTGTCCAATGCCGGTCAAGACGCTATATACAGATGCGTCGTTTTCCGGTTTCGGGGCCGCTTTGCGCGACACTTACTTTGCCGGCGCTTGGTTGCCGCTACAACCCCCAGTTGGTTTTTCCAATAACTGATTACCGAGCCCACTCGTACACCCAGAATTGGTGAAAAATATCAATATTTTTTAGAGCTTATAGCTGCCTGTCTGCCACTCTTAATATTTGCACCGCACCTTACCGGTCATAAAGTCCTCGTCTTGTCTGACAATACTCAGACTGTGGCTTTTTTAAACCGTGGTACAACAAAAAATTTGCATGCACTTAAGTGGCTTAAAGCCGTTTTTGCCGTGAGCATTCGGCATAATTTCCGTTTTAGCTCTACTCATGCGTCGGGTACGAGCAGGCCCGTCGCGAGACCCCTGTGCAATTTTCAAAAAAAAACTCCTCCTACAGTTTTCATCGGAAAATTTTTCTGAATACACCATTGGATTCGTCGTGAAATTCTGAACAAAACGGTTGAGGCCGATTTTTGAAATTCGTATTTCCCCCTAGACCCTTACTACGGGCGGTCCCCAATTCGACAGCCTGACTTCTGGGGAATTCCCCCGGGCACTTTCAAAAATGTACTTCTCCTACAGCTTTTATCGCATATTTTTCTGAAAATATTCCTGAACTCACCGTAAAATCCTGAACAAAACGGTTGAGGCCAAATTTCAAAATTCGTTCCTCTCCAAGCACGTCCACCCGGGCGGTCGCCTATGTCACAACCCAAGTTTTGGGGCTTTCCCCCCTGACCCCTCAGAAACAGAGAAGCCATTTGCGCTTGAGATACTAATTTTATCACTGAAAAAGGCTCGAGAAGATGTCTTTGACTGCCCTTGGGGGCCAGGGGGGAATGCCCCAAGAACTGGTCTGTCGCATTGGCGACCGCCCGCCGTAACGGTCTGGGGGGAAATGCGAATTTCAAAAATCGGCCTCAACCGTTTTGTTCAGAATTTCACGACGAATCCAATGGTGTATTCAGAAAAATTTTCCGATGAAAACTGTGGGAGGAGTTGTTTTTTGAAAATTGCACAGGGGTCTCGAGACGGGCCTGGGTACGAGTAATGTGCAAGCCGATGCTCTAAGTCGGATCACCGAAGGTGCCTATCATGAGCAGCGATTCTTACAGTACCGCCGATCAGATTTCCCCGGAAATCCGTTACCTCGTAATTTTGTTTTTAGCTATCCGAACATCCTCGATCACTGGAGAAACGATTGAATCGTTTACGGATGAGTGCCTTAGCTCCTTCCTCGTTTAAGACCCGTCGCTCACAATGGGCCTGTTTCGAAAGCTTTTGCCGTGATCACAGGTTAAATCCGCGACCGGCATCTGTCGAAACAATTTGTTTATTCATTGCGTTTTTGTCTAAATCAAAGCAGTTTAGCACTATCCTTAACTACGTGCATGCACTACCCTCCTACCATACTATGTATGGTTTTGATTCACCCAGTTTAAAGCATTCCTCTATACGGCAAACGTTGAATGGTGTTCAACGAAGTTGCGAAGAGTTACCTAATAAAAGACTACCGATCACTGTTGATCACTTGCTTGCAATCCACTCAAGCTTGTCAGCAATACATCGGGGGGCTTCATTGGTTTGTGACCTTAACGATAGCATTGTTTCGATGTGTGATTAAACTCCGAACAGTACAGTCGCCTTTTTGTTATGCGTAGCTGATACAATAATTGTGCAGCTTGCGCCGGTTTCGTTCCTGCAAGCTGAACATTACGGTTTAAGCACAACCGCACAAGCCCAACAACAGATTAAGACAACTGGCAACATTTTATTCTTCTTTGGACAACACTTATGTTTCTTCTTTGGACTTGGGCGAAGGAACAGCAACATAGCTTGCGAGTCTGCGATGCCGGCGTCGCCAAAAAAAGACTATTGGCACATGCAGTATACGCAGAATTGTCCAGAACAGGACCAGAAGTGATGCACCTGCTATTCGTAGTATTCCGCCACTTTCCCGTAGCTGACCATGGTACAACAAAACCGTACCTCACGCCATTCGCAAGTACTTTAATGTATACGAGTACTGATCATGAGAACATTGTGGTATGGACCCGACATGGTGCACAAATTGTTGAAGGGAACGTTGATATGAATTATTTAAATTTTTGTGCTTCGGCATAGGTATTTCGGTTTCGGTTTGAATTATTTGAATTTTTTTATTTCGGTATAGAAGTATTTCGGTTTCAGTGTACTTATTCGAGACTCGAGAGCACAATAATATCTGAAAAAATTACGATGCTGTAGATAATTTGGGATCACTCAAATTGTGTTCCGCTTTGGTTTACAATTCGTATCAACTATCAACCTATTTGCCCGGAAGATATTGCGTTCCTCTTGCCGATCCATGCACGCTACAAAAATCCAGTAATCTTACGTCCCATGGCCACAAAGATAACATTTTTAGGAGAGGCCGACGAAAATCAATCTCCTTAATAAACATGTCCTTTCTAAATTTCATGGGTTTGTGTATATTGACATTCTCAACTCATTTATGTTAAATCACAATTAATTTTGAACTTGCACTTCTGCCCGCAAAAACAGAAGCGCACTGGTTGGCCGCTGCGAATAATTTAATGTGGAGTGGTTGGTCGACATCAACCGTTCAGCGGCGTCCAGTCTCCAGCTTGAATGTTGTCGGAATTGCAGGCTTCACTGTCCGTTTGATACACAACATAGCGGAAGAGCAACCTGCCGACATGAAGAATTAAATACATGTAACACCGAAGCAGAAACTCATAGCGGTAGCCTGTAAGTCTTGATAAATTAACCCTAAACTTCTGTAAACTGTGACTATACATCCAGGTTTGCATCTGCGCATTTCTACTGCAGCACGTACTCTTCATTGTTTTGACCGGAAATGGAGGGATGTGCGGTGCAGCGAGGCGTCTGCCACTGCGGCTGGTAACCCTCGTGAAAAATGTCGGCGGGAAGCTCCACGAGACAATCAAATTTCTTCACCGCACCGGAAGGAGCTTGTCGTCGTGCTAGATAACGGACAAGATGCGCACTTCGAGCGTATCTGTCTCTGGAATATTGATCTTCCGCTTCTTGATAGCTGTTCTGATTAGTGCCGGTTTCACTAAGAAAGTCAGTATAATAATAATTTCAAACGAATGGTCAATAGAAAAAGTTTTTAGCGAGACAAAATACATAAATTATATGCCTACTAGTATGATATCGAACACAAGCTGCTCGAGTGCAGTAATCAGTTGCGGTTCGGTCACTTACGCTATGGACATAACAGAAATTTCAAGGAGCAGTTCCTACAACGAACACCGTGATTTGCCTACCAGCCTACGTAACAACCATAGTGCGAAACTTATTAGAGTGGCGAAAAATTATAATGATACAACATACGAGTTTATGTAAAACTAATCTGCTGTGATAAGTCGGTAACTTTAATTACTTACCTGATTTACAGGTGATGATAGACACAGTGACACTGACGTACGTTTATTGATGTCCACAATTCCTCTTCCCCGGGCCGTATTGATAACGCTCTGCGCTTTTATGATGCGCTGATTTCTAAAAAATACATTAAGACTCGGGTTATTACCTAAAATTCTTTTAAAAACATCTCCAGTCCTTGTTTTTGATACTCCTTATTTTTGATATGTCTTATATAAAATATACAAACTGCGCTTGAAAAAAGCGCTAGAATAAACAAATAATTAGTTCGGAATTTTTTAGTTCTTACAAACTAACCGACACGTACTTAGTACTTTATCGGCTCAGAGTTCCACAGAATAACTTACAGTTTTATGTGCCCAGAGACTGTATAAAGACAGTCTGATTCGCCTCCACCACAGGTCACCTGCCCAGGGTATTCGGGATCGCCATTTTCCGTATAGCGCAAAATTTCCACATCCGCGGTGAGCGAATGCCGTACATTTGATGTTCCCATTTCTATTAAGTTATAACAAGCTACCTTAATGGGCAATACTCCTACAGCTTAAACCTCTTTAATTAAACTACTTCATAAGAACTGAATTCTCGTCGTAATAATAGCATTATATATAATGCTATCATAATATTATGATCACAATATTATGATCGTATTTTGATCATAATATGATCATCTTCGCCACTGTGGTGAAAGAAAAATGCCGTTGCGGTGTTATGCTGTCACCCTATTAGTTTAACATTAAAATCACTGACACAAAAATTCATCAAAAAATTAAAAGCTTTAAAAAAATTAAAACTTAAAAAAATTAAATTGAAAAATTCCTAAGGTTGCAGTACACCTGAGTATGCAGGATTTAGCACATGTGCAGATACACGCGGGGTTGTCCGATATCGGTCTGCAGTTATTCGGCTGACTGTGTGTGGATATGCAACAGGAACAGGTGGCGGCGTCGTGCTTCTACGTCCATATGTGTGCGAAGGATCTTCCGTGGGATAGTGATCCAAGTCCACGTGATGCTGTGCCGAGCGATACGGCTGACCGGCCAACAACCTTTCCGGGATGCTAAGTTCTCCATTGTAAGCTGCCTTGTGTGGACATGACAACCAGAAATGCGTGACCTTAGGGCTTTCTGTTGGAGGTGACCCATCATGATCATTGGCAAGCGGCAGAACAAGGCTGCTCCGGAGCTAAAATGACTCACCCGAATCACAAACGAAGATCAATAATTATGCAAAACGCGCACACTTTTAATCTTTAATCGACTTTCGCGGTGTGGATAGAGAAAAAACTGACCACTGGCGGTAACCTTCGGTACTTACCAAAACACACACCCATAACACAACCAAGATAGTATGTCGATGCATTCTCATCATGATAATCGTAGCCTCATGTCACTATTGGGCACTTTGGAATTTGGCGGAATTACCGCTACACGCGCCGACCTCAATAAGTCTGCTGTGCGTCGATATATGAACATTAATGATGATCAGGAACCGTCAATCTGTACAGAAAGAGTCCCCAATTGCAAAGAGCTTCCCGGATTATTAACGGAAAATTACCAATTACAGTCGCAAAGAAACTTGCTTCTCTAGTGATTACTTAATTAATTCTATTTTGTTCAAGAAACTTCAATCTGAAGATATACTGCACTTTTTTACTGGCGCATGAAACATGCGAATTTGTGACCATAAAAGAAAGCGTGAATGCTTGCAAGCAGTTGATTGCAAGCTGTGCAATGTTTATTGGTTCGCAACTTCTTTGATCGTATCGGCAGTATTTGTACCGCGAGAACGAAGATTTGGCACCGAAGCTTCTAAAATCCGTGGTCTCAAAGTAGTGATGATGTAACCAATCAACATAAAACTTCGCTACCAAATCCACACCAGTTAATCGATTATGCGCAAATTGTGCATAAAATAAAAATACTAGCTTCTAAACGCATATAATGCAAGCACGTTATATGGTTTCCGAAGTCACGTTCGGTCGCGTTGATTCCAATTTTTAAAAATTCAATTGTTCATTCGTTTCAGCAAGGTATCTGTAAAGTAATGTGTACCAAAAAGCCAATTGGCGTGTTCATGATGAAAAAAATTGATAAAAGAATAAAGATGTGCCGCCGTCTATAACAAAAAATAATGAACCCCAGTTCTCACAGCTTGAATACTGCAGAAAAGCTGTGTTGTTTTCATTCATTAAAATTTACACTTTCTAGCAATAAGAAATTTTAAATCGCTCCAAGTGGTATCGGCGGCGTCTGTATTCCTCCCGAAGCCCCCGAAGACCGGCTGCTTTGTCCACTGCTAGTATCCTGCTGTATCCGCTTCAGCCAACCGAGCGTTGTCGTTGTGGTGCGTCGTCTGGTGACAGGCACCCGTGTCATCTCGTGCTCATCCACCTGTCGCTTTAATACCGTTTTATCTCTATGCTTAATCCGGCCCTCGTTGGTGCTGTCACTGGGATCTACAAATTCATGGTGATGATGATCAACCGGCACCAACGTGACGTCCGTATGAAACGGCGTCGGTTGGACGGCGATATGTGACGGCTCACCGGCAGCGGCGATCGTGCCTTCTTCCTCGGTCTGGCGCCGACTGCGCTGGCTTAAGGGTTGCACATTCTTACCAGCCGCACTGGTGTCGGTGGTGTTGGGTGCAACCGCTAAGAAAAAATCGTGTTCGCGACCTTCGCGTCGTCGTCGATACCCGAGATGGTCGAGTGGCGTGTGAGTTACGGTGTATTCCGCGACGACCGTACTCTTCGGATAGCTTTCGTCTTTGTTATGGTCTTTGGCGATCTCCAAACCGGCCAGGCCTTGGCGCCGATTCCGAACCAACGGACTGCTGGTAATATTATTACTGGAATCAATTGGTAAGGATGCCACGGGATTGACGGATGCCGGTTGCATTGCTCCGAACGGTGGTTTATGTTCCCTGGCTTCAAGCTGCAACCCGGAAGTACTTTGCAGGTCGATCCCGGAAGCCGCTGCGACCGTCTGCCAAAAAAGAAGAGTAATCCCTAAAACGCTTTCTATGTTTAACAGAACAAACTACATGGTGGGGAGGGGTTGCACCACTAGGCATAGAAAGTTGTAAATGAAAAAAAACTAGCCACTTCTGTCACGTAAGATATGCCAGACAACGTAGTAATGAAAACCGTGAGTAAACAGCGGTGAAATACCGATACTAATAGCGGTGAAATACGAATGTACTGTACTGCTTGACAAAATTAATGATGTACACTGTAATAATAAATAATTCATGAAATTTCTAAAAGTTATTTATCATTATAAACAACTGCTTTGTTAATTAAATATTTTAGCAGTCTTGCAACCATAACAGGTACAAACAGTACTTGAAGAGTGGAAGTACACGTACAACATATTACATATTTAAGTGAATCGCAACCTCACCTACCATTAAAATTAACACAAACAGCAACCTCATCCTGATCAACATCGTGTACAGATAAGAGCGAATTCTGGAAGGCGGCAGTTCATCAATTTCACTAAAGCGTAAAGAATCGGACGTAAACGTAAATAATCGGACGTAAACGTTTTCAATGCCTAACGCTTTTACAAACACAAACGCTTTCAGTGCAGCGACCCTTCCGATCAACAAATCATTCCGCAGGGAAAAGTAGGAATGAATTCATATGATTAAAAAAATCGTGATTTTTTCCAACAGTAACTGCGTTAAATTTAACCTAAATACGCAAATGACATTTCAGTGATTTCAAGCTTTCTTCATAAGGCGCATCACAAGGCAGTTTTCTGATTTAGAAGTAAACACTAAGTAATTGTGTGTTACTGGCAATAAACGAAAGTTTCTTGCTTGTGTATCATTCTAACGATGAAAGCACGCACAGTTGTAAGTGTATGTGTTTTCCACTCTCAAGGCTTGATCAAAGATTAGTCAGACAATCTAAATTAAAATCATTCCTTCCATGAAAAGGCTGTCCCATCAGGTGGACTTTACTGCCATACCGCCTCACATTCTGATTTGTCACACCGCGTAGCGAGATTCCGTAAAGCGAATGACCCAAACGCTAACATCACTCGAAACAACTACAGAGTACCATCGTTTCAGTTCTGAACATAGTGGTCAGTTCACCATGAGACTGTGCAAAACATAAAATTTTACATTGTTTCAGTAATTTCCAATAATTCGGGCAAAAGGTCATACTATAAGACTGCCACACTGATCAAATAAACGCTTAAATAAGGCTTTACCTGGATACATGCTGCATTTAAAATGAAAATATCACGAACCAAAGAACAAGAAATAATTTACTGTTGTTTACCTCCTTTTCGAGGCACCACTCGGTTTCTTAACAAAACAATATAACTTCTGAAACGCTTTAACCTTCATATATATAACATTATAGTGAGTATACAATGCATTTCATCAATTTTCATGTTAGCGTATAGCTGTCTTAAAACGATATCACATTGCGCAGTACAAATAAGTGGTTGTTCAATAATTTTGAGCAAAAGTTTCGAGGCAAGAAGCAACATTCCATTAGCCTCCCAGCTCCTAGGAATACCTAGATAATAAAATGAAACGCCAGTGTTCCAGATCCATCTGTCCAGGCTGATAACAAAGGCAATGCGTTCAAACTTCGGGATCAGAATTCTGAGAACGCAAATCATCTTCGATAGATAAGTTGTCAAGATCCACTTCTTCATCATTCTCATCATCTGTTTGTCCGGGTTGCCAAGGTCTGTCATTCACAGACGAGGAACCCTCAGCGTTTGATACTGTGGACATAACTGCAAAAACACACATATAATGAAAAAATTCGAACATAATTAATCAGATGTTTCATATCACTAACTAAACGAAATATGACCTCTCCGTATCAGACATCAATAAAGCAACAAACATCTTCCAAAAAAGCAACAAATAACAAAAATAAATACTAATAACCTACAATGGAAAAGCATGTTAACGTTAACTTCACTCGGATGAAATTTGTACAGAGACAAAAACCTGGAAAAAGGTGATCCCAGAATGAACAAGAAAATATAAAACAATAAATAAAAGTGATTAATACTAAATACAGTTTTCAAATATGTATATAACGGAGAAACGGCAAAATATGTATTTACTATGGTATTTACCTATGCAGCTTCGAACGTAAAATCATATCCATTCGCAATACTCGAGGTTACTTACCAGATTGTTCACTGTCCGTGGAAGACGTTTCCGCATCCTCTTCCAAACCCCCAATTCCTAAAAACATTTTCGGTTGTTCCAAATCCGTTGCCAAAGCTGACCGCAGCAGTCGTCGGTATTACTGTAATTTTACTGGAGTAAGCCGGTAAACAAATTAAACAAAGCCAATTCCGCGCACAGCGAAAATTGTGAAACTACAGAGTATTACTGTGCTCTACCGTTATCATAAATTCTGTTTTACCAGCACTGGAAGGACTGCGGTCGGTTGAAAGACGAATTTTTTTCGATTTGGCCTTCCCGTTAGTCTCTCTGGAATCCCTTGGTGGTTCCGTTATTGCCCCGTTCTGTTTCTCAGAGGAACTGTCATCGTCTTCAGCCGAGGTTGACTCTGCGGAATTTTCCGCAACTAGCGCATTAAATGAACACATTCATACAAGTCTACTCGGTCTAAAGGCGTAACGAGTTCACGAATCTTTCAAGTTCATGCACTAACACTAACACGCGGCATCCAAAACACCAAAGTACAGGCTGAAAATAAACTGTGAAAAAATAATATTCAAAATTAGAACTGATTCCACAGAACAGGCTAGGGATTTCTTCACTATTTTCGCTTCATGTACTCGTACACAACAGGTAGTAAAGTCACTAAATTAGTATTGACGCCGCCGTTGTTACCTAAATTAGTTGTTACGCCGCCTAAGGAATAGAACAAAAATGGAAACTACGTCAACCAACCTTCCAACTGCGCAGCCTATCAAACAGCTAAACTGCTAAGTGTGGATAACACTCAGCTAAGTACAGTTTTAATAAATTCATGAAGTTTCCAGGAAACTAATGTTTCCAGTTGCATCGTTCGCAAACCGTAATATTATTATCTTCATAATTATGTGCACAAGTAATGATTACCCCATCTGAAGATTCTGAACCATTTTAATAAGAGACCCCTCAGAACTGAAAAATTCGAAATAACTGCCCCTTCGACAGTAATTCAAGCCCCGCTCTGTACGCTAAACGGAACAGATACGGTATCTGTCTGCATAATATCTGAGCGCAAAGACGTTTTAAAACTGGCAAATAATCGAAAACATTTCAGTGCACTGACCATTGTCAATTCGTCTTTCGGGTATGGTGATTCTTTTACGTGCAGTTTGACGTTGGCCACCGTCTGCCATTCCATTTCGGAGAGGTGAATGCCTCGGACGAATTTCTGATCCCGTAGACCTTGATGATTCCGCAGCAGCTACTCGCTGCCTCTCGAATCTTCGATGGGCTATGAAAAATAAATCGCTTAGAATAAAAAGAAAACACTTTTCTTCCACCTCGACTTTTCTTGCTCACGTGTCAGATCGTTTTGCGTGGTAACAGCGGCCTCTTCCATTGACGTGGCATCGGTATCACTGCCTTCCGAGCTCGATGTCAAGACAGGAATATCTTCGAACCTCTGAACAAACCAGCTGTCAATAAATTCCGCTGGCACCCATGCAGACGCTTCACTGAAATAAAAAAAAGGAAATACTATAAACACATACACAACAACATACACAAAATAATATTATAAAAAACTTACAAAAATTGCAAAAACACAACTTCAGGCTAAAAAAAGGGGGTTTAAAGCGAGGAGATACCGAAAAACTCAAAACTATATCGAAAACGCAAAAACCTGTAGAATACTAGCCAATAGCCATTAACAAAACCTATTTATAAAGTTGCAAATAAAATACCCGCTAGTATTCAGGAAATAAATTTGAAAAAAACTGCCAAAAATAAATCACTCATGAACAATAAAGTCTGAATAGTACTGATTAATCGGTCAAAATCAGTCGAATGCAGCCGCTGTTTGGTCGAATTTTTAAAACAGCCCTTACAGAGGTTCTCCACTCCATTGCACAAAAAATTCCATTTGCGAGGCACCACTTGTCGCGGGTAAATGGCTTCGTCGCTTAGCCAGCAATTTTTCCACAGTCCAATTGGGACAGCGGAAAGCGGGATGCTCCGGAGCGGTGCTAGTGCAGGCGGCAGAATTCTCGTCTTCAGAATCCGAACTTGGAAAATTCATCGTATATTTGCGCCTGCGTTTAGGCTTCTGTCAAAATAAGTCAAATGTGAAATTTAGTCAAAAACAAGAACGAGCAAGGTTCAAAAACTCGTCGATGCTGCGATTAGTGCGGCCCATCACAAAAATGCTGAAATGTGCAAATGCCCACATTAACAGAGTTAAATAATCCCAACCAGCCAGTAACCTGACTATTAAAATAACTCCGTTTCTAAATACGAACTAGTTCAAGCTTCCATTAAATTCGACGTACGGCCATCCAAGTCCACATTTTTTAACACGTTACTTGTAACTTGCCTTCATCGGTTTCCTCTTCGAAGACCCCGAAGTACCAAACTCTTCTCCCGACGAAGAATCGTTTGAGGACATAATGGCTCTCAAGATCATCATAGCGTTTTCAAAACATTTCAAATTTACTGAGTAAGAGCATCCAGTGAATGGATAATGCGCTTTGGTTCACCTTCGCAATAGCTTGGCTGGGATTCTGTGATATCATTATCCAAATATTACTCCTTGAGTCGATAATGTCTAGTTCAGATATAAAAACAAACGTTCCAAAAACTAAGTGGTCAAAGCAGCAAGATAAACGACGTGCGAAATCGGAACACCAAAGGACTGTTTACGGGAAGACGAACAATTTTCAATCAAAGTTACTTCGATAACCGAATGAAAGATCACTCAGACTCACACAACTCGAATTAAAGCAATCTGTCAATCCCGCATCCATTAGAACATTCGATAAATTACAAACTCTTTTCGTTACTTTGCGTAAGCACCTCGAGGTACAAATACTGAATGCTGGTTTGTCCTAATTCATCAACAATTATGCCAAATTGGCTTATTCCTGATATTCGAACCAAAAATTATTTGTATGTAAGTAAGTACTTAATTTGGGCCAAAAAATTTGGAAAGCCGAAAGCTGTAGTTTTCTGTTTCCCACGCAACCTACCTCACCTGGCTGCTTGGGGTTTTAATTCGAGGTTTCGTAACTTCTAAACGGTGCCGGTGGCGCATCAGCAGAGGCGAACACCCGTAAGCGGGAAACCGCGAGAAAAAATAAAGTTTTACTGTACTAAATTAAGATTTAGGGAGGCTAATGATATTACGACAGCTTTTAAAAAAAGAACGAAAAAATCATAGGTAAAACTTACAAGGGTGAGTGATAATAAGCTGAACTAGTGAAGTAAATTCCTAGGTTATCATTAATATCTGTGAGATTTTAATATACTTACATACCCGGCCCACGAATTTCTCCCGCAGCTTCCGTATTATTTGTTCACAGCATCCAGTACGTCTCCGATGGCTGCGGGCTTTTTTTATGAAAGTACCATCTTTTACCTACTTACCTACTACAATATTATGCTGGAAGACATTGTAATAATTCTGATCTGTATTTATTTGCAAAAGCGCGCAACTGAAGGATTTATAATAGACATACGTTATATCTATACAAGAAACCGCTGCGGCTTCGCCTCCGCGTTTCTTGTGATCCACGGCCGCTTTGAACAGATCATTCCGTTTGCAGTAATTCGTTAATACTCGTAAATTCACTAACTGCCTTAGCAGTTATTGTAGAACTTCTTAGGTAAGGAGTCTAGCTCGGTCCCTCACTGGGTTAGCAACTTTGTTCGCTGGACAGTGGTAGCTCGGTCACTCACTCATCTAGCGATTTTGTTCACTGGACAGTGGTGGTAGCTCGGTCACTCACTCACGGTGTCACCTAGCGATTTTGTTCAGTGGACAGTGGTGGTAGCTCGGTCACTCACTCACCTAGCGATTTTGTTCAGGGGACAGCGATGGTAGCTCGGTCACTCACCTAGCGATTTTATTCACTGGACAGTAGTTGTAGCTCGGTCACTCACTCATCCAGCGACTTTGTTCACTGTTCACTAGACAGCGGTGGTAGCTCAGTCACTTACTCATCTAACAATGTTGTTCACCTAGGGTAGCGATTTATTGCTCGGTCATCACTTAGCTAGTGATTTCGTTTTGTTCACTGGACAGTGGCGGTAGCTCAGTCACTTACTCATCTAGTTTTGTTCACTGGGCAGTGGTGGTAGCTCGGTCACTCACTCACGGTGTCACCTAGCGATTTTGTTCAGGGGACAGCGATGGTAGCTCGGTCACTCACCTAGCGATTTTATTCACTGGACAGTAGTTGTAGCTCGGTCACTCACTCATCCAGCGACTTTGTTCACTGTTCACTAGACAGCGGTGGTAGCTCAGTCACTTACTCATCTAACAATGTTCTTCACCTAGGGTAGCGATTTATTGCTCGGTCATCACTTAGCTAGTGATTTCGTTTTGTTACTGGACAGTGGCGGTAGCTGGGTCACTCACTGCCTTAGCAGTTGTGTTCACTGGCTTTTGTTTCCTTCGAAACCTGGGCTAATTCAATCATGGTTCGGGAATCGGATTTTTTAAGCATTTGAACATTGAACATTTGAACAGCAATCAGGAGATTAAAATTCAGCATGTTTGCAAATAAAATAACTACAAATTTATTGTAGTACATACTTAACACTTTTATAAATGTTCTAAGCAACTGGCACTGCTATTATTCTCAAGGTCTCCTTGAAAGCTTTACCGAAGCCTGTTTTGCCGAAACCGGCATCGGTGGGACGGGTTTAAATAATTTTTTTAAGAAATAAAATGCATGTGACACAGTTTCTGAACATGCTGAATCTAATGACGTTTGCAGTTTTTTTTTATAGGTTCTGGTTTTTCCGATCTCGTTGCCTCATCTTTTTTTGTAGTTATATTATAGATCTAGTTCCTTGATATGTAAATATGGCACACGCAAATTTGTCGGTGACCTTTACGGGTGTGAATAATGTTCCCGCTGGCGTATGCTAGTACGGTATTTTTTTTAAGGCGAAATACATGTACTAGTAACGTAACATTCAATTGTCTTGTAACTGAACATACTGAAGTGAGTGTGAGCGGGGGTGGCTAGTTACTGTAGACGTAGCGTTAATATAAACTGCTTATAACAAAGACTCGTTAGATCATTGATCAGGACAGCCATTTCTGTAAGACACGTGATTATTTCAAAAATATTATACAGTTCTGACTGGGAAGCCGACGACATCAATTTCATCCAAATCGAAAAGGAAAACGACGTGGAAATATGTTACGTGGTTCCACTTCTTGGGCTGACGATGCAGGGCGATCGTTGAATGTATTCCAGTTAGATACTTGTCGTAAGGGCACATTCTGCGGCATCCTGAATGTGTCCCCCTCGCGGCCGACGTTGGTTGTTTCGACTGGCTTATCCAAATCGCTTGTTACCATCGTTGCGTACTCCGGTTGCTGCAAGGCGAGGTCACGAAGCAATTTGTTTCGCCAGTTCTGGTATTCCTTAATGCGTGAGTCCAGTCTACCGATTGTCACTATATCGTTCCTGGTCTTTTGCAAAGCGACAGCTCGCTGCACATCGTCAGCTTTGTAGAGCCTTATGGCAGATGTCTGCAAACCTGATTTAATACGTCGCGTCAGTTCAAATTATAAAAACAACTATCAGTACAATAATAAGCCTTTAGGATTGTTTATACGTAGTACGCAGAAATCTTGTGAAGCCTTACCGAGTGACAGTATAATTGCAATGATAGTGATACCGGTGTTTCCGTTCAAAAACCATATAGCCTTTTTATCCATATCACCTTCCAAAATCAGGAGACAATTTTAACCTTATCACATGCCGATTTCAACAGAAGTAATGCAACAACTAGAAATTTTCAACGCTGTTTTTATACACTATCCGGAACAGAAAAGTTGTGCATGTAATTGATTTATCTGAGATCCATAAAGTAAACACCATAGACATTGATACTGTGGGTCATCGATTTTAAGCAATCGCCTAAGATTCCGTCAGTTGTGTGCGTAAATGCATAATTACAAAGACACGCTCATATCGCGGGACGAAAGTGGAATACTCCAACAAGTATCCAGAAATCAGAATCTCAGACGATGCTTATGTGGTACAAAATTGCACTCGGGTAACGCACTTGTTCACTCCTGTGTAAATATCTGCGTAAGGAAACATTTTTTACGTGCGTAAGCTATTGAATAAAATCTATCATAACACTTTTAGCCAATCCCTTGCCAATAAAGACGAGACTGACGGCGATTGTACGGATCGCGAGATACTGTTCGTAATAAGGAATCATTTAAAATGGGGAAAATGATCTCCACGGGAGTCTAAGTTCAGCGTCATTATAACAAAATATTCATAGAAGTATGCTGTATTTCTCTTTTCATACTGTATAGCAGACAAAGCTGAACAATAAAGCTCCTTGAACTGCGCCGGAAAAACAAGCTCCGGTCAGCCATTTACAATTTGAAATCACCGAAAAACGCAAACGACAGAAAATACCGATCTGTCGAGATATCACACTATGTCAGGACCAAAAAATTTATAAATTGTCACAAATGCAAATCCATCAAACTTCAACTGAACATCAACATCTGATGTGTTCTGGTATATTCGTCCAGCACTTTATTGACCTTGTCACCACTTTGCGGTGTGCGCTGATCTCTTAATAATTTATCCACATCATCCAGCATTGTTGTTGATACTCTGCTGGTAAAGGGACCGATTATCAGCCGCAGTGCTGCCAGATCAATTTGACCCTACAATAATATAACGTTACAACGTCGGTCGGCATTCTTATAACGTCACAACGTTAAAATTCAACAATTACTGAATGCTTTCCTCAAGTAAAACAAAATTTTCAGAAACGTGTTCTGCCATGTTTTCGTCTAAAATAACTTTATACAGCGAAACGATATTATAGAACTGCTTTTTGAACTGATTTGAATGTTTGAATTGATTAATTTTTGAATTGATATATTTTGATTATAGATTTCAGCATGCTTTTCGCTGCATGAAAGTGCAAGGGTTACCTGGATCACACCATTAACGTTAAAGCCAGACGCAACAAAAAATAAGCGGTTGACTTCCTCGCAAACTTTAACGATGATTCCTTTCATGATATTGTCACTTAGGTCCTCATCGCTGACAAATACGCATAGCTCCTCGTACACCGCATTCAGATCGAAAGCAATCCTTGTGATGTAGGCATTCACTTCTGAAAAAAACCAACATAGATTAAACTGCTGCCAGTCGGCATTCTTATAACGTTACAACTGCAGGGTCCGCATTTGCGTGTCTCTAGAAAAGTCTACTGTGCCATAATTATTCGTACAGATATTTTCAAATTTTTTTCGTAGATTGTGTCAAAATTAATCTGAAACTTTAGCGAATAATAATCCGTTACCCTGTGGCTCAGAAGCGTGTTTCCAGTCAACACCGTAATCAATCATGTGCTTTTCAATAACTCCAATCACTGGTTCCGCTTTTGTCTCCACAAAGGATTTGGCCAGATCAGAAACGAGTTCATTATAACGATCAGTTATCGTCACTTTGAAGGAAGCTTTGGATTCCGGAATATTACTGTCCAACATCTTAAACAAGCGTGGAAGGACTTTCTTCAGCAAGGTTTGAGCGGACATGAGAGCAAATAACGCCACAACTCCCTGTCCCAACGCAAAATATGTCATATTCTTATAGCAAGGAAGGTCAAAGTTTACACAAGCACAACAATTACCATTTAGAATACAACAAACAATACCTAGTACTGCCGGTGCAAATGAAGAGTGAGGTACGTACATTAACACTAAAAATTTAAGGAAGGGAATATAATGGCTAATTTATTCTTTTTACCGTGCCGCTGTCACCAAAATCGTGCAGTGTGTCGACTGGGACGTTAAACAATCGCGTCCAGTTGTTCAGTATTGCATCCACCAAGGCTGAGTCGTTTAGAATATTAATGTTGTGTATTTTATCCTCGGCCAAATACTGCTTGGTCATGCCTAACGTTTTTACGGCAATGGTCGTAAACAGTTCCGGCATTTTCGATGCCAAACGTAGAACTTTATCGGGACGCTCGGACGCATTTGTAGCAATTGATTCCATCTCTATAAAAAAGGAGGAATATTAAGTACAACATAATTGTTCAGCGCTCTGTCATGCCAAGCCTAAATGCACCTGCAGCACCACGTTCCAGAACAGCTAACACCAACGCGCGCTTTAACTGCATGATAAGCTGCTTCAGCACAGCAGCGCCTTCCCCATGGCCAGTTAACGCTTTCCTAACGTCTTGAATGGCTAAAACCGCAGAATAAAAGTCTTCCGGTTTTATTAAAGTCTCCTTTGGCCGCACCGCACACTGGACGATAGCGACAAAGTTATGCACGGTCTCTACGACCATCTCGCGCTGCCTGTTATATTTCACAGGATCAACCACTGCCGTGACATCCTTCCCGCTTTCCCGCATTTCTGATTGGAAAAACGCTTCGGACAGCCGCAAAAAATGCCGAACACCTTTTACCATATGATCACTGAGCACTTTGAGCAATTGGCAAACAGAAGCGGAATCCGTAATAGCTTCGGGCTTTTCCCGATTAACGGAGGTAGCTCCTTCAATATCGGACGGCACATCAAAATCTAAGTCAAAAGGTGACGCCACATGAATTTGAAAATCAATGTGCAGGTACGCTTTGGTCTGGAGGGACCGTTGAACATCTGCAACTGCTGCGCCGACGTCGGCAAAATAAAAACTGTAAATCTCGAACATCTTTTCCATAATGTACAAATGAAGGGTGTTAATGCAGTCCCAACCGGGATCCCCGGTGTCCTCCAGTTCCGCCAAATTACGACACAGCATGATCTGCTTATCCACGTCCCCGGGCATAACTCTGAGCTCTTCACGCAAACTGGATCGTAATGAGTCAATCTTGGCTTCCACTTCTCGGTAGACATTTTGCAATACTCGCACCTGACTTTTACCGATCATACTTTGGAACTTCCGGAAATCCGCCATGATGGCACGATAATTTCGCAGTCGAATGCTCTTATGGATGCTGGACAATAAATCGAAGAAATAGTGAAAGCGCTGTACAGTGGAAATTGAATGCCGGTAGAATTCAGTTTTCTGCCGGCGTCTGAATACTGCTTCATAGGTATAATTCGACAAGTCGCGCGCATTGGACACTTTCTCCACCAAGCTGTCGACGTTTTCCACAAACTTCTCGCTATCTTCAGCAAAACGAACTTCCAGATGGTCCAGTGTATCGATGCATTCAAAATATGAGCCCAAATGGCCCTTAAGGAACACGACAGAACCTGAAATTACAATCAAGCAAACGTTTCTAAACGGTGGCAATCAAATAATTTTGAAAGCTATTTAATAGTCAGTTACGCTCCACAGTCAAAACAGCCAATCAAAGATTTCTGCTTCTAATTAAATTAGCAAAAGTCTTGATTTTATTAACTAAGCTGCATGATTCGATACGAAAATTCACTATGCTGAATTTTAAGAGCACAGGAAACTGAAAATCTATCTAATTTCACCTTCAGACTGTTGTTTGCTTTGCGTCTGCATATGCCGCAGTCCATGTTTTAAATCTTCCAGAGTAGCTCCACCGTGATTTTCCAATAGAAACCAAGCAGAATTAAAATTCTCCTGGGTTATATTGCCAGAACCTATAAAAAAAACTTAAAAACTTTCGAGCGCTGCATGGCCATCTGGAGCAAATCTTCAGAAATTAAGTGTGCACATAACTACAGTACCTTCCGGAAACATTTCCAGTAACTGTTCTTCCTTGAAGATTTCTTTAGTTTGCTCGTCGGACAGTGCCAGTGGATCTTGCCCTTCGGCAAGTCCAACCGGAGACTGTGGTTGATTGCCAGCTCGTCCATCTGCAGGAGTACAAAAACACTGTTTACCAAAAATTGGCCAAAACAAGCAGACTAAATAAATAACAAAATAGTATCTATATCATAACCTTAACTCTTTCCATTTTTGTTACGATGTACAGAGTATTCACGTCCATATTTAATCAACGCCACAATGTTTGAAAAATAAGCAAAACAGAGATAATACGACGAAAAAATTAATGTGCTAAAATAGACTATATTGTAACGAACGTCGACATTTTAACTTCACCAAATCCCGACACAATTCGCACAATTTCAAAAATACCTGCAAATCTGGATTCATCGATCCAAACAGCGCTTTCTTTGGTCGGTCCTATACTATCAACATAGCCTCGAAACTGCACCGTCGACGTCCCTCTGCCTCCTGAAAATCAATATAAATTTGAACGAAATAAATTGCTGAAAGCCAATCCCACGCTGAAAGACGCAATTGTTTACGTATGCATTTTCGTTGTTACAAAATAAAATAAAAAAATAAACAATGCTTCACATACCAGATTTGGTGGTAATCACCACATCCCCAATACCTTGCCCATTTCCAGAACGACATAAAATTTTACTAGGACTCTGCCACTCTGCTTGGAAGACGCACTCCGCCCCGCAAATCAGCACACTAATCAAGTCATTGGGCTGCGCTCCAAAGTTTTCACCGCGGATAACAATACGGGTTCCAGGTGGGCCCTCTTTGGGAGATAGCCCAGTCACTTTCGGTGGAGCGCGAACCATTTCAAACGGTTGCAAGCTGGAAGGAAAATTCTATATACTGTACTTCACTTTCTGGTGCAAATTTATGTTTACTCAGAACACAGATAAGAAAAAGACGTATGTAGGAGAATGTCTGCAGTTTACAAAAAAAAATTCCGAGTCTTTTTTACAAAAAGTCTATTCGTATGATACAGTAAGTGATTTTACCTACACGTGTTTATCCGGGGCGTTCGCCGTATTTTCTGCACGTAATGTAACTTCGTAGGCGGTAGGCATATGCACAGCCTATGAAATGAAAGTGCCCTACCGCCCTGTATCATAAACTGAATCTTATTACTTATTCAATTGTTACACAATTAAAAAAAAGTTACACATTATAATATAATTATACTAAGATCGTCGAGAACTGGCAAAAACGTCATGGATGTCAAAAAAATTGCTCGGAGCGTATCTGACTGCATTTCACGAGGTGTTCAAGTAAGTGTCATAATTACTGTGCGTGAGCCCACTATGCTGAAGAAGCGAAGCTTACAGCTTGCATGGCGTTTGCATGGCGTCGTGGATTAAGAGTATGTGCATTCGATGAATTCTGGAGTACGTTAAACCTGCTGATGTTGTTTTTTCCTCACAGAGAACCGAAGAAAAGCTAACCCATGTCCTTACTACACCCATCGCCGAAGACGTTCAACAGAAAATCATCAATCTAAACAATACGGCGGAGAGAACCGCTCACATCGTCAAATATGTCGAAAAGGTCATCAAGCCTTTCCGAGGCAAGAATAATTAAGCCGTGAAATGTTCCTTTCCATGCACACTGTGAATACAAATTTACCGCCCCCAAAACTTCTAGAGCAAAGCAAGGAATTTTATATTTATGATTCCACTCCTGGATGCACAACAGCGGAAAAATATAATCCCCATATGCAGTTAGGAAGAGCGTTGGGTGCGGCAGTTCCCGGAGTGATCGAGGAAAATCAGGAATTTGGTGAGTGCACAGCTTCTTCCCGTATAAAACAACATTATTTTTTAGTTTCTTTCAGGCAACATTCTCTCTGTTCTGGGAAAATGTGAGGAGGATTTAGGTTATGAAGAGCTGAAACATGTGAACCGCACGGCAGAAATAATATTGCGTCCCATGAGAGATTTTCTACGACAAAACCTACTGCAAGCATCGGTGAAAATCGAAAATTTAAAGTTCAAACAAACTTTGCAAATTTAATTATGTTAAAGATATACTAATTTTACATTTATTTACGCGGATACTATTAACTTTAAAGTTACGTTTGCGTGGTTCGACGATAAACTGAGTTGTTCTGGTGCTTTTCTTTTTGTAGAAAGAAAAACACAGTTTAATTAACCGGCGCTTGGATCTGGATGCTGCGAAGGGCCGTTTAAAGAAAGCCAAAACACAAGACCAAATTGCCGCGGTAATTATAATACTCTACAACCACAAACGTAAAAACTGTGCAAACATCACGACAGTTTTTTGCCAGGCAGAAACTGCTGTCCGGGTGGCTCAAGTGGAATTCGACCGGCAAACCGAGATCGTCCGTATTGTACTAGATGATGTGGAACAATCACAGGGTTCTCAATTATCTGCTCTAGTACAGTTTCTAGAAGCTCAGTTAGATTACCACCGTGACGCATTGTCCGTGTTGGAGAAACACAAAGCGCTCATGAGCAAGTTAGATCGTCGAACCTAATTCTGTTCTTTAGGAGACTCCTGTTTAATTAAAAGTATTTTATGACCTTTTCAGCAAGCACAACATGAGTAAATCAAACGAATATGCCAGATCACAGACATCAACAAAACCGTATAAGCCAACACCAAAAAGCCCCAAAGTGGAAACTATCGATGCCGATTTTGTGATGGCAAAGGTCAACCAAGACTACCTACCCAAGCGGACACAGGAAGTGGCGGTCCGTACGGGAGAAACAGTTAAAGCGTTCGATATCAATCCGGGTAACGAAAATCCTGATCACTGGATGTATGTGAAACGAGTGGATGGCATGCAAGGTTATGTACCTATGCACATATTAGAAGCCATACAATAATCATCAACACGTGCATCAAATCTGTTTCATATCCAGTTATCGCCTGATTAATGCCGGTCTTTTGTTCCCTTCCTGTTTTTACTTTAAAATCGGTGTCATAAACCGATCAATACAAACTAAATCGATTTCGCTATTTTCTTGGCTAATATGAGCGCAAACCTGGAAACAGCTCGTACAGTACGTACCATCAACTGTAGTATGTTTTTAATCGCGTAATATTTATTGTACAATACATCCAGTCATATTGTTGGCTCCCTGAATCATGATTCACGAACCATGAAAGCGATCCAGTTTCGGCAAACAAATAGCTGGATGGCCATCCATCGTAACTTGTCAAAAATGTTTATCTATGGGTTACATAACTTCCGAGACAAAATTGTAATACTAACCCTAAAAATGAGCCGGGTTAAAAACGACAACGAAAGTTTGGACAAATTGATCATGAATCTTTTCTTACATATCACGGAAGTCCATGTACACGTGTATAATGCGTTTATTCAAAAAACGATACAAAAAAATGCACGAAATATAATTGCCGCAGATTAATGAACGAATTACATGAAGTATAAAATCGATAAAACGTCGTTGCCTTTAAAAGGTTGTAATACAAAAGTAGTTCATGATGTAAATTTGAGAAGTGTAAGCCTGATATTATGTTATGTCATAAATGGGTAAGCATCGCTCGTCTTAAACACACATGCAACTGCAATACTCCGCGAATAACCAATTTCCGATAACAATTCGACAACACAACGGCAAGCAAGGTAAAGAATTATCAGCCAAACTGCGCCATCGTATGCTTGACTGCATAGAATCTGGTGACATTCCTATAAAATTGGTCTTGAACCAATGGCGCTGAAGATAATCGTAATTCATCAGCAAGTGGGTGTTATTGCTACGGATTCAGGGCGTCATTTCGTATGCGTTTTGCTAAACAAGCGGCGAGGACAATTCCGAGTATCTGAAAAAAATTCGAGCTAATTAGAATTTCATACAATTTATACAGTCGTGCTACCGTTTGAGCATTGCGCTTTGTACATGTATGTACTATCAGTATCAGAAATACTGCAATGATTACATTTCAAGTAGCACTGAAACGGTTATACCGCGGTTGCTACAAGGTCACTGTTCTAACTTTTAAACATTTCGATATATATACGAGTGCTGTACTTGAAATGCGGCAACTCCTAAACCGATTCCTCCAATTGCGCCAATGTTTTGACTGAGGTAATCTTCCGCAACAACAAGGCAACCCTATCAAACAAACCTTATTCAAATATTGCACGATTTTAATTTTTAGGGCCTTTTGATTTGCTTGCACTGTACCTTTGTGTTGATAGGGCAATTATTCCTTATTTCTGCTTCACAGTTTCGAATTATGTCGGCTCTCTTATTAGCACAGCCTGGTTTACGGATATCCTCTCGACAACAGGAATCGGGGATCGTGGTTGGCCAGTCGGCGTAGCTTTTAACTCCGCAACATTTGAACTAAAGAAATTTGACTGTTACCACTGTGGTACCTTATGCCGTACATGCCGGTCATCATTTGAAATTGTTCGATTTGAATCTCGAATAAATCAACAAATCAACGTTACGTTTAAAATTAAACTAGACGTTTAGGTGATAGATATTCTGAAAGTTTTGCTATATATGATTATACAAAAAGAGTTAAAAATTAGTTTGTAAGATCATAATTGTACTGATTAGTTTTGCTATCTGTAGAAAGGGAAAATTACTGCATTGCTACTTCAAGCAAAATCGATAGGGTAAAGCTGTGCATTTACTTGCGGCGATAGCGTTTTCTTACGTCGTGTTGCACGAAGTCCCATAGCTTTGCCTGTTCTTCGGTTCTTGGAGTTCTAGTTCCCGCATCACCAATGGACGCATTCATATGGGCTTCAATATACTGACGAACCTAATAAATTGCAAGATCAGGTAATGTGGGTATTTAATGTGGATATCTAATGAGTAAATGCAGGTAATGTGGATATTTAATAGGAACTTTATTGGTTATTCAAAACTTCTTTGTAATAGAGTTTAGTGTTTATGTACCGTTGCTCGTTCAATATATGCCGCAATGACTCCAGATATCTCCAGTAAAAAGACGATCGTCAACAAACTGGCAAACTACAAATTAAAAAAATCAATCATGACTGGTAATCTGCAAAATCGTATATTTACGGTTTTATATTAACTTTTTATTTAGTCCTGGATCAGGACTCCTGATTCATCTCACTGTCCTTTTCCTTACGCCAGGCCATGTGTAATATTAAGCGATATACACTTCTGCAGCCGGCAAGAGCGCTTAAAAGGATACTACCCAAGGGTTAATAATTAGGTATCTGGTAATTACTCAGTTACTGCATTTCCGTTTCAAGTTGATTACATAGTCATATCAATGTATCAATGCTAACATTATTTATGATCTAACGGTTATATTTTCAAAAAAATATGAATATGAAACCGCGCGCATACGAGAATGAGAGTCCATGGTAATAACTTGCAAACTCCAAAGCAGCCAAATGCTGCAATCAGGAACATTACGCATCCGGCAATTATCAGGAGCAGCGGAGCAACGAAGAATTTGATTCCCATGCCGTGGAAGTAATGATTGTAATGCACCTGGTTAAAAACAACTATTTTAGCAGGCTCGGAAGCATTAACTCGTATTCCGGGGAAAACTGTAATAAACCAGCAGTTGCAGAGGCAATATGCTGCACGCAACCGTTATACACAGTTGCTATTGCACAAGGATAATGCGCATTATCTTCGGCATTTTGCAGTTGTTGTTTGTGCGTACCTGGACAATAGTCCCACCAACCACTAGCGCCAATCCGCATAGCTATAAATAAACCACGGAAACATTCAGATCGATGAAAACCATAATAGCGCATTGATTGCGCTAAAGGCATTTTTATTTGTGGCGGTTGCAAATTTTACTCGATAAATGTAGACATTTCCATTTGACCTTTGCAGTCAAAAATATTTGTAGGGTTTGCCATTATTAATTTTTTGAATGTTGTTAGAGCTGCACACTTTATGGAGTCATACACTACATACAAGAATTTAAAGAAAGATAATCTTGAGAATAATTTCTGGTTTCTATCGCCTATCGATTCTCAGGAAACCATAGAGTAGTTATTACAATATACAGAGTATATAAACAAAAATCCATTAAAAACGCTTGAAGATTGGTCTGATATTTTCCCATCGATCCTTCACAGCTGTTCATTTGCATTTACTCAGTATCAATCAATGCCGAGTGCACGTGTGAACATGCTCCCCGGGACCCTTCGACTTTACTTATATCAAGAATACGATGCCGTAATGATGCCTGCAAAGGCTGTTCTTATTTAATTAAAATCTTCAACGACTAATTTACAGCAACTGCATCATGCTTGCATATGGGCAGGCTGGCCATCGTTAAGGTATCGAAACAAAGTTAAGGTAAGTATTATTTTTTAAAAGCGGTTACCAGTTTTGTAGTACAAATTTGAAATCTCTTTTTAAATATTAGTGGTGTCATGCGAACACACCTTTTATGTTTTGACGGCTATTGCCCAATAGGTAATAGGTAGATATAATCTAACATGTACATTTAAATGCTACTGCAATGGTGACAACAGAACCAGATAATTTATAAATAAACAAAGTTTAATAAAATACATCGGGCTGTCGCCGGCTGCTGTAGAACAAACGCACAAGAATACTTATTTATATGGCCGCTGACCATGAGAAATGAGAATATCGGCTAATTTGAAGTACATCACAGTATTTAGAAGACAAACATTAACTACGAAAAACGTTTAACGAGTATTTTTTCAGCGCATCCGGTTTGATGAACAACCACTGGAATAACGTTATAATTACAAAACCAATTATTTTAAAACAGCAAATTTTGGGTAAAAAACCGGAGTACACATACAAGCATGTACACTGGCAAGCCAAAATTTATGCAAAATAAGAAATACGTGAATATCAAAAACGTAAAAAAATTATTATTGCCCTTTAAAATTACGCTTTTGCATTTCGAGTGACTTACCATCAGGAGAAAATTAAAGAGATAAACAAGGACCTTAAGCCCGGTGTGACCCCCCATCATTATACAGCTAATCGGGTTGTAAAGGGATGCGAAAAAACACTACAACAATCCCGCGCACAAAATGTGCCACTGTATGCCTTTCCAATCAATCAGTACTGTTTACTCCAGATTCGGATGAAGTGAGTCCCAGGGATGGCTACGATCATTCACAAAGCGTGTGTAGAAGAGCAGTCACGGCGAATATGGAAGCTGGCGATAAAATGGGTTAGTGATGAACATGAAGCTTAGCACACGGAGAAGCGCTCTGCGGTACAGGACAGATGGATGCAGCAGCACACGCGGCTCATCTTCAGCTGTGTGCCAGTGAATGAAATGGCATGGGAGCCGCCATTTCATCCCATTCCGTCCGCTGCGGAATTGCCTGGGAGAGGGGGATAGAGGCGACGATCGATAGGTGGCCGGAACCGAACCGGGCTATACACACCCCAGTGCGGCAGTGCTGCAAGTCGAAGAGAGGCCAGCTGGTCCATTAATGATAGCCGTCCAATGTTCGGGAATGAAAATTAGACAACCGAGCATCATTATCCACCCGCTATTGATTTTTATTCCGCCGTAACTGTGGAAAACAGCTGCATCTTCTTACCGTCTACCTATGTGCACGTAATATGATACCATGTGCGAGTAAATTTTGTTTGTAAAGGTTAAGGAATTCTGCCGAATAATATTTTTAAAGTTTTATCTTGTGTCGGCAAATGATCGTATATCTGGTTAAGGTACTTGTACATGTTAAGAAACATGTATAGCGCAACTCAAGAGTCGGAAATTGGGAGAAGGTACCAGTAAATCAGTAAATTTTTACTACTTGACGTATGCTTTTATCATTTAATTTTTATCAAGAAAAAAATTTGAAAATTCAAGTTTTAGGACTGTGCTATATTATTCTATATTATTTTATCCCGATACTTTGAATGGCAAAGCGAAATGCTTTTTCCAATTGGATCTAGCTACGACACACCCATTTTCCAAAAAATTTATAATTGTAAGCAAAATTATCTATAAAAATAATTGTAAGTTTAATTGTAAGTTTAAACTGATTATAATAATATTATTGTAAATAAAATTAATAGTATAGTCAGAAAAGATTACCGTTATTAAGACTTGGGAGGAATTACAACGTTTTTCTATACGCTGCTACTCTCTCACCATATTATTAAAAACCCTGATAGAAAGTAATACAATCAATGTAACTATGAATTTTACCGACAACATAAGTCACTTTGTAAATGACCGATACATATTGCTATCCATGATTTGATACAACTAATCTTCCAAAAGGTGTCAAACGTTTCTCTAGACAAAACCAATAATTAATGCACACGCAATACATAGTAACTAATATTATGTCGGCAAGCAGTCAATCAAAAGTCGTATTGCCAGACACCACGCAACACGATCCCAAAACAATAAAAACTCTCATTAGAATTTAAAATCTAGCTCTTGGCTTTTCACCCTTGACAAACTGGTTCCCGTCAAGGAAATATGTCGGCCGTTTTTTTCTAGCCGAACCATGATCCTTTGGTAGTTGTGCTGGGCCTATCGGTGGATCCGCAGCCAAATTTGTCCACATAGTACACTTTGTACTTGTATGTCAGGCTATAAAATTGTGCAACTGTAATTATCATCCAGGTGAGCAAGTGATGCGGAAAACTTTTGGCACCGTGGCGCGCGGCTAGTACTCTGCATGTGCTAGCAAATGACAGTTGTAAGTGCTTACATTTGACCACCCTTTGGATAACGCGGTATGCACTGCTGTTCCGGACTCCAGCTGGCGGAAAATTCATCGCGGGCCGGATCACGGTTGATCACACAGTCGAATTCATTGATAATGGCATTGGATGTCAGCATCTTCTTGTCTTCAACGTGCACACGGAGATTTGCTTCCTATATTAGAACAGCCTGGTAAAGCGAAGGCGATTTATAAAAAGGTCACACTTCTGCGAGTTACCGCCATAAGAAAGAAACAGATAAAATGGTTTATTAATATAAAATCACAAAAAACACTCAATCAGAAAAGCGAAAAACAGTGGCAGAACACAGATTTCCGCATGCCTAAGCTTGATTTCCGCATGAGGTAATGTTTTACCCACTACGCACTATCAGAAGTGACATGACACACAAAGTCACAAGTGCTTGCACGATTTGCGCTTTGCTTATGAGAAGACTTTGTTAATTTGCATGGTAGCCTCAAGCAATATGCGTTTTCCGAGTATGTATTCTCATTTAATCATTTACTGTAAAAAATTTTCGTACGAACCTTTCTTTGTCAACAATAAATAATTGCACATCACTTTATAAACAGCAGTACCTCGGTACCTCTGCATGTATATAATACTATATAAGTACAATCTTCCATACATTACGGCTGAGCCGGAAGTAAGTTACAAGTGAATTCGAAACAATACCTTGTAAGTTTGTCCGCAGTATTGTTTTGTGATATTGACAATGCCAATGTCCACATCATTTTTGTCCTTGACAGAAAGAAGCAGAGGCCAGAATTTTACATCCTTTGATCCGGGCCAGTTTGCATTCGGTCGTTCGCTACACGGAACGAAACGCTTTAGTTATTTCCGGTATACTCTGTGTGTGTGTGTGTAGTATAAGAAATACAAGGATATTTACGCTCCTGAAAATTTCTTACCATATGCGCAGTGTCTCGATTCGTTTAACAGATTTACGCAAGCTTAATACTTACGTATCCAGATTGGCATAGATGAGAGGATCGCATTTGCCGCCAAAGGAAGCGCACTTGCTGCCCGTGTTGGTTTTGCCGTCGGCGTTAGTCAACCGCACCAGGGCGGCTACAATTGTCACATAATTTGGATCCTGTGATGATGAGCCGCGCGACGACGATGAGCCGCTGCCGAAATCATCACGGTCGCGACTGCCGGAACCCGTTCCACGAGAGCCGAAGTTGCTTCCGCTTCCGGAATTGCCCGAATTACCCGAGAACCTCGAGCTGCCGCCGGTAATGGGGAAGCGGTCATCATCGGAATTAGAGAAGGATGAGCCGCGGCTGCCTGAATTAATTGATTTACTAGAACCAGCTGATTGAGAACCAGTTGCGAATGCGTCTGACTGTCTCAGTGAGGATGGTCGAATGTTGCTCTCTTCGAACACACCTGAACGATCCGAATCGGTATTGCGACGATTCCAGCTTACATCAGGACTGGATGCAATCCTTTCCGCCAGTGCGATCCCGCACTAATCAAGCAACAGAACAACACATACTTCTACTTTAAATTCTAAAGCTCGTTGTAGAGTTATTCATCTGATTAGCAGAACGAATTTATGGCAAAAATCACTGAAAATAAAGTTTTACCTAGACAATTAATCAGTTTTTAGCGCAATCAAAATATAGATATTCGTACGTACTATAATAAAATACTAAGTTGTTAAACGAGGTCACTTTTGGCTTTCTGCACTCACCAACAGCAGCGCAACAATAGCAGCTAACCCGGAAAACATTGTTGTATTGCCGAGATGGATCAAATGCTTAGAAATGGTGTTGTTTAATTTCCCACACAGCAACCAGTCCCTTATATACCGGGGAAATATTCTGCGTCGGCAATTTGGAAAAAATGAACAAGTAGGTGTTTTAAAGAGGGATATAACCTGCTGTGAGATTTGACAAATACCAACCCTGCCGTGCAGGTATTTCTCCGAAGGTGGCCGTAATGTATACCCGGCAAAAAACTGACTAACACCTGGTTAATCACTACCACCAACGCTGGCAAGCCTCTCTATTTGCCAAACATGCGACTCTTAAGTACAAGTTAGGCGGAAGCAAAATCGACAAGAATCTTCAGTGTTCCATCCTTGTTTTAACAAAGTATTTGCATATTATAAGGTGACATTTGCGTGATACCGACATAAAGAAAAAATTTTCTTGTGGAAAAAACCAATGCATACAGTAACTATCTCAAAAATTTCCCTGATACTATTACACCAGGATGCGTGTTTTCTGCTCTGCCGGGTTTTTGTTACAGCATCGAAACTGAAAGTATTGCAACTTTTAATACGTGGAATTGGACTCCCTGTTGTATATAGTATATAGATATACGAGTATTCGTATATTGTAAATTATAATAGTGTAAACTGTTCATATACGACGTATAAACAACACTTACAGATAGTATACCTATCAAGCGTCCTTAATTAACGGAAATTTTATATCGGTCCCTTGTAGTCACATTTGATATCACAAAATTAATTGTCTCAAGACTTTTTTCTACGCAGCAAAAGCAATACGTACTTTTAATTACGCCTTCCATAAAACTATTTTAAACACCGCAACAATTTGATTTCAAATGTACATGTAAACGAATACTTGCAACATGAACGTATGGATACGTGTAACAATTGTTTACGTGAATACATAAAGAAAAGCAAAACACTGATCGAGATGCCACGTGTAAGTATTAAAACAAAGTGATGGGTTTCTGTATTTTTGATAATGGAGGTGTGTAGCTTGAAGAACAGACAAAATTCTACCGTTCTTGTTAATCTGTTAATAATTACGAGAATTTAACATCGCTACTGGAAATTGTGCGTCACAGTATTTGCAGCTTAAACAGCTGATCTACCGCACTTGTACTTATTTGGCTTGTAACAGGAAATGCAATCGTATTTCACCCAGACCATGGCTCAACAAATTCTTCTGTACTAGAAATTTTGTGAAAGTGAAACTCTAAAATCGAATTAAATTGTTTGTTGTAAGTTTGACCAGGCAATTAAACGCGATACGAAGATATATGTCTACTAAAGCGATGGAACAATTGAGACAATCAAGATTGCTGTTGTTGACATTTTAAGGTTATTTTGCATGACGAACTTAATTGCCATATTATTCGTACACTTCAGTAATGGTACTTTGGTACATTTTACCTTTTAAAACACTAATTATCATTCACATAACATTTGACAGCTAAAGCAGTTCTCCTCCGTGGATCGCAATTTCCTCATTCGCGAAAAAATCTTATTTTGCATTCGGTACAGTCGAGTTACACTGTGAACGGGTAATGTGGAATACTTGATAACGGTAAGTCAACCTAGAAATATACACGCACTCGTTAATTTTGAAACATCATGAAGCTTTCTGAAAGCTCTATAATTTTTTGAGTTATAATAATATACATACTTCATTTTTCCTGGCTGGTATTTCGGCAGGCATTCAAACGTAGGTGACCATTCCGCGCTTCCTTCATGACGGTCAGGGTTGCGGTTAATCTGTGAGCGAAGATGAACGACAATTTTTAAAACATGCATCTGTCTCTTCGTACAATACAAATACTTCATAGCTTACTAACAGAATTATAAACTATATTTTTTCTTTAACAACACTGTTTCTTTATGAAAATTATTATCAGATTTAACTTTAAAGATGTTCTTAGAATAATGTACCGGGCAATCCCACTGGTTGATAAGGTCATCCTTAGATGCTGGATCGCGATCAAGAGCGAAAATTCTTAGATTGGCTTCCTAGAACGATTTAAGGAATAAATCAACCTTGTGGACGGCGTATTTTTTTTAAACTTACGTTATATTTTGGACCACAGATATCTTTGTGGATGGTAGTACCGATATTGGGACTGTTCACATTGTCAACGCCGAAAACCGTTGGCCAAGTATTATCAGGTTTAGATCCTAAAAATCATTCCAGCTGCGCCATTCTCGGAAAATTTGATGTATATGTAGAAGAAGCATTTTTGCAAAAATGCGTTCACTTCCGGGATATTTTAGACTTAATTTTAAACAACTGCTTACCTGGCCAGTCGGCGTTTGGTCTTTCTCTGAAGGCACAAATATATATTTAATAAAAATATGCAAGTTTGTGTTTTGATTTGTTTTGTCTTTTATTTTACGGTTGTTTCTATGAACTCTTGGTTAATAATTTTTTATAGTTTAAAGTTAGTAACTTACGTGTCCAAATTGCAGTACAAGACGGGGTCACAGGTACCTAGAAAATGATGCAGAACCACTTAAATAGCACGTACGTATATTACCGGAAAAACCTTAACGATATAACCAAGTATCCGCTAGGAGCCTAGGATTACTGTACCATAATACTTTCTCGTATACAAGGAATTCGAATGGTATTTACTCGTACAATGGACGACAAAAATAAGTATAAGAGACGCGACCGCAGACCGACCGGTCGATTTCTATTTATTTTCGTCATGCACTGTATTATGTATAGAGGACATCGGTTATTATACCACACACAACCGTTTACCGGCGAAATCGCAGTGGCTTCCGGAAGAAGCAAGTCCCTGATCATTGGTCAGTTTCAAGATTTCCACTTTTATGCGCACATAATTTCCTGTTAGGCGAGAATCCCCTTGATCTTCCTCAGTTCTAGCTCTTCCTCGGTTGGAGTGTGAGCCGCGGTCGGCACACAGGGCTGGAATCGCCTACAATAATTGCAGGAGGGCTTCATAACATACCTTCGGAAAACCAGCCCTATTTATTGCACAGATTTGCAGAAATATAATTTTGTGTTACATTATATTTTAAAAGTTGTACTTGTGGAAATTTTATTGCGTACCAGGGCACAGATGCAAGCAAAAATCAGTTTCGAATCCATATTTGACGAGGAAGGTATCAGCGGGGGTCGGTCGGTTGTTCAGCCTAGGCCTGCACAAGAAACTATTATGCCGCTTATAAAAATGCACTACTACGGGTAGTTAAATGTCTAGTGGCGAGCAGTTTTACACAAGGTTCGAAGTTGGCACTTTCCAAAATTCTTATCCAACATGATAAAATCTTTCTTTTACAATGAATTGGAGTATAAAGTGGAGATGTACGTACTCATCCCAGTAATTTGTACAGAATACATAACGTACGCATGAAACTTGTTTCAGAAGATTTGGAGTTAGTCATTGCTAGTTCGTGCTAGGACTGATTTTGATCTCGGGATGGTTGACCTTTGCCTCTAGTGGCAGGCTTGCGGCATACTGCAATATCAATTATTGTAGGTAAACAGTCTAAATTAAATACGATCTTAACGCGGTGCTGGAATGATTCACTGAATAAGCCGGGCGAAATTTCAATATCAAACCACTTTAGTTATTATCAAGTGCGAAAGAAGTTAACAGTTCCCCAAATAAGGGATCTTTCAGCATACGTCTGGACTTTTGTGAGCTGCACTGAGACTTTGAAAGATCAATTTATCCGATCTGTAGTGAGCGCAGTTTTAGTTAGGTGGACATGACTAAAGGACATGACTAAAGGCGCTTAAAAATGCAATGTATAAGCCTTTAATTTTATCTTGAATATTTCTTTTTTAGTAACCTTCGTTTTTGCAGTATTTTAAAACCCTTGGAATTGTATGTTTAAAGATTTATACATTCTGGTTACACAAACATGCAAACTTACACACAATTATCGCTTCCGTTACTACTGATGAGAAAAAACACAAAAAAATAAAATATTTCCAGTTTTAATAACTTAATACAAAATACACAATAACCCACACCAAGCACATTTTTTAAAATGCTTTGAAAAGGGAAATGCAAATCTTCTCAGGAACAAAAGATCAAAAGACAGTTTCATGTGAGATACTCCTTCGAGCTGGAATGATAAGAGACAAGAGACAAGTATCAATGCATTCACACTTAAACTGGAATCCGTGAATTGACGAATTAAATTCACAACATGAAAGTACATATGCAATGGAACTGAATATAGGCAAATCCACCATGTCTCCTGTTGTCAAGTCGATTATTTTGCTTCTCCAATCAGCGCCAATAAGATCTTTCTCGCGTCACCAGAAAAATCACCCTGTGGAAAAGGCTGCTGGTTAGAATATGGATCAAACCAGAACTGAGGAAAACTTCAAAATTAATAAAGGCATGCTGACTTTTATCCCATGATAAGTATTGTGCTATAAACTCGTCTGTCATCAGTGTCATGCCGCTCATGCGCACAACAACTTACACTAATCCAACTTTCAAGGCTTTTTCCATACAGGCGAAAATATTCCGATTTAATATTGCCAAGATCTTTTTCACTCCGGGAAACCAAAATGCGCACTACTGTTCGTTCCGTCGTTCCCAGACCTTTCATAGCTTTGTACAGCCGTTCAGCAAAATACGCCGGTGGATTTCGAGTGAGCTTGACTGAAAAATTAATGACAAAGCAATTATAACTGCAGATGAATCTGCACAGTAGTAAAATGACTAATACAAAAAAGAATTGCTTTAGAAAATTGAAATAGCGAGCTGTTTAATTCTGGCTATAACACATACAAGTTACGTAGAAGCGATGGAAGACACTTACTGATAGCCAAGAAATAGTCAGCCACATCGCCGCTGAGTTCGTTAGTGACATCTGTAATTTGTGCCAATAATCAAATTCAACATCCATTCAACTCATGACGATTCAAGTGCCTCGACGACCATTCATACATGCAAAGTGGCAGTGATCGTGGGAAAAACTAGTGCTGTACCGCACTGGTTTGTACCAACCTTTTTCAATGTCCAGTCCACATATGGCTTTGTATTCATCAAACACATGGCGAAGGTGTGCATGACTGCGCCGGGTAAAAATAGGAATGGAGAATGCTTCGTCTTGTGGCCATTTTTTCGGCCCAGTTTCCCAAAGGGCCAAGGCTTCGTGATAAGATTGGTAGAGAAAGATTTCGTCCGTTTCATTCCGCGGAATCTTTGTTTAAGAAAACACAGCCGGATTAACGGTATGCGGTTAACCAAACTGAAGGCCACAACCTTTCCGTTTCTATAAGTTATACAGTTTTTCTGCTGTCTGTACACAAATTTCTTGGTGTCTTTCATTATATAGCGGCACGAACAATAGCGCAAGTAAATATTAGAAATTAGGTTTTAAAGCAGCAGGAGCAGCAGTTAGGTTTAGCAGTACCTGGAATTCCGCAAGCAGCAATCGTCGGAAGTAACCGGAAGTGTCTCCCTGTTTGGCAGATCATTATCGACACGCAACCCTCGCAACTACATTCAAATATGCTTTTGCTTACCGAAATATCCTTTTCCACATCTTTATTAAAAACTGTAAAAAATAGCACTGAAGTTTTTTTTTGAATTTCGAAAGTGGAGGAAGCGTCATACGTTTTTGGTAAGTTAGCTTGATGGCATATAATTCCGCATTAGTACGACTACATAGTATTTCCACAAGGGTCTCCTCATCTGTGCCCAGTCCCTGAAATTTAAATATGGCTTTGTAAATGCACGGAGGCGAGCATCCAGTTCAACAATTACAATCACATAAAAAACTCACAGATATCGCTTTATGAATTTCGTGAGCATCAAACACTTCCGGTGACTGCATAAGCCTGCAGAAAAGCGTGTACGTAAAACTCAGTGTGATGTCGCACTCGCAACAAACATAAGAATTATCGAGATTAAGATTTTTAGCAAGTATAATTTGTTTAACGGAAAATGTGACAAGATTTGATTATGACTGATCGCTACAACAAAATCAATATGATTTACTTGTAAACAGTTGTACTCTGTACATACCCGACAACGACATCTGACAGCGTTCCGCTAAGTTCCGATTTCAAATCTTTAGCAAGATCCTGTGACACCGTAAAACTGGTGATTTCGTTGTAATGAGATTATGTACAGTATTGTGACGCTACTTCAGTGATTTTGTTACGCCGTACTAAAACGTTAAACCGCTAAGACTACACTGCAGAATATGAATTTTTAATATTTGTAGAAGTACTGTACCTTGTTGAACAGCGTCTGATATGCTTCTGCAATGATTTGGCGCTGTTGATTAGTTCGCTTTGTCAGCAGATTGATGATCGCCTTTTCATCGGTTCCTAAAAATTAATTTACACTTGACTTTTCCACATAATACAATTTCCAATCTGTTCCGCCTTCCCAGAAAGCGGTTTTAGATTGCACTTAAAGTCATGTTTGAGGAGCTTGCATATGCCCTCGATGCACTTGGCCAGCAAAATCCGGTGACATGCAATTTGTTCATGCCGGGAACTACAGAGTACAGTAGCTCGCTTAATATTATTTACAGCGAATTAACAAAATATTACTACGATATTCGCATAGTTTTGAACGGTGCTAACCGGCGTAAAATTATCCACCCCAAAATTTGCTCTATCGGTAAAACACAACAAAACAATCACCCTCTCATTTTAGCTCTCTACCGTATTACGTAAACTCGAATTTAATTTATTGTTAGAAATATAAAGCTTTACTTTAACATTTAGTTAGACGAGCCATAATCGCTGCCTTTGCATCTCTACGGTAGTATTTACAAACTAAGAACTCGAAAGTCTAACAAAACAGATTCTGCACTTCGCGGTCTACTCGGAATGCCATACAAAACTGCTGCAATGAAAGGATGCTACGTGAATTTTCAAACCGCGATATGCACATACAGCGTCAATATGGTTAACAAAAAATTAATAATATATCTTCCGCCTTGAGTACATTTTTTTGCCACTTACCAAAGCCTTTCATAGCTTTCTGCAAAGCTTTAGCATCGTCTTCCGGATGAAAGCCCGAAGTTTCACGGATAGTCGGCTCCCGAAATTCAGGGGGCACTTTGATACTGCCCTGGCGGATTCTCTGGATGTTAGCCATCTTCCCAAATTCAACCGGAAGTGCGGTTTATATGCACGGGAAATTGAACAGGATTACATTCAATGCACACAAAAACTTATAAGCCGAAAAAATTTGCAATTCTTTGCTGTGCGTTGCTGCCCGAGTGTGTCTGACTCCGTGTCAATGGATCAGCTCTTGGTGAAGGAATCAAGTTACACGACAAATCGAAAGCCAAGTGTACAGCTAAGCACAAATCTCACAAAAACCTTCCATAGTCTGCTGCCCATGCAGCGGAGAACGCCCATTTATATCGAGCCGTTTCACGCGTAAATTGAAAGCTGCCAACATCAGCGCGCCGCGGTGCTGCAGCACTGTGCCCGGCAGTGTGCCGGCGGCGCAGCATTCCACCATTAGCGTCCCGTTTTGTTGCAGCGATGGTTGTACACGGTTACGCCTAGTTTCCATTGTCAAACGCTATAATCACACACGTCTGGTTGATGGGCAATATGTAGAAAAACAGTTAAAGCAAACAGAAATAAATCACCATATGTCAACCTATAAAAATTATTTTCCACATTTGAATCCGTCGCCGTACAATCTCATGTGCGCAGCTACACATTGCTAGACAGGTGCTGTTACGCTTTGAAAGCGAGTGATGCCACAGTACGCCAGCCGAATTAAACAATACAAGGGCCATACGACTACTGCAATTGCAGTGGTTTTTCCTTCGATGTCGTTGGATATGTAAATTGTCTGCTCGGACAAACTAGGTATTTTTCAAAGGTGAGGAAGTCGACTCGTTTCTATAAAATGAAACGTAAATTAAAGAATTATATGGTGGTCGATTTATTTGTTAGCCTGTTTAAACTGATTCGAATTAATTTATTTCGGTAGTGAGTACATGTGTGCACAAAATCGAGGCTTTGTAAAATAAACAACAAGTTCTGTGCAACAGTGAGCAAAAATCTTGAAAAGTCAAATAACTGTATATAAAACTGCCTTTCACATAAAAATTTTGTGGAGTATACTCAGTATAGGTAAGGAAAAAAAATAAAAATGTGATCGATATGCCAGCGTACGGTTTAGGGTTTGTGCGAATTCGCTAAACCAGTGGCATGTATTTTGCTGCATGTACGCTCGACCACGGGTCATCATGCAATTTAATTGAATTTTTTGGCTTTGAAAAATATTAAATAATTTTGACCGCATTGACGTAGCATAGGCTCACTGTTCTATTTGCAAACCGTGCACGGTTTGTCGCCTTTTAGCTTCCGCGTTGCGAACGCTACGTAGCGCCTAGTGCGTATGGCCTGCGTAGCATGACGCCGTGCGTACCATGACGACGTGCAGCAGCAGTAATTTTTATTTTCTGGTTTTGACTTATGTTTTTAATTTTTTTTAAAACGAAAGTTACGAATCTAAAAAGTGCGTTTTTCTATGTTCGTTCACATTTTCTTTAGTCTATTTTCATTTAAATTTTAGAACGATAGCTGTGCATACTTCTTTTCATTTAAGAATAAGGAACACTTGAACTTGTTACTGGATAAGTACTTGTAGCACCGCCGAAAAATGGAGAAGGTACTGTATAAAAATATCACTTGTGAATGTTGTTGCTTTAACTTTTAAAATAAGTTTTAATACCAGTTTTCTTCTTTTGCAGATGGTGGAAGTCCGCGAAGACGAGGAGCAGAGTGTAAAGTTACAGGAAACCATGGAACTGTTGGTGGCGGCGGGCTATTTCCGAGCCCGCATCAAGGGCTTGCATCCTTTTGATAAAGTGCGCCCACTGAATTCTTCGGGTGATTTCTTTAACTTGCATTCATAATGTTAGAGTACTGGAATTTTAGATCGTCGGCGGAATGGTATGGTGCTTGGAAGTGTGCAATTTGGACATCGATATTGATTTGCTTTTCCAAGAATCCTTGAGCATTGGGCAAAAAATGTACGTTCTCGTAGGCTGTCTTTACAATTTCCAGATAACTAATGCCCATGGTAATGCAACATAAAATAAATAAATTGTTGCTGTCAGCCTATCAGTGCTGATTTTGTGCGAGATAAGTTTTTCCGTAAACGCTTATCGTTGTTAATTTCGATTCGGTTAAATTATCATGCAGAAGATGGTTAAAAATTTGTTTTCAAAAATTTAAGAAATAAAACTTACTTTTTTGACAGCTTTACTGAGTTTATTCAGCATTCGAGATAACAGGCACCGCTTTGCTACGAGCACCGCTTTGCTACGAGCTTTCTAATCATAAATGAAATATTTGTATTGTTATTCTGAAGCGTCATACATGTTAGCGATAAAGGCTTTTTTGAAGTGGCCAAATATTTTTTCGTTTGCCTGTTGATAGTGATTCTTATTTTTTCGTATCTGGCCTTTTTCAGAGCATTAACCGAGAAAATCGTGAAGGTGCTGCCGAAACTGCAGTGTCCGCATCGTTTGGACCCGCATCAAATCCAGGGTCTGGATTTCGTCCACATTTACCCGGTGGTGCAGTGGTTAGTGAAGCGCGCTATCGAGACGCGCGAAGAGACCGGCGATACTAATCGAGCATATGCCATCCGTCAATTCGATAAGCACCACACCACACCGGAAGACACGGAACAGCGCACTATTCAGCAGACAACTGAGCAAGCGCTGCGGAATCTGAATAATGCCTACGCACCGCGCCGGCGATATCGACGAAAAGCCGGACAGACGCAGCCGGATTTCGCCACTAAAGTGCAATACACACTGCTAGAATATGGAAAGTGAGTTGGGATGAGCGGCGGTTGGTGTGGTTGTGCGATGTGAGTGTTTATGAATTATGCCGTCAAGGGAATAACATCGTTTGTCACTGCAGCTCGTTAACGGGGATCAATAGCGGAACTGCGGTAATGGATCAAGCTGAGGGGAAGAACAAGAGTAAAGTGGCCGGATCTGAAGAGAAGAAATCCACAACAGACATTGAAAATGTATCTACTCTTCAGTGTTGAAATCGACTGGCGAGAGACTGTAGTATGGCTCATTTGCTTGACGGAATTTGAAGTTTGACTGCTTTTAGTGAAAAAGATAATATTATTCGCCTTTGAAACTAATGCTGTTGAATTCTGCAATTTGTATAGGACTACTCAGTATCAACGCCGATATGCAGACTGATCTTTTTTTTTTGTTTTTGGATAATTTTACAATCTTTATGATCATGTTATTTTAGTTAACTTTGGCCAATTTAATTGCTTTGTCCGTTTTTGTTCCAACTTATTTGTTAAGTTTTGACAACCTTGCAGGATCGCTTGCGAAATATGGTGGGAGAAATGGAACAACTTGATGATCGAGGTCGGAAGATCAAAGCATCGACGATAGGGAATATTGTCAGCCAGCAAGCAGATGAAATCAGTCAGCTGGAAGCACTCCATGAACAGCAGAAAGCCGAACTGGAGGCAATGGCCGCTGAGGGAATATTCGCTGGATTTAATAAACCTCAGCACATGTCTGACTTGTTGCAGTCGCAGTTGGAAACTCTAAAAGCGAAGGAGCAGGAGGTTGGTGTAATGCCTTTTAATTTTTATTGCTCTGTTTTGGAATAACGTGTAACGGAATAACGGAGTACGGTATTTTTCAGCTGTTGAAAGCAAATTTTTGCTGATTGTAGTTGGCTTCTAAAAAAGAAAGCTTGGAAAATCGTATTGAAGAGCTGAAGATAACCCGAAAAGAGGTAAGGGTGAATTTTTTGTTAATAAACATCATCAATAATCTGCGAAACTTATTTAGTTGAAAGCCCAGAAGGAAACCTTGGACTCAGAAAATGCTGACCTTGATCAGAACACGAATAACATGGACACGGAGCAGTTGGAGCGCATCGCGGAGTTGCTGGTGAGAAAAACTGCCATTGAAGAGGAGATAGCGACATTCCGGACAGAGTGCAAAAAGGAATCAGCCAGAATGAAAACGGAATACAGAAAGATTAAGGAAGAGTTAGAGAATCCCTCCCCAGAGAAAAATCAGGTGGGGTACTTGCATTTATTGTTGTGTTAATGCGCCGATGGAGTGCGTTACAGTAAGTAGAATAGATTTTCGCTACAATACATGGCTTCAAAAGTAAGTACAGCGTGTACGTTTTCGTGGGAATTTTCGTATTCTAGAAATAATCTTTGAAATAATAACGACACTTTTTTTATTGATATAGCTTAGCCAGGATTTAAAAGATCGTTTGGCCACTGAGAGGGACACGTTGCGAGAAATTCGCCTGCGGCTAGCCAAACGTAATCGCGAAGTTGCTCAATTACAGCGGCGGTTGGACGATATCCCGTCCCAAGCAGAACTGTCACAGTATCAGAAACGGTTCATCGAGCTATATGACCAAGGTACAAAGCGGCAGATTGCGACGCACCAGTATATCAAATTTGTGAGATGTTGTTGTTGTTTATTTCAAAACACTTTGAATTCTTTTTAATTTAATATGGTGCATTACTGCATTTCATTTACACTAGGTAGTTAATGAGACATTTGGTTTTTTCAGTGGCTGTGAGACTGCGGGAGACAAAGAAGTATTACACATTGTACAACACTTTATCCGACACGAAAATGTATTATGAAAAAGAAGTGCAGTTGCTGGAATCAATTCATGATAATTTCGAAGTGTGAGTTTGGATGGTTCGTTTTGTTTTTGGGTATTTGTGAGTATCGAGATACCTGAGAAGTTTGATACCTGATAAAGGTCACAGTAGCAAATTCGCGAAAATTAATTTGGCTGTCGTTACAATAGGGCAGTCGCATCCGACTCAGCCAAGGAACAGTTCATCCGACAGTTGGAGCAAATCCTAGATAGTCTTCGACAGACTGTTTCAAAGGCGGAAAAGCGTCGGCAGACGGAGAAGCTGAAGCGTGATCAGCTCAATGATCGGTACTTGGAGCTGTTAGAAAAGCAAAGGTTGTATCACAAACTGGTCAAAGAATTTCAACAGGTAAGCCGTAATTTTGTGGTTCGTGTTGTCGAGTATGAATGATACTGGATGTACCGCTGAAATAATGTTTTCTTGTAGGAATGCGCACGAAATGAAGAGCTTATTGCTTTGGCGGAACAATAGAGAATAATTTTTTCAAATTGCAGTAGTCTGTCTTCAGCTTGGTTGCTGGACTGTTTGATTCTGTGATGTTTCACTGGGTGATTTTTATTTGAAAAGTGTTTTTTGCAGTTGTGAGTTACAACATTCTTTTCGTTGCTAATGTTGTGCATTTTATAGTATAAAATAAAATCATATTATTTGTTCAAAAAAGTGTTTCATGCCAGCAGGCAAAATTTTTCGAATTAAGGGCAACGTACGACGGATTTGCATCCCGTGCACATAAGTTCTGTGTGATACACACTATGGTGTGCCAATTTGAGTTTAGTCTTGGAAATTTTCAAAAGTTTGCTTGATCTAATTTAAATAAAGGTTAGTTTTTAGCTGCAGCGTATGAATTGGTTACATCCCGCGCACATAATTTTGTTTGAAACACAATGGCATACCACGGTTGTTTGGCTAAATTTTGGCGTAATAGATGTGCCAAAGGTACAAAGTATTTTTGCGCACAAGTATCCATATTCTGACATCCAATATCATTTGCGAAATTGCAGGTTTTGAGAAATATTTTGAATAAAATGTGTCCTTGCGCTCGTTTACGGTATTAGCACAGGTTTTGCAATATTGCACCGGCCAGAGAGAAACATATGAGTACCGGTACATACGAATGCATCGGAATGATATGAGTACCAGTTGTGCGGTAACGCGGAGAACGGCAACTTTTTTGCTCTGAGCGGCAGCAGGTGATTCCAACGAATACCGTTAGATAAATTAAACGTATTTGCCGAAGGCGTCAAGCAGCATGCGTTACGACTTGGTGACACAGTTATGGAAAGCATAATTCTTTGACGCGAAAATGCACCACGCGTTCCAGTTATGGCCGACAATTCCAACCAGACGGAATGGTTCGCTCGGTACGTCATGGTTGGAGCCGAATCCAGCGCCGTTTGCGCTCCGGCAGTGTCCTAAAGTACGGCCTCCTATTAACCGTACTGGTCATCCTCATCGGCTTGTCGGCACTGTCATCCTTTGACCTCCTCCAGAATGTGGATACAATTGCTCAGAAAGTGGTGCCGCGTGTGGAGAGAAACGTTGCTGTCGAAGAAGATACTGCGGGCAAAGTGTTGAATGCGCCGGACATTGAGAAAAATGTTAAGCCCCGCGAGGGACCGGGTGAAATGGGGAAAGCGGTGAATATTACGGCGGAGATGCTGGGAAAGGAAGAGCGGGAGATTTTCGAAGCGGGCTTTGAGCGCAATTCATTCAATCAGTATGCCAGTGATATGATCTCCGTTAAACGAACGCTGCCGGATATGCGATCGGAAATGTGAGTGACAAGATACCTGTTGCTGTGTCGTAATGGTCCTGTTCGTTAATAATTTCCTAATAGGCCCATGCACCTATTTGGGAGTTAACAGTATTTGCTAAAATTGTGCAACGCTTGTTGATCAACAATATTTTCAATATTTTACAACTGGTGTTTTATATTGCATAAACAGTACTCCTAACTAGTAATCCAAAATGAACGGCATGCATACAGAAGCTTAACAAATATAAAAAACAACTCAGGTACGTACTGCAAACGATCCAACCTAAACAAAAATTTTTATGATAGCGTTTTTAGTAGCTACGTATGCACAGAATTTTCTCAGTTGCTTCTACTGTTACGTTTTTTCAGATGTAAGACGATAAAATACCGAAAGGAACTGCCCGATACCAGCGTTATTGTGTGTTTCCACAACGAAGGTGCAGGTTTACTTTATTTTTGTAGTACTTATCGTTAATTCAGTAACCGACATATAATGGCAGAATATTTTGTGTAGCTTGAATGATTTTGACGTTTTCAGCTTGGAGTACGCTCATCCGTAGTGTCCACAGTATTCTGGATCGGACACCATCCCATCTTTTAAAGGAAATTATTCTCGTGGACGATGCGTCTACTTTGCGTAAGTGTGCCGGTTTAACAAGGAGATATCGGCCATGTGTATGAAATACAGAATTTTGTGACTTAATTGTTTCTGGTTTACACGTACAGCCCATCTAAAAGAAAAACTGGACAAGTACATTGCCAAGTTTAGTAAAGTTAAACTTCTTCGTGCGAAGACACGGGTGGGCTTAATCACAGCACGTCTGATGGGATTCAAAATCTCCACCGGCAAAGTGGCGACCTTTCTGGATTCGCATATCGAGTGCACAAAAGGTATGGTCACCTATGCAAATACTTTTAACCTCCCAGACTTCGATTCTGGATTTCAGTACACTTGTGAATTTTGCTTTTATTCCTGTAATTTTCGTGTTTTATGAAAAGGGCAACTTAACGTATACAGAAATGCATCGAACAGTACGTACGATTAATTCGTCATGTGGCCATCAAATTTTTGGTTGTTTAAGCTATTGTGTACCGGCACAATCTTGCTGATACGATTTGGCAGTTGACGAAAGAAAATCCAGCATATGTCATGTTTTTGCTAATTTGCAGGCTGGGTGGAACCACTACTGGACCGGATCGCAGAAGACCCGAAAAACGTGGTGTGGCCGGTCATTGATGTGATCAGTCTGAAAACTCTGGAGTACACCCACGGCGATCTGGTGAACAATCTGAATGTGGGAGGATTTGACTGGGGGTTGCAGTTTAATTGGCATCGCATTCCGGAAGCCGACAACAAAACACGCGCTCATCCTTTCGCCCCTGTGCGGTCGCCCACGATGGCCGGTGGATTATTCGCCATTGATCGTGCGTACTTCGAACATCTGGGTACCTATGATCCCGATTTCGATATATGGGGTGGAGAAAATCTGGAACTTAGCTTCAAGGTACAACCAAACAGAATCGAGAACGTTACTGTTTTGGTTTATATAGCATGTTTGGAACGTTGTTGGTAAAAATATCCGTCAATTAGCCGAATTTTCTAATTTATCTTATTTACTTATTGATTCGCATTTTTTGTCGTAAAAGACTTGGATGTGTGGTGGACAATTGGAAATGATCCCGTGTTCACGTGTCGGTCACATTTTCCGTGAAAAATCTCCCTATAAATGGCGCGAAGGAAAAGATGCATTGAAAAAGAATTTAGTGCGCCTTGCTGAAGTTTGGATGGATGACTATAAAAAGTACTACTACACCCGCATTTCAGACGACCTGGGTGATTTCGGTGATGTTAGCGAAAGAATTGCACTACGCAAGCGATTGAATTGCTCCTCGTTTGACTGGTATATCAAAAATATTTTTCCCGGACTGTTTATTCCGGACAAAGTACCGGCATGGGGCGAGGTCAGTGCAACTGCAATATGCAGATTAACACACAGCAGACCAATGTAATGGTTAACCTATGACAAAAAAAGGTACACTAAAAATTCGGGCAGTTATGTTATATAAAGGTGACTTTAATTTGAAGGTGAGAAACGAAGCGGATGCTGGCAAATACTGCATGGATGCCATGGAAGATCATGAAAATCAAAAATCAACCAATTTAACCATCGATGTTTGGCCATGTCACGGACAAGTACAACCCCCCATATCTTCCGCACAATTACCGTTCATTAAGTACAATTCTGTTTCTACCAATTATTAGGGTGGAAACCAATATTTCAGCTATTCTAACGACAGCGAAATTCGCCGCGATGACAATTGCCTTGATTTTTCTGGAAACCGGGTCAAATTATACCCGTGCCATGGATCGGTAAATACCCATTTACCCATTTATGACGTATTTGACTATGCCGCTGTGAACCTGTGGTGGTAAACGATTACTTATATATTAAATATAGAAGCTTATTTATATTTATTTATAGAAGATGTAATTTATGGCCGTCCTGACTCCTGAGTATTGTACCAAAAAGGAAAAACGAATTTATTTTTATTTTAGCGCGGAAATCAGCACTGGGTGCACGATCGTAACACAGGAGCAATTTTCAATCCTCCGTCCAATACTTGCTTGGAATTGGATATAGAACCGCTAAGTATCAGAACCGCTCCGTGCGATCCATCTTTACCGGAACAGAGATGGATATTCGCTAATTACTTGAACGACACATTAAGTTCTAACAGCACTGGTGCTGAACCATTGATTTACGCCGGCTAAGTTGCCGGTACACACTAGTTTTGGGATGATGCGGCTAAATCATTAATTAACTGACTGTGATAGAAGAATGTGTCCGTTCAAGGAGAATAAATTTGTACGCTGGGAAATTCATATTTCAAATCAACTTGCACTTTTGTAAAATATTTTTAAAAATAGTAATAAACATTAATGAAAATCTTGCAGTGACTGTTTCTCTAGCTTTCTTCTGCTCACACCAGTTCTGCGAGAAAATCCATATTTTCCACAACGACTATTTCGCTTCATTAGCAGCGAACGCCATTGTACCGAAATCAGGTCAAAGGCTAAATAATAATCTGGAAAAAATCTGATGTGTATATTTGTATACAAAAACGCCACAGTTAGTACAGTAGGTCAAGTTTTTCCTTATCTTTAGCATCCCACGCACATCAACACAACACACAACGTAAACACGGTATTATGCAAGACGATAACGACATATGTTTAAAAAAACCACATGATATCACTCATCAGCACTCTTCGGAAGTGCAATAAGACAGCGGAAGTCACTAGCGGTGATTTCTGGGATAATTCTCCATGGGCGCTGAATTACTGCCCAATCACGATGCCCTTCCTGTCAAAAAGCAATTAAGCGTATTCCCACCGGACTCGACACATGCAATCCTAATTATAGAGCGAATTCTAATTGGCTCACTATCGCTACAGAAATCCCGGTACGATTATCCTCCCAGTTGAGCGATGAAACACGAACAATCAGCACAAGCCGAATCAAGCGATGTCATTGGCCGAGATTTATTAGAAATACGTAATATTACGATACACTGCGACATTAAATTAAGCATTTCGATTTTTTCCGTACAGCTGGTTTGGCGGTAAAAGGCATAAAACCTGTACAAACAGCTCAGTGACGGTCATCCATGCCTTAAGAAACCGGTTTCGACAAAGACTTTTGCAGATTACTTATATTTTCCGTCAGTACGCCTGGCATTTGGCTTAAATCGTTTGACTAATTCCAAATACATACACAGGGTACTTTGTCAATCAGGTGTACATTATTATTGAACATATTGGATGGTTGTTTGAGCTTCATCTTTCTCGAGCCCGGTTTTCATGCAGTGTTTTAGGTGAACATTAAGCACGCGCATGCGGAAACAGTATGGCACATCTTTTGCCAGCGCACTTTGTATTTCCGATTGCCATCACACTTTGTACGCATTTGTACCCATATCATTTATGAAGAGAGCAGTATTTCAGCGTTAAAAGAGAGAGATACCAATCAAATTAACTGGCTACAAATGGGATATAAGGTAAAATAGCACTAACATTTGATTTATACTGTCTCCTTTTGGACAACAGCGACCGATTGATTTATCCGGCTACATTTGCAAATTTGATACACGCTCGTACATATAGATATGTTCCATATACTCTGTACAGCGACGTTCATGTGTACATATGTGTAAATCCGAATATCGGAAACTGCAAAGTGGTGTTTTTCGGTTACTTTCGGTTCTGTTGACACCATTATGAAGAGTACACTCTCGGCATTTACACTATCCGCCACCAGATGGGAATTTTGTTGATTTAATATTTAACCTCATCCACCACCAATCAACAATATTATATACACGATGGGACATTTCTACCAAAAAATCACCCGCAATCTGCGCCGTGTTCGTCTAAGAATATCACCGGGATTGGCGGTAAAATACGGCGTTGTGGTGTGTTTATTTGTCCTGTGTTTTTATGCCTTATTGTGGAAAAATACCCCGTATGTATCCACACCGCTACCCGTGGAGAAATCCCCGCTGGACGCACCGGAGAGTGCGGAACGGAAAGTACTGCAAGCCCCTGTCCATGTGGATGTGGACAAACTGCCCGAGCGACATGTTGGACCGGGCGAGATGGGTGAACCGGTGGTCATTAAGCGGGAGCAGTTGGGAGCGGAAGAGCAGCTACTGTATGATCAGGGATTTAAAAAGAATTCCTTTAATCAGTATGCGTCGGACATGATCTCGGTCAAACGATCGCTGCCGGATATGCGACCTCAGACGTGAGTGCGCTATGCTTAGCTAATTAACGCTGAATTATGAACAGTTATTGTCAGAAATATGCGTTACCGGTGGTGCATCTTGCATTTTCCACAAATACAGTGATATTTTTGCCCAAAAACTGTTACGCGCTTTTGCATCAAGCTAGAAAGCGGGTCCGATCTGGATATCTCAATATTCAAAGTTTTGCTTAAAATTACAGTTTTTATTGTCAATTTGTACAATGAACGAATTCTTGGGGCTCTGTTTTGCGAATCTCCTGAATCAGCCTTCAACTTGGTACAGTAGTTAGTAAGCCACTAAGTCGATTGGCAACCGGCTCCACACTCCAGATTATTAATCTTAGTTTTTTGAAAGGCGCTCATATGCACCGGCATCGCATAATGTTACAAAGCTAGTGCAATACTTAAAGCATTTTGAGAATTGTCAAGTAATGCAGATTCAAAAATTGTTAAACATCTTTTTTCCGCGATTTTCAGTTTCTTAAATTTTTTTGGTGACCAGTATTGATTTGCACGTTATGTTTGATAGCAGTTTTAAATTTCTTGACTACTCAGTGGCCTTTCTTCCTGTGTCGTCGATGTTGTTAAAATGTTTTCCATTGTTCCATTTCCCAAAAAAAGTAAGAACATACGCTAAAGTAGTGTTAGTATACGAAAGCCCGGAAATGATATAAAATTTCTCTCTAAGCGATACAAGAAAATTTGTCAACAGTGGTGCGCGCATAGAGGATTTCCGGTAACAAAAAACTAGGGATGTAGCACAAAAGACGCTACGTGTATGGTCACCACCGTACAACCATGGCAGTGATCGGCGCTGTTTGCTCCAGATGTAAGGATGCCAAATATTTGACGAACTTGCCGACAACCAGTGTGATAGTTTGCTTTCATAATGAAGCATGGAGTACACTATTGCGGACTGTCCACAGTATCCTTGATCGATCCCCCGCACATTTACTCAAAGAAATCATTTTGATCGATGATGCATCGGACTTAGGTATGCGACGCTAATTTCCTCGTTTTTTCGTATAATTTTTTTAAAGAATGACATGTTGAAGGTTTGCATGCAAATGGTGTGATTGATATAATTATGGTTTACCGATACATAGCCTTCGTTGATATGAGTCATTCGTTGGTGTTTTGTTAAGTATATCTAATTGCGTTCTTTGCACTATAAGTAAACTTGCCTACAAACACGACAAAATAAAGTGTCGATAAAGTCTACGTACTGTACTTCTTTTTGTTACAATACTTTAATTTCTGATCTGTTCAAAATCGTCTGCTAATTTAATGTGCATCCGATATACTAGTATAATTATTGTAACGGCAATTTTTCTATTGTAACGGCAATTTTTTCTATTTTTTCTACTTTCTCTATTGTAACGGCAATTTTTTCTTTCTATTTATTGTAACGGCAATGATGCGCCCAATTGGTTTCCTTTTTTGTGCACTTGAAGTATTTGTTACGCGGACTGTGTCAGTGTGATATATTTTTCAGCACACTTAAAAGAGCAATTGGACAATTATTTTGCAAAGTATCCTAAAGTAAAAATCATCCGATCTCCGGAGCGAGTGGGATTGATTAAGGCACGTTTGTTGGGATACAAACAGGCTACCGGAAGCGCTCTGACGTTCCTGGATTCCCATATCGAATGCACTGAAGGTGGATAATATTTGCTCAACGAAAATTTGGCGTGATTTTAATAATGCAAAAGATTATGTATTGACCCTTAAAAAAGTAGTAATAATTATTGAAATAATTGATCATACAGGTTGGTTGGAGCCGCTGCTGGACCGCATCGCACGTGACGCCACCAATGTCGTTTGGCCGGTAATCGATATAATCAGTGATAAGACGTTTTCCTACAAAAATGATCCCGATGCCGGGACACAAGTTGGCGGCTTTGACTGGGGATTACAGTTCAGCTGGCACACAATTCCTCAGCGCATCGAGAAAACCCGTAAGCACACTACGGACCCGGTTCCATCGCCGACCATGGCGGGTGGATTATTCTCCATTGATCGGGATTTCTTCGAGAAGCTTGGCACCTATGATCCGGATTTTGACATATGGGGTGGCGAAAATCTGGAAATCAGTTTTAAAGTAAGCACTGGTTCTAGCTTCTTCCAGAAAATATAATAAAAAATTTTTACAAGCCTGCTAACTGTTGTATCTTAGCATCTTTGTACAGAAAGCAGAAACGTCAAGTTAATGATTAATATTATATATATATACCTGGTATTATGTCTCGTGCGGTACGTGCACGAGCAGTTACTACTTAATAATAATTTTGTTAAAACCACAACAATGCACTGATGATTCGTGTACAACACAAATTAGCAGCTAACTGAGCAATTTAATAGACATGGATGTGCGGCGGCAAGGTGGAGATGATTCCGTGTTCTCGTGTCGGGCATGTGTTCCGGGATAAGTCGCCGTATAAGTGGCGTACCGGCAAAGATGTCCTCAAGAAAAATCTTGTCCGCTTAGCAGAAGCCTGGATGGATGACTACAAGCAGTATTATTACGAAAGGATCAACAATGAATTAGGAGATTTCGGAGATGTTTCGGAACGGCTGGCCATACGGGAACGTCTGAAATGTAAAAGCTTTGAATGGTACTTGGAAAATGTTTATCCTGAGCAGTTTATTCCGGGAAAGGCCATTGCTTCCGGCGAGGTAATTGCACTGCGGGAATCATTAATGCTAACACTGCATAACAACGACCGCGGTAGAAAATAAATTAAAAGTTTACAATTGTTTATTTTGAATTGGTCCCGTGATTTATGTCAATTTATCGTCAATTTTTCAAATATTGACTGCGGTACATAAGACTTACTGTAATAATTATATTATCTTGTATTAGAATTGTTTTCACTTTCAACATTGTTTATTTTGAATATTGTTTCCTTTTAATTAAGGTGCATGGCAATACAGATCTTTGGTTCGTTTTGGATATAATTGCGATTCGATTGCAAACGTAACAGGTTGCACCAGAAGTAACGAAAGATTTACCCTTTGTAATTTTTGCAGATCAGAAATGCGGCTCTTTCTGGTGCATATTGCGCTGATGCCGACACGGAAGCTGCCGAAGCAAATCATAGCATATCAGTGGCTGTATATCCTTGCCACGGTCAGGTAATACAAATATACCACGTCAATCTGACTATTATTGCGTATTAGTCGATCATGTTTTATTGTGACTCGGGTAGAGTAACAAACAATCGGAAATGATGTCTTTAGGGCGGGAATCAGTACTGGACATACTCCAACGCTAGCGAAATCCGCCGCGACGACAATTGCATGGACTGGGCCCGAAAAAGAATCAGGATTTTACCTTGCCATGGCTTAGTAAGCGCAACAACAATTGTTCGTAAAGCAGATTACACAAAGCATTAATTTTCTACCGAATACATATCTACAAACTTTCTATCACACCGGCAATCAAAATCAAAAACAGTTTTACTTCGTCCATAATTTATGGTTTGATGAATAAATCTTTTCTCAACTTTGAAATCTTGTCTGATTCCTTTTTCATTCGAACGCAGAAAGGAAATCAGGAATGGGTACATGATCGAAAAACTGGACTAATACGTAATCCGAACTCGGATACCTGTATGGAAATCGTGCCGGATTCGATGACCATTACTTTAACCGAATGCGATGAAAACATCAAAGCACAGCGATGGAAGTTCAAGAAATACCTCGAAGATGCTTCTCCCAAACCCAAAAAGAAGTCAAAACTCAAGAAGTCAAATTTGTAACCTTCCGCAACCTGTACTAACCATTTGAAATGGTTGTCTTTCTCTTCCGGACTAATGCGAACGCTTCCTTTAAATGATCAACGAAATACTGTTTTTTATCTTTGTTAATTGTTGCTACTCTGTGATAAAGAAATCCGAGAAATAACCTGAATATTTATATACTCGCAGGCGTAATTTTCATATCGACAATAAAAAAACGTTTTCCCAAATAACAAAAACATCTGCTTCCGAAACCGATTAAAGCTGCTAGGAAAAGACAATTGGTAATAATTACTGCAAATACATTATCACGAGTCGGAATCTTGTGTTTCGGCGGGCGAACTAGCTGGTCATTTTGGGGGTAGATATTGCGCCGGAATTCAACCGGGATCCAAGGCACACAAAAATGGAATGTCAGTGAGGCCGAAGCGCGCAGAATTAATCTGAGAGGGAAGTCCAGCCCAGGAAATGTTAATGCAGTCAACAAATCAACAACCAACCACAAACAAGCGCTTTTTGGAGCAAAATTAGTGCTTTATTGCCTTCGAAGCATCATAGTCTTGAAATTTCCACTTTTGCCGGTCGTTAGACTCATCACACGCAAGCATCTTTAGTGTTTTATGATCCGACGCCATTTCCATACATTTATTGCTGGTCGGATGGAACATACGGCCACTTTCGTGGTTATAATTCCACAGCTGGTTTCCTTTCTGCAAGATATATACAAAAATTACTACAATTAGCTACAAAACTTGACGAATGCTAGTTTAGTGTCAAACATATTTGCTTTAGAAAATCCCATAAAACTACACAGCACCCCAACAGCCGCCTAATCCGAACCGCTGTTATTGTTATTTTTAAAAAGGAAGTTCGGCGCTTTGCAGATATTAAACAAGCACACATTAAAATTATTTTCCGCTCCGTAGTCGTCAGCAGACCCCCGGATAGGTAGAAAGACTACGGTCTACTAGCCCAAGTAACGTACCCGTGTATTCGCTTAATTATTACAGTTGTGTGAAATTTAAACAACGGCCTAGTACGTAAAAAACACCACTGAAAAGGATACTAATGGGAAGTCAACGAAGCATTAATAATGCACCACAAAAAAAGTGGCGAAAAATTACTACCCGTAGAGTATAAAAAAGGGAATTAACGGTGCTTTAATAAAAGTGGCTTCACAAGATAAAATGGATGACGCAATATTGTGCGGATACGTTTCTCAAAATGCCAGAAAACAAACATTGTGGTGCGAACAGTGAGCTCAGGCACTGAACTTACCTGACCGTGACAAGGGTACACCACGACGTCTTTGCCAGCAAAATCGATACAGGCCTCATCCCGACGTATTTCCCCTTCTTTGGACAAACTCCAATACTGATTTCCGCCCTGGAAAACAGAAGCCGCAATGAAGCACAAAATCCTTACAACTTCCTTATCTGGCAGGATAAAATAACACGACCAGCTGATGGCACGGATACATGATGACCACGGGCTGGTCAGTGACATCATCGGTACTGGCATCCATGCAAAATTTATTTCCATCGCCTTTATTGCGAATCTACAACAACAGAGGGACACGATTCAGATTATCTTAGTTACCTGATTATGGCAGGGATACATCGTAATGGGTTTGTGGTAATCGTTTTTCTTAGACGCACTGTCAAGGCAGAAACGGCCGCCTTCGCCCCGGTTACGCACCTACGGAGAGGACCAACCACGTGTGGAATGTCGTTTTTTGTTAGGCAGTTAGAGAGCTCGAGCGGCCATTTATCGGTTATAAAAGAATAGGGTTAAAAAATTCACGGTCATACAGGCGATATTATGCCCAGAGTCCAGCATTCCCGAGCCCAAAACACAGCGATATTTCAACAAGCCGCCTCAGTGAAGGTGAAGCAGCATTGTGTGGCAAACAACGATTTTAACAACAGGAAGCAAGCAAAAAATGCCAATTATTATGTTATATTATGGCAGAAATCGAGGCGTATCAATAACCCAAATAATTAACATACAATTCATCGTCAAATATCTGTGGGTAACAACCACACTATTTTTTACATAACCGATATGATTATCTGCATGTCTGCAACAGTGTAAAACAGAGTAACGATAAAGGATAATGAAAACATTTTTGATTACCTATCTCGATTAATTCAAAATTTTGCGTTATTTTCTCGTTCAATTTAAAATGGAAGTGAACATTACAAAACTACAGCATAACGGCGCAACTCACATTAATTAAAACGGAACAAAAAGGCAGAAAATATCATAATAAAAAACTTGCTTACGCATAACGATTTTCGCTAGGTCGCACGCACAAAACGCACGCTAAAAATTTGTTTTATTATGCATTCGCCAATTTATGAAAAGCATTCATGCGCCAGAAGCAAGCCAAACGAAACCGCCACCGGAGCATGGAATATTTAAGAAGCAGCGCAAAAGCGGCAACATTTTCATACGGCCCAACACATGCGTCATGACAAAAACGCCACCAGTAACCCGCCATTTGTACATATCACAGTACACCGAAAATAACATTGAACATTTTCTTGAACAGTTTTCTCACCTCGCCAGAAGCCACAGCTTCACCGGGAATAAATAGCTCCGGATAAATGTTCTTCAGATACCACTCAAAGGAATGGCACTGGAGGTTATCTCGCAAGTCTTTGCGCTTGCTCACATCACCAAAGTCACCCTACGGCGGCAGATGCAATTTAATTCGCACGGCGCATGTTGTTTCAAATAATCACTTACGATATCATTATTGATTCTTTGATAGTAATACTTCTTGTACTCGTCAAGCCAGACTTCCGCTAAACGGATTGAGTTACGCTTCAGCACGTTGACACCGGTCCGCCATTTATATGGAGATCGTTTGCGAAATATATGGCCAACATGGGAGCAGGGGATAATCTCAAGCGTTCCGCCACACATCCATGTCTGTTTAGTGAGAAGTAAAAACAATAAAAATCAATCTCAGTCAATAACAATACAGACGAAAACCGAAATAAATTAAAAAACGAGCCAGAAACAAAGACACTGTCTTGGTGTGTGATCTTAAATAAATAATGCAAGCTATGCAACCGCCTTAGCCCTTTTGAAATATGTCAAAACTCACCATCTTTATAAAAACTCACCATATCAAAACCATTTTAAATCTTTATCAAAACTCTCGATTGTAACAGTTAATTATAACTAACAACTATTAATGACACTAATCATACTACGACTTTTCGTAAAGCGGTATACGTGTCCGGTATATGACTTTTTGAGTAAATTTAGCATTTAGCCAAAAGAGTAAAACCGTGCTGTGTATTAAAGCAATACGTACCTTAAAGCTTAGCTCCAGATTTTCACCACCCCAAATATCAAAACCTTCATCATAGGTACCAACGCGTTCGAAGAATTTCTTATCAATGGAAAACAATCCTCCGGCCATGGTGGGTGACTGGACAGGATCGGTATCGTACTTTCGGCGCTGCTTCTCCCTGTCCGGAATACCTTAACACGCACAACAAACTAATTTTGCAGGTCCAAGTGATGATAACACAAAGTACGGACATACCGTGCCTGCAATAAACCAAATGCAGAGATTAATAAAACGTGTAGGCAGTTCGTCCCTGTTCTGTAAAACGATTAACTGTACAGTAAGCTATTCATTTACGGCGTTTATTATCGCAGGTACTAAATAACTAGCACCGTCTGTATCCCTTACTCATTGTTTTACTATTTTCGTCTCTCTTGACATCGGTTTTGTTTATATTTTGGTTTAATCACTGTAATTTTCGCGAAGTCAATGCTCAAAAGTCAAGAGCAGCTACGAAATATGGAAAACTCCTCACAGGTCAATCTCGCCGGTAGAATCTTGACACAGTTTCCCAAATGTGCGAACTTTACGTAAACCGAGCTGCGTTCAATACCAAGGAGCAAACGATACAAGTCCGAAGTAAATTTCAATTACACCACATTCCAAGACCGTTCCCACTACGGGCTTAACACAGGGGAAAAATAGATCAAAAGCCAGCGCACTCACACACTGGAGAGAACGGAATAATAATAAACACTACTTCCGATCAAAGTTATGCAAATCGAACTGCCACCAGCTAAACACAAGCTTCGGATAAATTCAACAACACCCTACCCACCCTCTTCGGCAAACAACCCAACAAGGCAATTCAAAATCCAATTTTACTCCAACTGTTAGACTGTTTGTCGGGAACTTGAGATGGCGGAAAACTAATTAGCATGGCATAACTAATGCCCCCAAACCGGGTCCTGCCAATACTGACGGCTTCAGTGCAGCCTATCAAACATGACATATTCTACCAGCCCACTTCCAAACATTTACCACTTTTGTTATCGCATAAAACATTCATGTTCCATGAGATTCGCATCATTAGTGATTTATTGACTCTATCGATCAAAATCAAATGAATCTGTGCTGCTCCACTTATGCCTCTGCACTGAATCCTAACATGTCGCTAAACGACATTCAAACTCTTTTGTACTCATTTTCTAACATCTTGCGTACTCCCTACAGCTGGCAAAAGGATCTCCTCACTTGGCGAAATCAGCGACATTACTGTCACAGCCCCGAAGTGCAGCCGGTCGGATTCACACTCACCAGTTGAACTGCAGATTCCAATCAAATCCCCCAACTTGCGTGCCCGATGCCCGACCGTAATGATACTCGAAGGTGGCGTCATCGATAACGTCAATAACGGGGCAGACGACCGTGGTCCAGTTGCGTGCTATCCGATCCAGTAGGGGCTCCAGCCAGCCCTGCGCGCATTCACAGTGCGAGTCCAGGAAAGTTATCACACCGCCTTGTGCTTGTTCGGCACCCAGAAGCCGAGCGCGAATCAGCCCAACGCGCTTTGGAGCGCGCATAATTTTAACTTTGGGATACTTGGTCATATATTCCTCCAGTGGTTTCTTCAAGTGGTCTAAATCGACAAAACAATAGTTGTTATTAATGCTATTACAATCCGAAATAGAAGCCATACTGTTTTTACGATAACAAACAAAAGCATTTACGAAGTTTTCCATCACTCCAGACTTGATGTAGACCATCACAAGAAGCGCCAACACAACGCAAACAGAAATAAATGATCAATACCTTCTAAATGTCATTTCCCACGAAGAGTTAATCGTACATTAAACGATTATAGCAATTCGCTTTTTTGTGGCTATTTTCGCTGTTTCGATAAGGGGCATTTAGCTAATCCTTGGCTATTTGATTTTCCCGTTTGACTTACCCATATCCGAATCATCATCGACAAGAACGATCTCTTTGAGCAAATGGGATGGCGATCGATCGAGAATACTGTGTACTGTCCGTAAAAGAACACTCCACGCTTCTATATGAGTGAACAGAACGGTAAAAAAATAAAGGCAAGATATGGTCGGGAAACTGGACTAAGAAAGATAAACACCTACCGTTATGAAAGCAGACAACAACCGACGTATCCGGAAGGTCCTTCAAGTAGCCACTTTCCTCCTCTCGACATCTGAAACATAACCCGACCGGAAATTAGCCAGTCTATTCATTGTACACACAGTTGTCTGGTTTTCTCGACACATATCACTGGGAATGCTCTCTGTCAACCATATTAGCAAAAGATGAGCACGGAAATTTGAGATCAGTAATTGTGCCATTGATTTGAACTTCACAAGTCACAGAGCATCGACAATGCACACTGTCTATGTACGACCAAGAACCGGGCCTCTGACCTGGTTTTGAACTTCAAGCACATCGAACAGGCTGAAACTGCAGAAGCACTTACCACGTACTTCCAAATAATTCCGTTTAAAAAGTATACAAACAGCAGCACTTTTGACATTCCTACCTTTTGCATTTATACTTTAAAACCCCCAAATACTTAAAAATTTTTAATTCTAAGCTCAGTTCAAACGGCCAGTTAAAATCACAATTATATATTATTTCCTGGCCAAAAATATTTTTACTACCATGGGATTAATTTCATTAATAAGCATATCCTTTTCTTACTGCTTTAAACAGCAGGATGCACATACATCAAAGTTCTTCTAGTATTTATCGCCATCAGTAAGCTCTTACAAATTTACCGTTCATCACGCACATCCGGGAGAGATCGCTTAACGGAAATCATATCACTGGCATACTGATTGAAGGCATTATTCTGCCAACCGTCATCAAATTTGGTCTTTTCCTTGGGTCCTAATTCTTCTTTCTTGATGTTAACAGCTTTGCCCATTTCGCCGGGACCATTCGGATCGTTACCGGTGTTGACGCCGGGTGGCACGAGCACGTTGTCGGACGCCTCTTTCTCTTTCTCCCCATTCCTGGAAATCAGCCAACCGTAACAATCGACCATACAAAAACTCCATAAAACCGTAAAAATTACCAATCTCAGAAGTTTCTGGGTACACACACCAAAGCACGCCAGAAATTTACTGCTATAATAAATAACATTTCTTTTGCAATAGCTCAAATTTTAAAAATTTATACATTTTTTCTGCTTTTTGCTGATTGATAAGACGACGTGCCATTTTGGTAAGAAACGTAAAATATTTATGCGAGCAGGTAAACGTCGCAATCAATAATTACTCAATAAATCGACGCGCATGCAAACTTCATCAAACCAGAACAAATTAATAAGGAAACCATACGCTTACCTTCGATAAATTTGTCTGGGTTTTGAAGGTTTGGGAACATGTGGCATGCCATAGCCAACACCTTCTATCACAGGTAATCCGTTTTTGCTTTGGCTTTCACTAGCACCGCTGCTGCCATCTGACTTGTTCATCAGTATAAATACACACAGATACACCGCTGGTATGATCAACAGATATTTTATCCATCGCGCACGCCGACGGAAAAAGGTTCCGAAACCCATCACCGGAAGCTATCCGCATAAGGTCACGGAGTCCACACTGGGATACAACTGTAGAGATCCAGACTGATTGATATCCGAAGAAATGATAGCAAGAGCAGTTGTCCTCTCGTTTCGACAAACGCTTAATCACAGCTGAACAATCCCTTCGGAATCGGCGACAAGCGTTCGCTCGATGTACTCCTTAGAGATTTGTCACACAGCTGCACAGTGTTACTACCGAACGACTATGTGCAGCTCTGCGTTGTGACATTACGATTGACGTTACTGCTGGTTCGGCACAGTAGTAACAATACAACCATCTGCGAAAGACAAGGAAAATCCATGAGAACGATGTTGCTACTGTACGTTGGTCTCAAATGTGACCACTCGAACAATCATACACAAAATAGTGCAATTTGGAATTAAAACCAATGTTTGACTGTAGTCATCACCAGCCAAGCAAAAAATCACGTACAACCACTTGTGAATCCACTCTACATTAGACTCCCGCTGCAACGGATCGTGAACGCAACGATCCCGCACGTTGGGTATGGAACTCGCTTTCGCACAGCATAATGATCCCCCAACAAATCGAAATCGTACAATGTTTGCAGTTTGCCCATACAAAGCTACAGCAAACATACGACACAAAAATCAATCGAAAGTAAAAGCAAATTAAAGGTGCTTATCGACTTATCGTTAACTTGTTGCTAAACGTTCTTCGCAGTATGTTAATTAAAAATGTATGACCTCACCACAGAAAACCAAATCAACTATCCCATTTTCACAATGCCGGCAGTATATGAACTGAATCAACTGATGCTGCGAATTATTATCAATTTTCCAATTACGAAATCGATGCAGGTATACCGTAGCTGAAGTGCTATCATCCATTCCAGAAACAGCAAGACCGCGCACCGCAGCAAGACGAAAATGCAAACATCATCAGAAAAGCATGTAAGGTTTAAACCATATTAATTATGAGTCCTACAACGTATGTAGTTACATTTAAAGGGTCAATTGTCTATCTGCCAAGCGTATCACACGAATATAAAAACGATGTTGTTATTCGCATTTCGGGCTGACTTGATTTTGTCTGCAAATAAACATCGCACACAAAAATCGCAACGCGGTGTCTGCAGTACAGTCGTCCGCACAATCCAACGCCAAATGAACTATCAATGGCGATGAATTTAATAAAATGTGAAAAGACAGGTGTAATTCTTTCCTGGAATTTCTAAATTGAAATTACGTACGCTAATGTACCAGTACTAACACACTGCTGTTATAATCCCATTTATATCGATTTCGCTCTCCGGAGAGGTGTGCTTGACTGTGGGTACACGTTAACTCACTGCATGTCACATTTAACATAAATAACAACATATCCATAATCTTTTGATAAAACGTAAATCTGAGAGCCATAAAACTCTGAATGTATCAAATTTTGCCAGTATTAGTAAAGCGCAAGAACCTCACGCCGCACAGTGCACATACGGCACCCTTGCAGTTTGTTAAGTAATTGCACAGCTGCCGATGATTACCAACCAGATTTTCAAGATGTGACTGAATTTTGAATTTCAATCAGAAGCACCAGATTCAAGCTCAGTTCCGATGGGTTTTTGACGACATTCTCTCTTAATCAAATTTTAACGGATTAATCATGAGCTCAGCACATCAATCCATCATTATTCATGAATCGACTTACAACAAACAACCGACATCTGGAAAAATTACGAAGTAATACTGTTTAGGAGAAGTGGATTACAATTGTACAGTCAATGTGCATGAACACACTACGGCTCCAATCTTAATACTTTTTCAGTTTCTCGTGTACCGTACCGTAGTTTTACCAGACCTCTCTTTCCGAGCAAAGCATTACAACTCTTCTAATCCTCGTAAGCGATACAAGGTATTAATTAGGTATCGATTGCAAATCTTCGTACAGGAAGGAGTCTGCGGCACCAGTATTCTTTCATCCTTTCTTCTAGTGAACGCAAACAAAACACGCTATCCTCAACAACGCGATTACATTTACCTGATATAAGACCCGTAAGCGATAAACAGATAAATTTTTTTAACTCTGCTTTTCCGGTATACAATTCACAAAATATAAGCCAAAATCAGTAACAAATAAGCCTGTAATTAAAAAATTAGAACCATCAGATGCTTGATGTACGAGTATAAATGGTGATTATCAAAATAAAATTACTTCGGCTGCATTACTTCAACCGTTCTGCATCATCGAATGTATCCAGGTTCTTCATAATTTTCAATTCAGAAAACGAGAGAAAACCTTTCTCAGAGTGTCCCCAGTAAAAACATAATTCTACTGTGTAACTTACAAAGTGCAATCAAAATTGCAGGAAACAACTTTAAATGACGACCTTGAAAGCGGCGATGCAGCATTTTTTCCATAAGGCAATTGTCATAATAGCTGGTCTGTTATCTTATGCCGCTCTTAAAGCATCAAATAGAGACGCGCGCATAAGTTTATATTTATGGATACATTTCAAGGTTCGTCGGTTTTCGTCGTTTTTGATAAGCAAACAGAAAAACAACGTGCATATAGACAAAGTAAACATATGGGTCATTTCAATATAGCAACTAACAATAAACGACCATCGGCGACGACGACGACAACAGGCCATTTAACAGTCAGGAAAACAGCACAAAAACTACAGGAAACTGTAGCATCGAAAAGATTCCATGGAAAAAAGTTTGCGGTAACCAGTCAATTCAAATAAATAATATTCGATATTGCAAAAACTCTATTCTAGCCATAACGCATTATCACTGCTTCATTAACCTACATTGAAAGACAAAAAAAAATTTGAAAACGTTTGAATCACAATAAAAAGTACATAGCTCCATCTGCATATCAAGCTTTCCTGAACCTCAGTAAAAATTTAAATTTCACGGATCGCAGTTAAAAAATATGATATTCGCACTTGCCGCGGTAAATCGGTCTACAACATCGGAATTTAGACATTTAACTGATTTAACATGAACACTGATGGTGACTGACCGCAAAACATACCGTGGGAACTCGTATACGTAGTCGGTAGTATGTACGATGAATAATATCCTGCTTGCAAAACCAAGGTTTTGGAGTATTTGGAAAAACGAATTCACGGTAACACGATAAAAACCATGAAAACACAGACAAAAATACAAACTGCAACCAAAATCACGAAACCAAATTACACGATTTACAGTTTATTCCATAAATTTTAAGATAACATCATAACAAGAATTATTGAAGTGAAATTGTCTCCATACCAACATAACAATAGATGCTGCATATACACAATATCAAAAAATAAGCTATAGTAGATAGTTAATATAACGGAAATCTACCAGGACTCACCATATAAAGTCCAATTTAACGGAGCGATGAAAACAATTAGGAAAGGAAGTCGGAGGAACAATCTGTCCAGGTCTGGATCCCAAGCGACCAATTTCCCGACGGAATGTGGATGACGAACGGAGCTTCTGCAGGCTAACAAGTCATTCCAGGCTTAAGTACTTAATAAAAGCAGCTATACGATTACAGTTCGTTTTGTTACTTATTTACATAACAGGACCAAAGACAACAGCAAAATTGAACAGAAATTCTTTGACTTCAGCGAATATTTCGAAAGCAGTACGGTATTACCACAGAAAGTACAAGTATAAGTACTTAGAGGGACCGTGGTATTACAGTACCTGTGTTTAATACTGTGTCATGCAAGATTTAGAACGAACGAAACGAAAACGGCGAGGTTGGCGTTATGTAGGGGGCACACGACTCTAACTAACACGACAGTCAGCTCTAACTTTAGGGCTTACAGATAGATACATCAACATGCAAGCATCAGCACATTATAATGAACGAAAAAGACCGAAGAACAAAACTTCAACCTATAATAACTAAATTCCAGAAACGCTTTTTAAAGTCAAAATTCATGAGCCATATAAAATAACCTCATTCACATCGGTTTCAACGAATCCTTATGCACGTAAGTATTGTACGCAGCACGCCACTGGCGCTCGCGCTCAGCGAGTGCGCGACTCGCCGATCGTCACTACGAGGAGCAAAGGGAGCTGGAAGTGCGCAATTAAATTAAAAATTTGATTATACTCGGTACAATGATTTTTGCAGATACTAATATGCTTATATGCATATTTGAAACATTAATTTTAACCATGAATCTGCTATTACTATAAACGAAAAATGAAGATTATCATTTTCCTAAATACCCTGCTTCTGTTTGCAGTTTGTTGACTTACCATCAAAATCCACACTTTGTTAAATATACGCATTACAATCATGCAGATTGAACAGTAAGAAACTAAATATTTCGACCCTATTCAATCGCTGCAAAAATTGGCAGTTATCAGCAATCCAGAAATTATCAATAAACGGTAAACCTAGAAGGCTGGAACCTTGTTAAAACTCAACAACTTACAATAAAGCCTCAGTGCCAAAGCGATTTTGTGGCTAACTGTAAGAATTGGCCTGTCAACGCGGTGACGCTCGACATTCGAAATATTATTGATATTAATGCAGATTATGGAGTAAGTAAAAAGTATGTATATCTAGGATAAGTATATGTACCTGCTATACCTACTGAACTCAATAGTTATCGTCAGTACGAGTACTGTACTGTACTCATGGTCAGCGCCGGTGGCTCATGAAAATCATTTCCGCCGAATGCCGACATTGCGCGCTGTATTGTATCGCTTATTCGCGCATAAGTTTTAATACGTAATATGCTGCTAATAAGTACCGCAAGTCTTGCGTGATGCAATAATAGTACGGCCGACCACGACCGGTAATGTTTTCCCGCAACACGCATTTTACTACGGTGGCCGGTGGGTATAAATATGATACACGTCTTCTATCATGAGTCCATGACGAAGGCAAAGTAAGGCGATACTGGGGTACCTAAGATTAGAAAAGTTATTGTACCTAGCTGTGCTTTTCTAATCGTAAATACCCCGGTGATACAAGGCAAATAAGTACTAGTATGTATCTAGTATCTACCGCGGACCGTGCTGATACTACAATCATAATAGCAAATTAACGATAATTATTACTTAAGGTGCGTACTGTTACTGTTAAAAATTTATCGTGAGCCTCACAGACATTTCCACCCAGTCCTTATTATTCATCAATCTCATCAACCTTTTAAAGACAGCAAACTTTGCCTCCACGCACAGAAGAAAGCTCAGCCACACCATTATCAGCTTTTTTCCTCTTTTTGCGAGTATAGACTATTATCTGTAACAATATGTATTTATCTATGTACATCAGGAGTTCAAAACAATTACACCAAAACACATTACCACATTAACATAGACTCTGTACAAACTCAGGTAGCAGAAGCACAAAAGTGACAACTGACAAGATGAATATCCCCGGATTCCCACAGTTCAGATTACGCGATTCCTGAGCGAGGCTTCAAAATTAACTTGCCATTCTGCAAACAACCAATGATTTGGCATCAGATCATATATGTAAAATTTCAAGTATAGAGTAGACGTAATAATTTTAATTATTACCGTATCACAAGACATATTAAAATCCTTAAGAACAGTTTTCACCCTTGCGGATATTCTGAAACAAAAAACATCTTTATAACAAATAGACGACCGACTTGGACGAACACCTAAACCACAGAGATACGAGGTTTCCGTCAGTCAGTCAGTGGTAAGTGCTACTGTAGCAAATAAATTAAATCCCGCAAATTAATACGCCCAGCGACTGCTTACGGAAATGTCTATACGGGCAAATTAGGGAAGCGCAACTTACATAGATGAAGCTACGACACGGTGGTGAATTCCAGTAAGGAAAAGAATCGTCAAAATCAGTGTACATAAAACGAATCCCGGATGGTTCAGTAGGGATTGCCAAAATGAAACCTGCTGTGTCAACGGATCCAGAAGCCATCGTGCAGTGGATATCACAGTAAACACCGACGCCAAAGCTAGCACCACTAAAAATACGAAAATAATTTCTAGTTTTAAACCTTTACGCAGGCATTTTCAAGAATGTCATGTATTTGTCGGGGTAGATATGCATACAGATCAGAAAAATTCACTGATTCCAAATCTGTAATCAGTCTGCGCGGATGAAAAATGTCTATGCGTGAACATGAACTGAAAATCCTTACGCAGTCTATGATTTTAGGCACCGGAGCAGATGTCCAATAACTTAACTTATTTAATATTAATAAAAAAATATCTTTTTAATTTCATTTTAGGCACTGCAGCAGGTCCAATAACTTAACTCATTTAATAAATAAATGTCTTTTTGATTTCATATTAATATACAAAAGCCAGGAAACAATTTGTGCCAATCAAGAAAAATCTGATAACGATAAGTCGAATTTTTTTTACTTATAACTTATTACTTACTCTGCCATTTTCGTGTCGTACTGCGCGGGCATGCAACGATCTCCATCATTCTACTCTCGAATGCTTTAAGATCTGAAACACAAACACCAAACACGTGTCAAATGCCTTTTATTCCTTTGTGCACAACGATAAAAACACTAATGAGCACTGTACTAAAACATATCACGTAATCGGTAATACTACTGATCACTGATCGTGAGCAAGTATCAATTCTCAGGACTCAAGAGTGTGACAGAGATTACCTACTGATGCATAATACAAGCCCCCGAAAAAGCAAATCGTTAACCAAAATAAGAACTGAAACTATCATCAACTACTTGTATTTACATGCAGCCTTATGAGAACACTGCAGAACACATTTAAACGAAGTTTGACATACCATCAAAAACATTTTGCTCGGTGTTGATCTCGTTCCTGTCACCACGAGCCCGAATATTCGCAACATAATTTTGCGGTTTCCTTGCCATGATTATTGCAAGATAATGTGCTTACGCACTCTGTGGATAAGCGGTTGCAAGAAGGTTCTTAAGCTAAAAAAAAGAACTTTCTATTTTCTAACCTGTAATCGATAATTCAATAATATAAGAAGTTAAGAAGAATTTGAACACACCAATTTGTTGCCTTTAGATGTTTAGAAGTCCAAAATTCGTATGCGAGTGCAACTTCTCCATGCACATTGCACGAGAGCATAGTATTACCGTGCAGACGGATCGTTTGTGGCAATTTTTATCGTAAATTTACGTGAACAGCACCACTGACATAACATACCGAGGCGGTGAGCATGCGACGGGCAGTGCTGGCAGTACTTTGTTCAGTGTGACTGCTGCCAAATTGCGTGCAAATTTTAAATATTCAAAAATGCTCAACTTTTTGTATTCTCAAGTCAAAATTGAATCCATAGGCTTAAAAAATACGTAATAATACATACTTTTTGGTTGTAAGAATGTATTTGTGTGCTTGTGTGCCAAAGCAATGTTATGACCGTAAGAATTTAACATACTCGTCTATGGCAAACCTGGTGCTGGATTTATGCATTTTCCCATAGAAGACTATGTTAACTGCGGAGAGTCATATCATTACTTTGTAATCAAAATAAAAAAACTAAATCCATGCTGCCAAAAGGTATATATTATTATGTATTTTTTAAGCCTATGGATACAATTTTGGCTTAAGAATAAACAAAGTTGAACATTTTTGAATATTTAAAATTTGCACGTAATTTAGCAGCAGTCACACTGAACAAAGTACTGCCAGCACTGCCCGTCGCATGCTCACCGCCTCGGTATGTTATGTCAGTGCTGCTGTTCACGTAAATTTACGATAAAAATTGCCACAAACGATCCGTCTGCACGGTAATACTATGCTCTCATTGCACACCACATCACTGCCACTTACTCTGACTTACTGTCACTTTATGACTTTCTAGTGCGGGAAATCTAATACCTAAATATTGTAGCAAGCCCCTTTAGCTCAGTCGGTAGAGCGTCAGGCTTTTAACGATAAGACACCTGAATGTCGGGGGTTCGAGCCCCCCAGGGGGCGAAGTTTTTGTTTTTTTTAGATTTCAAAAACAGTGCAATGTGACAGGTGCGAATAAATAATTTTATAATTTTAGTTCCGGTGTATCCGGTACATTTTTAGATCTGTAAGGATTTTTGTGAGCTCACTAATAATCAATTTACATATTAACCGATCCGGTAACATTTTTACAATTTCTATAGAAAACTGAAATTGCGTGTTACGACCCCATTACTGTAAATCTCAAATCTATTACTAATTATAGCACGATAGATTTTAACCTATTTTTGAAACTTCATTATTTAAGGAATACTAGGAAATTTAGAGTGCTTAAAATTAGAGCAGTGCAATGCTATGATGCAGTGGCACGAGTAGAGCAAAATCAGCAAATGTACTCGTACATTGTACAGTACAGTGTTAGTACAGTGAAAAAGGATTCGAATTTCGAAACACACAAACCGTGGCAACTTGCAAGTTGCAAGCGATTTAGCTTTGTCAAAATCGGACAAAAATTTGAAAATACGTACTTGTACTTGTCTTCATCTTTATATAATTATACAGTAAGTAGTAAGTACTAAGTACTTATTGAGTCTGACTGAGTTTTACTCTACCCAAAAGGATCGAAAAGAAGAGTTTAACCATATGTTTGTATGAGCAATTGATTTTCGTTTTGTCGCGGAAAATGAAAGACCATTATCAACAAGAAACGCTCAATAAAATACAATAACTGTCTACATTAAAAGCTTTATTATTTATAAGCTTAAAGCTCTGTACTTTAGTATCAATGTAGGTATTGTATCATGTACATATCTATATCGACATCATCAAATTTTATCGCAGAAAATTTGCAAGAACTATCCACGCAATCCTTTATGATTTTCTCCGAAGGATAACAACGGTCCATGAGCATGCGAAGGGCCAGGCGCATTCATACCGGACGAACTGGCGAAGCTATGGCCACTCTGTTGCATAAAGGAGGCAGGAGGAGGAAACGGAATTTCACTCATATTCGGCTCTTCGCAAATCGGAAAACAGAATTCTCCAATCCGTTTCAGATCGCCACCTTTCCCGACGTAGACTGTCAAATATGTCTTGAACATGGCACAATAACCGCGCAGTAATCTGCAGATATCACCTGGCTTCAAATGTTGTCCTTCTTCGCCAAATAAACAGAAGTTTATTGACCCGGACCTGTCCGCTACTCGAAATGTTCGGAGTTCGGTTCCTTCCTTCGTGCGATAGCAATTCCCCAGTTGCTCTAGCACCATAAACTGCAGGTTAACATTTTTTGCACCGGGTTTCAAATCGCGTACGAGCATATACGCGATTGAAGAGCCCTGATTTTCCGACATTTTATTCTGGAGTTTGAAGAAGAGCTGCAGACTGCAGAGCTACCGAGAAGTTACCAATATCCGCACTTCCGAGGCTGACTTTTCCTAACTCTTGTTCCAGGTGATCTTGCTCTAAACAATCTGGAGTTCCATTACCCTAATAAACTTTTTTAATTTTCTGCATTATTAATCTTAACTAACCAAAATACGTGTTGTTCAGAAATTTATTGGCATTTGCCATTTGGCACTAAATGCAAATTTTGCCCGTTGCCACTTATGGAATTCCAAATCCGACAGCTTCATCGATTTGGAAATCTGGAATTGGAAAACATCAATTGTCGATTTCAAAAACATCGATTACGATTTTTCTAACCCGATGCAGGACTTAGAATTTTTTCCAACTTTACAAATTCCATTTCCACATTCCATTTCCAACTACTGTGTGGGATTTTCCATATAATTTACTGGAAATGGCCTTAAACTGGTGTGCTCGCCATACGAAATCTGGCAGTTTGCGTTGTTGTTGACGTTAATAGAAACTAGAAAGTATGTGTTCCTTTTTATTTGAAAAACGAAACCCGTTTATTTCTTCGAGTTGCAGTATCTTTTTTGTTTTATTCTGATTTTGTACTTGTGCCCGCTGAGGGGCTCAAGTCCTCCAAGTGCTTATGACCGGGCCGTGGAATGGTGGAGTCCTCGATGTTTACGTCTTCTGGCCCGTTCTGGGGTTCTAGCCGTTGAGTAACAGCTGTATCTTTCCGCAACCGTTCCATGTGTTGAACAATAGTCTAAAATTTACTTCTACCGCTGTAACTTACAGTGGGATCCATAACGGTCGACTGCTTCCCAAAATCCAAAGTTTCCCGAACACGGTACGTTTCTTACGTTATACTTTGTACGGCAGCACTATAACGACTAATGAATTGTTCGGCTGTGTCACAGCCCAAACTTATTTTTGTAAATTTCATGGTATTGATGTAAGTATTTGTTGGTTTCGGTTTGATGCAGATACAATGGAAGCTTTTTTTGTGTTTGCGGATTCTGTCGTCGGGCGGGCCAATAGACTCTATGATACTGCAGATGGGGATCAGGACGGCATTGAAGGAGCACTGGGGCAGGTTGAATGTTTAACTGGGTAAGCTGTAAAAATCCGATAAAATTGCGGTTAACCTAATTTGATTCTGCCACGTTTATTTTGCTGTTTTTTAGTTGCACACGGGACATATGCGAAAACTTACCAAACGAAGTGACGGGAGATGCTCAGCAGTTGTTCTACGCTTTGCGAAACTGTTCAGAGGACTTGCATCAGCTACTGCGGGAAGACGAAAATGGGTCGGATTATTTCTATGAAATGAATGGCGGCACTAACAAATACGGAAAAATTTGTATTCCGGATAACGAACTCTGTGAAATGCGATGCGAAGGCTTCACAGTTAGGGAAATTGCTGGGTTTTTTGGAGTCACGACACGTACGATCGAGCGCAGGCTTGTTGAATACAATTTAAATCATAAAGTAAATTTTAATGCCAGCAGCTATTTTAACGGTAGCGTCTTATTTGTATTGGCATGGCCAAGTAAAATAAGTTATTGTAAGAGAAATAATTTCCAAATTTTTACAGCGCGGAAAAAAATTTTTTTCGCGATTTTTATCGTAGTACAGCGATATATCAGCAAATGATAACGGTATCAATCTGGAGAGGACGCAAACAACTGCACTGTTTTGAAACACAGAAAGTATCATAATACATTACAACAACCAGTTACTGATCAATAAGGTTTGATATTATTTACATAAAAACCCAACGAAGAAACAAAAAATCACTGGTGGTGCTCAAGTATTAAACAACAATTATTACCTTGTTAAACAACAATTATTACCTTCCGGCATTCGAAGAGGACGTAACTGCTGTGAGGTAGCGTCCTGTGGGATTCAATTGGACATCAAAGAGCAGAAAGTGTGAAACATCCCCAACACTGACAAATCGGCGGCATTCACAAAAGATAAATACCCAACGCTTCCGCTGCAGAACATACAGACAGTGTCAATCAGCACACTGTCAGGAATACGACTGTGCTTTCCTGGAAGCCGTGTGAAGAACGACGAACTGCCCCATAGGCGATCAGGTGATTTTCTCCACCTTGTGCCGCAGCGCTAATTTTTCTATAACGTATTCAAACATAATTAGCACCATAAAACTTTAAAAAATGCGGCGAAATAAATAAATGCTAATCTACTAAATAAATAATACTAAATTACATCGCAGAATAACTTCATAAAGTAATGGCAAGAAATAAAATGCACATCGAGTCTTCATGTAACTCTCTTGAATTGTCTCAAACATCTTCTGCTTATTACATAAATGCTACAAGTAGATACTTGTAATCAAAGATCTGAAAGTTGCAAAAGACCTGCAACTTTTCCATGGACAAGGACACTTACTGACTAATTCCAAAATGACGCCTTGTCGCCCACTTTAGAAATTAGCCAATTTACTGAACCAGCAACAATTAGCACTACCAATGTGTTGCCATTTGGTTCCCAGGATAAATCCATGATGGAGTCTGTAAACGCCAATAAAATTCATTCTAAGTTTTTCTGATAAATCACCACATATTACTAAAACAAATTAACTTTTAAGTTTTTACTAGTCAAAGGAAGATACTCTGTAAAGGCAAAAAGATCATGAACGTGGTTACAAAAGAAAACTGATCTTGTAAAATAAGCCCAATCAACCATTTTCCTAACAACCTGCTACGAAAACCTGTTACGAAAACCGGTAGTCAAAAATATCAAGTCACGTGTTAATTATTATTTCAGTACCGAAAAATCTTGCAATGTATAAATTTATAACTCCTCAAACCGGTCCCACTCTACTGTACTCACCTAGTATTTTAATGGATTCTACGGGAACTTCCGTTCGTTTAATTGAGGCGAAAACCCCCAGGTTGATAAAACATTCCACCGTGGTCAAACTTTGTTTCCCCCTTTTCTTGATATGGTTATAACGCTCCACTTTGACGGGCATGTAATCGCGGTTTTTCTACCAGTAGAACTCGCAGTCCTTGACGCCGAACAGCTGTATAATGCGGATCTCCTCCATGGGCTTGTCTTTATCGGGTGGAATACACAGAAGAACAAGTGATGGCGACGGGGTTTCGATAGACCCTGAATCTCCAGATACGTCCTGGAGATTCGATAAAACGGGACGACAAAGCCAGGAGACACGAGATAGCACAAGATGACACTTCAAAGGGATCGAAATCTGCCATACTCAGAACTGCAGATTTCTCTGAAATATACATATATCCGCTAAACTGAATAAATCCACTCAAACAAACTGAAAAAATAAGAAAAAACAACTTTTAATAGTAATTGTACTGTAAATTGCAACGCCAACGGCAACATCCAGACTTCACTATGGCGTGAACACCAGATTAAGGCCAAAATCCAGTGATTTATAATGAAAGTCCATTACAGTAACTGTAATGGAATGTGGTATTGGAAAATCAAAAGTTGAGAAAAATTCAAGTCCATCATCCGGGTTGGCAAAATCGTAATCGATGTTTTCAGAATCGGCAATCGATGTTTTCCAATTCCAGATTTCCAAATCGATGAGGCTGTCGGATTTGGAATTCCATAGCCACTTACTGAGGCTGAGGCATGAGTTCTGTTTGGCTCTAATGTCGTGTACGTACTTTATGAAGCAGTAGGGCAAGGTGTGTTGTCGACTAGCAAATGGCTGCTTGTGGGGCGGAGACTTATTTTTAAAGCCTATGTGTACGCGCGTACCCTATGTCGACCTAAACATCACGGCTGATCTAATCCTCCTGGAGGGATTGGATGGGTGCTATTCACGCACTTCGGTTCATTTTATGGACTTCAGCGTCGTGCTCAGTGGCAGCGTTTACACATCCAATCTGCCACAAAATCCATTGGAAGTTGTTGTTTTTCAGTGCCTAAGCGCAAGTCCAAGCACGAAAATAATTAATATTATTTGAAATTAGAAATTTTAGTTTCTATCAAAAGGAGGGCATAAAAAGCAAAGCGCAAAACGTATCGACCCTGATAACAGATACCTGGTTTTCTGTTATTATGGTTCCATTCTGACTAGCGTGTGGAACTTTTTGTGAATTGTAAAAGGTACCGCATATCGACATATGCCACGTATAAGAAGAAGAATAGAATGAGAATTTTTCTCGTTCGTGCTAAGTTTTGTTTTGGCCAAATCACAAATGAATTTTTTTTCGGATAACGTTCCATATGTTACACTTTCAGACCAGCAACAGAAGCATTACAAACCTGTTTTTTGTTTAAAATGAAAAGTCAAGGACCGTTTTCGTCCTACCAAAACATGCTTACAAAGAATTCTAAAATATCTATAAATTATCACTTCCACTCACGGAAAGCCTTTCGACAGCACTAAGATGAGCACTCGGGTTAAGACTATGGTTAAAACTAAGGTCAGCATTCGGGTTTTTACTTTGGTTAGAACTAATGTTAGCACTCGGGTTAAGGCTCTGGTTAAATTAAGTGCAAAACGAAACGGGCTTACCATTGTTAGGCTGAAGCATTACTTAGTTAGATAGTTAATTCGATAGAACAACGATTCAAAAAAGTTTATTTTTTATGATTGAATTTAAAAAAGGAAATGGCTATTCTTACCACCCCAGCACCTCCTTTGGCTATTCTCACGACCTTTCACCACCGTTTGGATATTCGCACCCACTTTTTAAAAATATTTTTGCCACCACCTTTGGCTATTGTCGCCACCTTTTTACACCTCCTTTCGACTGTTCCCATTTCCTTACATATTTTAATAATAATATTATGTTTATAAATGCCTACGGAGATCTTTCTTTTATAAAAATGATTGTAAAATCATATTTGTATAACGTTATGCGTTTAGACGCACGATCTTTAAAAGCCGGACAAGTAAACCCGATAATACTTGCCGGTATCAACAAGTACTGTACTAGCAGGTACAAAATCATGAGATACAAGTCAGTTAAATATGACTGGATCCGCCACAAAGTGCATGACGCTCAAAGAACTGGAAGAAAATCATTCCAGCATACCCGGCGAGCCGAATGCAATGCCGCTCTAACCGTAGCCGCACGGCTGAAAGAACACCGCCTCATCATTACTAAGCAAAATATGCGGCATAACCATCCTCTTACCAAGAATGGTTGGCAAAACGTGCTGGAAAATCGACGGTTGGATCCGAAAGAAGCTCTAGAAGTCCGTGAACTGATAGAATCGCGATAAGTTTAAAAAAGTGCGAGTGCGAGTGATAAAAAAGCTACTGAGTTTCCAATAAGGCCAGTCGATCGACATTGTTTCCTCGGGTATAGCAGCAAAAAATGGATACGACTGTAGCGTTTTCGCCATTGCTTTTGCAGTTGAAATCATTTACCAGGGTTTACCGGAAGAAGACGAACTCTGCAATAAGAAGATGCGAGAACGTTTGGCAAACAGCTGCAGCACGGACAAGATGCGCCTAGATACTTTTCCGGCCGGCGGCGGCCCCAACCGTAAAAAAAAGTGCCCCTAACGGCAAAGCTTTGCTTTTTGTCACGAAGTTTTTTATAAAATTTACTGTGTAAAAAATGCAATAAAGAGGTGAGAATAGCTAAAAGAGGTGTGCAGAGGCGGTGGCAATAGTCAAAAGGTGGTGTTAGAATTCAATTCTTGGAAGGTGGTGGGAATAGCCAATAGGTGGTGAAATGACGTGAGAATAGCCAAAGGAGGTGCCAGGGTGGAGAGAAAAACGATTTCCTTTTTAAAAATCAATCAGAAAAAATAAACTCTTTTGAATCGTTGTTCTTTCGAATTAACTATCTAACTAATAATGCTTCAGCCTAACAATGGTAAGCCCGTTTCGTTTTGCACTTAATTTAATCAGAGCCCTAACCCGAGTGCTAACATTAGTTCTAACCAAAGTAAAAACCCGAATGCTGACCTTAGTTTTAACCATAGTCTTAACCCGAGAGCTCATGTTAGTGCTGTCGAAAGGCTTTCCGTGTGTGGAAGTGATAATTTATAGATATTTTAGAATTCTTTGTAAGCATGTTTTGGTAGGACAAAAACGGTCCTTGACTTTTCATTTTAAACAAAAAACAGTTTTGTAATACTTCTATTGTCTGAAAGTGTAACATACGGAAAGTTATCTGAAAAAAGATTCATTTGTGATTTGGCCAAAATAAAACCTAGCACGAACGAGAGAAATTCTTCTATTCTTTTTCATATACGAGGCATATGTCGATATCTGGTACCTTTTACAATTCAAAACCATTTACAATTCAATTTAAAACCATAATAACAGAAAATCGGGTATCTGTTATCAGGATCGATACGTTCTGTGCTCTGCTTTTTAAGCCCTCCTTTTGATAGAAACTAAAATTTCTAATTTCAAATAATATTAATTATTTTCGTGCTTGGACTTGCGCTTAGGCACTGAAAAACAACAACTTCCAATGGATTTTGTGGCAGATTGGATGTGTAAACGCTGCCACTGAGCACGACGCTGAAGTCCATAAAATGAACCGAAGTGCGTGAATAGCACCCATCCAATCCCTCCAGGAGGATTAGATCAGCCGTGATGTTTAGGTCCCTATGTCGTCAACCGTGCACTGTGCAGTTCGTGCTCCGCTTTGAAGTTTCGCGCACTTTTATTTTTCAAAATTACAAAATACTTTGGACGGATTGTCAGTGTCAGAATGCCGTGGAAATTGACAAATTGTGCTGTTAACAGACTTTGAGATCCACATTTTCTGCCAACTTCAGGAACTGCTTTAAAATTCCGTTTTGGGCTCGGTTTCTCGAACTGATTAGTCTGAGCTACACTGCTGCAGTCTACAGAATTGAATAAATTTGTCAGCCCGAGCATTCCGAATAACATTCCGAATGGCTTTGGACGAGGTCTCTTCGGTGGATCCATCAGTGACCGACATCGAAATGCAGTCCGTCGAAAAGCAGCAACCTCAACCAGTACTGAAGACAACTGAGCCACATTACGCGGTCCCAGGATCGCCTTCGGCTTCAGGCAGTTCCAGCGCCGCTGCAGAAGCTTGTATGCCAGGAACGTCGGGCAGTGCATCCACAACGTAATATTTTTATTTTATTGATCGAAAATTAATATTAAATTATTCTTGTGATCGTTATCACTTATCAGTTATCAGACATCGTATACCTAACTGAACGGTAGAGATCGCGACGTGTTTGTGAGTTCTGTTGAAAGTTCATCTTGAATAGGGACTGGAAGCGTGTGGAAACGGCCAGAACCGCACTTGAAACCGCTAAAGCTTTGATGAAAGTGGATCCAGTGGAATACGAACGGATTATTGATACACTGGACCAGGTTTGCTCTACATTGTAAGTAACCGGTTTGACTCTGGTTGTTCTCTTACGGTTACAAGTTATTGTGGTATGATCGTATATTGAAAATAATTTTGTTGTACTCTGCTTATTACGCACGACGTGACTCACGAGTGTAGAATCTAGATGTCATAGAATGATGTCGGTTTGCAGGAAAAAGGAATTGGGCGACTTCCACACGGAAACAGTTGATGCATTGTTTCACTATGGCAGCATCCTTTTGGAGTATTATCAGATGGGCGCAGGATTGGTCAGTAACAAGGCTGAAGATGGTAAGAAAGACAGTATTCAATTATGATAAGTGTTACGAATAAAACGTGCGTTTGTTGGAAGCGCTCTCATTGTCTGCTCTTATAGCGATTAAACAGTATGCGGCGGAAATTCTAGAGGGCTCGAAGGAGGAGGAGGTTGGATTAACTGATGAAAATAAAAGTGCGTAATTGTTTTCTGTATCGGTTCACCGAGCGCTTTTATGTTCTAGATTTGTTCAGAATAGCTTTTTGTTTTTGCAGATCCTGGAGATGAAGTTGGTGAAGGTACTCGTATTTATTTTCTTATAGTCTGAAATCTTTTCTTCAGATGTGATTTTGTGTGAAAGAACTAACCGATTTTTGTTCTAGAAGATAATGGTGAGGATGATGATGCGCAGTCAGACGATGATTCAGTTGAGGATGATGGTGAAGCCCTGGATGTTAGTGATCATCTTGACGACGAAATGGATACCAATGTATGCTGTTCCATACTTTTTTATCAGATGAGAACTGTTGCTGAGTCGAACTGATGTTTTGTAGGCTGAAAGTGTTCCTGAGGAATCTTCCACAGTTGCGGCAGAACCGATCTGTTCGGAGAGTGTCCCAGCAGAGACTTCCAAGAAACAAAACGAAGATGCTATCGCTATCGGTGAACTCCGGTATGCATGGGAAATCTTGGAGACCGCCCGAGTGGGTTACGCCAAACGCGTTAAGGAAACAGGAGCGTTTACCGATAAAATCCGCTTGTCAGACGTACGTAATGGTTTTCCGTGTTTGTGCTTTTTTGTAATACTATTTAAGCAGGGAACATGTCTTCATGTATTGAATACGGACGGTGAGCAGTGAACAGCGCCATTAGTTTTTCTTAATTTAGATTCATCACAAGCTGGCTTTATGCGCCGCGGAGAATGGTCAACAAAATTTGGCTTTGGTAGAAGCAGAACGAGCGCTGAAAGTCTGCGAGGAAGCTTGTCAACCAACCGACCGTGAACTGGCAGAAGCATATTTCAATTACGGAACAACCCTCAGTATGTATGCTTTGTTGGCGGAGGCAGCCCATAATATGAAAACAGCCGTATCTATTCTGGAAAACCGAAAAGGTGAGAGTATGCTGTTGTGGTATTTTTATGCAATCCTATCTCGTCTGCTAGTAGTTCGCTGATAAAACGGTTTTTCGATTTCAGCAATGAGTAATGCTAGAATTTCTGTTTTGGAGTCGTCTACCGAAGGTACTACGTGGTATTGCTTGCATATTTTCGTTAGGTGTCGTGTCGTGTGTAACTGTTGTCTGTTAACTTGTACAGACAAAACTGCTGAAATCTTGAAACTGAAGAAGGAAGTGGATGAAATCTCCGAATTGGTTCCTGATTTAATGGCTCGAGTGCAAGATATTTACGAAGACATGAGACTGGGCAGCGATGAGGCCAGGAAGTTGTTAAATGATTGGCTTGTACGTTGTTTGAACGCATTGAGTATTTTAAATAACAGTTTTAATTGAATCCGCATTACAGAAGGGAGTCAGCGAGCAGTGCAATTCGGAAGCTGGAGTGGCTGTTAGTGCGGCGCCTGTTAGTGATATATCTCATCTTGTCCGAAGGGTTAAAAGATCCAGCGACATGGTCGAGGACGACGCTGTAAAACGGCTGAAGGCATCTGATCCATCATCATCGGACACTGCGGAACGAAATGGCACATCTGATGGAACCAACTGATGAAACCTTTGCACACTAAGGAACATTTTTTTCGGTTTTGAGCGGTTTTCAAATGCGTTGTTCTTTTTAAGTATTAATTTTCAAGCATTTTCGAGGATTTTTCATTTTTTTGTCCTGATTGTATCGAATTTTGGCAGGTTGTGGCGCAATTTTCTATTGATCACATTATCACAACAGTGAGTTTGGATTCTCACAATCAACTTAGTGGTCTCTTGTGAGCTTCACACTGCAGTGCAGTTGAATGCACCTTTTTAGGCTACAGTACACTGATTGTGAGTACAGTCAGTACTTAGTCAGTTTCTTCGGAAGCAACACCTGTCTTTGTATTGTTTAAAATTATCAAATCGGCACTTTTCAACGAGTGAATCAATTTGTTTCCACGAGAAGTAAATTTACGTAATTGTTAACCATTTAAATCGTAACCAGTAAAATCATTATGTGAACAAAATACGTAACAAATTAACTCGCCGAGGTACTAGGACACAATAAACGTTCAACTAAAGCACGCTAATTTTTTTGTTCTAAAACTACATTTTGCTCTGAATCATTCGCACGCCACACAACAATTAAGTACGCACAAAGAAAAGAACAACTGTATTATGCTGTACAGAGTACAGTTAAAAACTCAGAATTCCGTTGCGTACTCGCCGCACAGCGCTGTTCCGGGATAGCATAACTGGCAATTCCCATAGTTAACCGTGTGTATTATACTATTATCACAACTCAAACGGCGATATCGCTAGTGCTGCCAGTAGAAGCACTGATGTCTTCAACGGGGGGAAGCACGTTTGCTTTTTTTACAGGTCGTCCTTGGATCTTCACTAATTCTCCATCCTGGTACTCCCTCTTCGAGACACCACCTGAGCCAACTCGAAAAAGTGTTGCGTTTTTATACTCCATTTTTCGTATCCAATACTCGGCACTGCTCTCCGTAGGGATGCCAGTTCGTCGCGCCTCCGCTTCCTTTTCTTTGTTATGCTCAAAAATCAAATGCATAAGACAGCAAAACATCCCTAACACACTGACATTGTATATCCGCCCTAGGATGGTATCCCACTTTTTGGCAGTGGCTAGGGGGATCGGCGCTGTTGTATCGCGAATGAGTTTGCGTAAACGCCAAAAACGATAAATCGGCATATTGTCACGGGACACGGTATCGCACTATAAACAACGGGCAAGTACAAAACACCGATAAACCAATTTTCACTTGTAGTAACGCTTCGGCTTTGGTTCTTCCTCTAAATTCTCGCCAGCCTGAGCGGAATTCGCTGCTCTTTCTTTCTCAAGCGCCTTGCGCTTTCGGTAATCAGAAAACTCCAACGCAGCAGCGATGAAGGGATGCGGCTTTCTGTCTTGGGGTGGGACAAAGTTGGGGTTTTGCTGGATTTTCCACCACACGTAATGAATTAAACCAATACCTAGAGTAAAAATTAAGATGCAAAGTTGTCCAAGTCGTAACCAATCGACTTAACGACGAAATAATCACTGAATTCAAAAGGCCAGGTTACTGTTACTAACACTTTTTGCAACGGAGTCAAAACTCACTTCCTATAGCAATGGGCCAAAAAAGCTTCTCGCTCCAAGAGGACATGGCATTTCAGGATACTGGATCAATCTCTTCAGTGCATCCAATGGTCCCAATGCAATGTTTCAAACAGCTGCTTCATATAAAGATGCCGATCACTTTAGCAAAACGAACTCCCGTTTACTCAAATGTGTTTCTATTTTGCATTCAGACCAGCGATTAATTGTTCAAGGAAAACTCTGGACAACTTGTAATTTTTGACGGTAAAGTAAGAAGGATTTTGAATTTGGAAACAGAAGCCCCAGACGGCAGACCCGTAGGTCCATATTTCTGTGTTTCAAACATGATCGCCTGTGCCGGGCGGTTAAGCAGGAACAGATCAGCTGGCAGCCTGTTCTTTAATTTTTCAGTTTCTAAACTTTTGCAGGTTTTAATTGTACAAAAAATGCCACTTGGTTATTTATGCGACTTGATTTATTATCTTGCTTTTATTGGGCATACAACAACGTTGTAAATGGATGCAGGGCGCTGTTCTCCTAATTTGACAGAGTTATGAGAGCTCGCCAAAATGCAACAATATGAAGTGGGATCCGAAAATGTTGCTGATATTGTGGCGGAATATCTCGGTACGTAGTGCTGGTGGAATACTTATTTGCTTTAACTTGCCACCATTTGCAAGCTTTTTTGCAAGATGTTATGAAAAATCAAGTACGTACTTTAGTTGCTTAAAATCGTAGAGTATGCCATTCAGCACATTCTGTGCACCAGGATGGTGTACCCGAAATCATCGTTTATGGAAGTACATAAATTCAGTATGAGTTTGGAAGTCCTGAAGGATCCACATTTAAAGGTGTATGTCGATCGGAATATCAAGAAAGCTAGAGGTAAAAACCGTAAGATGGCCCTTGACCTGACTGACAAAAGTAGCAGTTTGAACTGGAAGGAATAAGTTAGCATTGCACTGATGGGTAGAAATCTTTTCTTTGTTGCATTTCCAGATTTGTTGGCCAGTGGACATCTGCAACGGTGTGTCCTTGTCATTGCAAAGATCAGTACGGGCGAAGTAGTGGAAAGATGGCAATTTTCGATGGATGACTCAAACAGGTTATGAAAAAAATTGCGTAGTCGAACTAACATCTCGTTAGAAACGTTTTTTGTTGATGCGCGCTTTTTGGATTGTTTCTAATGTTTGCGTACTTTTAAAAACTGTAAATACTGCCCGGGTGCAAGAAGAGTGAGGATACAGATACATTCTCTTGCATATTCGGCAATACATACGTGCTGTTCGAGCTGCATTAATTTTTGTGATAGTGTGTAACATGGCTTTAACTTGATATTTAAAATTAATAGCGGCATGGTTACCGATCTGCCCAACTTGCACAACAAGATAACTCAGTCGCTCAAGCAAGTCGGAGTGTGCTTCCTTCCGCCATTGGATGCGGATTGTTCGTTCAAAATTTTGCTTTATACGGATAAAAGCGCAAAGTCCTTAGGTGAATCTCTTACCAACATCCATCCCCATCTAATTTTACATGGTAGTGGTGACAGTTTGGAAATGCGCTCTGTTGACTTTCCACGTTGGCGGCTTCATACCGCTGTCTCTTATTTCTCCCCATAAGGATCTGGAACTTCCGTGGTTTATGCTCCCATTTTATTTCATTTTTGTGATTTATTTTTGTGTATATGCGAGATCGATGTGTTCGCATTGGCTGCATAGTGGAATTGTTTGAAACTCTGTATTTTTTCAGTATTTTGCACTTAGGGACATGTTCATTTTATGTGTGCTGATTTCCGTCGGATTTACTATCCACATGATCACTTGCGATAGATTTTCGTGACCGATAAAATTTGTAATCTGTGTACGGTACACTCTGTTTGCCTCTGTTACCTTACTGGTTAAGAATAAAAACTGGATTCATGTTAAAGTAAGACCTATTCCGAAATTTAAATGGGCGGCGGATACGGAAACGCGTCGAAACTCAGCGTCCGGCTTTTTTACTTACAGTAAGTGCTAAACTGACCGCAAGGCGCAAGTAACAGCAAGTATCGTACACTCAGACGGGCCAGACCCACAAGCCGGAGAAGCTGGTAGCAAAATACGCCTGTATCTTTGTACCGCAATGGCCTTAAAGCGTTATAAGGGATTAGCCCGCCTAGCTCAGTCGGTAGAGCGTGAGACTCTTAATCTCAATGTCGGGGGTTCGAGCCCCCCGGTGGGCGACTTTTTGCCCCGTTTTTTTTTTGTTTTTTTTTCGCATTAGAACCATTTGAAAATGAGAATTTGTTGCAGTTTCATTTGTGGTATTACCTGACAGCTTTAACAATTAACTGCAGTGGGCCTAGTCCTAGTGGCCACACTATCCAATTTAACGCATTTTAAAACGAGATTAAACCGGTATAGCACTGATATTATAGCATGTAAACATCAGTTCCCCTTGGTTAAAGATAACTATTGGCAACCTGTTGTGAAAATTACCAATATATCTATATTTACATTTTGCAGTAATTTGCTAGAAGATGCACTATGACGGTACGACCCGGTAAAACTTTTATCTGATGAACTTCCATCTTTTTCTCGATGAGGGTGACAACGGGATTGCAGATTCCGAACAAAACTGTATGGCAAATGCAGTGGTCACTGGTCCGTGCCTTAAAAGAACTATGATAATTTGTACAAAACAGTCTGATGTAGAAGTACTTACTGCATGCTCCTGTACATGTGCAGGACTCACCACCGGAACCAGTAAACTTGCAGTACAATAAATGCAATGATGCACAGCACTTTATTTTATTTACAAGCATACATGTTGATTTTATTATAAATATAGGTACGAGTACAACTGAATTTCGGGTGAAACTACGAAACAGAATAGAACTATTCTTCTTTATTTTCTATGAGTACCAGCACCTGAGTTAATTCGGGCGTACACTTCAGGTAAACAGAAAGATTACTGTTAATAATATAATCCTCCTGTGCCGGATGTTTGCGTTAATATCTATAGTAAGTAATAAAATTCGTTAAGGTACGAAACCCGATCGATCTGGAACGACATTGAAAAATCTCACTATAATAGTCAGCCAGCATATAAAAAATACGGTCTTGTATAGCTGATTGTGAATGATGCACGAAACAAATCTGGTGGAGGCAGCCAGTAATCTATCCAATAAATACTTTTGCACGCATATCTATATTTTTCTGTGGAATCGAAAAACGACTGTCAGCGATCGAATAATTATTATATCGGCAGCAATAACTTGAAATTTGCTTACATAAGCGTCTAGTCAAAGTAAGTTAAGGAACGAAAAATTGGTGGTGATCCAAACCACCGAATTAACCTTGAGAGCTCGACGCAAGCTGTACGCCAACCACGGCTGAATATTTTAACCGCAAATTCCTCGCAAAGGTACAAACAAAATACATTTTATGTCAGTTGCAGTATTCAGTACAAACCGGAAGGGTCGGGAATTCTGCCATATGTTGCCACAAGTGCTTTAAGTAGATACATATACATATGCAGGAGAATTTCCCGGTACCATACAGCATTTTGTGTTGTTTGCTGAAAGGTACAACACGGAACCGGTACGCAACCACAAGACCTTCTGCAGAACTTGCAAGGTGGCTTATTTGATTAAATAAATCAGCGGATGGAAAGAACGACATTGCGGTTTTCGTGGTCGAATAGCAGTGGTAATTTTTGCTGGATATGGCAATGTATACCGCGGTTGTGCAGCAGGACCTTTGTGGGTGCCAGTGCCAATGGTACTAAAATGAGTAAAATCCGATCACTACGGGTACAGTGAGGAGGTACGTCGCAGCCGATGTTCGATATGCAGTTTACAAATTTTACAAGTTGACCAATTTAGGTAAACAACTAAGTCTGGCTCATTTTAAATTAATAGCATTCGTTCTGTTTTAAAACAAGTTGAATTAATTCTTTATCTATCTGAAACTGAAAGAAATAATAGTCTTCACAGTATCACCACGACGGTTATCTGTAGTTCGCTAGTTTGTATGCATTTACAATATTTTGCACAGTATAATACTACGACTGAGATCGATAAATATAATTAATTTAGTATATACAGTTACTTTAAATATCCTACATATACTAGTATATACGCGACACAATATAGTATACTGCGCCGCGTGCGTGTAAAGTTGTAAACCGCCTAGCGGAATGTGAACGGCCTGACTTCTCCAGAATTGCATTAATATATTTTCTTTTGTTTCTTTTAAGTTTCACCCTAGGATGCTTTGAAGCAATATAATATTACAACCATCAATGCTTTGGTAAATTTGCTTATAGGTCTATTCAGTTTATAATTATGGCGCAGTATACTATATAAGCCTCGAGAATGTTACGCTTGCGCACACACTGATGTATCCAATTAACATTTGCGGAAAAGCTACGAGAAATTTTTGACGTATCTTCACGATTTTGGCAGAGTCGTTTAATCCAGTCCTAACGTCAAAGATTACGTACCGCGAATTTGTTTTCGTTGATACAGTACCTGCATTATTAGCGCAACATACACACAAAACTATGCCAAATACATATCTGCCAATGCGCGTGAGGCGGAAGTCTGTGTGCCACTAGCGTGCAATGCAGCAGACAGCCTTTGAATGTCGGCACTCAACATCAGAAGCATAGAGCATACTGAAAATCAACCGCAAGTTTTTTCCTTCCAACCACATTTAGCCTTCCTTCTGCCATAACTGGTGGCTAATGTCGGCATTATTGTTATTATTATAATCATGTAGAACGGCTTGTGGTTTTTCGTGTTAACCGCTTGTCGCAACGTCACTTACCCCAGCCAAAGCGTCTAGCAGCGATGTTCATTACCGAAACGCAACATTCATTCCGCCGGGTCTTCTTGTTCGACAACAGTCTGGCTTTATAACTGTCAACTCTATACGTGCCTGCACACTGGAGAACCTGTTGATCAACGCTTCTTGTTTGTGATCGTTCCTGCTGATCACAAATATGCCTCGATACAAAATGCTTCTGGATATATATTCTGCATTTATCCGACTTCATGGCACACGGAATTATCCCTGAGGATTTACACTGTGATATTATATGCACTGAGTTGGTACTGCTTGTAATGTTATCCGCTGACCAGGGCGTCAACTGACCACTACAACTGCATAAGCATTATCACCTCTATAATCGATCTACAACGCAGGATCTGTATGGGAATTGTGTTTTGAGTGTAATTGCTGTTGTTCTGTATTTATGGCCAGCCGCACCTTGATGACATCAAGCAGTGAGGAATTTGTGACATCGAAGACTTCAAACACGACTCTGCATCCAGTCCATCAACCTCGGTAAGATGGATGTTTAATCTAAAACTGCTCTGTCAGCACAACTAGTTAACGTTTCATCCGGTAGAAATTTTATTTGGTTTAACATCGCGTTTTCTTTGCATTTGAAATACAGAAATTCTCCGTCATCCATTCGAAGTAGGTATCGCATACATTGTATCGTTAAGGTCTTCGATCCGTAACCACTTCAAGCTAAACGGTTTTATTTTATTACAAATACTCTTTTACGCTTTTATTTAAAGTCACCCTTTTGGACTTTTGGTATAATTTTAGCATTATTATCAGGCAATTATATTTGTGGATTTTGATGAGCGCCACGAAATAACTGATCATCCTTATTCTTTGTATAGAAATACGCATCGTACTAATCGGATATTACTTTTTATTTATGATGAGATGTTGAAAAATATGCTTATGTATATCGCTGATACTGATTTAGCACAACGGCACTGTATGGGCTAGCAATTGCTTCTTGTTCCGGCAGATCGTGACTGCATAGTGCATACCGTACGCTACAGTTCCGCACGTTGTGGTACCACGCATGTATGGACATAAGTTCTCACTCTAATTTTTTTGACCGTTGTCTTTTAGTGTTTTGCACAGTTATATTCTGCATTTAACGGTAAGGTACACTAAGCTGGCCACCGGAAGGCCAAACTTCCACAGTTCCACTCTTGCGTGTCTTAATGAAACGCAAAACAAACTTAGCGCACTCGTATACCAGATAGAAACCTAAAATTAAAAAAAAATTTTCAGTTTTCTTTTTCTAATCCTTATCTATGTAATTATGTAGTTCATAGGTGTTCTCCTTAACTTATTAGCAGCATGGCGTTAAATATGCGGAGTTCAGAAGCATACATGCGTGGCGCGTGGATGCGCAAAAAACCAACGTAGAGTTTTTTTCCAAAAAAACTTACGGTTTATACGATGTTGATTTGTTTAACCGTACTTTTAATTGGTTCAGAAAATTTGTGATTTTAAATCTAGTTTTTACAAGAAATTCTCTTAATCCTGGGACATAAAAACCATGTTTTCTGTTTGAACATTTTTATGTAAGATTTAACATCAAAACATTTCTACACACTTCAGATACGAGTACGCTTATTTAATTTTGCATTCAAGTACACATGTGCACGCTAAAGATACCTACCAAGTATTTGTTGCACAAAAACACCAAGCACGAACAAAACAGTTCAACATAAGCATAAATTCTACTGAGTAGAAACTCTTAAAACTATTGGTTTGGAAACTTTATCTTTTTAAAACCGTGGTTTAGGATTTGAAAACGGTCATGGTCATAATAAATCATCCATCTAGCTGTTAGTCGGTAACTGAGATTTTTGCTCCGATATCGGCTAATGATGGGGCATATCTTAGCAAAACCGAGCGGCTGTAAAAGCCTGTTTGTTATGAAACTACTCGTCCAGGAGTTACGATAAAAGAACTTTTTGCGAATGTTTTGCCAAATATACCAGGGCATGATAGCCATTATGCGCAGCTATATTATTGAGAAATTGCATTTTTACAATTATTCACATGTTTAGTGTACTCACAGATATGATCAATTATTTGTTTTTCCAGTTTTGGAAGATTGTTTCTTTACTGTGTACACCTTCTATAGAAATTTTTACCGCTCATTAAAGCCTTGTCCAAGTAAACTTAATTTGAACGTGGTAATTGTTCACAAATTGCACTTTCAAAGAGGAGCAAAATAATATACTTTAATTTAATCACACGCAAATTACAAGTATCTGTAGTAGTACAGAAACCGCAGAAACTGACAAGAAATAAAAAATGTAGAAACCCAGAAAAAAGTGCCGGTCACATTATAATGACAAACAATTTTAGTTGGTGTTAGGCACAGTAAATTATGGGCATATTCTCCGTCGTCGGTAGAAGTAGGCATCGGCTACATCAACGCATAATACAAAGTAAACTCCACAATAACATGAAGCTAGTATGAAAATTCTGATAATTTTTAGGATGACTAACACCGCAGTTTAAGTTTTCTTCTTCGTTTGTTCTAATTCGCATTCCAAGAAAGATAGATTAGCGATCATTATGGCGGGGGCGCTTATCAGTTTCCTCTGCCGTAGCGCTCGTCTGGTAGCGTAAGCCCATGTAAACAAATCGACTGCGTCTATTACTCATTGACGGCTCGCCAACGTACACTCCTTGATTTTGTCTGATTCACACAGACCAGCAAGAGACAACCAGAGCGGTCTGACTCACAATCGTAAAGCAAGCGGCTTGGCTTTTGGCAGAACGTAGACCGTTATTCTACCATTGTAGTTTGTAGCCGCAATTGGCCTGTACTGGGCATATGATAATGATCTCATCGGGTTTTTAACGACTGGTCGCGTGTGCCCTCATCAGTTCGCGTTCCCACAGGACTGCCTTGAGGTGCGCATGCCTGTACAAAAGACCAAAGTGAATCACATACGATACGTTTCCAAACCCACTTTCTCCTACTGATTGGCTGCCCATGGACGATCGATCACGTCAACACTTGGTGACGGAGCTTTGATTTCAATATTACTATTCAGTTTACCGATTACAGCTCTTTTTGGATATCGTATCAAAATTCTTTAACGTGATTTTACTGAATACAGCAAATTCTTTTAAGGGAGTCTGTTTAAAAGCTGTTTGTATGGACAGCTGCAATTATTGCCAAACAAAATTAATAATATGCATCTGGGAATAATCTGTTGAGTTGCCGCCTACCGGCTGGTGCTACCGCATTTACTCGTATCGTTCAGGTAAGCGTAATATTGATATTACATTATTCTGATTGTAAATTTGATCGTGTAATTGCACATCCCTTGTACTTTAGGACATTATATATTCCATCTTTTGATGACTAATTTCTTTTTCTGGTTTCCATATGTGCATCCTGGTAGATCATGGTACATTGTAATCATATTATTTTTAATAATGCCCTTTATCTAATGTAAACAAATGTAAATTACTTTGTATGTTTGATTTCGTATGGCTGCGCCAAGTTAGTTAAACTTAAGTCGGGATGACTCGTTGTGAGATAAATTAAATGGCGGGGTATCGCCTCTCTTAGAGTATGGCTTTCAAAACATGCTAGATCATGTTGCAATATTTCCAGATAACCGTAGAGGTGTATACAATACATGACTGTACTATACTGTAGCGATTAGCGCACTTACTAACACGCGTGCAGGAAATGTAGTGTTCTTGCACTAAGGGTCATTTGGTACTTCTTTAACATTTGTCAGTTTGGCTAAATCTCTGGCATTGCTTGATACAGATTTTTGAAATCTTTTACCTATTTCCTTTTTGGAATGCATTTTAATCAAGAAAATCCCAGTTCTTTCTCGGAACCTGGCCAATCTGTATAATATTAATTTTGTGAATCTGTGAATTGTGACCTATTGGCTTACAGAAAATCGTTTGTGAAACCAGTTTATTTCTTTGTGCTCACCAGTTTTTGGATTTGCTGGTTTCTCATTGCAGCAGCAGTTCTCTTAGTAAGTACAATACCTTTGTATAAGAGGTGTTTAGGACCTTTAATTACTTTGGTACTACGTAGTACGTACTACTGCAGTCATTAAATTTAAAAAATGTAATTTCTTGAAATTTGTCGGGGATTGGGAACTTAGCTTAGAGAACAATCTTTCGAAAAATTAATACTTTAGCAGCAATACAGATATAGCTATTACCAAAATATGACTGGCTCAGCATAGATTTATTCATCGCTGTTGTGAGAATTAAGTAACGTTTTGGTTTGGATCCTTGTCAGTTGCACTTGAAAGTTGTGCTCCGTCTCCTCCGTGCTAAATTAAATATCTGGGAACAGAGAATATTCGCATTACATAATACAATGAATAACTACAATTTAACTATAATAAAAGTCCATGGTTCACGAGTGGAAAACCTTCTCTGGGTGCAGTTCTTTATTCAGGTACTTGTATAAATCAACTCCAGTATATATTGCTTGGATTTGCGTAAGAAGCCATCGAAGTGATTTATTTGTACAAATAGAGTACTTACCTTAGACTACTATAGAATTAAATGGATTGTCCGCGCGTACTATAGTTATGTGATAAAATCTCGCATCTGTTTGCGACAGATTATGCCTTTGACAATTAATTAAACTACCTCCTAATTGCGGCTTCAGTGCGTATTTGTTTCCGTAAATTTCATGGCACATACTGCACAACGATGTTATCATCTCTGAGTTGCCGCGTCGCTTTGCAAAGTGCCAAAACTTCACAGATTGTATTAAATAAATTCCGCTTATTTTCTCATTTTCTATAAAATGTTCCGGTGTACCTTGGTACCCGTAATGCTGGAATTGGCGTACATCCAGTCATTACGCTCTCATTCTTAGCGTGTTTTAGCTTATGTGAGAAATCTGGCTATTTTTTGTTGTTGAAGGAATAAGAATTCAAAAATAAAAAATAAAAGTATGCAATAAATTACAATCTGCGACTTTTTAGTGGTTTTTTATTGTAATGCATAGCCTTACGGAATACACGTCGCTCGGTTAACGTTGTGGTTCTTATTTCTTCTCGCATTTATCTAATCGTGCGGTTGGCGAGAACCTTTATCCTATACACATTTGCGTAATTAGGACGATGCTCTTTTCAGTTTGGAACTTAGAACTCTATGATATCGATAGCATTATGGTTAGCCGCTGCTTACGTAATTTTTATATTTGCATTATCTTACTTCATTTGCGGTAACACAGGAGATGCTGCTCTGCTTGTCGAATACTCAAGGCACATTGTCATCGCTCAAAACTTTACACAAACCATTGACGTATGCGTCCGAATATTTGTATCATTGCTGCAACTGGTTGACGTTAATAACAACAATTGTGTCATTAATAAAGTATTAACTAAAGGTCACTAAGGCGATCCGGCCGTCACGGGCCTCCAGCTGTGAAATTAAAAGGTAACTTAAGTCGATAATCGAAGAATTCGTGGCGGATATGTTTTTACATATGTCCGTGCATCTGAACTTAGTTAGGAATTTCAAAATAATAGTCGAACTATGAATTTTCCCAAGGAATTAGGTGATTCTTTGTTCTTACGCTCGCTTACAGGCTCGCGTACGTATATGATGACCACATTAGTCATCGACTCATCGTAATAATCTTACTACTTTGCACATAATATAAACTGTTTGTTTACACGAATCGAAGAAGGCTTTGCTAAGACAGCTGATTGGTCAAAGTGGTGCTTGGTTTCGGAAGCACTGGTGGTTCGGTTCATTAAATTGGCGAGGACGTTCAGTGTACCGTATGGCGTTCCGCATAATTCATGAAGGACAAACGAAGTATACAGAACTCAGTCTAGTTCACAATCTACGTTTGCTTGACACTATCTACCGGATGTATAGTTGCATTTTTACGTATGTCGTCGTCTGCCAAGTTTGCTGTTTTAATCCTTCAAACGTACGACAAAGATTGTGCACATCAGATACACACACCCAGCAAACCGTGACCTTTTGCATGACTGCCGTATTTTTGTAGGTCTTTCCTCTCCAGTTTGAATTTTTTTTCCTGCATCGACTGTGATATCGTCCGCCGAATTTGTCGACCAATTGCACATCATATTGTTGAAGTGAAGTCTCGTCTTGTTCGTACAGCTTTGGCCAGCCTTGTTAATGCCTCATCCCAGGATGTGTCCGGATTTCTATGACGGTGCAGTGGCCGCCGCACTGATCGAAGCTGAAGAAGCCGGTATTGGTTCGGATAGTAGTACGAGCGGATCCGTGGGTCCGGTCGATCTGACCTCCGCCTACTGCTCACCCTTTCGCCACGTCTGGCCGCGTGGCCTTATTCCTGGTGCAGCGACATCGCCGGCTGGCATTTCCCGTCGGGACTCGTATGCGGCTGCAGTTCATGCGCAGGCTGATTCTGGCACACTCGTCGATCCGAATGCCGCCTGGCGCAAACCATTAGCCAGTCAGAAACACGGCACAAAATTCTCTGGAATGCCCAGAGTGGTGGAAAACCAAAGAGATAAGTTTGAGAATGATCCGTTACTGCGGCGGCTGAATCGGGAAGTAGAGGTCAGGTACGCCGGAGTCCCCTTTGAGCGGCCGATTGAGCAGCGTCGACAGGCCTTCGAACGGGACGTGGAACGAGGATCTCTCCTTGTGGTAAGCGAGAAGCAGTGCGGATCTTTGTGCATGATGATGCAGCTCGAGTCTTACGAAGAGAAAATAGAAAGTGCATTGTATATGGTTTCGGTCACAAAATCTTGCGTTAATTGTACTATTAATTTCTGTTTCTGTATTGTATTACGCGACAATGGTTGCACATAGTACAAATATGCGCATGTGGTAATTACATATGTAATTGCTAGTACAGTAATTTAATAGCAGCGACCGACTGATCAGTAACAGTGATGCACCGCATAATTACGAGTACGTACTCACGGAGCAGTCATGTTTTATCGTGAACCGCTCGATTTTTAAGAGCATTCAAATACTATTAAACGCAAATGGAATTGAATAATCGTCTTTTTAGAGCGTAGTTTCCTCTGGAATACATTTTGTATTGGCATTCCATACAACTCGCGACGTTCCAGAAGCTGGCTCAAGCCATGATATGCAGCGCGATCTCTCTCTCGCGGAAATCCGCAACAATCAGGTACGGAAAACAAACATAAGTGCTGCATTAGTTTTTAGTGGCTTCTAAGCTAATAATTAAGGAAGGATTATGTGCTCCGAGAAAGATTATTGGTGTTACTGTCATAACTTGTAGCCAACCCTAATGGCTAGCGCCTCATGTATTGTATGCGAAAGGTGACCTTTCCCGATATCTCCGGTTTTACCGTGGCTACGCGAACAAATGCTGCTTAAATTTCTCTAGCCCACTCGGGGCAACATACCGTAGTGCTGATTCAGGTGAAACAACAAAAGACTTTAGCAAACGACAATTTGTGTGAATAATTATTGAAAAAATGAGTAATGCATAACGTTTTACTGCTGGTAAACCAGTGTTTTCGAGGCCAGACATTGCTATCGACCACTTTAATTTGCGGAGATGGTAGCATGCGGCACAGCTGCGTAAGGTGACGCATCGTGGCGCACCTTTAATTTTTTACGAGTAATTATTTGTGTGGTTGTCCAATCTTGCTTAACACAACAAAACTAACCGTATAAACGATTCGTCATCGAAATGTGTTTCTATATACGGATTTTAGAGTATAAAGAGATCGGTTAATCCATAAACTGCTACCAGTCAAACAGTCCGAGTCGGAAAGGTAAGCGCTAGCCTAACAACGATCCATCAGTAAATTAAATGGTGCAACCAGGTACCGTTACAGATGTCGCAGCATATTGCAAAATGCAAAGTAATTATGCCGAGATGTAGTGAGTTCTGTTCTTCGCTGATCATGAAATTGTGCACCCCGTTTTCACATTGCTTTGTCTTCCTGGTTAGAAGTTGACGTTGCATAAAAGTATAGCTTTACTACTAACTGAAATGCGCGCAGGTGCATGCAAAGGTCACACTTTCCGCAACGTGGCCCGTAATGCGCCGTTGGCGTCAACGAGCTAGTTACAAGTAAGCAGAGGGAATCAAAACTTGATCTGTTTGTCGACACCTTTTAAGCGCTATCAAATCGAACGAAACCGTCTTTGAAGTCACATATGTATGGGCCGTACAGCTGGACGATTTTAATCGATAATCATTACTGCTGAATAACAACTGGAGAAACAGGGGACGTCCAGGGCAAAATCAATGAACTGTACACGCGAGTGCGCTGGTTTTTCGATCCAAGCGCAACTAATAGCGCTAGCGGATCAAGTGACGGCTCGTGACTGGCATTGAGCTTTTGGTACTAAACACATAATGCTGCAGTTTGATTTTAGCTCTGATTATAGTTATGCTCTTAAGTTTTACCATTAGTGTTCACAATAAAAAAATTTTAAAATCAGTACTTTATTCATATAACTTTTTGCGTTCTTTTTATCTGTGGAACGAGCGCCGATAATAATCGAATTAATTAATCACTGCCCAGTAATAATGTTAGCCGAATCGAACTATTGTGATCTAACAATTTCAGATCAAAAGATGGTCGTTTGCATTATTAGTTTGCAAGTTTACGAGTATTACTGAATTCAACACACATTAAAATGTGTCTGTCTACAAGACTGGTGCTTACAAATCCACAAGTGACGTCTGCTGAAAATGAAGCTAATGCTTGCCACCCTTAGGGGCAAACGCAGTCGAAGCTATTACAGCCGGCAGCATCTTGCTTTTTATCCCGAAATCAGTTTATCTGTACAAGTACGTATTTAAGCGCACATGCACCATAAGGTTATCTGAAAAATCAGTAATTTGTAACGGTTTAGTGATCACAGGCTTCGCAGCTGGATGAATGAATGAAAGTTAGTGTTATCATGAACGGTGGATACTGGACAGTGTCGTAGATTAATATTTAACTCGAAAGTGGAAACTGGTCGAAAATTATACCTGACCATGTACCACCTGCTGCTCATGTTTAGAAGTATGCTTACTCTATCTTTGCAGCGTCTCCTTTTTAATTTTTATGTGCACTGTGTAGTTTTGTTACTGAATTGAAAAAGCTTATTATCAAGGGACATTTCTTTGTTCCTGTAAATTACAGCATTTGAACCGCCCGATTGCTCCACATTTATACACAAATTCTCTTCCTGCTGTTTGATTTGAGCAGTACGGTTTATAATACAGTGTTAACTTCAAGGGAACTGAAAATTTTGATGCAAGTGTTTCGCGCTGCGGAAATGCAATGAGGATTGTCACTCACGCGCCGGATGCCGTATGGCGCCATACAAAACATGGTCCCTAATTTCGTCCCATAGCTATAGGTCCCAACGGGAACACACACTTACAACGGGGCTATATTCAGACTGTCGATCGCTTTATCGCTCATAAATTTTTAACAAAGGCTTACTGTATATTACAGCTACTACTTCGTGCCCGAATGATCCTTAATGGAGTGTGCGTGATTTGGACCGGTCATATTGATATGCAAACTCTGGATGGCCTCGGGCGAATCGAATTTGACACTGCGACAGCCGAGGTATGGACAGCGACATTCAGATTACATTCACGCGTGCAATATTAACGTATTATAAAAGACTCCCTAATTAATCCACTGCAACCGTTTTTTATCGTAATCATTACTCTTTGTACTTTATTTGCATTACATATACAATAGCATTTTTTTAAAAATTTCAGACGGAATCCCTTAGGCTACCTCGGGCGCTGTAGTGGAGAAATTATACATATCAACAAGTTTTATTTCTTTTGGATGTGATACAGTTACGGTGGAGAGCGGAAGCAGTCTTTGTGCCCTCGTTACTTACTTCGCAATGGACCCTTCACGTGGTTTCACGCTCTCGAAACGGGTTACAGTTGACTTTTCTGTACGCGGGACAGCACACGCATTTACGAAAACTAAAGTACTTCGCATATATATTAATAAGGAATTACTTATCGATGTGAGTAACAATGCTTTATAGTCAATTGCACTGTCGATACATGCACTGTTACTGGATACATCAGAATAATTATACGAGCTCGTGTACAATGAGTTTACTTTATTCTACAAAGCCAGACTGTTATACCATGCATACGCAAAATGTTGATGGTTCATGTGCTGAATCTGTCAATGTCAATAATTTGCTGCTTAACTGTCACAGTTTTTTCGGGCATTCCTACCTGGAGCTGGCATCAGCTACTGAGGCTCACGTTGTACGTTGCTAGTAAAGATGGCGGGAATACCGGGAATAGAAGGGCAAAAGCAGACTATCAACAAAACATTAATTCACTTGGCACTGCAGTAGAAAAAATAATGGGACTTATTTTTACCGTTTAAATATGCATGTGTAACCGTCACATAATGTACAGTAAAAAAGACCTCAAAAGCTGTGGGAAATTTTGCATAAAAAACACCTCACAAGCTGTGGGAAATTTAGCTGAATGTAATTATTTGCCGTGAATTCGTAATTCGTGAATTTGTAATTGTTTTCCACGGTAATACGCCCAGTAGCATTCGAAAACTCACTAGTAAATTTATTCTGCCATATGCAGTAATACGAAAAGCAGTGCGTTAAAAGTCGGAGAATTGATTATCAAGTTCACGCCGTTATAACCGTAAGGCGATGATGCTGTACGAAATTACAGCTTGCAACTTTTTAAAATCTCCAAACGAATTCGTATATTGTTCATTTGTTTGTACACGTACACCCAGAGTTATTAAACGGACTTCCAACCACAACTAAAAGGTAAACCATTAAAAACCCACCAAAGTAGTATCCTGACCAACAAAATGCGGATTCCGTCCTGTCCAAACAAAAATTAAAAGCACACGAAAATGTCATAAAACGGAAGGTAGTACAACAACCACCAAAAGCCAGAATCGATAAGTAACCCAAATTTAGTAAGACTAGAAAAGTCCAACACTCCAAACAGGGAGGAACAGCTGTAGATCACTATTTCTTCAAGTTCAGCAACGGCATTCCCTCCTCTTCCTCATCATACATTCTCACACTACTGCGTGCGGAACTGGACCCAGCCGGTCGCGTGGACGCATCTTCGGGCTCTTCCTCTTCACCAATCCGTCCATACTGCCCCAATCGGGATTTCACCCGATTCCGATGGATTTCATGAAGGAAGAGCGCACTAAAACTCATATCCGCCGTGGTCAACTCCAACGGGGACAATGCCGCACTGCCCATTCCGCTGACAGCGGGTGGCGTGGCGACGCCGGCGCTGCCCATCACGCTGTTCAGTAGACCGGCATTCCCGGAACCCGACAATGATCCTTCCTGGCTGTTCACGCCACCTCGAGAAATTTCCGGTCCGCCGCGCAGCACCGATGCCGCAACGATGCCCTGCACACGCGGTCCCAAGGCGCTGAGCGATGCCAACACCGAGTTATTCTCCACGTTCGTATTGGGCTGGGCCAACTCCTGCACACCCTTCTCCACCTGCTCCCGCAGCTTCTGCATGAACCACATCGCTTCCATCGTGGGTTTCCATTCCGGATTGGTCAGTTTGAAATGGATGAGCGACAATTCCGTTTTACCATAATCCGCTTTAAACTCCTCACCGTCTACAATACGATCTTCGTGCATGGTGTCATCCGGCTCCCAGGCGGGGTCACCGTGCTTGCGAATGTCCATCTCCGCAAAGGAACACACATCGCCCACACCGACCAACTCCACGGTGAAGTTGCGAAAGAAATCCACAATAGTCAGACAACGGTTGCGCAGAGCGAAAAATAAGATAAAGGGTGTGATAATGGGACTGAGAAGTTCCTCGCAGATGTGAACGAAACGGTATTGGAACAGTTGGGAAAAGTCGTGGCGGACGTCGGTGGTGTGAGCACGACCTTTCCAGGTTTCTGGCGCGTAGTGAGTTTCACTGACGATTTCAGACAGGAGAACGTCCGGATTGAAGACAGCATTCTCATCGGGAATACACGCTCGGCATATAGTAACCGTCACACCTGCACACGATATAAAACTCAGAACACGGTTGCATAACTCGGACTATGCACTGAACAGCTGTGCATAATACTGCATGCATTCCCAAGAGTGTCCTGTCGAGTCTTACGCGAATTTACTACGCGTGTTTACGACAGGATACAAGGTTTAATGGACTTTACACGACCAAACTGTAACTTCAAGATAACAAACACTAACAGTCCCTGCAACCAACGATGTCCGACACAACCAGTAAACAACAAACCGATTATCACAAGAAGTTTATCATCTGCCTTTGATCAGATCAGTCGTCTACATCAAGGAATTATGGATCGCGAAAGCGGTAGTAAGAAAAATCATTGCTTCTGAATCATTATAAATTCTTTCTAATTCTGCTTCTGATTAAATAAATAAACCACAACAGTTATGCCACTTCGAAAATGAACTAATATTGATCAATACAAACATAACTGTCAATCGTGGTCAATCAACTTATGCGAGCTAGCATCCAGCATATTTCAACCGTAAAACCCTAAACTCTAAAAAATTATCACCCTCGAGGAAAGAAGCAAAGCTGAAGTTCACTAACGCTAACGTACCTAAAACTGTGATGATGGTCAGCACATGTGATACTTTGAGAAAATCCTCGTCAATGACAGCACAAATCACCAAAACCGCCAACAGCGATCCAAATATAAACGTCATGTTTTTGGCCAGAATCACCAAGGCCGGTGAGGTAAAAATATTCATGTACTGTGTGGCGGGTTTGTATGCCCGACGCAATCGTGCATCCAGCTCGTGATCGACCTCGTTGAAATGTCTCAGAAAGTATCGTCCATAATACGACCATCGTCGAGCCCCCAATGCTCCGGGATCCCGTTTGACGATGTCCGCATAATCGAAGAAGGCATACAATATACGCCAAAACAGAACAAATGGACTGCAGACAAAATTAAACAACGCTATGTATTCAATCCGTTTTCGGAGTTTCTCCGCTACGTCTAATCGCCGTCCGTAGAGTTTGTATTCTTCGCGCAGCTGCCAGTTCTGCTCCAGCGGAGCACCCAGACCATATGGGCAGAAGAGAATGTAGTCCAAGTTCTTCAAGTAGATCTTCGTGAAAATCGTCACATCTCCAAGAAAAGGAACACGAAAGCTAACGGGAATCACATTCTTGTTAATCATAGCCACCAGATAGTTTTCCACTCGCAAAATTCGGTGGTACACATCTAATTCCGTTAATTCCGGTTTATGGATGCACATATGATGGATCTTTTGCGCATGAAGTAAGCGCTGCAAAACCTCGTGCCAAGTGAGATTGGCGAGATCAGTATCCTCGATTTTCAAGGCATTTCTAAAAAATGCAAGAACGGTTAGCAGTTGCCTAACTCACAAACCCAACTTGCGATGTCATGCGCCAATTTTACCTGACACCGCGACAACAACGTAAAAGCGCTGACTGCGGTCAGTGCGGTGTATCTTTCTTTTCTTTAAATTTTATTTTTACTAAACTTCAGATTACAGAGCGCCACTGTAAACATTTTAAGAAATTGTGGAAAAAAATACTTCGAACGCGAAATATGTTGACAAATCATTTTCTGAATGTCAATCACGAAGCGCGCTACAAAACCATATCATCGGAATATACGAACCTGTAGAATCGCCTGGTTTCGGCATAGCTGAACACATGGCTAAGCACTTTAACAAATCGGGCGAACCAGAAGATTGCCGCAACAATTATGAGAACAATAATCCCCGTACTAAAATTTTTTAGGCACTGCTCCGTGGATAGCACTGCATCGGCGAATTTCACTTTACATCCGCCAACCACACCACTTTCCGATACTGTACAATTGTGAATTAGCTGTTTGGAGCTGTTAAACCAGGAACTCGGCAGACGGTCGGCAAAGAGCACTTCAAATTCTACACACTCCAAGAGAAAGGTAGAGAATATCACAACATAGGCCAGCTGAATCAGCTCCAGACTCTCCTGTAGCAACATACAGAAATAGCCATTGCGCTGATGATAGCGATAAACGCGGCTAAAAAATCGGTCCAAATCGGCAATATGATGAAATCTGGAAGATCTGTGATTCTCGGCAGGCACTGAGAAAGCTATACCACCTCCTGCAATAAGAATATTAAAATTCAACCGAGCGTATAACACATACCTACATGATATTATAACGATGATACAGAAAACCTAATACAAGCAAAAAATTAGCCGAAAGCTTGCACAATCGAAATCGAAACACTAAAAATCAACTACTTTGTTGAGCAGTACAAAATAACGCAGTTGCGGTAAGAGGACTTAATACTGTAATCAAAATTTAAACAGTAAAAAAATCAAACTTTTTCGCCCTCGGGGTAAAAAGCCAAAGCGCGCACTTACGACTGCTGTAGAATTGTTTTGCAACTGCAGCTTAGCACTGCTTTAAAAAGGTAAAAAAAAAGAAAGCGTACAAACCAGAAAAAAACAAAATCAACAAGAAATTTATTTTCAAAGAGACTAATAAAAATGAATTAATAAGACTCTTCGTATCTTAATAAACCAAACCTTTGTGTATGTGTACAGTGTCATAAGACACAACCGACGCTAAATAACATTTACTCGAGCTAATTCTTTGGTTTTGAATGGTTAATATTTCTGATCAGCACGCAATAACTGTAATTCAAAATTACTCCAATTTTTCAGTTGAACCGCAGATTTTCCACATAAATGACTCACCTGCAGCATCAGGCTGTAAGAGTGAGCCCGACGACGGCCCCGATGGATAATCGAACACTGGTGGTTTCGGGTCCATACTTTGGTAAGTGTTTGGCGCTTTATCCATGGTCGCGTTCACTGGATATTACATAAAAACACGGGCGTCCCAATCCTGTGAGATCCGTTTTGGTCAGGAATACATCAGCTGGGTGCAGAACAGGCTAGTACATGTTCACAAGCTCATCATAAAGAGCATGGCCCACTCCAGTTACACCAAAAATGAGCAATCAGCGGTCATGTTAATGTTCACTGTTGTCATGACTCTTCTCCAGGATGTGTACCATCCTGCGATACGGATTCATGTGACATCATTCAGTTTCATGTCAATGGACGATCCTAAAATTCCTAAATGCACAAAGAACGATCTACATAAATGGAAAAACGAGCATCGTCAACCATATCAATTTGCGTCGACTGACTACACAAAAATCACACATAGGAATAATTTTATCAGTTGTCAACAATAAGCACCATTCATGCCTTCAACTGTATAGTAATTTATAATTCAGTAGTAATTTGTTATTTCACCTCTACCACTAGATAGTTGTGCATCGTCCGAAAATTCACAATAATGGAAACAAATAGAACAAACATAAAACTAATATTTATGCCAAATTCTCAAATTCAACATTACCGTCATTACGTAAGACGATACAGTACGGAATGGATTCGCGAGGCACAGCGTTAAAATGGCATCGTCAAAGTAATAGGACTGTGCGAAACGAATTACTTTTTGACAGCCTAGATAAGTGCACTGTGCCACACTTATAACGGTTAAAGACGATTTTTCGAGTGAAATTACGTAATTGCGAAAAATATCTATCCGAAACCAGTTTCCGTCTTCCTCCTTTACCACAGTACGGGGATAACGGTGTGCAACAGTGAGTACTTACGAAAATTCTTGTCTACTGATTCGCTTTTTCAGTATTGTACACATACTACATGAGTGCAGAAAAATATGGTCTTATTTATTGAAGTAAGCTGTACAAATCATTAAAAATCTTTCAAAAAAGACTTACCATTAGTTACGAAAGTAAGTACAAAAATGCAGAAAAATCTGTTTAACAGAAATGTACCTGTCAGGTGAAACAGTTCTGCCGTCGCAGTTTCACATCTCGGAAGGCTAATGGTGCTGTCTGCTAAAACGATTATAAAACTTTTCGAAGCCTCTAAAATTTTGTAGTTCTATCAAAAGTTAAATTTAATACGGAGTACAACGAAGAAGGTACCACATAAACGTAGTATAAAACACATAAGACTTAGTATAACTAGATACAAACAGACAAACTGTCCAAAACAAATACGACAAGTGAGCACGTGATGTAAACGGTTAGGGCGAAAATCAAGCATCACGAGCAGTATACTTAAATACAGTACTTACACCGTAGGTTGGAAAGCCGTTCACTACAAAATACAAGTACTGTACCTAAAACCAAAATGGCGCCATTTTTGTGAATCGTTTGCACGGGACGGGAAAGGGTACAAAGCATTGGAGCTTTAGTAGGAAGTCCATAAAGTTATAAAACTGCAACTGACTAGAAAGTTTCTGTGCGCTTCCGCCAAAATAAGAATTATGAGAATGAGGTTTTCGTATCAAAATGTTGCTTCAGTTTTTAAATTAAACGGCTCGCACTTGTATATAGGTGTAATTTTCCACTGACCTTGCTTTGCTCGGGAGCATAACTGCTTTGTAGTAATGGTATAAATTAAAACATAAAACTGTTGTATTTATTGTATACTGCTTAAAGTAGTCTGCTTTGTAGCAGCAGTACGATACCTGTTGACTGTAGTCAATAGTGACTCGGTTGTGTTATCCTGGGCATTCTACTGATTCTACCGTATCAAAAATCACTGGATCGAAGCAAATGCTGCATAGTGCACAGGTATCTCGCTGTGTTTGGAGAACTGTCATATGCATCGTTTCGATTGCAGGATAAAAGAGGTCGACAGTCATGATCTTTAATAAAGCAAAATAAAACGTATTGGGCGTAATATGTACAAGGGTGTTGACATCCACGGGGACATGGGCACTGGGCAACGAATTAATCATAACAGGCTGTGGAAAGTAAAATTAATATGAACTGACCAAAAAAAGGCGCAGATACATACAGTAAACTACGCAAACTTGATAGTGATTATTAGTAATGACTACGTACCGTAATTAATTCAGTAAGAGCAAACATACCGCATCACCCAATTTACTTCAAATGTTTTCGCGAAATTAACAAACGCCGTCTTCGCGCCGTCCCTGGCCGTACGTAATCTGAACTTTTTGTTTTTCCTTTTTGCCTACGAGTAGATCGAGCAATGTATGTACCGTGAGACCTCCATCAGTCTAACATCGCTGACCTTTTCGTCTCGCACGGACAAAGCACTCTGTAGTGCAGTTCAATCGGTTGTACTGACTCTGTGGATCTCGGAAAAAAAGACATCTGAAACTGGATCGTAAAAGCTAATTCGAAATAATCTAATTTCGGATTACAGTTTGTTGCAGGCACATTACACACACAAATTATAGTGCTTATTTTCACTGACATGAAACCCAGTCCGCCAACTTCATAATTCATACTACCATGCATAAAACGCCGAAGCATGCGCGCTACGGCCAATTAAGTGGCAGCTGTACTGCATGTACACTGTACAGTACCAGAATCTTACAATTGTTAGCTCCGGTCCAAGGAACACCCAGCTTGCTGGTATCCTTTCGAATTCCGCAACAACCAGCAAATAGCATTCCGTAGCGGTAACCATGCTTTTGGGAAGCATGCATATGGTTTTGATTATCCTGCATGCAGCCGCTTTACCAGGTACATATATAGACATAATATTTTTGCAACAATATATTTAGCGTTGGAAGCGGCTGAATGAGCATCCTCTTGCAGTTGACCTTTTTGAAGATGATGATCCAACAACTTCCGTTTTGCTACGATATAGATAGAACGTAATAATTAAGACAACAACACATCAAAACCAAATTTACGAACAGTTCCCAAATTTGTGAACTAACATCTTTGAAACATTTGAAATTTGTGAACTAACGTGATTTCGTTTAAACGAAAAGTAAATAAAAACAAGGCTACAAACGGTGACCGCAAGCTTATTGCAAAGTTAACTGATTATATTATGTGAGGCGCGCTAAAGGGTCATTAAGGGTGTAAAAAGTAAAGCCATAAAATTATTCTCCGTTTGGTTTTTGGGTTTCCCTCTTCCGGTTGATTTCCGGGAGTTCCAGCGGCATTAGATACTTGTGGGGTGCACGTGGTATCCACGTTAAGAGCCACTGGCTCTGACTGCGCTTTCTGTGCAACGTTCGGTTTTCCGGAATACTACGTATCCTACGGATTTATATCTAAAGAAGCTGGAGGGACCCCAATGATCTTGTAATTGTTACCCCCACATGATCTTTTCTGATAACAGCAATGGCTTGCGGCAAGAGCCAACGCTTTCCATTAATCTAAAGCATTTACTCTAATATTTCATGTATACACAGCAATATCACATTTAAGCCTCATAATTATACGGAATAACTGATCGGTAAAAGACAAAAAGTATTTTACAATCGTTTGTCAAGCGACTTCCTTATATCGTTAGATACTACCGCAAACAGTTCACAATAAAATGACTAACCGCATTTGTAACTCATGTAAATTAGTCGTAGAAAATGGTTTTATTTGTAAAATATCTTCGATTCGACTATCATTTCAGTTTTATCTCACAATTGTTTTGAAACACTAAACCAGGTTAAGTACCAATGCTTCTGTATAAAGTGCTAGACACTGCTAGTAGTAAGCAGAGTATAACAAATATTCAAAGTAAAAAACGTCAGATCCCTTAAGATTTTGTCGTGTGACAGTACGAATTTCGACAGATTCGCTGTTTTTACCCCAGCAGAAAAATGGTTCCTGCGAAAGCCTTCCGGCTTTTGGCTTTTTTCCCTATCATCTGTTAATTCACTGTGTATGATTATGACTTTTTCACTGGTTGTCTTCACACGTCGGACATTCTATCGTAAAAATCGAGAGTGTACGGGGAGAACGAATCGATTACAGTAGTTATTTTTCTCATACAAAAAATTAACCCGAATTTTGCTGGCACGTTGCAGAAGTGTGTCTAACATTAATATTGCGGGAAAATTACTTATGGTTACGCCTTACGCATGATGATGGGCCACCACCAGAATCTGATAATCATATGGATCTATCGCTGCCGCAGTTCATTTGGCCAACAAAGATTGCGCCCGCATGCGTGCTGCACCTTGCAACGACGATGCAGGTTTCTTGTATGGAAATGGTCACCGTCAAATGGCGCGCGCGCGGGTGCAATTATGGTTGAATATGGATTGAATACTGATATAAATATTCAAATTAAAAAATTAACGTCACTGAACGAACACGAATTGAGACTAAAAGGTCAACCGCAACTACCGTACACCGTTCGTGTACAATTACATATTCTACGTACTTTAAACACTTTAAACTTTAGATCGCTAGTTTGCAATAGCTCACTTTGGTAATAAAAAAGCAGAACCCTCGTATACGCTTATTTCTCTTTTTGCTATATGTGAATAAATTACCGCAGTAAAGTTGGAAATATATTCCTTGTCGTTTGTCTGAGTGTTTTATTTGCACCACATACAGCTACAATAATACCGTATATATAGTAGTGTACATCATAATATTATAGTTAGCTCCCAAAGCACGGCTAGACATCACCGCCCGTTCATCTTTATGTTTATAACAAAACGTATAATAAATAACTACGTGTAGGCTCAGAGATTATCCGTTGTCTACGCGAAAAAATAATCCGGGTTAATCTGATTCGTATTGTCTGTCGCAGCTCTCGTGTAAGGTGATAGATTGCACACTCAGCGCGAAAGCGATATGAACTTTTTAAAGCCATCATAATAATTCAGTGCCAAAACACAGCAGGACACCATAATGCACCAATTACACCTAAAGACATCGTTTAATGTTTTTCATATGTGAATTTGTAACAACTCAGCAGGCGGTTAGATTTGTCGACAATCGAGTAACATTGAGTAAGAAGTCACTAAGAACATACTTATCAAATGACTATCATTTTTTCACCCATGAATATACACATAACCATGACAATATCGCTGGCCACGCAGCTGCTCCTGGAAGCCTTCGCCGCCTTCGCCACCACCTCGGAACCGAGTAGCCGCAGCAGTTACGAACGGGCCGTGGCGGCACCGGAGATACTGGAATTTCACTTCTATCCCAATCCCGTGGTCATAGGTCACTATGTCAATGTGACGTGCGCTGTGCGGCCACCGCAATCGCAGGTGTTGATATTGCGACTGTTGACCAACAACTACGATCATCGTCTGGATTATCAGCACTGGATCCACAACGAAACGGTGTCAATATACAGTGCTGATATTGCCGGTGTAACGTGGAATTCCATACCGGGAAACATCAGCAGTTCCTATATATGCGAAGCCCGAAATAATTTAGGATTGGTTCGCAGCCGCAGTGTTAATCTTATCGCACGAAGTAAGCTTTATACGAATACTAGTATGATTTTTTATGTAATCATAGCGATGCCCATAGTAAATGGAATTAGAAAAGTACTGTAACTGTTGTCATATAATGTCAACTGTTGGGATTTTTAGATCCCGTTTATACCACGGTTTTCATTGATCTGAAGACTGAAGCCGGAAGAACAGTTTCCAATGCAATCGTACGCCCGGCTATGTGTAAAGCGACGACAACAGAAAGCGACGTTTTCGAATACAAATGGTAATCACTGCATGACAAACACTGTTAACAAAAATCACGATTAACAATGTATACGGGACATTAGTTTTGGAACAAGAAACCCAAATAAAAAATAGCGCTAGCAAATACCTAGGTAAATGAATTTAATCATTGTAACTGCACAGGACATTTCTCTCTTCTAATTCGTCATCCGAATGGATCCTTCTTCCAGTATCTTCGGCTTCCATCAATGTGTCTGCGGAAGAATCTGGGGTTTACAAATGCGCCGTACGGTCAGATGCTGGATGGAGGTCAGTTTGATGCTGAAAAAGCGTTACCTTTTTATTATAATTATTTTCTAAATTAAATTTTGCATTTACTGTACATGCATACCAAATCAGTAGATCGATACTGAATTAAACAGCAATAATGAAGATAAAGTAGAAAGGGTGCGGCAGTAGAAGTACGAGTATTTTATTAATAGTGCCCAGGCAGTCTGGCTAATTAATAAGATATGATTTCTTGTCTATAATTAGTGCTACAATCTAATTAGCAAGATTGGCGTGATTTAATATTCGTAATTCCACGGGATAGTTTGGCAAGCGGTAACATTATTTCAGACGAATGCAAAATTGCAGATACGAGTGCAATACGCCGTATCTTTCTGCGTTTCTTATGAATTAATTCATAGGATCAAAATCATTTTATGCGGACACCTTAATTGCTACCGGTAGGTGCTACCGGAAATATGTACTGATACGAAATTGTTGTTGAAATATCGGTACTTCCAGCGCTACGGAGATAACACGTACAAGTATATCGACAATATTTTGGTGTGCAATGGGTATGTGGTAACTTGTTTTCGTACTCGCATTTCAGCGAATGGTCGCCTTCCGTGCTGGTAACCACTGCAATAGGAATTAGCGGGCTATCCGGAGGAACCTCGAAAATATTTTTGGACCCGTATATGACTGTTCCCATAAGCATGTAAGAAAACGTATTTGGTAAGAAATCTGCTAATCTGATAAGCAAACATACATCAAATTTTCCTTATAGCGTAATATTAGTGAACAAATTACTGTTGTTATTTGCGTCGTTTGCGGGCGTGTAATTGTTATATTACGTATATCTGCAGTGATTAATGTTTTGGTGTTTATTGCACTATATAATACTCTGAAGCAGTTTGATTTACTTTTGCAGTATAAATTTAAGTGGTAAATAATCTTTGCAGTATAAATTCAACTGGTAAATAATTAATATGAATTACATAGGTATTAAACGACAGTATATGTAATCTTAATAATTTTTTTGGAAAATTTGTGCTATAGATAGCGATATTATCCAAGCGTTCACCTAAGACGCGTTACAGATTTGGCCAAGTTTTTCTGATGCGGATAATTCAAAAATGGAGGAATTCGCTGTGATATTGCCTCGACATCTTCCCACAATTCACGTGCATGAAGGCTTAAATAACAGCATCACAGAAAATGAGCCCGATCGTATTCTGCTAATCGCTATCCATGTTATATCAGCATGAAGCAACTACAGTCAGGATATTCAAGCAAGCAATAGTTTTCCCGAAAGCTATAATTTTCAAAATGTATAATTATAGAGAATTGTTCGCCGTGTGAGTGCACAGCACTGCACGCACACTAACGATAAGTACAGTGCGTTTAAATTACGGAGAGCTATGTATTATAATTATGAATGTGTATCGGCTATCGAATTCTTCATAAAGGTCATTCTTCGGCGGCAAATGTCGATGGAAGTATAAACACATATAAATTTCAATATTGCTGGAAATTGTTAAAAACAGTCATCAACCAGGTCATAGAAAGTATCTATTAAATGTCTGGGAAATTTGTAACACGTCTACATTTACCATTGTTTCAACAAATGCAGCAACAACCATGGAATTAATTAAATACTGTACGTTCCTAACAACAGCACCGTAAGGCTTATACCATTCGTAAATCTTCCTGTGAAATTAAACCAAGCAAACTTGAGACCAAGGGCATGTTTTCGGAACTTAATTTGCAGAGCAGAACAATTTGAAAAAGAATTCAGAGTGCAATTTATAGGCACTGAAAATATGTACTGTACAAGTTCACATGACTGATACCGGCAGCCAGCCGGATTCCATTAGCTGCAGCACCACACCAGTGACACCACTCCTGTGTAATCCACGGGCGCGGTACATTTGGCCGCGCCACAGCCGACCAGGAGTACTCGTACAAATGTGGACGAGCATAAAAATCGATGGGTGCTACGCGGAGTTGCGGGCTGCGTTTTGTAAATGATATCGACAGGCTCGGAGCCGTCGTGATTCCCAGCGCGTTGGCCGATCCCACATGTGCTGTCCGCACTTCGCACGTCGGTACAAATCATGCTGGCGCATCGTATGTGCCTCTATCACTGCATGTGTATAACGTACGTATGACTGTATGTTGGGAACAGAGCGCGGACTCCGTCAGCGGCGGAATAGGCGACTACCATTGCAAGGTTATTTACAGACTACAGTTATTACCTTCCTTCCAACATTTTACATAATATTGGTGCTAACTGTAGCAGTGGATGTTAAAGCAAACCGTGGCTAATTATAATTCTGTTGCGCGTCCTTGTGTGCTTTACTGTGGTATAGCTGTACACACTGCGTCAGATTGTGATCGGATAGATTCAGCGCTTAAACATCGTCGACGCAGTGAAGCGCACATTGAAATGGGAACATCCGTTCGTCTATGTTTTTTCTTCCTTGGATGAAACCATCGGATTTTATGTGATTCTTGTATAATTTGCTACTTTGTCTAATTGAGAATTAGTAGCTAATCTGCTGGATTGGGAATTGTTCTTTGAATCGCATATCCACACACCAGGAAGTCGTAAAGTGTTATTGTATGACAGTTGTCATTTCCTATACGCGCGATTTCCAGACGAGGATGTTATGTTGACGGTGCACTCTGGGTACACGGTGCTGCAGCTGAATGGCGTCGTCTGCGTCTCTGAATATGTGAATGGCTGCGGGGCATCTCTCGCAACCCCAGGCCGACCTTTACGTAGGACACGAGAAGAAGGCCACCGATACGACCATTCCCATCAAAGAGTACGACTGGAAACGGCACAAACTGACTCTGGCCGACAAGTCGTCGTCGGAGCCATTCGCCAATCAGTCCTTCGGCCAGCCGCGCGGCACGGCGGGTTACAGTGTCACCGGATCGTCATCCACACTGTCCCTAGACGAGGACAAAGAGGTCAGCCGCCGCGAGACCGAGCGGCAGGCGTTGAAGCTGCTGGAGAAAGCTAGAAGCAAGCCGGTGGCCTTTGCGGTGCGCACCAATGTCAGCTACGACGGCACAGCGGACGACGACTCTCCGGTGCACGGCTGCGCGGTGTCCTTCGCCGTGAAGGACTTCCTGCACATTAAGGAGAAGTACAACAATGACTGGTGGATCGGCCGACTGGTCAAGGAGAACCACGATGTGGGATTTATTCCCAGTCCGCTGAAACTGGAGAATCTCCGCCTGCAGGCCACCCCGGCCAGCCTGCGCAACACCCAGAGCAGCTCCGTGCCCAATCTGGGAGCGTTCGGTGCCGGCGGGGAATCGGCCTCCTCCAGCCGCCGCGGCGGACACACGTCCCGCAGCTCCACACCCCCGACGCCGGGCCTGGAGCTGGACAACGGGGACAGTGCCGTCGGTGAGGACAGCGACTCCAAGTCGGGCAAGAGCAGCGCGGTGACATCGCCGCTCAAGCAGAAGAAGAAGCCTTTTTTCAAGAAGACAGAAGCCATTGCGCCTTATGATGTTGTGCCTACGATGCGGCCGGTTGTGGTTGTCGGTCCCGCGCTCAAAGGATACGAAGTCACCGACATGATGCAGAAAGCCGTATTTGATTTTCTCAAGCACCGCTTCGAGGGACGGATTATCATTACACGGGTCCAGGCGGACATTGCCCTGGCCAAACGGTCCCTCATGAACAGTCCCAATAAGCGAGCGCTCATGGAACGGAGTGTCAGCCGTTCGGGGACCATAGCGGAAGTGCAGGCGGAAATCGAGCGGATCTTTGAGTTGGCACGCTCCATGCAGCTGGTGGTGCTTGACTGTGATACCATTAATCACCCGTCGCAGGTCATCCGGACGTCGCTGGCACCAATCATCGTCTACCTCAAGATTGGTAATCAAAAAGTCCTGCAGAGGCTGATCAAATCCCGCGGGAAATCCCAAGCGCGTCAGCTGACCGTACAGACCAACACAGCGGAGAAGCTGTCCCAATGTCCACCGGAAATGTTTGATCTGATTTTAGATGAGAATCAGCTGGAAGACGCCTGTGGTCATCTGCAGGAGTACATGGAGAATTACTGGGTCTGCACGCATCCGCCCCTACCGGAAGTCATCCCGGAGCCCACCGTCCGTCCCGAGCACCGGGTTCGCACGTTACGCGATCCCCGCGAACGCTCCAAGGAGGGTCACCTGGGCGAGGGAGGGGCTTCCAATCGGCGCTCAGTATTTCGGCGTTCTCCTTCAGACCGACGAGGCCGACAGGCGCAGTCGGGTAGTAATCAAGCGCAGCAGTCATCTTCGCTGTCGGTACCGGAGGACAGCCTGGACACCGGCATCGATATGCCCATCACGCTGCAGCCGGCTCCGCACGGCCGGCGCCTGTCCCGGACTGAGCCTGGTCCGGGTAGGCCTGGTCGCGTCCTGCCCCAACCGCCCACCTCACAGCCACAACCCAGTGGAAGCGCACGCACTGGTGGACGTCGGCTACCGGATGTGCCGGCACCTGGCAGTGCGAGTGTCAGCCGACGGGAGTCTCAAGTGTCGCAGTATGCGCCACCTTTTCGTCCTTTTGGTCGGCCTCCCATAGCCGGCCAACCTGAACGCGATCCAGATTATTACTAGTGGAGGCATTTTGTTTTCTTTACTGCGGCAGCCAGATTTACTACGTACAATGTCATCTTTACTTGATGAGAATTTCTATGGTAATTTGATTCAGCCTTCTCGAGTTAAGACGTTTGTGAGTTTTTATTTTCGCGTTCGAAGGGAATTTCAGCGTCGTTTCTTCCAGTCTTGTCGTCGCGGTACTGTAAAGTGTGAACTTGGATGAATACTCTGGTTATTTTATCAAGTACAGTAATACAATAAAATAAATTTTTGATATGCTGTGAAGCCTGTACAAAAGTACTGTACATAACATGAGGTGCAACAAGTTAAGTAAAAAAAATAATTTACACAACAAAATAATAACAAAATAATTTCCTGACTGTGTTCCATGCCAACTTGCGCGCGGTGATGAAGATTTTCAACAGCCAGAATTCTTGTCACAATCTTGTGCCACTCTTTACTCCATTTTAAACGCTTGTATTATTTTTCAACTCCAATGGAAAATGTAACGTTATTCGATCCGATACAAAACCATCCGACATGGCCATCGCGAATTTGCAGGTCACTTCGTCAAACGCCGTTGCAATATGTCCTGTAAACCAAGTTCTTCACGGGTGGCCCAAACTGCGTTACAAATCGAGTCAAAACAAAAATCTGTCTTACAAAATGTAGAGAATGGTAAGTTCAAAAATTAAGCATTGTCCAGCATTACTGACCGGCATGAAAGGTCAAGAATCGCACAGATGTACTGTATGTGAATATATAGGTGATCAAGCATAAGCAGCAATATTATCGTACATACTACATACAAAACTAACACAGGAAAGTGTTTAGGTCAAAATTATGTAAACGTACCTCTGCGATAAGCGGGAGCGGCATTGTCCCACAGAGTGCGATATTCACTATCCCGAATTCTTTCATACATGGTGCTCAAGTACGTGCCCTGTGCGCCCAAAATAACCGACTTCGGACTTTCCCGCACGAGCATCACGTGACCATGTCCATTGTGCATTCCCACGATCCGTCCAAAATTGTCTTCATCGAACGTATTTCGAAAGAGCAGATCTAATGACGAGTCGGTAACACGATATTGCCACAAGTTGTTTTCGGCGCTGCACCATAAAAAGCCATCGTTTATTTGCATTTCAGGCAGAGAATTGGACATCATGGATCCCAATGTCTGCGCATCTGCAGAACCATTTCCGTACGGAAGCTATAACGAAACAGTTAAACTTCTTAACGAAAAGCATAGACTTCTTGAAATTTGTATTATTAAACCTCTTTAAAACTGCATTTGTGGCGTGCAGCTTTTGTTGTTTGTTTGTTCTAGATACTCTTTATTATTATTGTGAAACAGAAAAAAATTCAATTATAAATCAATCTGATTCAATCTAATTGCATAAGTAGTTTCAAAAAAACCTGTACAATACATACGAGAGTGGATGAAATATATTGCATGCTTCGTATATCGAACAGCTTGAGCAATCGCTGTCTTTGATCCCATCCGGAAACCACTACCGATCGTTCGTCTGCGATTAACGCCTTCACCAATCGGCAGCTGCTATTGTCCAGGAGAGAAGGATCGCTGATAAAGCGTCTCCTGGCAAAGCACTGAGAGGTCCTTACGTCGAAAAACTCACAAAATCTGCGATATTTAAAATTTTTATCAAGATTTTGCTTAATTGTGGACAGCGTTGCAGCAGTAATTTTTGTCTTTGTGGCATTTGTACATTAAATAAATCTTAACATGTATAGTAATAATCTCACCCTTCTGTACTTCCCGCTACAAGGAGATTACTATGATGATCGTGAGATTCAATGGTGTTTTCCGTCCTGTTAAAAATAATTTTTATGATAATTTTTTATTGCCTTAGCTAGTTATGTTATACCATCGGATATCTTGTAAAACGTACAGTATAAAAATATTTATTTGTTTGCACCGAGCGCGAAGCGCGAGGTGCTGCAATAAGTCTTCGTCGAGAGCATAAAATTTGTCTGACGCCACGAAGAGCGTACGTCACGCTTTTCCAATTCCACAATTCCAATACTATTTCCCAGTGGTATTGGCGCTCGCGCTCGTGCAATAATGTGGTTCGCAACCACCGCTAGTACATAGTTACTTTATTTCAATTTTTAACACAGTAGTAACACTTCACTACATCGCCTAAAGGTTGAATCCACATGTCCGTACATACGCATACTATAGTACTGACCGTAATCGAGCTATAGTCCCATGAGCCAAGCCAGCAGTGAGATCCGTTAATAGGATGCTTTTATCCCAGGAACCAGTACTTAAAACATTTCTCTCGTTTCGAATCGACGACACTTTGTTCTAAAAATACAAAACCAACCAGATGCCATACGGTGTTTCCTTATAAAAGCTGCAGATGCGGACTGCGGAGCAGGAGATTGTATACTTGTTTCGAACACGAGAAGAAAATTCATACCGTGTGTAAAGTGCCCTGGTCAATTACTGGAACCGGAAGCTCTCTATCCACACCAGCCACATTCCACAGAATGATGCTGTTTGGATCGCTACAACCGGCGGCGATCAACTTTCCTACCAAATAATCTCACGCTGATTTAAGTGGATTTGCCCTTGAATTAAAAGTACTTGTATCAACCACAACATGAAAGCTACCTAAATGAAATCAATTGGTCGCTCCTGACTTCGTGCCAAAAAGCAATATCTATATAGATATAAGTAGTTCGTGCCAAAGTACGGAGTACGGATATTATAATTTTCACTTTAAAATTAGAAGTTTCATGAAGACTGACTTAGACAGTGCATTTAATTTTAAGTACAATATATATATCGCTCTATTTCGATCTCATGCGATCAAACCGCTGGAAAAATCATAAAGATTACTATTGAAGAACGACACATTAATGTACTACAGGTAGTATATGTAAAGTAAAATAAACCAGAGATGTTTCCGATGGGCTGTATTGTACAGTACAATTAACGTTAAATTAAGTATTATACAGATATTCTCGCAATGCATAATCCGTATATTTGTCCTGTTACTTACGAAATCGAGAACGTTTCTGCGCATAATTTACACCTAAGACCTAACCAATACTAGGAAACATAAAAATACAGCAAATAATCTTAAATCTGTAAGTGAAATATGTGCTACATTCTTGCCTTCGTTGCAGAAGGCTACGCTAGCAATAGTCCAAAAGTGTTTGTGTTGATTGTTGACGTTCCATGGGCACAACTGTGCACAACCGATGGAATTATCAATAAAAATCCGGTTTTTTCTTTCGAACAACACGTGCGCTTTTCTCCAGAAGTCTGGACTGGGGTGTACCGTTGCGGCTGTAAACAAGTAACTGACTCACCATTGTCTGGTTTACAAATTATTACATAACTAATTTTAAAACGAGCAAACGAAATATTCACATTAATTTATTGTTAGAACCATACCTTTGACTTTGCTTAAAGCACTGAACCTGTATGGATGCCGCTGCTTCATCCGCTGTTCCCAGTATGACTCATCTGAGAAAATCTGCAGTAGCCATTTGTTGACAAGCCGAACATTTTGGGACAGCTCCACACTGCCACTGAAATGTCCAATTCTTTGCAGAACTTCTAAGGGCATATCTTCCAGACAAGCAGCGGTTTCCATGATCAGATTTCAAGTACTTAATAATATTTACTCCGTAAACAATGCCAAGCGAGTAAATAAATTATTCACGATGGACGACAACTGAAATCACGCCGAAAGATGAACGATAGATTACAGATGACAGTCATAACACGAAGAGCAAGCAAACAATCTACCAACTGTTGCATATCGCCGACTGAGAAAGAATCCATCTAGAAAAAGTTCATTGTCTTCTTTTCTGCAAAGTACCACGCATATACGGACCGATTGTTGATCAGCCTTCCGGTAATAGCGAAAGATTGTAAACGCTATTAAATACTACAATTGCACTATTACGGTAAGCTCAAGTTTACAAAGCCGTGCTTCGTCTTCGCCTGCATTGCATGCGCAGTGCCGCCAGTGCGCTTATTTTCCATACGAGTACTTTACAGATAACAATTTATAACGACTGCTGTATGGGTGTTGTGAATCATTTAACGTAAACACGGTACTTCGTATTTGTACAAAAAGTTAGAAATGCTACAATACTTGTATGTATTCCAGTAGTAGTCAAACAAACAGCCAACGGAAATCAGCACAATGCACACTAACGCTGCAAACAACGAAGCACGTGACAGTGAGCCGGCAAAAATACATTATTTATTTATAAAAAAATGTATAAAAATGAGCCGGCAGTATAAAAATGAGCCGGCAAAATTTTTATACTGTACGAGTATATTTTGTCTCATTTTTGTGCCATTTACCGTAGCTATAGCGGCAACCGGCAAATACATCCAGTAGCAGAAATACCGGTTTTTCTCGTTTGATCCCTTTTAAAAAAAAGTTTTCGCGAATCCGTAAGACCATTACCACTACTAGTACTCTAGTCTACCACAACAGAGTTGTTGAGACTGACAAAGGAAAAAGCGGAAATTGATCTAAAAGAAAAAGCATTTTCAACAGGGTATTATAATTTTTTATCATTGTAGATTTAAAGTGCTGTCCTGTGTCCACTTATAAGTTATTACTTATTAGTTAAAAGTCCATGTGAGCATACGAAAACAAAACCATGCAAAGTCTTCAGTGCATAACACAGATCGCAGCGTAGTACAGTAAAATGCGCAACACTCTCAAATCGTGATATAGGAACGTCCTAATAAATATGTGTTCCAACTTCCTACTCAATTGTTATCAGGGGCTTGGGGTCAGTAGTAAATAGTAAATACAACACTTCCGGCTTCCGCATCATTTTTACAAAAATTAAACTTCCACATAGTGCCCTTAGGCCTTAGTAATTAATAATAATGTAAGTAATTTTTCTTTTTTTTTATGTAAGTAATGTAAGTAATTGCTGCAAGTAATTTTTCGAAGCAGGCGCGGAAATCAGCGGTGAGGAGGGTTTTGTTATTGCTTGCGTGCGATTGGTGCATGGAAATGGATCGTCACCATACACAACACCTGGCAACGCCCTTGACCCTGTTGAAAATTTCCATTTGTCGTCTACAGTCTGTTCTACCCTTTCTCCGTCCTTATCGACGTTTTATACAGTTCCAAGTTAGTGACTTTTCCCTGCACCGCCAACTTCTATCGACCATTTATTTCACAGTCACAGCCAGGCGTTGATATTCTTGGTTGTCCTCAAAATTCTCGCAAAATAATAACGCTGATCTAACCTTGTCGCTCCATTTGCACATTATCCTCCGAAGAGTGTTCCTTTTTCTGCCGAAATCATGGTAAGTGTCTCGGATCAACTAATGAGTCGTCTATAAGCTAAACGAACCCTTGCTGCACCATGCAGCCATGCTGCTCCAGTTTTTTAGTGAACGAACGGCCTTGTTAAATTAAATCCTTGTAAATAGTCTTGCATTCCTGCATTCGTTGGAGGTTTTCCAATAATCTGTATGAACAGATGGGTTTTGTGAAAAAATATGCGTTAGCTGCTCGTCATACGAAAGGGCATCAAGGATGTTTTTTATGATGAGTTTTCTCGATACACTTCGAGTGGGACCTGGGAAGGTCGTTGGCTCGTTGCCCAGGCTTTCATCAGACTTTTGACCGCGATTAAGTACGGTTGCACAGAATCGTTTTTAGATCTTTTTTTGCGTAGGATTGTGAATCTAGGTACCTGCTAGCGTTTCTTAAATTTTTTATACGGTTGTGAACTGGAATTTGACAAGTTCCTTTCAGTTTCTGTATTACTGAATTTTTATAGCGTGAATGCATCTCAGTGCACGTCGGACAGGCGGGAGTCCAGATTGGCAATGCCTGCTGGGAGCTGTACTGCTTGGAACACGGAATCCAGCCGGATGGGCAAATGGTTAGTCTCAACTCGTACGAGATTTTCCTTTCAGTCCTTCACTAATATTTGATTCGAAATTCAGCCATCTGATAAAACTATTGGCGGAGGCGATGATTCCTTCAACACGTTTTTCAGCGAGACCGGAGCTGGAAAACATGTCCCGCGTGCCGTGTTCGTCGATCTGGAACCCACTGTTATTGGTAAGTTGCAGGCATTTCCTTGACTCACCATTCGCTGTGGTTTGCAAATTAAAATTTTCAGATGAAATTCGCACCGGGACATATCGGCAGCTGTTCCACCCTGAACAGCTGATCACCGGTAAGGAGGATGCGGCCAATAATTACGCGCGTGGCCACTACACGGTCGGGAAGGAAATTGTCGATCTGGTGCTGGATCGTATCCGCAAGCTGGCTGATCAGTGCACCGGCCTGCAGGGCTTCCTGATTTTCCACAGCTTCGGTGGCGGAACGGGATCGGGATTCACTTCTCTGCTGATGGAGCGCCTGTCGGTTGACTATGGGAAAAAGTCCAAGCTGGAATTCTCTGTGTATCCGGCTCCTCAGGTGGGTGAAAATTTCTTTGGGCATTTGTATTATAAGCGGAACAACGGAGATGCGTTCGATGTTGTAGGTGAGCACGGCTGTGGTCGAGCCATATAACAGCATTTTGACCACGCATACTACTCTGGAGCATTCCGATTGTGCATTTATGGTGGATAACGAAGCCATCTACGACATTTGCCGCCGCAACTTGGACATCGAGCGCCCGACATATACAAATTTGAACCGTCTGATTGGCCAGATTGTTTCCTCAATTACTGCTTCTCTGCGCTTTGATGGAGCCCTAAATGTCGATCTTACGGAATTTCAAACTAATTTGGTATTTCAGTTAATTTTGAATGATTATCGAGGACAAAAACTCGTTAATGCAATCTGTTTTTAGGTGCCATACCCTCGTATCCACTTTCCGCTGGTGACATATGCTCCGATTATTTCCGCTGAAAAGGCATATCACGAGCAGCTTACGGTATGGCTTTTTAATTATTTATTGTACTAGTGAGTTCAGGATGCAGATTCATTGTTGTAGGTGTCGGAGATTACTAACGCGTGCTTCGAACCAGCTAACCAAATGGTCAAGTGTGATCCCCGCCACGGAAAGTACATGGCTTGCTGCATGCTGTATCGTGGCGATGTGGTGCCCAAGGATGTTAACGCTGCGATTGCGGCTATCAAAACTAAGCGCACCATCCAGTTTGTTGATTGGTGCCCCACTGGATTTAAGGTACGATATGCACCGGAGTGAACGCCATTTAATTTTCTAATTGCATGAATGGCGGTTTTTACTTGTATAGGTTTGATAGGTATTGAAGGACTGGTTTTTTGCTCAGCTGTTCGTCTTTTTAATTTCCCTGACTTGTTTTCTGTGTGGCAGTCTCTTCATGATTTTGTTTTTGTTAATTTAGGTTGGCATTAATTATCAGCCGCCGACCGTCGTTCCTGGAGGCGATTTGGCCAAAGTCCAGCGAGCTGTGTGCATGCTGAGCAACACCACGGCCATTGCCGAAGCATGGGCTCGCTTGGATCACAAATTTGACCTGATGTATGCTAAGCGTGCGTTCGTACACTGGTATGTCGGTGAGGGAATGGAAGAGGGTGAATTCAGTGAGGCCCGCGAGGATCTGGCGGCCCTGGAAAAGGATTACGAAGAAGTGGGAGTGGATTCAGTCGAAGGCGAGGGTGAAGGAGAAGGCGAAGAGGTTTAATCGCCAATGCTAACAGCGTGCGTAGAAGCCGTTTTCGGTCATCAGTTTTCTCGGTTTAATCATTCTTGTGGTTTTGTAATTTTTTGCAGGACTTGCTGTAATCTCACGAACTATTCTCATATATATCTCAATTTGTACTTACGATGTTCCTGACTTGTATTCCTGTCAGTGGTACTCTGTCTGACGGTCTCTTTAAATATTTTGCATGGCCTTTCGCCCAGTTGGTGTATTGGTTAAGCGACATTTTGCACAAGTAATTTCGTTCGAATGAAAAATCAGTATAATTATGCTAATGTTTTCATCCTACAATTGGCAGTTTAGTTGAAAGTGAAGGACTTTTATGTGATTTTTGTAAATTAGTCCCCCTTAAGCTGGGTAAGAGGTAAAACGCTCAATGAATGCAGTGGCTGAGTCGAAGTGTAGGAACCCTTCGAGTTTGTTTGGTTATTCCTCTGTCAGTTAAAAATATTTGATAGCTTTCGCCGTTCATGGTATTATTTTTCTTAACCAAACTGGAAGTAAAGCGAAGTTTTTCACTTCGAAGAAGCTTGTGAGTTATGACTATAGTCACCAGAGCTGATTTTCACGGTGTTTCAGCTTTACTGCCATATTTGTTGGCACAGCACAAAATTTTTAACGGTTCACAGTTGTTCACACTTGAAAAAATGTGGAAATTTCAAACCAGCAGCATTTCTGCGCAATAAAGGGCAGCCCCATGACCCTATCGCATAAGGGCCCGGACCTGAAACACCGAAGAGTTTAATCCTTTAAGAACGTCGCTCGTGTGTTTCGCGGACCGCATGGTGAGATAGTTGATTTGTTTTGCTGAATCAGCTACAACCCTTTTTACACCTACAGGGAATTCCCGGAAATTCCCGACTCGCGTGCCGCAAACACAGCAGAGTGGTCTGTCACATGTTTATCATATTCAATGACGTAAATCATGTCTCTCAGCGGAATAGATAAATAAACGGTCAGAAACCCCGGAAGCATACTCATGTGATCGGAGTTCGGAATCAAACACCAAAAGAGCAGCCGCATCCGGTACATGCATGCGTGGCTCATACTGTAGTTGGATTAAAATCCCTACGTACTATGAATAGAAGTAGTCACAGTATGCCAGGAACAGAAGATCGAGCAGGAAGTCTCGAAGACGGCCAGAAGCAGTAAAGATACAGTAAGTATATAATATTCCTGTTCCGAAGCGCCGTAAGATAGCAACAAAATAATAGTCACACGATGCAGAACCTTAGAAATTTTTAGCTTAGACGGGACTAAGATGTAACTTACAGTCTTACAGTAATCTTAGTTTCGCCTAAGCTTCAAATTTCTAAGGTTCTTAGACTGCCGTGGTAACTTTTGAGTGCATAACTCGTAAAATCGCAAACACTAGTCTTATATGCACCGGGTGCGGTAACAATTTTAATAATATGGAAGTGGCAATTTATGAATAGCCTTTGCTTTGCAGTGTAGCATATATAAAAAATATATGTTTTACTAGTTTCGCTTTGTTTATTTTAAAAAGAATGTATAACTTCAATGATATGAGAATATTTACAGCATCAGAGAGGTAAAAACAAAATTTATGGTCAAGAGCTGACAACAGTGAACATTTGGTTAAACAGTGTCTCAAAAATAATTTATGTCCCATTTGGCTCTCCTGAAAAATACAAAATGTACAAAAAATGCATAGAAGTTCCATTTGGTGTAAACACAACATGAATACATCGCAGCAAAACTAAAAACTAAACATTTTTCTCTAAAAAAGACTCATTCTATCCGTCTCGTATTTAGCTGGCTCTGTACAATCAAACGACCACTATTTCTAGTTGGAATTTCCCCAGTGGCAGGAGGTAATTCGGAAACTTTACTGTACGCAGCCGTTTCCTCCTGAACCTTTGACGTTTCCTGGCCATGATTATCGGCACTGGAAGAGGGTTCGGCAACTTTCCAAGGACCCTGAGTGAAATGGCTGAGATCAATGGGATGGACATATTTCTCCTGCATCACGTCCAAGATACGCCAGCCTTTTAGCAATTCCATTAAATCCACAAGTAACTGACTAGCAGCCACAGGACGACGATTGCGGACCGCCGATTTCAGAGCGTCCAGCAAATGATTGTGAATCGCCTGAAAAATAGCGCTAGCATATCAAAATTTCCTGCAAAAATCAGAGCTAACTTAACAGAGGGCGGCCGATTTGATATAACGATTGTTTACAAAGGCGACCAATTTGAATAAATTCGAGCCGTAAATGAAAACAAAAATTAAGTAACGACACCGCTGACATCAATAGTAAGTGGGTTTAAACGATCACAATATTTTAATAGTCCATAAACACTTCAAAATGACCCAACACAATATTAGCATGCGTTAGCACAAAACGATAGTTTTCCATAGGTTACAAAAATTCAGCGCAACTTCAATGCCAAACTCACACGCCACACCCCAAAGGCAAAATGTATCGTTTTTAGCTTATAGAAAAGTACAAAGTGTGAAAATTCAAACAAAACAACAAACTCACCGTAATAAAGTCAACACGATTCAGGCCGGGACGATCTACAATAAAAATAAGGTCAGTCACACCCAGAAATATGATCTTACGTCAGCTGCAGGCACCGTTATCGTGTCAGAATACAAGATAAACGGAATTTGCCAATATTTGCGAGTCTATTAAATTATAACAAGTGTATTTATTTTATCAGGTATGAATACTCTTAGTCTTCGAGGAGAACATTACGACGTCCATAACACATCTCGCCCGCTTCAAAGCATCCATCACATGAGGATGTTTAGTTGTACACAAAACAACAATGTAATGTAATGTAACACCACTGTGATATTGTCCGATCAACGATATTGTTCTCCATACTACTCACAATTATCCCGTCGCGTATAGCATTGTTCATCTAAAGTTTCATACAAATAGTTCAAAGGAAGGAAAATCGTCAGTCCGTTCATGGTATCTGAATTCCCAGCAGTATCCCGCCTTTTGCTGCACTGACATCATAATGCCGAAATAGGAAATACAGAGTCTGTAGGTCTACGTATTGCTAATAAGGCATTATGTTAAGTACTCGTATTTTTATTTTTTTTTTCAGATACTGTTGGCATGCTGGTTTTCTCGTATGCCCTGCAAACTTTGACTGCGAATTTTTGTCGTAGTCGACTTTGCCAGAAACAGTCATTCTAGTTGCTTTATTTACGGTAAGCCGAACTGCGGTGACTGTATGCGACTTTAAGTGCAGCAGAAAACCTACAAGTGTTTAAACAAAAGATGCGAAACGAATTTTCACTAATCAATGCTTGACAACGAAGCATACTATCCTGGGAAAATCCTACTACTCGTAGGAAACCGGTAGGGCTGCATAACTAACAATATGAAGCCCAAAGATAAACAAGCGCCTAAGCAGACCAGGATGACGTCAAACTGACAGGTCAGTTCATTTGAATTTGACCGCTTCCTAGAAGCTGAACGGCACACCCAAAATTATGCAGCACCACATAATAGCACTAGGCAACCACAAATTTTGCTCGTCATAATTTCTACTTGGATTTCTACAGTCCTCTGCTTTTTAGTTTAGTAAAAGAAAGGTTTCAATAACAAAAAATTAAATCGTAAATATTGCTGATCTGGTTTAAATGAACGTTATATCTATATTTGCAGAGTATCACATCCGTCTGCCAATTCTAACGCAAGTACAAAATACTTTGTAATACAGCCGCAGCACATAGTTTCAAAAATAATTATCAAGCTGCCAGTATATAAAAATAACCGTTAAGCAGCAGTTTGACACTTGATTACAATCCGCTAAACAGCCTGCAGAACTAGAAAGCAGGACTAGAAGAAGTACGGTAGCTTTTTTAAAGTGATGTGTCATTTTAGCTATCACGAAAGCTACGGCTGCCTTGAACATTGTGGGAAAACACAAACGCTAATGTCGATGATTGTTTCTTTCCTTTCAAATAACGGAATATTTTAACCAAAGTAAGAGATCAAAAGCCCAGTACTGTAGAATTAAACGCGGAAGATGATCAATAAAATTCTGAGCAAGTAGTTAAACGATTTCGCAAATTTATACTCGTAATAGTTATCCATACGACAAAAGGATAAATTCGTTTCATAAGTCACTATTATCTGAAGTCTTTGCCATTTGCATTAACAATAATACAATTATTAGTCGAAGTCTTTGCCATTTGCATTAACAATTATACAATTAATAGTCATGTTTTTCCGTGCTTCCCTACATTGAGCCCCGACCAGCCGCAATCGCTGAATTTAAACGCATCCTATACGGATGACCACGAAAATAAATTTGCAGTACTTTAAGCACAAGATTGTTGTCCCATAACATCGTGCATTTTAATAGAGTTTAAGTGGTAAACTGAAATGCACGATAATAATATGGAGTAAGGAATTAAAAGATGATAATGTCAGAAACAACATATTTTTCCGGTACAAAATACCACTTCAAGTCTTAAACACATTCTACACTAATTATGTGACGGTGCTCAGAAAAAACTGTTAATTCTAATCACTTAAATGATTAGTCAATGAAATACATAATTTTATGCAAAAGCATAATTTAACGACAACAAACTGATTACGATCAGAACGTGGCTGCGACCACAAGAAACGGATGTTTAAAAACAGCACTTCAGATGCAGATAGTTAGTTATAATTTATACAAGCTAAATACAGACGCAAGCATGCCTCACAAAAATCGGACAAGTGAAAAAGTTCTCCTACGTTAACACGAGAAAAGACCGCGCATGATACACTCATAGCATCGCCGCGCATTATTTCCAAACACAGAAGCTGCAAAAATATATTGTGCAAGTGGAGTCAACACATAATGTCACATAAGTATATCAGTGTTTACGCAATACCGCCAACCACCTTGTAATAACCTTCGACAATCGCTTTCCAAGAAACTGTAATCCTTCAACCGACCTAGATGTTGCTGTAGCGATAGGTGGTGTATAGTGTATACACGGTGGAAATTCCGCTCAAACGAAGCCGAGAAAACCGGTACGACTAACAACCACGGTTGAATAGACGGCCTATTAGCGAGACAGTTATGTGACTGTCCATACATCGTATGCCAGAGTGGCAGCTCTGCAGAGATAAACAGATGGCATGCGCGACAACGCACAAATCTCCTACTTTCCTTTTTGCGGTACATTCGGTAAATCACTACGGCGCTTAACTGAATACGTTTCAATTCGCCCGCCACTGACACGTCACCAATCACCTACTTTTAGTCGACCGCATCGGCGAAGTCGCATTAAATGAAAATTCTCTTCAGAACGCTTTCTTCTCTGTGGCAATGTCAATGCCAAACTCTCCATACGCAAAAAGGGCATGCAATTCAAACAAATCTCTTACCCGGGCGAACGATCAATATGCACTTCAGCAACGACAGCTCATCAAAACTTAAATCCAGCGCATTAATTCGGGAGGCCATTTCGAATACTGTCATTAGAAATTCATCCGTGAGAAACTGCTCCATCCAGTAGCGCGCATAAAACGTGTTGGTCTCCAGAAATAAAATGTAACTCTGCTGATTGCGAAGAAAGCGGGCTGAATGCACCTAAATGCATTGCAAGAAAATTTATCCAGCGAAGAAAAAGACATAAAATAATAACACTAACCATCCAGGTGTCCAGTATACAAGTCCGCAATAAAGAATGCTGGTCATGCATGTCAAGAAATCGGAAACCAGGAATACTTTCACTCAGCATCACCACCCGCTTCACCTGCGTCACAAGACGATCCTTCAAGATGTCTCGCATTTGTAGCGGCGTACGCTCCGGTTGATTCTGGAAAGATCAATGCAGACCGTATTATGTGCTAAATCCACAAACGCATCACGCATTAACGGATTTCTCACCGGTAGGTTATTTGACGTTAGCGCTTCTTTGAGGAACACTTCATTAGCCCGCGTTTCCTCGCCGTAAATTTCATTATTCTTCTTCGAGACGATACGAAACGTGTATTCACACATGGAATTCTTGGCATTTTCGTCTTTTCCCAGTTCATGAAAAAATTCACTTGTTATAACTGCGGGAATTTTTAAATGAGGACTTGGGGACAGTAGAGAGGATTCCGATGAAGAGGAGCCATCTTTACGAGTCTTGCGATAGCGGTGGTGCGTACTAGTCGGTTGGGGAGGGGCCGGTATTTTCTCAGGTGGGACATAGGACGGCGTCATAATCACAATATCTCGTGGCACTACAAAAACGATAACGATATCAATCTAACGTAAAATGCTAAAATGCGAACGATACTTCTATCAAGATAACGAACGACATCAAACAAATCTGATTTCCCAAAAATAATCCAAACTGGCTCGAAAATAACGTTTAAGGATACAGAAGAACAGCTACAGAAACGCTTAATCGCACAGTTACTTGAATAAAATATACCTTAAAATAAAAAATAAAATAAAATTACCGGTTGAAAATAACAAGATAAACAAACACAGAGAAGTGCTACAACTGCGTCTGTATAAGCTTTCACCACATAGTCAGGTCAAACATTACATACCGACGGGGGCACAGTCCTTTGATCCCTGAACAATCGGTTCCAAAACTGCCACAGCCGTCTCATCCGTGGCCATTTCGGCGGTCAGCTGATCAGCAGGCAGCGCTTTCAGTCCTGGAACGTTCTCATTGACCTTCTGTCCAGTTATGGCCATATCTACAACTTCCGGCAAATGAGACGGTTTGACCACGACAGGTAACTGAGAAAATACTATTGTCTGGCCTGTTTTGCGCACTGCGGGGTAACACACTCCACCGCTGCCAGTAAAGCGTGCATTAGGCGACGACGGAATGACATAGCCGTCTAGCGTTCTTGGATGACCGTCTTCGTGCTGTATAGTCCGACCGGTATCGGTCATCGTACTGCCCATTTCCGCATCTTTTCGAGCCGGTGGCGAGTACCGGCTCGTACTCGGCCGGCTCGGACCGGGCTGGTACGAACCCGAGTAGGTAGGCGCCTCATACATGGAAACATCCTCATCGTCGGACTGCTCTTGCATCGGCAATGGCTGTGCTTTAGTTTTATCGATTGGTGTGTTAGATGACGAATGATACGGATGAAATCGATGACCCGACAGGGAAGATGACTGGGGATAGTGAACTGTACCTAGTGCCGCTGAATGATTGCCGGCTTCCACCTGCGAACTGCTACGGATTACAGTGTAACGTTGGCCTGAAGAGCCCGCCGTCGCCTCCGCAGCCGAAATGCTTCTGTTTAGCAGGACAATGTTGCTTGGTGGAGATGGAGTTGTTGGAGTGGGCTGTCGTGTATGGGATGGTCCCGTCACATTATCTCCCGATGAAGAGGCTTCTCCGCTCGTAGCTGCGCTGCTTGATCCACCGGCAGATCGTACCGCCTGCTCTTTCACAGCTTTGGGAATGCGTCCCATTTTCACAGCTAAAGAACATATTGACAATTTCCATACAACACAAATAAAACTAATTAAAAGCTGCCAAACAGCAATTCACAGCAATCAGCACGTTTTTATAACCAATGCACAATGCTAGACTAACACAAGCGAATTCGGTACACATGTCGTACTCTAACCATAACTACAACGCACCCGGCATAGATAGGGCCTGATAGGCATATTCTATTCAGCCACTGGCTTTCGATTAAGTAAGAAAATTAATGTTCTTTAATGCGTCCGTCGATTATGTACGTGCACAGCATTCAAGTTTTTCAACTAATCAAAACGCACTAATTACAAGTATCATAGTTACAAGTATCATAGATATTTCTCTCACCATCCAGCGCCATTCCCGCTTCGATGCATTTTCGGAATCGGCATGCTTTACAACGATTACGAGTATCAGGAGACACCTCGCATCTATTGCCGAAGAAACAGCGAAAGGTTCGGAAAACGGGTAGACTGCGCTTGAAGAATCCCTGTTCAAAACCAGACAGGACGATTATTCCACGCAAATCACAAAAGTGAATCGATAGAACGCAATGTAGTCCACATAGCATCAATCGGTTACCATAAGGCATCGTTGAGCTTATGGTTAAACCTCTGAAGTCTGAATAGTAATAGCCCAGCCTTATCGTCACATAATTAGCTGACGTAATTTAGTTCTAGATCACGGTGAAGAAGAGAGAGTGGCGACTGCAGTATACTACAGATATGTGTGGATGACTGTTGTGAATGCCAGATTTCGGGCTAACCGCTGTCCGTACTCAGGCCGTCAGGCGTACTGTACTGCCAACTGCGTAATAAGGAAACAGATTCGGGGCACATTATAGTATTTATTGTAAAATTGTAGTGCCACATTAAATCTTATTTTCAAATATTTTACAACCCTTGATGAGACTGCTGTCGTGTGAGCACAGATTAATGGCTATCGCTTCGTTAAATATTCATTATTTGTCATTTGTAGTAGTAGATATCAGACTATTGCAAAATGCACCTTTTAGGCTTTTACAAGTTAAACCGATCCAACCACACTCGCGGTCCCTGATGAGGCAAAAAAAAGTTTTCGTCTTACGATAAAAGTAACATTAAATTCTGCACCAACTCAGTCTATGTAAAATGTAAAGAAAAAAATTTCCTTTTTGCGGCAATGAAACCACGGAACTAATCGTAAAGAGCGAGTTAGATGAGTTATGATGTCTCCGGGAAATGACGTAGCTACACGAGATATGCAAACAGTTATTTCTGGTCCAATTTCTCGGTATCAACTCAGATTTGTGTATTGAAAGTATTTCTCGAAAAAAGCAACCGAATACACTGTGCATGAAAAATCCCGATATGTTACCGAGATCATATTCTATTTAAACCTGACACAAAATAAAGATCAAGTTATACAAGTAACACAAATTTCAGATACACGCCTCCAGTGTAGAATTCAAAAAAGCACCAACAAGCACATACGAATTACCCATCGATGTAGAAAACTAACCCCATAAAGAAATAAAATTTTAATATTTCAACACAAAATATAGTCAAAATGAGAGTTCATACATAAATTTAATGAAATCAGCATTACTAATCAGCATTAACACTGTAAGCAGCGGTAATGTCATACCGTATTATTATCACAGCGGAGCATGATTATTATTTCTGATTATGATTATTTGTCACACTGAGAAAACACTGTAATAAAAAAATGCTCGAATAGAAAATACAAATAACGACTAAAGGATTCTCCATAAAAAAGAGAAAAAAATTTAAAAAGTAACACTGTAACAGCAAGGCTCAAAGCTAATGTTGGCAATTAATCTGTAAAACAAACAAGTTTGCAATCAAAATCTTGAGCTTTATTTTCTACAGAATGTTTCAAAATGGTAGAGAACAGCATCAAACGCTAACTGAGCTTGCTTACCTTGCAGCCTTCGCACGTGTTAGCCCCGTAATGATTTCCGGTAGCTTCCGCTCCGCATATCTGCTCAAGAGAAAACCGAAATGGATCAGGCAAACCCAACCAACCTCTTGAGGAAAACACAACCGTCGCGGACAATTGACCGCTCAGTACCTGACATTGACCAAAGGGGAAGGGAGTAAATCCTCGACCCTTTGGAATTGGGATGTTGATTTCCATGATCAGATGTGCAAAAATAATTAACCATTCAACATCGCAGAACCAACGAAAAACGAAGTATGTCGATCGGACAAGCGCAAGCCAGCAAAAAACCACTTTCGGTTGGTAACAGCTAGTTAGGTGTATTTCTCATTTTCCGTTCATTTCTGTCAAGCGACATTTATACAGACAACACAAGTTCGAACGGTATGTACAGAACTGAGAAGCTAGCTCGTAAGGTGATAAAAATGCCGGATTCCCTCCAGCAAATGGAAAACTACGGTAGATTAGCAGCAACAGAAAATACATTCAACGTGAGCAGATGTATAGAAGTCGCACACTTGAATTTTCCGCTACGCATGAACCAGAAACCTGTTTGCCAGTGCAGGCACAGCTGTTGTATTTCAGACGTAAGCACTCGGTAGTCGACTAGTCGGTATCGTAAAAATAGGCCCGACAGACTGGATGGACGCTGTCACGTGAGTGAAGTGTAAAAGGAGGGGTTGCTCAGGCAGCCCAATCGGGTAATGCGGTACCGGTTGTAAAAATGAATAAAACGAAGAAAGCGCGGTAGTAGAAGTATCGATGGCTCAGTGGTACTTACGAGTACGGAATATGTAGTAAATTTTATATTATGCCGACAGAAACCAGCTCAAAAGCAGGACACCTTTATGTAGTTATTAAACAAAACTTTTATTTTCTTCACATGTAGAGCTGGTTAAAAAGATTCCACCACCTGATCGATTATTGCAGATCAGACGGGAATCTGTTACACGAACTTTATTTCAAAAAAATTAAATTATGCTATCAATCAGTAAAAGCTTGAGGAAGCTTAGAATGCGTATCGTTTAGTGGAAACGTGAATTATAAAAGAAGTTCCGAAGTGAGCTTATTAGTACTTTACAGCAGTCTGACTATGACATTCGAAATAGAATAATTATTCTCATCTCGTACAAAATTTATGAATTGGCAAATTAATTTTCGCAGTATTGTTGCTTGTTATGGTTGATGTGGACTTTAAAACGGTCGAACTGCGTTCAATGGCTGGAATCCAATCGGTCAGTTGAAGGTTAGAACTACGTCATTATGGTCACCATGCGGATTGAATCAGGAATGAGGGATCAGACACGACACAGACACCCGGAACTCAAAACGAGACCAGCGTCGTCTGCAATTTGCATTGTCATGCAAATCCAAGCACGCTAAATATACTCGCACTTGCTGTAGTCCAGTACCGAGCGCTGGTCGTATGAATGAATTGCATTCATACGACAACTATAGGCGCGGTTCTGCGTGTGTATTGTAATTGTGTACAAGCAAAAAAAACAATAGAATTACTACCCCATTTAATTTTTGCCATACTCCACGTTCACACTCCACAGTACTTAAGGCAACCATACAGCATTACGGTCTTTTGTGATACCTAGTTTATGTGGTTACATTTCAAATTGATATCTATATTCAACGAAATGCGGCATCCATCATGGGATCGGCGTCGGCTCCGGCTAATTTACGAGTAGATGAAAATAAAAATCATGAGATGTTCTCTGTAATCCGGTCGCCTGCTTCCTGTTTGTTAACGATATGTAATAAACTGACATAATTAAGCATGTTTTCTGACATAATTATGTAGTGCGCGTTTTTGGACAACAGCTTCACAAATAAAAAGATTTAAAAGGATTCAACTGCAGCTGCGAAATTACCGTACTGTCAAATTACAAGAACTCGTTGTGTACATTATCTCGCAGTATTGTCCAGAGAGTTCAAAAACCAAAGAAAATATTATACATCAAGTACTCGTAGTGCAATAATTTATTACTTCATTAAATTTAGTGGTTAGCTTTTTTAATAGTTAGATTTTATCTGTCATGTAGTATGCCCGCGCTTGCTACTAATGTCGTGTAATAAAACAAATTTTTGAAATTTGCAGTGGGTGGCTCGGCTCACTGGCTTTGCTAGAATAGCTTGTGAAATATGCGTCCGAAGTAAGTAAGTACTGGAATTGTACAAGTACTCTGTCGGAACAACGGATACCGAACATCGAGGATATTTGCACGCCTTCCAAAATTATGGAAATACGCTTGTAAAAGAATTAATACGCTTGTGAAACAAATCTGTAAGCATCGTCCTTAAGGAATATTAAAGCAACACAAATGTGTTACCGAGCAAGTGCAGAATTACTCTATAGGGCAGTATTCTTACCGGTGTGATACATCTTGCTGAACGTTGAGTCGTTGACCATGGATTGTTAAGTAAATTGTTAACTTAAACAGAATGAATTTGTGTAGTATGGTTTCTAGTTTTACAATTATTATAAGTAACCTTTCTAAGTTTCTTGTCCTCGCTTTCGGATTTTGTGCAGTTTTGTGATCGTGCAATTTCTTTCCTAATTATGTAATGATGACTCTTGACCCGGCGTATTCACTTGTGTCTGCATTTGTGCAGCTACGGTACGATTAAAGCCATTGCTTTGATTGCACCGTTAAGCAATTAATTATAAAAACTTTTATTAGCTCAGTTTTATTAATGCGCCTCCAGCAGTACTACTCAACACTTGATAATATCCGGTTTTTTAAACACAGTATAAACTTGAGTCGCTAATTCTCTAATTAAGTGAATGAAAATATACTGGGTCAACTTTTGTGTGCTGTAATATGTAAAAATATATGGATAGCAGGTGAAAATTAACACAGAACAAACACGCCATCAGAAAAACGCAGCTGCCACGATTTCTAGCCAAGGAATACACTACCGAACTCCATTTTGAACAAGTCAGATCTGACGTGAACACACCACGAAAAAGTCTGATGAACGTTGAACAAGCATAGTTACCAAACTGTACAAAATGTAAAAAAATAAAAACCAGCTCTCACAAAGATAATAATCTATGCCCTGTAAAAGGCTTCCACTTGTAAAACAATTTAAAATTAATATTAAAATTGATCACACAGTTTCATTAGTTACAATTAGTTTCATTTCCAAGAAAAGAATTTTGGAATGCCTTATCCCTATCTAATGGTAAATCTACAAATCACAATAAAAACAAGTATTTTTCATTTTTTGCTAATCATTATCTTTCAAATTCAGTCAGATCAACGTTAAAAATCACTTTAAGAGTCCGAAAAGGCAACCACGGTCACAATGGTTGGGTTCGATCGCAGGCGTAGTGACCGGGCATCGGATCCTGGGAAGGAAGCTAATATGGGCAACTGCTGATTGCCCATCAGATTTCCTGTTCGTCCGCCGAAAATTGGCACATTAGGAAATACTTCGCGCAGTGTAACAATATCGCGCTGTGGGATTTCCTTGCTGGTTCCACCGGGCCAAAGCTCCGTAAAATAGAAAATCCAGCATGTCCTAGAACGGAATTCCAATGGAAAATTCCAGCCCAATTGTGCATGTAATGCACGAATTTTCTGATCCCGTTCTTCTCGCTTATCGGATACTTCCAGAATGACCTTCAACACACATATTACTCCTTTTTATAAAAATAGTAGCACCACTCAAACTGACATATTGCATATCCAATTTAACCTTCTGGTTATGGTTAGAGGAGGACGATTACCGCGACTGTTGGCTGAAGTACGAGTACTCATTAAAAGGTGTGTAGTTGTACATAAAAAAGTATACTTACGAGTATAAAAAAGTATACTTGTACATAAAAAAGTATCGTTAGTATATCTACATATATTTTTCGAACAGCATATTATACATGAAATCAGGGACCAAATAATTTCTTGTCGTACGAGTAATCAATTAGAAGCTTTTTACGATACATTTATTACCAACTAGGAATTGTAAAAACAACTGAACAGTCCATACATTCTGTCCGGAATCGTTAGCCGAAACTTGAGTAAGAAAAGTACTCGTACTGTTAATGCTGCCCTGTCTCAACTTGACAATCGAAACAAATGTACCTGAAAGACAGTCACACCGTCTCCCGAAAATGACATCCAGCCTTCAGGTCCATGGCTGTCAAACAACCGGGAGGCAATAACAATCACAGGAAAATCAACGAGCTCATTTTCCACATTCCGCGGCAAATCTCTAATGGACAAAATAACAAGCTTCGGTCGAAATCGTTGACCGATGACAAACAAATATTGAAAAAGACTGCTGCGAATCTCGTTTCGTTCAAATTCAGGTACATTAAGGAGCATGTTAAAGTTTAACGGGTGATGGCGAATTCTGACGTTTTCCAATGTCGGCAAAAACACCATCACCAAATCTTCGCTATGCCATAGGGGAAAACGTTTTAGCTCATGAGCTGTCATATGGGACGAAAACGCCGTCGAAGTTATAGGCTGTATAACGGAAAACACACGGAAGTGCCACACGCGCCAATCGGAATCATTTTGTTGTTTCAGAAGATTGTCTAGCAAAACGTCCGATTTCACCGTACCCGAATGAGCGCCGTCGATTACCCGAATACCATACTGAAATATATCCGGCGAATAAAAAACCAATATGTGTTCCGGAAAGCAGTATAACTCCCGGATCAGCCGCGAAAAAGCATTGTCGTATTTCGTCATAGTGCAAGATGCATATGACATATTTAAATGGCGAATAAATTCTTTTCGGTAAATCCATTCAAAACGATGTCGTCGCGAGCGACAACGTTCGTTTCTAATGAGCACGCGAAAGTCGCGGCAAGTGCAGGCCAGAGAAAGGAGGCTCGTCATGGGCAAACTTTTTAGAATTCGGGAATAAACTGAATGAAACAAAAGAATATCGGCGAAGGACAACTCATGGTTCCCTCCTTCGTCGGTTACGACTTCCTCGGCTTGCAGTAAATCCAGAAACAACGGACTGGATAAATCAGGCTTGTCGCTGCCCCGAGCACGGGGTGGATTAACATGGATAGCGTTGTCGCCGTCAAAAGAGCCGGTGGGATTATCCACGGTTTTATTGAAATCCGCACTGCCGGGAGAATTACCAACAGGCAAAAGCGCAGCCGTCACTGGCTTTTCCAAAGAAGCACGAGCTGTTGACACATACGTGGGATGCAGCAGCTCTGAATCCTGGCGGGATGTTTTTGCGTTAGATATCTTTCTTGCCATTTCTCGAATTTGCCCGATATTCATCATCTTGAAACAGGTCTTCTTGGTTATAGACGCGAAAATACTTTTGAAACTGGTCGAGTAACCGTCACGAGTACACAAACGGCATTATCATTAATGGCAAATTGTCCAAAAGCCACAACGACAGAAGGTGACACTGCAACAGAAACTCCAATGACAAAACTCCAAAGTAAACACAAGAGAGATCGGTCGTCAGACAGTATTATGGGTATCACTACGTCGTATTTCACACGTTCAAAAAACGTGATCTATCGTTACCGACGTTACGCAGCAAAATCTTAACTCAAATCACAATCGCGTTACGATTACAGCTATCTTACCTTCGCTTTCATGCAGTAAAAACGAAGCTAATAGCCAACAGGACCTCTTTCAGGGGTGCTCGCAATATAAGAAACAGGTTTTGCAGTTTCGGACATGTGACTCGAAGATCCGCGCGATGGAAACGTCAATAGGCTGAATGGCCTCACAAAAACTGGTGTCGTCGTTTATTGCATATGAATCCATTGAAACCTTTCTGCTCTAACTGCTAAGTGTATGTCATAGAAGTTATATAAAACGAAAAGATATAAAACTAAAACTTGTGCGGATCCGTTCACAATCTAAAACGTAAACAGATCACAAATGATACAAAACAAATAAACAAATCTAAACTGAATTCTGAAAGTACAGTACGAGTAGCAAACAAAAGTGGGATCGATCCACCACTACGGGCGACAATCACCATACTTTGTCAAACCTTAGCCGGTCGGTGCACCATGTGCATTTCGTTAGCGTGCATATTTGAGCCGGCCAGTGCACCACATCCTGCTAAACCTCGTGTCTGCTGCTAACGACATGCGTAAGGCAGCATTGAGTTATTTGGTAGGGCAAAAATCTTGCTGTGAACTCTATGGCAGAGCTTGGAGTTTCATGTGCAGCACTGCAATGATCCACGATGTAGTGTTGTTATCGCTCGATAGCTCAACATTTTTGTGAGAGGTTGATTAAAATTAACCGTTTTTGTGGATTTGAGAAAAAAATTTATCTCAGTTTTGTCAGCAAATTATTTTTCGATTCTTGAGCCAAAAGATGCAAAGAGAGGATAAGCTACCAAATGAATAGCCCCAAAACCGAGAGATTGTCAAGGTCGCTTTGACTGTTCTTTTCTCTTTATATTCATTCTAATGTATTATGAAACTAGCAGAAAACTTATTTTTTTGTAATTATTCCTCTAACTAACTAAGAAATGCATTTTGTAGGCACCCAGCGTCATCGATGCAGTTGTCAAAACGGAAGCCCGGGCGTGTATTGACTGATAAGGATGTGGAGTCAAGAACCCGACTCAATGTGAGTCAACATTAGGCGTTTGGCGTGGTCATTTTGTTTCGATCATAACAATTCTTTTCTTACAGGGAGATTCCAATAAGGGTGACTCTGCTAACGGAAATCGGCCGCCGTCGATGCAGGACAGACCCGATAAGCCCAAACAGCAGAGTGTCCTAGTTGTTCCCAGCGACTCATCCCTCCAGTACACCAATGGCATGGAGGCTGATAACCGTATCCATGACGTGAATGATTCCAAAAATCCTCCTCGAAAATCTCGCCACAATCCGGGTCCCCTCCCGCCCGACGGTAATGGCCCGGGACGGCGTAACTGGCGACCGATGGCTGGGGCTGCGGCCGCCAGCACATCCGCCGCCGTTCTCGATACCTTTAGCAACCGTACCGTTGGCTCATCCGAGCGCTCATCCACTGGTTACCATGCAGAATCTCGGAAACGTATGCGCCGACAAAATGGACGCCTACCGCGTTCGCATGGTAATTTCCGTAATAATCGCCATGAAGCGGATGGCTGGCGTAGGCGACAGTTGGGAAACTGTCTGAAAGCGGATCAGCACATGAGTCCTCACGGCGGCCCAGCACGAACAGGCAGTTCATTGTCGAAAAAATCGGGATCGTCCGATAAGACGGCGGGTTCTTCACCAGGGGGCCCGGGTCAACAAAGAAAAAATGCCCGACAAAGTAAGTAACGGCGGTGGTAGTGGCTGTAACTGTCCCCGCAGCTTCCGGAATTGGGGAAATATTTGCTTCGGCAATTTTTAGCCATTTTAATTTCAGTCTGTGATTTATAATGTCTTAGCCGTGCTGATGAAAATGTAAATTTCATGGCTTCATTTAGAATCGTTAACGGGTTATTGCATTTTTATTATAGTTAAATTCTGTAACTTCGGAAATGTTGAATACGCTTACAAGTTAAGCTTGCAAGTTGCGACAAATATTACTTCGTAAATTCTGTTCTTCGTAAATTTTGTTGTCGCTTATGAATCTTTATGGTTCTCTTTCCATAACGGTTTTTGTTTTTTCCTGTGTTTTCGACGTAGTCATCTTAGCTTCTTTGCTCACATCTGAGGTGGAAGCTTCGCAATTTTTTCCGGGAAAATGCAGTTTCCTGGTTTTCCGTATCGGACAGTTGTTAATATTTTATCGTGCTAAAAATGTGGTTTGTGGCAGATGCGCAGTCCCGGCCTACGACATTTTTCTCAAAACTCGCTTCGGAATCGACATCTGCTCCCGTACCATCGCCCGCAAGCGCTGACAAACTTCAGCCCAAGCTGAAGTCACAAGTGAAACGATTGTCTGCGGAACGAACGGTAAGCGCTTCTGACAGTGATAGTATTATGGTGTTTGGTTTGGCACGATCTTCGGAACTGATATGTATTATGAGTTTATTATTGACTATAATCTCATAAGTACGTATTCGAACATTTAATTATAATTCCATAAATAATGGTATTTTCATTATTTTGATAGGCATATCCATGTGCTTTGTTTAACTACTTACGTACTTAATTTCTGAAAAGTAATTGGACTGTTCAAATTTTGAAACTGTCGTCGAATTCAATAGAAATATCAAAGCTGAATTGAAATGGCTGACAAATGCTTCGTTTTGCATAAGACTGAATGCGCAAATCTATTTACGGCATTATTATTATGTAAAAACTAACTTAAACTGTAGGAGCAACAAAAAACGGAAAGCCCGGCGAAAGCATCTTCCGGTCGCAACGCTGCTCCACCGGCCCCTGTCCTCCCGTCTTCAAGTGGGGACTGGACTGTACAAAAGAGCTCTACTGGGAAGCAGTATTACTACAACAAGAAGACGAAAGTGTCTCAGTGGACACTACCTGGGGAACTTGCAGTTGTTAATACGTATGTGGTCACTTTTTCACAGCTTTACAGTTTATATATAGTCTGCTGAAAGCTTTATCTTTCCCTCCCAGGAGCCAGGGTGATACATCTGACGCACGAGCGCAAGATACAGGAGAACCAGACCGAAAGAAACCGGTTCCGACAGAAGAAACAGAGCGGAAAAAGCATGTTCCTAAACGGAAAGCCGAAGAAATCGTCTCACCGGGAACTAGTGTCGCTGCACCCAAATATCCCAAGATTACGCCACGCAATGAATCACTGCTAGGCAGTCCAATTAGCGATGACGACAATGGGATGTCTTTACTGAAAGGTTTGTGGTCATTGTTTTGCTGCGGCATTAATAACGTTGTGAAGAGGGCCTCCTGTATGTTTTTGATTGTTTCTTAAAGGATGTGCGGTTTCCTCCGCACAGTCAGTGGAAATGGATATATCCGATGGCAGCGAAAGTTCTGCGTCGAACCACTCAAAAAAGGCTATGGCATCTGCGCATAGGGGTCCTTCGCCGTCTCGCTCCAAGGTCTCAAATGAAAAATCAGGGAAAACGTGCGCGGAAATCTCTCCTAGCGGAAAACGGACAAAAGCACCTACCGTGGATGATCTCCGAAAACTAAATGAAACCCTCGGTATAATAACACATATTACTCGTAAATCTTTCTGCCATTCAAAGCCTTCCTGACTGTGACCAGCTTGATAGTAATTTGTATAAAATAAATTCTAATTTTGTCTTGAGGTTACGAGATTTTATCTTTTCGGCAGTATCGTTTATTCTCTACTGTTTCCATGCTCAGTTTGAAACTATGATAAATGTGGTTACGATGCGACACCAAAACAGGAATGACGCTTGCGTTTTTTAGACCCAGGAAACCGAAGGAGCGACAAACTGCAACGTGTAGAGAAATGGATGAAAAAAAGTAATTTTCGAAGTGATAGAACGCAAATGGTTAAATTTTTTCTTTCATGATATTTGTTCTATTTTTGTAGTCGAAACCGTGATTGATACTGTTTCTTCGCCACCTGATGATGTTTCATTGTCACCCGTTTCGTCCATAGCCTCAATGGAGTCTGCTGGAACCAGCCCTTCCCGGTAAGTTCTGGCTACGTGTCATGTACAGTACTGTTTTCAATAAATACGCCATATCTATTCAGTTTGTTTGTTCATAGACACGCGGATTCACCCGTTGTAACCTCAACGGCATTCTTAAAACTCGAGAGTGACTCTGCGTTACCAGCTGTCCACTGCCCGTCGCCTTTGCCCGCCGGTGGATGTAGTAAGATCGTCTTGCCTACCTTTGATTTATGCGAGCTTCCTGATCTCTCCAAATCCGATGTTCCACCGGAATTTAACGTAACCTTAACCCAAATTTTTCGCAGCTTGAAAATCGAAGCTACGGAAGATCAGGTGAGGGCAACAATACGTAGCATGGGTGCACTAAATGATTTTAATCGGTTTTTTGTTATAGCGATGTAAAATTTTGCTGGAAAGTTTAGCCCAGCAGCATTGTCGTGCGGATGAAAAAACGGTGGTCTTGAAGAATAATTTGGCGGACATAAGGCAGACGAAAATTGTTACTTCATCGGAAACTGACCAGTAAGTGGAAGAGAAGTTCATATTGTCAGTGCAGCACTGTTGGGAGATGCCGATACTAAACTTGTATGAGAACGCACTAAACAGTTTTTATTGACCTGTAATGAGATTTCGATGCTTCTGATTGTTTTGTATACTCCTACTTTCTCTTTACTGCAAGTTAGATTGTAGAATTATTTGAGAAATCTTTCTGATGGCTAAGTTTGTAATGGTATTTTCACATTATTAATTGAGGTTTCAGTCAGTTTGCATCTGTTTTGAACTGATCTTCTTGATTATAGTCTCGTATCTTTTGCAGCATCAATTCCTTATCGAAATTTGAGGATGAACTGTTTCGATCAATCCACTCAGGACCGGAAAACAAACCGGCAGACTCTCCTTTAAAAACTGTTGTTAAAGTGGAAAGTGTGGAAATGGATATCAAAGAGGAAAACAGTAACGATTCGACACTGAAGCGTGTGCTTGCCACGCCGGACGTCTTTCCTTCCAAGGGACTGGAGATGTCCGCTTGAATTTGAATATAACCCTAGTCAGGCATCATCAGTTCATTGTATCTGGCAGTTACTAGCTTTTGATGGATTCTCTTTGTGGATTTCATAAGAACGTAGGCAATGAGGGGTGCTTGGGTAACTTGAAAAACGCGGGGCATGCCGGGTATTACGTTGCTGTGACTGATCCGAACTTTTTTGAGTCAGTGGGCACTGACTCAGCTGATGCGGGGAAGTGTTTGTACTTTTTGTTTCATATTTATTTAGAAAAATTTCGTAACGACTTGGGTTCTTTATTACAGTGCAAAAAGATAATAAAGTTCTTTATTAAGTGGAAGTGCGACGGTGACTATACTGTCTGCACTTTCAAATTAAGCTATTAATCATTATTAACCTTACCAGGATGCTAATAGTTAGGTAATCTGTTAATGTCTAGCTAATGATAACTGAAATGCCTGGTTTGTAATTTTTCTTATCCTCAGATCTGTAACAGTACCTATGCAGTAAACACGCACTCTTAGAGAATACTTAATTTTTAATAAACTGTACAAAAGTGTGAAGGCTGCCTAGGCTGGTAACAACAATACGTATTGGATTTTTTCAATTAAATTACTCTATTTTCGCGTTTTACAGTTTGTACTACGAGTAGAAGTAGTACTAATTATAAGTACTGTTACGCGCCTGCACGTAGACGGCAGAATCTGTAGACAGTCGCAGCAGCAAGAATCTTTATTTCCTTCTCGCTCAGTCCCGTTTAGCGCACAGCGTTCTATAAATTCAGACATCAAAAATGATCATATCTACGTAGCTCAACGAAGACGGAGAATTCAAAACTGCTGTTCAGTCTGCTTGGATTTCTTCCACACTTGATGTGCAATACGATCCAAATCCCGTTTTCCCTGACTGGTTAGCCGGCGACCCCTAAAGAAAATAACAACCCAGTTAAATGTGAACTTTTATGAGCAGCGTAAATTCATCTCTCATAATAACAAAAAAAGAGAAAATATGTACTGGACGTTACACAGCCATTTACCATTTTATACAAAAGCTTTTATGGAAACGACAGGAAAACCCTATTTTATTAGTAAAACAAATTCCGAACATATCTCACTACTTTAAGTAAAAAAGATTGCTGCCATTCGAGACAAGTCATTGCAGACCGCCGACAAACACCACACTTCATAAGCGGAAGTGTCAGTCGTAATGTTCCTGGCAAACACTCACCCATTCTCTGGATCGACTTCCACAAGTTTCAAGGCTTCCAGCTGCTGCACCGCCTTACGGATTACTGAGGACGAGGCGATACAATAATGTGCAGGTGTAACACCGTTTCGCTTACGACCTGCGCACAAAGAAGATAAAATTATAATATTATTTTAGTTGGCACTTCAGAATAAACATTTTTAACATTTAACTGCTTCTTTTGTGTTTGTGCGTAAGCACTAACCTCCATAAGTCCGTGCCAAAGCACCAATGCCAGTAGGGAATCGAATGTACAATCGTCTTGCGATGGAAGCTGATTAAAAAAAGACAGCTACGTGAATGACCAAGAATACGGTATTAACGCCAGGTTGACGGAACGCACGAACACGTACCGGTTCTTGTGTAAAACCAGTCATCTTCCGTAGGCGCCAGCTCCTTAAATCGCCCAGTCTTGACAACATCGACCCATTCTGGTACCTTTATCTGTCCTTTCCTAAAAATAATACAACATCAGAGGCGTTTCAACGACCAGAAAAAAGATTCAGATTCCTGGGCTCTGACATACTTTTTGAGATAGTTGGCGAGTTCTCGGACAAACTCCTGCTGACTAACATCCTTAACACTTATCTTCGGCATTATGAGCGGAATAGGAAAGTATTTTTCACGGCGGAAACAATAAGAACGCTATTGGGTAATGCAGCGAACTTCTGGAACGCTCCGCTATCCTCAAAAATACTTATAGAGAGTTCTCGGTTCTCCGCTTCGGTCGCTCTGATACGGCGCATCGCATGCCTGCCGCGCGATACGTTCACATTAATACGCACCACGTATCGGCGTACGTTGTGTGCCGTACGGCGTAGCGTTCACACGTAGCTCTAATAACGGTACCCTGAGCGGTTGTGTTGACTCCAGGGGCTATCAGTGGCAACGCCCGTCAGCCACAATTATTTTCATTGCGAATCTCGCAACGTGTTTTTTTGTGCAAAAATAAAATATAAAATTAAACGCAAAACGTCGGTAATAACGATAAGTAATAAGTATGTTATTATTAAGCAAGTGAAGTAACGATTTAAAGACTAATAAGAACGATAACATTTTGATATTTTGAAAAGCCCCGTTGTGAGATCGGAGTTACTACAAGTGTTCTTTTCTCATCGTTGAGACGTTGACAGTCAAGAACCGTCCCGTAAGGTAAGATACGAGTTAACGAGTACCGTAAGAAATGTTCCTACAACATAAATTGCGAGTATTGTTACTATGTAAGTAATATAATTCGAACTAGTTACTAGTAAGTAGTTTATCAATTCAAAAGTTTAGATTTTAGAACTCAAAATATTCTAAAAGTGAGTCGAAGTAAGTCTGAAACTGCTAGGAGTAGGCGCACATTTACATGGTTTGCAAAATTATTGGTTACAGTTACACCGTAACAATTATTAAATAATCACAAGGCAAAACAAGCGACAACAATAACATAAACATAATTTTATGCTTAACATTCTAACTAATGTACAGGGTGAAAGTCGTGATCTTATACTTCCTATCCTTGTTATCTTGTTTTACTTCCTATCCTTTTACTAAGCAGAACTGGTTTCCCCAGGAAAATGGCTTTGAATCTTTCCATGCAGCACTTAACGCGACTGCTGCCAGTCAAACGGGACCTGATCTTGGCTTCCCGCATGGCTGCTCAGGCTGCGGTGGCCCATGAGCGCGATGCCAAATCAGTATCCCCCGGCGGAAAGGAGAAACCCAAGAAAGAGCCCAGAATGAAGAAATTTTCCGTTTATCGATGGGATCCCGATCAGCCTGGCTCCAAGCCCCGTATGCAGACGTACGATGTGGATTTGTCTGCGTGCGGCCCCATGGTTCTGGATGCGTTGATTAAAATCAAAAATGAGATGGATCCGACTCTTACTTTTCGCCGTTCCTGCCGCGAGGGTATCTGTGGTTCATGCGCAATGAATATTGGGGGAGGGAATACTTTAGCGTGTATTGCGCGCATCGATCCGGATGTTGGAAAAACGACTAAGGTTTACCCACTTCCCCATATGTATGTCGTCAAGGTAAGAATTCCTGGGAAGCTGTTCTGGCTTGTCTTATTAGTACGTGCGAATCCGTTAATAATGCACTAGGATTGTGAGTTTTAAAATGGTGTTTTTAACATCAAGCGCAATTTATTTAACTGGTTTTTTGTATGATATTAACATTTTAATATATCAGTTTTTCCACTTTTGGCGTTTTGTTTTACTTGGTAGAAGATAGTTATTGATCAGTGGCCCGGTATTTTGATATACTCTGTAGATTGTCATAGTTGTAAGACAGCTTTAGAACATGAGATATACAATAGATGTTACTTTGGGAGCAAACTAAAGAAGATCGATTTTGCTTGAATGGTAACTGGGTATGATGTTGTGCAACAGGATTTGGTTCCCGATTTATCAAATCTGTATGTCCAGTACGCTTCCATTCAGCCGTATCTGAAACGAAAAGACGAGACGAAGTTGGGTAAGGAGCAGCTGCTCCAGAACGAAGCCGATCGCGCCAAACTGGATGGGCTTTACGAATGCATTCTGTGTTTTTGCTGCTCCACATCTTGTCCGAGCTACTGGTGGCATTCGGACAAGTATTTGGGTCCGGCCGTCCTGCTGCAGGCCTACCGCTGGATCATTGATTCCCGCGATGAAGCTACCGAGGAGCGGCTGAATGCGCTGCGAGATCCGTTTTCCGTGTACAAATGTCACACCATTCTGAGCTGCACTCGCACCTGCCCAAAACATCTGAACCCTGGTCGCGCCATCGGAGAGATTAAGAAGATGCTGGCGGGAATCGGTAATAAGGATACCACGCCGGACCACCAGTTAAGAAAGGCGGCTGAATAAAAATTGTTACTGGAGTGTACAACAGCGATGACATTGTAGATTTCACGCGCGTGTTTTAAATGGTACGAGTACACCTTTCAGATGATGAAGCATTATAGCTAAATGCAGAGTTATTTATTTCTAAGCTTTTCTTTTTATCACAGGTGCAGATTTGTGTGTTTAGTTTGCTTTGCGTATAGTTAAATTGATCACTTTTAAAACGTAACTTGTCGTAGTAGTTCTGATGGTAACAAAAGTTGAATTGCTGATTGATTGTCTCATATTAAGTTAAGAGGTCATAACAAATCTTTCCCTTTTCGATAAAATGTCATTATGATGTTCAGAGTGATTTCACTGTTCGAATGTGTGAATTTTAATGTAAACGAAACTGAGCGGCAGTTATATTTTTATTAAATAAATTACTGCTGACATTCGTAATGCATTGGTGCTGGTGGTGGCTGATTGGCATCAGCTGAAATATTGTTGGGTATTGTAATCAGCGGCGCAGATTGTTCACTGGTGAAATTGCATAGTTCTTCCACTGTACACCACTGTATTTCGTCTCGCGATGATAGTTTCTCCAGAGGACAGGTAGGCAGCGATAACTCTGCTGTTTCCAAAAAACTCAACGCACAGTCCGCAGATTGTGATGTGTCTCGGGTAGCTTTTTCCTGGGCAATAAAAGCGCGCTCCAGTTGATCGACATTAGCAACATTCTCGTATACCACTCGGAGGTAATGCACCACTTCCTCCAAAATGCTGTAACCGCACCAGCACGTCCCGTTGTTACCAATCAGCCATGAGCATTACCGGCGCTCACGTTAACAACACGAGTACTCATAAGTCACAGATCTACTGTAGATCATATTCGTATGTTCTTGTTACGAACGCGAATACGGAAGTTTATTCCTTATGTACCATGGGGCATGGAGTGATAATTTTCAAATATCCTGTTGTAGAAAAAGCTTCCCTACTGGGTACCTGGTTTTGTCTTTTTTCCGCAGATGGCCAAGAGGCAGCAAACCGGCTAATTGTTTTATTATGTTGGCAAGTTGTTTCCTGCAAGTACTTTGATTGCAGCAATGCAGCGAATCTGTACGATTATGAAGTAAGAAACTAAGAATGCAACGAATCATGATCATTATCTATCTACACATACAAGTATAAAGAATGATGATTATTCCACTGTGAGTACTGAATGATTTTTGACAATACCGTCGTTTGCATTCGATTTGGTTATGCTGATGACGCCATTCAGCTGTGACCTTTTTGTCTCTTTTGGGTTGTTCTGGAAAAGAGGTACGAGTAGTACACGATTCCGTACCAGGAGCCATATCTGGTACAGACACCAAATTAATCCCACAATCATCCATTAATTGCCGGGCTCGTAAGGCGAAAAAACGGCTTTCTGTACTCAGCTACTTTCTCATTAAATGCTGCAATTATTAAACTTTCGTCGCACGCTGATGAACGATGCTGGCAATTGTCTTAATTGGTTGAATTGTCTCATCAGTCTTGTCTGAAAGCCGAATTTCAGCATGGTCAAAGAAAGCGTTCATTATTGCAGAAATGGTCGTTTGCTATGGCACGAGTGCGGATCGTAGCACTTATGGTTTAGGTTTTACCATGGTTTTGGTAGCAGGTAGTACCAGTTGTTTCACTTTTTTTACAGCTCATGCAACAGTACGAGGACAAACTCACTGCTGATGAGGGTGGGAATAGAATCTGGTACTGGATGATGCGCACTTTGCTAATCGGTTAAGCACAAGAAAAATTAGAAAATATTAAGCAGTGAAATTAGTAATAAAATTATTCTTCAACGTGCATTTTCCTTATCGTTAGGTATGGTTCTGTTAGGCACTATTTCGCAGTCGTATTCAAAATAGTTCCATTATTAAAGTATACCGTGTGTACATTGTGGTTATTGGTTAAGAAGTTATAGGCTCCTTAGATTCGTTCCTCGTCCAGGAAGGAGACCAACCACTTCACAAGAAAATTTTGTTAAAGGTCACTACCGTAGTATAACGGATTTATTCCGATGCACCTTATGGTTGGTAACTCACTATCAGTATACAGTATAGTGAGTATACAATACATACATACGTCTGTACCAGTCCTTACCTTTCGCACAGACACTCTACTGTCTGTGTAACTGTTTCCTGGTAACAGCGATTTCAAAGGTCTTAATGATTTAAACAATTTCTTTCAAAATGATGGATTTACAAAAACAAATTAACAAGATATCTCAGAAAAGATATGAATTAAACGAATTTACTGGTAAACTTACTTATATAGGACATGTTAAGTTTTGGAGCCAGGAGCCATATCTGGCGCAAACACCAAATTAATCCCAGAACCATCCATTAATTGGCGGGCTCGTAAGGCGAAATGTCAGCTTTGTAGCAAAATACTTTAAAGTTTTATTTCTCAATATGTACAAGGCGAGCTTGCAAAATACTTGTTGGATACGTATACAGACACAAGACAATTACACGTACGTAGTTAAATCATAGCGTCATAGAATTACACTGAATGAACCACGGTTGATATCAACAGTAAAAAAACGGCTTTCTGTGCTCAGCTTCTGTGAACTCCCAGATCGTATGAATGCAACTCTTTTGCATCGTTTTCCAGCTACTGAGACTGCCGGCTGAAAACTGGAAAACGCTACTGAAAAAGAGAATCAAACCAGTAATAATTCTATGCAGCTTACAAAAAATTAAAGAATTATAAAATTACTTAATCGTCTTCGTGGGAAGCCACCGTACCTTAGATTTACATAATTCAATTATCTTGTGTTGACCGTATACCTCAGACTTATCAAGCACACCATCTAAGCACGATTAAAACTTATATAATTACGGCAATCAATCAGTAGATGCTGATACCTCCTCCCGGGTACGGTCCACCCTAACAGTCATAGAAAAAAATGGGTGCTCGAATCTTATGAATGTTTGGGCGTTTACGCTCATTGTCAGGGACACACTACACTCGTACAAATTTGTCGAATGTATTACACCATACCCGAAGAGGCGAGCACAATAACACTTCAAGAGTATCGGAACAACTTTGCAGAATTTAAATACACAAGTTTCGAGATGGTAAACAACAACAACGATACAATATCGTAATAGAAATACAACAGGAAGAACCAAGTCAGAATATTATAATCTACAACGGGAGATCGCCGTACAAAGCACTGCAAAACAGCTGAATAAATAACAAAAAAAAACGCTTTACCAGCGCTAAAGATTCCACATAAATCTTTTGTATCACGTAACAGAGCTTTTCGGACTCTGTGAGACACTTTCACTCAAGGACACGTTGCTATTTGTTTTTGATGCATCCATGACTCTTGTGCGGGAAGAATTTTCCGACCGGCTAGAGGATTTCAGCTTTGGTGAGTGCAGATTACATCCCAGTGCAATCAAGCTTTTTACGATATTCTGGACAGCATCTCTAGATGCGAAAGTGCAAAAACACGTATTAGCATTTTCTTATTCGGATAAAAACTACTTACGTTATTCTTACGGCACCGCATCGACGGTATTTTGGGAAGCATAGCTATTTACTACAACTTTTATTGTAAAGTTTGTACATTTCACAACTAAAAATAGCCTCAACATCAGTTTACAAAATTAATGCGCCAAATTGTATCCCATTGTACCACTATGGGATGAATGTGATACTAACAGAATTCTACAAAATACAGTGACTATCCTGTGAGGGTTGTTACCTGTTGGCTTTCTTTATTGTCCAGTCAATTTTATCGTACGGTACCAGATGTGGACTGCGTTTACATTGGTTATCCTCACTATTACCATACTGCCAGCCCTGCTGAATTCGATTTTTAGCCCAAATTTCGTGGAGGTTGGCTGCAAGCGTTTCCACCAAATTTTCCACGTCGGCATCCAGGTGGCAGCGCGAAAGATCAAAAGGAAGCGGTTTGTAACCATTGGTCTGGCGGTACTCTTCCGGCACTTCCATTACGTTTGGTCGTTTCTCAGCTGCAATTTGGTCCGAGAACTGGTATCCCAAAGCCGTCAACGCTCTAACACAGTGCAGAATTCTCAATAAAACAGAATAGACAGGAGCGGAATCCGAGAAGCGACAAAAATTAAAATTCCTGTTGGTTTTGTACCTTTTGTAATTATTAGTTTTGTGATATAATTTCACTGATTTTAGCGCACCATTGGTTGTTTAGATTCTTTAGAATAAAATTAAAACTGAGAAACCACAGCGACAGCAATGCAAATTATAAGTAACCTGATCCATTCGAGCTTTTTCAATGTGAATCGAATATTCGATAATGACCTTAGTACACGGTAGTCAATAATCGCTAACGGATTGTTAAAATTTTTAATTCACACTGTGAGCCGTATTAAATCAGAACTTACTTTAGTGTTTCCATTGTGAGAGTAATATCATATTCCTTCTCCGTGTCGGACAGCAACTGGTACGTGGTCAAGCACGGGTGCTTCTTGTGGAGATCATCGCGTTCCAGTGCGTAGGCCCATCCAGCCTGAATCTTATTGAGCGACCAGACTTCGTGTAAGTTTTCCGCGAGAACATCCCGCAAACCGATCACGCAGTCAGGCAGGACCATGTGCGATGTATCAATGGGAGACGGAGTGAAGGCTTCCAGGGTCGGAGAGATCACACTGTTGCCCGCGGCATTGGAATGTATAGGCAGGGTGAGTGAGGTCCGTTTAGGGGACGTTGTGGCGCTATCTGCACTCGGCGGTGGCCTTCAAAATAACTCCGTTTATTAACAGCACACGGTATTACTAATTTGTCAGCTACATGAGCCGTCACGGTGACGGCGTCACCGCACCTCTCTCCTGTATTTGTACTGCATGAAGAAAATGTATAAATCACGCTCCGGAAAAAACCAGTGATCTCAGGAAAATGTGGCATTCGACATCACTGTATTCTCAGGACTCGCATCCCAGATTCGTCCCCCTTAGTACGGACTCTGGTGAGGATATAAAAATCCAAGACAAAACACGTCAGACGATACGAATATTCATATGAATGACAGTTGATTGAACTATCTTTCAATGGAAAATAATTACTCCTCGTTCAAGTATTGATGCAATTCGAATCTCAAGCTAGAATTAACGCAGATCAAAAATAGGTTATCATTCTAAAATTTGCGGATGACGGCATGAGCACAATTTTTGGCAATCAAAGCACGATTTCCTTTTTAGTTCTGGGCATGACTCATACATGTCTTATCGTGGACAGTCGTTCGGAGCGTTTCGCCTCGGTTCAACAAAGCAACTGCCGTGCGATCGCGGCTGCCGGGTTGACTCAGAAGTCTGAATGGACATCAATGGAGAAACGCTCATATGGAGGTACAGTAAACCGTTCGAGTTTCGACGTAAAAGGCGGTAAAACGACTTAAAAAACGAAGTTAATACGAATTAAAACGAAAATGTCTTTGTACATACTTTGTAGTCACCTGCGAGGCTGCGACCACAGCTTTCAGTTGTACACTAGTGACTCACTGGTCAGTGTTCAACTGAAAACTTGCCAAGGAAATAATGTAAAACACAGATTTTAACTTTCAAATCCGTAGCGTCACATTCAAATTTTAAACTTATAATAAGGACGGGTATCACATGTTAGCCGCACCAACTGAGGACATACTCGTACCAAAATTAAACAAAATTTATACTTATGTTGTACATGAATTTCGTAGTACTGTACTTTTAGCAGCTTTCTAAATTCTAAAAGTGACTAGAATGTAGAAACGAACCAAAAGATATCCGCAACAAAATATCTATATTATTAGTGCTGCTGCTGCAGTGAAGGCATTTCAATCGATACATCAGTTTTCGTTTTTCAACTTTTCCATTGTATGTTGACAGTACTACCACTGTAGCTGTGCAGTGTGCAAAGGGAAGCGGCGTGAGTGCAGTTTTAGCTGCACTCGCGGCGTATGTTTATTGTTTATTCCTCTATGGTACTACCCACTTCCGATCTATAAATATTTTTTATTTTTATTGCATAAGTCCGCCGGCACAGTTGAGCATCCGGGTCGCCATAAGGAGTTCTTTTAAAGTCTTCTCTAGACAACTTCGTCTAGAGTAACCCTTTTGTGTTTTTCGATTTCTTCTTGGGAATTTTTGTGGATAAATAGTGAGCCCTGCCATTTCTGGTTCGAACCAGATTGGCAGGGACAAGTTGTTCATAGGAACTACAGATACACTCTCCACTCTCCAGTGTACGAACTGCCTTCGGTTCTCGCAGCATCTTTTCGTGACTTTTATTCCTCTCATTATTCCTTACTTACCTTCATACTGCTCGAGTCATACGTCGGAACCCATTCTTGCCTATCTAATGGAGTCGTCAGGACGCTGGAGCCTGTGCTGCGGGAGCGACTGCATGCGCTGTGAGGGGGGACATTCTGGGGCGTCTGAATGTTGTGCTTCGAGTGATCTGGGGGCTTGCCCTTATAACGCTTCGCGTTTGACCCTTTTAACCAGTGATCTCGTCAGCGCGGCAATCGGTAAACCCCTAAATCCTGCTTTTATGGTAAATGCGCCCGAAGAACGTGGATCTGTGCTGTGGAGCCTTGTTGACTTCTGGAACTCTCACTGCGCGTTGGATCGTTTCATTTCATTGTTCATGTCGTTGGGGTATCGTGGAACGAACGTGGATCTCCCAGGCTCTGGATACGGATGGAGGAAGCGCGGATGTTTGCGGTCGGATTTTTCTGTTGTTACGCCCGAAGCAATCTGGGGGCTTGCCCTTACAACGCTCTGCGTTTGGCCCTTAACCAGCGAGCTCGTTGGTGTGGCACCTGTGGATTCTGGCTGCTTGTTTGTAGTTTTTCTGTCGGTCTCTGTATTTGCTAGGTTCTCGAATGTCGTAAAATCATCTTAATCGTCAGTTGTTTTCGCTTATGTTGGTTTGAACATTTTCATGGTGTCTGATAAAACATCCTTGCAGTGAAAAAATATTTATTACTTTATCATCATCCACTGTTCACTAACTGACAGTTATTACTCGTAGGTATTAGGGTAGGTAATGAAAGTCTGAAAGTACAGTACTTTCAGAAAATGACTCCGATAACTTTAAAACGAAAGGAACAACAATACAGGACATTTTCATATGCTTTTTCCATTAATTACAACTTACAAGCACTGAAACAGACCACATTATTTCTTGCTACGGACAAAGCCAGAAACAAAGTTAAGTAAACAGCTATAAGCAAAAAGTTAAAAATGTCACAAGTTCAAAAGAATAACAGGAGTGCAAAAGGAAGTTATCTTACAATTATCGTGCAGTGCCCATAACAAAAGTTCTGAATAGATAAAAAAAGCAGATGACGAAGCACATCATTTTATACTCTGGACTAGCGTAACAAGGAAACTGATTTGTGATCTAATTAGCGATGGGCCTGGCAATGATAAAACCTTTTCAAGTATTCGCGGCGCGCGCATCATACAAAGGATGACGAACAAAAGATTAAACACAATTTCGAATTGTTTCGTGCTGAGAGATCAGTCGTATTTGTATAGCCTACTTTCCACATGGGATATGATATCCCACTCGTTCAGATTTGGCTCCTCTCCAGCTAAGATCTTCCTTCCCAGGTAGAATCTGTAGCAATAAAAAGACGTACTGTACGGTCTGTGCCATATACACCGGGTAGCACTGTCTTACAACGAACTTCTAAAAAAATGAAGTTCAAAATGCGATTTCAGATAAGCCGGATGTAAGGCGGAAAACTACAGGGCGGCGGCATTTACCGGGTAATGATGACCGAACCTTTTACAACCAGCATTTGAATGTCAGCACACTTGCAAGTTTAAAATTCGAACTCTGCATGAAGAACTCACCCCAAACCAGCACCTAAGATCAACGCCAGGAAATTCGTAAGAAGGAGCAATCCCAGGAATTTTCGTTTGGCACCGCAGATCTTTTTCGGACTTCTGGACATATGATATTTCGCTTTTCTGTAAATTACAAAAACAAGATGCGAAAAGGTCTCAAGCATTCCAGACCCGCACAACCCGCTGATCACTTACAAGTGGACTGAAGTTGGTGCGGCATAATTCCAGTCCCAAAACCAATCGGTTGAACCATCGGCAGCGGAAGGACTGAGAAGGATTTGTCGGTTAAATTCGTCATAACCCAGAAAGTAATCTCCACTTTCGGCTGGCGAATCCGGAAAAACAGGGCTGAAAAGGTAGAAATTATTAAATGTCGGCTTACCAAATCAATCAATTTACGATAATCAGTTTGAATCATGAGGATTCACAGAGACCATCACTGATTATTCGAACTAAATAAAACAGAAAGTCGCCCACTGATCATAACTCAAATAAATCGGTGGCAAGATTAATCATTTGTTCGCGCGATTAACGGTCCATACCTGCTGCGTTTACTTTGTCGTAAACTTTGTCGAGCGGAGCTTTGAAGAGATTCTCTTTGCGCGTCCATCAGCAAACGTTCCATGCTGCCTTCGTTTTTCCGCTTTAGAGTCAGGTTAGACTGCGATGCGGCCATCAGTTTACTTGCGTCTAAACTTTCCTGACCCGAAGCAGATGGGACCTACGGTGTGTTAACAAAAAAGTTAACAAATAAGAAAACTTAGAAAAGCTTTATAACATTGTAGTCATAAGTTCACTGGTCAGTTACGCAGAGGCACCTGCAGCACTTCCCACGTGTCCACGGATTCTGAAAAGATACCGATGCAATAAAGGTTTTTTTACCAGTCCACCTATTTGTCATTTGTGGACCAAAATCTATCGCATAAAGAAATGAACCGTGTAAAAGAATCAACGTAATCAATTAAGAAATCGTCCAGAAATATTGAAATATTTTTCAAAATCCGTACTGTATTTACTGTACTCGTCCTAAGTGTACAGTACTTTTACGGAATAGTCAATAGCATACATACATTTTACAGTATCGAAACATCTATAATTAAGTAATCAACAATGTCACCATGTGACTTTGCAGGCAGGCAAGAACATCTTTTTGACAACGGAACCGTAAAATACATATTTAATTTTATCAACTATACGATTCTACTGCTTGAGTCTTAAGTCTTAACCTACAAACATGTAATAATTGTAGTGTCATTATAATAAAGATCAAGACTCACTGGTCAGCTCAACAATACTGTAAAGTTCTCAACGACTTAAGTTCTTAACCTTAAGCAACAAATTACTAATTTAATAAACATCAGTTAATTATCGTGAAAACAGTATTTGCAGTTTACACTGGTTACCTTTCATTTTGTTCATGTCTGGATTTTGCTCGGGAGACTTCTGATTGGCCATGATCGATACTACTATGATGAGTACTATCGTTCCCAACTTCCCAAACAACGAAAACACAGGTTCGAAAACGGATCAAAACACGGTAAAGTCTTTTCGTCCAAGTCAAACGGTTCATAAACTACAGGAATTTCCCAGTCCTATGCCACTCTGTGGATTACAAAAGCACGTTTCTGCAAGAAAATTATTATCAGATATTATTATTAGTATTAAACGATGGAATCCATAAAGAAAAGTATGAAGTCGAAAGGCAAATTAAAACCCTGCTAGATTCATTGTTAGCGAAAATACATTCGCCAGCTGTTATACAATTAGCACAAAACGACAACTTCACGATGTTGGCAAGCACGAGATATCCTCGTGAGCGAGTAGAAGTCCCAACAACGAAGCGCTGCGGAAGCAGCTTTGTGCGACACAGAATGAGTCATTCCAGCTATAAAACTGACAACTGAAACTGAGTCAGTGGGACCTGTGGATGGGATATGAACAGAGTTGACACCGCTTGCGCAAGGTAGGAAAGACAATATGATCAATAACTTCGGTGGAAACCACTAAAAACCCGAAAGGCCAATAAAACAATAAAAATTTTATCTAGTCAGAACTTAATTTCTTTGTTTATATGCCGCACATTCTTTCGTTTATGCAAGAATAATTCATTAGAAAACGGGACCCCGGGATCCCACCTTGCGACGGCAGTTGTGGAGTTTTGCTCCAGTCAGTTTTTTACAGTTTACTTTTTCAGTTTTGGTCAGCTGGAGCCGAGTTGGCTCTTTTTAACTTGCGAATCGATCGGAAGCTGGTAAGGACTAAAAATTAATAAGCACTTCATAATATCTATATAAATAAAATACATAAGGCACTAAATTTACGAGTTAGTAATATTGAATAATTATGGTAGTAACGGCACTTACAATTATGTCAGCTAGCAAATGCATTTATTAGCAGATGCTGATATCAGGAAAAAATTTTTCCGGATATCAGCCGTTTCTCTTTTTTTGAGCAATACTTGACAAAAACTGGAGATAAATTCGACCGTGGGATGCGGCCGGTAAAAAATAAAAATGTAAAGAAAATTAAAAAAATAACTTCAAATGAGGGCTCTGACCAACCATAACAGGAAAAAGCCAACAACCAACAGAGAGAAGGAATTTAATTCTTAGGTAAAGTATGTTCTGAATCGTCTTTAATTGTAGCTATAGAAGTAAACAAAATTTTTAATCGCTGGACTTAATTTTGGTGCTACCGATATGACAATTACCTTTAGGCTTTAATACTAGATCAATTAATATTTAATATTAAAATGTTAAAATTTTGTTTAAGTCGAAATGTAAATCGGAAGACAGATTTATGTAAGGCGGCTAAGGCCGCGCCAGTTGCCTAACGAACCGCACCGCGCGCCGGCCGTGAACTTAGCCGTTATACAGAGTACCGAGAGCGTAGCCAAATCGCAAGAATTTTTCCGTTTTAAGTTTTCTGCTTCAGAAATTTTAGAATTGTACGAGGAGGGGGTAAATGAGCTCGATGCACCCGAGCAAGGGGTAACAGAGCTCGTTATCTGTGACCGTGCCTGTGCAACACGGCCAGCCACCAAGAGACGGCAGCCCGTGCTATCACGCAGAACACCTGAAGCAGTCACTGAGCCCGACAGATTTTTGTTTCCATAGACTTGTATGCTAAACTGAATCACTTCTGTTTTGCACATTCGGGAACGAAACCAAGCAAATAACATTCCAAAAGAATCAGAAAAAATTCACGAGATTTTGTATACTAAGTTATGATTCATGGTGCAGGACACAAGTTATGGCCATTTATGTTTCTCGTAGACACAGCATAGAGTTTGTGCGTGGAACCCAACCGTTGATTCGAATTCTATGCTATGTCTACGAGAAACGCAAATGGCTATAACTTGTGTCCTGCACCATGGATCATTACTAGTTTAGTATCAAAAATCTTGTGAATTTTTTCTGATTCTTTTGGAATGTTATTTGCTTGGTTTCGTTCCCGAATGTGCAAAACAGAAGTGATTCAGTTTAGCATGTCTATGGAAACAAAATCTATCGGGCTCAGTGACTGCTTCAGGTGTTCTGCATAGCACGGCTGCTCTCTGGTGGCTTTAGTGCACACACGGTCTAACGAGCTCTGTTACTGCTCGATCAGCTCATTTACCCCCTCCTCGTAGAAATTGTATTGCTGACTGTGAAATGATAAAAGACGCTCGCACAAGCTACCCATGACGTAAAGTGTTGCACGTGGCTTGTTACTTAGTTAAAGTTAGTTTATTTCGTGTATTTTACTTTTTTACAGGATCGTTAATTCGATATGCCAATGATTTTTTATTTGTTTGTTACAGTTTGTAGAATTCAGTGTAAGAGCACTGCGATGAGGGAAATATGTGTTCCCGCCTAGCTCAAACTGATCCCTTCCGATCGTGGAAATGTTATGATTGCAGATGCAAGACGTTTTAACTGCGATCGTCTTTCTTGATAATTGCTCAAGAGTCAGCAGAAGTGTTTGGAACTTCGCAGTGATTAATTAGCTTAGCGGCCTTAGCCAGCAAAGAATGTCTGCTACGGCACAACCGCGGGATAGAAGAGCCCACGAAAAACGTCGAAGGAAACGACAAGATGGAAATTCCGATAACCAAAGTCCACGATCAGCGCCAGTGTTGACTGGGCTCCGTCCAACGGTCGCTCAGAATGCAGTGGTACCATCTGATCATCAGAACGGAGATTCAGCAGTGGAACACAGTCCTCGATCAAGACTGGAGCGAAAACTGGCTGCATTATTGCATAATCAAGAACCTGACGAGCAATCGATGAATGTTATTTCGTTATTGGTGGATGAAACTAATCGCGAATACGAACAGGAGGTGGAAATGTTAAGGGAAGAAGTGCAGAAATTAAAAAGGATGCTACACGATGCAACAGGTAAACCATTGTTAATTATGTAAAAATTGATTTTATAATTTTTATTATTTCCGTTGCAGTGGTTTATCGAATTTTACGGTTTTTAACTGTAATGGTGATCTGTAACTGTCTGCTTGCTACTCTATTGGAAATTGGATTCTTTGAAGTACATTTATTATAACCCTTCGGTTTAAGTCATTTGTATAGTCCACACAAACAAACGTTTTGCAGGAATGCTTCAGCAGATTCCTCAGGAGCAGCACGTCCTAGACGGAAAAATGCAGGAGGCTCCTGTTAATGCTAATCGCGAAGCCGAACGTGAAGACTCTGAGCTGCGATTCCAGCGGGAAGTGCATCGTATCAAAAAGAGGATGCAGGAAGAGCACCAGAAAGAAATGGAGAAGCTGCGACAGTATTTTGAGAGACAGTGTTCAAAGAGTCAAACAGATTACATCAATGAAATTTATACTCTCAAGCTGGAATGCCAGGAAATTGAACAGCAGCGTTCAGAATTAGCAAAGGTAATTGCAGGATAATTTTATCTGACTATGTATGTATTCAAACTCTGAAATGAAAAAGCCATAAGCCATTTGGTTGTTATTATTAATTTGTAAGTAGGTTTTGCGTCTGGTAAATAATTTAGTAAGTAATTAATGTAATAAGTATTTTCCAGTCAGACGTTAGCAAACATTTTCTCCATTCTGCAGCTGACAATGATTTGGCAGATCAGCTTTGTGATACCTTGTTTACTTTTTATTTCACGAGTTTTTTACGATGACGATATGCGAAACTACATACTAGTAAGCCTAAACTAATTCAGATGTCGCAAATATTATGGCTACGTTATTTAGAGACTGAAAATCTTGTCGTTATACAGTAATTGCATGGTTACAGTACTTTCTCACAAGCAGTTTCTCGGTTGGTTCAACGCTTCTTGACGGTTGAATTTTTCCGTTTTACCGTGGACTGCAGATGTCTTTTTGCGGTTGTTTGAAATTGTGAAGTGCGCAGATCAGCTGATGGGCTGTGGCAGCTGGCCTGTTTTTGAGCTGGGCAGTTATCGTGATCCACGCTATGAAATATAGATATTTCTATGCGGTCTTATAACCAGGTAGACGACGAATGCGCAGTATTAGATGAGGCGAACAGGTAGACTGATTGGGTGGGAGAAGAGGCCGGATATCACGACACAGCATTACCTGGCGTGTGGTGATGGATGAGGTGGAAAATGGATAATGGGGGAACTGCAGCCAGCGGCACAGGTTACCTAATCGATAATATTTACGTGGTACGCTGCTGTAGACAGACAGACGTGCGGCTTTCGATGGCGGCATTCATTTCGGCTACCTGAAGAGAGCATAATGTAGTTCAAGCCGTGCTTAGGGATCATTTCTGGACTGTTAAATGGGTCGCTGTCCTAGACTGTAGTCGTACACAGTCTGATAATAGGGGGAGATATTTATCTGGAATAAATTATTTGCGTAAAATTCATCATCTCATTGCCGCGATGTATTTATTGTGGTCGTGGAATAATGCGTTACCCTTCTGTGGATGGTTTTATGGTACAGTATGCGGAGCATATTGTTAATTCGTAATTTTGATTGTTTTTTAATTATATTCGGTTGCAGCAAAAAGTGTTTTCCAGCTCACAATCAGATATAAATACAGAATCACTGAGTCTCATTGTATCCGTGGATTATAATTATAAGCTTTTACGCCTGCGCTGTCTGTCGTGCTGTACTTACTGAACGCTTTCGAAAGAGTTGTTTTCGAATTGGGTTTTAGTTGTTGGTGCCAGCTTTTCCAAATGCTTGGTGGTCGAATTTTTGGCGGTTTGTAACACATCACTTACTCATAATTACTGTATGTATCCTTATCTCCGAGACAGACTCCGATCACCGTGACGGTGATTTAAAGAACGATCATAATATCATGGGTCAAATTGGGTGGTCATTTGTGTAAACATTGATAACGGTTACAATTTTCGCCGGGCTTTTTATAGCATGGGGTTTGCGGGCAGGAGTTAGGCTTATGGTGCTTTCTTCTGGTGGTCCTGGCCAGCTTACTATTTGTATGACAAACTGCTTCCGATATGCATGTTTCAGTTTGGAATAAGCAGTTAAATTTTACAGTGCAGTACTTTTATACGCGCACACATGCGTGCCATCGTCACTAAATGACATCTGGACCTTACGGATGCGTGTACAGTAATATGATTTAAAAATGCTTATAATTAGAAGGGGTGGATGCTGAGATTTGGTGTATGTTTACGACGAGGACAAAGAGCATGAGAAAATCACCACTGGTCAGCGAATTCTTGACTTGCGAATATTTGCTCTGTTTTACCGTGAAACTGTCACGAAGGGGTAGCAAATGTTGTACTTGGCAGGGATTTACGTAATGTGTATTTGGTGTTTCCTGCTCTTTTGTGTATTTAGGGCAATAAATCCTCGTTAAGGCGATTGTATGAAAACTTTCCGTATGATTTATTTGCTTTCGAGCGATTTTACTACAATTTTAAAATCACTGTGATTGTTAGGTGGTGTGTATCCAGGGGATTTGTATTTGCTCTTGAGTTTAGTGTTTGTGGTTTTCTCATAACTGATAACTCGTAGAGTCGTAGCCATCGCTAGTCTTATGGTTAGTAATTTTGTGCAGTTTTATGTGTTTAAAACACTAAAGTTCTGGTAATTTTACAGTGACACCGAATACCGTGTGAAACCAATTTTTGGGTTTTCTGTGCTGCGTTGTTCATTTAGTCTATTACTGAATATTTTAATTAGGCACTGACCAAATTGAGACTATTACAATATTTCTTTGATTTTTTAGCTCAAGTCTGTTTGTGATACGAAGGATGAAAGCCTGAAGCAGCTTGACAGACAAAATGCAGGCATAATGCGGGTCAGAAATCAGCTTGCCACGGAAATACAGCAATTAGATGCGACATTAAAGAAGATGGAGAAAGACAAGTGAGTGCTGTCTTGTCTCGTTAGAATGCTTGACATCGGTAACCCGTAAGACTGTAACCGATCGCCATAGTCCAAAGATTACACTATCTTTTACGCTGTGGATTAAAATTTTACGTTTTACAGATATAAATGTTTATTTACAGATTAGCATCAGAGGAACGCACAAAGAAGATCCTATCGGCCGTACGTGAAGGTTTACACAAACTGTCGGACATGCGCGATGAAGTGCCGGCAGAGGGGCCGGGCCAACCCGGTCTGTCCACTTTCTATAATCACATTGAAGAGATTATTACTACGGATGACTGGGGCGACGATGATGTGTACACCAAGGGAGTTGTGGAAGAAATTCAGGTTTCTGTACAGAAATTGGCCCGACCGACCGTTACATCGGAGCGTGTAACGTTTCAGCCAAAAACCACCAAACTTTCGTCTGAAACGCAGACAGAATTCCCCCCGCCGATACCTCCAGCGGAAATGGATGCTCTGAAGAGCGGTTATGAGACAAGGATATTTACGTTAGAGGAAACAGTGATCAGTGAGAAGAGAATATCTGAGCAGAAAATTTATGATCAGCAGCAACAGATTACAAAGCTGCTGCAGAAAGTGGATGCGGATCGGAAGTTTATTGAAGAGTTGTCGTCTGAAAGGGAAGCCGACCGGGATGAAACATTGAAATTGACCAGGAATTTGGAAAATACTTGGCGGGAAAATGAAAATATAACGGAGAAACTGAATAATTTACGACAGACTAATGAAGATACCGAGAATCAGCTAAAGATAGCTACGGCACAAAACGAACTGTTGGAAAATATCCGAAAGCGATTTGCCGATGAACTCCAGGTATTTCAAAAAATTATACTCAAAAATTTCAAAATTATAAATTCAAAATTCTACTCTGGAGTGACTGCTTGTACCATTATTACCGCATGTATCGCTTTTGCTTAATTTTTTTGTATTGAAAGTTTATTTCGATTGGTTTTTGATTTCCCTTTTTAACCATTTGACGTCGTGCGACTTGTTATGTAATCTTAATCTCTGTTGATGGGTTTTCTGAGTTTTTATTTCTTTCACCATAATTATACGATGGAAACTTTTCTTTTTTGTTAATTATTTATTTTTCATGGTTACAGGTTGTTCGTAAAATCGTAATGTGCATGAGAATTTGGCTAATTTTAGATGAGGAACGAGCAGATAAAACAGAAAGACGATCTGATTACGGATTTAGAACGCCAACTAAGTGATAAGATGTCCTGTGAAGAGCAGCATCGGCGTCAACTTGAGAATCTCAAATTGGAATTGAGCGGCTTTCTCCGTTCACCCCCGCTGTCACCCGAGCCCGAGACGGCTGATATGTCACACAGTTTGGACGATCTGCGGAAGCAGGTCATGGATCTCAAGGACGAACTGGCCGTGAAAAACCGCTCAACCGTCCAGGAACATGAAAGATTACTAACGTCTCTGCAACAAGAATTGAAAAATGCTAAGAAGAGTGAAGAAAAGGGTCGGCAGGAACGCGAGACATTGGAGCAACAAGTCAGTGCACTGGAGCTGGAAGCGGCAGGATTACGGCGCCAGTTAGACGTATCAAAATTTCAAATACCTGATGAGGATGTGGTGGAGCAATTAAATGCGCGCTTAGCCATGTTGCAGAAAGAAATGGAAGGCTGCCAGCGGGTAATTGAAGGCCAGGAATCGGAATTGCTCAGTAATCGAACCGAACTGGAGTCAGTGCAAATGCACTATGAGGAATTGCTGGGAAAATGGGAGAAACTGAACAGCGAACACGGAGCTGTCTCGCGGGAAGATTTACTGCGACAGATGGAACAGTTTGAATACCGAAACAAGTTCCTGACGCAACAGCTGGAAGAAACTGCGCAAATGTTGGATGATCAGCAGCGATTGTGGGAACGGGAGCTTACCCACAAATCGGCCGAGATCGTGGCTCTGAAAAATGAATTGGCGGAGAATCACGATTTGACTGCGGATCTGGAGAGCGTGCGAGTGCAGATGGGAGATCTCAAAAGGCTTTTGGACGAAGCAGAAAAGACAGCCCGCGAGAAGTCGCTGTATGCGGATAGTCTGAAGAATCTGGTTGATATCATGAAAACCGAGGCGGCGCAGAAAGACGCAGCAGTAAAAGCGCTTCAGAAACAGTTCAACGATAATTCTTCAAGTTTGGCGCGACAACTGGAGGAAGTGGAGAAGATGAACAGTAGCATGTTGAAGGAAGTTGAAGTGTATCGGAATGCACCTAATCAGTCAATTGACTTCGATAGCATTATTTTGGAAAAGGATACAGAGATCTCTAGATTGCGAGATTTGGTTGAAGCGTCGCTGGACGATTCTCTCATCACCTCGAAACATGTTTTGTCACTCGAAAACAACACACAAACGGAAAATGGATTGAGTTTTGAAAGCGTTGAAATTCAAGTGGATTTATTGGATGACACACAGCTGCTTGCAGAGATCGCGGACTTGCATGCAACAGTCCGGGAGTTGGAACACAAAATTGTTCAGAAAAATAACCAGATGGAGGCTCTCGCAGCCGAATTAGCGTCGTTGAACGATCGACATGGAAAAACTCAAACAAAATTCCGCACGACGATTCAGTATTTAAACCAGTCAGGACATTCGTCCAGTGATGAAGGAACAGTTACCACCACTCCGACAAAAGACCTCGGGGAGACATCGCATTTAGTAGAAAAATACGAAGAGAAATTGCGCGAAATGGAGAAGACGCATATCGATGAGATGGAGCGATTGGTGCATGAAAGCTTGTCGGTTTTGCAGAATCAGAGTGTGATTACGCCAAATGCCAATGATTCGTTAACGGCGCCTCATGTTAACGGTTCTACCCGCGAGATTTCTCCAGGAAGCTTCAGCTTGAGTTCGAACGATGACTCCACCCTAAACGATGCACCGCTGTCCGATACGCTGCAGCGTGCGCTACGGGAACTGCGGAACGGAAGTGAGGCGATACTGAAAGCATCCATAAAAATCAACAATGGAGCAGTGTCCGAAAACGCTGAAAATTGGCCGGCTGAGCGAGATTTGTTGGTGGCCAAAATCAACTTCTTCCGAGATACCATCAACCAGTTAGTACTAAGCCGTGATTCCATGGAAATGGCATTGCGCCATTTGGAACAACAGAATGAAGATCTTCGTGCGGAGTTGGAGATGCTGCGGAAGGAAGACGAAATGGCCGACGAGGGCAAAACATTACTGCTGACCATGTTGAAGAAAACTGAATCCGAGCTAGCGGAATTACAAGCACGATACCGACAACGCGATGTGCGGTTGGAAATCGAGCAGGCAGGCCGAGAACGCGAAGAACGGGAGAGGGAGAAACTGCAGAAAGAGCTGCGAGATACCGAGGTTCAACTAGTGCGCATCCGAGGTGAGTTGCGGCAGAAAGAGGCTCAATGGGAACGGGAACGGATATTAACCATGTGGAAGAAGGAATCCGCCGTTAATGGGGGTGCGGAGGAAGTTGAGCATGCCCGCTCACTGTGGAAAGGAAAATGTATTCGGGCGGAGAGCTATCGAAAGAATTTAACCCATCAGAAACGCTATTTGATCACGCTCATTGATGATTTGGTCTTGAATACAACGGATGAGCTTGTTAAGCGACTTGCCTTAGATGGGATCCGTCCAACGAGTATACGGGGACCGGGTGGGAGTTCTGACGTAAAGCGTCCTGAGAAGAGACGATTTAAAACGTTTGGAATAGTGGTTTGCGCTGTTATTCGGCTGCAGATAACCAGAATGAAATGGCAGCAAATAAGGCAATATAGCTAATGTTGCCGGTGACCTGTCTTCGTTTTAATTTCGTTTGATAATTATTGCTTTAATTTCCTTTAAAGCTGTTTTAACTTACCTGGATTCGACTTGTTTTAAAGCGTTCTTATGTATTTTAAATGTCTTAAATCACATCAGTGGATGATGAGTTGATTTACCAGTGCCATTATAAAGGTTACAAATCTGGAGCCACTTTTGATTGTCATGTGTCTGACGAGCGGTAAAAAGGTACAAGTTTGGCCATGTAGAAGTGCTTTTACTGATGTATTTACTCATGTGATCTGAATGTGATCATTAATTTTATCACTCACTAAAAAACCACAGTTTGTTGCAGAACTCAGATCGTTTAGGAGTTATGCAAAAACATTACTAACAAGGTACAGCACTGAAATATGTGCGCGAGTTCACAATCTGCCCTAGAATCGAAAACGACGAGACAACACCAAATTTCCTTCTGTTTTTTATCACGAGTAGGAGTAATTCCAGTGGTCGTAAATTCGTGACCTGGCGCGATACCGATAAATAAATGCAACTATAAATACATTGTCCATAGATTGAATTTGTGAACGGTAAATGCATCACACCACAATGCATGGAGTACTTGCCAGCCCACGGAAGGGCTTTCGAATCCGGCAACGTTTTCAGTGATTCACCCGTATGAAAACGTTGAAATTAGTAGCGCCGCTATCGCATTTAATTTAAACTATTAGAACATTAAAAAAACATGGATGCAAAACTGTAATAAACTATAGAATTATGCTTTATGTGCAACAGCTGGTGAGTGCTATCGACTATATTATCACTCATGTTGGACAAGATGTATTGTACGTACCTTCAGAATGTTCAGATACAGAATGTACCTGTACCGGGCATTACGTACAACTTACAAGTATGAATACTAAAGGTCACTGCATTGACGTTATGCCCAATTGTCCATTCTGAGCCTTCCAGTGCCACATTTCGTTGTGATTCTTGAAACAGAATTTTTTTGCATTTTCATTGTCAACAAGCGAGTAGTAACGATTGAGTAACCACATAAACGAGCCGGAAGTACGCGGTTGATCGATGTTCCTGATTAAGAAAACGATAGGTTGATAACAACGTGCTCCCATGGAAAGATTGCAGAATGGCATTACAACCAGACCAGTTGCACAAAGTAGTCGGAGACTTCTTGTATATGCTGTATTAATAATTATACTTATAATCAACGTGACCCACTAATCATGCGGAACACCACAAGACATCTTTTGATTGTATTCGGGAGCATGGTACTTATGTGCTCTTTATGCGTGGTGGAAAATGGTACCTCTTACTTGGTGTCAGATAATTTCAGAAGTAGTATCAAATCAGTGATAGTGGAGTTTTTTTGCTGAAATACTTAACAGCACTTGATTTTTTATTAGAGCCGTATGTTCTGAAAATTAATGTTGTATTTTCAGCGATTTTGAGAGGGAAAAGACAGGATTACTGCGACACAACATTCACGAGACCGGAACTGCAAAACCGGACGGTCACGGCGTATTGTCGGTATTATGGGGACCGATTTTACGAATGTACGGCCTGGAACAGGATGTTAGCACGGACTCATTGGGTGCTCACCGACGGTGCGTACACACGGTACAGGGAGCATTTTTCCCTGGAGACCATTTTAAATACTTGCGTTTCCCGAAAACTCCACTCGTGGGTCAAGTCATCGTGTATAATTAGATTGCTTACATTTTTCACAGGTATCATACCATCCGAAATGTGGCTAAACCGGAACGAACATGTGCAAATTGCTGAATGCAAATTTTACGACGGAGGATTTTACCGCTGTCGTGGAAAGCCCAGATATGACACTCCCGGTGGTCAACCACGACGGTGCGCTTGGGGCGGACGGTACGAAGGAACAGCACATACAGGATACAAACAAGTTGGTTCCTCATGATGTGGTTTATTAAGTCTAAAGTCCTCACGATTTGTGCAGTACGTACTAATATGTAACTGTAATCCTTGATTGCACTTCGACTGAATTTTATTTAACAAATTTAACGAACCTTCGTGAATGGTCAGCTATGCAGTATTAAAGTCGACTTTTCCTGGGTACTACAAATTCAGCTGCTACTGTAATGTTCCACGAAATTTTTTTATGATATTCGAACGAAGTCGTAGACTCGTGGGTATCTAAGTGAAGAAACAAGATTGTGTAAATTCTCATTTACTGGCTGTATCATCGGACATGTTCACAATTCTTCATCGAGCATAAAATCCCCAAATAACATAAACATGTAACAAACAATTATATAAGTTACAGAAACAAAAAAAGAAAGAACCTAAAGATTTTCAAAAAATGCCAACAAAGCGCGCTATGGATCATTGATCCAGCAACGGGAACGCACCGCGTCTTCTTTTCTGGAGAACAAGGAATCACAAACACGGCAAAAACATTCGATGCACTTTATAATTCATCTTTTGGTGCATCTTCTTCTTCCTCGGGCGCTCCACCGGCTCCCGCACCGCCGGCACCAGCGTATAATTTACTGGTAATCGGTTGCACAATACCCTCCAACTCCTTCTTCTGCTCTTTGAACTCTTCCGCCGTGGCATCCTGATGACCTTCTAACCATTCAATCTTCTCATTGACGGCCTTCTCAATGGTCTCTTTATCGTCATCCGCTAATTTTCCACCCAGTTTATCCTTATCACCGATCTGGTTCTTTAATGAATACGCGAACGACTCCAGTTCATTCCTAGCCTCAACGCGTTCCTTCACTAACTTATCATCTTCGGCAAACTGTTCAGCTTCCTTGATCATCCTTTCAATATCTTCCGGATTCAAACGATTCTGATCGTTAGTAATGGTGATCTTCTGCTTGTTGCCGGTGCCCTTATCTTCAGCGGACACGTGGAGAATACCGTTCACATCGATCTCAAAGGTCACTTCAATCTGGGGTACACCGCGAGGAGCAGGAGGAATACCAGAGAGATCGAACTTGCCCAGCTGATGGTTGTCCTTGGTCATGGGACGTTCTCCTTCGAACACCTGGATACTGACGGTGGGCTGGTTGTCCGCGGCGGTACTGAAAATCTGGGATTTCTTGGTGGGGATGACGCTATTACGGGGAATCAGCTTGGTCATAACACCGCCGACGGTCTCAATACCCAGGGTGAGGGGTTGACGTCCAGGAGCACCATGTCGCTGGCCGTTTCCTCACCACCCAATACACCAGCTTGCACAGCGGCACCATAGGCGACGGCTTCATCGGGGTTGATGCCACGGGATGGCTCTTTGCCGTCGAAGAAATCTTTGACTAGCTGTTGAACCTTGGGAATACGGGTGCTGCCACCGACAAGGACGACTTCGTGGATGTCTGTCTTCTTCATGTCGGCATCTTCCATAACTTTCTGCACCGGTTTCATGGTGGATCGGAAAAGATCCTGTTAATCAATAAAACAGATTAGAATACTAATTAATTCACCATGGATCACCATGATTTTAATAACATGACAAGTTCATGATTTTACCATGTTCAGTTCTTCGAATTTAGCGCGGGTCAGAGTCTCACTGAAGTCGATACCATCGAAGAGAGATTCAATTTCAATACGGGTCTGATGCTGGCTACTGAGGGCACGCTTGGCTTTTTCTACTTCACGACGCAGCTTCTGAACGGCACGATTGTCCTTGCGGAGATCCTTGTCGTGCTTCTTCTTGAACAGTTTGATGAAATGCTCCATAACCCGTTGATCAAAATCTTCACCACCTGCACAAAACAATTTCCAATCAGTCAGATGCAGTGACCCCAAAAAATGTCGATGCAAAAAATAATCTTTCTTTTAATGTGTTACATTTACCCAAGTGAGTGTCTCCGTTGGTTGCCACGACTTCAAAGACTCCGTTATCAATGGTCAACAGCGACACGTCAAAGGTGCCACCGCCCAAATCAAACACCAGGATGTTCTTTTCGCCCTTCTTGTCCAGACCATAGGCGATGGCAGCGGCGGTCGGCTCGTTGATGATGCGCATCACATTCAGTCCACTGATGGTTCCGGCATCCTTGGTGGCCGCACGCTGGGCATCGTTGAAGTAGGCCGGCACGGTGACGACGGCATGTGTGACGGGCTTGCCGAGGTAGGCCTCCGCGGTCTCCTTCATCTTGCCCAGCACCATGGCGCTGATCTCTTCGGGAGTGAAGATCTTCTTGCTGCCACCCACGGTCACTTCCACGTTGGGTTTGCCGTTGCGGTTAACCACTTTAAAGGGATAGTGCTTAATGTCGGCCTGCACGGAGGGATCCGACCACTCGCGACCAATCAGACGCTTCACGTCAAAGACGGTGTTCTCCGGGTTGGATGTCAGCTGGTTTTTAGCGGCATCCCCCACGAGACGCTCGCCTTCCGAGGTAAAGGCCACATACGAGGGAGTAATGCGGTTGCCTTGATCGTTGGCGATGATTTCCACGCGGCCATTTCTAAACCATACGAAAGACGTTCAGAATTCCGTGGTATTAGTAATTAGTGATCATAGTTAGTTATTAAATACACATCACAATGCTGAAGGGATGCACTTGAAATCTATTTGGTCATTCCAGTCAGTGCGAACACCACCCATATTGCGCCACGTCAAAACCATTAAGTGCAATGACAGCTCTAGAAATCTACACAGCCAAGCTGAAAATTCTAACAAATTAAAAAATCTGTGCAGTTACAACGCTAAGCCATTATTAGGCGCAACTTATCATGCCACAGAGTACATACGCCGATTCAATTAAAACAAAAGGACATTCAAGATCATGTTAACGCTGTCGGCGCTAAGACACTGTTTTCACTACGCCACGAAGAAACCCAGTGAATTAAAAATTTTCGATAAATAATAGCGGTGTTTCTGGTGTCCAGCACAGAAAACCGCTAATACTCACTTGAAAACTCCGACGCACGAGTACGTTGTTCCGAGATCAATGCCAATCACTGTGCCGACATTTTCAGCACCTTCTTTGGCTTTCTTTTCAGCGGCGAAAGCCGAAAGAACGAAGGCGGTGTAGATTATAAGGAAGGCGCCCCTGGCCGTTCTCCACATTGTGAAAGAAGGGATTGTGAACTGGTGCGCGTTAGCAAACGGAGATCCAGAATTCGGGACCACTGAACGACGTGTACGTTTATCCCAAACGGCTTAAAAACCAGTAATTGCCTGGTTACTGATGGATAAATGATATTAATTTCACCTTTCAACAGAGAAAACGAAAATGCACATATAAATCCCTGTGAATCCGAAACCGTTATAAAAGTGAATACGAAAATTCCGGAAATACGATTTCAACTACCGTCGGTGTCAAGTAAAGAAAATTTTCTAAGTCGATTCATTCAGGAATTGTTTGATCTGAGATGCACAGTACAGTGAACCGGCTGACACGTCAAGGCTATTTGTATGGGGAAAGCTGGCGAGTTGTCGGCGTGGTCCAATAAAACCGCACCACGTTCCAGATGGGCGGGATCATTCCGAAAGATCAGCGCAACGAACAAACGTGGCGGTAGCAACGTACCGTACCTATTGTATAACGATAAATAATTTATTAAACTCCCATCCCGATGCAACATGAGTAAAACTCAAGATAACTGTGTTTTGAGTTTTAATTATTAAGTAATTTTACTTAAAATTAATCGTTTTAATCATTTTCCACATCAATCTGGAATATTCACGCAAAAACTAACAAAACTTCTTCCGTTACACTGCAGCCTCCACAAGCAACATCATGTAAAATTAATGCATTTTGCTTTCAACTTTTCCAGTACAGTAATTTCACTGTATTTATTTAGATATAAAGATTCACTGTATCTACAATGTAAAACAGTACTTATTTAAATATTGTATTGTAAAACAGTAAGTACTTATTTAAATATTACTGTTAAGCCACAAAATCATTCGACCGTATTCAGTTGTGCACCGCTTTGTACTCGTACAGTTGGTACGGTACAAAATTATCAATATGTAAAAAGTTGAAAACCGGCTACAAATCTTAAAAATTGCGGCTGACCTTTCCTTAGCAAAATTTGGCTAACATAACAACATAGCTCGTCATACAGCTATGTATACGAGGTAGTACGTACTGTAACTCTGTAAGTACATACATTCCTTACTTATTTTGTGTTTTCTTATAAATTATATGTAGCAGCGGCCGGGGAATCAAGTCGAAAGTTCTGAGTTTCGACAGCAGTTAAATTTTAGACAGCCATTTTGACATTTCGTCAAAATTTCCGATATGTAGTCGGTACAGAATACAGATACTTGCTCCGTTTACCAGTTAGTAAACAAACTGAGCTAACAAAACTTCACTTACAAGTTAAAATGCATTTTTTGACTAACGACGATTCATCGTGATTCAGCTTTAATTCTGTAATTCTAAATTGAATAAACACTACATTCTTCACCGGACAGTAGCCTATAGAACAAGAAGAAAACAGCCGGGAATGGGGAACTGTAATAATTCTGTACAGTATTAGCAAAATAAGTTATGTGGTTACAGTGCAAGTAAAATTAAATTTATTTTAATTTCGTCAAACGATGATTCCCCTACGGGTGGCAGTCGTACCCCACAGTTCTGCATCCGCATCCTTCTGGAATCCGTTTGAAAGATTGGATGCATGTTGACAACAACATGGGTTGCTAAGTTTATCCAGAAGTCAGAAATGCTGTTTTTTTTTGTTTTTATAGTTTTATGTCGCTTATTTTATGTATCATCATTATATTGTGTCGGTTCGTGGATTGCTGATATTACTGTAGGTGACCTACGGCCTACGGGATTGTCGTAGTAATTACCTTTTTGTTTTACTTTTAAGGATTAGACGGTTCTGTGTTAACTTCACGCTCAGTGTGTTAGTTGTTATTGATGTCACAGCGCGTACTTCATGGTGTTCTCGGGACCTGAGCATCTGCAAATACTAACATCGTTAGATTTGAAAGTACCAAAGTGATCAGTTCGGCGACATTGAAATTCTGATAAAACCTGGCTTGACGTTGAAATATCACATGTGGTTTGTTGACGTGGATCAGCCTTCCTGTTTCGCGGTCTGGATATGCTAGCGTCAGGATGGATCAGCGCGCTACTGGGCACGCGCTTACTGTCCCAGTTCTTCCTCATTCTGTGTTTGATCTTTTCATTGGTGGCCTTGACACATGGGACATGGTATTGTAAAAATCGAGAATGCACAGGTGAGAATAGGTAATCTCATATTTGATTGGAAGATGCTGATCACGGATGTATTCACTGTGTTGATTCTTGCTCTTGACACGTTGTAGAACCCGTTTTCGAGGGAAGAACTACGCATGATTATGAGCCACCGCCAGATGCCATCAAAAATGGATATATCGCTGCTCCAGCTCATCAGGATTCTATAATCTACCGACTTTCCCAGGAGCCATTTATTGTGGATGCTGAGGTCAGTAAAGCGAATTTTGTTAAAAATGCCTACTTGTACTCTGTAGTTATGTAATACAGTAAAATTGCAGCACGGTAACAAGTAAACACTGTAAACGGAGCTGTTTGCATGGGTGTTTGCTTGAATTTATAGTTTTATTATATTGTTCAGATTTTGACGTTGAATAAATGTTTTCGGATAATGAAGGTCCTCTAAAATTTTATTGAAGTGCTGATTTGCTGTGATAATAATCATTCTATTTATTAATAATAATTTATTTTTAGATCAATGGAAAGCGTGGACTCTTGCCACGCGCCATCATTGCCATCACGAAAGATCATATGGGCGATAAAAATTACGAAACGATCGAAGCACCCCCAGCTCCATATGAAGTGGATCCATATACGGAGAAACCCGTGGGTGATGAGGAGAAAACGCAGCCGAAGCCCGTTGACGAAACAGTCAGAGAAAGTCCCGCTCCGGTTCCAGAGAATGCCGTGAAGGAGCAGATTCCTGTGCAACCTGGTGATGCCGGTGTCGATCAGCCAAAAAGCGAAGACAGTCCGCAGAATACGAAGCAAGTTGAAAGTAATGCCGTGGCTGGCGGCAGTCCGAAAGATGAATCGGATTCTGGCACTGCAGCAGTGAAATCGGACGTGGAGAAGGTTGAGGCTATCCCACAAAAAGATAGTACCGCTGCGGAAAGCACGGCAAATCAACCGGCAGAGGCAAAACCTCAAGGTAGACCGAGAAAATCGTATTGATGTTTATGGATTGTAATAAGTAATAATATCGAAAAAATGTTCAAGATCAGTGAAATGCGGTTGCCTCCAAAATCATTTTGTTGGATTAACCGATTAACCGCGACGTGCATGACCTGCGGCGCAGGTCATGCATCATGCACGTAGTTATGGTCGTACGCCAATTTGTGAGGAGTTGTATATTGCGTGGCCAGTAGGTATACAAATTTACATTTGTATATTACAAGTCGTCAACTGTGAGAAGTTCCCTATCGATGCGATAATCTGGTTGAGCAGCCCGTTCTGTGTACAGTATGTGTGTGATTTCTGGAGTTAGTTTTGTGTATTTCTGTAGAACTTGGCGATAAAACGGATGAGCCGAAGGAGAAAAAAGCGGCAGACGGCACGGCAGACCAGCCTTTGACGAACAACATCGCCAAAGAAGAACCACGAGCTGATGCTGATGTAACTGTTAATATGGTTTCGGAAATCGCTAAAGAGGACAAATCGGCAGCGATCGTTGCTGAGAGAACAGCGGATTTAGGAAGGGGTACGGAACAGAAGAGTGCAGACGTTAAACCGGAAACCCCATCCGGTGATAGCACTCCATCCAATGCAGTTGACCCCATCCAGGCGCAAAATGTGAGCGGAACTGATAATGCCAAAACCCAAGCGCCGGAAAAACCTAAGGAAAAAATTGGCGAATCGGTACCTGCGGAGGTATATTTTTTAACAGTACTGAATCTTTTCTAACATTAACTAAACTTTGTGTTGCGATACTGCATGTTTCTTTTTTTTATTTGCTATTTTGTTTTCTTTTTGTGATTCCACCCGGTAAATGTGAATTTATGATGTGAATTTACGATGTTCCAATATTTTTTAGCCTCCAAAGCCGTCAGGGCCTACGCCAGATTTAACGAAGCAACCCGCGCTGGATGAAACCAAGAAAACTCTTGTTGTTGATCCAGTTATGGAAACATCCACCGTTGCTCCCACTGCCTCCATTAAAGAGTCACCTCTTCCTGCAGCCACTCCGGCTGTTCCGATCCAACAGCCTTCCACTATTCCTAAAATGCCGGAGCCTAAAGTTACATTTCAGGATCCCATGCGGAATAATTATGGTGGCATGCCGCAGTTGGACCTGGATCACCCGCGACCTGTGTTCACCACGAAAGTTGCCAATCGTTTTCACGATCACCACCATCATCACCATCATGGAGCGCATGACCATTCACATGATCACCACGGACATGCACACCACCACGGACATGATCATCACGGACACCATGACCATGCTCATCACGATCACGAACATGACCACGACCACCATGATCATGCGCATGAAAAACTTGAGAAAAAAGAATCGGGGAATGTTATTTCAGAGCAGCCACTCAGCACTTCACGTGACGAGAAAGCAGTTGAAGAAAAAGTACATCATCATCATGAGGAACATTCGCATTCGGATAAACCCAAAGCCGCTGACTCAGTGCAGTCGGAATCAGCCGTTGGAGTGGCAAATAGTGCGATAAGTCCAGCAGATCTTCCGGTAGAACAGGCTCTGTTGGTTAATGCGAATTTCACGTTCATTCCGCCAGAAGATGCCACACATGCCCCTGTGAACTATACTCAGTTGGTTCTGGATCGCATGGAAGGAAAAACGATACCGGGATTTTTAAACGAAGCTCTGGACAAAGAACCGTCTGAAGGATATCCAGTTCCGCCGCCCCTGGATCCGGCCACAGCCACGGAGGCGCCCAGAATTCCTGGATTATCGGACAACGCCTTACCGGCGACCGATATGGAAGCCGCTGTTCAATCGGTTGACCGGTACAATAAACACGGACGAGCGAGATTTATTAATCGTGGAGGTCGCGGCGTACCGGCCATATCTGAGGGTACATTGATATGTTAATATGTGGCTGTAACAAAAAATGCTTTCGAAATGACTTCATTGAAATATCGGAAAGCTTGATTGTGATAATTTGTTCTCTTTAGGTTCTGAAGAGAAACAGACTTCGGAGGAAAACCATAACCACGATCACGACAGTCATGATCACAGCCATCATGATCATCATCACGACCATCACGATGATCACGGCCATCATCACCATGATCATGGGCTTCCACCTTCAACTGCACCGGACACTGAATCCGTCCCGGCCGAAGAAGTGGTGGGTGGAACATGCTCGGCCCGGACTGGTGGCGGGGAAGGTTCGTGCGATGATATCGAGCCTCTGGATGTTGTCGAATATGAACCGGGATTGTCAGAGCCTGTGAAGTCATCGGAGGATAAGCCCAACGAGAAATCCATGCTCCACGGCGGCATGGTTGTAGCTACGAAATACTGGTTGTTGGTTGTAGCGGAATTCGAAAAGGTGTCTGCGAGTTTGCGCTTGATCGGGATGATGATTTTCGCTGCTGCGGCCACTGTGTTTTTGGGCGTGGCGTCCAGAGATCGGAATATTAGAAAAGCCCTGGAACGCGGTTTTGAGGAATACGACCATAAAAAAGATACGGAATTGATAGTATTACGTGAGCAAGTACAGAAGTTAGTGAAAGAGAAACAGGAAACGGAACGGGCGAGATCGATGATTCTTCCTATTCCGCCACCGGGTATCATACCAAAACTCCCCGATGGGCCGCCAGCGCCGTGCTTAGAATGCAGTAATTTAAGGAACAGCGCTGTGGGATTAAAGAAAACAATAACCGAAAATGAACAGCTTCTGAAAGATCACCGAGAAACACATGCGAATTTATTAAGCAAGAACAATGAAATGATGACGGAAGTGGTACTTATCAGAAAAGAGCGGGATGATTTGCGCCGGGAACTGGATGGCACAAAATCAAGACTTATCGAAATGGAACGAAGGCCGATCGGAGGGGCGGTTACTAACGGTTATGATGCTGCGAAGGAGGCTGAACTTACTTCTCTTCGTATTAGCCTGCAACAGTTGCAATCCGAAAACGATGCTCTACGAACCGATATTCAGAGTGCATCGTCAACCGATATCAGCTCAACCAAACTGGCGGCATTACAGACCGAGCGGGATGAAGCAGCCAGCAATGTCAGGTTATTGAAGCAGTTACTAGGCGAAAAAGAAGAGGAGATACGGAAAGTTCGGAGCACAGACGGATCTGGTGGGGTCAGCGCTCGTGAACTCCAGGAGAAAACCGACGAAGCACGCAGCTACCGAAAACAGGTACATCGTCTACAGGACGAAATCGAGACCATCAAGCGCGAAAGGGAATCCCAGCTGCAGCTGCGCTGTCAGTCTTTCCGAATTGCTGCGGATAAAGCTCAGCGCGATGCATTAATGGCTCGTCAGGAAACGATTGTCGTGCGCCAACAGCTGGAGGAGTTGTGTCGGAAATATGGTGAACAGGTGCCGGCCGTAATTATTCCCCAAATTTCTAATGGGGCAGCATCCCCACCTGGAATCGCCACGCCTCCGATGATGTTTGGGGGAATGCCGTATCCACCCGGTCCACCACCGCCGACTTTCGAGGCCTTCAAACAACATGTGCTTTCCCATAGCGCCGGCTCCAGTGGCTATATATCGCCCCATAGTCCCGGACGAGAACAGGAACGCGATCGGGTGCGGGAGAGGAAAGTTGGCAAGAAGAATGCTCAAGAGTATTCGCGTAATGGAAAGGATGGATATTTGGATGATTCTGATACCGAACGAGAGAAAAAGCGTGATCGAAGTAAAAGATGAACCAGTTTTTTGGAGTGATTTGAATCTGACATGCCAAGCTTGTTGGATTGTTGGATCGCAAATGGGATAGATGCCAACTGCGTTCGGATACATACCTCGTTCGTGCTGTCGGGTTAATTTATAAGATTTCTTTATTAACCGGTTTCGTACTCTTGCTGACGATTGTCGTCAGTGGTCGCTGTTGTGCTTTCGTTGGTGTCATGTATTCTGCTTTTCTTATCTTTCTGATGTTCTTTTACAAATAATTTATGGCTGGAATATGTGATTGTCCTTTTTTTACTAACGCAGATAATTACGATGTGGAATGTTCGTTTGATCCGGTTAACTTACCATTAAAAATTGCTCCAGTATGGATGTATGTTTCTTTCGAACTACTACACCATAGCACATGGTCAGGTCAGCTAATAAGGAAAACACTGCATTTCCATGGGCAATCGCACATTTTCTTTTTTTACAACCAAATAGTCACACGATTGCAACATACCGTACATATGGTCAAAATTTTTAGACAACAAATCAGCGACCACTAACTCACGATATTATCCCTTTAGAACACATGACAACTAGCACAATATTCCTACGTACTCCGTTTCCGTAAAGAGGAAAGTTAATGCCGATCGGTCGTGATTGTTACGATGTTTAATGATGTTCATCATGCTCTCCTGGCAGTTCAGTTTCGTAGCCATCGGGAAGAGCGTTCTTCATGGGGTTGTGCAAGAGTGAATGATTTCCATCTCCCCACGGAAAAGGCTGCAAAAAATCCGCATGTAACTACATAAGTACCAAAATTTAAACTAACAAGCTGCTACAGCTGGAGATAGTAGCCATAGTATAAACGAAAACTGGTATGTACAAATGTGCATGAAGCAGTCCGAAAATGAAGTATGCGCGTGCACTTGAACTCAGCTCGTAGCAGCACCAAGTTGCACCAACCCAAGTAATTTTAAGTCACTCATTGCTCCCGCAGTCAGCCAACTTCTGAAGACAACTGGTAACCTATCACTTTAACCTTGCATGTGAATGCGTTATTAGGAATTTTTAACAAATAATTTTCGAAAACTTTTGAACCGTCGTAACACCACATACACTTGCATCAAAACAGTACCCATATCGCAAACAGAAAGCACGATAAATTCCAAACACCCCTCTAAAAATCACTTGCAAACTATTAAAATTTGATACTATGCAAAGTCATAATCTAAATCCATTAACTAAATAATATACCGTAATGCAATCGCACAAATTAAGAACTGATCAGACATCAGACTAGAAGAATCAGAAAATGCAAACAAATTGGGGTTCAAGCTTAGTGGAAAGTTGATCTAAATAATTGTGTTACCAATTAGCGTTAACAGAACAAAAGCCTTCCCTTCCCCGTTCACCGCCAATATTAAACTAGGAAAACGTTTCTGAAAGAAGAATGTTATCGATTTAGGGATCTTACTTTGGTGCGACGACGCATGTATTCGTAGGCGACGAACTTGGGACGAGCATGCTCAGGATGTGCCCAGTGCTCCTTCTCCCCCAGATAAGCGTTAACCATGCACGCTCCGACCGCAGGAAGCGCCACCAAGAAGGTCAAGTTGCGCCATAAATTGGGATTAGCTAAAAAACAACAATAAGCATTCAGCATTCGCACTGTTCAAAGGGGCAATCTTCTGAATGTCTAAACTTACAGTTTACTTACTATGGGATCGTGGATCAGGAATTCCAGCAAACTGGGTTACTTTGGCAGTAACTCGTCCACCCCCCGGCTTAATACTGGTGGACATATGCCGACACAAACGCAGCGCGAACATTTTGAAGCTTTCACAATTCAAACAGCTTTTTCGAACAGATTATGAGTAAAACTTAAAATAAAATTATTACGAAATAATTTTCAAGTGAATGTACATTAATTTTCCCAGCCCCAGCTTTTCCCACTGTGAAATTTGAAAAGATTAGTAAGGGATGTGGCCAATCGCGGTGTACCCTAGTGAACATTTCCGAGTGCACATCCTGCACTACTGTAACACACTGGCGCGAGAGGTGGAGCCAGCTGGGAACCATCAACCCAGCTGACTTCATCGATTTTTATCCATGGAAAATGAAATCTTTCCTTGCGACCGCATCCATCATCAGTGATTCAGTATCACCAGTAAGCGATCTGGTTATCGCGAAATCGCCTGTTTTTTTTATTTTCTTGAACTTTTTTTCCCTAACGTTGTTATTGGATATACATGTCTTTACATTTGTTTGACCTTATTAAAACCCCACATCTCAACCTTTGAGACATGGGCAATGCAGAGACACTACCGGCGGCTGGACGAAATAACAGACATGGATGGTTACCCAAAGTCAAACCGCATCGCCATCCCATCCACGGAATTTCCAGCATTACGGGAGTGTATTTCAGCTGTGCATCGCATCCTGATCTGCACATGGCCACATGTGGGAATTGCTATAAGCTGACACTTCTCCAGCGCATCAAAAACGCTGCTAAGTATACCGTGCCAAAACTTCACCTCAGGAAGAAAAGATGCGAGGATCCTGTATCCTGTTCCGAGAAATCGTCATGTAGTTTAATTTCCTATCGTCCATCCAGCACGGATAGCGATTATGGTTCAGTTTCAAAGGTAGGCCCTACTTGTATCATGCTTTATTGGTGAAACTAATTCGAACTTTAATGTTAACGCGTCGCTCTGTGGTGACTTCCGGTTGCACGTGCACATGTTCTGATGATATTAAAAATGTTAAGATGTGCGATGAAACTGGGCAAGGGGCATCTATGAACTAACACTTTCGAATAGATTTTATGCCACTCAACGAAGCAAAAAGAATTTCGAAGATATGCAGCCAGTGTATTAAAATAGTATTTTAGAATGTTTGCCGTTTGTGCAAGTATTTTTTGAATTTGTGAAATAGTTCAGAATATTATTGTGCGTTGATATTGTTTCAGAGCTTTAGTAGCAGTATCTCGTCCAGTGGCGGGTCGGTAACATCAACAGGATCGAATTCGTCGACCGGAAGTACAAATTTTAAACGACGCCGGAGTCGTGGACGATGTGAAAAACGATGGACAAACGTTCCCAACCCGTCGGCTTACGAGTACAAAACTGTCTGGCCGGTAACCGTGAAGGAGTCGCTGTTTCTGCCCGAATTCCCTATTAATAAGCAACCTCCTGCCGCCAGAAGTTTTGAGGTTAGTCCATTAGTGCTTGCCTTACGGCATGCAGTTCTACAGAAAATTTGTATTACTTAGTACTGCGTGTAGAAGATCTTGCGTTTTCATTCATTCGGCTAAGAATTTTCGTTTGAATAGCATCATCCAGGGATACAACCATTTTTGTATTTCCTTGTAGATTGTGAAAGAGATATCACGTGGTAAGTTCAGCGACGTTTCCAAGATTTGTATGCGCAATAGCCGCGAAGAATACGCCATGAAGCGAATGTCCAAAGATAGCATCATCCGCACCCATGCGGTTAACCAAGCCAAAACCGAAGCCATTATCCAGAGAACGTCACGGCATCCGTTCCTGGTCTCGGCTGTTGCCACATGGCAGTCCCGCACCCACGTTTATATCGGTAAGTAATAAGCGAAATAAAAAAAGTTCAGTCTTTTTTTTGACTTGTTGTTACGTCTTATTCAGACGCAATGCTTCGTCACGTTGAAGTACTTACAATTAGTACTGAATGCCTGCAATATAAGACGAAGTAGCTGCATTATATTGTTTGTAATTGCTTTTTGTTAAGAGTAGGTTGTTAAATAAGTAAATAAAACCGCTCCCCGCTTTTTAGCAGCAGCTTATTGTCGACAGTTACTACACTCCATACCGGACTGTGGTCTGATAGGCGTAATAGTCTCCTTCCTTGCGATACGCTTTCCTGATTTTACGGGTACAGATTGTGTACAGTTGATTTCTTCGTTGCAGTTACTGAGTACTTTCCTGGTGGTGATCTGGCTGCGATCTGGAAAAACTTCGGAGCCTTTCCCGAGGCGGTAGTGCAGGTGTGGGGTGCAGAAATCGCCCTGGCACTTGACTTCCTGCATACAAACGGCATCATATATCGGGATCTGAAACTTGGTAATATCCTGGTGGATATCAATGGTCATCTGAAGATATCGGACTTCGGGCTTGCCCGCTACACCACGGAGGAGCCTCGCGCCATGGTAATAATAATAGTGTTGTATATGTATTCCGTTTATATAAGATACAATTATCAGATATTACATTTATACAGTGACCTTTCAAGCCGGTGACCTTTTGGTGAACTTTTTGTTTAGACTATTTGCGGCACACTCAATTACATGGCTCCGGAAGTACTCTTGGGCGAGCCATACTCGTTCGCCGCCGACTGGTGGTCCTTCGGCATTGTGTTGTATACCCTGTTAACGGGGGGATACCCCCTTTTGTCAGAGAAGGATCATGTCGTCATGGCAGAAAAAGTTTTGAACCACTCGTACACTGTGCCGGATGGTCCGGCGCTCTGTATTTCGGCTTCAGCCAAATTGCTGATTGAAAGGTTACTGAAGAAGGTGCCATCGCGGCGTTTGACGGACTTCAAACAGATCAGTGCCGAGGCGTTCTTTTGTGGATTGAGCTTTGCCCAAGTGCACCGCAAAGCTATTTGCCCGTTTACCTTTATGCATTTTTCGAATCAGAACCATTCCCAAGATGTCGATCAGTCCGTAAATGTCGATCAATCCGTAAGTGATTTTAAATTTGTTAGTACAGTGCTATGTATCACGAAATGGTACAGGAGCACTCTAGGCATAAACCATGGTTGCTCGTGTTGCGATACCGATATAAATTGCAATTTGGTTTCTAAAACTGAACCATGGCCACTACTGTAGATCTTGTTACGGCAGTGTTGTGGTCGTCCGGCATGTGTATTTTGTTGCCCAAGGGCCGTTACATTATAATGCGTAGGATGTATAATTGTTAAATTGAATGTTTGTAAAACCTTGAATTTGTATATAGACATTTTTAATTGCCTTTTTTCCGCAGATGGATGAGTTCGATTTCATGGATGGATAATTTCAAAAAGAGTTCAGTATTAAACTGGTTGTTTCACTGGATGCCTTCGTCCTTTTGCTCATTCCCAAGAGCGTGTTTTCATTAGTTTTATCTTATTGCCAAATTAATCTAATATAGGCATATTTTTAGTTTTATCTTGTTGCATGATGATGTTCTTCTGAGATTTTTGTCGCCAATTTTGCATGTTGTGGCATTATATTGTTGTTTGTATATCGTGGCGCTTGTATGTACATACAATATGAGCGCGGAATGTTGTTGCCCGTATTTGGAAGATGTTTTTCATTACCTTGTTGTGATGTGACTGATGTCGATAATTCTCACCGTTTTTTATTCCTCAGTAGTCGTGTATCATTTCCATGAGAAAATAAAATTTTGGTTATCGTTGGATTGTTTACCATGTGGGACATTGGGATGCTGTTTCTTTCTTGATTTTACTATTTCTGTTGGACTTATTACTTACTAACGTCTTTGCTTCTTACTGGCCAGACTGGTGATTTGCGTCTGCATCGTATTGGTAAAGTTCAGTTACATATTATTGTACATTATGTGAGCAATTGCAGTAGCTGCAGTTTATGTATTATCTATTTTTACAGGTTTTGATTTCAAACGAATTTCACATCCCGGTCCTCTAAATAGTAATTGTGTGTTGATTAAAAAATCAGTAATGAAATGTGTAACTGATTCTATTCAGCAGACAGGTATTCTCGAGAATAATCAATGGATTCTCAGTGCATTAAAGTGCACCGAAACTGCTCACCGTCAGACAGTTTGAAATAAGCAGATGAAAAAGCGCACGATCATACAGTCGTGATCATACAGTATAACGGCATATTTGATGTCTCGTGTGTGCATTATTTGCTCGAATAAACAATGATTAAACGGAATCTCTGTGCCGAATAGGCTGGAATAGCTAACAGAATAATTATCGTAGAATTATTTGTACTGCTGCCAAGACCGGTAGTGCGACCGGTGCTGGGTTGAGATACCTAGTATGCAAACTAACTGGCCTGGTATATAACGCGCGTGAGCCTAATCAGCGAATTATTTGCCGCAGTTTATTCATTGGCATAGCACAGCAAAAGATTAGTTCGCAGCACAGCAGAAAATTCGCGATAAGAAGACGTTCAGGTTCTTGCAGCGTTGTAGATTACGCTATCAGTTTTCGTTAAATAATTGCCTAGAAGTGCTACGAGTATACTAACAATTACGCTCCTAACGACTATATAAATTTTTGCAATATACTGTTTCCGCGGCAGATAATTTCAAAATACAATTTCGCAATAATTCGTTTTGCTTTTACTTATTTGAACTAATATCCGGAAAATGGTTCATAAATACAAACTGATTTATTTCAATCTGCCCGGTCGTGCTGAACTTCCGCGTTGGATTTTTCATTATGCCGGGCAAGACTTCGAAGATAAACGCATTGAACATGCTCAGTGGCCGGCGGTGAAACCAACCACACCGGACGGCACACTGCCCTACCTGGAAGTGGACGGTAAACCGTTGTCGCAGAGTCAGGCCATCGCTCGCTACTTGGCACGCACATTCAAGGTGGCTGGACACAATGCCTGGGAGGAAGCGGAAGCTGATGCTGTTGTGGATTATCTTGGTGGTAAGAATTTCGGTTTATTTATAGGGATACATTATACAATTTCGGTATTTCTGTCGATGCAATACTACGATTGCGTAAAAAAATTCCCGTGTGAATAAATGACAGTCATTTATAGTAAACAATTTATCAGTTTATATTACGTTTAACTATTTTATTTTCCTTTCATTCAAATAAAGATGCATCGAAGGATTACATCAGATACGCTGGAGCGCTCCGGGCTAAGGACGAGCAGCTGGCAAAAAGCATTAAGGAGAAGTACATCGGAGAGACAGTGATTCCGTATTTGGACGGACTGAACCGGAAGTTGGAACACAATTCTGGCAGCCAGTACCTAGTCGGCAAAGATCCCACTTGGGCAGATTTTGCTGTAACGATTTTCCTGGAAAAACTTTGCAGCATGGACGCACACATCGTGGACAAATACCCGCGACTGAAAGTCCACACCGAACATGTTCGCAATCTACCCGGTATTCGCGAATGGATTGCCAAACGTCCTGCGAATCCAGTCTGACAAAAATTACCAATAATTTCAATAAATCAAGCATTTTCTTACGCACTACTCGGTATTTGAAGAGTGCAACTGCACGCTAGTGTTGTGCTTCGCATACGTTTATTTATTTACTGCGCTTGATAACTGCTGGAATAATTTTTTTGGGAGCCTATCACTGGCACTCGACAAGAGCGATCAAATAAATTACCTAATTGTAAGCTCGTATGTGAGGCAAAGCCTGGTTTCGACAAAGCTGCCGTAGGTTCGTAATTTTTGCATGGCACTATTTTTGCTTGGTAGCTGATACAGTGTACATACTCTGCATGTTCAGTTCGGTTTTGATGTCTAATTAAATAAAGAATAACTACTCGTACTACATTTAACGATATTTGCATTATTTAATTTTGGTTTCAAGACAATATACAAACACACAGTTGAAAAGCTGTAGAACTTAGAAGTATGTTTATTTACTGGAAAAATTAACTTCGGGAACCTAAAAAATTACGCCGACTCGTAATGTTAAATAGGTTATCCGACTGTATAGGACATCGTACATTTTTACAGTAGAAGTATAGCATATCGTACTTATCTTTAGAACTTTCTACATACGAGTAACATTATTATGGTCGTTTTTCTACACTTTGAAATGCTACTCGTAGTGGCATAGTGCTGTACCTAATTGCTAACGGACAATGAAAACGATTCTACGTTTGAATTAAATTGTACTTGGTGAGTTATTACTGCAATAGTAATTAAGTAAGTACAGTGTTCGATAATCCGAATTTTTAAAGCGCTTTTTATTAAATGAATGTGCACTTCCCGCTTATACTACGCATGACAGAAAACAGCAAAAAGGAACTTTAACCAACACCCAAACTACTACATTTAATGCTAGAGAACAGCTGCGCTAAACAAAATTTGATGTCAGCACCGGAAAGTACATGCTCAACATACGACCGAAACCGGAAGTCGGATTACATGGGAGTGTTGGGACGCTTGGCGATCCACTCCTTGATGCCCTTCAGTTCATGGACGCGCTGGTTATGGGCCTTCAGTTTGGGGAACTTGTCCAACAGAGTGCTTTCCATGCCCAGAATGCCATCCAGAGCGACAACCACCACGAAATCAGCCCAGGTGGGTCCACTCCCAATGAAGAAACCGTCGCCGTTGTTGTTCTCCTGCAGCTTGCGCTCCAGTCCCTGCAGATACGGTTGGATCTGCTCCTTCACGAAGGCCTCTTTCAGCTTGCTCTTCTTACCCTCGTCTTGTTCGTGAAAAATGGCCATCAATGGCTTCAAAGAATCTGCAAGAGGACTACACTTACAAAACTAATTACTAGCACGAGAAATTAACTGTTAGAATTTACTCGCATAAGAGCCAAGTTGTTAAGGTCACCAAACGCTCTTTCAGAAGTACAATACGAGAAGTACTCGTACAGCCAGAACTACAGATATTTATTTACCAAACTCAATCTTATACTAACCCAACTTAATAATTTAAAAAATTTCTTTTAACGAGTATAACTATCTGTGGTCTAGAAAAAAAAAGTTACGACGTCGTCAACAATGTTATCATTCTTATGCTTCTGTTTTCGTAACCTACCCACTTCAATGTCAGTTCTCTGCAGACTGCACATACTTTGCATATTGTAGTAGATCAAAACAAAGGTCATGCGAACACCATTCAGCACCTATCGCTACAGATCATGTACACCTGCAATGTCCTCACCTAACAATAAGTATCAAAAAAGTATTATAATATTTTGAAGAATTGTAGTTTATTATCACGAAAATAGAACTGGTAAATTTTTTAAAAGAATCAGTTGTAAGAGCAGACATCGTATCACGTCAAACAATTAACGGCCATTTCTAAACGAACAAACCGTGAAAGAAAATTAAAATAATTTTCAATGGCTTGAAATTTATCACCTTTTGTATTACGCTGCTTTCAGGCGAGAACCGTTCAATGTATTCAAATTTACTGCCTGCATGCATCAGTGTGGTAAAAAACTGCATAAAATTTCACACGCGAATACCGGTTTTGAAATGAATAAATATGCATATTGTCAACTGCAGCCGTTGGGTAGCACAATGCAAACACGTCCCTTCACTATGCAGAGCATGGCTAGCGATATCGGGTTTGTGAAATGATTATCGACCGAAATGATACAGCATTTTACGGTACCTTGAACGTAATCCACGAGAGCGTCGGCCTGCAAACGGAAAACTATCAGCCGGGGCCGGGAAATTACTTACTGTACTCGCATATAGGAACAACACATACATACACACGCCATGTGAAAATTAATCAGAAACTGTGCAAGGTACTGTACCTGAGCTGCTTCCCAGTCATCCTTGCCAACCAGCTTGTGCTGGCGAGCCAGATAACGAGTCAAGCTCAGACTCTGGGGCAGCGGTTTGCCATCCACCTCCAGATAGGGCACCTGTCCGAAGGGAGCGGTGGATTTCAGAGTGGGCCACTGATCTTTCGGGATGCGATGATCTTCATAGTCAACGCCAGCGTAGGCTAAAACCCAGCGGGCAGGTTCAGCACGTCCGCGGGCATCGAAGTAAACCAGCTTATACTTTGGTGCCATGGTGAATCGTTAGGGAGAAAACTACGAAATGGGATTTTCCAAGTAAAAGCCGGTAAACAAGGACTGGGTGGTTTGCAAGCTGCAAGATGTGAACTAAATGGAAGGGCACACTGCGAAGCCTTTAAATGTTGATCAAAATCGTTGCTCCTCTTGTGGGCGTACCAGCTGAGAAAGTTCGCGAATTGTCGCTCTGCATTCTTAAATCCTGTACGTACACCGGCACATGTCAGTGCGCGTCCTCCTTGTGTTTTGCCGGATATTATTATTGTACGTACCAAATTACCTATACGAGTGCTGATTAATAATCTGCATCAAATTGTAATGGTTAGGGACTTATAAGATTACACGATAACGAAAACTTCAAAAATAATAATGTGAACGCGTTCTTACAGCTTTTGGATTTCCATGCAGGCATTCTCAAGTACTATACTTACATGCTCCAAAGTCTCCACTACAGTCCTTGGATTTCGCTATACGCGGAATACATGCTACAATATGCCTGCGCATATTTAATCAATATATATAGATATAAATATATATAGATATATATATATATATAGATAAATATATAATCTATATAGGTATAGATATATATTAGGAAGAAGATCAATATTACGCGCGGCCTCCCCACAGTCTGGAGATCTCTCTAACCAAGAACGTTTTAAAAAATCTGATACCACAGTTAGATCGGCCGTGGTCCAGAACTGCGTCACATGACTTTTGTTTTTGAATACGCTCGATCAGAATCGTGCCGGCACGATGCCGCAAACGATCCAACCCAGTTTCAAGGTGACCTTGGAACTTAGAAAAATTTTGCCTGAATACAATATGCAACAAAAATTATTAAATACGCATATTAAACGGAATAAATTAAACTTATTTTCGTACAACACCAACCACAAAATTAAGTAATCACAAGTTAATTTTTCGATTTTTGTTGTCGGCAAATTTTTAATATAATGGTAGGTATTGACCATACGGACATCGGGCTGTTCGATTTTGGCAGGACCATCCTTCTAAGCAATTGCTAGAATTGCAAACAGCCGCATTTGTATTATTTAATGGTGAGTGAGTGAGCGAGCTACCACTGTCCAGTGAGCAGAATCACTAACTGAGTAAGATGTAAGTTACCGAGCTACCACTGTCCAGTGAGCAGAATCATTAACTGAGTAAGTTACCGAGCTACCACTACTGTCCAGTGAGCAGAATCGCTAACTAAGTGAGTATGTTACCGAGCTACCACTGTCCAGTGAGCAGAATCGCTAACTGAATAAGTTACCGAGCTACCACTACTGTCCAGTGAGCAGAATCGCTAACTGAATAAGTTACCGAGCTACCACTACTGTCCAGTGAGCAGAATCACTAACTGAGTAAGTTACCGAGCTACCACTACTGTCCAGTGAGCAGAATCGCTAACTGAATAAGTTACCGAGCTACCACTACTGTCCAGTGAGCAGAATCGCTAACTGAATAAGTTACCGAGCTACCACTACTGTCCAGTGAGCAGAATCGCTAACTAAGTGAGTATGTTACCGAGCTACCACTGTCCAGTGAGCAGAATCGCTAACTGAATAAGTTACCGAGCTACCACTACTGTCCAGTGAGCAGAATCGCTAACTGAATAAGTTACCGAGCTACCACTACTGTCCAGTGAGCAGAATCGCTAACTAAGTGAGTATGTTACCGAGCTACCACTGTCCAGTGAGCAGAATCGCTAACTGAATAAGTTACCGAGCTACCACTACTGTCCAGTGAACAGAATCGCTAACTGAATAAGTTACCGAGCTACCACTACTGTCCAGTGAGCAGAATCACTAACTGAGTAAGTTACCGAGCTACCACTGTCCAGTGAGCAGAATCGCTAACTGAATAAGTTACCGAGCTACCACTACTGTCCAGTGAGCAGAATCACTAACTGAGTAAGTTACCGAGCTACCACTGTCCAGTGAGCAGAATCGCTAACTGAGTGAGTTACCGAGCTACCACTACTGTCCAGTGAACAGAATCGCTAACTGAGTAAGTTACCGAGCTACCACTACTGTCCAGTGAGCAGAATCGCTAACTGAGTAAGTTACCGAGCTGCCACTACTGTCCAGAGATCAAAATCGCTCATTGAGTGAGTTAGTTACCGAGCTACCACTGTCCAGTGAGCAAAATCGCTACCTGAGTGAGAGAGCTACCAAGCTACTACCACTATCCAGTGCCCGAAACGCTACGTGAATGAGCAACTGAGCTATTCGTTGATTCGGGCCGTGGATCACAAGAAACGCGGAGGCGAAGCCGCAGCTGTTTCTTGTATATAGATATAACTATATGCATTATACAATATCTATATTACTGCAATATCGTACATTCTAATTATTGTAAAGGCACGAGTGGAACATCCAAACACTGATGTGCGTGTTGCAATTGCGCGGCATCCGTCGACACTTATGCAATTTAGTAATAATTTCTTAATGCTAATAATTGTTGCCCGATTTTATGTGCACAGCTTACGATTAATTGGTTGATTTTTAAGGTTTCGTGGTTCCTTGATCTGCTAAAATACGCAGGCGTATTTACAGAGCCCATGAATGTTACGATGTTTATTAGGCAACACTTATTTTCACTTGCAGTTAGACCCCAGATTCCAGAGAACACTTTCCTGTGTGCAATACTGTACTCTAAACACTGCTGCACGAATTTGTATTTGCTTCCATGCAATAGCCGGGAATCAGAGTCTCATTTTTTTTTCCACAACAATCCACGATATTTAGATATTTGTGGCTTACCTGTTAGCTTTTGTTTGGCTCAGTTAACATTCGCTGTGCTTGCAACTAGCAGGCTAAATTTTACCAGTTGACAGTTGTTAAATAATGACAAATTACGAGTAAAAACAATACTTACGAGTTACAAATTAGGATTACTAACTAGTAAAAAACTGCACAGTGTGCAGTGTAGCACCAAGGTACAAGTAGTACGTACGCCACTTACTGTATGCCAGGAGGCGCTTTTGAAAAGCAGTTTGTGGAATTACCAAAACAGCTGCGCATTGGGCAACCCCCGCAGGTTTGGTGTTTTTTCGATTTGTTCAAATTCATACAATCCGTGCGTACCATAGCTTAAAAAATGCAGAAAAAAAAGTTAAGTTTGAAAACGAAAAGTCTATAAGCAAAAAGTTTTGAAAGAAACGTTTGATTTGCGATTGAAGAGAATTTCGTTCAGCATAGCGGTCTATGGCAAACCGCCTCGTAGACCTCCATGCTGAACGAAATTCTCTTAAATCGCAAATCAAACGTTTCTTTCAAAACTTTTTGCTTATAGACTTTTCGTTTTCAAACTTAACTTTTTTTTCTGCATTTTTCAAGCTATGGTACGCAGGATTGTATGAATTTGAACAAATCGAAAAAACATCAAACCTGCGGGGGTTGCCCAATGCGCAGCTGTTTTGGTAATTCCACAAACTGCTTTTCAAAAGCGCCTCCTGGCATACAGTAAGGCCTCGTCCCGAATTCAAAGCGAATCTCGTTGCGATACAGCAACTCCACCTCGCGAGGTGGCTTCGCGTACCGTATCTGTAGGCGTGGCCACTGCATACAGCCACCTCGTGCGGTTGAGCAACCGTACCATAACGAGATTCGCTTTGAATTCGGGACAAGGCCTAAGTGGCGCACGTAGTACTCGTACTTATTTAGTCAAAATAATCGGAGTAGGTACTGTAAATTCGAATTTTAAAATTCGTGAGCTGTTCGCTCGCCCTAGAATGGCAGTCACTTTTATATGTAGCACTTCCGGTCTGGCTCCGATCCGGCACTTCCGATTCAAAAACTGTGAAAAACACTTCAGTTTTTATTTTTGCAAGTTACTTTTGATTTTAAGTCAGCTGCAACTCGTAAGTACTTTCTGGTTTCCAGCTTCATGAGAAACTTTTTTCTGGCTTTGTAATAGTGCATGGAGTCTAGTGTTTCATTAGTAAACTTTCTGCGGAAAATTCCAAACTGATAGAGTGGCAGGTTTCAAAATAATATTATTTGTTGCAGCGGTAGACCGGAGTATGTGAGCTGACTGAGAGAAGTGAACGAGGCAACATAATAATGTCGACGATTGAAAACGCCATTGCTTCGGACGATCTTCCATCTAGTTCGGATATCAATGCGGACGCACATGAGGATCTGGATAGTGACGAAGAAGGCGATGAATACTTGATCCAAGGGACTTCTTCAGGTGTGTCTATGATAGAACTCTGACATATTTCCGATGCTTGGTAGTTGGTAACGAGTTGGCATTTCCCCTAGGTTCGCGATTGATGTATGGAGGAACCAAAAGGGTCCATCAGAGTCCCTCACCTGAAAGAATGGATACCTCCTCGAATTCTCTATCGAAACGGGCATGCCTGTCGATGGACACGGTGGAACTGCAAGATAATCAGAAATTCCACCGAATGGAAGTACGCTCCATTCCTGGACTGGTGTCATGCATCCACGAAGTGGCCATCCCTCCGGGCGCCGACTACATTCCGCTCCAGCCCCGTCAAGGCCCGCCGCTCCGCGAGTATAAATTCGTTCTGGACTCTTTCCAGACGCAGGCCATCCTCTGCATTGATAATCTACAATCGGTGCTGGTGGCGGCTCACACATCGGCGGGGAAAACAGTGGTTGCAGAGTGAGTGGAACAGTGCGAGTGGTGATTACGCAATCGAAGCTCATTGCGTTTACCTTGTTTACTTTTTCTTCTGCAGGTATGCTATCGCGAAAGGCTTAAAAAACAATCAACGTGTTATTTACACATCACCCATAAAAGCCTTGAGTAACCAGAAATATCGGGAAATGATGGACCATTTCCAGGAGCAAGTCGGTCTCATGACTGGCGATATCACTATAAATCCCAATGCGAGCGTGCTGATTATGACCACTGAGGTAGGATTGTACATTTGTATTTAGATTTTGACATAATTTTTTAGGCTTTAAATTGTCGGAACGCTGTGTACGTAGCGCGGAATTTTTTTGTGGTTTCAGATTTTAAGGAGCATGCTTTACCGCGGAAATGAGGTACGCCACGGTATTTCTTTCATGGAATTTAACTTATTTTTATGTTTTTATAATTTTTATGAATGAAATATTGTTGGTGATATTGTTTTTTAAATGAAGTTATTAATTACGCACTCTTATTTATATTTTTTTTTATTTATAATTTTTTACCCTGAAATGGTTTTCTGAAAACCATTTCAGGGTAAAAAATTATAAATAAAAAAAAATTATAAATAACAGTGCGTAATTAATAACTTATAATTTTTTACCCTGAAATGGTTTTCTTAGATAATGCGTGAAGTCGGATGGGTGATATTCGATGAAATTCATTACATGCGCGATCCGGAGAGAGGTATAAAGCGCAAACTTTGGCAGGCTGACTGGGTGTAAATGGATGTTTGATTTCGATACAGGTGTCGTATGGGAAGAAACAATTATCCTCTTACCAGATAAAGTCAGATTCGTCTTCTTGTCCGCCACAATTCCCAATGCCATTCAGCTGGCGGAATGGATAGCCTGGCTGCACAAACAACCCTGTCACGTCGTGTACACAGAACACCGTCCCGTGCCCTTACAACAGTATTTGTATCCGGCTGGAAGTAAAGGGCTCTATCTCATCATGGACGAGAACAGGAACTTCCGGTAAGAATCGCATCACTTTAACGGTGATCACTAGTTCGCTTTTTGGCCGATATGTGACGTGCTATTATTTTACTTAGTAAGCGAGATCGATACTGATGGTCAATTTGAAGCGAAGATGAGATATGTTTTGCGTAACAGTGGCTGAGATGTCTTCTTATCATAAATCTTATGTATTCCGCTTTTTTTCTTCCTGACTGCAATTTTTACGTGTGTGTATCCTGTACAGAGAAGCGAATTTCGCAACCGCCATGCAGCATTTACAGGAAGGATCTACATCGGATGAATTAAGCAGAAAGCAACAAGCCCATCGCAACAAATCAGGTTTGGTTGATGAAAAATAAATTCGAATCCATTGCTTGATTTTAGTGGAATCGATTTATGCATTTTAGGCCAAGCCACCGTAACGAAGTTGGTGCAGATGGTTATGGAAAGAAATTACGAACCAGTTATTGTCTTTTCCTTCAACCGACGCGAATGTGAGCAGTACGCTACCAGCATGCACAAAATGGACTTTAATACGGATGAAGAAAAAGAAATGGTCGATGCCGTGTTTAAAAACGCAATCGAAGTATTATCGCCGGATGAGCGCAAATTGCCTCAGATTCTCAATACCGTTCCTCTTCTCAAACGTGGCATCGGTATCCATCATTCTGGGCTGTTGCCCTTAATCAAAGAAACAATTGAGCTGTTGTTTCAAGAAGGATTGATTAAAGTATGTTTAAATGGGTTTATTTGGGCTTACTTTCAGAACGGAGACCATACACCTTTTCAGCACCAGCGGTTACCAGCTATAGTTTATTTTTCTTGTTTGCTTGTTAGGTATTGTTTGCCACCGAGACGTTTGCTATGGGTTTAAACATGCCAGCAAGAACAGTTTTGTTCACTAGTTTGAGGAAATTCGACGGAAAGGAGAACAGATTTGTGAGTGCCTGATTTATTTATGATTTGCTGATTGACAATTGCCGTGTATCCATAAATGTAAAGAAGTATTTACAATTAGCTGAGCAATTAAAATGGATTCTTTTTGTAGATTACTTCCAACGAATTTATTCAGATGAGTGGTCGTGCCGGACGTCGAGGAATCGATACTCGTGGCATTGTGTTAATCCAAGTGGACGAACAGATTCCCTCGGCGGTTTTGAAAAACATTGTCAAAGTAAATAATTCGAAGTTTCGAACGATCGGGAATATTTCCCGTTTTATTCGAGTTTGAAATTTTTATTATAGGGCAGCGCCGATCCGTTAAAAAGCGCTTTTCGGTTGACATATAATATGATCCTGAATCTTCTACGAGTTGACGGAATCTCTCCTGAATATATATTGGAGAGGTCTTTCTTGCAGTACCAGAGTTATGCCGATGTTCCCAAAACACTCGAAGGTTAGTGGATTGTGAATACTATGCAAACATAGTTTCCTTAACTGTGATGCATGGTATTTGTGAATTTCATTGCCGGTAAAGCAATTATTGTGGTTGTCATACGGCATTGATTATCGTATTAAAAGGGCAAACAAATAAAAGAAGAAAATTTCGACGTACGGAATTGTTTGAGTAATTTGTCTTTTAATTTTGCCGTCTTTAGAAATATCGAAGAAGAAAGAGGAATTGGAGAAACTGGTGATACCTCGACCCGAAGACTTAAGTCAGTACTTTCGTATTCTAAACGAAGTGACGCGGTTGACCAAAACGGTGCAAGAAATCATCACCAGCGAGGAAAATGTTTTGGCCTGGTTAACACCGGGACGGTTGCTACGTGTAGGTGTACATTTTGGGAGCATCTTTTAGTTCGGTCTTATGTTAAATTTTCGTAATCCGGTTGTTCACAAAATGCAATTCGTTCTGCGTTTGGTTGTTTATGGAAGATTGCGGTGAAATGACTTTGCGCAAGAAGCGAATATTTTTATTGAGGATTGGTTCTTGCAGCTGAGGCACAACGAGATGGATTTCGGTTGGTGTCCGTTCCTACAATACAAGAAAACCAAAAGCGAAAAGAAAAAAGATAAGAGCGCTGAGAACTCCGAAATTTGCTTGATAGTAGCGCTGCCTGTCAGAGATTTGGCCAATCTGGAAGGATCAGATGGTCTCAGCTATTTAAAGCCTGTTAGCATACAAGAGGCGAAAGATGCTTTGGTGAGTGACCACTTTATTGTCAACTTTATTGTGTCTGGATCCCACTATCTTACTTTACATTCACAGATAATCAAAGCAAACCTTGGAGCTATTCAGGCTTTGAGCAGCTTGAAGCTGTATGTACCAGAAGATCTGTCAAACAAAGACGGACGATTGCAGTTGTTGAAGTCTCTGAAGGTATGTTTTCGCAATTCAAGTTTTTACTTGGCAAGTGTCTGTTAGTGGCATGTATGAGTTGAAAAGTTGTTTGACTTTTTCATAGTAAAAGCTAGCGTTTAATGAATTGTTCGATAATCGTTAAATCTTGCATTAAATTAAATCTGTATTTGTGATTAGGAGGTTCACAAGCGGTTTCCGGATGGTATGCCCGCACTTGACCCTGTTAACCACATGAAAATTAAAGATGAGAAATTCACCGACTCGGTTAAATTGTTGACTGTTTTGGAAGCCCGAATGAAGGCGCTACCAATCCATGGTGATCCAGCCAAAGATGATCTGATGCTTCTCCATAAAAAGAAAATCTCACTGGAGAAAGACATTTCCAGAATGGAGAAAGAGGTTAAGGACACTACCAAAGTGGGACTGCATGATGAACTGAAAAGTCGAATTCGAGTGCTGAAGAAACTGGGTTACTGCAATGCCGACGGCATATGTTCTTTAAAAGGGCGAGCTGCCTGTGAAATTAGCTGGTAAGATCATCTCTCACGTTACCCTTTACTGACAGAGATATTTTGCGGAATTTTCAATCGAATAATCCTGACTGGCAAAGCCTTATGCAAGCGGCGCTAGGTGAGAGTAGGCCAGTACTCTGGGAACATATACATACTTTTACCGCGTTCGCTCTATAAGGAAATCGCTCTGACATGTTTTCTTTTAATTGTAGTACGGTACGTTCGTAGTGATTGTTATCGGAATTTAGGGCTAATACCGCATGTACAAAGTATTAAAATTAAAATATAAATTATTACCTTATAATTTATGTCATGCTAATACAGTGCCTGACTGGAATTTTGTGCTTCCTTGGTAATTTTTGCTAGATAGTCGATCCCCATATTGGCCTAAACGCTGAATGATATTGGTGCTTTGTTTTCTCGGTGCGTCATAAACGATTTATCAGTGTTTTTTTTATCATGAAGGATCTATCAGTGCGTTATTCAGAATAAGAGTATGCGGTGACTGATTGCGGTCACTGGGGATTTTAATACAAGTTACAGTTTTACCGTATGTATTTTAAACCGATTAGCGTATACCTTGTACCTGCTCTGGTTAGTTACACTATATTTACTTTCGGGGTAGTGTTATTAGGAGTATTGATAAAAGGACACAGCCGGTACATACCCTGCTTATTGCTTTATTCTGGCTAAGTTTTCGAAAAAATAAGAAGTCAGTCTTGGGTTTGTGATACAAGTGGCAGCTTTAGACTGGGATCGAACAACCAATGGATGGGTTTGGACCGTTTGGTTATTGCTTTACGCATCCGAAAATAAGGTTATCGGATATAATGAAGACAGTTCGAATAAAATGGTTAAGGAACTTACAGCTATTTTAAAGCTATTTTAATTACGAAATGAAGCATAGCATAAAAGGGTTTACTAAATTTGCAGTGCGGATGAACTTTTGTTGACGGAAATGCTCTTCGCCGGTCACTTCAATGACCTGGAGCCGGCCTATGTTGTGTCGTTATTGAGCTGCTTCGTAGCCGAGAACAGTAAATCTTTTGGCAATGAAGCGCCAAAGATCAATGAGCGGTTATCGGGTGTCCTTCGGCAAGCTCAAGAGATCTCGAAGAAAATTGCGACAGTTTCCAAGGAATGTGATGTGCCAGAGGAAAAAGCCGTTACGCGCGAGCTCAAACCCGAATTGATGGATATTTGCCTACAGTGGTGTAATGGTTCCAGCTTTGCCGAAATCTGCAAAAGTGGTATTTATGAAGGTAAGGGAAGGAATCGATCCATGTGGAACGAATGTCAAACACTATTGGTTTGTTAGGGACCATTGTACGCTGCCTACGGTTACTGGAAGAACTACTGCGGCAAATGGCTGCAGCGGCCAAGGTTATCGGTAATGAGCCGCTGGAAGAGCGCTTCACCTCGGGTGCGTACAGTAGGCACGATATAGTATAATATTGTTTCATTTTTGCCCGCAGTTATCGATTGGTGATCGATTCGTACATTGGATGTGTTTCAATATTCTAGGTATCCTGAAGCTCAAGCGTGATATTATATTTGCCGCGAGCCTGTATCTGTGAACTGTATCGCAGTGCTCGCCTGAAACTTCTTATACTGTCTGATGTTCTGGAAGTGCGTGGTGATCATCGAGTGTGTTTCTAATTTGATCGTGGAATAAATTGAGATGCCATTATTGATATTATGATCCTCCTGTATCGTGCCGTCGATTTATACGGACGTAGTAACATCTGTTTTTGTCACTTACAATGTTACTCGGGTAGGTGACTTCACGTTGTTGAATAATTATTCTGTTAAGTCCGTCACCTTTGGAAGTTCTGTATAATAAATATGTGCAGCACACTTGGATTTAATTTGAAAACCTTGTTTGCTTCGAATGTTGATTAATACCGTGTAAGAATTATTTTGGTGATCCTGCTTGCCGCACTGACGGCGGCTGAACATGTTCATTAATTTTTGCAACATTTCAACATACACATTTGTATATTCGTAACTGGTCTGCTATTATAATCTTGGAAGATATTCCCAGCAAAGCTGCATTTTGGAAACCTTATTCATGCTTTTTTAGAAACAGTGATTTGGAATGATAAGTGCATAGAAAAACCGGTCACATTGTTCAGTTGCTGCCTATTTTGCTTAAATGCGTAGGCCGAAAAATTGGGTTTTGGTGGTAAGTACATTTAATAATTACCGTATGTGGTGTTATGGTTATAAGTAACTTGTGAGAAATTTCTTAACAGCAAATGTGGAACCGGTTACCAACTGCGACATTTATCTCAACTTTGTCCAGACTTTATCGCGGCGAATCGGGAAAGCCGAAAGCTGTTAGTGTTGTACGTAATTTGGTACCTATGGTTGTTATCGTCGTTCAATGACGCATTCAGTGATTTCGTGATAAATTCTTATTAATTTTGTTCATTGTTAAAATCTATGGTAGCTGCCGAGTGCAGACTGGCCCGTGTTGATGGTCCTGTTTGTTTATGCTACTCGCCTCCGGCTTTTGAGCATTCATTTTGTGCAAATGATATCATAAATGGAAAGCGAAAGTGTATGTTAAACACCGTACGTTCTTCATGCTAAATTTTCCGTATACCGTACTGACAGTCAACCATTGCAAAGCCCGTATTTTATCGTTAATTCCTGCTGTTTATTGCTGTTCTGCAAATTTGTTGACGAATGACGATCAATGATCGAGCGTGGGTTGATCGATCAGCTGATACACTACCTTTACGGACCAGTAAACTACAGTATAGGAATTACGCTTGAATGCCTTGATGCCATCGTAACTCGGAAGGAAAAGGAAAAATCTTGTCTGATCTTGATAATGAATGCTCGATTTTCTTGAAATAGTGTACTATCTGAGCTCAAGGTTTTATCCGTCGGAACTACAGCTTGTGATCACCAAAGTCGCGCTGCACTACTGGCTGTCATTTGGATTTATTCTTGTCCGCGACTTCCCATATTCGCGGTACATTATGGGAAGTAGTTGTATGAAGCCGAAGCGATGGTTGCCCGGAGGACCAAATTACAATAACAAGGACAAGGCTCGCAGTTCGGTACGTGGACAGTCGCTTGGCACATCAGCATCATTAAGACCCACAGCATCCACGACTACCATCATTCCTAGCAGTAATGCTGTCGCCGCTCCGGTCCATGCGTCGGAGCTGGTGGAGCTGCACAGAACGGATCTCCAAGCAGGAGCAAGCGCAACAGGTGCACATTCTAAATACGAGTATAAAGAAAGTGTAGACCAAACATAAGCCGAATTATCGTGATTAAACGCAGAGTGAATAAACGATTTTATGCGCGGCGCGAATAAAAAAGTTTAGGACCAGTGCGAGTAGATGTGAATGTAATTGAGTCGGAAACCACCAGTGTCGTACAGGAAAATCGGCCGTCAAGGGTTTGTTCACTGCAGATTGTTGTTTAGTATAGTTGTTTCAAAATTAGTTGATATAGCGAAAGCGGAAAGGGTTGGAATAATGATGGGTATCTATTTTAAATTGCTGTTTATTATAGGTAAAGAACTGCTTCCCAGCTCGTCAGCCGTCAACAGTCGTTTCGCTTCCATGCACCCGTGGAATAACGGAGGACTGAATCGTCGAGGCGGCAAAGTTGTGATATTCGAAATCAGTGATTTCTATCCGCCCTTCAAATCCCAGTGCCAGTTGGCACAGCGTTCCCATATTTTCAAGGAGACGCAACAACTGACCAAACTGCTCCGCGCCGCCGGGGTGGCCGCTCTCCAAGTGGAACAAAATTCCACCACGGACGAGGTAATTTTTGTTCGTTATTCGGTGTCGGTTTTATGCGCACGGCGCAATACGGCGTAAAGCCCCTGAGTTGTTATATATTTCCTTCACGATATGTATTTAACATTGAATGTTAATATTAATGACAGCTGGTTTCGATTTTGAATTTTCACAATTCATTTTTTTTAATTGTACAATATATCTAAACACTTCAGTTGCGGTGCTGCGCGCAATAACAAATGCGATTTAAGCTGCGAATTTCATAACTGCTTTGTCAAAAGTAAAACTGGTACTCTAGAAGAAGTTATTCATTTACGTGGAATAATTATGTGTAATTTATGTGTTTTTACGTGGAATAATTTATTCCGCATTGTAGTTTATGGCCGCATAGCATGTAAATTTTACATAAGTATTTTGTCATATATAATATGAAACTATGATAAAAGAGACGGTACTTGTAACGTTGTCGATCGTTTAGGTGCGGGATGTAATGGCGCGACTGGCCACCGACTCAACCATGGAACACTATAACTGTCTGGTGTGTGTCATCTTGACCCGTGGTGTGTTGACGCTGGTGCGGACGACACCGGATATCGGCGATGATTTCCTGCCGTTTTACGATGGCTACCTGCGCCGTAGCGAACTGATTGATCCGCTGCGAAAATCTCCGTATTGTACCAAAATTCCTGTTTTGTTCATGTTCGAGGGAATGCGGGATGGATGGCTCTCTGATCCGCTGGATGTGAATAACGTGGCCCTGTTGATGCCCACAACACCACGGACCTGACAATTATTAGCGGAAACCTGCAGCTCATACAATTATTGTGATGACATCGCGGTTATTTGGTATTTTCATGCCATAATCTTCGCACACAGTGCCATACATTTACGGCTAGACGGGGTCGTTGTGATGCCGGCGCTGGCCAATGGTTAATTTTTGAATCTATTAAATTTTATATTATAATTCTGTAAAATTTTATGATTTTTCCAATCCGTTCCATTGATGCGAAGGCACTTAATTCTTTGTTTGAACTGTTACTTATGATTGATTTAAATTTGAATTTTTGTGTTCACACATTTTATGTCTTATGCAAACACTGTACGAGATATCTTTTCCATTGACGGTTGTTTGAATAAGATCTGGCTCGGAGATATTGCTAGCGAATATGGATTATGTTGGCACGTTTGGTATATTCTGTAGACAACATGACTGCGTAGAGAAAATTTAGCTGGATGAACTGCAGAGTTGGAACTATATGAATGTTCAAGTAGGAATGTTTGCTCAGTACAGATATCGAGTAGGGCGACATAAATTTTATCCATGGCGGAGTAGTCTCCAAAACATCTTTATCTAAAATTTTAATAAACTGAGTGCAAGAATTTGAAAAGGCGAGCTTTTTTTAACAATGCAGTCGTAGTTTTTACGGGCATGTACAGGATCTGTATGTATCCGCAGTAGGCCGGCTTCTTCGCAGATCCTTCGCCAGTTTGTATACCGGAATGGTGAATCAGGTGAAAGGGCCCTTCACCCGCCGAAGAACGCAAGCTTCACCTCCTTCGCAAGAATGGGCAATGCAAACCTTACCGGTTGCTTTCGGATGAAGCGACGCAAAAGTACCGATGATATCAACAAAAAGGAATTTCCAGTAATACTGCCTGTATCTGGCAGCACTACGGGAAAGGAATCCGCACAAGTAACAACGATTCCGGAAAATACCTCCACTGTGCCAAGGAGTATGACTGGAAGCCTACAAAGAAACGTTTCTCTGAAAGTTCGCACGTTAAGCCGCTCGACATCGTACCGTAAGTTCCCAATACGCTTGTTGAATGCCTAAAACTGAAACAATTAGTACAATTGTCATAGACAGTTACAATAATTGTCTTTACCTTTATTAAGGCCGCAATGCTGCGACAGATTCAGGCTTCGAATTAATTGATGCGTACGAGCAAAATCCGGACCCGTCATTCCGTGGCACAGCAATTCTTTTCGAACTGAAAAACCTTGATCCAGATTTTCGGAGGAAATACGGACTATCTCCTATTCCGAATGCCAGCAAAGACGCCAGTGACCTTTACGATGTTCTAAGGAGTGCCGGTTACAAGGTGGAGCGCAAGATCAACAGCACAGTGAAAGATGCAAGAAATACTGTGAAAGCGATAGCGGAAGACGAATCGAACTCCGACTCGTTTATATGTGTGCTTATAACGCATCTGCTACCATCGAACGATGGGACAAAGAAATATCTTGCCTTTTTTGACGAATATATCTCGTGCCGGAAGCTATTTAATCCACTGCGAAAAAGTCGTCAGCTGTCAGGAATACCAAAAATAATATTTATTAATTCATGCTCTAACATTCAGAAAATGTTATCCATTGAATTTGCTCCTACGATTAACGTGTGCGCATCCCCGTTTCCCGGCATCGATTACGCACCACTCGATCCGGATTTTCTAGTGTTATATGCGGATTGCTCTACAATGTGCAGCATTCAGTATCCCGAACTTGGATCATATTTTGTACAAAAACTGTGCAGCCTTTTACGATACAATTCTCGCCACCAGCAACTGGTACTGGTTGATTTACTAACAAAACTTAACGGGAATTTGCGAACAACTGCACGATTGTCATCATCAGCCACGGAAGCCGATACGAATGTGGAGACGTCGGCTTATGACATGGAACCATTAATAATTATTTCCACTTTAAGGAAGGATTTTCATTTGTTTCCAAGAATGCTAACGAAGACAGTTCCGATTTCTCTAGAAACCTGAGCGGGTTGCTTTTTGTTTCGGAACTGCATAGAATTTCTGCTTCAATTTTATTTCAAATCAAACCTGATGAAATTACTTTTAACCAAGCGGGGTACATCGAACGAAATCAATAAAATTAAATCGAACTTTATCATTTCTCGATGCTGTAAATCGCACAAGCTAGAGCATTATGGTTTCCTGGCAGAAATCAAAAGCAGCATGGGTAGTTCCTTCTCCTCATCCAAAGCGGGATTACGCAAAATCTGTTCCGCTGTTGGACCAAATTCCTCCACATGCACAATAACGAAACCGCTGGCCACCAACAAATTCAGATACGTAGCCATTAAGCGGTGCTGCTTGACCACTCCCTCCGCCAACCAATTGGTTACTCGTCGGCCTTCCGCTTGGTAATTGTTTACAGGCCACGATTTGTTTCCGCTGCGATCCATCAGCCAGCTGGGTTCTTTCGGCGCAGTGTAAATCGGATGCTCGACAGAAAAAACAAAGTTTCCTCCTGGTTTTAATGCGTGGAAAACGACTTTGATCAGTGCACACAAATTCTCGACGTAATGCAGAGTTAGGGAAGAATAGACTAAATCGTACGCCGCTGTTGGAAGCTGTAGTGCCTCGAGATCTTCCTGCTGATAGGTAATTCCCTGGTCGTTGGTTGTCATTTCACGGGCTTTATTGAGCATTTTTGTAGAGATGTCCAGACCGGTAACCTGTTGAGCGCCTTGACGCTGCGCCTCTCGACAGAACCAGCCGTAGCCACATCCCAGATCGACGACATGGAGCCCGTTCATGTTCGGTAACATTCGAGCAAGAGACAGCCATTCCGGTGCACCGTCCAACCCGTTTACGGAACGGTTGAGTTTGGCGTATCCTTCGAAAAATTCTGGATTGTCGTAAATATTTTGCGCCATGGTGGTGCTTGACCGGAACTATCCCTGTCTGTCCCTAGATCGAGTTTAATACAAACAACAGCCAAACAAACGCTGGCTGCGCTGCGAATCAAGAACAACTCATCTGCTGCTCTGTAGCAGTACCTACATACCTACATAATGTACTTGTTACCTATGAATGCCTAAATAAGTAAATATGTGCGCACCCTTGCAATCGGTTCGTGCATTCGTTTCTTGTATCGCGAAGTGAAAGTGCGAAAGATATGTGTGTGTTAAAAACTGGGTATTTTAGCAAACAACCTTTGAACTTTTCAAAGTATGAACAATGCAATTCTAGCAAATAAACTAGAATTCGGACCAAAATCGGCTTTCATCCGGCAAGCAGAACACAGTAACACTGTAATATTACCAAATAGTACAATGGGGAAATGCTTTTAATGGCATTTAAATCAAACCCAGTGCACGGCTACACGCGTTAGTACTTATGTAATTTGATGATTCCGAGTGGAACTCGTCGTGTCATGAATGTTTTGCGTATATAATCATCTGTACTTCTATACGTCAAGCTCTACAAAACTTTGATATTTTTTGTTAATACTGAATAAATCAAATAGGTAGGGACTTAAATGTGAAAGGATGGCGGTACCGGATAGAAGTATTCCTGAAGAAGAAAAGATGCCCGCCCTGGACGACACGACTCTGGATGTGGACCACCTTCAGATCCTCTCAGATTTAGAGTTGCATTCAGAGACAACTGACGGTATGTATTAATAGACAATTCGGGCAAAACTGCGACCGTAGTAGTACCAGTGACAGTTGCGCTATTTTGCTATAGTGCGTCTCTGGCGAAATAACCGCTACTGTCATTGGTATTGCTACTGCCGCAACCTGCCCAAATTGTCTATTAAGTCCTTTGGTCAGTGGTCATAGCGATGAAAAATACCATTTGTATTTGTTGCTTCAAAAAATATCAATAGTTCTATTTTGGCAGAATTTCTGGATTTCGAATGGGATGATAAACACGAAGAACGAGCGGCTTCGCCGGTGCATTCTCCCGGTCGGGTGATAATAATCCAGTTAAAAAACTATTGCGCGATCCTAAAAGATAAATACAGAGTATCTCCGCGGCCAGAAGTGGATGTTGACGGGGCTACTTTGAATAAACTTCTAACGGAGGCCGGTTGCTCTGTACGACTAATCAAAGATCCCGACTGCACCGACGTGTCGGAGCTCCTGGTTGAGGAAGCAAACAATCTCCGCCAAGCCGCACAGCACCCAAAGTTTTTCATGCTGATAGTGCTTTCACAAAGCTTACAGCCTCTGCAAGCTAACCATGAAGTCGTATTACTGTACGACGGATTCTTGACCTTTACCGAAATCATCCAGCCGTTTTACGAGAAAGCAAATCATACGGAGAAAGTGGCGAAAGTCTTTATCTTCCATGTACCCAAGTGTGGAAAACCGGATATGGGGTTGACCATATTGCGAAAGAAGAAACTGTTGGCATCGGATGAGAACTCGGCAAACATAGCTCCACTTATACCAAAGGAAGAGATTGTTCTTGTACATTCCACTATTGGTGGCTGCTTTGCATTTCGCAACCCACAGAGCGGTTCCTATTTCATAAAGCGCTTTAGTCAGTCTCTGGAATTCAATGTGAATCACAAAGAAGTGGATTTCCTTACGCTGCTCACTCGGTATACAATTAATATATATTGCTAGTTTGTGATAATATTTATGAGGGTACTTCCTTTATGAAATTTCTAATTTTAATACGAGCGTATTGGTTTGATGCGAATGTTATTATTCATACTACAGATTCTTGCGGAGATCCATTGATTGCTTGCTTTTCATTTACGTAGGTTGAATGGACAAATTGCAAATTATAATCCGCAGCCGTTGCTCCATGATAACTCACCGGATGGAAACGGCACTGTAAGTTCTGCACTAATGGAATTTAAAAGAAAACCTACGGTTCCTTTATTCTCGACTCTGAGAAAAAAGCTGTACCTCTTTAAATAAGTAAAAACTAGGCACAAGGCGCTTTTAATACCGGGCGCATGCCGCGTATTGCCGCAGTGCCTTTGCAGATACGATTCTCTTAGGCTTAAAATGCCTACTCTATGCCTAAAATTACAATTGTACAACAATTTCTAGACAACATAATAAAGAATAATCATTATAAAACGTCGAGTACACAATGGTTATTATACATATTGACAGTACTTAAAATGCAACACGTATCGTCGATAAGTTATCGATGTATTGTAGGAATTTGTAGCTGTGCAGTGTGCACAAAGACAGTACCTAGCATGAGTACAGTGTAGTTGTCCAAATCTACTTACCAGTTAAAAATTACACCATCATTCATCAGTTTTCCGAATCATTTGGCAGACATAAATACAAAAGGAGACATAAATACAAACAGACATAAATACAAAACCAATAGTTTAGAAAAGGAGTATCACAGTTCACACATAACTATAAGTACTATTTTGCCAAGAGGCGTCTCGTCAGAACGTTCCTGTGCCACTGCCGCTCCGGATTGCGTAGATGTGGCGGCGAAATACCTGTGATAGGGTCAACACTTCATATTATAGAAATTAGAATAAGTTTTCATTATTTGCCTTTTCAAAAATATATTTTGATAAATTGCAATGCATTGAAATTACTAATATTGTTTTTAGTAATGGAGATGTTTCTGATGCAGGCAATTGACAAGAGATCTCCCAGTTACCAACAAAGCACGAGAAAATCTGTAAAGTATTGTAAGTAGTTACTTACCATTAATTATTGTGTACTGTACTAAAATACGAGCTACATACAAAGCTATCGCGTAAGTACTAACCTGCGCGCTTATTGTTTATCGCTGTTTATTGCTTATCACTGTTTTATTTAAGTACACGGTTTTGTTAGACAGTACAAATACAGTATTATATCTACTGTAAAAATTTCTGTTGTACGAGTACGATCCCACCTATGGACGACAGGAAGTAAAAAGGTAAGAGTGTTTCCAAGGAATTGAGGATGCAGCGGCTGCATCTGTGGGTGTAGGAAGGCGCAAGCATAATTTACTGCCAGATCACGCATTGTTCGGTACGTAAGATCTTATACGGTTTTAGGAATGTATTGGCTAATTTGTTTGTCCCTGATTTATTTTTTATGTGTCACAACAAAGGAAACGAACAGGAATAGCAATAAATTTTATATTAGAAATCATTATTAACTGATATTTTCTTGCAGCTTATCGCATTAACACATCATTCTTGTGCCGTGTGCGCCTTATACAAACGTGTTTTTAGGTGCCTCCTGTTGTTAATACACTATTGTTTACAGTGAAATACCGATTTATTTATTGTTAGTTCCCAAAAGAAGTACTGTACATTGGCGATCATGATGCAGCGGGTGTCGCCCGTGCAGAAAAATTTCGGATTAGCAGACGATGAGCTAATTCGCCACTTGATGTTGCAGTCTGGTGTGTACAAGCCGTTATCCCGCGACGATGTACGGCTTGATACGGATAATCTTGACAGTTCCCAGGTTGACAATCAAACAGTTACGGACAACCAAACAAATCCTGAATTCCACATTAATCAACAGTTCAAGGAAGCACTCTCGCTATATGAAAGTAGTAAGTTTTCGATAGTTTGTTTGTTTGTTTAATGGGGGTTTAATGTCTGCGACGATCAGATGTAACCTGGGCAAGGTCGTAGACTACTCATAACAGAAAAAGCTTACGCAGTAGCGAAAGCCTTGCGCAAAGAAAAACCGTAAAAATAAACAAATGTTTATAGTAAACAGTAATGATCCTTATGAATGAAATCCTTTTTGTAGTCTGACACTCTGACATGCATATGGCAAACAAGGGTCACAGAATTTACGCCCATGCAATACACTTTTACAGAGATTAGCTGCCTTATACTGCACAATATTCTGTGATGAAAAAACGTTTGTTTGTCAGAAAAGTAAAATGTTATATAACAATGATATCATGAATTTAAACCGCGTACCAGTTTTAACACTTACTCGTAATTTTCCAGAAGATTTTGAGAACGCCTATCATCTGTTTGAGGAACTGGCCGATAAAGGGCTTATTCCAGGCCTGTATTATCAGGCAATTATGATTTATGACGGAAAAGGTGCAGAGGAAAATGCCGCAGTTGGCTTTGCATTAATGCAAAAGGTTTACGAAATGTCTTTAATCAGTCCCGTGGACGTTGAGTTTCGACATTTGGCTTGCTACCATTTGGGAAACGCGTGTGCACAAGGTTATGGAACAAGCAGAAGCGAAGAGCTGGCGGTGTCATGGTGGCAGAGAGCAGCAAATGAAATACTCTTTGATCCACACAAAAATGTTGGTAAAAGAAATAAACTTACTTCTGTGGTTATAAAAATGTATGTCATTTTGTTAAGAACTTAAGAATGCCGCAACAAGAGTTTTAGCCGTTTGGCATAGCAGTATCTGCATCTGTATTTTTAATCTTTAGTTTTGACAGTTCTCCGGTATGATAAATGTATAAATATTAATTGAATAACTTCAAATATTAATTAACAAAGAGTTATCACTGATATGCAAAGCTACTCACTAAAATTAATGTCTTCAGAGAAGCAAGTGGTGACCGATGCTGGAGTACTTTGTCAGACCGCAATGGGATCCTATTACAGCCGGTGCAGTAAGCCGGAAGGAGCAGATTACACGAAAGCCTTTTACTGGCACTCAGAAGCTGCTCGAAACGGCAACATCAGTTCAGTAGCGCAGATGGGAATGTTTTATCTGTATGGACTGGGCTGTCAGAAAAGCTCCGCTTTGGCCCACGAACACCTTCTTCTGGCGGGGACGCGCAACAACATCTGCGCTATAGGTCACATTGCTCTGTATTATTTGGAAAACAACATGGCGGAGTCGGCATACTCATGGGCCGTCCGGGCGGCCGATATTGTAGGCAATCTTAAAGGCTTAGATGCGGGAAAGGTGGATACAATTATCAGACAGGTAACATCATCCAGTGCCAACCGTGGAGACGAGGAGGATACGAAAAGGTCACTAGCCATGTCGCTGTTTATTTTGGGTTATTTGTACGAGACTGGAAGAGATTGTGTTGCCAGAGGAAGATACACAGCAGCAGATTACTACAGTGCTGCGAGTAAAATTGATTTGGACGCAGTTTTGTTTCTGGGAAACCGATTGAAACTTGGAAGATCGGCTTGAAAGTCTTTTAAAAAAGGTTTTCGTCTGCATGCAAGTCAGAATATTTACGTTGCAAAAAATATTGTACATCTCTGAAGCTTTCATGAACTGCTAAAAAACTGATGGCACGTATGAGTAATTTGACAGTTGCTGTTTTCATAATTTAGCTAGCATGGGAAAATCATTGTTTTACAGTTCAACTATGCGTTTTTTAGTACACGAAACAACAACGTTAACAGTACCTCGGAGTCTCGGACATATGTGTTACTCACTTGTCGCATCATTCTTATGCACCTGTGGTAAACGATGGCAAAATAGAATTTACATCAATGCATGTACAGAGTATACCGTCCCCCCAAACTATAAGAAGAATCGATCAAGGACAAAGTAAGCACAACTTTTTGCGTTCTATTGGTCCAACCACTATAAGGAATATAAATCCAATAGAGAAGTATATGTTGACCAAAAATGAACTAATGGCATCCCATGGTATCAAGAACGACATGGTTAAATTAAATGTACAGAACGGTGGATGGCTGGCAATTTCCAAAAACGGCATAATCATGGTAAGGCTCTGTGTGATGAGGTAGAACAAAGAGCTGACAAAGAGCATTCGGGTTTTGGAAATTTCTGCACAGGATCGCGGACAGCGCGTGACCATCCATGACTTGTTTGCACCATACGTCGTATGTACGCTGGACGTTGGGCTAAGCGATAAGGCTTTTGAATTTTGTATGGAGCTATTCCCGGCATCGGAAATGTCGAGACCGGAAGTCGAATCGGTTGACCAGCGCCGCTCGCGTTGTTTTAATGCATACAACAGCACGGTATTACACATGAATATCAGGATATACACAATGATCCCAAAAAGAGCCTGTAATTAAAACAAATGAGCCATTTTGTAATGGTTACCATGCCGTTAATTATACCGTATTACCATTATTGTACAATAACAGCTAAATTATAGTTTTAGACGAATGTTTTTGTTGTAGAATCTATATGTTTTAGGTGAAGTATAATTATAAGACAACAACGACAGATATCAGTATTTAACCGAAATATTGACCGCTTTGTGTTATTCAGTTATGACCTTTCCTATAAATCGGCTTCAGTTGGAAGTAACAGTCCAACTGTTGGACATCGTTTCTTACAATTACTTTATGCAGTTATGCTGGGCCTATAGAAGTACTGTCTAACCGACAGAAATGCCATATTTATTTATTTGATCATAAAATTACACAATATTTACCTCCCACCATACGTCGACTTCTTTCCATCTGGATAGATAGTCCGGCATATTTCTCACATAACTATTGACGGTGAAATCAAAATTTTGTTGGTTCCAGTAATAAGTAACCGGGAGTAAAAGCGCATTGAGAGCCGCGGCTGCAAATGCTAATGTAATGGCCAATGCTCCAAAACCGCGCTGCCAGTTGGCGAAATGATAAAGCGGGAAGACGATTGCGACACACCGATCAAAACAGAACATCATCAGTATCCTAAAGCCAATTAATAAAAGGTGAACATAGATAAAATTTAGAATTAATAAATCTAATTCACAAATTTTTTTAAATGTTAGACGCACCATTGCGATGCCAAATACAGCACTTCTGATAGATAGAACCATACTCCGCCGGTTGGAATAAAGAAACTGTTGTAAACACTGGTGTCATCACTTGGATCCGGTTCCCATGTTTTGCTTCCAATAAGTACAATAAGGTTATTCCATCTTCGAAACAAGCACCATTAGAAAATCGTTGTGAAATAAACTGAAGTCACAATAGAATACGTTTTATTTAACAACGAGAATTTTAAGCGTCATATATTTTCACCCCTGTAGCCAGTATTTTAACACCCCTGTAGTATTATTACTGTTGCATGCAGTTATGTTTTTAAATGCGTAAACTTACAAGTACAAGAGGTTAATGCAGTAAAGGCACAATAAAAATGTGCGCTGGGAGCCTCGTTTACATCGGTAGGCAATAAGAATGCCAACAATATTCCCCACGGTGCCAATGGCTAGCAGTATCGGAAAGGTTATTTTGGTAATCCATTCCCAGCCTCCGTAGTTGTTTGTGAAAAACAGTTGTAAGCTGCGATTGCAGCCATCCATCGGTGTGCCTCCCGGTGTAAGCAGTGTCCACGTAGAGCCATTTCTCGTTTCGTTTTCCATTTTCCGATACCAAAACTAATGATCATAGGCGAATTACCGAAAACAATTTTCAGATGAGCACAATTTTTGTAGCTGCCGTGTACAGATCGCCCACAAGCCGTATATACTGGTAATCATTTCCTGTCCCAATTAATGATGAAATAAAATCAGCAATAATTAATAAGCGCCTCAGCTGATAATCACGTTACACCGGAATCAGAAGCGGAGCATATTATACACTGATATACTTAAGTTTAGTTACAATACATACAAACATGTAGATACATATACCGTAGATAAAAAGATTGTTCCTGTGCCGCATAGGAAATGTTTATAGGGCGTAGTAAAATGCGATATAATTATGGTGTCCTTCGTCCATCAGCAAACGCAAGATTAACATAGACAGATTCACATTTGCTACTCGACTTACAATGCAAAACGCAAACCGCCATAAGGCTATTTAATATTATCAAAAACTTATTAAGTTTCGCCACTTAGCTAACTTTGACAAAACTCAGGACTAATGAAGTTTCGGCAGCACGCTTCTCTCCATGGAAGAATTAATTATGCGATATAAATAAACGGAGCGACATTATTACAAACCCCTCAGTAAAGCGATACATGTTTAGCTTGTTTACCGATTCGTTTATTTACACTCGCAGCTCTCTTATACGCGGAAACCAAGATTTAGCAGTTGTAAAACTGCAATTTTGCTGATACGACAGATGCAGCCATAGTAAAACCGTCACAATACCGATCGTACTCTGACAAAAACACTTCGGTTTCCGCAAGTTCCGGCAATATGAGCTACACCTTTAACACTGAGCATCCACACGCACGGTTGTTCACTCGAATAATGTTTTAATAAGTAAACATGTGCCAATGCAAACAAATGCCGCAGTAATATTACTTCATTAAATGCAGCCGTACGGGCATCTGCGCCCATAAAAAACGAAATAACAGAGCAACAACGCAAAAATTTTCGGGCATGCGAGTTGAGAAACAAAGAATATGAAAGAAAACACCACACACAAAAATTCTGGGAAAACTCAACACCAAAAATAACAACTTCAACCATAAAAATGCACAAAACGCTCACCATTAGAAAACCGGTGTGAAATAAAATGAAAGAACCGTTTTCAAATTCGAAAGGCATATGGAATCATCAGTTATCTCGGAGCGGTCGCCGGTCACCCACTGCATCTGGTCCCCGTTGACTGGTGCTTGCAAAGCGATTAGCGTTCGCTTTCTGAGCGGCCACAGCCCGGCGAGCAAAGCTTTTCTGCTGCTTATAATCTTCCAGAAACGTCGGGTTTTTCAGGGCAGCTTCAGCTGCAGCTTCTTCGGCTAGTTTCGTATTTGATGCTGTAGCTGTAGCCAATCTTTCTCCATTGAAATATACAGCCACCTCATATTGGCGATTATTACTCGGTCCAACTTTGTTTATCACTCTGAAAAACGAGAATACTGTACACGTGACCGTGCCACCAATAATGTCAGCAAAACGGATGCAACAACTAGAAGTTCTATCATATTACGTGTTGAAAAGCCACAGTAGATTTTTTTCTTAGCATTAATGTCAGAAAAAGTAAAAGAATAAGATGAAAGCTGCAGGCCTGCTTGCATGACCATTACCGGATCTTGCTAAATAATATGATTCTAGTTAATTCGTATAAATAAACCGAACCGATTAGTAACATTAACCACAATTTTAAAGTTATGAATACACATACCAGCTGCGAATATGCATCTTATTAGGAAACATTTAATAAAAACTGAAACCTACTTGTATTCCGGCAATTTAGGTGCACTGCCGTCCACCGATCGTAACGTTAGGCAACACTGCTGCAATCGCGATTTTGGATCGCTCCATGACTGGTTCGATATGAAATCCGTCAATTTCGGAAAAAACACCACTTTGCAGAACGCACTGCATACTGTAAGACCTTTGTCCAAATACAATGCACCCAAATATGCTAAAACATGGCAACAATTTTAAGCGAATTACTCGTATCAAAAATTAATATTATTGGCTTCCAGATGAATTACCTTCGACCAAATCGGCTTTGTCTTTCATTTTGATGTCGGAAAAACCAATCCCTTTCGAGCTCTGATCGCGAATCTGAAATCTGGCCATGTCCAGCTCGTCGCACACGAAAGCCTGGGTTTTATTACTGACAAGAGAACTGCGCAGCAGTGACAAATGACCTTCATGGTGCATGGGAAAGTGTTTGAATAAATAATCTGATACTATCAACTGCAATACGGTGTCACCGAGGAATTCCAGGCGCTGATTGTTTCCACTAAAAGAAAAAAACCATAACACTGCAGTACAATTACCTGGCGCTTTCAAATCGCATTCTTACATTGTTATATCGTTATCGTGGATTTGGCGCGAAGAGAAAGCATTCGCCAATAAGCGGATATGCGTAAACGGAATTCCCGTCAGTTCTTCAAACTTAACACAGCGCTGCAGCAATTCGTGCTGGGGAATGAGATGACGGTCTCCATTTGGATATGCACTCTATGGATTAAAACGAAGAGCTTTTAGCAGAATTTCGTCTTCTTTGCTATAAGGCGGGTAACGTCACATGTATAAGGAAAGAAATTCGTTCACACTTTCAGTTTCTTACAAGTACTATCAGGATTACTCTTACCATGCTAACATGCGACGGCGGTAACATCCACACTTTGGCCAGATGGTCATCTTCGTTGAAGAGGCGTACTTTTAGCGACCGTCCAAAAAATTCATCCACATATCGAATACCCCCGTCCAGATAGATGGCTCCGCATACCGCCTCAAAGCAATTCGCAGCCGCATGCTTATCCGTTATACGCTTCCTGGAACTCAGTTCTCTCCCATGGGAAATCAGAAGATAATGACTAAGACTGTACGTTTCTCCCAGCACAGCCAGGTGGCTGTTCTGTACTAATGTCGCCCGAAATGTGGCCAATCCACCTTCCTGAATGTCTTGGAAGATTAAGAATAACCTCAACGACGTCAAAAACTCCAGAACAGCATCTCCTAAGAATTCCAGGCGTTCGTAATTTTTTATCGGGGAAGCCATTTCATCTTCCACTCCCAGCTGAGCCATCGTATGGATTAAAGTTTTAATGCCAGATTTAGGAATTTGTCCGGCTTGGCCATACGCGGCTTTTCGGAATCCCAGATTTGACAAGACATTTCGTATGTGGTCAGCGTTCGTGCCGATATTTAACTGGTACGACGGGTGGGTCAGTGCTAATTCCAACAGATTCCGGTCGCTAAATTTATACTGCAACTTCTCTTCCAAAATATCCAGAGAAATATGATAGCGAAAATGAAAAGCCACCCACGGAATCAACGTTCCATACTGAAACGACAGTTACGGCGCTAATTATTTAGGGACAACTTGCAGAAAATGAAATTCATAGATCACAGCACAAAACTCCACAAAATGAAATTCATAGGTTACCTGAGCGATATCCGACTTCAATCCCGTATTATATATTCCGCGTGAGCTAACTACAACGGTTACTTCTCTCTTCAATTTCGAATTTCTACTCAAATCATCCACCAATTTCTGCTGATTGTGCAAACGTATCTTATCTTCCGCCGTGATCTGGCTTTTGGGTCTGGTTTCCAATACATTACGGATTTGGTCCAATTTCTTTTGTTCCCTGTAAGTTCGTGGATCAGCGGCACTAACCGACCGCGTAGCAAAATGCACCAATGCCGGATAATGCTTATCCCTATCCCGACGGGAAACATCACTAGCATCATCATCAATCTGGTCAATGCGGAAAGCAGCAGGCCTTCTGCCAGGCACAGCTACAAGGCCACCGCGCAAGGCCCCGACCTGTTCATGGAAGGCGAGATCCGGTGCGCACTTGAGCAATTCAATATCACTATCCGAAAAAAGCAAATGAAATGCACTGAGAATGTGGTAGAGAACCGAACTCATTGGAGCTATTTCCATCAAATCGTCGGTCTGCCGACCAAAGACTGGATAAAAGTGGAAAACATCACAGATATCATTATCAGCGACAAAATTTTCCGCCTTAAGATGCCAGTCGACTAACTCCATCAATTCGCTGAACATGTAACGCTTGAATATATTCAGATCTTCAACAACAAAGGTTCCGGGCGTCGGCATTTCCTCCAGACGCACGACGTACTCGACATTAAACCGGGTGGTCACAGCCCGTGGAAACTAAAACCATATTGAATTTAATCGCTTCTCGCCTTTCATTATCTTACATTTTAAAACGTACATAACAAATCTTACGCCTACTCCTCACGCCAACAACATACCTTACTGAGCTTTTGATGCGAAAATATGCAAAATCCAGCAAAGGCGAACTCCCGACCAGCGTGTCGCACCTTAGTGGAATCCGGCGAGACAAAGTTGATCACGGGATCCAAGACCATACGGTAGCAAAACAAATCTTGAGCATTATTACTCAGTGGCTTGCACTGAAATTTATGTTCTTCTTCGCCAACAAGATGACCATGCTTAATACCATATCCCCGCAAAGCATGTGAGCATCTGCAAGCTTTTCCGTCGTTCAGCTAAAAATTAAAGAAATTTAAAAAAAATTTTTAACTGCATTCGCTTTTCGCAAAAATTTTCGTTTTTCGCAAAAATTATCCACTTTTTCCCGAACATCTGTGAAAATGTACAAATGGATGTTTACCCGATTATGGGCGTTAAACATCAGATCGGGATTTATCACATTTGGATCCACTTTGCGATTTTTACCACTATCTGTTGCACGCAGCTTTTTCTCCCCGCTAAACTGTCCTGAGTTTCTCACTTCATTTTCGCTATCAGATTCTTCCGACTCATCATCACACTTTTTATCTATAATTCAAAACTGTGGATGAAATATCCGCACAAATGGGCCGACATAAGCGCCCCATTTTCAGCAATTCAGATTATTAATTGTTGTCTCACTTTTTTTATTGGCCTCTTCGAATATACCAAAAATTCGTTTTCGAAACGCATCATGTAAAGCTTCCAGACGTGAAGTTGCTACCACAATATTTCCACCAGCTCGATAAAACTCTCTCGCTTCCAGAAAACAGTACCGCTTTGGTTCCGGACTGGACAAGGTAAGATCGGGAATGTCAGATGGAATATTTCTTCTCAAGCTATTTCGAGATTGATCACAACTGGTTTCTGGTCCTAATCAAAGGATTACAATGTCATCAGCCAGAAAACTACAACTTCGCCACTGCAAAAACCTACCGTGAGAATTGCGCCGTCCGTCATAGGCAGCAACACTTTTTCTGATAATACCACGAAAATCACTCTTGGACTCTACAATATGAAAGGTCAAAATTTTCACCATTCACACTAATAAACATCGACATTACCCTGGACAAAATGGCTGTCTGATCCTCGACCAACCCTATCCACCGATACTGAGTCGAATCGAGTACGGCGACCACTTCCGCTTTCCACTCCTGAATTAAAAATCGGTTCAAATATACAATGATGCCACCCTCATACGGCATTCTGCTCTCCATGCTATTGTCCCATTTTTTTCCAGCTTTTCTAATGCACCTTACCATTGGTCCTAGAGAAATACGTATTTCTCTGATTATTCCGTGCATTACTTGCGTTTGGAAGAGAATCGTTCTTAGTTGCTTCTGAACCGGTCTTCCGGCCCGGAGGATTCAGCTCACTTTTCTGGATACCGGCATTACGCAATCCGTCACAATTCGTTATACTCTGCGGGGAAATTGGACGCTTCGTTCCACGTTTTTCGTTGGTATTCTGGTACTGTTGGCAGTAATCTCGAGCTGGATTCGTACGTCCATTAAATAATTCCGAATTGCTGGATTTTTCAACTCCACCGGCCCTGGGCACGGATCCGATGTGGGTAGAGTTACCAGATCGATAACCATTGGGTATCCCCACAGGCGGCGGGGGCGCTGTGGGCCGCGGAAAAGGTGGCGGCGGCGGCTGAGGAGGCCTTTCTGCCGGAAGAGGAGGAAGTGGGCGCGTAAAAGGGAATGGGCATTGTTTCGCTGGTTGGCCCAACGCGACAGAAGTCACGGAGGATGCTGGTAAAGGCCCCCGTCCACTAAACCCATAAACAAAACAAACAATTTACATCATTTTCAGTTACTTGATTTTTTAATGATCTCGTTTGACTAAGAATAGGCTAACTTCGATTATCCCACACAAAAAATTAAACAGCGCAATTGTAATCGGCAAGTCTTCTGGAAGGAATTCTTGATCTTCCAATTCCAACCTCATACCAAAAAATACGGTACGCAAAAAAGGCCATACATCCATGTCTACTCGTAGTAATTAGTGATTACCATTTACCCATGATTAGATAATTCTAGTTATATCCATGGTGGGGAAATTTTTTAACCAGGAATGACATGTCGCTTATCAATTATTAAATTCGAAGCTACGCCAGGATGTGTAACAATAAAACAATAAGCAGATATGTACGTATATGCTTTTGGTATAAAATATGTACTGAAACAAACAACAAGACTGGCTACATAAATAAAATTCTGAATTTTTTCGTAGATTCTAGAATTCAGCCTACAACAACACACTAAATCATAATGCAAGACACAAAAATTACCTAACCACAAGTCCATAGAAGTATGTACAGTATGTGTAATGATAGTATCCATACAAGTACCTGAATTTGTCCATGAAGGTTCACAAACTCATCTGTGTTCAACATCCATAAAACAACTCCCGCTCTCTTTGCACATCTCCAGCTTAAACCACATCAGTTAAGCCACTTCATCGTAATTATGATTTGTCCTGTAATATTACTCAATCACAACGACATAGCGTAAACCTGCCCGGAAGCCAGACAGCATCGTCATCACCTATTTTACCGGCTAGAGTAGAGACAGAATGCTGACAGTAAAATCATACGAGCCAGTTCAGATACAAACAGACATTAGGCAGCTCAGTCACCGCTCACAAAATAACAAGGGAAGACGGCAGAAAACAGAAGATACTGTAACACACATAAAAACAGATGCGACCAATTTAAACAAAGGGTCGATGCAGATTGCAGATTACCGTCAACTGTATCGATGCTTTTGTTTAAATCGTCTACTGTTGACGCATCGCATAAACTCATGAAACCAGATACGTTATGGGCCTAACTTATGGCTGATATCATAGTCACAGAAGCATAAAGAATGCCGCGAAACATTCATGATTAATTAAAACGGGCATCGAACTAACTTACCTTTGCTGTCCGGAAGGAACTCGATTTACACTTTACGTCCCTTAATTGCCTCAAACGGAGCCGACAATAGAACCTCGTCAACGTACCAGACGTGAAGCCCGCACTCAATCCGCCATTGATTAGGCTATAATCAGCACCGTTCAAGTTGCGATTTAGGGCCTGGCTTCCAGGGAATTCAATGCGACACAAAACTTGCAACGTTCCACTACTCACAGCTAGCGCAGAACCAAAAAAAAACCGAATTCGCAACTGCGTCAGCGCAACAGTATTCTCACAGTTGCGTAATTACGCTGGCGAATAGTTCCACAAAGATATAAGTACCATTTCAGTTGTAGGTTCACCGAACATTATTTAACGAATGACCATTAATTCCGTAATTACCATTCAACCAGTACGAGTATTCATGGCGGCGGAGATCTATCAAAACGGCACGAAAAATATGAGTATTTGTAAATTTGTTATTACAATATTACTTGTTAATTTGTAACAAACGTTTCTTCCAACTTTCGAAATTTTAGTTTTTCGATTAGATTAGAGCCAGTTCGACGTCGATACGCCGACATGCCGTACGAATACCAGCCTACGCATTCGTCGTAGACCGTAGCCGCCGTACGCAGGCCGAATGTAAGCAGGCATGAAGTTTATAGCGAGCACCCGCCAGCGGGTGTTGTATGTTTTGCACGACGCACGCGTAGCTCAAAGTCGCAGTCGTAACAAAAGATTCAAAACAACGACAGAATACAGCTGGATATTTTGCACCTGTTTTAAGTGTTTTTGGAGTTTACTGTTTACAAACTTTAATACGAGGATTGTTCTTCGCAAATGGAGCATGTACATATATATAAAAATACATTGTTCTTATGGCTTTTTTCTAGTTTTTTTGTAACTTTACTTTCAACTAAGCACGTGTAAGTGGGAGCATCATGTCTGGAAGTGCGAAGTTTTCTGTGCGGATAGTCACCGCTGATTCCTATATGACCAAGCCAACACCAGGTTTGGATCCCGTCTGTTCTGATTTTGGACTTCCCATCGCTCGTGTTCCTGTTGTGCGAATTTTCGGTTCTACGCCGGCAGGTAAAGAGTTTTGCAGCAAAGAGAATAGAGAATTTTGCAGCATCAATGAAATACATTATCGCACACATGGACGAAAACTGGACTGTAAATTACTTACAAACATCTGTATTATGTTATCGAATTTTTTTATTTTTGTTTTATTTTGTTATTGAAGTAAGCACATATTTGGTAGCGTACTGTTCCTTCGCAGGTCAGACCGTTTGCTTACACGTACACCGAGTGTTTCCTTATTTCTACGTTCCTTACGATGGGGTGTCGCCGGCCGAAGACTATCTGAGATTGTTCGCAACCAGTTTGGATCGCGCCTTAAACATGTACGCTGGTGATGCACAGGACGATGGTGACGAGCCGCTGTTTGATGCTACCTCGTCAAAAACAGCTGATAAGGAACAACAGCATGTATATAAAATTTCCATCGTTAAGGGGATGTAAGTAGAATTTATTCATTTATTATCACAGATTTACGAAGTTCAGCTTGGAACTCTTTTTGTAGACCTTTCTACGGATTTTACCAAGACGAAGTGATGTTTTTGAAAATATATTTTTATTCCGCGCAAAGCATAAAACGGTGAGACGCAGCAATATGGAACATTCGACTGGTTTTATGTCGTCGCTTCTCTGAGACAGTTGCATTTTATTTTACTGTGATGCAATACAGGTTTCCTTTTTCCATTTAAAACGATTTTGTTGCAGTGCGGTCAAACTGTTGATGAATGGAGCAGTTTTGCGAAAGAAATTCCAGCCGTACGAATCGCACATCCCACACCTTCTTCAAGTAAGCCGATGATGCATTTTGGTTGATGTTTTCCCTTACGTTGTTGATCGATATGGTTGACAAAAAATTCTCTAGTTTTTTATGGATTACAACTTGCAAGGCATGAATTATATAAATGCTTCGGCCTGGGAACTGCGAGCTGTCAATCCTGAAGGTACGGTACTGTGAAACTAAATGTAATTTGCTTTGGTTAGCGCATCTTTTAGTTTTACAGACATGCTGTCACATACATACTTAACATGGTAAGCTTTGGTGTTTCGCAGATTTTTGTTCCAAAAGAGTTGAATACCGTGACGATATGGTTTCTCTTACTCGAGCATCGCAAAACCTAACAAACGCCACGACTTACCACCAACCAAATACGCAAATTTTTGCTAACGTTGGAGTGAGGTTTGTAATAATTAGTACTTCCGACTGGCTGTAGTCTGGAATATTTTTCTGTTTCAATATCATGGGTAATAAAAAACGTAACTGCGCTGCAGCACGAATCGATTGAAACGAATTAGTTCTTGTGAACTGGAAGTTGACGTGGTCTCTGATCACATATTGAATCGCGAAGAAATCGAGATAAAAATCGGCACGAATCCGGGATTGGCGGTTATTTGGCGGGATGAGAATGCGAGGCGAGTCAGTCGAGGACTACAAGCGGTCAACAACTTACCCCCGTCACAAGGCTGGTACTTCTAATAATTTTGTTTGTAAAATTTCTGGTGCACATGGTCTGTTTTAATGCCTGTATCTATGCTTGTTTAAGGAGCAGTGTTGTAGCCTTTCAGTTTTCAGCTACTCAGGTATAAATAGCCTCTTAGTTTGTTAAGAACAGTTTTCCGTTTTTACTCTTATTTACGTAGCAAGCAAGCTGTCATTAATAATATTTCTTGCAGACCGTTACGATACTGAGCCGGCCAAATCGGAAATATTTTTCCGTAGCAGGTTGCGGGAGAAACTGAATGCCTTTTATTCTTCCGAAAGGTATACGTCGCTCTTTTTGGTGCGTAGTGCGCGAAATATATTTGAGGAGTTTTTCTACTAGTGTTGCGAGACATGGCCAACCGGTGACCGGAGTAGGACACTTCACGCGCGGAAGGTCTTCCATGGACGACAGCCTGCTGGTCGGCGTGGCTACAGCCTCAACGGAAAACGCTCTTCAGCTTGTTAACAGTTCATTTTACCTTGACCGGCACACGCTTGCCGATGCAAGTACGTAGAGTTTTATTGAAGTTTTGGAAACATTTCAGAAATGCAATTTAATGCAGTGGCTGAATTACTGGGCATTATGATTTTCGTTTCTGTAATTGCAGAACCTTCGCAAAATTCCGATTCGGTGGTAGATGCTGAGCAGATTCAGCAACTGCAGTATGACGAGTCTCACGATGGTATGCAGTTCTAAATTTTCGAATACAAGTAGACTTTAAACTGAAAATCTGCTGTTATGCGAGTTTTCAGATGATTTGGCAAATATTTTGTACGATTTGGCAGCAATGGTGGAAGAAGAGAGAATAGAAGGTTCCGAAAACGGAAATCCACTAAACATTCTCCAGGCCGATGATGAAGAAAGTGGGAAGATGCAGGAAACTATTATTTTTGATTTCGATTCCATGTACGAGCGTTTAATTGCTTTTCAAATAAGAGATTTCGGATATTATAGCGTTATTTCTGATAAAATTCTACCATTATCTGTATACCCCCGTACAGCGTCATGAACCAGCAAAAGTATGCGCAGACGAGCTATTTCACCATTTGCAGATCTGATTCACCGGAAGAATCTGGAAATACTGAAACACCAGGCGATGCGGTTAATACCCCAGACATCCTGCCGATTGATGAAGCTACCAATGATGTCAGCGGCACGCAGCACAGACATTCCCCCGTACTGTTTGAAGAACCAACAGAAGAAAATTCTGCTACTTTTAGCCAACCTACCAAAACATCGGAACTGAAGGAACATGCCCAAGCCCTTCAACCATTACCCGATGACTGGGACGGGGATGTGATTTTAACTCCTGCTCTGGGGTTTCCAAGCAGAAGTGAGATAGAGATGACCGCAAACCGCCACAGTCTACAAACGAAATGGTCCATGTACTATTCTGCTTTGAAAGAGCTGGGAGCTGACATAGCACCGTAAGCCGAATTCTGCGCTGACAATCGATTGTTATGAATTTTGAAAAAATTTTGTAATTACAGAGAAAAAGGCGAAATTGTAGTGAACCGACCAACTGGTATTAAACAAGTAAGGATTTAGGACAAATCAGCTGTTCTTTGAACGTGTAGTATGAAAGTACAGTCCATAGTTGTTTGTATGATCGTGTCAGTTGACTGAATTGAGGTTTGGACAGAGGAACTCGAGGAAGTATACAAAAATGGAATATTCGCAGAACGGTCTATACGGTACTTTTTAACATTTTATCTTGTCAGGTTATCGTCATCTTATTTTACAGGTACGGGAAGTGGTCGAATATGCAGGCTTCGGAATGCAGTTCAAATCTTCAGCATTGTTTGCAGCAGGCATTCGATTCGTCAAAGAATTACAGTTAGAAAAGCAGCGAAAACTGAAGCTTATTGCAGAAGAGAGATTTTGGCAGCCGAAGCGTGTTGATGGTCGTAAAGTTGTTTTGACACCTGCCATTGGTTTTCCAAATTTGTCCCATATTACAAGAATGTTGGATCGCACTGGAAAGAATAAACTGAAAAGCGAAAACTCGTCCACCAGTTTGAGTTTGTTTGCTACTGGGCATGACGACGATGCAGTAGCATCATCGGGCGAGTCAACTCGTTCGGCCCAAAAAGCTCGTAGTAACCATCGGTTTGAGGTAAACTTGGTTTTAACAGTGTTGATTTCGAATGAAAAGCAGGAAAAATCTTGAAAAACTTCCAGAATAACTCTAAAATTTACGCATTTCTTGTAGGAGCTGGTCGGACGAAATTTAGGGACGCCTTTAGCGATCGCAGAAGAGGAAGAGCTACCTGGGGACGATACCGCTGCAGTGTTACATGAGGTAACTGGTAAACCCCTATAATTGTGGGTGTTAAATTCCGACATACGGTTCATTTCTGCTGTGTTCCTGCGCATGTTTAGCGCAGTTTATTGATGTTTTTGGGAAAAAACACACTTACAGTAATCATACTTCAGTAACAGTGGTAGATGACATTGTTTTATGGCTGAAATCTTCACAAAGAACTGGAATAGGGAAAAAATTTACTTAAAGCTGGAAAAGTTTGTTAAAGCTGGAAAAGTGATGATACGATTGCGTTATGAGCGACCTGATTATTCTTACCAATAGTCGGAAAACCTTTTACTTCTGAGCCTGGAACTGCATGCTGATGCGGCTAAAGATCGTTGCTGTGATCCGCTGCGGGATCCGGTCCGGTTTGTTGTATGCACGCTGATGACGGACACTGGGGATGGAAAAGCTAATGATGTGGTTGTTTGCATCTGTACGGACTCTGTGTCAACAGTCACTGCACGTGAAAGAAACACGAAGCGTTTTGTATCTTGGATATCGCGGCGGAAATACTTCAAAGATCTTCAGTTGTGGTTCGTAGGAGACGAACAGGAGCTTTTTTGTACCCTTATCAACTATGTTCGGAGGTAAAACTGCTGTAATTAAATAAACAATTGCTTCTGGCATGGACATGGTACATTTATAAGAATGCCGAAGAATTTTACACGAATAATGTTACACGTGTAATATTCGTTAACATCCTCCGTGATATTTACTAGAGTAGTACTTACTCGTTTGGTATGCCTACGCTACGATAGGAATCTTGAAATGTTCGATTTAAAATCCTCAAAATATTTTTCTGTTTTAGCCTTGACCCTGATATTTTAATCGGTTATGAAGTGCAGTTATCATCTTGGGGATATTTAATTGAACGAGGAAACGCGCTTGGGATAAATGTGCTTCGGTTGCTTTCCAGGTTGTCGAAACCAGGTATTCACTACTTTTTCTGTTGGACTAATTAATATGCCTGAATATGGTTTGAGAAATCTGATGGATAAAGTTAAAAAAGACAAAATGAAATGTAGATGTAGATGAAATGTAGAAAAAAGACAAAATGAAATCTCTGCATTTTTTAGCAGTGGGGAGCAAGTTTATTCAGCAGCGGCACGTCCCTCAAGCTGTTGCTGAATATGAAGCGAGAAAAATGTCCGAATTTCACGTGGTAGGCCGTGTTGTACTGAACCTTTGGAGGCTGATGAGAAAAGAGGTAAACCGTCGTAGTTGAAGAGGTTGAATGGAATAAAACTAAAAAAAATAATTGGACTGGTCTAATGGTCTTTAACAGTTGCGTTCTTTGAAAAAGTAATATACGTTAGCTATGTATGTTTCAGTTTTAAATCACTGAACATTTGTCTCCCACGATCGCAGTGAACATTCGTCGTTCTTGCTTGCAGGTAAATCTCTACACCTATTCATTGGAAAACGTGATTTTCCATGTCCTTAAACTTCGATTCCACCTTTTTTCGGCCACAACCCTTACAGAATGGTTTGGTCAGCCATTAGGCAATTTGAGCCGGTGCGCATTTACTCATTTTCTGTAAACTGGCGAAAATTACAAAATGTTTACTTTGTGGTCCAGATGGCGAGCTATGGAGTATGTCATAACTAAATCGTCTTTTAACGTGGCATTGCTTCGGAAACTTGATCTTATCCGTCAGACGAGTGAGTTCTCCCGTCTCTTTGGAATTCAGTTCTACGAAACGTTAACTCGTGGATCTCAGGTAAAGCGCAAGATCTGTAAACAGCATATACCGAATTACCGTTATATTCTTTCTGAAGTGGCGGGTGGAATCGATGATGCTGAGGCTGGCGAAACCTTACAATTTTGTGCCGGTCTCTCCTAGCGGTGATCAGTTGAAAGGGTAGGCTTCGTTACTGGTGAAAAAAAATCCGGTATTGTGAAATGGAATTGAGTTTCATTATTTATGTAGTGGGCATTATCTGTGTTATAAAAGTTTTCTAATTTGTTTATTGTTGTTAGGATGGCGGCCCAGGAATGCCTTCCACTGATCTTGGAACCGCAGTCGCGCCTTTATCTGGATCCTGTCGTAGTCCTGGACTTCCAATCGTTGTACCCATCTATGGTTATTGCATATAATTATTGCTTCTCTACTTGCTTGGGAAAAGTGGAATATATGGGAAAGTAAGTATTGTTTGGAACGCTGGATGAAGGCGTCATAATTGATTAATTCGTTTTGTTATATACTGAATCTTTAACGGCCAGTGGCTTTATTTCAGCAAAGATTATTTTAAATTTGGCTGTACTGCAATGAAAATCTCCCCAAGTTTCCTGAAGGAACACGCAAATGAATTGCATTTCTCGCCAAATGGAGTGGCCTTTGTTCCCAAGACTGTGCGTCGCGGAATTTTGCCTGTCATGCTAGAGGAGATTCTCAACACTCGCATCATGGTTAAGAAATCTATGGAAAGCTATAAAAACAACCCGGTTTTAAAGAAAGTTCTACATGCCCGCCAGTTAGCTCTGAAACTGATTGCCAATGTGACATACGGCTACACCTCGGCAAGCTTTTCAGGGCGTATGCCCTGTGTCGAGATTGGGGATGCGATAGTTTCGAAAGGACGGGAAACCTTAGAAAGAGCCATAAAATTTGTCGAAACTACTCCCAAATGGAATGCCCGTGTTATTTATGGAGACACAGACAGGTACGGTACTGCCTCTTTTTCTGCATCCGGATACGTTTGTTTGTATATCTGTTCATGAAAGGGTTTTGCTCTTTCAAAGGGTTAGAATTTAAGGAATCTGTCAGCTTAATGTAACTGATTCATACGCTCGAAAGTTAAGTTTTTATTTTTGTTTTTTTTGTAAAATATATTACTTTTCTTTGTCATGAATAAACGGAGTATTATGTGTTCGGTAACATAATATTTGTTGTTATCCTGCATTTCTAACAAATACATTTCTTCCGGTCTAGCATGTTCGTTCTTCTTCGGGGTCGTACGAAACATGAAGCTTTCCGAATCGGCCGAGAGATCGAAAAAGCCATCACTGATATGAACCCTAAACCAGTGAAACTAAAATTCGAAAAGGTTGCCGTTATTTTTTTAGCTCTCAAACCTGTTGAGGGTTACGTAAATAATTCGTTTGCAGGTATATTTGCCGTGTGTTCTGCAGACAAAGAAACGTTATTGTGGGTTTATGTATGAGAACGAAGACCAGACTAATCCCGCGTTCGATGCGAAAGGAATTGAGACTGTTCGGCGGGATACTTGTCCCTTGGTATCTAAGGTAGCGTGATTCATCTTTGTACAGCTAGTTTCGTATTAAGCAACATTTCTCTCAATTGCTAGACGCTGGAAGATATGATTCGAATGCTCTTTGCCCGCAACTGCGATCTGTTGTCCGTCAAACAATTCGTACAAGGGAGATTCGCCAGTGTTTTACTGGGTGACACAAAAATGGAAGACTTTATTTTTGCCAAAGAATATCGTGGGCGTGAAAGCTACAAAGATGGAGCATCGGTCCCGGCTTTGGCAATTGCGAAGTATGAGATGTATAACGCGTAGCACGTTATTTACTGGTTACAACATACCCCTTCGTAATAGCTTTCGCAAAATATCTTAAATACAGCTTTTGAATAATTGCGTTCGTAAATACAGTCTCGTTTAGATAAAGGCATTAATGTTTGAAAAAAAACGGCAGCTGCGTAGCGACAGAATTCGTTACTGAGTTGTGCAACGCTTATTTCTGCAAAATAAGCGTTGTGCAGATGTACGATCTATGCACAATTCTGCAGTTTTAAGTATCACAGAGTGAATTACATTATTACTGCTAGTAATCAACTAAGGATTTAGCACATCTGTGTGAAAAGTTTACCGTTTTGATTGCGATTGCAAAAAAGGGAATTTTTTGGTTGCAGTTGTCATACGTTTTTACGTTCTGTAGAAAGTCGACTCGGGTGGATCCGCGTAATGAACCGCGTGTAGGCGAGCGTGTCCCTTACATTATCACATACGGTGATCCTTCTCGGACTCTGCTTTCTCTCGTGCGCCCACCGGCTGAACTTTTCCAAGATCCCTCCTTGCGTCCGCATGGCTACTATTACTGCAGTCGCCAGCTTGTCCCTGTCCTCAATCGAATTTTACTACTCCTTGGTTTGGATTCCAAAAAATGGCAAGCAACCGCGTGTGCACAGACATTGCGTTTTTATTATGTTTGTCTTTTATTTCAGGCTTTTCGAAGTACAAGAAAGGCTGTTGAGTACGTTACCCAGAACGGGGCTCCTGGATAGCTGTATAAATGATTTACCATATTTTTATAAGTTTTGCACACAAGCCTTGCTGGGAAGGAATAATTTTACTCTGATGGTTAACAATAAAAAAGTTTCCCGTGGGGCCGCCGCGGAACAGTTTTATTCGGACTGTAAACGATGGGAAACAGCCATTGCAAAAGCAACTGCGGTGAGGAGTCGGATAGCTTGAAGTTAATAGTCACGATCTATCTGTGCATGAAACTTAGATAAATTAAAGTTATTTCATAGCTGGTAATAAATTTTGACTTTTGATTTACTTTTATACTTCTTTCGTGATTGTACAACTCCTGTATGGATTTATGCTGATGTGAAGATTCAGGAAAATGCTGGAGGTTGCTTGAGATCTAATTCTATGGTTGCAGGTTTGTCAAGGATGCATGGGTACGCAGTCATTCAATGTGGAATGCGAATCGTTTGATTGTCCGGTCATGTTTGAGCTGCTACGAGCCAGCGACCGCTTGGCGCGCTTGAAGATAACGAAGCATCCTTCCGCTTATGAACTGTGATGAATGTCGTGCCTTTCACTGTACAGTGAATACTTTTCTTGTATTTTAAAATTTCCAGAGACAATTTATAATTACGCTTTAAGGGCAGTTTTTGGATGTCTGGATAAGGTTGTTGTGGTGGTTTTTATTGTGAGAGGTTTAACTTCAGACGATATAATGCAACTTCCGTCGCACGTCATTTAAGTTTCTTCTGTTTAATGGTTTAGTATCAGAATTTAGGCGCTCGAATTCGTAGGAGCGGTAATGCCGCTATGTACAAACTACAAGTGGTTCCGTTCGAGCGCATGAGATTTCGTCACGTTAATGCAGCAACACTTTCAGTCTAACAACCGGAAGTTACTAGTTATAAATTATTAAAAGCCCAACTCAAATTACAGGAAACACACTAACATAGTATCAGCCGTTCAGTTTTCTCTCCATTGATTTCCACAAGAAACGCACTTGTAAAATATGGTCATAGGCTCATCCGCAGACCGAGTTTGCATTTGATGGTAGTATGCCCGCTTATGGTTGCATTTTGGACATGTGCCTACAATTAAAAGAAGCTTGTCAATGCAGAAAATAACAAGGCTGAGCAAAAGGCTGATGTGTCCAAATGTCAGCAATAGCTTCAAGTATTTACTTTCAGTTTCGTTCCTCCCAGCGTTGTCGTCACCGGAAAGAACCTCCGAAAATTCCTTCAGTTTTGGATAAAATGAACAAACCAGCTAAAAATCAATCCGTTTGGTTCAACCAGTATTGTACTCAAATCACCAAAACGATACTCCACAAAAGTTTTTGCCAATGCAAGCGGTAAAACAATACAAGGAAAAGTTGGAAAGGACGCAAGTGATTTCAGAACCAGGCAAGCGTGTTTGTGTACAGTGTAAACTGACTGCTGCTTATAAAAAATTACTCACCACGCCGCCGGGGAGATCGGCAACAGGAATATCAGATTTGCACACTCGGCAAGCAACATGATATCCTTTGCTGGAGTGGCTTTCCGATTTGGACACCTGCATAAACCCTTTACACTGTTCGCAAATGATGATCATTCTGAAGGATCGCAAGCCTCCAGTCAGTCTTATGGACTAAACGATTCAGCACATCAAAACCAAGTCTGGCAACAGGGATTCAGCGTCATTCATGGGAAAATGGAAAATAAAAAAAAACATTAAAATGTCAACGTAAACGTGCCCGTATAACACCGGTTCGTTTACAGTTTACTTTAATTTTTATGATAAATGTCGAAAAAACTGAAAAAAGCTTCAGAAGTAATCATTCAATAATAAAATGTTATGAAGTTTTGCGTCGGCTCTTTACTGAAGTTTGGAAAGAACATATTTTTAGGCGTGGTTACCGCTTTTGACGTCATCGCGGCGCTGTTATAATTGGCCGGCGCAGGCACGCAGGGAAACCAAAACAAATCCGCAGTTTCGGTGATTTCATCATCATTTTCATCGTCATTTTCTTACTGTGCATTTGTTTCTGCATTGTAATGGTAATGGGAACTGTTATTAAGTTTTCGTGTTCCTTTTTATGTGGATTGCGAACATTTTTATCTCCAAACTTGAATCAGTTTATCTCACGATCGAGAATTACCGCCATTAATACATCATTTGACGCTTTTCGGGGACTGTCGACAGCTCGTCAACAAGCCGTAGAAATGACCGGCGATCCAGGAATTAGCAACGTTGTTAAGTGGAGTAAAGACAGCGCGAAAGGTAATTACAACAATCGCGAATTGCCTGGTTTTCTTGTCATTTGACAGTGTCGTAAGGCGTAATGGAAGGCATTTGATTCTGTGACTGTGAGGTATTCGGAAAATTTTAGAAAACGAGGTGATACAGCGGGCCGTCAACGCTTTACAGAAAGGAAAACTGATTGCTGTTCCTACCGATACGATTTACGGGATTGCCGGTCTCGCTCAGAATTCGTGTGCCGTTAGTCAGATCTATAAAGTTAAAGGACGAGATCCTTCGAAGCCCATTGCAATCTGCGTGGACTGCGTCGAAGCCGTCAGCAGGTGCTTTGATGACAGGAATATTTCAGTCTTTCAATTGTTTGGTACCCTGGTTTAGTAGGAAAGCAAAATATGAATTTATTCTAAAAGCTTGATTTGTAGGTGGGCCAAAACGGATATGCTTCCGGAAAAATTCCTTAACAGTTTTTTCCCTGGTCCCGTGACCGGTGTTTTCGAAAGACAACCGTCCCTGAATCCTGAATTGAATCCCGAAACCAGTATTATTGGAGTGCGCATTCCTGATCATTCCTTTATTCGACGGTTGGCGGAAGCCTGTGGTGAACCGATTGCGCTGACCAGTGCGAATAAAAGCGGCGGCGAAAGCTCACTGATTATTGAAGTAATAATTGAAAATTCTACGAAGGAGTTTTGTTAGTGTTAGAAGCTTAGAAACATGTACTGTATTGCAGGAATTCAAGTACTTATGGCCGCATCTGGATTTGGTCGTAGATGCCGGTTGTTTAGCTCCAGACACGATATCCAAACAGACCGCACGATTAGGTTCTACCGTGGTTGATCTGAGTAAACCTGGATTCTTTCGCATCATTAGGCCGGGCAGGTAATGTTGGTAACTTGGTCCTAAAGGATCGTATTTTTTTGTTTTACCGGTTTTGTACTGTACTGTAGCCGCTAGACGGACTCTGTGGTGCAATCTGGTCTAGCAGCTACCGTACTCTTATTCAGTTTAAGATACACCATCCTGAATTTTATTTTGTGATTTGCAGCGCATACGACACCACCGTTCGTCTGCTACAGTTATATGGAGTAAAAGAATTCAAAGATTATGAATGAATCAGATCGCTTGATTTTGGAAAGGTTCATTGATGCACAAATTAGAAGGAACAGTTAACGAAGATCCATGCCCCATCCGCCCAAAAAACAGGCAGTGCCTGGGCAGTTCGAATCTTTTAGAAATGGAGAAACAAACAAGATCATTATCGTTCGGGCTCCAGATTTCCTTCGTTACTAACGAGATCGTCTTCGCCAAACTTGCTCTTGTAGGCAGCCTCCTTTGCCGGCTGGGCGAGCTAAAAAAGTTTGGGTACGTTAAAACGAAAAAACAAACTACTACCAAGTGTTACCAACAATTATTACGACCACTGAAGTGTACACTGTAACACACTGCGCAAGGTTATTTTTGAAAAAAAAATCGTACATTTTGAAAATTCAACTAATTCAACCGACATTTTAGAAATAAAAACTTTCGAGCAAATCCATTTTTCGCTTATTGGCTTACAGCATTATGGATATAACAATCGCACGCGAAGCACCAAACTGACAAATCTGCCACGCTGAGAGCTATAGTATGGCCGCTGGTTTCGTTGTGGTCTTTCATATGGCCATTAACGTAGCGGCTACAAAACACCTGTGGAATAAAATTCGGTCAAATCTTGGACTGCCCCACGAGAATCTCTTCAATTTACTTACGAGTAACAAAAAGTACCGAGAAAATCAGAACAGAAAGAAAAATATATTTTTGCTTAAGTAAAAATTCGAAACGTTATCGAGTAAGAGTGTACGGCACTGTGAAGTGTGAACAATCGGCAAACCGCCATACTGTTTGAACTGTACACTGTACAGCGTGCGCGCACCTTGTAGCAGTGAAGACAAACCCAGTTCTCCCGCGCATCTTCACAAACAGAGCAGTTTGCTGCCGCATCTATCCCGGCATCGGAAACTGGCTTTATGTTTCCTTCCAAGTGTTCGCACCACGGTTTTGGAATTACTCCGTAAAATTTTATCTGACGATGAAAACATGAGAGTAATAAGTCTCGCCTAAGTATAATCAGTTTGAAGTGGCTTGCCGCTTATCATAAGCCATTAGGACGACAGCATGATTGCTGATTCATTTATAATATAACAAGAGCTCGAATTTGAACTCAACATCTGCGGTGATACCAATACCATGTAAATAAGGTAGAATTTACGAATAGTAAAACTGTAAAATGCAGTAGATACTAAGAAAAAAGCAGAACTACCTGGTCAGAATCTGTGGAACCCGGGTCGCCTCCATTGCTACTTGATGCCCCCTGTTCAGCTTGCATGTCAGAAATAAATATGTAACCTAGGCCGACTAAACTGCTCTGTGGCGCTCGGCTCGTTGCCCTACGAAAAAAAGACGGAGGCCTGCGCCCAATCGCCGTCGGAAACGTATACCGTCGCATTGCTGCCAAGGCGGTGGATACCCGAATTCGATCTGTAACATCGGAGATCCTTCGACCACATCAGCTCGGTTCCGGGGTAAAGAAGGGTGTTGAAGGAATTATCCACGCAGCACGAGACTTTTTGCTTCAGTACAGCAGTGGCGTTAAAGCACTTCTCAAAATTGATTTTACGAACGCCTTCAATTGCGTGTCCCGGGAGGAAGTATTACGGATAACAGCCGAAGTCATCCCGGAATATTACGCCTTTGTGAAAATGTGTTACGGGACACATTCCTCCCTGTTTCTAGAAGAAACGGTTATTTCCTCCCAGTCCGGCGTGCAGCAAGGCGATCCTCTCGGGCCCGTTTTGTTTTGTTTGGTTCTGCAGTTCATCGTCAACAAACTTAATGCCTACCTGAACGCGTGGTACATGGACGATGGGACATTAGGAGGGACACCGTTAGAAGTGATCCGTAACTTCCAGCTGCTGATTCTGGAAGCTAAAAAAATCGGCCTGGAAGTCAACATTGCGAAGTGCGAAGTGTTCTTTTGCGGGGGCAGTGAAACACAGCGCACATCAGCCGCTAACGATTTCTGCAGCTTATTTCCTGGAATCGCTGTAGTAACAGCCGATAAATTAACCTTACTCGGATCCCCTCTTCTACCAGCCGCCGTAATTCCGATGATCAATGAGAAAATCAGCCAGTTGGAAATTATGAGCGGCCGCTTGCAGCTAATCCCTAAACACCAGGCGCTATTCCTGTTGAAAAATTGCCTTGGAGTGCCGAAAATAGTGCATATCCTACGCACCTCTCTCGCATGGATGTTCCCACAAGAGCTGTACAGACTGGACCAGGTATTTCGCGAGGCTGTGGAGACGATTACCAACGTAAAGATGGACCACCCAACATGGCTCCAGGCATCCCTTCCAGTTCGTTTCGGGGGTTTGGGGATCAGGCGCACTGAGAAGCTAGCTCCTTCTGCCTACCTGGCATCGGCTTCCTCGCTGCGACCACTGATTTCCAGACTTTGTCCCACACTGAAGGAAACGGATGTCATCACAGCCACGCGCGCCTGGAAGTTAGAAGCTGACACCGACGAACTTCCACCGGAAGCTTTCCGCCACGTCCAGAAAGCATGGGACACTCTCACAACCCTGCAGGCTTTTTCAAGACTTACCGCACTACGGACATCCCAGGAGGAAGTTGCCCATCTAAAGGCGGTATCAGTCCCGGAAGCAGGCGTGTGGATCCATGCATTGCCGGCAGCCTGCCTCGGTAATCTGTTAGATGACAACGCTTTTCGCATAAGTGTCGCACTGCGTCTGGGAGCTCCGATCGTCACTCCACACGTATGCGTTTGTGGTGGGCTGGTCGACGAGTTCGGCCGGCACGGACTTCGTTGTAAGCGATCTGCCGGGAGATTGCCACGACACGACGGAATCAGCGCGGAATTCACTCGGGGCCTGAAATCAGCTGGCTTTCCTTCGAGAATGGAACCAAAAGGTCTATCCCTGAAAGATAAGAAAAGGCCGGATGTGATCACCCTCATTCCGTGGAAGCGCGGAAAACCGCTGGCAGTGGATGTGACCTGCGTGGACACGCTGGCGGCCTCGTACATCGAACGCACTTCCGTGAACGCCGGCGCAGCAGCCGAACTTGCTGAAAGAAAGAAACTAGCGAAACACGCTTGGATGCAAACAAGATACGATTTCGTTGCTGCAGCCTTCGAAATTTATGGACCTTTTGGAGACGGTACTAAAAAGCTAGTAGAAACGGTTGGAAACGGTATAGCGACTTCAACTGGCCAAAAGCGGGCGAAAGAGTTTTTTAAACAGCGAATATCTATGCAAATACAGCGGGGAAACGCGATTTGTGTAATGGGTACGATCCCCGATCAGGATAGCATAGAGGAAGTGTTTCTTTTGTAAACGCTGTTTTGTTTTGTTCTGGTGCATAGTTTGTACTCGTACCATGATACTTATTAAAGGTTCATGTGCAGTAAGATTATATATAATCAGAAATCTTTCAAAAAATTACACAGTCGCATATTATCCTATGAAAATCAAGTACGAGAAAACCGCATGAAGAGACGGAATATTCATTCGAAAAATTCAAAACTGATTATAAATGATCTGCAACAAATCAAAATAAACAAAACAGGTGAGCTACTCGGCAAGTCGTTGCAGGAAATCGCCAACCCAAGGCTGGCTCGTGCTTCATTGTTACGACTTCCGGTAAATAACGGAAAGTTACCGTGTATAGGTTCCGCCTGTACCGGAAAAGTTCTGAAAGGTGTTTTTAATTTTACTTGATTTCCAAAAGTATATATTTTAATGCGAGATGTTTCACTTGTTTGATTTAGTACTTACTAGAGTTTTAATTATTAATGTTTGCGACTACTCTTATGTCTAAGACCGCACATCTTATCGGTTAGATCTATTCGTGCTCAAGTCGAAGTGAATTACTAAGTAAGAACTGTCGAAGTGAATTACTAAGTAAGAACTAAGAACAAAATAGAAGAAAGTAAGTCTGTCGAAGAAATTTGCAGAAAATCGGTCTGAAAACATGCCCCTTTCTCTTAGAAAATGTCTTTTATTCGATACGAGTCCGGCTCAAAGGTTAACTAACAGTAGAAATGTTTTCTACCATCAATCCACAATCAATTAAACAACAATCATTTAACCAAGAGATACCAGTAAACGGAGACAGCAAACGGTAAATTAATCGTTTACTGGACAGGACAATTCACTGTTTCGCTCAAAATAAGCAACATAAGGTATCAACTATCAACAGAGAAAACACTAAACGAAGACATAAACGAGTACCAGCTAGAGGTAAGTACCTATGCATGAGACAAACGGCATAAAACCACATACAAAACGAAACTGGTAAGTGCCACAAATAACGTACAACCAAGCTAAAAAATAAAATACAAAAACTACAACATATAAAACAAAATTTTGAGTCAAATGTATTTCCAGATCTACCCAAATTTAAATCAAATGCCATGCTCCCTACATTCAGTGCGAAAAAGGCAGTTTTACTGATTTCCGCGCTGAATATTTGCAATAAGGGCAGGCTAGGAACAAGGAAGTGGGCAATATACACCAGCCACCACGAAGAGCGCCGAGCAAAGGACATAAAGATACTGGACATGAAGGATCAGACAGGACCTATCCAGGTTTTCTACAGGGTGGGCCAACCGCCAACACGTGCATAAGGAATGGAGGGCACTGCCATCAACCACATCTTAAATCAACGAGTCATCAGGGGTGGTCAAAGCTGAAGCAAAACAACAGGGCATTAGTTTCCCATAGCAGAAACGGCGCGCCCTAAATGCAACGACTCCTACACGATTAAGACACAATATTAAGACGTTTCTCTTTTAAAGCGTTTAACGCAACTACTTATCACTAAAAAAGCCATCAACTGACGGCGCTAAGAAAGTTGCTGCAAGTTCAATAAGCAATACAAAGGTTTCTTTTGAACAAAAATTAGTTTTTGAACTGCTGAAAGGTATAGAAAATTATCACACCCGCAAAATTTCCACTGCTTTGTTGAAGCAGATGGCAATCCAGTCCGGCTGGGTGCTGGCCCATTGGATCTGATTGATAGCACCATCGGCCTTGTACGCCAGAATAGGATCCTCAATCTGTCTGGGCATTTGCTGGATGTCCCAAATCAATGCCTGCTGGTCATCTGCTGCCGTACAGATGTGGCAAGCGGAATGGGGTGCCCAGGCCATGCCGTTAACGCAAGCCCGATGATTATTCAGACGAGCAACAGGAGTGCAGGGAACGCGAACATCCAAAATAATCACCTGAACAAAATCAATAAGGATTGGGATGTGCGCTTTTTTCAGTTATACGTGTGTGACTGTAATCTATATGTATCTTCGCTCGTGAGAAGGCAAACTCAAAAGATCACGCAAACCAGTCAAAAAAACATAGCCTGCACACATGTATCTCAATTACACCGAGAAAGCACAGTAGTCTGATTTTTGACGATTGAGCATGTATTTTAATGCCAGCATGTATGAATGCCGAACAAAGTCTTATATAAGGCACAGTTAATACAATGTATGTACCACCATTTTAAACTTATGTATTTGAATCCTACCTCCGTCGAATCCAGAGCAAAAGTTGCCAAATAACTGGGATCTTGCTTGTTCCATGTGAGACGCAGCAGCGGTTGATGCTGAATATCTTCGTAAATAATTGTCGAATGCTCCAGATGACGGAGATCAAACATACGAACCGATCCATCGGCACCTGCGCAACACCGCAATTCATGCCACCGCAACTCAAAAAATACCGAAACCAGGAAAGCACCACTACCAGTAGTGCCAGTAAGAGATCACTTGTTAGTTGTTAATACTACTGTTCAAGTACATACCGACGCTAGCAAACATGTCGCGGCCGCCTCCTGCACGACTAAATGCAATGTCGTACACCTCCTTGTCGTGAGCAATCAGCTGAGTTTTCACACTTCCTGTCACAGCAGGTGTCACGCCCACGACCTGTCCTGTCTGTTTGAAATTTGAAAACAAACCATCAGTTAGAATCACCCTTTTAAAGCGCTAAAACAAAGATAATTAATAAGACGATTAATAATTCATGAGTTTTAATGAGACCAACAATCAGATTAATTTTAGTACCTCCAAACTCCAGATTGTGCAAGTGGTGTCGATGCTGGAAGTTCCTAGTAAATTTGGATCCACTTCATTCCAATCAAAGCTTGTCAAAGGAGCACAAAACTCGGAATTTTTGTTCTAAAAATATATTTTAATAAATGGTTATCTGATTTCATGCTGGCGATAAGTAAAAAGTCCTGGCCCTGAATTCTACGAGACATAGTACTGGCGCCCGAAACTCCATAAACATAACACTGCTTACGTTATTCAAGAGACATTCCATGCGAATATTGCCTTCGGGTTGCAGTTGCCAAATGCGCAAAAAATCGCCAGAAGTTGCAAAGAGATCAGGATACAGGCTTTTCTGTCAAGAAGTACACGTGTGCATTATTTCAAACCTATAGAAGCACTTACCACTCCAGACTGTATACTATAAATGATTTTAACAGTGCTAAACCGTTTAGCATTCTGGGCTGTGCATTAACGTTTAGCCTAAACGTTAATGCACAGCCCAGAACTGATAACATAGCTTACACTATCCGGGATCCACATAATTTTGGTACATGGATAAGGATGGTCAATCTCGTGCAGTTTAGTGAAATCTCCAGGCTCTTCGTCCAGCTGGATAACCTGCACTTTATTGTTGTACTCTTCAATGAAACTTCCCACGGCAAGACGAAATTTTTTATCGGGACGCACGCTCCAGTTCATGGCGTACACATTCCATGGTGCTTCGTATTTGTAAATTTCTTTGCGTTTGGTCGAAGAGGTCCCGTTGACGGATCCAGCCGACGGTGGAGCAGACATCTTCGCGATGGACTCCAGTCCAGATGAAAAGTTGTCACTCCTTACTTTCAACGTTAACAGAAAACTGCAGGAATTTCTATGCTTCTCACAACATTGTGCTGGAACGCGTTAATGCCGTAATCAGTCCATATTCTCTGCTGCGCAAATCACCAGATACTGACAGACCAGAGAACGAAGAACAACACCATAAATAGTTTGCGAATTTCCCCTGTTTTAAGTCTTAATAATACACAACAAACTGTAAACAGTACGCTAATCTCGCTTTTGAAGCTTCCTACAATAAAATTATTAAAATAACATTAATTTTCACAAAAATATAGAAATCCGAAATCGCCAATCGATTGGACAGATTGGGCCTGATTGGCATCTACTTTGTTGTGAAGTCCAGGGAATGCCGGAGTAATACAGGCAGTGGTTAAGCTACGTAAAGCCCTTTTTGGTGGAATTCATTGATGTGACTTACGGTCACTTACCATCAGGTTTTATAGTGTTCACTGTTCAGTGTTATTAGCCATATAAATTACTGTATTTAAAATTAATATGAATTTTGGATTATAAGAGAGAATCCTGATTAGTGTTTTCTTTTTTTTTATTGAGTAATTGGTGATCATCTAATAAGGAAACGTTCACACTTCACAGATGAGCTGCTTCTGAGCAAGGATGAGTGACTCCGAAGATTCAAACTCCAGTGGTCGGGATGATTTCAAACGGGTGCGAGGGCCTGCAGATCTCCAAAGGCGTCGTCTAGAGCGTTTGATGAAAAATCCTGTAAGTGCCAGGCTGTTAGCCAGTTTCGGAATTATATGTACTGTACTTAATCAGTGAACCCAAGAGGCTTCGCGATAAAAGTTGGGCACCAAGTATCACGTACCAACAGGCACGCTCTCTGGCATAATGTCTTTACTGTATATGGATGGACTGTGTCTCTGGTGTAAAAATGAGATACAACTGTTAGCACCGTTCACTGTTCGGTGCTAGGATTTAGATGTGCGATTTGAATACGGCCACAGAGTCGTCACATGTGAGCTGCTGAAGTACTGTACGTGTTGTGGTTATTAGGAGAAGGAAGTCCATATTGCGGAACCACCTAAAAACAAGCCACCTCCCGCGCCTCCGGAATATGTCCGATTTTATATGGGTTCCAGGTGTGTGCCAGTTAGAGTTGCTCGCAGTTTCTTGGTGCATGGAATATTGTTTATTCGCATTTTTTAGAAAGTTTGTAAGACCTTCTGATTTTAAAATTACAAACGCTCGTTTTTAACAGGTTAAGTAAAGTACGCTTCCTAGTACAGTAGAGTATTAAAGTAGTTTCGTGTCCACTGTCCAATATTAATCTATTGCGTATTGAGTCTATTGACTACAATTATTACGTTTGTCGCACATTTGAACCTTGCCAGTTGTTAATCAAAGAGACACAAAAATTAAAGGCTGGCTGACATTCGTTTTCGTTGATTTCTTTGTAGCGCTGGGGCTGGAAGCGGGGAGTTTCATATATACCGCAATCTCAGGAGAAAGGAACAAAACCGGATGCGGTATATTGATGAACAAGCGAAGAAGGTATTGATCAAAATTTAGAATCTCTTGGTTGGACTTTTTAGTCGTGCTTCAATCTACGGATTTTAAGGAAGCCACTTTCTGTTAAATTAATGCGTAAATTAGCGAAATTGTGAACCGATAGTTAAAGTTGGATCGAAAACAACTATGTTCTTCAGTTAATTTGTTAACGTCATTTCTGGATGACGCGACTGTGTTGCCAGGGACAAACAAACTCGCCCGGCGTTAACGGTATTTAACGCCTTAAGGAAATAGGAACAAAGGAACATAGGAACAAAGGAACATAGTTGAACATTCCCCGTATTATTAAATGAGTAGAAACGCATGGATGGGCTGATCGGTGATACAAATGTAGTTAGTGTCAGTCTTCATATCAAATTGAACTGCTCCTATGCCGTTTTAGTTTTGCAGGATGATTTGCAAAAAGCCTTCGTAGAAAGAGTTTCGGAACAGAAGCGCGCCGCGGACAAGAAAGCGGAAAAGAAACGTGCTAAGCGGTTGAAGAAGAAGGCTAAAAAAGCGAACAAGAAGGGCGATACGAACACACAGCAGAAGGACACTAATCAGGAGGAAAGTGATGATTCTTCAGATGACAGCGGCTCGGATAATACGGAAAAACCTGCTGCATCCGACACTTTTGCTGAAAAAGTACAGGAAGAAACAGCAATTCCACACAGTGCAAGCGGCAGTGGATCTGTTTCTGACGCCGACCGATCCGTTGTTGGTCATAAATCGTAATTAATTTAACATATTCGCGAAGAAATTTTTTGGGACGAATTAATTGTAGCTTTCCCGTTACATTCTTCTTCTTTGCACGGTATGTGTTTCAGATTTTTTAGTTCGGAACGCGGTATGCCTATTTTGCTTTTTGATATGTTTGCTGAACTCGCTTCAGCTGACTGTAGGTGTTGTTTCCACAGCAATGGAGTTTCCATGTACAGTACTTGTTAGTGCTTTTAATCGCAAGTGTTACCTGTTTGATTGGTTCTGATTACAACAAGGAATTACTTCAGAAGTCAGATTACTTACTGTACTTGTTCACCGGCACTCAAATGCGATCGATACAAGTGCAGTAATATTAAATCGACAGCATAACAACTAAAATCCTTAGTTATACCGCGTGCATTGTGAGCATAGTTAATTGGCAAAATGGCTGGGCAACTTGGTTATCTCTCCTTCAAAGCTGCCAGTGAGGCTAGGAATTTCGACGAGAAAAGCAGAATCCAGCAGCAACGCAATATTTTAATTCTGATCGTGCACTATTTAAAAGATAATGGTCTTTTTGACTCAGCGGAAACGATTTTAAATGAATCTCAGGCGCATCATCTTGATTTAGTAGGTTTTACGGTCTGTGATAATATGGACCTGAGTACGATATTGTTGGAATTTGAATGCAACTACCTTTCTCGACTACAAAAGAAGCCTAAATTTATTCGCGAATTGCTGACTGATGAACTAGCAACTGGTGGAGCGAAATCTGGTCGGAATATTGCGAAATCAAAATCAATCATACCGCCGGTAAAATCAAACGCTAAGAAAAAAGACAAACATATTCAAGGCGCAGTTAATAATACCGATTCAAATGTGCCGGGAATCTCCGTTCAAAAATTAACCAAATCTGATTTGGGCGGTGGTGATATTATGAGAGATAACATTCACAGCACTCATCAGCAACTGCACATTGTCCCACCCATTTCTCGAATGGCCAGTGCTTTGAGGGATTATGATAATTCCCATTGTGGTGAATTAAGAGAACTGGCGCAGATTATCAGCAAGGAGATGTACATCGATAATCCGGGTGTTCACTGGGACGATATCAAAGGCATGGAGGATGCCAAGCGTTTCGTTCGGGAAGCGGTGGTGTATCCCGTTAATTATCCCGCGCTTTTTCAGGGAATTTTATCCCCGTGGCGGGGGCTGTTGCTGGCAGGCCCACCCGGTACCGGTAAGACCATGCTAGCCAAAGCGGTGGCCACCGAGTGCAATACGGCATTTTTCAACATAACCGCCTCGACCGTGGTCAGCAAGTGGCGCGGTGAATCTGAGAAACTAGTGCGCGTCTGCTTTGATTTGGCGCGACGCTGTGCGCCCAGTACTATTTTTCTGGATGAACTGGATGCGTTAATGGGACAGCGCGGGGAAAATGGGGAACATGAAGGCAGTCGGCGAATGAAGACGGAAATCCTTATACAAATGGATGGTTTGCAAAGGTCAACGGATGTTGTTTTTGTCTTGGCAGCGTCCAATTTGCCGTGGGAACTGGATTCCGCCGTCGTCAGGAGGCTAGAGAAGCGGACATTTGTTGGTCTGCCTGATCGCAATGCGCGATGCGCAATGTTCAGAGCGTTTCTCCCGGAAATCATACAAGAGCATCCATTGAGTATCACCACGGAACTGGATTATGATCGACTGGCTGAATTAACCGACGAATATTCCGGCAACGATATACACTTGATTTGCAAAGAGGCTGCTATGCAGTGTGTACGAAAAGTTTTTAGTTTTCTCAAGGAGGATAATAATTATTTTGATAATAAAGGGACACAGTTCATGTTGGAACCAATTAAAACCGATGACGTGCTGGCTGTGATGCAGTACACTAAACCTGTCGGATATTCGCAGTATAAGGCTAAGTTTTTACAGTGGCGGACGCAAATGGCTGAGTGTCCAAGGCAATTATGACAAAGAGAGCTAAAAACCGGCAGCATTATATATTTAAACTCAAGTATGGACAGCTTGGCGAATTTCGGGGATTAAAATTTCTACGGTTTCTAAGTTTGTTGTATTTCATGAGGACATCGAACTTTATGTGCGTACACATGCACTGCAAATCTTGCCTGCACCGTCGAAAATTTCAAAACCAACTTTAAAGTTAATATTAGTTAGCAGTAATAATAGCAAAATACACCTTGGCATAGAAGCCCTCTATTAAGTTGGTCGCTATTTTTAGGAGTAGCGGCCCGCCGGCGGCCGGCCACTATTAAATGCATGGGTTAGTTTCTTCATACATAACTTTCCTATCTTCGCGAGTTGCCGTACCCGAAAGAAAGTCTGGTAAAATCAAATTGTACATAATTTTTACCAACATATTTTTATCTGTACTACGACGTAATCAGGTCATTTGTGTTTGTAGCAGCTTTGCGACAGCTTGTGAAGCCGACCCTTCCTTTATGTTGCGGCTCATCTAAATTAAAGGTCATCAATTTCCACATTTCACTTGTTCTGTATACGGCAGCACGTGCACTTTTCAAGTTCATTAAATACTGTGTTCTTTGTGAACCAGAAATTATATACTGTTCTGACTAGCGCGTAGGTATAATGCCTAGCACGCATTTGCGTACTAATACATATTAATTAGTTCAATAAAATAGTGTCGTGTGTGCTGTATGCCGTTAATGGTTACGCATGTACTTTATAATCGCCGGTTTCAATTTCGACTGATGGTGGAAGTTAAAAAAATTGAAATTTCAAATCATGCCCATGCATGATGTAAATGTGCATCCAAAATGTACTGTGCAATTAATAGCAGTTTAAAACAGTTACGGTTCTATTCTACAGATCTCTCAAACTGCAAACTGATTTAAATATACATTGCGGTTGTTACTTAAATGCGCCCGTATTTATCAAATGGTGTACCAAAGTCTATACCCTGTGCGGCCATGCGCCTCAATGAATATCCAATTAAATCCTAATTTTATTGCTCGTTTAGCGCAGGTGAGTCCATTGGCTGTGGCCGACGCTGCGTTTTGCCTTAATCGAAAAGTCAATTTAACATCATGTCAATCTTTTGAAGCCGAATGTCGGCATTTGAATGACATTCGGCGAAGTCCATCTTTCGAATGCACATAACTTTAAATCCTTTAATTCTTTGCATATGCGGCATGTACATTTGCACCTCCCACGTGTGTTATGCATTTTTAATGGTCTGCTGCGTTACCTACCGTACAGAGCGCGGGACGTTAATTTGTTCCATACAAACAATGTCCACAAAGAGATGCGACCTTTGCCGACCGGACAATATCGGGCTTGTCAGAAAGAATACTAAGCATTTATTTTGATTTTTACACTAACAATAAAAAAACTTGAGTTAACCTGATGGGGCAGAATTGATTATACTTACTTTTTAATTAAGCTGACAAAATAAAAGAGTTACTGTGATTTTTATACATGTGAGAAAACCTTTCAAAGTTATTTAGTATAGTTTGACTAATGCTTTTTTTATTCGATAATTTTATTTTGGAAAGTATATAAGTACAGATATATTCTTGCCGCGTTATACGAAAGATCAAGAACAACAATCTGGTATTCATGCGCTATGATGTTTTTCTATTATCATGCATCATTTGTTCTCCCAATACCATATCGCAGTAGACAATCAGAATTAAGCTACACTGAGAATTACTGAATGACCACACTCATTATAGTCACAGAAATTGCAACGCACAGAACGATAAAAGTTCACTAACAATTGTAAGCACAAAAGACGGTAATCCAAATGTAGCGTTGCCTGTCCAAAATCTCGCTAAAATTTTAAACCTGAATGAAATTCTACCGTCGCCTCTTGAGGATTCTCATAAAACTGTATGAAATTACAATCAATAATGGATATTTATTCAGTTTGTGGTAATCCTTATTTGAATTGTCGAGTGAGGAAGATGGCAGTTAACACTGTACTTATCGCACCAAATTCGAGTTTAAGAGGTTCTACCCATTTCAGTAAAGTTGTACGCTAATGACATACAGAACAAATTCTTGTCTTTTTCGAATCAACAATGTAGCCGAATGTTAAATCAATCACAAAGTATGGCTAGTGGGTATACTTCTATTGCACTTGGAAATTCGCTGCACACATCATTCTATCTAGCAATATTATCTGATTAACACTGATCGAAGAATTCGTTACTTACTTTTATATAATACTAAATTCGTATAGTATATTTAGCGCTTAATTAAATCGTCACGGCTGATGCTAATGATATCAGATATTCATATGACTGCTCATATGAACAACTGAGCGCAAGTAAAACAAGGTCACTCATTTTTATCATCAAAGATACACTGAACTTGCATGCATTTAAAGGTCGAAGAAAGGCCAATTCTATGTTGATTCTCACAACATTATCCGGGTCTATTTAACATATCTATTAAATGTGCTATGACACGATGTATTGTACAATATTGCATAGCAAAAGCAATAAATTAAATCAACATAATGATCGTTTTTAGGACAATGCTCAGGCAGAATACGAAGTACCCGTACGCAGAGATTTTTTAATTGTCTAACTATCCTTAGAGACAGTAGTAGTACAAAGCGAGGTTTAAACACCATCAAATTATTAATATGGTTTGGTATTATAACTATTATTTGTTTTATATCAGTTATATGCAGAGCAGCTTTGAATTACCTATCAATAAAATCTGCTGTATCTCTATCCTGATACTCATCATGACTAAAATCAATTCTGTAATTAAGGTTATAGTAGCTCAATTTCTTTACAAGTACTGGTTGCAAGTGATTGTTTTGGTGCAGACTGAAACATTAAGTTTAAAGTAATTGTAGAAGAGTGAACATTTTTGAGAAAACGGCGCGGCTGTATATGGAGCCGCAAGCTCGCAGCCGCTTAAGGTGAATTTCTACTCACATTACGCCATTTTAAATTATACAGGAATCGATAGAGAATTCATTTCTCTATCTGCTGATGTGAATCAAACTTTTATGAAAAAATTGTACACCGTTACCTATTTCAAAAACTATGATCGAGCAGAAACCTTTACAAGGTTTTAATACTGCGCAGAAGAGGAGACATCTCTGTTCTGGCGGGATGGCAAGTTTACTGACCACAAGCCACGAAATTATCAGCGGCAGTAAATGTTTGTATAAGAACCAGAAGATGCGCGCGCTATCATAAATGATCAGGTAGAACAATGAAATTTATTGCCCTGTTTTCATCTCCATCTCCATTCACCACTGGCGCTTGAGTGTCAGAGAGTCATTCCTGCTCAGCTGAAACAATACGTGACCCGAAGAGGCCGGGACATAACAGGATGCGCAGCAATCGCACCAAGAATAGGCATGCTGTCCAGCTTAGTCTATACCGTTCACAAAAAAGTCATTTTCTCAAAATAGCAAATGTGGGGCAAATAATTCGGTGTTTTATCCGACTCCAAGTTTGATCGCTCCATCACATGGAGTAAATTCCCATACACATTCTGAACCAAAATGAAGCTGGTCAGATGTATATTGACCAAGTTATAAGAGTTTAAAATTTTCGAAAATGCATTGCATCTTTGTTTTTTAAGTTATCATCACCATAATGGTTCAGAATGATCTTAAGATATAGATTTACCATAATGGTTGATTTGGTCGGAGTCGGATAGATAGGTGAATTATTTGACGCGTCTGAGTTTTTAAACTTTTTCCGGCGATAGTACAGCAGCCGGTTATTGCGCGCACATTTTGAGTTTAAATCGGTGAAGTTCAATGTTTTGAGCACCAAAAGCAGCAACATACACTATAGAACTGTTTATGAGTCCGCAGCGGTGTTTTTTCTCGCAAGAGGGGTGCAAACGAGTAGAAACTCAGCTTAAATGTAGTCAATTTGTACAGTAGTCAATTGTAGTGCATCCACAATGTGATAAAATCCTGTACAGTACGTTCCATACTGGAATCACATAGCCGAAGGAACACGGCCAGTGGAGGCCGAAGCTGTATTGGGATTGCCGGATTGGCAGGTGATACAGGTGACAAACTGTACATGTGGAAATGGGCTGAAGCAGTGATTTTACAGTCAGCCTTTAACACGATAGTACTGTACGCTCTACAATTTAGAGAGACTAGGCAGCTTTATATCTATATATAATTAACGTAAGCAGGTCGGCTGGTAAAGTTGGATACTAGTCACGTACAACCCTCACAGGAAGAGTGTTTCTATTTTCTCTTGTGTAGTTGCCCATCAAAATTTAGTTTATCGTTCGCTTAATTAAAGACTGTTAAAATGGATGTGTATACACCACCGGTTGCCCAAACAGTATCTAAGTTTGAGCGTTTGAGCGGAGGTTTTTTGTTGTCGATGTGTTTTTGCAGGCACTACCTTGTTTTGATTATTACTGTACACAGTACCAATCGTATTGAAGGATTTATCTTTGTTGTCGTAAGTAGATATGTACTTAATCTCTAACTCATGTCACGCAGTTTTTATACTATATTTTACTTAATGGTACTTAACTTGCGACTTGCGTAAAAAAGTAAAGTGCGTATCAGATAATTATTGGAAAAACTGCGGAGCTGCTCAGGTATATTCAGTAATAATTTTAAATCCATTTTGAAATACGATTATAATATTATGTCGGCTTACGCTGTGCCTGGTAAAGTGTACTTATCCTCATACCGCATGCACTGAAGCAAGGAGAAATTCTTCTATATATATATACTGTTGTTTCTTTTTGAGCTGGATCGAACTCTTCAAACTTCACTCGCAACAAATGTGCTAGCGGAAACAATGAACAATCCTGCTGAGAAAATTAGCTTACTTAAATTTAATAATAGAAAAGACTAATCAACTATAATCATATGTCCCGGGTTATTATCTTACTTCATGGATTATAGGCAACCGTGCTGCTTTTTTCATTCCTGTTTGGAGTGCAACAAATGAACAAGAAATTCGCTTGAGCACCTGTAGTATTGCAGAATTCTTTGAAGAAGAACTGCTCCAGATAGCCGACCTATCGCAAGTTAGCGTTACTTTATCAGCTAATTACAACACATGGATAATCAGTTTGATTGGGATATAAACGATGTGCAACTGCCCTCGGTATGTGTGATATTAAAACAAAATGTATATAATTACAAACTCTAACAATTACTTTATTATGCGACAGTGTATTACGTTATGGCAGTGGTCATTCACAAACACAATTGCCGGCTTTGTACCGTCTTAACGTCCTGAAACCTTCTTGTGTAAAAGCGCAACATGGCCCCCGTATCGCTACTTCTACCTGAGTATTTGAATGTTTGTGTTCCGCAGGTTGCACAGTACGATATGTTTCACGAATGGATTGATGGCCATGTAAAACTGGTCTATCCACTGGAGCACGAAGATGCCAAACGACACTCCAGTGGTTGGGCAATGCGCAATACAAATAATCACAATGTGATCATCCTAAAAAAATCGTGCTTGGGAGTGTTGGTGTGCAGTAAAAGCTGCATCAATGAATTTGGGCAAAAAGTTTATTTGCGACCGGCTATATGCGACAAAGCCAGGAAAAAACAACATGGTACGCAGTAACTGTATGTAGAAGCACAGAACGATTTCTAAGTTTAAATGTGGACCTGTGGTAAACTACAGTGGACTTCAAAAAGGTGATACATTCGGTCCGCGACCGACAATTCATTAGTCAAGACCAAATGACCAATAAAATGACCAATAAACTGCAAACATGCAACTGAGCACAGACTCATGCTGAATTCAAACACTTGCGCCGCGCACAGTTCCGAACGCAAACCATCCACCGATACCTCAAACGAAAGAAAAAACAATTACAAGAATTTTGATACCAAACAAGCTGTTTTTATGCGATCTAAAAGAAAATCGAGGCACTCAAAGTTTCTCGTAGACAAAGCATAGAATTTGAATCCACGGTTGAGTTTCAGTTTTCACGCAGAAAAAGTATGCTTTGTCTACGAGAAACTTTAAGTGCCTCGATTTTCTCTTGGATTCCATAAAATACAACTTGTCTGGTATCAAAATTCTTATAATTTTTTTCTCTTTCGTTTGAGATATCGCTGGACAGTTTTCGTTGGGAAATGTGCAAGTTGCAAGTGATAATATCAGCAGGCCGATGGCCAGCACGGAAGTTGGGTGTTTGAGTACAGGTAAGTTCCTGGTTGCGCGCGTTTTGTGGGTGGGTGGGTTTTGTAACACCTTTTTGAATTCCATTGTATAGTACTACTAAAGGTCATACAACAGTGCATGGCGTTAAATTTGGTTCATCAAGTTGACAGCAGATAGTGTTACTGAGATCTGACATTCAGATCGCCATCTAGCCGGCCCTTGCTTGTATGCAGTACATTATATTATTTTGTTTCTTTTACAGTAGTACTGTAATTATTTGTACGGTATAGAATTTATTTGTACTGCATAATGCACTGTAGTTGTTTTACTGAACGGATTTAAAATTAATCGATACTATCGTATATATATACTTGTTAAAAGTATCTGAACTTCTTCGAAGTTTCGGTTCTTACATATAAACATAAAAGCATACTTATTGCTGACCTTAGTATAAACATTAACTAAGTAAAAAGGACAGTTTCGTCTGCGATAAACATTGTCATACTTTTTCAACGTTGAAACAGGACGACCATGCCCCAACAAACTGTGTTCCGGCCGTTTGACAGTCGTACCCTGTCGAGGTCATTGTGGCTATCCAGTCACGCATTTCTGGCGGCACTCGTCGCATAGCATATTCTTTCAGTCGAAAGGTGTGCATGATCACCATCGCCCGGAACCTAAGATGACATCGGAATCGCGTAAATCCACCCGCAACGCCCTGAAGGCGAAGATGAGTGCCATGTGGCTGCACCGCAAAGACACTGCAGAATGGCATTCCACTGCAGGGCGGAAGCGATCGTTGGCTCGTGTTGGTCACGAGCACTATGACAACCCTGTCACCAGTCAAGTGAGTGCAGCCCTAAAATCAGCATGTCTATGTCGTTGAAACAGAATTTAATGTCTCATCGAATGTGGGTAATTAAAGTAGGGACAATGAATTTCAATGAGCAGGTTGCAATATGTGTACGAATTGGCTGTAATTTCATTATCACCGCAGGTGCAGCATTTTTATATATATTTTTCCGCATTTGCTGTAAACTACGGTAGCGCTACAATACAATATACTGCCATTCTGCTGAGTACGAAACACTAAACCGAAAGCGAAAAAAACGTAATTTGTTTTATGTCGAACAGCATTCTTTTGTTTTAGCGCTGATGTCGATATCGAAATTGTGGGATACTTAACTAAAATTTATGATCGGGCTATAAATGTACTGTACTATCGATACCGCCACGCATAGAGGTAACAAATGGTTGGGTTGTAAAACAAACAATTTAACCAAATTTAATCAATATTTTTTTCCAAAACCGTGGTGGTAAAAGTTGAACAGTCGAGTCAACCAAGTTCGTATTACGTGCGTATATTAGTGTAATTCAATGTCGTTTACTCTATACATAGTACGCGTATACGTAATACGTTTTCGCCTGAGTGTACATTGTATTACATCACGATTTGTAGTAGATTCATTTCTGTTTTAGAAAATCAGTAATTATACAACGAAACCCCACATATCCGAAAGAGAGGATTCTTTTGCTGCACCGCGACAACAGAGCATTATGCCACCAGCACACTTCGACACAACGTTGCAGGCAGATAGCCAACACATTCATCTTCCCGTAATTCATTCCCACAGAAACACTTACACCATCCAGAGACGATACTGTAATTTTACGGAAACTATGTACTCGTCGAACCGGACTCTTAACGAATCTGTCGAACAACCGGCATGTGAGCAATATTCCGATTTCCCAGCTGTCATTAAAGGTAGGCAAATCTTTATGAATCCTTTTGTGTTGACCCTTTTGGCTTCTCAATACCTTTTTGACCTTTTTGGCTTTGTCAGATGAAGACAGTAAGTATCGTACAATTCATTGCATTGCTCGTGCGCATACAGATACAGTACAGAATATGCATTCAAGTACTGAACTTGAAATTTCATACAAATAAAAAATAATTTTACTTGTTCAAAGTATAATAATTGTATAAACAAATTAAGCACCCTGTGAATAAGGTACAGTACTATTTCCAATAGATGTTACTGAAACCGATCCATCTCATGCGGATGACCTTTCCTACCACTATCGAGCGGAAGAAGCACATGTGAAATGCAGCTCCATCATAGCCGGGACATGCAACAATTCTCATTTTGCTAATGCGCCTTGTGCTACTGAACAATTTAACTATTTTTACGACCGCGATAATCAAGTCGATAGTCCTCCTGTAACCGGTTTTCTCGCTTATCCCTTGATTGATGAACCGACAAACCAAGAGTTTTCGACGCCGCAACGAAACGATCAGTTTTTATGCAAATACAAACTCGGAAATCGGGATGAGTTTGGAACCCATTCTTCCGCCTATATTTCTGGCTGCATGTCGACGAATGAATCTCAATTTCGTACTCCACATCCCTATGGGGACGCAAATTATTCCGTGAATTCCTCTCCAGTCGAACAAAGCGGAACTGAATTTGCTGGTAATTTTACTCCAGTATCTTGTTCCGAAATTTCTGCGTTTCCTTTAAGTGTACCACTTTACGTAGATTACAATTGCCAAAATAACAGCACATCTGATCGTATCCAGGCTGAGCGATGTTGTTATGTCCCATATTATGACGAATAAAAAATAAAAAGACAAAGTAATTAGTCAATTTGTTTATATGAAAGTAAGTTATCTGAGATGATATTAGTTTTGATGGGGGAAAAGCATGGAAAAAGATATGAAGGCTAACTTGGCTAACCGTAAGCGAAATTTAGTTCTTCTCTTCTGCCAGTTAGTCACTGATTATCTCGAGCAAAGCTTAACTTTTCTTGAAAGTGGCACTACAGTGAAAAAGCGATGGCATAATCAACAGTTGCGTTCTCTTTTATTGCACACAACAGTACATTTACACAGCGCAAATATTTTACTTGAACTCAACCGCGAAATGAGCGACAAAACAACCGCATAGTAACTGAAGACAGATAACTGGTGGATCTGTTGAACTGCCCATCACACAGCGGGAATCGCCTCCAAGAATAGCTTAAACCAAACTGTCGCGTCCAGCGAAGGTAACGGAAACATCTTCTAAACCCACCACGAAGGATGCTCGATGCCTTGACCAGGAACGAGTTCAAACCAATGGCCACACTCACAACGTTTCGGCTCGCCTTTATAGACAGTCATGTAGCTAATGTACAGCGAATCTTCATTGCCTGCAATAAATTCAAAGACTGTTGAAGAATATCCGTGCAGCTGAACTATATCAGTTATTCGCATTCGTCCTATTACGGGTATTAAAAATTTACATAAACTACTATCGACATGATCATATACCGGGTAACTTATAAAAAATTACCCTTCGTGACAAGAGGCAAAGCAGGTGATTGCTACGCGCACTACGTACGGGGCATAGAATCTGATGCTGCGCCCTGAACATAATTTTTTATTTGAACAGGTAACAGCAAAACCAAACGGTTTTGTAGAAGTCCTCAAAACATCCGTTCCGCATTGTGAAATTTACATCAGTCAGTAATCTGTTAAAGCCTAAAGCTTATGGTTAAGCGGTTAAATAAGAAAAATCGAATATAAAATCGCCGAGAAAACATGAGAGTGGTGGCGCACGACAACTTCGCGCCAGTTGCAAAATGACGTAAAATTTAAGAAAACTCGTAGACAAGTGGCTTAAAATAGCCACTACACTTTTCGATTATAATTTTTGACGCGCCAGGGTCAGCTCGCTGCATGCTGTTTCTCCATTTTCTCCCTCAGAAAGGCAAAGCAAGACAAGAGGCAAAGCAGGTGATTGCTACGCGCACTACGGGGCATAGAATCTGATGCTGCGACCCGAAAATAATTTTTTATTTCAACAGGCCGCAAATCGGGGCAGAAAAGTCTGATCCTCGAACAATCGGGAGACAAACGGGCGCACCAGCTTTGGATTAAAATTACGATAAAATTTATCATCACTGTTGAGACTTTGAGTAATGCTGAAATTAAATTATTATTCGATCGCATATTTACTTAATCTGATCAAAACAAACGGTACTTGCCTAACCGTACCCATAAAGCTTTACAATAGCAGAAAGATAACGAAGATTAGTGTGTTTAACAAAATGCAGTTCGTGGCTTTGCGTAAACGCTCTGCAAGTAGTGACATTAGAAATAATTATTCCATCATGAGATTGCCACAATGACCTACACATACACAGTACACCCACAGGCATAAATAGGTATTCCATTTCAGATGTACTGTTCTACTGTGGAACTTACAGACACAACCAATGATACGGTCGTCCAACATTGAAGGGACTTTCGTGGGCTGCTCTCGGGTGCCAGGTCCACGTTTGATGGCATTAATTTGAAACGGATCCTGGATGCATCCATCAACTCATGAGATCTCAAAAGATAAAACTTCACTCCAACTGCAAAAAGCACAGCTCACCTCATTTCCAGCGGCTCTTGCAAGCAGCTCCTTCTTTTCCAGACCAGTAGCCAGATCTAAAGGATCTGGTCCCCATCTCGGCACTAGAGAAACAGATCAACAATCAATAAAATTAGTTTTAGCAAGCCCGGTGCGGCAAATGCCTACAACAAGACGCAACACAAGAAAAAAAGCAAATAAGGCGATGCCCGGAAAACTATGCCACCCTAACTATGAAGTATGAACCGTGTGATGTGATCGCAGCATCAAGATCAGCAACTTCACCCACGTTTGACTCCAAAAAGCGATCGCGTTCCAACTGGTACAACAAATGCAGAAATTTTCTGCAACGCGGCTCGGGTAACAGGAAGAGCCATTTTCGAAAGAAAGTGGAAATATCACCCCTCCAGATAATTTTTACTTGAAATTTTTATAAAGCCTTAATCCTCAGAAATCACGTTCGGGTTTTGTTGGTGTGCAGGTTGCAAACGACTTGCAGAGACAAGGAAGTCGCAGACTTCGCTAATTATTCAATGCATAATCTGCTGCTGCATGAAAGACGAACTGTACAGGGCCAAACAGACCTGCGCTCTCAGCTGCATTTGAAACTTTTTTCAAGCCGCCGCCCTATGGAAGGCATTTAAAATTTGTTTAGAAAAACTGTTTAAAAACTAAAAACCATGTACGGTTGGGACAGCTAATTTTACGCGTATGGATCCCTTTTCCGGCATCCAAGAAATTCCGGAGTCATGCTTTTTTATGATTTTAGATTTTGCACCTCATTGCAACCACACAGTTGACAGATCACTGATAAAGTGATAATTATTTGCTTCAGCACCGATGGGTACGTACGGTACTACTAGCAAAGTCTGTAAAAACAGCACGGTAGAAAGCTGTTTGTCGGCGTATCGTAGCCCTGGCATATAACTCATATTTATATAAGCGTTCACGCACCTATTACTTAATATACATTTATACTCATGTCCCTTCCCCGGAGACATTTCTCTTAGACAAGAAAAAGGAATGCTAAACAGCTCAAGAAATGCAAAGATTTACGCTTAAAGTGCAATGGATGGTTAAAACCTACAAACATTGTTTGTTAAAGGCATGCGATGTCCTTTGTCTGGCATTAATCGATCGAAGCTCTCAAACAGTCTTGCCGTTGCCGCATGCACGACGCACGTAGGGCGGCAACTGATTTTTTTGTCATCGGGGACTACTTTCAGTGAGCATCAAAAACACATTTTTGTGGTATCCTAATACTCGTCCACACTCCACACTGTGGAGTGTGGACGAGTATTAGGATACCACAAAAATGTGTTTTTGTGTATTAGGATACCACAAAAATGGACTCCACAGTACGTACACGAGACCAGGAGTACAATATACTCGTGCTATAACTAACAATACTGTACTTGAAGATTTCTGTTTACGTGTAGGGTATATAAATACGAATGTAAAGACAGCATTCAGACCACTGGTACACTTCTTTTATATAGGTCGACGGTAGCAGTAACCGGAAGTTTGCAAAGCACTCACTGACATATTTATGACTAATTCCTGACGATGAGAACATATTCTACGATACGTAAGAGAAACTTAAAGTATATTATGTTAACAAGATCACGTTTCAGGACGGTGCCCAGGAATAACGGATGAAGTGCTATGTTGGCCAATTACCGCATTACGCGTAATTAAATAACCGTCAAAATTTGCTGCAAGCATTTCCAAAGGTTTTGGTGCAAAATCGACTTGTCTCACTAGCTGTGTGGTTGTGATTACGGGTATTAGCCACCGCAGATACTGTACTATTCTACCGTGGTACCGGTACTTCAGTACAGTACAGTAACTCCAGCTGTCAAGTCAATCACTACTTCAGCTGTAGCAGTTTATTTACAAGCAGCAACCATTTTATTTGAATCGCTGGCAAATGGCAATCATAAAAATACTTACAAGAGTAGAGTCACTGTATTTGTAACAGAAATTGCAGCATCAGTTATTTTACAAATCCACTTTTCCCACATCAATTTTCTTGAAATCCAGGTCGCTCAGAGCCCTCCATTTCCGGTTAAGCAGAACGCTCATTTCGTCTTCGAACACTGCAAAGTTTGAGCTGGATTTTTTTAGCCACTGGTAAAACTCTTTTGACCAGTCAGGCGTAGGAGGCCAGTCCAGCCTGCGTATAATGGCATTGCGGCGCACGTACAGGTTGCGGAGTTGACCTTTGGCGTACCACGCCATCAGAAGCAGCGAGCTAGTACTGACCAACTCATGGACCATCACAGTGCGCAGGTGCTCGCATGTCCGCACCAGAAGAAGCAGCTGCGAATCGCAGCGTTCGTACATTGGCCGACCACGATGGTACGGAATTTTGGGTATTCCAATCTATAAACGATATACCAATGACATAGTTATAGATGGATCATTATTTTTAAGTTCAAACTTAATGATCCATCTATGATCCATCCCTTTTCTACGTACGGGCTATTCGGGCTATTTAAATAGTCCGTACGTATACGTACAAAATTAAGAGCGCCGGCAAAACATAATTATAACTGTGAAAAAGCATAAAGATTGTGTACTGTAATGCTTACCACGGCAACTACAACCCGCCGAGAAAATACTGGTACCACTAAAAACATTTTTATGGCTTCACGTTTACAGTTAACTTTGATATCATATCCATTTTAGCGTGGGGATCATCACAGAACTTGTTACCTGACAGTAAACTTGCAGAGTGTTGCCGTATTGATTAATAATTTCAAGTGCACCGTGATGGGTCAGTTTCGAATAGGGCGTGGCATGGATAATCGCATAGACGGGCGCTCTTTCTTGCCAAATTATGTCTTCTTTTGTTTTGCCTAAAAAAAGTTGTTAAACAATCACAAAATCACGTTTATAAGACGAATTAGATAAGACAATAAGATTAAGATCCAAGGTATTCAAATGGGGTAAATTGCATTTGTTATTGTCATTGCACGCTTATTTCTGCGGTCAACTCCAGCAACTTGTACCATACGTATACGTACTACCGTGGCATTTACGAAAGCTTTCGTAATGCCTCGGGACTACGAATAATAGCAGCAATCAGGGATAAATGAATGCGTGCTCAAGCAAAATTGTATATCGTATTAACGTATTTCATATCTACCTCTGGTTTCCAGAAACAGATGCACTTTGCTGTTATCTCTAAATGGCTGCCAGTCTCGGAATCGCAGATGCTGTGCACCGGAAGTGAATTCTGTTTGTATCACGTGTAGTTCTTTGAAAGACTCGATATCGCTCAGTAACTTTATCAAATCGGGATGCAGATGGTTGGTGGAAATGGTCAGAATTTGCAGGTTGCGAAATAAGCCACAGTGCATGAAAAAGTAATTGTGCTTGCTGCAGTTAATGATGGACATGGTCCGCATACTTTCTTCGCAGTTATGAAGGACATTTTCCAGCAGGTGCACCGCCTCGAAGGTTTCTAACAACAGATTCTCTAGTCGCAGATCTTGCAAATTCACCAGATGACTCATGAGTTTTATTAGCGTTTCAAATAATCGCCCGCCAGTCCCGAAAATCCGGATTCCTTCCCTGTAGAACATAAATAAAATTCTCAAGCGGAAAACTCCTTGATAGGGTGAACATTCAGTTTAGCGTACTGCCTTATAAAACCATTTTTAATGCATAATATTTTAACGACTACGTCACAAACTCACAATAAACGTAAACGCACACAAACGACACAGCAAACTTACAAAGTGCCGTAATTTAGTCAGAATACCACGACTTTTACCGTAACCAGTTACATCAAATTTAATTAGGACAAATACATTATACGGTAATAATTATTATGATATATCAGAACAAACAGATTTTTACCGTAGTATACTTACCGGCTTCTTATCTGGCAAGCAAAGGAGAACTCGAAAGCTCGAAGGTGTTTCATTGGAGTAATATCATAATATGTAATAAAAGAATCCACCATGGTCAAGAATTCAAAAAGGTTGTGGAAATTGGAAATTGGAAAAATTTTCAACCGCCGGAAATGTCGACCAATCTGGAAAACCAGAATTGTCATGGACATGCGTAATACTGTTAACGAAACAACTGTTGCACAAGATCGAGCGCGCCGGACTATATTTCGTTTATATATTTTCCTAACCCGTCTTAAGCAAGCCTGCGCCACAAAAGGGTCAAGCGCGTCCTGGTAACCTGTAATAACCGATGGCAAAATTAGGATTCTAGGTTTCATCTGCCCATCATAAGCTTATAATTAAGATGTTAATGTACATGCTGTACTGCACATACGATATTGTACAATGCACGTTACGGTATTGCACAATTAACCATTATTTTATTTGTTAGATGTTACCCTACCCTAGTGGATCTATTCTGCATAACCCTTGAGGCCTTGACCACATTATTCTTGCAGGCCACACTCAATGATAAAATGCAGTTTGAAACAGAAAATTTCCTTTAACTGCTATAATCATTAGACGTACCTTTGTAGTAATCGAATTTTGACCGTGTAAGCGTTAATTCCCTCATAGCAAAGGTTTTCCACAGTTCGGGAAAATACAACACGCGCAACCACGAGGAACAAGTTACGGCGGCATTATAGCGGCTTCGCTTTGGTAGATAAGAAAAGATCTTTTCCACAATCAACTACAACAAGCGCAGTACATAAATCAATCGATTCATGGAAGAACTACGTATAGTTTCAGTCCTCTTCGACTGAGCATGAGTTTAGACCAAAATGCCACATTATAAGTTTTCACGCGCACTGCATGCGCTGTGCTAACTTACGTCTGGTAAATAATCCCATCTAGGAGGTGCCCTTTTCACCCTCTGATGGTTCCCTGGGTCGGTTCGGTTACCACCAGTAACGGTGGTGACGCTTGTCATTTTATTTTATGTCTATTTTGGAAAACTGGGCAATTTTTTCGATGTTCGTAGTCATATTACCACGCTTAATGAATAAGTATTATGAGCAACAACATCATGCAGCAAACCAAACGAGAGCAACAGTGCATCATATCATACGCATTTTCATACTGCGATACGGTAGCGCATTACGATGCAGTGAACTTATTTCCATTCTAATAATAAACAACCTTGCTGCTACTTCCCCGTGCTACACCCGCTCAAGCTTGTTGATCATTCAAGAAACGCTAAAAATAGAATCCAGGCCGAGCTTCTTTTGCAGCCGCATGTATACAAATCGGTACACTTAGAAACGGGCAAATGTTTTCACGTTTAATTTTCAAAGTTTACGGTACACTGTTTTCCACAGCTAAAACATTAAAAACCGACATTCTACGAAAGAAAAAATAGTAAACATACTCAATAATTCACAGAGCAAAAAGTTCTAATCGAAAAGTTTCGGCAGAAAATTCGAGATTATTAACCATTGTATACATCAGTCGTTAACACGCCCAATTCCGCCGCAAAACGAGCTCCTTCCTGGAAAACACGTTCAAATTCTAACAGGGACGGACGATCACTAAACGTCGCCTTAAATGTGGCCTTTTCTGAGCGTCCAGTGGCTTCATCGCTGGCTTTCCATTTGGCTGTATTACTCTGCGGATCCGTTTCCAAATGCGCGTCGGAGGCGATGCTGTGAATTGCTAAAGAGTTCGGTTCCTCGTAAGGATTATCATTGCGTTCAACGAATTCAACGTAGAACGGACTATCATATTCACTGTCCCGGCCCACACGAATCTGCCCGGCTTTCAAATTCTGTAAACAAGTCAACAAGGTACTTAATAAACGGTTCTGAAATTCACCGAACTGAGTACTTACTTAGAAATTTAGAATTACAGTTTTTAATTTTGAAGAGCTACCCAAACAAACCAGTCAGTTTGATACCTTCTTTATTCATAGTCAGTAGTCTGACTTTCCGTAATACTTACTTCCCAGTTCCTACTTTTTTCGGGTTGTTTGTGAACCGTAGCATTACGCTCAAAGATGGGAGCCCGCCAAATTTCATCCTCACCCAGCTCGCGGATACGCATAACGGCCAAATACCGAAGGATGCTTTGAGGCAGATTACTGTGATCTGGAAAAGCATTATGATTCACCTTGTGCACACGAATTCGAGGTCAAGAGGACTACTTACCGGAAATGTCTATTGGCTCAGTCACAGATTCTAGGACCATCATAAACTCATCACGAGGTCTTTCGTCTGCAGCAATGAGATCCTTCAAGTTATCCTCGGTTTTCAAGCGTAGCAGACCGCTATGCGGATGCACAACAGCATCAACTTTTCCACGACCGTTGTATATCACCCCGAACTGATTGTACAACTTATCACCATAACAGTGCCGCCGAAGATCGATTTCCTTTTGAACTGAAACATCACAGAAAATAAGCTATTGTCGAAAATGCTTAAATACTACCGAGTAGTAACTGTAGCAAGGTATAACCGTCTATATCGCGCAGTATGACGAAGAAAAATGACAGAGCCTGCATTCAATCATGGATCCATATACTTAAATCTGAATTCTTAAAGCCGCTTACCGTCAACACGCTCCTCATGCGCAGGAACATCATCTCGCACTTGCGTAGAGGTTTGTAATCCAATACTCGGCAAAACATTGGTATCCATCTTGACGGGTGCCTTTTGCCCTCCGTCAACAATCGGCATCATCATTTCGTTCTCATTCACCAGAACGCGATCGAACTCTTTAATCTCATCCTTCCATTTTCCAGCTACGATCTGCTTGCATCGATCAAACAACTCCTTGAATTCCTTTGCATGAGCTTCGTGTTTAAACTTCACAGCCAATGTTTCGCGCTCCATTGTACCTTCGCTAAAATCCATCGCATCCCATATCCATGCATTTTTTGAACCCGGCATCGGACGCAGTTCCATATCCTCTCGTACGTGGTGGTTGCAGCAAACTTTAAGGATCTTTTCTCGACGCATAAGAAGACGAATCTTATTGGAATTTTTGTCTTTCAACATTTTGAGATCACCCAGGCCACGTTCCTTCCATTCGGCATTAGTGTACCGATAGAGCTTGGCCCGCTGCGAATACAGTTCAAGTTCATTTTCTTCTCCAGTTGACAGGTCAACCTTTTCCGGTAGTTTAACAATGGGCTCGAAATATAAATCAGTGCGTTCAGCTTCAACATCGCCCGTATCATCTTCATCGTTCTCTTCTTCAGGCTTTTTCGGTGTAGTCTGGGGGCTAGTCAGACTGAAGGAGAAATTCCCAGATGGATTAAAAGAAAAGCCACCGGTGCCAGTGGGGGCAGACCCTTTCTGCGGAGTAGTCATCGCTGACGCAAACGAAAAACCGCCACCGGGAGTAGCAGCAGATGTAGCGGACGATCCAAATAAATTCGCAAAAGAAGAAGCTTTGTCGTCGGCCTTTACCGCCGCTGCCGGAGGAGCACCGAAGCTAAATCCAAAGCCAGGCTGTGCAGCAGCGGAGGCACTGGGTTGGAATAGATTTTTGAAGGGCCCACTTGGCTCAGGTGCCGGTGCAGAACCGGCTTTCGGAGTGGTGCAAGATACACATGCACTTTTATCGGCGCTATTTACAGTATAACACGCATCACAACTCCAGGAGCCAACCTTCGGTTTGAACATTTCGCTCAGTGAAGGCTGTTTATCAGGAACCGTTTCTTGCTTCTTTTCAACAGGTTTAGCGATTTCCCCGGTGGCTTCCTGACAAGCGACTTCTTTCTGGATACGCTCAAATGCGTCTTTAAAAGCATCCGCACGGTCGGGTAACTTGAATCTCACAGCAAAATATTCTGGCTTGAGTTCTCCATCCGCGAAGTCCTGAGCCGACCAACGCCACAGTGTTTTCTCTCCTTCTTTTCGATCTAACTTCATGGACGGCAAGATAGCATGATTTGCACAAATTTTGAACGTTTTCTCCCATCTCATCAAAACACGCCCATTGATTTTTCTTGTTTCTGGGTTGACTCGTCGCTGGATCGCTATGTCGCCCAGGCCTCGCTCCTTCCACTCCGATGTATTCCTGTCGAATCGGTGAAGTTTTGCACGCTCCTTGAAAAGGGTTTCATATTCTTCTTCCCCAGTCTTCACTTCGACTTCCGGTAAATTAACGAGTGGTTTGAATGAGACGTTGGGTTCATATTCCGCGGATCCTCCTTCACCCTCTTCATCCTCATCGTTCCCAGCAGCCTGCACTATGGCCACTGGTGCAAACAGTTTTGACCCACTTCCGGGGAATCCACTAGGATTATTCTGAAACATCCCAGTTGTTCCTGAACTAGCCAGATCAGCAAAACTGGACGCTCCACCGGCGGTTCCAATGGAAAACAAAGACGAAGCATCGCTTTGCCCAGATTTACTAGTTCCAAATCCCGAGAAAACAGAGGATGAAGGGGCTGCGCTTTTAGCCACTTCAGGCGTTGCTCCTTGGAAGGCTGTACCGAACCCTTGGAATCCAGAAAACAAACCACCCTTTGCTGACTCTGAGGCCTTAATGGGATCGGCAGGGATTTTCACCGGGGTCTCATTGGGTTTTTCCGGCTTCGGGGTGGACATGCTTGGAATTTGGGATTTCTGTGCCGGAGCTCCCCAAGTAACGGTTTTGGTGCCTTTCGTTTCCGGAACAACCGTAGCCGGTGAGCAGACAGGCGTATTAATTAGGCGTTCCAGTGAAGATGGTTCTTTCTTGGGCACATGCACTACAAACTGGGGATTCGATGAAGTTGACGGTTGAGCGGCGGTAACCTGTGGCGGAGTGGAATGCGCTGACGCGGTGAAAGCCGGGCTCAATTCCGTGCTGACGGGACGGGCCATATTCATGGTGCCTTCCAACTGTGCCGTGCCCATTGGCAGCATTCCACTCAAATTAACGTGTACAACATGGGGAACAGCGGCGTTCGTCTGCTGTTGCCGCTGGAGTTCTTCGATCTTCTGTGTGTGATTCTCGCCCATTGTTCTAAATCGGTCGAACAAATCTCCGTACTGCTGTTCCACTTTCTGCGTCGTCTGTTTAAAAGCACCCTCGACGTCGCTCAATTTCTTTTCAACCGCTACAAACCGAACATTGGTCCTGTTCTCCAGCAAGTCCAAGCGATCAGACAATTCCTTTTTGGTGACCTGTAATTCTCGGATAATGTCTGCAGAGTTCTTGGCGAGGACGTCTTGAATTTCTTTCAGCAAGCGATTCTGAATCAAGAATTAGTAATAAATTACTCACAAAAAGAATTCAGACGTAATAAAGCAAAATGTTGACATAAATGACAACTAACGGTTACTAACACCTGTTTTTACGTCAACTATCCGTACGTTTAAAAAACATACCTGTCCCACTTCCTCAGTTTGCAAATCTCCGTTGGCAGATGACAAAGAAAATGGCGACTGGAAAGAGAGGTTCGCCAGCGAACCAGATAATCCAGAACGGTTGCGCGCCTGATTTCTTTCTTTCACTAGATTATCGATGCCCTCCACAGCAAATCGCAGAAGTGAACTAATGTCGGCCACCGACGGCTTCGTCGAATGTTCAGAAACTTGGCTTCTCAAAGCGCTGGCGCCGTTTCGCAGCTGCTGTAAATAATTTAGACGTTTGCCAAAGTCTTCACTCGGGGCCAAATCTTCCACTGCCCGTTTCAAAGAGTTCACTGGAAAACCAGACCAGATTGTACTTAACAATTTTCGCGTGAAGACAGCGAACTGAGATAAAACTTACATTCTTCAAATTTCTTCTGCAAATCCGCGCTAGAAGTCGTCATGGATCGCATTGTCAGCGTCGGCGGAGTACTTCGATCTGTTCGGTTGGACATGCTCTGTTACAGAATCACTTCTAAACTCCCCAGTAATACCGGCGTATTTACCATGAGCTTGGTTCGGTTGTGAGGATCACGAAAAAGTTTTTCGATCAAAGTACGAAAAATCAAAAATCGCAGGGAACCGATCTAACGTAATTTGCGATTTTATGATTAATCAGTTTTCTATTTTTATCAAATTGTATGATTTATACAGTACTGTAATATCTCCGTTACAAAATCGCAGCACAACTGAAAAGTTCACACAGTACACCACTCCTCTTCCCTGTCCCTGCACTACTTGGCGCAATCCACATTTCCCTTCTCTCGCCGGCAGATCTGATGTCAGCGAATCTTTGTATTTTGTCAGTTATAATTTTCATGGAAGCTTACAATATATTTTTTTATAATAATATTCTATTTTTGTATTAGTGTTTTTTTCAAAGTATTAAATTTTAAGTATCGTGCAGCGTAAGTACGTGTTAATTCACTTAATTGTTCAGTACCCAATTCGTATGGTTTCGTTTTTCAATTTGAATACATACGTTATTTTTTTAATCTTAACAGAGAAATAATAATCGATGAATTACCCTCACGAATTATGAATGCTGGAGAATAACAAAAGCGAAAAATTCCGAGTACAAACAAAACGTTACTGATTGTGAGCTATGTACTTGCTTCAGCTTATGTTAGAACTTACTTAGAAGTTCACTTGTGAATTGTGATAACATTTCCATTTTCCACACGCTGCGATGCCGCACTTTTATTAGCTAATTCAATGGTCCATGATTACAGCATTCATTACAATCACAATTTTCAGGAATTTTTCATCAATATTCCAAAATTAACACAATAATTGCGCACCAGTTTAAAATCCGTGCGTTAAACGGTCACATAAACCCATTCGGCATCTAGCAAATTTAATAATCTACACGAAACAGTGAATGAAACACATCAAAACTGATTACAGTTTATTATTTATTAGCGTAGATCGAGATGCGAAGCAAGTTTAAGTACCTACTGGCATCTATTATTAATAACAGAAATTAAATAACAGGAGATGAGAAGAACAAAAATTCAGGGCTGATAAAACGTTTCACGACACTGTATTACGAGTAGTTTCTGTGTCAGACCCCATCCTCACAAGTAAAGCAAAAAATATCCGTTCGGAAACCACAACTCCAAATCACTGCCGTACATATACTTTCCATAATTTTCATCAGCTTCATGTCCATGTTGTACCTCCACGCAGAGCCAACACGAGATGCAGGACCGATCCCGCCTGAATTTTGTAATCGGCAGCAGTTTTGTCATCGTTCATTTGCTTTCCCGAATAAATCAGCCGCTGTTGTGGTGGGGGTATTCCTTCCTTTTCCTCCACTCTCTCCTTGATCCGCTCGACACGATCGGTTGGTTCGATGTCGATTTCAATTTCTTTTCCGGTAAGAGTTTTAACTTTGATCAACATCTTGATGCAGTTCGAAAATTAATGTCATGGGGTTTCTCGAAAAACAATAGAAACCCAATGCCAAAATTGCTAACCACTCTTAAAAGGCTGCCTTTCCAACTTCCCAGATTCTCCTGATAAAATCTAGTGCTTGGAAATGTGTAAGAAAATGATAAAATAATAACTACTTCGACAAGTTTTGAGAAAAAGATTTTTCCGTTACTGTTGCCTATTATCTGCGTTTGAACTCTGAAAGTCTGAAGTCTGCAGTGCTTAAGAAGGCGGGGAATCGAGTACGGACGCCCCTAATCCTATACTTCATATCCAGCATTTGGAGTTTACAGGCCGCATGTTTGTTTAGATTTTTGGATCATAGTGCGATGGCTAAGCAGTGACTAATAATAATATTATGTCTTCTACGCCTGTGAGCGACACTCGAAATTATATCAAATAAATTATTCGTACCGTTTATTTATGAGAAAATAAGAGTTTTAATTAATGCGTTGTCTTTTTCTGATAATTGCTAGCGGAGAACGTTGTTGTAGTGATAACATTCTTGGATGACTGTCGTGCGTGACGAGATTTAGAATGTAAGCTGATCTTGTGCTGAAGTACGCCATTGCGTTGTGAATTTGTTTTGCTCTTCTAAATCTTCCCACTCATTGTCTCAACATGGCGCGGTCTCTGATGCCTGGATATCAAAAATTGGCAGAGAAGTTGATCATCTTGAATGATCGGGCTCAGGGGATGTTGACAAGATTATACAACATTCGTAAGGTATGGTGTGCAGCATAGACATACTTTCTGTGTTTTGGTTTTCTTCTCGCAGTATTTTGTAGTACTTTCTTTTCTCAAGAAAGGAGGCTGTGCAGGTGTCTGCAGTTAATTTTACTGTCTTAGGCCTGCATCGATCCAGAATCCAAGCCGAGATTTCTGCAAGACAAGCAGTTGGAACCTGCCATTCGACATGTTGAGAAGAAATTCCCTGCTATCAATGCGAAATCAAACGGGGTAAGTGCACTGTACAGACCAGATAATGACGGATACTGCATTTACTCGAATTTTGAAAACAAAACCAAGTTGGCCAAATTATGCAATATCGACGACATTCCAGGGTGTTTACGGCTATTTGGCCCAAATTCGTGGGGATGTGCAGAAGCAGTTATCCATTTATTACGAAACTTTCGTGGACATCTTGGATTTTAAGGATCATGTCAGCGAATTACTTACAACGATGGATGCCTGCCAAATTACTCTCGATATAGTGAGTGATGGTTTGGTTTTTTGAAATACGATTCATTAGATTGTGGACTCGGTGTGGATCCTTACTGATATGAAAAAGTTTCATCCGACTGCAAAAAACACCGAGAATTTGATTTTTATTTTATTTTTTTGCTTTTTATTTGCTTTAGACAGCGAATTATGACGTTACGGTGCGGTATCTGGAACTTGTGACCAAATATGTGTGCCTGATGATCATTCTTTCGCGAGTGGATGACCGGAAAGCTATGTTGGGACTGTACACAGCGGTGAACGAATTAGCTAATGGAGTGAGGTAAGTTATCTTATAATCTTAAATTCGTAACTTAACATGAAAACGTGATCACTTACTAATGTAATTATATTCTTCTTGCAGTGAGCCCAGCTTCCCGCGACTTGGCCAGATGATTCTGGACTACGAGAGTCCTCTGAAGAAGCTTTGTGAGGATTTTGTTCCACATAATCGAGTAAAGGATTCAACTCAATAATAATATGGTCACTTCAGCAGCGTGGCGGTCCATAATAAAATACTTTTGTAGATACTTTCCTCGGCGCTGCTGTCCCTTCAGAAGATCTACTCGCGACGCAATTTGACTGCTGATCAATGGCGATCTGCACAGTTGTTGAATTTAACCAGTTTCCCACTAACTTTATCAACCCCTGCCCATACTGAAACGGTTCGAAGAAATATTATCCGCACTGATATGCTGCCGTTTGGCCTGTTAATAGTGTATGAATTTTATTTAGACTGCTTGTGAATATCTCAGCCTGGAAACCATGGAACGGTGGATACTTAGTAAGGACGAGCATGCATGCTGTTGCGGTAAAAATGTGGTGATAGCTGTTTGACTTTACAGTTGGGTTTACGTTATGTCACACTTCTTTGAACCAACCCGTCGCAATGGAACTATGGTCGTTGGCGCTGCATACCAGCTGGATCATGACGCTGTTCCGGGACGAAGCCATCCAGGTGCATTACTATCTGATAAGCTTTTTTGAATCCATAAAAGGTTTGAACAAGCGAGTGAATGAATTAAGGGACAGCTATGCCGCCGTCGTGCAGAACTCGTAAGCTTGTTCAAATTTTGTTGTCATTGCGGGCGACTACAGTTACGTTTTTTGCTGTAGGATTGTCTTCCATAAAGACCGTCGATTATTTCTGAGAATAGCCTTGAAAGAGCTGAATTTGCTGTTTAGTGACCAACCTGGACTTTTGGGCCCTAAGGTATACCGCATGCATAAAATAGTCGAAAGTAATATTTGGGTAATGGCTTTTGTCCAACCTACCGTGAGCTTGTTATTTAATGTAAGTGTAATGCATGTTTAACTTAGAACCAAAAAAGCGTTTATTTAGATGTCATATGAAATAAAACCAACAGAAATCTGTTAAATAGTTTGTCCATGCAGGCTATAGTATTTGAATTAAATTTTGTAGGCGTTATTAGCGCTGATTGCTCTTTCTTTGGCGCGGGATGAAATATCCTGGCTGATTCGGCATTCTGTCCATTTTGACCCGGGTCAACCATCCAAGGATAAACGAAATCGCGGTTACGATGAAATTATCGACAGGCATCTGCCAGAATTGCTGTTTCTTACAGAGCAATTGAGAGGTAACGTATATTAACATCCTCATGTTTTTTCGTTAGTTACTGTTGTATAAATTTTATTGCAGAGCTAATTCGTCGGCACGGAAAGATTATTCAGACTTATCATATTCAGTACTTGGGCAGTTTTGATTCGGGCATGTTGAATGCTCTGATGCAGGTAAGAATTTGAGAACCACGGAACCTGAGACGTTCTATGAACTTTGTTTTGGGACGTTTTATTAATCATTAACTATGATTTTGGTTATTTGCAGAACATTTCCACTTTACCAGAAGACGAAAACGTGATTTTATCTTCGTTATGTCATTCCTTGAGTGAGCTTAGCCGGCGGAAAAACAACAGCGACATAAATTGCGATACTGCGGATCTGAGAGATGTTCGCTTGGATTGGTTTCGGGTGCAGGTAAATCACGCGATTTCTTGTTTTTTTATACGCGTTCGTCGCATTGTGGCATAACCCTGACTAGGATTGAGATTTAAGAGATTGCTTACTTTTTAGGCGTCTGCTAGTTCTACTGCTAGGAATAATTTTGTCCTGCATGAGCACAAAGATCTGGTGTCTCACTTGAATACAGTGGCATATCATTCCCGCCTGGTCGATGACCTGGATAATCTTCTGGAGGAAGTGTCCGATTTGTCCATCTGCTGGTAAAATACCTTTTTTGCTGGTTACAAATTGTATGCGTTAACTGTGAAATTTTTTTAGTTTTTATCAAAGCTTTTTCCAAGAGCAGTTCTCTTTATGCCTGGAGTTTCCATCGCAAACGCGATTCATTATAGCTTTTCCGTTGATTTGTGGGCATTTCATGGCGGCTACCCATGAACTGTGCCCGGAAGAGCGGTCGTGTCTAGGTAATATTGCCATCGGAATGACCAATTTCTTTTTGGAAGAAATGGGTAAAGAGGCCAAGGGGATAATTTTCGATATTTGTGATGCGCAAAACGTCTTGGCTGATCAGGTGAGGCCGCACTTTTGATGTTAACGTGAGTGATATTTACTAATGGTGTTTCGTGTCCAAAACATTTCGGGGAATTGTTAAAGAGAAGTTAGTCATGGTGCTTTCGTGCTGGTTTGCGCATATGAAAGTTGTTTGTTTTTTATTTGCCGAAAAAAATAATATCTACAGATACATTATATCGAATTTGTATGTTTCTGAATTTTTGTTTGCATACTCGTCTAGTTAGTTGTGATTCGTTTACTTCCATCCTGGTGATTCGAAAATGAGCTCGCTATCAGTTGCTTTCGAAATTAATACGATATTCTGCTTTTTTTCTTGTTTTTGACAAGTGGAATTATTAGTAACGGTATTTTGGCTGTTCATTGTAGCTATCTCCCAAATATGCAGCGTACGTCTTAGTTAATCAGGCTGCTCAAGAGCGAAAAGGGAAAAAATCAAAAGCTGCTCCTGTGCACCACACGCTTCCGTTTCCGGGTCATGAAAGTTACAGGCGCAGCCGAGAAGATTTGACTACGTGAGTACATATCGAAGAACAATTATGGCGGTTATGTCGCTTCATTGACGTATGAAATGATTTATAAATGTGTTGTTCGATTTTCTCTTAGTTACGACAAATGTCATATGGCACTCACGGAATTGTGCTATTCCATCAATTATAGCAGCAGCGTGGTTGTTTGGGAACATATCTTTTGTCCAAAAGAATATCTGGTGCAACAGATTGAGTCTTCATTGGGAAAGTAAGATTTAGTACATTTCCGGCCGACTTTATGGGCTTTGCGTTTTCCGGCACGCATATGGACACATTTTTCTGTAGGGTCTTTGTCGATTTAATCAATTATAACCCAGAAACCCATGGGATAGCGCGTCCTTCGGAATTACTTGTCTGGATTCAGACATACATGAATACCCTGCAGACACTGGAGAATTATGGTAAATAAATTTTTCTAATATTTACAGTGCATATATGCTGGTGTGCTGTGCATGAAATTACAATTTTGTGCTCGTAAGTTTGGTGGGGGTGTGTTCGGTACCTGGTTTGGCCGTTTTGATTCTATTCACATTAGGTTCGAAGTTTTTTGTGATGTACTTAAACTTCGCCACGTCGGTTTAAAATATTTTCTTGCCAAATTTACGATGTGACCTTTTGATATTTGTAGTTCAGGTCGACATGTCCCGCGTGTTCAATACTGTCATGCTGCAGCAAACTCAGCCAACCGACACTTATGGACAAAAAACGATAACGCAGATTTATACAACATGGTACCTCGAGACGATGTTGCGTCGTGTGTCTAATGGACACATTGTATTTTCGCCTCTTCAAAAAGCTTTCGTGGCCATTAATCACGAAGGTGGAGGATTAGTGCGACCCGAAGATTACGTCAACCTCGTTGAGTTGAGGGCGTTGGCAGAACTGATTGGACCGTATGGGATGAAATATTTTTATGAAACTCTGACGTGGAATGTGGCCACGCAGATTGGAGAACTGAAAGTACACCGCAGTCGAACGTGTGGATAGCCGAGTAGGAATAATTAAAATGGTACTGATTGCAGAAACTGGTGCTGCAGAATAGTGCCGTTCTTTTGGACTTGCGTACAAGCTTTGATAAGCCGGAAAATATGAAGGAATTATCCAAGCGATTGCAAAGTAAGTTTGAGATGACGTAAAGGATAATTGGTTGCTGTAATTGGTGGTGGGCTTGTTCTACATTAACAATGTCTGTTTCTTCCCGCGTGCTCGCGCTCTGCAGAAGCAAAGGCAGATCATGGTAATTGCTGCTGTTGCATGCTGGGTTGGTATACGTTTAGTTAATGGGGCTTATTTGATGGTTACAGACGCCGATAATTTGCTCCATCGGATGATCCTGATTGGGATGATCTTACACTTCCGGTCTTTATGTCAGGAACCGCTTATTGAAGTGAGAAGCTTGGGTAGATTCCTGGTGCGTCATTAAAGCCACTTTGCTGTCGTATTTTCAGGCAGTGAAAAAACACGTGCCATATTTGTATTCGTCGGTGGAAGACTTTATGAGCTCAACGCATACGGGCGATGCGATGATGGTAAGCCGTACGAGTGGATATTAATTATCCTTTACAAAGCTTGTTGTATGGCTTTTCCTAGTTCGTTGTATTTTTCATGAATATTTTAATAAATGCTAAACTTTCTACAGCACTTTTATTTTTATTTTTGCTTTCTTTAGTTTGTTTACTAGTGTGTTGGTCATGATTTAATTGAAACGTTTAAAAAGCGTAACCCGCTAATTGTTTAGCGTGTGCTTGCGTCACTTAATTGAAATGATCATATCCATGAAATTAAGTGACATGTAGTGCGTCTTAATAAGTTTTACCATGTCACCTGTCAAACTATCATAAAATTGTTCACATGTACCTGAAAAGGCCGTACACCTTTGATTCATTTTGTGATAATATTTCGAAGTAAGTCAGCAGAGTGGTAATGATAGTTTCGTTGAAGCATGCGTGCCAGTTCTTCCGCTGAATGGCGGTTTAATAATGACGGTGAGAAATAGTATACCTGTGAACCTGTGATACAAACAAAACTGACATCTGTATATTATTGTAGTTGGTTAATGAAATGTTGATTTCTGTCGGCCTGGAACCAAACATTGATGCGGTGCTGATTAACGCTATTAGAGCACAAAAGAACGAAAAGAAAGGTAAGGGACGCTCAGTAATGGCTGCTGAATAACACCCTCGGGGGAGCCAGGATAAAAGCGGTGGCATAATTGGGCATATTAAAACGAGAATTTCTTTACGTATATCGATACCCATCTTCCACTTTTTTGGAATCTAGTTGAAAATGAAACCTTGGTTGAAAATGCTGGTATTTTGTAGAAAATGTTTCGGAAGAAGATCACCAGTTTACTTGTCTGTTGATGGTGTTCTTGGCCGTTTCTCTGCCGCGGTTGGCTCGTTTGGACGAAGCGGTTTTCAACGTCGCCCTAGAAGCCCATATGAACAACATGCACTGCCTCGGCAAAGCGGTTAATGTGGTGTTGGGGGCCATGTTTTACTTGTGCGATCGCGGTGACACCGTTGATCGTATGAGGGAATTCTTAGCATTGGCATCATCCAGTTTGCTGAGACTGGCTACTGAGTCCGACAAAGAGGCCATAAAAAACCGTGACTCCACTTATTTATTGTTGGAATATATTGTTAAAGAGTCGCCGTTCCTGACACAGGATCTCTTCGAAGCTTGTTTTCCCCAGGCACTGTACCGGACAGCTTACCAAGCTGTACATCGCACCGATCGACACCTGAATTCTTTTGCATAAGACTGTGGGACTAAGGATGTTCCATTGAACTCAGAGGTGCTTGCTTGTTGGATCTGTACAGAGTGCTCGTACTGGTGTCGTTTACGTCAGTTTTCCCAGTGTTGTCTTAGTTTCTTTTTACTGTTGACTTTTTTTACTGTTAACTGACATTTTTACATGTTTTTTTTATTTTTTATTATTTTATACAGTTTTATGTTTTTCGGAATGTCATTCACACATCAAATCAGAGTAACATCTGGTTAACAATACTATGATTCAGAACCATTCAGATCCGTAATGCCAAGGTGAGGGACAACAAAGGTTCCTTCAACAAATAAATTAAAAATCCAGTGTGCTCGCAAAAAGAGCAGCACTGGTTTTAAATAAAACAAAAACTACAATGTCATTCTGTATACAACGCGAGAGAAAAATCTTTCGAATAATAAATAACAGTGTTTTAATTGTAATCTCATGGAGGATTGTCTCTTGAGCTGCATCAGGCAAACTTATCACATCTCGATATTCTCTTCCCTTTCCTCTTTTATTGTGCCGTTGAAAGGGAAATGCATCGACGTGGTCGTCGTATCATTTGGAATTTGCGACGGCTTCCGGCTGTTTCTTGCACTGCCTCCCAGTGTCCTTGTATTGGCCCAACATGGAAATAGTTTCAGGAAACGATTGGAAGGCTCGCGCCTATTTGGTTCGCTTTGGACTGATTCCCGGTTAACTTGCATGTACCGCGTTAGATGGGAGGAAGATAAACTGCTTACTCTACGAGCAGCGTTGCGGTTTGTCTCGCGCTGGATGGCTCGTCTTTGGCATGCTGAACGAATGGCGGACTGCACCTGGAAGTTAATTAAATTACTACGAGTACTGTACGTATCGTTCGCAATGATTTTGTTTTGTACATGCAAGTCAACTAAATGCACCATTTTCACCATTTATTTCATCGTTAATTTGGTAAATAAAACATCTGAATTTTGTAACAATGGCCTATCCGTATAGTTTCTGTAAAAGGTGACCTTTCGCATTATTAGAGCTATGCTGAGTAAAAGTAAACTGAGTGCACACAAATTTAATATTGCATAGTACTTATGCAAACTTATCGGTTAAGACATCAAATCCTAGTTGAAATAGTTACTATAGTTAACGTTAACATTATTTTCAATTAGCAAAACTCTATTATTTAGGATTCAATTCTACAAACATTTGCAACCGAATCCTGGAATACCGGCTGGAAATTGTAAAAGCATTGCTGTAACAGATAACCACACCGGAGGATGCTGATTGTGTTTGCCCGACAAACGAGTTTCCTATTCAACGGATGGTTTGCACTCGTACTGTTCATACATACCTCGCCATTTAAAAAGCAGTACACAAGGCACACGAAAAACCCTTCAAATGACCGCAGAAAATGCGAAACATACATGAAGCCGGCGTATGCCGCGTATGGTATTTCGCTCTACGAAATCAAATAAAAATGGATTACAATCACTTATCAATGGCACTTGAAGGAGAGAGAATGTATTTCTCACATTTATCGGCGGCGGTACCGCCCAGATGAGATTTGTGACACCCAAAAGAGGTGCTAATACGATTGTTGCTTTGACGGCTTTTCTGTAAATTAAAAGAATATTCAATCAATGAGCATTATAATCGATTGTTGAAGGCTGCTGATGCTGCATTTGCCGCTGTATCGAAATATCGGGTTGATGAACTAGAAATCAATAATTACAGTACAGCCAGACAGCATGCAACGCACTCTTACCTTATTTGTACGGTATCCGATTGATGGGAATCGCGAAGTTTCGTCAGAAGCACCCGGATAATATTAATCAGAAAAATCAGGTTTATGGCGATAAAGAAATGCCGTGGGACTTCTAGGATGTAGTAGAAAAGACTTCCCGCATGCTGATACCAGCACATATCTTCGTTCGTTTTATTCCGTGACAGAAACCTGAAACAAAATAATTACACAATACAATTCGTATAACCTGCACTGTACAGTGTACACAATTACACATACTATAGATATAATTATATTTATATTGTCGTGGTTTCTTGGCATTACTGCCTCGTACGGTACTAGTACTCAAGCGGCGAAAGGCAGAAAAGGTTTCAAATACTCACACATATCACCGCAAGTAAAGGACATCATCACAGAAAGCGCAACGGTATGATTAAAAGATACGTCAAGGATAATTACACCCGAACACCAGATTGCACAAGCATCTTGTTTACTATTTCATTCAAGCTCACTATACGTGATCATGAGCGTCTTTTCTAACGATTGTTTTTAATTTTAATCCGGTGATTTCAATCGATATGACGAAAAGAGATCTTCGTGCCGACTGCGTCTTGAATTTCTCCTATCATTATACCTTCCCTAATCAGCCATTACTACATATCAGCGCAACGGCCGGAGTAAGGTATCGCAAAATAATTTAATCAGTGCCAAAACTGTTGCAAACATTTATAGCTAATGGCAAGCAGCGGGAACGTCCATTCGTTTGACGTAAACATGGAATCCCTACCTTAAAAATCTGTGTATTTACGTGCGGACAATTATCAACTACCTCTAATGATACTGTTATTAAGCAGCGGAATCGATACAATCATCGTTTAGTAGTTGATGCAATATCTATAACTTGTTAATTGATATTTCATTTAATTCGTAATCGTATGGATCGTATGGTACCTTTCATGCAGCCAGACGAACTCAACAATTGGCGCCCAAGCCGATACTAATAGTGCCGGAAAGCCTGCAAAGGAAGAGAAAAGCATGATGTATATCCAGACCGGCCACGTCGCACTATGTATACGACATGATTCGCACGGCACCCAGCGCGCCTTATTTAAGCTGTCTATCGATTAGTTTTCTAGGATCAGCTGCACTTGCACATAAAATGTCTCCTCTGTCGACCGGAAGTCCTCTAGGATGCCTTAGGAACGGCATGGGCTTTCCAAGTAATGATGCTTTGGCGAATAAGTGCATGTTTAACTGGCCAAGCATACTTTTAGAAAAAAATGTGCACAGACAACGCGTCGGCCAAATATATGTGTACAGTAATATATAGATGTGTGTCTGTGCCCGCGCGCCGGATTTATGGGTGCATTTGGAATGTAATTGCTATATTCCTTTTGATCAATTGACGGTTGTCGCTTGTATATACAGTAGAGAATACTAATACATACCCCAACCCACAGCGCAGTATAGCCAATAATTAGGTTTTGAAGCTTCGAAAACCTTCCAGGCCACGGCATTGTGCATATACAGCCCCTCCTATTAAGAAATCTACATAATGAGCTGCTCATGGTTAGATCGGCAGCTTCACCGGACGTAAAACAATTTTCTTACCAAGAACATCCACATGAACATTGCCGTCTGCAAAATAAAATGAACCTATGGCTAGTGCAGGTGTACGAAAATGTGACAACATAAATGCGTATTGCACGTTGAAAAAGATGCAAAGCAACAGCAACTTACCCGGCCGAATTCGATGACAATGACCAGAATTTCACATAAAGGTCGCTGAAATTATAACAGTCTTTTTTGTACTCTGTTCTTCTGGTTTTAAGTGGTTTTGAGCTAACAGCTTTTTGCGCCATTCAACTAGGCTTTGTTAATTTTGACAGCCTACCATTGATCTTAAACTTGATATGGTTCCAGAGCTGTGGGACGTCTTTCCGTAACCGGAAATGATCTGATCGGCAATTTCGGTTGTCTTGCTGAGTGTCTGGAAGGTAAGTGGAATTATGATAGCGGCATATCAAAGACTTATACCAAAAGCAACTGCGATTAAATTGTTAACCAAATGCGTTAGCGGTTCAAAAAAGTTTTTACCATTATCGCAATGGCAATGAATAAATGAACGTGGATGGTCGTTCGCGCACATCGTAAACTCCTAAATAAATGAAAAGCATAATCACTGCACTTAAAGCACGCCGGGTCCTGGCTTAGCATTCACAGTTTATTTAATTCTTTTACTTACCGGAAATATCGAAATATAAACAAAGACACCAAAACGCAGATAAAAGACAATGGAAATCCTGACATTTCGATGGCACGGGCTTTATGTAGTACTTCAAATCGCTCGTTCGTGTTATTTGAATCGCCGAGGAACACTTCAAACAGCGCTTTTGTGTCGTCTGTGAAGCAATCATCGTAGTGAGTGTATCCGGCTTCTCCATGGTCTCCACCCGGCAGTCCCGTCCATTTCCCGTCCGATCCACAAATCTTTTTAGCATATTCTGCAAAGGTCAAATTCGTCTATTAAGTTTTCTCGCAACGTGATCGAGTATTAACCGATGCAGCGCGAAATTCATTTTATTATTTCAAAATCATTTGGCCCTTGAAAAAAAGGCATCTACCTTTAGAATTTTTTAGTTCGTCGTTGCAAGCCGTGTGAATAAAACGTTATGTATTTGAAGAAGAAATAAGGTAGCTATCAAAAGATTCATAAAATCTGTTTGTTTACATAGTAGCTGTGGCGCATGCTTATCAAACTGCACATGACGTTAAGACAAATTTATCGATCTAAGATATGTACATTGCGCATCAATAAATAATTTATATTATGTCAACGTCGTTTATTGTCGTTATCGAAAGTTAACCGGAATAAATGCACGACATCTAACCTAATCGTGCTTTCTTGAGCGAACCGAAAACAAAATCGATACACTGGACCGAATCGATACAATGTAAGAGCAACAAGCTAACATAAACTACAATTACGCATTTCCAGGTAGTTTTAGGATAGAGGTAGCCAATTATTATATACCAAATGTAATAGTAGCCAATTATATAATAAATAGAAAATGCGGAGTTAAGAGTTAGTTAAAATTAGTACTTCGTACTCGTCAAATCAAGTATTCGTTAGGATACCAGAAGTCGAGTGAACGCGAATTTAGAATATACAAGCTTAAGTACACTGAAGAAACAAAAGTAAGTTTTAAATATAACGTTTTATAGTGTTTAAACTACGCTTTCCTTTCTGTAGCAAATGTTTTTACATTAAATAAAAGCTATAAAAAGTTCAAGGTTTGAAATAATGGCTTGCTAGCGAATCAGGAAAAGGAAAAGGTCGCACAGTGACACAGTCTGTAAACTGCAATTTAAATCTTCTAGTTGGCAAGAACGACGTTCCATTAATGTCATCCACGGAATAAAGTCGAGTCATATATGTAGTTCACTGGAGAATGCGACTAGTCGGCTCTCCAATTATGTATCGCAATAAGAAATACCGTTCCCAAGGTTATTACTTACTGGTGGGATCAACGCCTTGCATTCGCGGGCACAGTTGCGTGATCGTTTCGCCTGGTGGTGCAGCCGGCCAGCACAGAACCTCGTCCGTTATTCCAGGACACCATCCTGACGCGTGATAACATAATTTGTTAGCATTGAGTCATTGACCATTGTAAGAGCAACATGAAATAGAAACGGCTTCTGGTTTAAAAGATCTTCGTTTACTCTGTACGACTACATCGAAAAATGCCAACACCGTAATAGCAAAGTCTACTGAAACTACACTATGGTAATAGCTGAGTGACAACGACTGCTGCTTTTTAGCAATAAAAGTTTAAATTAAAACAACAAAAACGTCCAGCTCGTATAAATGGCCATATAATCATCATGATCAGCTGCATTTTGTACGCAAAATACTAGAAGTATGTTATATAATAGGTACTTAACTAAAAAACCAAAATCGTTGTGCCGAAGTCTATTCTTATATGTTGGATCGGTGCACAACTTTGCCGCTTAATTTCTAACCTTCTTCGCCTTTTGCTTGATTGATACTTTCTAGGAACGAAATGCACTGGTCTGGGATATAGATAGCCCATGGTTGGGGAGGAGGAACGACCATTTCGACATTCCGGCTCATCCGGGAAACCGGGCGATTCCGCGAAAAATCATTATAGTCAGCTGAGATGGTCGGAATGATTCCATACAAAATCACAAGAACAACAGGAATACGGAAGGCAGGGAAATCGAGAACCTGCAGTAAAAGTTAATTCAAGTTAATTCTTTATAATCACTGATGTCAGCACGTCAGCAGACACTTCAGAATACAGTATATAGAATTATTCATGCAATACAATATTTTCCAGAATACAGTATTTGATTTCTGCCCTTATGGAATATGCTCAGTACATACTTCAGAAACAATAATTGTGGATTTTTATTTTGCATGATAATAAATTACAACGTTTATTTACTTTAATAATATGCAGTATGCACTTGGCCAAGCACTGACGAAAAATCTGTTACCATTATCAGGATACGGGACCGTGTTTAAGACACACTCACAGAATTGCAGATCATCTAGAATTTCACTTTTTTACAGGGATGTTAACTAATGCATTACTAATAACTGTGGCATATCCTCATCGAATAAATGCAAACTACGCAAAGACGTTTCATGAATCATTCTTTCACAAATAAATTTATTATTCTTGATGATGTAGTTGCGATGCGTAATTTGCCTTAAATACTCTGTTGGAAATTACTATTTCCGCTGCACTGTAAAGATAAAAATATTCAGCCAGCAGATCTACAGTGCGTGCATATAAGTTTGAGTAAGACATGACGGGTTGCCTGCTCCATCGAAATTATGACTTTTTCATGGAGAAGGACAAAGAGAAAGCAAACGCCATAATACAGGCTGCAGGGGAATAAATCGGGTTTTTCCGCGCAGAGATGCAGGGCTCATGGGAAAAGCACTTGCCAACACTGGCCCGTAATGGAATCCATGGCCATCCCGGCTCAAGAGCGCTGTCACCGGTTATACAGCATATACTGCATCATTTCAATCGTATTAATCTGCTATGCTACAAATTGGCACCGATTTCAAATCATTAATTTAATCACATACGCACGTTCCTCTGACCTCTTGCACATCTTGCGGCAGCAAATTATACAAATAGGCATACTCTTTCGTGTAAGTTTATTGACTGTTTCTGTGTAACGATGATTTAAATATTGTGAGTTAATTTAGTGATGACTTCACGCAAAAATTAGTTAGTTCCCCAGATTAGCGCGTGGTTGATAGAAAAACTCTATACCACAGTGCCATACCGACTGAGTCCTCTTACGCAAAAGAAAACCACAAAAAGTCACGGCCATACTAGTGAAAAACAGCGATTCATCCCGATAAGAACGTGCCGTTAGCGTTAAGTACAAGAAACCACATTACCGGGAAGAGCTATTGCGGCCTTAACGCTGCCTATGGGTATGGCATTCAAGTTCCGGTTGCCGCATTCAGCATCTTTACTTCTCCCGGCAGATAAGATTAATTTTCAGAAAATTCCTATTAATATCGGTAAATTTTCTGACGGCAATAATGTTAATATGCACTATGACGCCTCTCTGTACTTGCACGGCAATTTCACTTTGTAACATACCGTAATTGCTGCAATATGATTACCAGCGTCTATCAGACTAATGGAAACATATACAGAGAGCCTGTATGGCGCACTTGTACCAATAAAAGCAACAGACATCCTAGCATCGAACAGTACGATTCCAAACAAAACATTTTTCTGTGGATTGTTTTCATTTTTATTGGAAAAGATTAGCAAGCAGTGATCACTTAAAATTTTATGACGGGACACTTGACAAAGAATCGAAAATTTGCAGAATAGCTCATCAGATGGTGCAACCGCACACACATACGAGTACATTTGACCAGCGAAAGGTGTCCCGTACTTACATCGCAATCAAAAGATAAGGGCAGAAACAGGCTAAATTTTTCCGGACAAGAGATGTAAATTTATTTATATGACAAGCATATTTTTGAAACAAAAATTTAGGCACTTCATGCATACAATACGCAAGCACAAGGATGTGATAAGCGTTCACTGGTAATCGGTTGTCAACAGCAGGCACAACCACAAAGGTTAATTTTTTCCAGCATTTTATCGGAAGCATGTGGCACCTATCCGATTACAGCAAAAAGTGAAATCATTTTAATTTTATTTACACAGGAGCAAATTTTAAGAATGACATTGCAAAAAGAGAGTGGTCAGCTGTTTGACATTCTCTACTCAAATGTCCCACTCGAAATTTCTCTCAAGTAACACGTGCTGTAAGTTTTTAAACAGATCCCGGATCATGACGTCTGTACGTCGGAGCATCAAACATTTTGTATTTTATTCCAGTCGTGAACAGAAACTCTGCGCCATGCAGAGATCCTGATAAAAATAAGCGATACAATGTCTATATTTAAAACTTCAACAGTGACGGCGGAATATATATTGTGGAGACTGTGATTACAAAGAAACTTAACGCCGGCGCATGTGCATGATAGATTTTCTTACAGCTGAGGCTCTCCGCTCTCGTATGCAATTTCGATGTATCTGTACCTACAGAAAGTAACATCTAGAAAAACGATATTTGCCAAAACTTGATGTCATGCTGGATATTTTCAGCTCTTGCTGTTTTAGTAATGGCTCGACGTCACAACGCTGTATAAGCGTTGTTCTACATAGTGCAGGGTCATTTGATGTGATCAGCGGTGTATTCTTTACGAAAAAATTTAACACATAGTTAGCACAGGGGCAATAATTTCACTTCAGTCCAAAAGACATCATTAAAGTACAAAATCCATTAAATTCACATTGGGCAGCATTGCTGCCTGTATACACACTAACAACACACAGCACCCGGTGCATATGTTTCAGCGGGAGTGCTGGCTAAGCACAACAGCCGAGTGGCTGCAAAGGGCTTCGTACTTGGAGGGTTTCGGATCAGAGAGTCGACTACTCCTAAACAGTACTTGTACCGTTTTGCGGAAACGACGAAATTTTATACCAATCGATTTTCTATCCCCATAGTTTGGATTTTCACAATGATGTTTTCTCCCGGCCGGAATTACCGTCACCGGCTGACGTACAGTCCGACTTATACTGCAGCTTTACTGCCGATCACTATGACCCACTGTGTTGCCCACTAATCCACGCTGATAGATCGATCTCAGAACCGGGAAGAGCTTTTTCTTATAAGCAATATCATCCTCCTCTTAACATAGTTGGATGATTCACAATTTGGAATGCAGAAGAGCATTGCCCACCATTGGCAATTTATTATGACGTATTGTAATTAGCTCAAAAAGTAAATTAGCCAAGTAAATATTAACAGAGTATTTGAATCTGCCCCACACTTGCAGTAATGACTATATCTTACGTGTAATCCAAACAATTCAGGAAGAAAAAATTCAAAGCGCATGATCGAAAAACCAGCAGTGGCACTCGCTAATTCTTCGTAAAGTTATACGTACTTTTATGTGTAACTTTTATGAGAGCTGTTAAATTTCAAACTGGATATATTCTCATTCACGCAGATACATTTTGTTTTGTAATACTATAAGTGGCAACCATTTGCCGTATTGCAGAGTGGTATTTACATTGTTAATAATAATAAAAGCTAAATTGGAAACGACGACGACGATTTTGAAATAATGCTTTGTAATAAATACGACTTCAGACATAACATTTTTCCGGGAGTATACCAAAATTTGCTAACAAATTGTGATAAAATAAAGATGATAACTGAATTGTATAATAAAAGTAGTAGTACATGGATGATTTACATTTATTTATAAAAATTAAATTTTTGGCTGTATCTGGTATTTCGTTGTCGCATACCTGGTCATTTCGTGCTAATACAGTAATTAATTTTTGTCAGGTAATGCAACAAGCCTGTGATTGACTGCTGATCAGTTCGTCTTATGACTGCACCATTCAAAATATTCAATTAATTGTACAACAGACCGGCATGTATGAATCTAACAGAATGTCTGCAAACGCTAGCGCAAAACAAAAGCAAATAAGCATGTTTAGTGTTGCACCAATGACACAATATATTTGCACACTGAGAATGTCGACAACAAGTACCAGAGAATCCATAGTCACCTGGTTCGGTATTTTTCGCCACCATGTAGCTATGTCTGTATGTTTTTATTTTCTTTTCTCTACCTGACACGACTATCGACCTGAACGTCCTGCAGCAGCACAAGACTTCTCATCTCCTACATCGTTTATGCGTTCATGTTCGGAATATAAGGTTTCTTTTCCACAAAGTGTTTTAGTTCGTAGGTGCATTTCTCACCACGAAAAAACTTCAAAGCTGTTCTAACTGTATTTAAGTAATAAAGCGAAATAAATTGAGCATATTTTCTAGTACAATATACAGTATTTTTCTACAACGTATAATATTATGTACAATATACAATATACAATATTTTTGTGCAATATACAATATTTTTCTAGTATAATATAGTAATTTTCTTCTACACATTTAAACAAAACAAATATGCTGTATTACTACATGCAGAATTGAGAATACTACCCAACTGGATCAAAATTAATTTTTTAATCAATGACATTTAGTTGTTTGTATGTGTAGATTGCTGAACCAGTTGCCTTATGCCACACATATTCAAAAAAGTTCAAAGAAAACTACTTCTCAAAGATAATACTCAACTCTTATACAAAAGTTCGAATAACGTTTACAGTGGAAAACTTGGTTAGACAACAAACGCCTTCCAAATTGTCAAAGCTTGCCTTTAATTAAATTTTCCCAGGGCATGACCGATGACTTTTAGGCTTTCGGTTATGATTAATATAATTAGTACCCCTGAGCTTTCGAATTAAGCCATAATAAAAAAACACAGACGCTCATGATCACTGGAACCAGTACTTCGCACCTGTACGAATCCAAAATTGCATAACGTTTTCTAACGTTAACATGATAATTTTATCAATGACCGAAAGAGGATACAGTATTTTCTACCGAAACACTAAATCTTTGCGGTGAATACTCATGGCAATGTTATCAGCAATATCGGCAACACAGCTGACGTAAATGTCCACTTTATGGACTAACTAGGTGTTTAAATTTATCCATAAAGTAAACACTCCATCGCTGCCAGCTCAGCAGTTTCATTAATACCTTGTACAGTGCTGGTTTTTTTTATAAAAACTGTCTCAACCAAAATAACGCCAACAGAGTGTAAATATTCTATACAATGTAAAACTTCATCGGCTACGATATACGATATTGCATTACGAGTCGCGTAAAATTTTGAATGTCATTTAGCCTCAGAGAATGTAGAGGAGAAATAGATGAAAACGCAAATTCATAAATTTGAGCTGGGTTTAATCTTAAAAAAAGTTCATCAAAAGCATACAATTCTTAATAATTCTAACAAGATGAACATTTCGTAGTGTCTGCGTAATTTCACTGTACGTAAAAACATACCCGGTTCTTCGTTGTTGCGGAGGCAGTCTTGCGACACAAAATGCAGTGGATAGAAGAACACATTAAAGTAATCCTCGCAATACCATATAAATAAAATAGTAGCAAATAATTACGATGGTGAGATGGTTTCGATGTAGGATAGTCTTCCTGTAATTAATGACACATGATCACGATTGCCGGCAATAGTAGTGGCAACTCATGCATACAAAGTGCGGTCAGCAGCGAATGATACAATCACAACCTTTACGACAGTTGTATATATAATCCTAGATCAGTTAAATATAGGAAAAAAAGGTAAACAGTGGCAGGTGTACGGTCGTGTACATCATGTACAATGATTAAGTTAGCCCATCTGCGCACATCATCTAACAACACCGAAACATTCTCTTTGAATAAGAATGACCTTATAAAAAACTGGCATAAGGTAAAAATGACTAAATATGGCAGCAGTGTATTAATCTGGAGAAGATTGTTGTGCAGATCGATTCATGAATCGTCTGTACGAAAAACGCGCACCCTCTATCAAGCCAACCGCGCAGCAGATCACAGCGCACCAACACACAAGTACCTACAAATAGACTTTCGCCGAGCGCCCGTAACAACTGACGACATTGAACGGCGCGCGCATATTGCAAGACGTTACATCACTGCCTGTGGTCGAAACTTCCCTTCGCGTATCTCTCGGGCTGATAGAATATTGTATGGCCGGGTACTGCAGCAGCACCGGTACGGCGTGTACATACTGATTGGAAGTTTAAGATGACGTGCTAGGGTTGCCAAATATTCCGCATGATACGATCGTGCACAAGGAAAACACAAGGCGATATTCACTCATCGGGTTATGCTTTCATACCGCATGTACAAGTACTTCTTAAATATACCCAACAGCTGCTAAATTATTGTACATACAGAGAGTAACAAATAACTGAATCACATAGAACTATTCCAAAGTGTGCCGGAAACTTACGAGGCTTAATGTTTATTTCGTACTCTTGCCAGCAGCGACAACGAAGAAACACTGACACGCTACGAGTACCAACACTTCTCAGTACAGGTGTATATGCCGGCACTTTCAACTGTCGCTACTTATTAATGGCGAAGTAGGCTTATTGGCACATAATATGGTAGGGGTCCCACCCAAATAAGAAAGAATTATCGCTTAATAACAGCTGCTATTTCCTGCATCACGGGGTGTTATTACATGTCAGGATTTGGACAGAATCTTGATTAATATAATAACACACTCTGATATATAAATATCTATATATTGTATTTATATCTGCAGTACTTATGTTTCGACCGAACAGCCGCGATGGTTTATTACTGTAGTAAATTTTCGTAATGTCGACTAGCACAATACATACAGATACACAAAAAATCCTGCATGTTTCTAGGGCAAAACGGCTTTGTTGGGAGCTGTACGGATATGATTATATGCATATCAACCGGTACCTTAAGGCAGCGTCATTATAGGGAATTTTTGGAGGTGCATGCGCACGGATGCTATCGATTTACCGTTGCAACCCAACGTTTTATTTGGGATGCGTGCCACCACGCCTTTTTCGAAAGAGTAAACAGCCAATCGATTTGGGTTGTCTTAATTCTTGTTAGACCGACATCGAAGCGGAAGCATTATACGTATACGTTCGTCTCCATTCCATCATCGCCGTCCGTAACAAACTTGTTAGACAAAAACTCGTGTGCCTTCTAGGCCGTGATGAACGAAACGATCCCTTGATTTCCCTTTAGACTGCGGATTGAAATTACTGCATGGTTGCCGCATGTACGACCGCGTTTTTCCAAGGGGCTGGGCTTTTAAATTATTAATAATACAAAACTGACGCAGAAGTTTGTAGATACCGTCGCAATAAGTATTCCGCTCAGCTAGACCAAATGCTTTTAGCAAACTTTTGCATATCATTTGGAACATAAAAGTACCGGAACCTAAGTTGTAAAAAGTTAATTTAAATTCACTAAGAATACTATGAACAATTCAAGGTAAATAAATGTACGCTGACCGCTGCCTATCGGTAAAAAAATCTAACAAAATAAATGCCAAGAATTTGTTTTGCAGTGATGTGGATAGTGGGATACTACGTCCGCTGCATTGTTATGTTTTTTTTACATTAATTTTGTATTCCCTTTTATATATATCTCTTCCTACTTGTTTGGTGTGCTCGTACATCTTTCTTGATTTCTACGATTGATGCCTTTATTTTTGTCATGTGGACCTTAACGCACATAGTCATCGCACCTCAATTGTTGTAGCCAATGGCTACTGATCGCTAGCTTATTACGCATTACTGAACTAAGTTTGCCAAGTTATGTTAATGTGCCGGTATCTGCTCAAACCTAACGGTAAGTCGGTAACACCCAAAAGTCTAAATCACCAGTAGAATACCACTATCGAAGTCACGTTTAGCATTGTAGGACTGGACCATGGTGAGCCGAATAATTCTCGCTCAATAACACGCCAGGACGCGCTCGCCAGGATTCTCGCTCTGGTTGTACTGTTTATCTGCACACAACATGAGGTACGCTCTCTTGTAGGTGTTCTGCACCTGACCTTTCCATCTGCCCAACCCGAGGGACCTGGGACATTATCTCCAGCTTTGCGCTGGACCTCGGATTACAATGAATTTTATCCTGTACACAAGGTTAAGTACAATCTGATGTACCCAGTTCGAATTTTTGCTTTATTTTTGCTTTTTGGTATTCCTGTTTGGTATTCGTGTTCCTGTAAGTCGCCCTTTCTGTAATTATCCGACCGCGGAGAACTGAAATCAGCCGCTCGGCGACTGATCGAGTGTGATCAGTATTGTACAAGCAGTATTGTTCGCCTATCCTTTCTTACATGACAGCAAAGTTACAATGCCAATAGAAAATTTTTATGTTAAACATAAAAATTATTTACTTGCACTATCACATTTAACTATACAAGATAGCCAATGCTAAAAAGAAAAACCGTGTGAGCAGTGAACTGTATTAGTGCAAAAATCTACTCGTAGATCTGTATGAGGTTCTATGGCAGTTGTGTACATATGCGGAGAAGTGATAATTACTGTATTTTATGTAAGCGACGGCATCATAGATCACTCCGTAAAATTCTGTACTCGTAAAGATGCACTCGGTAATATTAAGATCTTAGGCATACACTCTGTAAGGTTAATTAAAGGTTTGCAACAGAAGGCATACAGAGTATTTGTAAAAATTTATACGAAACGACCATCGACGATCTGTATGTAGCATCCGTATGTGTGTAACAGGTACACGATCCAGAATTTCACCGTTTTTCATGTCGATATTTAATAGTATTGTACTTATCTTTCTATCGGACTTGACCAGTTAAAATATCAAAACCCAAGCATACCTATTATTAAAAATATTGATTTTTAATTGTAAAAAATATTGACCTTTATTTTTATGTGTAGCTGCTTTGCACGCAAATTCTGAAGTTCGTGGATTCAAAAATATGAATTTGCAGTTACTAATCAGCGAATTTTCTGATATTGGGTAGGAGACTTACCATTACTAAACTTCTGCAATAATCTTCTGCAAACAAGCTAGCAAATATTTAATAACAGTACACTACTGTAGTAGCTAGTCGGTAAGCACATCACGAAATAATCACAGCATTTGCTCATTTGAATTTTCCAACTGTCAGTGAAATTTAGTGTGTTTAATCTTTTTTCACTCTTAAAAACGAAAAGACTGCATTGTGGAGCATACGTACGTGCTGGAGTTTTAGAGGGCCAAGAGCTCACCGTAAACCCACCTTGGGAATCGCAGCTTTGGCCACATACCCGATCCTAAGGCTTAATTCTAAACGATCCCTAAAGGATCTACAGGTACTGCACTTTAGATCCTCAGTCGATCCGAAGAGGAGCGGCTGTATAGTGAAATTTTTTTGGTTGAAGAGTGGAGCTCTATGATTAGGCGATCGTGTTACGAGTACAGAGGGATACAGATTTCGAGCACCTAGCGGCTCGTTTGACGATTCACCGTAACTGGTCAGTCGAGTCCTAAGAGAGTCGATTTCGATGAAAGAAGTATGCTAGAGGAATTCGTTGCGGGTCGTATGTGGAGCAAACCGTACTCTTAACCGGATCGCATGTAGCGGATACAGAGTTCTCAGTTAGGAACGCAGTTTAAATTGCTGAATTTTAATTATTTCCGCTAAAAAACTAATTCCGTAACTGGAAAAGCAATTAATACGAAGTCGTAACAATAACCTATTAAGTGCAAAATAACTTTAAAAAACCAGGAACCAAATTACTAACTTGACCAGTTAATTAAAATCATCTAGGTCATATAAATCACTACCTTATAAAACTTAAAAAAAGCGAATTCAAGACACAACAATAAAACTCAAGTCATTTTGGACAACAAATCTACCGGTATCTTTATGCTCTTAATTTGGCGGCCGTTCCCGGTAGTCGGCTAAAATTCGGCAGCGCGCGATTTCGCTTTTCATCCAGGAGGTCATCGCTCTGGCGGCTGTCACGTCGCGAAGTCAGCGGTGCGGACATGTGCTAAAAACATAAAAACCTTAACTGAACCAATTAAAGAACCTCAGTAGGCAGATTTTAATTACGAGGTGAAATCAGTGGATAGCTACATACCTTTCATAGCGCCAACAAAGCCTTTGCCAAATGTGCGCTGGAATTCTGCTTCGGATGTTTGGGGTTCGAAACTTCCCCGTTTATTTCATTTTAAATTCTTGCGAATACGCATCTGCAAAAAGCATGTTTAAAATAATTAATATTTCCGTGGCCTTTACGTTCTAAAATTTTGTTGAGAGACTTACACAAAATTTGAAAAAATAAAGATTATAACAATAAATATGTATTACAGTATACAATTCTATAACACTCCATATCATTTTCAATAATTCGATTAAAAATTTTTGATAAATTGAAATACTAAGAAAACTTTACAGTGAAACTTGCAAAACAAAGTTAATGGTGCACACTGTACAGTTTATTTCATCATAAATTTTAGATAAAATTTAAAAGCTGTACAGTAAACTCCACAGACGCGGTGGTTCAACATACCTTCGCTCGTTCTGTTTCACTGTCCCTGGTTCTGTTTCACTGTTCCCAAGTGCACCTGCCCTAGAACTGCACGCTGACGAAATCGTCTAGTCAGGATCATGGGGCAGAAGTAGAAGTCCAGCGACAAATGAAGAAGAGTAGCCGTTCTGTAGTTGAGCAGGGCAGCCACAAACTGGACGTTTTCAGGACACGCTTCCTTTTCTTTAGGCAAGCCTATTCTCTACTGTAACTTTATCCCGAATCGATTTACGAAAATGCGAAATCGCACGCAACTAATGAGCAAAACCTAGTTTGGTTGAAAGAAAAAGGAAAACGGAGTCAGCTTTTAGTTTTTGAAACCAAAAAGCTCACGTGGACGATGGTTTCAAAAAACTGAAAGCATGAATCTGCAGGCTGTAAATTCAGACTGCAGATCCAAACCAAGCGCGCTCCATGCCGCCATCTTGTGTACGCAAGTGACCACGGCCATTGGATAAATAGCCAAGGACACGCCTTCTCTTTACTAATATACGGCAAATGTACGTACGTTGTTAATGGGCAGTGGGCACTTAGCCTACCAGCTGAGGTATGCCGAGCACAAGTCGCTCGACTATTAGCGATAACAAATGTTCACATACAGTACACGCAAGAACTGGCGCTAAATGCAGTAAAACTTTAGCCAGATTGCAGAAAAGGTACAATAGTGACCTTGGTGTAAAAGTAAAACCTAATTGCCCTAATCCGGGCACCATTCTATATATATACAGATTAAAAACTTACCGGAACTTTCATTTTTGCAGTTAACTTCGTAAATCGAACAGTACTTGGAAGCGGTTATAGCATTCGGTTATTATGCATAAAAACCTAGTTCGTGCGTCCCTGCTTTAGATTTTTTGTCTGTAAGATACCATGGTATAAGTACAACACAGTGCCAAATACCAAATTCCAGCTAACTATAAGTAAAATTCGTACGAGTGAAATTGGTATAAGTTGTTGTTCAAGGATACTCTTGTATAGATAGCCTATATAGACGGTAGAAAATGTTGTCATGAATAAAATTTCAGATACATTATAGCCTTAAAATTAATAGCATTAAAAAATAGCAATAGCTTTTGAAAGTCACATTTAGAAACGAATTGCCAAATAGTACCAAACAATATTCCAAATAGTATTAAATTTCTCCGTATTTGCAGTTTACAAACTCACGAGCTTCCGAACTTTAAGCAAACTTTAATCATCTCATGACAGTTGCGATACAAAAAAACTAATAAACAGCATAACATCGATTTCAGTTACATTCGCGTAACAGTATCTGCATGTGTGAATTCTCTTTTTTTGAACGAATATACCAATAGGCCGAATCATTAGCGGCTATAAAGGTCACCTTGTCGATTCAGTTACTAAAGTAGACCATGTTCTGCTCTAACGGTATACGTTTACACGGTTAGGTTTACACTTAGGCCTGCAGCAAATGCCCATTTCTAAACAAATTCTTATAAAAGAATGATGTGTTGCACTAATTTCGCCGTTTTTACAAGTCTTAATTATTAGTAGATTAGTTTGCTAAATCAGTTTCTGCAATGGCTGGCTGGACGGGCAGCTAGTAACCAGTTCTTCTGCCAATTTTTTTCCGCTGTCCGCAAATGCGTTTTGAGCGTATATCGCTATGACCTTGTACTGCAATAACTGGCGAGTCTTTCGTTTTTTTCGCAAGAATTTTAAAAAAGTATTTTTTTGTTAGTGATGCATACTCGGTAGCTCTCACGGGATGTTCTCAACTGTTCTGGTGATTATAAGAATTAAGGGAAGGGGTGAATGACCACAGACAAGAAACCCGCTGCATTTTTTTAAGAGGAATTAGGTAATTAAATGTAACTGTTTGAATCCAGATAATTTTTGTTATGGTATCGTTCATGTGCTTCTAAAATTTAAGCATTATTCAAAAGATCACTTAGATATTTAATACCGCTTTTGAGTGCATGGAAGAGTGGGCCATCTTAGACATACGCAACGAAGCTCCATCGTACCTTCCTCATAAAGGAGGGTACACGTACTGGACTTGTACTCGTACATATGTGTCAGAGTATTTTATCTACACCATCTTGGATGTCTCACCTACTGCATATGATTTCGTGATCTTGTATTAGAATGGATTGACTGGTCAGCTTTTAATTGTATTTTAGCATACTCGCACATGTACAGCTGGGTGGCGTCCAAAACAAAACTAATTTTTTCCGGGTATTATTGCACATATAAAAAGTCCTTATGTAAGGAAATTATTTGTAATAATAATATACTAAAGTCTACTCTACTAGACAAGAAATCCATGCGACAGAACCATAAAATGGACGCACACGCAGATAATAATTTTCAAGGTCTCGATTATTGCGAAATCATCTAAAATTAAAGCCGCTTGTTGAGTGAAAGATGTTTTCTTAGAAGTCAGCTCGTTTGCCTCCGGACCTTGTAAAGGTCACCGTATCTAACGGCAGTGTTCTACCACAATACTGTGGATTGTATCGGTACGTCAGCAGGATACGGTATGAGTCAAATCCTTGTATCAGACAATTAAGATAACATAATTTCGCTACCTAAACGCATATGTTCACACAGTAAATACTCAAATATTGTATCATTATGCTTTATTAACATATTTTAAAATCTGAACCAAAGTAATTATGGATAAAACACACACATATGTGCAAACGGTGCATGCCTCACAAAGAAACGAGCTCAGACTGTACACGCGGTGAGCTCAGCATTTGGCTGGGTTTCTCGTTATAACTTACGCAGCAGTAACCGGGGGCACAAATAATTGCTTGAAATCTTTGGTCCACAGAAAGACGCAGCTTCTTGGACATTATAGTTTTACAAACCATCACAAGCTGCCGTTTTTAGCAGGAACGGAAATCTTAGCTTAGAGCTCTCTGTTTATTGACTAGAACAATGTAGAAAGTGCCTGAGAGAGATTTCTGTGAGAGAAGAGAAAAAGTGGTAAGTAATACCCGGGATCGGTTGAGAAAAGTGTTTGCAGCCGGCAAACATATAATCTGAGATTGCTACGCATTCCGGCTACCGCCACACACCGCAACGGCACAGTCGGTCAGTTACACTCGGGACCCTTCGTTTGTGGGCGTATCGGAAGAGGCACGGGAGCTGGTGCTGCTGCCGGCGGTGGTCGAGCGGGAACTGTAGCGATAGAATTCGGCCGTGGTCAGACTGCTCAATGTGTCCGATTTGGCCTGCAACGAACCGGCAAATTAAACCGGTTAATGATTGCCGACCCAGGGGGGCTGGTCTGTAGTGTGTGTGTATACAGGTCAACCAACACATGCTCTCACTACAACGGATACAAAAAACCGTGTAAGTGCACTGTTAACGAAAAATAAGGGAGTGCATTTGGGTACGGATAAATTAGAATACGTATATCGCTTTCATTAGATCTATTATCTATGAAAAAATAATAAATTTAGAAGATTTCATTATTTACATTATGATCATTCATACTTGATCGCGCTATTTTTAAATGAATGAAATTTAAATATCGTAATTACCACTTACCAGGGGCGCTGCGGTTTGGGCAGCCACTTCAGTGTGAGATCGAGCCATCAGTATTTGTTTTAATTCCTCAAAACGACGAGCTGTATGTTCTTCGAAGCGGTCCAAGCGCCTGTAGAAAAAGATAAATTATTTTTAGGTGACATGTTCTTGATATTGTATTGCTTCTGTAAGCTCACTGCAAAACAGTTGCTGCACTTCGGAGCACCGTAGCACATACGCCAACACGAAAGTACTTAAATAAAATAACAAACGAAATTTCTCGGATAGGCATTTAAAAACAACACTAGTTTTACCGTAATCAGTTTGGAACAACGTAATCCAAATATTACGGTAACAGTATTAGTACTACTAACCATGCTTTCTTTACGATACTGTACGAGTATTCTCGAAATTATGAAGCAGTTTTTCCATCTGCTCCGTATTACTAAGTTTAATGGTTTAACGTCCGCACACATTGTAAGTAATTAGTTAAGCCGCCATACTACGACAGTCTGGTAATCATGACCCAATGTATTCCAACGCGTAACAACCCCAACCAAAATGAAGTTTTCCCGTTCATTAATGTACAGTTAAGTTGTGACTTTTAAATTTCCATAATTCGTAAAACCGCGTCTGACTTAACATTCAAAAAGAGCCGTATAATTCTAAATTCTACACAATAACCTTTTCGAGAAGCGTGACCTTTATGAGAAAGGTGAATAAGCAGAACTGCCAAATTTTTATTATAATAAATCTTTTAATACGGACAGCTTCACCACAACTGTAGACAGCGTGCACTTTATGCATAGACAATGGGAAAAACTGCTGGCTATGATCTCTTACGTTATAAGCTCATCAATGCGCGGATCCGCTGCATGAGCATGGGACAGCGCCGTGCCGGCTTCCTCCACACTGGCGCGGCTGCGGAAGGTGGCAAGCGGCGGTGCACGGCGTTTGGATGTCCTGGGAGATTCACTGGCAACACTGATGCGCTGCTCACGGGAAGTGTGCGGAATGCCGCTGGTCTGCGCGGAATGTAATAGGGGAACTTGTTCCGTCGTATCGGATGATGCTGCAAGCACAGATTATACAAGGCCCCGTTAGTTTATGTCCCAGGAGATCACGAAAAATTTTCAGTTAAAAGCATTTCTTTTCTCACGTTGGGGTTTGCTCAAGGCTAAATCGGTTATGCTTCGCTTGATTGCTGTCACCATATCTGCACGCATGAAAAAGCAGGTTATGGAACGGTAGAAATTAAACTGTGGAATCCTGTATAATGCTTAATAGGATGGGGATGCACAAGAGCAATACAGTACAATGAGTACGTGTACAACGTTAACCGGGAAAAACGAATAAAAATGTTTGTAAATATAAGAATGTATAACTTTCCATAAACCTGAAGTAGTTTTGTTTACGTGCGGAAATGCACTTCCATTTTATAATATACTGCGCGTTCCGTTTAATCAGAAAACTGTTCAACAGAATATAAAGTACAGGTTAACAATAACAAAGATTGGCGTACCGCCTAAAGTGCTGCGCCGTGATGCACGGTCAAAATCCAAATTCGCCGGCGTGACGTCCTGGCCAGCCAGAAAGGGCGTAAATTCCAAAATACCTTTGCCGGCACCTTCAGGCCGCAGAGAATAAAGATGAGATTCGGGAGAGATGCTGCTGGAGCGATGTCCGTGGAGGTCACCATGACCCCGGTCCGGATGAGGATGACTGGTGCTTTGTCCGCGGTGCTGTGGTCGCATCTGGCGGGTCCGTCGACGAGAGGGCTCCTTGGCGAGTTCATCTTCGTTTTCGTCACTGGATGATTCGTGCCGCTGGCCGCGAGGTAGACGGATTTGCGATACCTGAGCGCTTAATTCCTCCTGCACCAAGCATGCCCTTTAGTAAGTGCCATACAAATTGGGCTTACGTTTGCCTTTAACTAATGTTTGTGCATCTAAATCTACACCATCGTGCATATGCTATGAACGATATATAGGTATTGAGGTACGTTATTTAGACTTATTCGTACATCGCGAAGGCACACGGTCAGCTCCAGATTCTTGCTCAAATGGTCATGGAATTCTGGATAACTTTCGAGTATATCGAGAATATCATCCCTCCAAATCTTATGTAAATCACAGTAACTTAAGGCACGAACGGTTGCCGATGATTTGCCAATAGTAGGATAAATGCAGGGATTTTCACCAAACACATCGTCTTTCCCTGTAGAAAACAAAATCACAGCTACGTTTCTATAAGTGCTACAGTGGATATGTACTTCTATGGAAAACATGTACAAACCAAGTATGGCTTCGACTATGTCCTCCTTAATGACTTCCAAGGAGCCCCTCGAGACAAAATACAAGGCATTAAGGACGTCACCGCGGTGGACAAGAGTATCGCCAGGAGGCACATGTGTTGTGTGAAATCTCACACTTAAGGCACGCAGGCAGCCAGGAGAAGCATCTCTAAAGGCCGGATTATTTTCTAATAACTGACGATTCAGATGAAGGCAAATATCTCCTTGCAAGCATTCAGGAAAGCCTTTTAATACCTACAACATTTTCAGATACAAAAAAACACATTACAATCCAACCGCTGCACAGAGAGACGGTTTTGTCGGCAGTTTGATGAAGCGGACACAACTGAAATATTTGATATGCACAGCCAAATAAATGTCAACACAAACTGACTTCGTTCATATTAATTCCATTGGTATAGGACCAAGCATGCTGAAAGTATTCTTCCAGACGTTGCCGGAGGGGATTTGGGATTTGATGGAATCGAATAAACTCCTTAACTTGCGCCAGCTGTGTGTGATAACGCGCTGTCCCCGAATAAAGTCGTTGAATAATGGCCGACACATTGCCAAAAATACTGGCATACATAAGGGAGCCAACCATCATGACGCAGATGGAAAATATCTGCAACATCGATTTTTTGCATTATGTACGTAGCATTCAAATATTGTGCCACATAAGCAGTACAAGATTATCCTAAAGGGCGCTAGAGAAAATACAGAAATATAATACAACTTGCACGTACATAAAAACAATTTTATAGTTTTGGATACGTCACTGATGTTAGCATGCACGTAATTGTACAAATGCAGCTTGCTCTACAGCTGTCGATATTAATTTGGTGTCGCGTAACTCTTTTTGCAATTAAGCCTACATAAGTCCATGTCGAGCCTTATAAACAGGAAGACCTAGAAGTTCGATAACCCTATATTAACCTTAGGTGGCCGGCAAATCAATCGTTACCGTTTATGGCTGATGGGTTACAGTGACTAACATGCTCTTCGGGACAATTTGTAGGACGATTACGAGACCCATATGTCAACATCAAGCAGGTGCTAACACTAGAAATCTGCCTTAATCAAACAACTGTGTAAATCTTGTCAATGATACTAATTTGCCGTCGCTATCAAGCAAACTGTTGAATTATTAACATTTCAATCAGCAAAATTTTTGGGCTGCCGCGGGATGGACATTATATTACAGCGATAACTATGTTAAACGACGACGTGTGGTACATATGCATATACTCGAATACCCACAAAAAGACGTATAGCCGGGTATGTGTGTATTTTTATCGTTAGTTACCTTTTCAGAATTGGTTGTTGCGCTGATATTTCCAAAACCGATCGTCGTCAGACTACTCATGATGAAGTATAGCGATGTTATGTATTTGGATTTTAATGATGGTCCACTAGTGATATCGGTTTCATTGTAGTACTGTTTGGTTTGTTGCGCCAGCTGATCTAGCCAGCCGTACTGCATCACGTAGGCCTTCTCCACGTTTCCAATCGCGTACCATATACATGAGAGCCAGTGGGCTATGAGCAAAAACGTTGCTAAAAGTAGCATGAGCACCGCAGCACCATACTCCGAATATCGGTCTAATTTTCTGGCCACTCTCACTAATCGCAGCAGACGAGCGGTTTTCAGTAGACCAATAAGCGTCGTTGTCTGTAAATAAGAAGAAATTTACCTTCAACAAAAGCAGTGTAGTAAATAGTAAAGGTCAGTGTTCTTATCACAAGTGTGTCTTTGCACTAAAGCAGTTTGATTAAATGGTTTGAATCAGTAGTCATGCGCCAGTATGACAGTTTAGATTCTACTCAGTTCTTAAAAATCGTTACAATCGTAAAAGAGACGCATTAGTATATGAAACTAAATCTGGTTTTTGTAACAACACATTTTCGGTAAATCCAGATATTTGTAATAAAACATAAGCTTAACCTGAATAGGCACACATTAGTTTTTATGCTTTGCATAAGCCCAGCAGTCGCTGCAATGCGCACATGACCTTTAGGCCATGGACAACAGTTAAAGACATACGAGTATATGTGGTGAATTGCTTGCCAAATTACAAAAATTTACAAATATTGGAGTAGTGAAAGGTTAACGGATTCCTCGGGACAGCAGAAAACGCTTGTTCGAAAAGTCAGATTGAATATGCCATTTTACAGACATAAACGATGATTAGCTTCGACAAAATCTTAGAGTCGAGATCGTGATGGCTAATCTGGGCGACCTTCCCATTTAATAGTATACCAAATTTCAACCCGTTGTATATTGATAACTGAAAAGTAGCTTAGTTGTGAAATGGCAGTGGAGCGTGGATATATTCACAGCCGGGCCAGCGGAATACGTCTCCGTCATGTCAGTCAATAATATCGATGAAATGAATTTACAGTTATGCGCGCTTCCCTACTTTTTTCCCGGGCAAAGCGTTTTGAATAGAAGATGAAAATGATAAAGGCTGACTGAGCCGAGCAAAAATCGTTGCCCCATGCGTATACAAGTATTACCATTTATCCTCAGATAGACAACTAGGGTTATTATTATCTTCCTCTTTCGCGTTTTTACTATGGTGCGTACTTCACATTCCCAGTTATCGAACTGGATGCAACGATGAGAATGTATCAGTGATACTGGATCGTTATAGCAGTTTATGCGTCACTGGCATCATAGCTGATGTATACACTACCGGTCAAAAATGACTACAAACCTCATCACTTTGCGATCCGAACAGGAGCAAATCAAATGGAATAGCCGCCACAACGTCAATAAGGAACCAGCCTTTGAAATAATGGACCGATATCTTGCCCAGGTCACTGACAACTTCATCATTCGTGTTGACGTATGTTGTGCGGAAATTGATTAATATATCAACAATAAACCTAGACAACATGGCAAATACATTTCCGCATATCGCTATGCAAAATCAAAAATCACATATTTCGAAAACAGAATATAGATATTACAACTATGTTACTTTTACTGTAGAGCGGTTATTACCACGCTGGCTAACGAACTCTGTTAATCAACTGTATCGCTTAAATTTAAAACCGGAGGTTATATAATTTTGTAATTACAGCAGTAGCAAAATAATATGACCATTGCGTGCTTATTCTCGCGCTCTGCTACATTGCGCATAGGTACGTTCTGCATGTTCGCAATCTATATATGTAAAACGTATTCCAATTAACCATATAACTTTCAGCACTTAGTCAAAACCATTTTCCACATGCATCTGCTATGCTTTAGATGTATAATGGCATGAGTTTGACAACTGCCTTGATCTATGATGCCGGCGGGATGTTACGTAACTCACATTATATCCACTATAAGATCCACTATTGTCATAGGGTCGTCGTAACGATTACTGGAATCTTCTGCACCTTCTCCTCGTGTTTCGGGGTTCTGTAATCCAAGAGCCAAACGAACATTACAAAGACGTGAAATATAATGCTGTATTATTGGAAAAAATCAATTACGATTTGGATTACATATGAAGCGCAGGACGTGCAGGGCAAGCCACGCACAGAGTTTAGCTGTATCGGTTTTGATGGCGTTCATAGTACGGCATATATATTGTATCAACACTATACCGATGTATGTATCGTATACAGTCTATACTCATAACGCCGTGCCATATCCCGATCCCGCGCGCGCGCGGCCGGAAAAAATCAGCACTTGTTTCAAGCAGCCTAGCATGCGGAGTCGGGATGGCGGAAATGTAGCGTTTCCCGTGGTGTTTGAAATTAACCTAATCACGCTAGGGTTCAACACAGCATGGGCACACCGGGTACCTGGTTGAGTTTGGCTCGGCGTTCTTCCTCATTTAGCAAGAAGGCCGCCACATAGGGCGTAACAATGGCTGTATAGATCACTAAGAGGAGAATTATCCAGTCCCATACGGCTTTAAATGGTGAGTAGTGCAATATGGTCCATCTATTGACTTTTGGAGGATTGAGCACAAAATCTTGCGTTTTATCGTCCTCCAACTGAAAGGCCTGAAGCATACAAAATGATCGTCAGCATTAAGTAACACATACATACATGGTACAGTTCCTATGCGTATATATCTGTATATCGTTTCTACTACAACCCGGCGTCTAGAGTGTCAGTGTCACTTGGACAAAACTCTTGAGCTTCCAGAATCTATACTTGAAACTTGAACCCTGGGCTCCGTTAGCGTAAAGTGTTTCACAAAAAGCCGGGATTAGGGACGGTATGCATTTCGGCGCGGGGAACTCAGTAAAAGATTTCAAAGTCAACATACTGAGCCGAGATGGCCAATAAGTCTTCATATTTACAGTACATAGTATACGTATTTCAGTATCTCTAAGCAGCATGCAGTGTACGATATTAATTTAATGGTTTATACATTTACAATAAAAATCTCACACTGCACAATAACGATATTGCAGATTTCTATTTTAAGTTAAAGATTGGAGCTAAATCTGGCAGTTTCCGAAATCTGGCCGTTTTCTGGCAAAATCTGGCCCTAAATGTTAGCTTGCTTGATCATATGCGGCAGGGTGCATGTTTCGTTAGAACATATACGAGGTAGTTATCCAACGCAAACGAGGTAATTATTATAACAACTAAAAACTATACTGTAACCCTAAAATATCCACTCGCGCAATGTACTCATTCCTGCTTTTGGAAAACCAATATAGAAATTTAGTATTATACACCATCAGATGCTGTACATTACCGATGAAAATTTGTTAACGTTGTATTAACGACTCTACGACTTATGAGCACATACTTATGAATACTCCTAGTCATTAATATTATAGTGGCAGTTTAAGCGAGAACTAATAAAGGTCGTCGCTATATACACATACCTTCTGCCTCTCATTAATACAACAACTGAGATGTAGTGGAGATGCGCAACTTACGTGTGACAATCATGAGAGCAGAGTATAGATTCCCAGTTGGATTATACGCATGTTCATGCAATTAAAGGCGCATGTCATTATCAAGTCAATATTATCATAAAAATAATGTTCAACGGTAAAAACCCATTAACTTCCTCTCTCACCTCATGTTTATGCAAACGATGTGGAGCAATAATTCTACCCGACATGGTATTTAACTAGTCAATCAAACTGTCAAAAACTAACATTGTCAGTCCAAAATATTAACCAAAACTGTAGTTAGTTTCGTCCAAATAAAAAAGACAATAAGAACACTGGATGTCATGCGCCGCGGTTATCCGGGATAGTGCCACTACTAAATTTCACGGCTGACCCGCATCTGTGCTAGTGTGAAGTTACCCCAAACTATGTCCAAGGAAGACTTTATTTTATATATTTGGCCCTGTATTCTTGATCCTTCAGTAAGCATCGTTACTCTTCTTTTACTGTAATTGTCAATGTAGTTAAATAAGCACTTGTCGACAACACTTTGAGACCGTAGCGAGTCTCTGGTCGGGAATGGAAAGAGCGTTTTGACACAGATTTCCTCCGATTGTGCTAGTACACTGTGGCAGTGAGCCTGGGTGTGTGTGTATGTGTGTGTGTCAGCGCCCCGGCCAAAGAGAAAGAATCGATTATTACATTTGACGATTGGGAGAGCCCAACGCATCGCCGAGGCCCACTGGTTAATTACCGTCGCTCCGTGGAGAACAGGATGATAATTCAGTGTGGAGATATAACAAGCCGGGAATCAATGCCGGCAATGGGGGAAATTATCTGGATCGGCTCAAGCACAATTGGAAGGACTGTGTGTTACACGCTGGCTAATACAGCCGCTACCACTCGTACTGCTTATATGCCACTTAAAGTGCAGAAACGACTGCCAGACTATGCATCCTCTTCAGATACTACAGTGCATATTGTACGTACCGAGGCGATGCCGTGCACTTTGTGTCCCAGGGAATCTGATTTCTTCATCTCATGCCGTGGCTGATCAACAGAGGATGCTGGCCCAGGTCCTTCCGAAGACCCATACGTGGCTTTCAGATCGGCCAGACTACTGGTCGGGGAGATTTTGGGAATATGGGAAGAATGCGGCGGAATGCGATTAATATGCAGTCGCTCGGCAGAATCTGCAATTCAGGCATGCCAGCTTGTGCCAATGTGTTATACGGTATAATGAACAACACACGGTTCTGGATGCGATAATGAAATGTTCAGCAACCAGATATGATTGCCCGCTTCAATGGTGGGTGACTGGATCGGAAAGCGGATATATAATATATAATATGATCTGGAAGTTAATACACTATACAGCATCGTTGTCAGTTGTCACCATCATATAAGTAACCTCAACGCTGCACACATGCCGCATGCCTGGTGCGCGCTCCCGGTTCACAGAGATATATATGTATTAGCCGGCAGGTAAGTATAAGTACATGCGATAATCCCATCTACTTACGCAGGGAAGTCGCATCCACCGAAACCATTCGTGGCACGTCGTGCCCGCGTCCTATATAACACCAATGGAGAAAGATCAAAGGTTAGAAAATTGATGAAGTGATTAGCGTGTGCGTACCGGGGCACTGCTTTGGCCGCGGTACAGTATGGGCATATGTCAATCACAATATTATGGGAGAAACATGAAAAGGAAGTGAAAATAATTACTAACCAGTACTGGGTGCTGTTGTCGCTGACGCTGCACCCGGTCCACTGGCGGAGGTAGCTGCGCCGATTGACATCCCGCTAAAGGAATGGGGCATGACAGGTGACTGCGTATTCTCGCGTGATGACGCATAGTTCTCCTGGCGTTCAGCGGCACTGCTGGTCGCACGACTCCCTGATGGCTCGCGTATGGAGCGGACGGATGGGGTAGTGGAGGCACGTCGACTTCCTGGCGGAAACTGTTGAGCGGACACACTCAGCATGTTGGGATTGAATGTTGCGGAGAAGGTATCCATGGGTATGGCTTCGCCAGCAGTAGCAGCTGCACCAGCTGCCGATGCCGGAGCGCCGCGTTGCGTGCTGGTTATAGATACAGGCACGTCGCCTGATGAGGCGATGGAGTAATTACCGCCGAAATCCGACGGGGAAGGCGAGCCGGCTTTACTGCGGCGGGAGCCGGTGCGGCGAAAGCGCGGTAGTTGTAAGTTCAATTGGGGCCGAACTGCAACTATAAGGGCGACTAGTGCAACTAGCTGTGCACCAACTCTTCATCAGCGTCAATATTTCACAGTTCTCACCATCAAGATCCAATGCTATTTGCACAATACATAATGCATGCAGACATTCAGAATTGGGCAGTTTTAGCCTTGTACATAAACGCTGCGTTCTGTGCGTGTCACGAAAAAGGAAGCAAAAAAGGCAATTGTATGGACGCTATGTATGCATTTGCCTGGATGCCATAAGGCCCATAACCAAGCTGAATAAGCTATAAAATAAAATCATCACCACACGGGCTAGCGGGCCTAGCATGCATGTATATGACAAGTAAAACAAATTGTGAAATACGAGCTAGACGTGTATCCGTTTAATTTACCAAGGATGGCTTGGTCTATATATATTGAGCTAATATGTACCGTATTTTGCCAACTTAATTGACGGGTTCTCATGATGCGATACCGTAGCAAAACAGCAATTCACCTGTTTCAAGTTACGTAAATATCGTATCATCGTATGCAGCTTGCTGCTCCGCGCCGCTCAATAATGCACAAACTATCCCATACAGTACGCTCCATACGTAATCCATTAAAGCATAGTTCGTTATATCTCAAATGATGCATGGTTAATAATGACAAAAGCAGGGATGCGATAAGGGGTCAACCACAGGGTACTTCCGGTTCAGCATGCTGAAAAGCCAAGAACAAATTGGACAACGTGCAGCGCAACAAAGGGCCCCTGGACATTAATAAAGCGGGAAAAAATAAAATTAGTCCAATATGCGGTAGGTGTCGACAAATATAACGCAGCTTATTTGTTTTGCCAATCAATAAGATATATAAAAAAGCTAAGCTAGTTAGTCCACGTACGTGTGACATTAAGCAGGTGTTTTACTGATGTGCATTGGATACAGTCGTTTTTGTCGGTCTACGAACGCTACAGAAAAACGCTGATAATTGGCAGTTACATATTGGCTTACCGTGATTATGTCGTTCCTCATCTTCTTTATCAGTAAGATCCTCAAAATTCAAAATGTACATAATCACAGAGGAGGTTTCATTGCGGACCGGCGCAAGTATCACATTGCAGAGGAACTCTGTGCCTGCAAAGACACAAGCATATATCGCTGTCGATCATGAGATAGTGCGGACGCGAACAGCAGCTGGTCGTTGTAATCGTTACAATATGGCCATCAGTAGCCCAGCTACAAAATCCAATGATTATACTGTCGGGTTATATGACTTGTTGCCCAAGTTGAATATATGGAAAATTTTGCCGCATATTCTTGGACTACGCTTTGTCAGTATCTTTTGCCGCATCGTCCAAGGCGTACACTACATACGTCGATATGTATCGTTTTTGTGCGTTACAACGTATCCCGTACTAGCCACCTCCCACAAATCACACATTCACGCACACAAATCCATAATGTGTGTTGTGGGAAAAGTATTTGGACGAGTGTGTTCTGTATCTCTGTCCTATACAACCAGGGATGCAGCGAGATAGACAGGAAGAAAAACGGGTTAACTCGTGACAGCTCGCTGCGCTTTGCCGGCAGTTCAGTTGCGTACTGTCAATACATACGCGCGCAGAGCGCGGGGTATCTCCCATCCACTTTGAGAAGCGAACGCGCAACATATCCATAACAAAGACTTGGATAATTGCTTCACTTGACGAGCTGGTGTCAATAAAAACCACAATAAAGACCTGTGCCGCGCTGTTCCCCTACCATGTAGCAGCGTACACGGGAACCAATATATCCAAATTAGAGATAGTACATTCACGCAGCGTACGAGTATGCCGGTTTCCCTCCGGTTCTAACAACGAGTGTGCCATGTATGCTGAGTGCGGACCCATCGATACAAATTGTCACGGAATCTTTTGATCCTCATCCAGTAATTTGGCCTGTTCTGGGGTAAAAAGCAGTGGTTTCCTTGTGTGTTTAAGTACTGCATCTCAAGATTCCTTATCATTGAGACTCTGGTAACACATTAGCACACCATGAGAGCACTCGCCGACGTATTGCACCGGCACGCAACGTGACCTTATAATTTCGCACACACCTACTCAAATTGAAGTGTCGGTGGACTCTGAGGTTAACTAAACTGTAATAATAGGTTCTTATTAAAAGAAATTAGCCTGTGAATCAGCCATTTAGCAACACATAACCAAATTCAGGATGTTGCTATATTATTACTGCGACACAACTTCGATTATATATGCAATCAAAGCACAATTTCATTCAACCAATCACCTTACAGAGCAAAATCCAATGACACCTTAAACAGTCGTAAAAACACCTGTGTTTTAATTTTTGTGCAACACCGAAATCCCTTAATATTCTCGCAGCCCTTGCAAACATTTCACTGCTATACAACTGATGCATATATATGACGTACGAGTACTTTAGTACGCCGCAAACAAAACTGATCATCATGCAGCGCTGCACTTGTCATTACATTAATTGCCAACACTTGGACTCAAGCGCCAATGAACTGATGCCGTAGAACTGTTTATTGTAAACTGCAAACCACAACCCAACGCTGATGACAGAGAGACAGATACAACATTTGAACATGTGGCTACGTTGATTCTGGGTCTCTTCCCGACGTCAGATGTTTCTACGCCAAAAAGGAAGGAAAGTGTTTTATTGATTTTTCGTTGCGGAGCACCGTAACCGGGCTCCATTATTATACATAAGCGAATCTGCTGGTTTAATCATTTTTGTCCTGATTGCCTTAAAACTGTGCCTCGTCAATGTTTCGCAGCAGCTAGAACAGGCTAAGAAGTCATGGGGTAATGTAATCCAACCAATTCGTTCAATAGACAACACAAAAAATACCGGGTTTGCAGGCACAACAGGAATACTCTACAGGATGGCAAACCTAAGTAGCAATACTTAGTATGCCAGATAATATCAACCAAAATTTTGTTTACAATAGTACAAAATTTTTGGCCGTTATGAGTTCATGTCTAGATCTGGTACTGAATGGAGACTCGCTGATCATCAAGTGTTATTGTGCAGCATAATACTGTAATATCCCGCCGGTATATTATATACTTCAGTACACTCTGTGCGTTCGAAAACCGCTCGACAGACTGGTGTATCCACACTGATTCCACATGACGTATGAAATATAAAATAAAATACGTAAAGTGAAAAGTATGAAATATATATGAAATGTAAACGTTGTAATTTTTTTAATAAGCAAATACCGCAGTCTGGATTGACGTAACAGTTCGTGCTGTTACAGGGATCTAACGACGCAGCGGCAGCTTTTTGTTTATTTACACTATAGATCAAAGTACCAAGCCAGCTGTTAATACATTTCAATGCAATTTGGAATTATTGGGATCCCATGTAACCATACCGCTAATGCACTCTATGAAAACAAAAAACTCCTAAGAAGTTAGGAAGGACCGTTTAGAACCTACTTTTCTACATTTACAAAGGTTTTAAGTTTATAAGAGCGCTGTTTTGTGAACACTGCACGAAAATCTAAAATCCGGCACTTTCTTTACGTGAAAATAGGCGTTGAAATAGAAATAACTATTGTACGAGTACTTACTACTACCGGTACCGATAAGCGCACAATAAACATACTCAGAAATGTTCATAAACTTGCGAACACTGAAATCATATGAAGGAAAGACATAACTTTAATATATTATCATAACAGACAACGCAAGACTAATAAATTTTCGATCTTTTTTTATGGTGCAGCTGTTTTAATTTGGTTGTGCAAGAAATGCTAAAAAATAACAAGAACTGTTGCGACGTTTGCTGACGTTAATCGTTTGCTGCCTATTAAAATATGAAAAAACTTCAATCCAACAAAACAAAAGTTGCTAAAAGCACAAGTTCATCTGAATCTGACTATCTTATACACATATCAAACTAGTAAGCCATGCAGTTACAACCTTTTTTAAGATAAGAATGTGAAAAATAGCTCTATTGAGAATTGAGATACAACTGCTCCGTTTTGACGATTCACTACAGTTAAAGGATTTCGGTCATCAAATTTTTTTCTGCATTAAGAATTACTTTGTATTAGGAAATCATAAAATTATCGATATCACGACTGAAAGTAGTTGCAAATGAACGTCCAGTGAGGTGTTTGGAAAACGCAAAGCAAAATCTCTATTTCTGGCATGTTATAATTTTCATGCACAATTCAGTACCAGTGTAAGCGACAATAAGAACACCCTTATTTTGGTAAAGTTTAAGGCAGATTCCTTCAATCAAAAAGCAAGAACACCGTGCGCCTTGCGCATGCATCATTCATGTATCTACGAATGCATATTCCATATTTTCCAGAGAACTACACATATAAAAGCACTGAACGGGATCGATTGCCGGTCGACACTGCAGTGCGGCATTCGGGAGAAAGTGAAGGACGCACTGACACGCATGATAGTAAGCTCTAGATTCTGGCGTTGTCCATGCTTGAACGATCGAAATAAACGAGAAATTTTTTCCAGCAAAAGGAATTCGCAGGATTCAAACGCAAGCAGCATTAAAGATGAGACCGGACACAGAGAGAGGGGTCGGGATCCGCCTGGATCCGAACCCAGCATAATGACATAGGATGCTCTATGGCGTTATCGACCATATCTGACGCCCAAAATCATTCTTTTCCACAAAAATCATCAGTTCCAATTAGAGCAACCTCTTTGTTGTCAGAATTCGCCAGACACGTTATACAAAATGGTTAATCGATAAAGCAGACAACGGTGGATTAATACATACGAAGAAATTCCATACTTTGCAATATCAGAGCTAGAAAAAAAAATGTAAGCAACGAAAAGTGTTTTTACATTTCTATGCCTTATGCACTCGAAAGGCGACAGTACAGATAAAACCTGTACGTTTTATTAAAGCTCATAATTGCTCGTTTCAAGAACTCAAAGCAAAATTTATAAGAGTGATTACACGTCCAAAAAAACTATATCGCATTAAAGAGGTAAATGCGTCGCGGTTTTTGTCGTACGAACTACCACAACAAGAGTTGCTTGAATAAGACGTAAAATAGCAAATCTGAGTTGAAGCGCATTTGTGTTGTACTTAAAAGCTCACTTTCATTATTAGAAACTGACTTTTTTAGAAAATTAAAACTTACGCTGGTAAAGGCCAGCTACATGGATTTCTCTTCAATTGCTATTATTTTATATAATTCCGCTCGTTGTCAGTAATATGGTTTAGTAATGATTTTGAACTAGTTCCTTTTACGTGCGTTCATGCAGAACGTAAAAAAAACTTCAGCACACGAATTATTTTTGCGAAAAGTTTTGCGCTAAAAGTTAGAGCAATAAAAATTAAGTGTATGATTGATTATTCGTATCAATATTTCAGATACAAGTTTGTTAAACTCATATAAAAAAGTCAAATCCGAAACGGAGAAAGCGGGACCGATCGCAAATACAATGTGATCGCAGCTGCAATGTAGCATTTTAAAAAAGTTAGTGCATGGATTTTTTACAAAGTAGTAAGCACGAGTATTGCAGAAGAAGCCCTGTAAGCAATGAGAGATAAACCATCTACACTAATTTTCCCAGCAATAAGGCCTCTATTGTTATTTAGTCATCAGTGGTGCTTTATGGCTCAAAAGAATTGTACAATCACCATCTATTCGAAAGGCAAAAATTATTTGCACTTGTCTATCAGGGTCTGAAGAATTGCATTTGGATTGGAAAACACTTTGCAAGTTGGCTGAAAAACAGCTGATTGTTCCCCCCAAATTTTGTCGAATGAAACGCAATCCCCTTTCGGCTGTTTAGCCGCTGAAAAAAGCGTTGTAACCATTTGCTGGCTAAAGTGCTTTGGCCTGGTCGGTGGGGCATAGCAATGTGCCGGTAACGTAGGAGATCTGCAGCATTTCTCGCCATGTTCTCAAATAAAAGTGGATCCAGAAGGCGTTTTTGAAATTGCGCTTCCGTGTAGTGTATGTCACAGCATTCATGCTAAAATCCCCACAACTCCTAAGGGTAATCATGCAAAGATACTCTTGAGCAATCTGTGCCCTTGCACCAACGTTTTATAACTACGTCAACAGAGGCGTGAAATAAACACATGATCCACTGCGACTAAGGTTGTTTAACTGGAATCAACATTACGTCTCACTTAAGTTCACTTTTTAAGACCAATCTGTTATTTACCAAATTGATCATGTACAGCGTGGATTCGTTCTGGTAACTCATAACTTTTGTTTCGAATCAGGGAATTATTATCTTTTGGCCCAAAACGATGTGTAGCTCACTATACTGAGTATATAATTGTATACTATTTAAAGTTCGTAAATGCAACTAAGAAATAATAAGTAGTTCAGTATCTGTGTACAAAACACTGCGCAAAATTAGGCATTTAATTTATGTTATTCCTACTCATGACTCTAATAAAGAATCCAGGAATTGTAAAGGGACCTTACCATTACTATAAAGAATTACTGAATCGTGGTTAATTAAGAAGGTTAGGATGAAACCAACGTAAAAGAACAAAAGGTCATGACAGCCTCTTACCCGAGTAAAACAGCTTGTAGGAAAAACGTTAGTTTAACATTTAAGTACTACTAGGTTAACGGATGTGTGTCAATTTTAGCCGTTTCCTAACGTTAAGTTAACGTTTTTTTTGCAAGTTGTTTTACTCGGGTTATTAGATGATGCACCGATATTACTACTAAAATTAGCAAAACGCTTGAGTACTCTTAAATTTATATCCAATCCCTGAATGCAAAAAAGTGTCAATTTTGACTGCGATACTTGCTGTCATTTAACAAAAAGGGTTCACGAAAATACAAGAAACCGGCTGAGTGTGGCAAAATCATTAGTATGCAAAGCATTACGAGGTACGCACTTAATTCGTTGTCGCACTCCAAATATATAGCCTGTCTAATAGACTGTTATATGTAGCTTACACTTGCTCGGTTAGTTCTTGTCTGTTTTTGCATTCTATAAACCACGCTTTTTTAATTCTTAACACTTTTCTCAAAAGGTGCGCCCGGGTGTTGAGGTCGACCTAAGTACGCACAGGTACAACGGTCTTCCTTTTTTCCAGCACTGACGCATTCAGAAATGCACAAAGTGATTACGGTATTAGGGTTATTGATATTTTGCGAAATATAATCACACCAAGAGTGTATACATACATGCACCATAATTTTCGTTAAGAGCAACCCACTGGGTTCGTATTACCCATGAAGGGCCGAAGTTACTTCGCGTATCAGTGTTGAATGCATGTCTGCATACAGCGGGCTATCGTTAGTGTGTATTTTGTGGCTGTATAACACATTTTGCGAAAGAAATCAATATAACGTGCTAAATCACTTTTCGCTACTGTAAAGTATTACACTGATGGTACATAAGACCATTGTATACGCATCGGTCGGCGATCTCAAGTGTCTAAGTAAAAGGTCTAGATGTGGGTATTGGGAGTCATTAAGAGCAATGCATCTTGCGACTTTAATTAGATTACCCTTGTAGGAAGCACAGACAGTTTATATACGACCCAGGACCACCGATATGTTTTTGCAACAAACAGACCCGGCAGCCTGATATCCTGCCGGAATTTTTTGTTCCTCCGTACGGAATTAAGCGTGCCAAAACGCACTTCTAAATGAACGGCATTTATCGCGTTCAGTTACATTCAATTACAATCGACCACTGAGTCACCGTGTGAACTTCTAATGGTTGCAATCAGCACAATGCATAACTGTTTCAAATTATTATTTTTAGGTAAACGTTCACATTTCACAGCGTTTATCTTAACTGAATGAGCCTATTATAGTACTAGCTGATTCAGAAAACGTATTTTGCATGGACAGAAACAATTCAGGCTATCATAATGCCAACAAGCGCACATACAATATGATTTCCAGAACAATAAACTTGACAGACATATTAGTTCGGGAAAAATATTTTCCTATAATATTTTAGAGAATATGAAATTAATTATTTTTTTGTATTTAAACAATAAAAAATCCATGCAGTAGACGTATGCCGAGAGATTCTGTAGTTCTACTGGTGTTCGAACAAGATTTCAATATTCGCTTGTTTGCGTTTCGATCAGGTATTGGGTGGCGAAAGAAACTGTTAGCAGAGCACTACACAGCAAGTTGTTCACGACTAACTTGATCGTGCTTGTTTTGACAAGTGCGCTAAATGAGCTCTTTTAACGGATTCCAGATTCTCTGTACTTGTGGCATTCTCAAGTGTTACACCTTGTCAGTGTAATCTTTTTTTAACTGAAACACTAAAGACACGCACTCTATTTCCTATTTCCTCGTTCCGTTCCCTGGAGCCGCCACCACCAAATCAACTGTATATGCATTTCTCCTGTCTTCAACGCATTCAGCGGTATGATTAAGAAATATGGAAAGCATAATCGAACAAAGGACTCGCTTTCGTCATCGGTAGCTCATTAATAGAGGTGGGACATGCACCACTTTCGTAATTAACAGGTAGCACAGACTTCCTTTCGGTTTATGCTTCAGCCTTTGCCTCTATAATTTCGAAATAAATAATATTTTAACAATTTTAAAACCCGAAACAACAAGGCATTTCAATGTTTTTTAGTTTTCACCCACATTAGTATTACAATACTGCTCACACTCTTTCCTGCAAAAACTTCTTGTCGAGATAAAAGTTAGTTCATCCGTGGCTGTACCTAAATTACTGATAATTATTTCCCATCGATGCTACATATAAATATTTGCAAAAGAGTGTATCCTGCTGTGGTGTACGGACAACGCAACTTTAAAAAGGTCACAAACAATGCGCGAAACTTACCATCTTTCTTATATAACCATAATTCCACTTGAAGCTCCTCAGCCTGCTGTACACCAATTTCAATTTCCTGGATTTTGTGCAAGTCAGTTTTGGGCCCGTGAAGAAATTTAATTGTACAGTTATTCTGCATAACTTCACTGCGACTGAAGCCGGACAACTCATTAAATCTGTCGCTGGAATATATGATGCGCGGTAGTGGTATGGTGGCATTGCATATGAGGAATACGCGGTCTGTAAAGGGAAAGCAAATGTAAAGAAGAAACAATACTTAATTAAGTAAGTCATTTATAATCAGGGCTGATGCGCTGAGATCATCTGAAGATGACATAATAATCTGGGCGCAGTCATGCGGAAAATAGTATTATATGATGGTCGTTTGGAGAGGAATTTTTTGACATCATACCCGAAAAGCACTGCCAGCCTTGGCCGGGCTGAGCATGACCAGGAAATCGGCATTCTACGCCAGCATTACTGGCTATATAATACACTTATACAGGGTGTTAGTTATTAGGCATGATTACAACTCACTTTGGCTTTCGAATTTCCGGATAATCGTCTCAATAAAAGTGTTTTTCGGAGCAACATGGCCTCGTCGTACTGGCATCCTTTGGGCCCAGAGAGACTAACCGCGTCTTCCCGGGCTGTGCTCTTCAGTGCGCTGGGGGTAGATTACGGCAGCAGGAAGATGCTGATTAGATGCTGCTGTGATCGGGCCAAATAGTCTCTTAACCGGCATACACGTCGGTCAGTCTCACGACGGCAACCGCGGTAGCTACGAATATCCCGTACAACACCACAACAGAAGATGATAATAACCTAGTCCGAAAACAGAACATATGTAAACACGGATCCTGATAATGGGTTTTATTCCGCTTCATAACGTCTTCTGCTTCTGGCCCAGATTGGAGTGATTTACGGGTAGGTCAGTGGTGACGAAAGCTAGCGCGTTCCCGTGGCATGATGATTAGAGAGCTGTTGCACACAGAGAAAGAAATATCAACCTGGAACTCCTTTTGATACCCGCTTTCCTGCTGACGGTAAGGTGGTTACATAATGTTTAATACACTAAGTATAATCAATGGACAAAGTGCCGAACGACTCTCATGTTTGGTCGCGGTGTGTAGAGACCGCTCATATAATCATTGAATGCGACATTTAAAATCACATCAATTTCTCTTCCCGGTTTTTCGACACATACGTATACAGTACAACAGAATCATATAGTGCGCAGTGCATGTGTGTATGTGTGTGTGCGAGCATACACACGAGAAAAATCAACATCTGCTGTTTCTGATGGCGATGGGTGAAAATCACGGATGAGAAGCTGCACGCCAGAAGAGGTGTGGGCGGGCTGGGGATATATGCGATACAAGAGCGGCTAGAGAGACCCCGAAGAGTTGTGCCAGGAAAAAAGATCACCAAAAATAATAACAGGAGCTTAACGCTGTAACCAGTCCCAAATGTTGTCCACACTGTGACACATACGACATATACCGCGCACAACTATCCGATGCAGTGGATGCACGCAGCCAAAAGACAACACAGAAAACCCGCTGCACAAACTTGCGCCATAACTATAATTGCAGGATATACGGCATATTATGACGTTGGTGTTATACGCCGTCCGAAGAGGCGAGAACTATAAGGGCCGAAAATGCGGGCAGACAGATAAAAGAAATCACCATTAATATCCAGATTCCCACTATGCAAACACGCTCACACTGGGACTTGTCATCTTTACGGATCATGACATCGTGGGGATTCAACTGTTAATAGTTTTATTTCTCCATGCGATAATGGTGCCAAAAGGGGTTTGCGTCCATGCCAGTTACACATACAAAGTGCATGAGCCGCGGAATCCCAATAGAAAATTATTAACCTGTACACTGTGCGTAATGTGGTTATATCGGGGCATACAGAGAAAAAGAGCTGCAAGATAGAAATCTTGATTGATCTGAATTACTCTGGAGCGACGAGCGTTTATCCACGTTTCTTTAATAACATCTCCGCTGAATAGAAGAGTTTACTCGTCATGTTCAGTCACACTAGAAGAACGTTCTCAATAAGCAATTTAATTCTATGACAAGGACACAAGATTTCACGAATATGGCAAATACAACACATCACACACAACAGTACATATGAGATTCAATATGCAGTATGTAAGATCACCGGAAAATGTGTCTTATACAGGACATGTAATATCTCTAAGCTGGGATCGTTGGCGTCGCCGCTCTCTCGCGCTCTCTCCGTGATCAGGGCCGCTAGTTATCGAGGTTCCCAATGATCCTGTTGGTTACGGCTTGTCTCCTCTTGATTCCGTTTGCTTATACGTGCCCAGCGTTTTCCAGCCCGTGTGGCGCGCATGCTCTTGGGGATTCCAGTATTCGCAACGTGTATATGTGTGAGTGCCAGAGTGTGGACTATATGTATGTACATTTCTTTTGGCAATCTATATATATGCCGATGTATAGTTAGCTGGATGTGTACTGGGTTTGAGATGAAAAGTGAAGTTGAATCGATCTGCTCATCCTATTTTGACCATTATTGATTCTTCTCCTTGTGTGTGTATGTGTGTATGTGTGACGCGAGCGGCGTGAGCCAGGTACGCGCGAAATGATCTCGCGGGAAACACCTTCTGCAACAGTGGCTTCAAGCCGATTTTCGGGACTCCGCGGTGGCATACCGGCACCGCCAGTGCCATCTACAATATGACTGGCATATATGCATTTACAGTCAACGTTTTTAATCACAAGCACCATAAAAGGCGCACATTAGATCGGAGTTTACCCATCAAATCCCAATGTATCCTCGACCGCTATAAATAGAGAGTACTACTCACAAGTAAAAGAGGGGAACTACTCCCTGGATGCGCTCTGCTCCTTTATGCAACAACTTTGCGCTGTGAACAAAGTACCTGTACATGGAAGTTTCTTTCACCTAGTAACCGCAACTTAGCGATTAATATTTCCAGAAATCGGCACACGGTACACTAACCTTAACACCAAGAAATGACTGAAATGTGTGCAAGCGTATGTAAAATGTGTACGCGGCTAGCTTTTATAACGCACAATTTTTTATTCGTGTTTACCGTTAATTCTCTGGCGTGCTCTGCCGGACTGCATATTCGAAGTAACCTAAACGTGCTAATTAAGGCAGCTACAAGTCTGCGTGATACCAGGTTACTTACAATGACCGTATGTGCACGTTGCCGCATCAACTTCATGCAACTCCTTAACCTGTTAAAAAAGTGTTCCTTTTTTCTACCACTTTTTTTCTATACATGCATGCATGTACTGCTTACATCACTGCACGATATGTTAGTGCACCCCTCTACTGTAGTAATTAATTAATTATTCCCAACGTCCTGACAAATCCTCCTGACAAATCCTCGTCGTGACAAATCTGGCAAAAACCAATGGTGTTATAGTTGTACCATATTTTTAAGTATCTTGAGTTCTTATAGTTAGTTCTGTCCTTCTATTTGATTAATGTGCAATTTATTTATGTACGTACACAGAAATGAACAGCACGTACGGCCATGTTATTATTACCGTAGCAAAGTTGTTTTGCAAATTTTGGAAGACCAATCGCTTTAACTAGCCAACTACATCTGCACTGTCGGATAACGCAAACGCAGCCTAAAATTATATTAGTAGGGTTGGACAATTTCCATTCTCATACCGACAGAATGTTTTCAGATTAATGAGTAAAACAGACAGCCGAGATTGCTGCTGTGAATTTTACTGTGTTAGATAACAATAAGTTTATCAGCACAATGTGTTTTTCAAAAAGGTCAGCGCGACAAATTGTATTCGTGGTGTTAAAGTAAACGCAGCTGTGCTAGACAGCTTGTACGGCCATGCTCTACGCAGCTTGGTGTACTATAGCACAATAAATACGGCAGTTGTATCTGCACTTGTAGACAGGCTTTCTACTGTAGTTTCGGAGTAAAAAAAGCTGACAATAATTTTGCGCTGATTTTTCATGCTTTAGTTAGCAGTCGGCAGATGCCTGCTAAAACAAGCAATTACCACGACTTAGACGCTAGAGATGCATATAATAATACAACAATGATAAGTTGTATTCCTAATACTGTGTTATTACCGGCATAGTATAGCTGTTATTAACTGCATTTATATACGAGTGCGGTCGAAGAAGTTAACAATTACCAGTAAAAATCTGTCTTCGGATAAAACATAGCACTCGAAATACTCATATATACCATAGTGTACCGTTTCGCGAGTTGAAAACTTATTTAGAACTAGTACACGAGTGTAAACGGAGCGTTCTGTTTGTACTGCTTGCAATTTGCTTTGATAACACTGCAGAGCAGCAATAGTTACTGTACTAAAACTTGTTTGAACGGATAAAATCTGCAGCGATACAGTGATACATATTGTAGACATCTGCCACGTGGTGGCTGTATATAGCCGGGTCTTGCAAAAACTCGGTGTCCCGATCATTTAAAATTGTACTTGTACCAGTAACTTATAACTTTGGGTATTTGTTTATAAATAACTTTAAAATTCCTCGAATATGATGTGGAAGACTACACTATTTGCTATTTTTACCGACCAGTTGCTGCGCAGACAAGCCCGGAAAACGACCCGAAAAGCGCGACACAAGCAGAATGCAACAAAATGCCGCTAGCACGAAAGATTAGCTCTTCGAAAAAGGTAAATATCCACAAGTCCTTTGCAGTGGTTAGGTATACTGTATTCTTTGCTTTTTTAACTTATAATTATTTTAGAAAATCCTTCGTATATATGGAAGCGAGTTTTATTTCCTCTACGTTGAGCGTTGCCACTGCAGCTTCGTCGGCGTACGGAAGATGCGAATATCTAAGCTTGAATCAGAAAATGGACCGAGGTAAAACATTTGTTTATCTGACCAATTTTAGGCGTATTAAGTCTTAGAAATAACTGCAACTTCTTTACAATTATTAGTCGGTAAAGCCGGGTAGATTGCGTATCTAAATTTGTACGTTCGTCAAATTCGTCTGCTGTTGCAGCAAAATCCATCTAATTAGCTTTGCACACCGGGCGAGCCAAGAGGATCTCAGAATTAATACCTGGACCACATATTCTAAAAGGTATTACTTCTGTTTTTATGTAGCTTGTGTAGGAAACCACATGAGTATGTTGACAAGAATTACAGCATACGTATTATTGTGTGTGGTTACTTTGCCCACTATGATGACAACATTAATTCTCGATGTGCTAATGAGGGTTTCAACTGATTTAATGAGTCTGATGTAAATGGGGCATAAAAAGTAGTAGTTTATGTTGTGCTTGATTACTTTCAAGACAGAATAATAGTATTATTAGCAATGGCATTGATATTGCAGAAGTCTTTGTGGACCATTTTACTGGAATCTTACAGGAGTTCGTTTACTGGAACGCTCAAATTCCAAGGCATTATCCTGTTCCAATAGGCAAATAGCTTTTTGGAAATTACCTGATGTCCGTTCAGTTATTAATGATTCGTGCGATATTTATAGTGCAGAATCACTGCAGATCTTGATTTTCTATGATACCTGTCGTACAACAAGAAAGTACATGTACCGAGAACATTTATAGTTACTAGGAACTTACTACATACAGGCTACAGCAGTCAGTCTGTTACTTTTTGCCGATGGATTTTTAAATTTTTTTACTGTGCAGTTTTACATGATATGTGTACGTATAAATGCAGCCAAATGAGGCTTCATAATAAGCTTGAGGGAATTAAAAATTGTATTTATGGCTGAACTGAACTGAAAAGGTACCTATACTTTCTTAACTTCTTAATTTTCTTTCCATAATTAACCCTAATATATACACAGTACAGCACAAGTGCTGCATTCACACGAGATAAAATGAAGTGGATCTTCGAAAATAGATAGTTTAAATAAGATTAGCCCTTACTGATTAGATAAATGCAACGCGTCTGCAGCTTTGCATCCAGATACTTGTACATCATCAAAATTTTTCCAGGACAGAGTTGTACACAAATGTTCAAACTGCTTGATCCTAAATTTCCTTTATATCGAATTCTCATTTCAGGCGACCATGTTAATTTGTTGTAGCACTGGTTGTTTTAATTCCTAATATTAATTTGTCATTTTTTCCTCAGATTTTCCTGTTAGCTTTTAACAGTTAGAATGAAATATGGCGGATACCTACGCATATAAGCCTCGATCAAAATCGTACTCGGAAACTGGTCATGCAGTTCGAAACCAGTTAAACCGTAAGGAAGAACGACAATCTCTTTTGCGGCCTCGCCTTGAAGAAGATGTTCTCTGGGATCCGGCTATTCGAGAAAAGCTATCAAGTCGCTCTTCCGGTCATTATGGCGCAGTACCCGCACACAAAAGCCCGTTTGCTAAGAGATCAAAAACTCTTCTCAGTGCGGGAGATGGTATGCGCGCTAATTTAGCATTTGAGAACGTTTGTGTTTACACCATTCCTAAACAGCGCAATCGCTGGCTTGGCAGCAACCAGTATTCCGAAGCTGTGGGAGATGGTCCGACACAACTGCTAAGAAATGGTATGTGTCGCGGCTAATATTTGAAATTTTAATACAATGTCATAAAAATTGATACAAGTTACAAAACTACCTTTATCTTCGATGTTGGATACCAATGCCTAAAGAGCACATACCGCATAACTGGAAAATTCAAGCCATACCCACTCTTAACCATAAGGAAGCATTCTTACTTGTACAGAGTATATAAAAAAAACTATGGTAACTCACCGTAACTGATGGTCAAGTTATGGAATTTTTTTACAGTCAGTGGGATAGTCCGAGCGGGAGAAGTAATGGCAGTGATAGGATCGAGGTGAGTAATAACTATACTATATATTCCTAGAGATGGATTATTAGGGATGCTTTTCTGTTCTGTATGTGCTGCACGTAAATTTTGTAAAATAATATTAACATTCGGCCACGCGGTCACAGGCTCCCAATAGCTAATTGGTACTACATAAGTACAGTGCCTGCTGTAAGCAGTGGCTAATAACACGAACTACGCCTGCATTCGCCGGTTTCGGACAATTCCGAATTTTGCAACCATATGTAGTTGACGTCGAATTAATTTTCATTTTCATACAGTTTATATTATGCGCGCTACCTTTTATACGGGGCTTGTTGAAAATTATTAAGTACGATTGCGACATCCTCTTCGCTTTTTACAGTGGAGCGGGAAAATCGACTCTGATGAATGTCCTGACAAACCGAAACCTGAGCGACAACCTTTTGATAAATGGCTCCGTAAAAGTAAATGGTGTCGAACTGAGGTCCGGAATATCCAAAATATCCGGCTACGTACAGCAGGATGACTTGTTTTTTCCAACCTTGACGGTCAAAGAGCACCTGCGATTCCAAGCAGCGCTGAAAATTGGTAACCTGCTGAGTAAAGAGGAACGAGAAACAAGAATTACTGAACTGCTCGACTTGGTAAGTTATGGATTTGACTTGATTTATTTTCGAATAGATTTATAGTAGTGAGCTATACTATACTATTACAGGTATTGACTATTGAGTATACTGCGCGTTGAGAATCTTGAAACTAGCACTAGTATCCTGAAATTTATGTTTAAGCTGCGCCTGCATAACGTGTGACAATACAAATTACACAAAAATCAGTAATCGCATACATTTAGTTAGTAATTATGTTTCGCAACAGATGGGTTTGCGAAAGTGTCAGAATACTCGAATCGGCCTGCCAGGAGTGGAAAAAAGCATTTCCGGCGGGGAAAGTAAACGTCTGGCCTTCGCCACAGAGGTACTGGATTACATGTATATAGTCGTAATATTAGATCGAACAAAATAGACAACTTATGTACTTCATTGTGCACATTTCTTGTCCTTTGGCTTCACGTCTACTGTTTCTAATCTTGTTGTCCGTAGCTAATCGTTAATCCAGCAATTCTTTTCTGTGATGAACCAACCACCGGGCTTGATTCCTTCATGGCCGAGCAGGTGGGCTAAATACATCACCGGAATTTAAATACAACTAATTATTAAGAACAGTGTTATACGACTATTTCCTTGCGTAAGCACAGATTTTGTTTACTATACATATCGTATGTGTGTTTTTTACATAGGTTGTGAACGTTTTAAAACAACTGGCCCAACAAGGAAAGACCATTATTTGCGTAATTCATCAGCCATCTTCCGTGGTCTTTAGCATGTTTACAAAGTAACTGCATTCGGCGAAAATTAGTAGACTGATCACGGGCCGATTACAGGAATTAATAGACACATATTTGCAGACTATTGCTAATGGCCGAAGGCCGAGTCGCATACCAAGGGTCACTTACCGGCGCTATCCAGTATTTCTCCGCTCTGGGTTATGCGTGCCCCGAATCGTACAATCCCGCAGAATATTACATAAAAACCTTGGCAATTTCCGCTGGCGATGTTTCCCGGTGCCGCGAGCAAATACGAGCCATTTGCGATGCGTACGACCAGTCGGCAGAGGCCGCCGAAGTTCGCCAAGAACTAGATGCTGTGGCCGGGAAAGAGGCCGAAATGCGCGCAGTCTTTGCATTTGACGAAACATCTAAGTACTACTAACAAAATATTGACATGAGTCTGCAAATACTGTTGTACAATTAGGTGCACTGTTTTACAATACTTTACATTCTGACTCATCTATCTCTTTGCAGTTATCGAGTGTCAATGTGGATGCAATTAAGCTGGTTATTGTGGCGAGGTATGCTGGACAATTTACGGAATCCCGACATGTTTAGAGTGCGAACAATTCAAAAAATAGTACGTGCTGAAATAGTAGGTCGAAATTGTACTGAACTACTACTAATAATATGACACCCTCATTGGTGATCGCGAAAACTTCCGCACTGCATGCTCAGGAAATCTTAACTGCGACATCTTACTCTTGTAGATTATTGCCTTTATATACGGAATGATTTACTATCATGGGGCCAAATTTACGCAAGAGGGAATTCAGAACATCAATGGAGCGTTATTCTTGTACATGACTGGTAAGAAAAGCTTAAGGAAGTGTCAGTCTTCCGCCCGCTCAACTTAAATATTATTATCTAATTAAGGAAAACTTATTTAAAATACTGCTTATACTTCTAGAGAATTCCTTTGCGGTTATGCTGGATCTTGTAACGGTGAGAATGAAGTTAATCATTGTCATGTTAGCTTAAAGATGTTAGTCCAGTTATAGAAGCAGCGTAGAATTGTTGCTACTCTTGACATACGAAATCGTTTGATCGTTTGACATTCGTATTCATCGTATTCATCGTTTGACAGCATACTAATTTATTACTTATTTAAAACAGGTATTCCAACGAGCAATGCCGTTGTTTAGAAGAGAATATTCTGCATATATGTACAGATTGCCCGTGTACTATATGGCTCAAGTTTTGGGATGGGTAATGCTGCAACTTTTCACACTTTTAATGAATATCGAAACATGCAGAGCGGTAACAAAGACAACGATACAAAGAGTACCTTGTACATCACAAAATAATAATTCTGATTTTGTGTTTGAGTACTAACACAATAAAATAAAATGATAACATAATTTGATTAAATAAAATAATTTGATTTTTTATTTTGTCAAGTTCCGCTGTTTTTATATCCTGACCTTTGCAATTCATGATGATAACATCACATGTTCGTCTGGCGTAGCTACCATCCTTTGCCATTGACGCGTCCGTATTCTGCGTTATAACCTACCTGATGGTGGGATTAGCCCGGAACTGGTACAAGTTCCTCATCACGTTCTTAATGTGTATTGTCACAGCAAACGTCGCAGCCGCTTCCGGTAGTCTTGTGTCCACCATGTCTCCGTCCGTAGACGTTGGTCTGGTGGTCGCTCCAACAATAACGGTCGTAGTAATGCTGTTCGGCGGTGGAGTTTATTTAAAGCTGAGGTACCAACTGGAAATTTACGTTGCTTCTGCTTCTAGCATACAATGGAATTTACCCGGACGTAATAAACGTTTGATTTTAGAACTCTTCCGAAATTTTTAGCGTGGCTGCAGTGGTTCAGTTGGTTTCGATATGGAAACGAAATTCTGGGCATTGTCCACTGGCAGGACGTTCATAATATCAGTAAGTCAGCAAGGAAACGGTATTTAGTTTATGCCGGAGAGGAGGACAGTGTCGTTAAAAAATGATTCATTTCAGCTTGCAATGGGAAGCCCGGGACATCGTGTATAAAGACAGGAGCGGAGGTCATGCATGACTTTGAGTATGACCCGGTGCGTATCTCCGGAAATGGGTGTAGTTATTCGCCACAGCAATTTATTTTCGAAAAATTGCAGTAAGAATTAATAGAATTTCGTTGATAAGCAGCTTTCGTGCACGAAGACGTGACTCGGCAGACACCAAACACGCTCGGTGGCGATTCCATTTAACCATTTGAACCTGCGATGCATGTTTTTGGTTTTTGCAGGACAAATTGGAGCTGGATTTGAGCATGGTATGCGTTTTATTTGCCGGATTTCATATACTAGCGTGCTTGTTTCTATTTTTGCGAAATCGTCGGTAAAGGCTGTTCTTACTACCTGTTTCTCACGTGTCTGTACTATCATTAGAACGCTGCCCTTTTAAAAGCAAAACAATTATCTGAAAATTTATTAATTATTACGATACGATAAATGGAATACCATAGAGATATAATGTCACGATAAATGGAATATCATAGATATATAGTGTCGAATTCTGGCTTTTCTGATTGATTTTAGTTTCAGTTAATCACTTTGTGTGAGTTTTACAAGGCATCCATCGCATGTATGTTTGTGTCAACTTTGTTCTTATCAGACAGTTGCCAATGCATATTCGGTTGCCAATAAAAACAGCGCAGTTACTATTCGTTCCATTCAGCTGCTAAAACAGAAATTACGATATCTACATATGCAAAATACAATAAACTAAGTAAAATTTGACCAAAATCGGCAAAAGATTGGTTGGAAACAAACAAAATTAAATTTTAATTAAAATCTGCCGCAATTTTGGCTGCAGCTTCACTATGGCAGTCATCCGCAGTTCGATAAAAACTCGCGTAAAAATTCGCCTCAGGATTAACACAAATAGTACCCGCAGCAAATCTGGCAAAGGCCGGTAACTCCGATAGAGCAATAAGAAGTGTTGGCCGATTGTCCATTGCATCGCCATCGCCGTTCGTGCTGATAAAGATGCGACAAAATATCCGTGGATGTCAGGCCGACAACTATCCCATTAATATTGAGCAATGCCGGCTCCCGTTCAAAGGTTAATAGACGAGTAACATCGGATTTAGCGAAAGCTACAGCGTTTTCCACACAATCAGTCATTGTAAATCTTGGTACAGGATAGACTGGCACTCCCACAAGTTGACCAGCGCTGGGAACAACGATAATCGGAATATGAAGATTCTCGGGGATTTGAGCAAATATAAAATGCATCTGCAAAAACAACCATACTTGTTTTCAAAATCCATTACCTTCTGCGCCCAATAGATTAAATTAATTTCGGGGGCAAATTTATAACATTTTTATGTCAATCATTAACAACTAACCAGTATTCAATTTTACCGTTTCATTTTTTTCCAAAAAAATGTCCCAAACACCATGACCTTTTGTTGCTAAAATGCGTCAGAACGTACTTACCACAGATTTGAACTGGTTTTCGAACGTTGTTTCGTTCATGAATTCCTCATTACGTGCCAATGTTTCGTCAACAAACGGACCCATGAATATAACCAGATCTGGCTTGGTGTCGATAACATATCCAATAAAATCTTTCAAGGGCTCCGGTTGGCTTTCACCTGCCAAATTAAACGGTCCGCAAGCCGCTAAAATATGCAGCGTGTCTTTCTCTGGTAAAGCCAGCTTAACTAGCCTCGGAGGTGCGCCTACAAAAAGGACATCAGAAGCAAGAAGAATACAAATCAAATCCACATCTAATTCTTTCTGTCGGATACAATAAAAAAATGAACTGGTAAAACTACACATATAGTAGTAAAAACAGACGACATCAGACTTCTCTAACCTGTAAAAATTTCCGATGCGGAGAAGACTTTCCCGTTGGAAATTCCCTTGGCTACGATAACCTGTCCCGGAAATAAGGCGCAGTTTTTCACCAAGCCAATATCTAATCGGCACATGGCGGCTCCAAACTGTCCAGATGTCTGAAACCACAGATTATCTGCATTCAATCCATCGGGATTTGGTAATATTCGGCCGCAGGTGTAGCACGTTTCGCCGATGACATTGGGCGCAGAGAATCCAGGGATGTTGTACTGTCGTGCCATTTCTTCGCACAATTCTTCCAGACTACTGCTCAGTGTCACTGCTACGTCGTGATACTTGACAAACATTAACGGGTACTGCTCGGTTAAAAATGAGGATGGATCTCCAATAGTTGGAATCGCAACCGCGCACGCAAGAAGCATTAGCGCTACAATTGGTAGGATGGAGGGACGGCGTCGCGCTCTAGCCGGATTAGCAACTCCTTCTTCCGCCCCCCCCGAAAGGAGCGCCCAAACTGGCTCCCGTAGCGGCACGTATTCCTCCGGGCATGTCTTCCTTGTTCCGGAAGTAATACCCAGCGTAAGCTGCCAAGACGGCCGTTACAATGTGCAGTAAGCCCGCCAGCATTGCGAGTGTCCCGGGGAACTCTACAAAGGACGAATATTTTTATTCGTAAAAACAGATTGGGGGCATAGAACAATCACAAATTCCCTATAAAAGTAAGTGATCCTGGAACCGTCATGAAGATTACAATAACATTGCTGCCATGAAGAGATGACCTCAATCAAAATTTGTTGGAGCCATGGTCCAATCAAGAACTACACTGTAAAACCCTCAACAACTCTCCAACAACAATGGCCTGCTCACAGCTAAAAAACACCTGTTGTGCCGACAATCTGCAAAAACTTCTCGAACTCGAGCCTGGATGTATCTCGTAAACTTGAAAGGCAGGACACTTACTAGCAGCCCAGTCATCAGTGTCAGCGTGTGTGCGCGGGCAGGACATCGACGCCGCGCCATGAAGCCCACACAACACTACCACAGCAAGAAGGCCACTAACTACAATCGCAAGGATAACGCAGAGCCCATGAAATACTCCAGGATATTTGGGCATTATCGCACCAGTTAACCAGATCGTCAGTATCCAAAGTGCTAGCAATTCCGAAAAATGTTGTTCCCGTACCCGACGCGCTCAGTCCCAACAGACTCTCAATACGGTGCAAACAAAATCTGAACTCTAGTTAGCAATTAAATCAAAATGACACGTTCAAACACGACCTCGGAAGCTGGAAAGTGGAAGCACCAAAACAACAAAAAAGATGTGGAAAAAACTCTTTAATCGAAAATAGTAAGTATTCCAAGTCTGCCTGCAGAGTGCATGGCCAGTTGTCGATTAGCATTAGCACTTGTTGAAATCTGCATTGCAATGGAGCAAATGTGAGACCCTGATAGATGAGTCAGTAAACTCCACCGCCGCCGAACAGCATTACTGCAACCGTTATTGTTGGAGCGACCATCAAACCAACGTGGACGGAGATATGGTGGACACAAGACTACCGGAAGCGGCTGCGACGTTTGCTGTGACAATACACATTAAGAACGTAATGAGGAACTTCTACCAGTAGGTTATAACGCAGAATACGGACGCGTCAATGGCAAAGGATGGTAGCTACGCCAGACGAACATGTGATGTTATCATCATGAATTGCAAAGGTCAGGATATAAAAACAGCGGAACTTGACAAAATAAAAACCAAATTTATTTTAAATTATGTTAGTATGCAAACAAAAACTCAGAACTACCATTTTATTATGAGCAAGGTACTCTTTATGTCGCTGTCTTTGTTATCGCTCCACACATTTCGATATTCATTAAAAGTGGGTAAACAGCGGAATTTACATATTTGTAATCCACAAGCGCATAAATATACAGGCATTGTTTTATTTCACGATTACCGAGGATTCAAACATAACACAATTTTCAGTTTTTTCAGTGCATGGAACAACAACTGCCCGAAATGAGCTGCACACACTGCCAGTTCTGTTATGCAAAGGTCAAATCGTTCCAAATATGTCAACAGCGTTGCTTTCGCACATAAACTTTCCCAAATCGCATTCGCTGTTTCTTTGGGGTAATATTCAAACAGCAGCAACTTTTTCATTGTAAGAATCTCGGACTGGCAACGCAGGCAGACTATTATATTTAAAGTAGCTATGCCGGTAGGCAGCAGCGGCGCGAGGAGAAATTCTCGGCCCGAGATCTTTTCAAAATTATAGGTCACTAACTCCAGGAGACCTGATACGTAGTCGACATCATGGACCAAGACGAACCACTGCACGGCAATTGCGTACAAGCAGTAAAATGCGCAGAATGTCAAATTGAGCAGAATACAACACTCGAGACTAATGGTTTCTGCCCAGTATTTTGTCAGCATCTGTCCGGCCTCCAATCCCAAAGTGGATAAAATGCGCCAAGCGGGCATTTCGCTCACAATGCGCCAACCCAAAATGCATGATAGTATGCTACTAAGGCATCCAACCGGAGCGGTACCGACATTGAGGCCTTCAAGGACAAGCCAGAAGTATTTGCAGAAGAAGTCATAGCGCACCTGAAAAGTTTCGATTACATTTTTACCACTTTCTCTTAATAGAACGGACTCTATCTACCGTGTATTCGGGTACAGGTACAATACTCAAATTTACAGTATGTGGATTAACTGCGTATCTGTTGTATAATTACGTGCCTTCTTAATTACGTAAAACTCTATAAAAATTATTTGCTTACCTCCCTGTTTTTGCACTTAGGGATGTTCGCCGAGGGGAGCCATACGTACGTACGCCATACGTATGGCGAAGGGAGCCAGTACAGAACCGTCACTGTCGCAACAAGCAGGACCACATTGATACTAATTATCCACTTAAAATGCGATGTAATAGATAAAATGCAAGAGCGCCTCATGTAAGCTTTTCGCGTTTCTTCCCGAAACTGCTTTTCAGACTGGCACACTAGGCAAAGGCAACCGCTTTCCGTGGAATGGTGCTGCACTGACGACTCATCCATTGCCGATAACAATCTCTCACAATATGACAACACAAATATTTTTGTGGTCCGGTAAGTAAAACAGACAAAACAGGAACTGTGCTCAGTAAATTTGGCTCCTTTTTGGGGCTGTTGTAATATACAGAATTCCGCGGGACGAGCGCACGGCAACTACCTATGCTGGAGTTTATTATTTTGGGTAGCGAAGACGCCATGTATTAATATCCATCTCGTGAGCAAAATAAATTATAATATAGATATTACAAACAATTATTAAAACACGTATCCATTAAGGAGAAATGACACTTTAACAAGTAGGCTAATGCCACAAACGCCAGAGTCTACGAAAGCATCAAAACAGCCCCAAGTGGCCCCAACACCGACTTTGCAATTGAGAAGATGAGGAATGGCAAGTAAATCTCCGGCGCATTCAGTTAAACAACCGCAGCGCTGTACAACATTCTCCATCCTGCTGCTTCTTATGCTGATGCTTATACATAGCAGGCTAAGTCCTGTACGGTTGTCTCAGGATGGTCGGTCATAATAATATTGTCCAAGAAAGATCTAATAGGACATGTACAGCATCCCGGATGTGGCATTGTTCGGTACAAGCAGATTTGTCTGGATAGGGGCAAACAGTCTTCCTCGTGAAAATATCGGTGGCTGTTATAATTCAACTATTCAAGACTATGTAATATGCATACAGTGTACTGCGCCACATGCGTACGGAATGCTGGCACGGGAGCGCGCGACCTTTTAGTCTCAAATGGTATCTTACACTATATTATACATAAATTACCTATATTCTAATTACATTTATACTGCATATAATTAGCTGGGAATATAACCGCAGCTGTGATTATCATTTTTGGTTCTACATATACGTTCATTAAACGTTGATTTTCCAGAAAGCAAAGTAAACCAATCAAAGTACTGCAGTCTCAAACACCCTCGCACAGCCTCTATCCTTTAAGGCCTACTAACAATTCCACTCCAATCGATAAATTTTGGAGAAGCCAGAGCTTGCTGGTCCAGATCTTGCTCATGGCACAAATGTTCATACATATATCTATAGATATACCCATATACATGGCGCTGCTTATACCATAGTGAAGGCTAGTAGTGGTAAGGCTGGCAGTTAAGTTTCCATGCCTCACACAGAAACTGTTGTCAGCCTTGGAATCATCATTCTGAAAGTTGTGAACACTCGCACTACACCTCGATTGTCTTCGAAGTATTCCAACTTCGATTGACGTGCCCTATTCCTATGTGCCGTAAAGGCAGATAGGCTGGTTTCGCGCCAGTCGGGTTCCAATCGACACATTTCCAACTGCAAATGATTCCTTACCATGGTATTTAGCATGTTTACAAAATATTTGCATTCGGCAAAAAATTGTAGACTAATCAAGCACCGATTATAGGAATCAATAATAGACACATGTTCAGACTATTGTTAACGGCAGAAAGCCGAGTCGCATACCAAGGGTCACTTACCGGCGCTATCCAGTATTTCTCAGCTCTGGGATATATACGTGCCGCGAATTGTATAATCCCGCGGCAGAATATTACATAAAATCCTTGGTGATTTCCGCTGGTGATGTTTACCGGTGCCGCGAGCGAATATATACGAGCCATTTGCGATGCGTACGACCAGTCGGCAGAGGCCGCCGAGGTTCACCAATAACTACCCTAGATGCTGTGGCCGGGAAAGAGGCCGAAATGCGAGCAGTCTTTGCATTGACGAAATATGTAAGAACTACGAATAAAAATTGTCATGAGACTGCACTTACTATTGTACAATTAGTGCACTGTTTTATAATACCTGTTTCTTTGCAGTTATCGAGTGTCAATTTGGATGCAATCACGGTGGTTATTGTGGCGAGGAATGCCGGACAATTTACGCAATACCGACATGTTTAGAGGGCGAACAATTCAAAAAATAGTACGTGCTGAAATAGTAGGTCGAAATTGTACTGAACTACTACTAATAATATGACACCCTCATTGGTGATCGCGAAAACTTCCGCACTGCATGCTCAGGAAATCTTAACTGCGAAATCTTACTCTTGTAGATTATTGCCTTTATATACGGAATGATTTACTATCATGGGGCCAAATTACGCAAAGGGGAATTCAGAGCATTAATGGAGCATTATTCTTGTACACGACTGGTAAGAAAAGATTAAGCAAGTGTCAGTCTTCCGCCGGTTCCACTTGAGTAATACTATTTAATTAGGGAAAACGTATTTAAAGTACTGTTCATACTTTCAGAGAATTCATTTGGGTTATGCTGGATCTCGTAACGGTGAGAGTCAAGTTAATTAATGTCCTGCTAGTTTGAAATGTTATTCCAGTTACAAAAGCACCGTAGAAATGTTGCTGCTTTTGACATACTGTATATACCGTTTGACAGCATACTAATTTATTACTTATTTAAAACAGGTATTCCAACGATCAATGACGTTGCTTAGAAGAGAATGTTTCTGCATATATGTACAGACTGCTCGTGTACTATACATGGCTCAAGTTCTGGGATGGGTAATGTTGCAACTTTTCCCACTTTTAATGAATATCGAAATGTGTGGAGCGATAACAAAGACAGCGACATAAAGAGTACCTTGCTCATAATAAAATTAGTTCTGAGTTTTTGTTTGCATGGTAACATAATAAAATAAATTTGATTTTTATTTTGAAAAGTTCCGCTCTTTTTATATCCTGACCTTTGCTGTTCATGATAATAGCATCACATGTTCGTCTGGCGTAGCTGCCATCCTTTGCCATTGACGCGTCCGTATTGTGCGTTACAACCTACCTGATGTACCTGAGCTTTAAATAAACTCCACCGCCAAACAGCATCACTTCGACCGTTATTGTTGGAGCGACCACCAAACCAACGTCTACGGACGAAGACATGGTGGACTCAAGACTACCGGAAGCGGCTACGACGTTTGCTGTGACAATACACATTAAGAACGTGATGAGGAATTTGTACCAGTTCCGAGCTAATCCCACACCAACTGGAAATTTACGTTGCTTTTGCTTCTAGCATACAATGGAATTTACCTTTACCTGGACGTAATAAACGTTTGATTTTAGAACTCTTCCGAAATTTTTAGCGTGGCTGCAGTGGTTTAGCTGGTTTCGATATGGAAATGAAATTCTGGGCATTGTCCACTGGAAGGACGTTCATAACATCAGTAAGTCAGCAAGGAAGCGGTATTTAGTTATGCCGGAGAGGAGGACAGTGTCGTTAAAAAATGATTCATTTCAGCTTGCAATGGGAAGCTGGGACATCGTGTATAAAGACAGGAGCGGAGGTCATGCATGACTTTGAGTATGACCCGGTGCGTTCCGGAAATGGGTGTGGTTATTCGCCACAACAATTTATTTTTGTAAAGTTACCGTAAGAAATAAGAATCAATAAAATTTCAATTGATAAGCAGCTTTCGCGCATGCAGACGTGACCCGGCAGACCCTAAACACGCTCGGTGGCGATTCCGTTGAACCAATTTGAACTTGGAATGCATTATTGTGTTTTTTTGCAGGACAAACTAGAGCTGGATTTGGGCATGGTATGCGTTGTATTTGCCGGATTCCATATACTAGGGTGCCTGTTTCTATTTTTGCGAAATCGTCGGTAAAGGTTGTTCTTACTGCTTGCTGTTCACATGTATCTGTACTGTCATAAGTGTCATTAGAACGTTGCCCTTCTGGAAGCAAAAAATTGTCTGAAAATTTATTAATTATCACGGTACGATATGCTCGTATAATGTCGAATACTGGCTTTCTGAGTGATTTTTATTTCAGTAAATCACTTTGTATGAGTTGTACAAAGCATCCATCGCATGTATGTTTGTGTCAACTTTGTTCTTATCAGACAGTTGCCAATGCATATTCGGTTGCCAATAAAAAACAGCGCAGCTCGGCTACTATCCCTTTCATTTACTGTAGTTGTTAAAACAGAAATTCCGATGTCTAGATATGCATTATGCAGCAAAATACAGTAAAAAAAACTAAAAAAAAGAAAACTTTGCAAAAACCGACAAAAGATTGGCTGGAACAAACAATCAAATTAAATCCTAATTACATCTGCCGCAATTCTGGCTGCAGCGTCACTATGGTAATCATCCGCAGTTCGAATAAAAATTCGCGTAAAACAACCTCCAGAATCAGTCTGTCCTAATTTCTCAGGATTAACACAAATAGTACCCGCAACAAATCTGGCAAATGCCGGTAGCTCCGATGGAGCAATTAGAAGATGTGGTTGATAAGTGATCTTTGCAAACTTCTTCTGAGCAATGGTATCGGAAGGAATCATAGACGGATATAAAGGATAGAAGCTCTGCTGAAGCAACATATGTCCGGCAGTGTCGGCCAATTGTCCATTGCATCGCCATCGCAGTTCGTGCTGATTAAGATGCGACAAAATATCCGTGGATGTCAGGCCAACAATTACTCCATTAATATTGAGGAGAGCCGGCTCCGGTATAAAGGTTACTAGACGAGTAACATCGGATTTAGCGAAAGCGACAGCGTTTTCCACACAATCGGCCATAGTAAATCTTGCTACAGGATAGACGGGCATTCCCACAAGTTGACCAGCGCTTGGAACAACGATAATCGGAATATGAAGGTTCTCGGGGATCTGAGCAAATATAAAATGCATCTGCAAAAGCAACCATATTCGTTTTTAAATTCCATTATCTTCTGCGCCCAATCAGCTAAATTAATTTCGGGTGCAAATTCATAACATTTCCATGTTAATCATTTAACCACAAACCAGTACTCATAAAATTTTGCCGTTTCATTTTTTTCCAAAAAAATATCCGAAAACACCATGAACTTTTGTGGCCAAAATGCGTCAGAGCGTACTTACCACAGATTTGAACTGGTTTTCGAACGTTGTTTCGTTCATGAATTCCTCATTGCGTGCCAATGTTTCATCAACAAATGGTCCCATGAATATAACCAGATCTGGCTTGGTGTCGATAATATATCCAATAAAATCCTTCAAAGGCTCCGGTTGGCTTTCGCCAGCCAAATTATACGGTCCACAAGCCGCTAAAATGTGCAGCGTGTCTTTCTCTGGTAAAGCCAGCTCAACTTGCCTCGGAGGTGCGCCTATAAAAAGGACATTAGGAGCAAGAAGAATAAAAATATAACCCAAATCTCATGCGTTCTGTCGGAAACAATAAAAACAGTACAATAAAAATATAAACTGGTGAAACTACACATATGTAGTAGTAAAAACAGACGACACCAGACTTCTCTAACCCGTAAAAATTTCCGATGCGGAGAAGACTTTTCCGTTGGAAATTCCCTTGGCTACGATAACCTGTCCCGGAAATAAGGCGCAGTTTTTCACCATGCCAATATCTAATCGGCACATGGCGGCTCCAAACTGTCCAGATGTCTGAAACCACAGATTATCTGCATTCAATCCATCGGGATTTGGTAATATTCGGCCGCAGGTGTAGCACGTTTCGCCGATGACATTAGGCGCAGAGAATTTAGGGATGTTGTACTGTCGTGCCATTTCTTCGCACAATTCTTCCAGACTACTGCTCAGTGTCACTGCTACGTCGTGATACTTGACAAACATCAATGGGTATTGCTCGGTTAAGTACGACGATGGATCTTGGATGGAAATTTTCACAGTGGACGTAGCTAAATAAATGAAGAATCAAATCTCACAATACTGTAAAATAAAAGCATTCACAAAAAATAACATTAAAAAGGAAACAACTGGTGTCTGGTATAAATAACGAACGCCCCGAAAAACACGACGACAAGATTATCAAGTACTGTACGACAAGATTATCAAGTAAGTACTACGACAGGCAAGATAATCAAGCACTGTATCGAACAACAATTTTGCAAAATTTGCAACAACAATGTTACAATTCCAAAAGTGTAACAAAAATCGTTTAGCATACGACGGCTTCGAGAAAACACCCAAGCCCACTTCTAATCGGATTTTAAAGTATGCGTCCACCCGCAATAGTGAATAGTCAACTGCTGTATTGCAAGTTATCAAGCATTAATCATGATTAATGGCTGTGCAAGCACAGCCTCATACCTCGAGGAAGATTCTGCCAGGTGTACCCATCCGGTAGAAATCCATGCGAAGCCACCAATTCGCCCTGATTATTCCGTTCGTTAAATGGCTGTTGCTTTACCTTTGCATCTGGCTTGATATTGCTTATCCGATCTGTCATGTACGCATCCAGCCGCGGAGAACCTACGCCATTAAAACGTTGTCCATTCCCGCCAGCACCAGCACTACCATGCGGTTTTTTGTTCGACGCTGCTGTGGACTTTGTTGGTCGATGAGCGCTAGTTGGCGTTTTGAAAACCGTGGACGATTTGGCAGAAGCGGAATTCTTCTGCGGAGTGAGAAACTCAGGCTGCATACCAGGATCAGGATCCTTGTCAATTTCCTCTTTCGCTCGCAGGGCAGACTGTTTCTCGAAGCGACTGACATCTTGGGCTGTAACAATCTTCTCCTTGCTTCTCGCCTTGCTTTGTTGGTGGAATGCCAGGAACGAATTAACCAGATCGTCAGTATCCAAAGCGCTGACAATTCCGAAAGTGTGCAGTTGTTCCAGAACGCTGTCGGATTGAAATTCAATACCAAACACGTTCAGCTCACTTTTCAGCCGTTCTGTTGCTAGTTCCGTGGCCATCTTCGATTGTGAAAAAAACCTTGTTCTAAATCATGCAACGAACTGCAGTGGCCGAAAGACTGGACGGAAAGTAAAGTAAGTCGAGGTAGTAAACCTGATACCGTAAACGGTAAACCTCAAAAATATCCAAAACTTTTTTTAATATTCATGACAAAATTTTGGCGGGCTGCAGAACAACGGGGATGCTCCTCGGTCTTTGCCCATGTCGCATAGGCATAAGTGAGCCATAACACAGCCTGCTCTTGCCGCTGCCGTCCGAGTGCGGTCCGTGTCCCACCAGACACCGGAAGGTAACAAATTCAGCGAAATATTAGTACTCGTACTAGACGTGTACAGACATACTCCCAGTGCACTACATCATGATTGCGCAATAAATTTTTTGATGCTGAAAATGATCACTTAAGCCAGCACTCAGCACGGAGTCAACAGTACTTTAGCAGTAACGTAGTGACACGTACGCATGCGGTGGCCCATGTCGCACGCGGTTGAATGCAAATCTTCAAAAAATCTTTAATTTGCGTTAAATTTTTATACAAGCTTAAAAATAAATAATATAGAAAGTGGTTTTCGTTTTCTTTTGCAGTTACGCACTGTGAGCATGCGTGGTTAGCATAGCCGCCTATGAGAAATCTTAAATGAGTCCTCCATAGACAACTATGCTAACTGCATAGGCTCACAGTGCGTAACTGTAAAAGAAAAACGAAAAACCACTTGTTCTGCCTACTAGTATGTATTATTCTGTGTTTTTTAAGCCTTTGTATAAAAATTTAACGCGAAAATTAACAAAGTTATGATTTTTTGAAGATTTGCATTCCAACCGCGTGCGACATGGGCCACCGCATGCGTACGTGTCACTACGTAACTGCTAAAGTACTGTTGACTCCGTGCTGAGTGCTGGCTTCAGTGATCATTTTCAGCATCAAAAAATTTATTGCGCAATCATGATGTAGTGCACTGGGAGTATGTCTGTACACACTAGACTCGGCAAGACAGTACTTTAAATTTGCGAAGAAAATACCGCTGCATATTTTCTAAAGCATATTTTCTAAAGCTATAGTATATTATGAAAGTATAATATAGCTTCAAGCTATGGATATGGAAACGGGCGAAAGAATTGTTTAAGCAACGACTATCTATTCAGAATTCAGATACATTTATTTTTTACATGTAAATGGGTACACGGTAAACCAACATAATTGTAGTACAGCAGCTATATCCAGATTATTACGAATGAAGGAAGCAAAAACTTTGCCAATTAATATTAACGTAATTACTAAGAAAATAAGGATTATCAGGAATACCTTTAATAATTCTCACCTGTAAGTGCTTAGAAAAACAGAAATTCATAAAACAACACTTCCTCAATGCTATTCTGGTCGGGATTAATTGTACTCATCTCATATGTATATCGCACTTCTTCGTTGTACGGACTTGTACGACGTAATGATAATTTTTCTTCCCTTATTACGTTTAGCTTTTTTGCACCTTAAACTGCATCTTTAATATTCACTATCTGTACTTCTACCAAGGTTGACATGGATTGTTAAAGTTGCTTCTGCAACTTACTGTGCCACTGCCTGCTGTAGTATTCTGCTGCTGTGCGCGAGGTGCTTGATTAATAGCTACAGGATCTACGTAGCAGGAGAAGCGCGCCCGCGCTACGATTGTCATATACTGCTCTATTTCCAGATATGACCATACTCACAATTAATGGCAACATTACTTTTGAAATTAGCATACTGCCTAATTACGTGCAACAGTAGCGGTTGCACCAGAAAAGTCGTTGAGTTTTCAAGAACGAAAATTTGTTGTAACACCGGTACTGAGCTCTCTTGGTATGGTTCGTCTTAGCTGGCGATGAGACAACCATAGCTAATGGTTGGTTAATTAATTTGATTCATTTTAAATCTTGTTCATGCATTTTTAATGATTGCACGGAAGACCGAACAAAGTTTCGCGGAAAATTGACTAGGTGATTTAGGAAATGGTGTGATGACACACCATCGTCAGCCGAATGGATTCCCTGGGTATACACTAAAGCGAAAGACAATATTTGGCTTTAAGGGAGCGCGCAATCAGTTCGATCATAGGGGAATACTAATACACACGGGCCGCGGCGGCCACTTGTGATGCATGTAAATACCGGCGGAACAAAATGCATTTTCTCGGGTTACAAATCGTTTTCCGGGTGTCGATGTTTCCTTATGCACTGCGGCACCAGTACCCGCAGCTGATCGCGCCTGAAACGTGGGACCAGTTTTGTGCTAATATCAATCGGCTTAAAAACTGCATCAAATTGCTGAGTGTTGCATTTTTCTGTTGTACATTCGTATTCATTCGTGTGCCTTTTTTCAAGTGTAATCTTGACAAAGCGGTTCTCGATGTGCATATTTTGTTGACGATGGGATTTTTCGTGATTTTTGATTTTTATCACTTGCCAAAACGTTTTATTCAGCAGCGACAAACGTTTACCAATAATATTTTTATTTCCATTTGGACAATTTGGTCCAAAGTACGTATGCGAGGCTCAGTTATAGGTTCTGCGTTATTGTAGCATTAATTAATTGCAAACGTGCATTGTTTAGCGTGCTGCTTTCTTCCGGTGCGCTATTCCAAGTTTCACTATGATAAACCAATGCAATCAAATTGTTTAATTACTAACCAGAAATTATTGCCTTATTAGTAATTTAAATGCGGCGATAAATTAAAGATCAGTTATTCTGGCTAGTGAAATTGTGATCCATGCTTACGCATACATGATATTATGTGCTAAAAATACCTTTTATGAAACTTTCTTCTGAAATGGATTTATGTCGTAACGAATTCGGCTATCATCCGGTGAATACTTATCTGAATATAACGTGCGCATTGTGCTACGTATACACATTCCATTCTACCGATTCGACCAATTATCCGTTGACCTATCATCCGGATGGATATCTCACTAATTATGATGCTTTGCCCGACGGAAATAAAACGCTGCGTCAATTGTATTTGCCGTTGGCTTCCGATCGAAATGCGCCCGTTTACAGTGTAGGGTTTCCAAGTTGGGAAGTGGACCGAGATGCGGAAGTGTGGAAGCAGTGCTGCCAGGCCGCCGCAGATTGCTGTAGCCAGCAGCAACGAGCTGGGAACGATAGCGACTGTCCGCCGACGTGGTATGCCTTTTTGTTGCACTGTACTGCGGCCGATAAGGCTAGTAGATACGGTACTTTATACAATACTTATGAACATCTTGGAATTCATTCTTCACTTGTGGATTTAATATACGTTCATCTTTTAATCGCTGTGCGGTACATTCCGTATTATTGGATCTTTCTTATGTTGAGAAATGGAATTTCGGCATAACTTTTCTGGTCGTAACATAATAACAGTTGCACTTAAAAAAGATCCATCGTCATACCTCATATTCTATGAAATTATTGAATTTCATACACTTTATAACATTTTTGCATTATATCGGTGGCATTTTTACTGGTGTCGTTTTTAGTTTTACCACTCTTTACAAGCGCTGGGTAAAAAGTGGGTTTGTATTGGGGGTGGTCACTATAAGTTCATAACGATAGTATAAAATGATTTCGGGGAGCTCTTGCTAAATCGGGGAGGGTCACTAATTGATAAAATACGGTAACTGTGCGTATTGTACGTAATGCAAGATACAGGAAAGGCGCCCCTAAAAACTTATTAATTTTGATTTTCCGTGAATATTGTCAGAAATGAATGTTGCTGTTAACGCCAAAACCTTATAGTTTATCCAGGTGAAAGATTTTTGTATTTCTTTTAATTTGTATGATTTCACCTGTTGTGTAAGTAAAAATTGAGTAGCAATTAAATTCACGATGCCCAAAAGGCTTATAAGTACATACCGTTGTATGATGATACTAATAGAATGCGTGTAAACTATGCAAATGATCCGGTTCTGGATCTCCTATGCAGCAGGTACTGAAAGGCACTAAAAACGCAAATTTATTTTTGCATTGGTTGCATTTGACGGATTTTTTGCCATTGTGCGACGCGTACTATATTCTGCTGTATAACTTTTGCGAAGATGGCGTTAAATTTCGACTCACTGAACAGCTTTTCCACTTCGTTTTAGGGATGGATGGCAATGTTGGCGAGGCGCTAAGGCAGGCGAAATATTACAGGGACACTGCCCTAGACATATTCAGCCATTTGCTAGGTCTACGTGTACAGGTATTTTTTGGGATTGATGATTTGTATGGCGTCATAATATGGCTCTCAGCGTGGATTAACATTTCAAATTTAAGACGGATTAAGAGATTACTACACTACAAAGAAAATCTTATTCAGTGCTGCATTAACGTTATTTGCCAAATATACATAGAGCGTAACTACGGCAAGTATTCCTGCTACTCACCTTAACAAAGATTATTCGTTTTTACGTAGGTGTGGCAGAAAAAGTCTGTACTCAAAATGGGACTTGGTACGCAAAGCATGCCGGCCCAGAGGACCCATCGTTCTCGAAAGAGTGGACTAATTACACGGAATGTCTTAATTTGTCACCACTGGAAAGTCGGTTTCAAGTGCAAATGGTGACTTACTGTATCTCTATTGCATTTCTTGTGCCAGCATTGTTAATCTTCTGGAGATGCCAGTAAGTCATGGAAAAGCTAAATGTGCTGACTAGATGTTTTTTTATGAACATAGCCGAGAAGAAGTCAATCAATGACAACCCCTAAGATATACACGCATCAAATATTTACGGTTAATATTTATATTTGAACAAAGGTTAGAAAAACACTTTCAAAAGCGCAGACGGCTTTAAAGTACCTGTGTTAGCTAAGCTGTATTTTCCGCTGCGTTTAAATTAATCAATGAGAGGATTGCTTCATGATTACAGCATATGCGTAAATAATCAACGTGAGTTATAAATTACCATCAATGCACCAAACTTTTGCAGACCTTTTGTTTTTAATAACAAACAGCAGTTCAGTTGCTCAGTAAATAAATTTGAAGCCGCTCAATTTTTCATGCATTTTGTTCCGAGAAAACTATGCATACATACGTTAAATCAACCGTATCCCAAATACATTTTCACGCTTGCATGACAGGTGCATTAGGTCGACTGGCCAGCAGAACTGTTTATAGAAAGTTAAATGCTAATGATCCGTTACCGCTTGTTATACGGAGAAGAAAAGTTTTTTAAATCACGATAATTCTAATTGGTTTCAGGCATCTTCAGGTGCAGCGCAACTTAATTCACGTGAACTTCTTCGTATCACTGCTGCTGTACGCAATTACGCTAACAGTTTTCCACGGACTGGTAACTCAGCAGCTCCTGAGCGATCCGGATCTACTTTTGCTGGAGCATCACGATGTTTGGCAGTGCCGGGTGGTTTACGGTCTTACTAAATACTTCCGACTGTGTAATTACTGCTGGATGCTATGCGAGGGTTTATTCCTACTCCGTCACCTAAAACATGTGTTTATGAGAGAACAAAGATTCTACGTTTACATATTATACGGATGGGGTACGCTAACGCGTTATGTTTTTTCCGCGTACAAGACATTATTATAAATTCATGCTCCGAAATGACCGTCACATACTTTGTATAATTCGGTTGTTCGTCCCAATTCTCGGGGAGCGTAATGTGTAATCCTTTCATATACGCCATCGCCCAGTCATTCACAAAGGGACCAGCTGCTTGATTTTAAATTTTATAGTCTTGGGTCATAGTTAAGAAATTCTATGAAATAGCTCGCAGCAGTATTAAAAAAAGAAACTGGGCTGCAGTGATTTGCTTATGTTCAGCTGGCTAGAGTTGGAAAAATATTACTCTTTTTTATTTTCAGGATTGCCGTTTTTGCCGGTTAGCATTTATGCTGGGGTGCGATGGTCGGAAAATGGGTACGAACACCATTCTATATAAATTAAGCATTTTTTATTGTACCATTCCATATAATAATATGTCATAAGACTCATAACTCATACTCCACTGCTGCCGAACCCGATTCGATTTGCATGGTTTACGTTATAGATAAGTATTTTAGTTGATCTATCCTAAAAAGTGACGAATTCCTTAATTTTCTAAAAGAAACACGCTACTGCAGTAACAATATAAGCTATGGTACTGGATATTACATACTGAAACAAAAATACTGAAAAATATTGGAGCCGGAGACGAAAATGATACAATACATCGGTATATGTAATACATCTGTTCTTTCTACTGTATAGCTGCTGGATAGAACCTGTGGAAGTCTTGGAGTGGCTATTCAAAGGACCTGCTCTCCTATCGCTGAGTGTGAGCTTCGCTATTTTTTTGGTAGTTTTAGTTAGCTAAGAAGAGCATACGAAAGATGCGTAGAAAAGGATATAATTATTATGCATAGTTTGTTAGTTTGTATTGTACTTTACACCTTTCCCGGATTACTGGCCTCCAGCACTTATATAGTGTAACACCATTGTTATTACTGTCAACTGAAACATCTTCAATTTCGGATCTTTTGTTTTTACAGTTGAACTTTTTATTCCTCTGGTATATCATTTGCTTACTCGTTAAAAAGCTTCAAACCCGATATGTCAGCGAAATCGGTAAAGTAAGGTAAGCCGGTCTCATACCTTTAGTATGTACTTAATAAAATATCTGCAGTAAACTGACCACTGGTATGCTGACTGCGGTTTTATCGCAACAGTACCACATTATTTAAAGCTTCCATTAACTAAACTTTGACATTACTTTCAGCACTTCCCTAAACAGCTTGCATGTTCATAGGAAAAGTTTTCGCGCTATCCTAGTGCTGATGCCTCTTTTTGGACTGCATTTTGTCATAACGGCGTATCGACCGGCGGACTCCTGTCATACGCAGTGGTACTTTTACTTAAACAATGCTTTGGACGGACTTCAAGGCTTTTTTGTTTCGGTGACCTTTTGTTATTGTAACGGCGAGGTAAGCGCAGATTTCTCTAACTTCATGTATATAGTACCATTAAAAGCTTTTGGAATTAACGCTGTTTACTGCAGTAAAAAGTTACCTGCTTTTAAAAACTGTTTTTAAAGGTCATTGCGGTATTTAAACGTTCCCTACGACTCTGGAGGTTGCGTCGAGGAAATATGCCTCGCAGCGATAGTGCGGCCATCCGTTCGTTAAGCACCGTCACTAGGATTTCACCGTTGAACAGCGTGAGACACTCCTCAACCAAAAGCACGAAAAGCCCTCATGCTCGGGTTTGTCGGTACGATTCCCTCATGGGCACTCGGCAGTCTAGCGTGGAGAAAAAGGAACTGCTGCGAAAATCTAACAGCAGCCCTTTAAGTATTGAAACAGGAATGTAAGCGGCTACCCAGCTCGGAAATTTTGTTTTCTATTGTTCGCTGAGCATTGCCTTCTCTATTGTATTAAGAAACCTGTGATTCGTATCAGCGGTATCTTGTTTTCCGCTGCGATATTGTTTATATTATAACCTGTTGATTTTGATACTTAAAAGCGATTCCCTTGCAAGTGTTCCTTTTTTGATCATACAGTTTATATACAGTAAAACCTGTGACTTTGAACACTCGCGTAAATTGAACACTGGTGTACATTGAACGGTTATTACGGAACCGGCGCGTCTCATAGACTATAACACAGGGGGGCCCTCGCGTATATTGAACAACTCCCTAAAGTGAACATTGAACAAATTAGCTGGAACGGACCTAATTATTTACTAATATTTAGACCTTTCGAGAGTGAACAAAGCGTCGGAATCTGGTTTCGAGAGCGAAAAAACCCAAAAAAAAACGCGTAACGGACCAGAGTTCACAGACATGCGCTGGTTACAACAATAACTCCACGTGATTTTTGATTTATTATGAGCGAAAATAGTGTAAAAAAGGCTTGCTAACGGGGCTGTCCCCCTTGAGGCGGCGCCTGTTCGCTTTCAGGGACAGCTTTAAAACGCTGAAGCACTGTCTTCAAGGGCGCCCCCCTGGGGGCAGCTGTTCTGTACATTGAACAGGCGTCTACATTGAACGAAAAATATGGAACCGTTGGTGTTCAAAGTACGCAGGTTTTACTGTATCTTCAATTTTTGTTTGACATTCAAAAATAAGAAAAATTGTAATGGGGTAAGACATTTTTTGCAGCTTCGCAGACGACGGCAGCAATTTATACACTGCTGTGACAGTAGCAGTGATTTACACATGGCTAAAATCGTCGACCCTATGGGGCATGTATCGCCAAAACTGTTGCAGGACCTGATGATATCAGCTAGAATATATTGTTTACAGATAATAACGCTAATTACTTTACAATAAGTTGCACCACAACTAATTTAGCCTTGGGCAATATACGGCCATTATTGTCTACCTATACTAACCATTAGGCGCAAAACCCTGTCAGCGAATAAGTAGATATTTGTAACTGTCGCAACTTATCGCTACACTTAAACCCACATACTTGAAACTGGTTTTCATTATTAAAGTACATTAGATAGTGTGTTCGGCATGTCATTCGGGTATGGACAATACAATACTTTGTTGAATTTAACGGCATTTACATATGATATTAAGTATGTCCATCGGGCATTACGAATTCAACGCATTTTATTGACTCGCAGCTATTTAACGCTATAAAACAACACACCACAACACTAAGCGTCTCAAGATCCCCAATTTCGAATTAATCAAAATATAACGAAGATAATACCAGAAGATTTGACCGCTTATTCCGCAATATGATTGTTAAATGAATAACTAAGCCTTTTTTTTGCTTCAGTCCACTTATGCGTATCTAGTTAATGTGAAGTTGGTTTATAAAGCCATATTTCTGGTGCCATACTGCTTTACATTGGGAGTGATGTATGCATGGAATGCCAAGAAATGCAAATGTCATAATGATCCATGAAAGTTCCTTGCATTGACACGGAACAGAAAATTCTTAGAAAAAGCGGAAATATATTTATACAGATGGGCAGGTTTTGCTAATGTATGCATTTAACATTGTGGTGTTAAATTTTGGCGGATATATATAACTCGTGTAATATAGCACACTTACAAGTACGTAGACTATTAATCGTAAATAAGGGCCGTTCTGCAGTAGAGCAGAGAACTGACGTAGTTTAAAACTGTCAGTTAAAAACTAAAATGGCTCGAATAAGAAATTAATGTTTGAGGTTGTAAACAAGCGAAGTACATCATGCAGTCACAAGAACAGCTGCATTTGCAGGGACTTGGCATGTATCATGTATGCATGGTAAAGTGACGAACCACATAATTTAACAAAACTTTTCTGGATATGTTAAGTCCACTGTAATCCCTACATAAATTTATTAGCGTACGCAATAGTTTGTTAAAATTGCTAAACCTTAATTCGGTTCAGACGCGCTTGATCAGTGTGTACTATTGTACAGCGACACTGATTAATTACATTCTGCATGCTAAATTTATGCAGAGCGCCCACCAAATATAGGATTGTTAATGAAATAGACCAATGGCCAGCTATGTTTTGTATATTATAATTACCAAGTTACCATCCATTTCGTTTTTTGTTGTTCGTTGTAAAAAATCGTTCACTACGTTTTCGTTGTCAGTTGTCACTAAATACTGCATCAAGCTCGTTTTAAACGAATCAAGGATTAGCAATTTCAACAAACTATGCGCATGCTAATATGTTTATGTAGGGAATTACAGTGGACTTAACGTATCCAGAAAAGTTTTGTTAAATTTTGTGGTCCGGCATCAATTTACCATGCACGCATGCCAAATCCCTGCAAATGCAGCCGTGCTTGTGAATGCATGGTGTACTTTGCTTGTTTGCAACCTCAAACATTTTCCTACTTTGAGTCATATTAGTTTTTAACTGGCAGTTCGGAAGTACAACCGTGAACCGACACACTGTTTCTAATGTTCTCGGCTTTTTGTTGGCAGTTCTCCAGCCACATTGCTCCATGTTTGAGTACCCGGTCCGTCGATCGTCGCATGTACATCGGAAATGGCAATAACTGGCCTCACTTTCTATAAACAGAACTGCTGCATTTCGAAACCATGGTGGGCAATATAAGCATCCGAGATCTCGAGTAGCACCGATCACCGATCGCCGCAAATAAACAAATTTTATTATCCTGCGTAAATATATGGCCTACTAAGATATTATTACTCCGCTTCCTATATTACCACGGAAAATAATTTATACTCGCATAAATTTACAAAAGTGTTTACTGCCTGGATGATCGTAAACTGAAGAAATTGTCGTGTCGGACCCGTGCCTATACAGCATTACGTTTTCAGCCTTCATGCACCATTTATTTTTGCGGAGCTGGCCTCTAAAAGTTATTTTAATTTTTTGACGAGAGTGATTTCCCTTACCCGGAAAACATATTTGACTTATGCCGGTGGCCGCAGCATTTTTCGTAGGCTTCTCTTACTGACCTGTTGTGATTGTTTCTCTTACTGTGGCCCGTTATGCTTTTGAGGAATATATTTGTTCGACTTGTGACTGCTGAGAAATCGGTACGTGAAATCACTGAAATGGACGTTGACAATTGTGTTTAGGGACTTCACAATGAAAATTATAAACACACATTCACATGTTTGGTTACTTTGGTAAGCGCGTGATGCTTGCGCATGTACTTCAATCTGCGATGCCGGAATAATTTATAATAATAATTTGTTTTGTTTTGTTTCAAAATGTTGTACAGCGCATATCATGGCACAGAGTGTCATACACTGATCTCATACGCCTGCACGTTGTCAGGACTTTTGCGGCTGGGCATATAACCATGAACCCTTTCTGGTTTATTTTGAATTTCTAAAAAATAGATCGTAATTAAAAGTTATGTATCGTGAATGTATGTAACTGTGGATTTTGTATGTCCGTTAAAAACGTACATTTGTATTTTAATCTGAAATAACTTCGGTGTGATCTGCAGCCTTATCCGCACTCACAAAGATGTCAAATTTTAAACAGCGTCGATTCCAATTCAGTATACGATAATAGCAGCAATATATATAACGTAAATTACAAACCTAAGCCAAGTCTGTTATTATTCGAACAGATGTAGACACTTCTATTAAGTACGAATTAATTTTACTTTTGCATAATAAAATTTATTACTATATACGTACGTTTTTAAGTTTTGCATACTTAATACAATTATATTCGTATAAAAAAGCACATTACGTAGGTGTGTAATGCATATGGTTGTTACTTTATAGTCCTGATCAGTACGTATTATGGCTGCATGGCTTAAAAATCTATAACTAATAATGAAATTTGAGAACTGTTGTGTAAGCCGATCCAATGAACTTTTACTTACGAGTAGCTAGTGCAGTAAATTAAACGTGCTTGGCTTTATAGGCGAAGGAATTTTTCAGTGCTGCACGCACTTGGTTTCTGCAATTTGCACGGAATAAATATTTTAGGCTTCTGTTAGGCCTAAGTTAAAGTTAACTTTTATAATGGCTTATGAAGACATCATTTATTGGCAAAACCATATTCTTCGACAGAATGTTGAGAAAGGAATTGCTACAGGTATGGTGTTTGTTACTAATCAAGAATTGTAAATGCAACGTCACCGGGATGAGCGCGGTATTAAGTAGGACACCTGCGGTTTGTTACATAAGCGGATTGTTGATTCTAAAAATGCACTGCTGAGATTTCTACTGCACGAGCTTGAGGTTTATCTAAATAACCCAGTTAACAAGATCCTGTGCCACCTTGCCTGTACAATCGGAAGCACTTAAAGAAGCACATTACTGCGGTGTCGAGGAAAGTGCACTTCGGTGCGTGAAGCTGCTGATGCAAATTAAGATAAATATTTGATTAATTCCGGCTCACAATCTAACACTCTAAAAAGCAAACGCAGAAACGCTAATAATTAATATAGGTTCATGAGTATACCATTGTATGTGGTAGGAAACGTGAGAAGCCTTCCCATGCCCATAGAACCATATTTTTTTTTCAAAACGTTATTGCGTTATTAATTGCCCTATAATGGTTTTTCTGTTGCATAATAATAATTCTCTTTCCGGTCATATAAAAGAAAAAATATTTCGTTGTATCATGGTAATATCATGGCATAATACATACTACCGCCAGTTATAATGAGTATATGGTATGCCATGGTAATACTGCAGTACTCTAGAGGTAGTCAACTGATATCATTGGGACATCACAGAGCTCGTTTTTTGGTAAAATTAAAATATGTACAGATAGAGTAGAAGTATACTATAGCTGCGCTCTGATGGCTGACTTGCAAAATCCCATTGACATGTATTATACCCTATAATAAACATATGTCAATATTAAATTTGAAGTGCCATACTTCAAATTAAACATCTTTTGAGCGACACGTACATCAAACAACACAAAAAACGGTTACTGAATGTGTTGTATATAAAAAAATTAGAGAAGAATTGAACTATGTTATTGAACCTACGTTCGCTGAAGTATGCTTACTTACACCATAACCGAGTTGGAACATAAGATTTGATCAAGCGATTATCCATATATGCACGCATGCGCTCAAATTGATTATACACCGTATTTATCGCAACCGGCATAGCTGCTCCTCCCAGTTTAACGGCACAAATCGTTGCCGTACTCCAGCCACGATGTTTTCCAGCCCAAAAGGGATAACCGCATTTGCATGTCAGGTTGTATTCCTCTAATAAAAGTGGTTCGGGACAATAATTATGGGGTTAGTGTCATCATAATTATATGTGTTAGGCCGCACTGACCCCCTCTCATACAATAAGCGAGTGCTCATTTATCGGATAGAATGTAAAGGAATCAAGTACTGCAAACCTTTATCATTTTTAAGGTAATTTACATGCTCGTTCCGACTGTTCCCGATTTGGCGGATTGCTGTGTATCACCCAGCGATTTCCTTTTTAGACTAACCCGGGGGAATGGCCGTATGGATATATTTATGTAAAACTGGTTCAACCCTCTAAACTCCCTTCCTCTCGGTTCTGCCAGAGAGGGCTTTACATGCAAGATCATTACCATTCTAAATTAACGAAATTTGCTGCATATGTTTTAAAGTGGGCTTGTGCACATCAATCAGCAGTATGTTAACAGTAGCGGCGCGACAGTTGACCGTTCACCGCGCGGTGAACGACTGTACTATGCCGAATTATTACACTTCTTATTTTTTCGCGAAGCGGTCTATCCAAACAATATCTCCATGAAGTCCAATCAAAATCTTCTCGGTTTGGCACGAGTAATGTGTCCATATTATTTTATCCGGATACAGATTCATCATCTTGACATTTACGGAGAGAAATACCGCATTACCAGCCAATGTAACAATTTTAATGACATCCAAATGATTACTATTATCCTGAGCGCCGCGCACTCGTATATACGCTACTGTGTTGGCTAATCTCCCGGCCGTATGACGCGCTTGATTAACGTCTTTTTCTGCTTGGCAGATTTATCCTGCACTCCGGCGTAGGTGAGAGAGTGCGATCGGAAGGAGAGCGAAAACGCGCTGTACATTTTTGGGCCGCAATTATTCTACGTCGGCTGCGTCAACATGAGCCATAGAAGCTTCCGTTAAAGTTTAAACAATATTCGTTGGAATTGCCTGTACCGGCAGAAGACGATATATATAGTACCAACCCCCGTGGAACACGAAAATGACGGAAGACCCGAGTGCCACATTATTCAGCAATTATACTGATGGTTTAGACAATGATCCTGTGGCGCAAACTGAAGAGAAAACCGTTATAACGGAGTCTGAGCAGCATCGATGGGAGTTCGCAGCACGGCAACAACAGGCAGCACAAGATTGCGAAGACAACATAATGAGCTTGCCGTATCCTAATGACGGTAAGAATCAGCAATTAATAACCGCTAATCTTAGCAGTTTTAGTGTTCGTAATTGGCGATTAAGTTACGGAAATACGATGTCTGATCACATGTACTGCAGTACTCTTTATTACAAATAATTTATTCGAAGGTTGCATGAGTAATGTAATGCTGGTGTAGCGGCATGGTTTATTGCGTAAAGCTTGAGCTCTTTATAATTATTTATTGCTAGACTTATCGAGAAATATGAACAATGACGTCGCCGGAATGGTTATGCTAGCTGTATTTCGTTATAAATGTCCAGTTCATCAGATTGCTGTTAATACCAATAGTTTTCACTCTGCTTCGGCAGTACCTTTTAGGGATCAGGTCAGTTACATGCATATACAAAGCTAATTTTGTATTCTTCACTAGCGAATAGTGCTCTGTTTTTCGTCGCGAATAAATGGGAAACTGCCAGACTGCATAGCGCAAATATCTGTATAATTATAACTCGTTGAAAGATAGTGCCTCTGTTAGAGCCAAAAATAAACACCGTAACGGATCATCATGCTTGTGTTTAACATGCCACATACAAAAGTTACTGTCAACGATTGGGATCAAGATCAGGTTATATAATTGCCGCTGTTGTTGTCGGTCCAAAATGTATCACATCCCAACACCACCGCAAACTGCTTAAAAGTGTCTGGGCTACCATAAGAATGTAGTGCGTACCGATTTGACTTCATCGGGCTTATCCCGAGAATCCCATAAACATTCATTACGTCCCCCCATTCTGCGTACTTGAAATAACCGGCGATTAAATGTTTGGTGATACTGATTTTTTGATTGTGTAATTGTAGTCGTAATTGTGTCATTTTGTAGAATAATTTACTATTCATTGCAGGACGGCTTTACTGCAATCGGACATTCGACAACTGGGGCTGCTGGAACGATACTCTGGCCGGAACACGAGTACATATGCATCCTTATCTGCGCATATCCCATGCCTAACAAATAATTTACTGCTCATTTAGGCATACATCCCGTGCCCGGCCTGGGCGCATGATGGCTTTGATCCGAGATGTGCGTGAATGCGATGTTTGTTTATGGGCTATCAATTCTGTGTTGCGCATTAGACTGTTTTTTTTTCTTCTGCTCCCCTGCAGTAACTGCCTTTAAGGACTGCATGGAAAATGGATCGTGGTGGACACATCCACTAAGCGGCAAGCCCTGGTCCAATTACACATCGTGTGTGGATTACGATGAGTTGTCAGTAAGTTTATCAACGCAAAGTCTAAAGCTGTTTGATCGGAGATTATCATGTATTATCGGTGCGCTTCACTACCATAGCATTAGCTGCAGAATTACGAATATCGACAGCGAAATAAAAAAATTCAAACGAGATTAATGGCGCTATTAAAATAACGTACGTATCTGTATATATTTCAGAAACAAAATTATTTGGAATTAAAATTTATTTTATGTGCTTATTTTGGTAATAATTATGACCTGCGCAACAATATCCAGCCGCGATAGAAGAAACAAGGTTGAAAGATTTGTAGAACTATGTCCGCAGACTGAAATTACTCTAACATTTTTTTTATAAACAGTTGCTAGCGCTCTTTCATTCACTTTAAATTTGCTTATGATGTTTTAGCCTAATCAATAAACTGCGTTTGCGCCCGGTTTATTAGACACAGTAATAATATGGGATGTACACTTTTTGAATCTTAATTTCAGTTCAAATATTGTTAACGAAATTTCAGTTTTCAGTGCATGTAAATCTATCTGTACAATAATCTGCAGATACTTATATACAGCCAATTACAATGGAAACACTGTTTTCATTTTTTAATGAGGGTCTAATACCGATCGTACAGTAATATGAGTGTACATTATTTTCATCGCTTTTGAAACTTTCCAGTGCAGGTGGCAAATGGACTATATCATTATCCATCATTGATGCGCCGTTTATAACTGCCTAGCAAGAGAATCCTTTCTAATGACAGTTAAATTGTGTTAACCTTTTGTGATTCCTTTGGGAAAAGAGCGTAGGCCGCAAGGGCTCTTGTTTGATCGTTGTATACGCACGATACATGGGAAAATTGCGTAATCGTTCATATCAGTTCTCATTAAGGCGTTATTGTACGTATGTACGGCGGCTCAAGAATCAGTAAAAAAGCATATTATATACTGGTATCTTGTGGCACATGTATTTTTAAGAGACATACAAACGGATATACAGTATATATCACACACTGTACAAAAAACATTTTACAGTAAATTGAGTCAAAATATGATGCTGCTATAAATCCGATACGAAATTTTTATTTGCAGACTTGGTGATCATCGAGCGCACGAAGTAGCGTTTGATGCATCGAACATTATTTTTTGCAGTCTGCTTCAATAATATTTGTCAGTTCGTCGGTTAAACATACGAAATGCATTAAATGCGCATTAGCCAATAAATCTGTGGCTTGCTTGGAAGCAAAAAAACCTGAGCGTACAGCCTGCGCTTTTTGATTTCTTTATTAAATAAAGTCTATAATTCGATCGAAGTTTGTTCAACGAAATTGGTTGTTGTGGTTGTCTTAATTATATAGACTGAATTTAATTAATAAGATGACTTTTCGCAAAGCCAATGACCGGAAGACGGTTGCGGCAGGAACCTGAAATAAAATCAAACACACCATGCAGCGGCGTAGTAATAAAATGGGCGTGGACAAAGTAAAGCCATCTTGCATAATTGTGGAATTAGATCAAAACATTCTCGTTGAGTGGCGCCGCATGTCGCCTTAAGTGTTTCAGATTATCATAGGATATCTACAACAATTCCGTATGCATACTGACCGGGTTATTTTCAGAGACAGCAAACTATCAATCTCATCTACGTGATAGGCTACTCGGTCTCCCTAGTGTTCCTCCTGGCATCCCTCTTCATTTTCTTCTACTTCCGCCAGCTAAGTTGCACACGCATAACTATTCACAAGCATCTTTTTGTCTCCTTCATCATCCACAATATTGTCTGGATTATCCATGACAATGTTATTCCACCATATCCGGACAGGCTCAAGGAAAATGGGGTACACTTTATAATTAATCTTTAATGGTGTCGTCTTTAAAAAACCACAGAAACCTTTATATGGAAGTTTTGTTATTTGAGGAGAGTCTGTTTTCGGAAAACATTAAAACATGCTTTTTAAAATTGTACTAAAATAGAAAATAATAAGCGTTACTGCTGAAGAAGCAGAATATCGATTTTTGATACTGCAATATGCGCATCTACGTAAAAGCATATCGCGCTCATGAAGTTGTTTAGTGTTGCCATTAACGATTAAAGACTAATTTCTATTATCGATGAAAGACTCCTTTATCTTTCTATAAATCTTTCAGTTTTATAATTTTGTGGCACTTATGCACCTGAAATTATGAAGGAATTTGCATTCGATAGGTCTTTCTTAACTTTAAATTCGACTGACCTCCGTATATGAAAAGAGGCACAATTGCATATCTCACGCAATAAACGTATTGCAGGCTGAAATAAACGTGCAGAATGCTGTCATTCTTGTCAGTCAATAAAATAATTTGATGGAGAACTAATCTCGTGAGACTGCGGATTAATTCCTCCTATCCAAGTCTAACCAGATGGCTTGGCACAGGGAATTAATCAATATTAATGTGACAAAAAGATTTTCCGCTTGCTAATGGAAAGTGTACGCTGCGTATGCGTTACGTTACCATTGACTGTATTTTTTTTGCAGTGGGCTTGCCGACTGTTCCACACTTTTATCAGATACATCCTGGTGTGTAATTATTTCTGGATGTTTTGTGAAGGTACGAAAATGGAAACTAGACTTTTTAGCTAGGCACTTATAATGTTGTGTCCTATAGTGCTGATGTTACCTTCTTTAGGATTTTACTTGCATACCGTTCTGGTGGTGGCGTTCGCAAAAACGGAAATCTTAATGAAAGCATTTTACGCCATTGGATGGTAAGCGAATATGAAAGAAAATAAGCTTTCAAAATACAGATTAATTTACTATTACCAATTATATGACCAGGCAGTCATACAGCATGTGCATTATTAACAGTATGTGCATATACAATATTTCTCCCACACGATTTTATTTGTCCATTAAATTAAATAAATAATACTGCTATAATAACTTTGCAAAACTGAGCCCATCTTAGCGAGCGGAGTAAATGGCATAATCTATTTAGTTTGCAAAACTCTTATTGACACGGCATGTAGGTACACTATTTCACACCTCGTGTTAATATCCACAGGGGCTTACCGGTGATACCGGCTTTTGTGTATGCCATCGTGCGAGCGCTGGATCCCCTCGAGAATAAGAATTGCTGGATCTCGGCGGGAAAATATCTATATATTTTAGCGGTTCCTGTAATAATATCTCTTGTTGTAAGCGGATATAAATAACACGAACAGTGGGGAAAAGAGTGACTTTTTACGTGATTCAAAGGGATACAGCGTTTCCGTTTTGCTTTGCAGGCTAATCTCATCTTTTTGTGCAATATTGTGAGGGTATTGATTACGAAAATGCGTGCGACAAATTCCCGTGAAGATCATCATACAAGAAAAGCCGTCCGCGCTACGCTTATCCTCGTGCCATTGTTAGGATTGCAGTACATCCTATTTCCGTTCCGACCAGACGAGAGTGCGCGACATTTTATCTTTGCTTACGATATAGCGTCGGCAATATGCACATCGCTTCAGGTAAACAAATATCTGTAGTCAGGGTATACATTTCTGTTTTGCGGTTCCATTGATGGATTTACATTTTGTTTGTTTGCATTTCCCGAGGCATGCGAGTGCCATTTCAATAAAAACATTTTTTGATTTTTTTATCATACATTTTAGCATTTCTTCAGAGCACTTGTAATCATCTCTACGTGTATAAGTTCAACAATATATAATGTCCTACATTGTTTAGCAATGCTCTCGGTCACATAAAGCAAGTCTTACGTTTTACAAACGTGTACTGCATAATGTCATATTTAAGGTAAACATTGAAATTTTGTTTTATTTGTGCATCCAGTCACAGATGACAGTCACTGTATTAATCTGGGATCCTCAATTCCAAAAGTCTGTTTTTTACCCAGTGTAGTGATAAGTGATTAAGGTACCACCGATTGATCGTACACAATATTTTCTTCCATATAGATATTTTCGAGATGCGATGAAGCCATGACCTAGCAATTTTTGCACTCGTAAATTTCAATTCTGTGGTGCTGATTTCAGGGCCTGTTTGTGGCGCTGATCTTTTGCTTCTTCAATGGCGAGGTACGGGAAGTGCTCAAGCGTTCCGCAAAGCAGTATATGTCAATGCATGAAGTCCCGTTCCTATCTGGACATTATCGAGCTCGAGATCGTGAAAGTAACGCGCATCAAATGCATGACCACTACAAGCACCGCAACAACAGTGACATTCTTACAGATATAACGGATGTCAACGAACTGTGATTATTTATTAATGCCGTACTTCTTATTGCTCATTATTATTATTGTTTTTGCATGCTTTATAATATCGACAAGTGCTAATGTGCAATGCGGCTGCTACATATTACCGGCAGATATTGGTCACTGCGGTATTTATGGTTCGCCCGCGTACATATGCATCATGATATGATATTTTTGACAATGAAATTTTGTTTTATGTTGCATGCAGTGTTAGACTTGAACGTTGAGCTTGTACTGCAAATGACTGGAACCTTAATTAACCAATAAAGAGAAACTGCTTTTGTGAATGTCAACATACGCCTAACGATATCGTCTGGTGACTTATTTACTGTGCGCCTGTGCATGGTCCAGCCCTCAGGCACTTGGCTGAAGTTTTCCTGCATGGATGCAGTTTCCGTCGGACGGATATTCCTCATCCTGTTTCAATTATTCTTCAGGTCATGGACCTCAGTAAACGGCAGATCCGGACTCGCAGGGAAAGTTACGTTTTAAACAGGCACCGCTCCTCTCTGGCAACCTCATCGGTATGTCATGCATATCCATATTATAACCGTAATCTTTAAGTCTTAATCATAGCCAAGCAAAAGAAACGCGACGGTATGGTGTTGTGCCGTGACCTTTTTCCGGACAGCCCACGTGACGGACTTTCGGAGTCAGTTTAATAGAAATCGCAGTTTTTCGTTGCCAGAAATTTTTGGCACACCTAGCTCGATCTATTGCGCAGTCAGCCAAGGTGTTTGTACTTCAAAAAATTAAAGCGCTAAATACAAAACAGGTTTGATAAAACTGGGGGTAAAGGTGAGCCGCCTTCTACTAGGGCGAGCATTCCATTTTTGTAGTGCGTACGCGTAGTGATGTCACCGTGTCAGACACCTACAGTTCGAATGCATCAATTTTCGGTTTGGTTGCTTCAAAAAATAAGAAAAATTAGTTTTTTTAGTAGGATAGCGGTTTATACTAGCTCATTCGGAAACAAGAGCATAAGTGTATAGCGCGAAAAATAAAAAGCGAGACTTGAGCCATTAGATTTTTCAACGGCACGCTACGCCAGCACCAAAATGGCAGCACGGGTGCAAAAATTTAAGCTCAGATACTAATAGTTATGTAGCTTAATAAAATGTGATAACTCACAGTTTAAGATTACCCGGTTTGGTGGTGAAGTTTTGTAATGGTTAACAAAGTTACCTGTATCCACTGCACTACGGTAATTAATCGACGTTACTTTACGCGTCCGCGGTCCAATTATTTCGCGGGTACACTTAATGCTTTTGTTTCCGGATGGGCTTCTACGTTGGCATGTGTGGAGCATCATATACAATATTCTACTTATATTATAATTGTTATGTTAAACGTTTTTAGCTGAGATTAAACCATGATCAGTCTATGCAGATGCGTCTGAAGGTGAGTTTTGAAAAAGAGTTGTTGAGCTGAAAGAGATTGTTCAGTGCACCGGTTATTCAAATTGCCGCCGCGCACCTGACTGTGTTTGCAATTGCCTATGCACAAAATTTGTAAAATCAAAAACATTTTTTTTAATTTTGATATTCACACATCATTAATTTACAGATGACTGTACTGTTTAGGTTTGCACACCCCTGCCTCGATACTTTGAGCACCCTGTCTGTCAAGAGCACAATGCATGTCAGGCAGTAATAAGTAATACTAGTATCTGAGCTACACCAAAGCATATAATGCTGCAAAATATTTTTCAACCTTTATGGATTATTTGAATTTATTTCCTATTCATATTAACGTTTATAACGCATAAAAAGATTTGCTTAAAACAACCAGCTGCGGAAATTAAATTAAACTGCGAGCCATGGTACACACATCCGCCATTCCTGCACACTGCACCCTCGCACTCTAAATTTATTATTACATAATTATGATATCCTCTAAATAAAATATTTATTACAGCAGCATGGTAATAAATGTAAGTATATCCCGTAAACTAATAAAAAAATTTTCTTAAAATTATCAGAATTGCGAACTTCAAAACAAAACATAAGGTGTTTGTAATTGTTATACATACCACTTTATTTTGTTTATGGCACACATGCGTTATAATTAAACTGTTGTTGTTATTAAGTGTGTTAATTTGTGATCCGTTGACGCTTGCACGCTTGCACTGTGCACATAACATTACCAGATTCAAAATGGTTAATTTATTTACAGATGAAGTATGCTAATTCATCCAGCTCACCATCAACTATTCGACGCGGCAGCCAATTTCAAGAATCCCTGAAATATCGTAATGATAACAGCTACAGAGATTCTACAGCCTCGACTTTCGCCTAAGTTTTGCTCACTCTGGGAAAAGTATTTGCACAATAGGAAAGAGTGCCTTTGATTTGCATTGTTTATGTATCTGTGTATAACCTTGTTTTTTTATTCTTTTGCATGCACAAAACTTTATTTCTAAAATACTAAAAACTTTAAGATATTCAACCACTCATATGATTGTTCCTTTGGCATATCGAAGCCGGTCGAGAAGTGACCAGCTGCCATGTGTATTTTATGTAATTAATGCAGTTGCAACAGATTGATTTTGCTTACGTATTAAAATAAATGTAACAGTTTGTAATTAGATATTGTTTGTAATAAAAGCATTGTTCGGCGCCCGCAACGGATCAACGTTGCGCATGTATTAAATAAATCTTACATTATCAAAGATCAAAACAATACCATGGCAGTTCAGCAAGTACTTTTCATCATCAATCAACCTAGTTCCAATTTCTGCAACTGAATTTTGCCGGAAACTATAACCTCGCGAGTATCCAGGCAAGCACCGGATAACCGATTCGTTCCTCAACTAGTATTACCGAAGAAAATCGAGGTGTCTAAGGCACCAAAAAACAACATAAATGCCATACTTTTACCTGTTTGACGACATTTTATTGCATTAAAAAACTCTAATGATGAAAGCTTGAAGCACGGCCCCTACTTTACCAGGTAGCAGCTGAAAAACAGCTGACTGCAATGCAAATAATTATAAGCCTGACCTTGTAACTTACAATGACATACAACTCTACCGCCACCATCGATGAAGAGACTTTCAGGAAATTACAGTATTAAAGTTATCGCAGCCGCATTAACCAACGCCTCCATTGCTAATAAAAAATTCTGGTTTTCGGCTACGTACTGATTACAAAGCACTCAACTTCTTAAATAACGCAAAATGATCACACCTATTTTGAAATGCTAACAGTAAAACTGGACAGCCGCCGCTAAAGGTTTGATAAAATGTGTTTGCCGGTCCCAAAAAGATGCCAAAACCAAAATAAAGAATTATGTCGTAAAAGTGTGGCGTAATGCCATATCCTGCACGGAATACGTACAAAGAGTTTCGTATATCCTAGGGGGTAAGAAATGGATATAAATACAACAACTGGGCTACAGGAAACCGACAACTGGACTAACGTTAATAGGAACAGTCTTTAAAGCGCTTTTCCGTACAGCAAACGAAAAATGTTTTTTCACAATAGCATTGCAACCCTTAAGCTTGCAGTGCTCTGCTGCTTCGTTCTCTGTATTTTGGTGCAGGACATTGAATCAGTGGAAGACAAGCTGCCTAGCAGTCAGAAGGAGTACACTGCCGTAAGTGTTAATGATAGTGAAAGGTCAAGAAATTTTCGTAAAACACTTAAAGCAGCTGATAGCTAGTTAAAGAGTGCTCATTAATTTGTCACCACGATCACATACGCAATACTGGTTATGTATTTCACTACAAATTATACAAGCTTGAAAGGTCACTGCAGGAAATTGCGCAGTTGGCACAACCATTTGGATTTGAGGACAGTATTGCTGATAACAACAGACCACTGCACGTTCGTAACAAACGTGCATCGGAAGCTGTTTGTAGGCAACAAATCTACCGCATGCAGCGAATCTGGCAACTGTGTTATCAGATGAACAAGGACTACGGAGCCGCAACAGCGACTTGTTTGAAGGGACCCACGTTTGCTCAGATCGGGTTGAACATGTGCCTCGGTGTTTCCGAAGGCCAGGATTTGCTGAATCTCATCCGATACGCCAGATGGTTAACCGATTTACGGGACGAAATCAAGAGAGTCATTATCGAAGAATAAAGTCTAGTCAATCTGATTACTGATTCTAACGAGGCACAGGTTTATGGATTGATAGTACATACATTGCACAACAAAGTGTACAATATTAAAGCAATCATTTTCACTACAGCTGCATTAAAATAACATTTCTAAATGCAGTTATTCTTTACATACCTAGGTAGTTATTCTTTACATACCTTTTCTTTGCTAGGTAGGTTGGGCAGTATGACAAAAACTGGGCATATTCGTGTTTACTATATCGGTGCGACGCTTCTTCTTACATGTTTATGTAATTGTCTTTGTGCAGTATAACGAAAATACCGCTTGGCTGAAATAAAAAAATAAAATCAACAGTTACGATAAAAACTAACGTCTTCTTTTCAAAATCACTGCGTATTCCTAATAATGGTTTGTCCGCCAGCTGCTGTGCTGTTTAACTCTAACTGCAAGAAAGCAAACCACATTGAGGCAGTTGCACGATACATCAGTGTTTGTTCATAATCGTTTACCGAATTCGGGAATTACGTATAACACGTGACCTTTTCAACAAAATCCGATGAAACAGAAGTGGGAGTTTAAGCTCCATTTTAGAACATTTGCTTTTATCCAACAAAATATTTGCTCAGTATTTTGGTTTGTATTCTACATTCAAACATCTGTCAGCACAGACAATGCTAGCTGCTGCTTTCCCGCTAGGCTTTCATGCTGTCGTTTTACGCAAATGTCATATTCATGCTGATTTGCATGTAATGCGTGAGTATCACAGTCCTTGATGGAGAATTTGATCTTAAGCATAGGCTCTATGCCTCGAAAAACATGTAGATCACTTCCGATAAACAACGTAAACAAATTGTAAGCCAGACCTTCTCGGTAAGGTCGTGGAGATTCTTTTCCCAGGTCTCGATCGGCAAGGATAAGAGGCCATGCATCAAGTACACCCTTTCGTGCACTGGTGTAATCCATAATATAAAAAGCAGCAGTTTCCGTTGAATCTTTATCGAAGTATCCCACCTGGCGTTTCACGTCAAATGTTTCCGAAAACGATCGCATATTCTTGGGAATAAAATTTTCATTGTATTGTGCAACTGGTATTGGGAAATACACCTGAGTGCCGGCAATGGTGGATAGTCGTACCCGGTTAAGGAATTCTCCATTCAACAGTGCTTGGAAACTGGTCCGCAAAATTATGGAATCCTTCGAAAATTTCTTGGAGACCAAATCCATTACAGCGAAATCGGACGGAGGAGCTTTCAAAGGATTACGAATACTGACCCAGCCTAAACGTGTGCCCAGTAACTTGTTGAATCGCTTTTCAATTTGCTTGGCTTCTTGTTTAACAACCAGAAAAGCATCGTTGGGATCGCCTTTTCCGGGATCGTTTGGACCGTAAATAAAAACCATCATGAGAAAAACATTTTCTTGCTCTTCCAGCAAATGGCGAGAAAAACGCTCCAGAAAAATAAGGGACGCATTAACTTCTGCTGGATTGACCGGTAACACGACATGCACACGGGTTGCTTCGGTAACGAATGGCATCCCGACAACTTCCATCTTCCCTAGTGCTTTAAGCATTCGAATACGCTTTTTAATAATTTTCCCTTCAGAGCCGGTGTCGTCACCTTCAGCCTGGAAGATCAAATCCAGTAGATATTCCATGCCACGAGTGGGATCAAATTTTCTGTAGCCATGTAACAACTTCACGAATTTAATATTTTCATGAGAATGCATCTCCTCCATTTTCTTAGCCAAATCTGCAGTAAGCTGCTCAATGTCTTTTACATTTGCTCCACATAGTTTTTCTGTTACTTGGAAGTCATCGGGTCGAAAAAGGTGTGTGGAATTGAAATACGTCCATTCCACCAAATCGAAACGATTTTTCGCCAACGACGGATGGTTGCTACCAATCGGCCACTGAAGATCACGGCCCTGGCTGGGTGTGCTCGGGCTCTGTTTGACAATATCATCCTGGAGATCTTCGATTACGCTGGTCAGTTCGGATATTTCGTTGCGGTTCAATTCCAAATGCAGCCGGAAAAAGTGTTCGGGTGCAGTCAGTGGATAAACAGTCACCGCGGAACGGATAGGTTCAGATGATTCGATTAGCTGCGCGGTATTATCTTGATCGGCCAAAGATTGCTTTTCGTTTATGCGGTAGCCGGAGAAAGCCTGACCCTGATAATGAAATTCAAACGGCTGATTTAGCTAGAAGTACAGATATAGTATTTTGCAGATTACGCAGTGATTTATGAACGCACTTAAAGAAAGCGACGAAAATTCCCCAGTCCACTGCGGCAAAAGAACAAGCATTTCCAGCATATATTTGCATAATACATTAAACAGCGTAAGCATTTCGGCATTTCACAATACCGACCGATTACAGAAAAACTGTCTCAAATTGCACAGTTAAAGTAGTATCACCTACTTAATTACGCAGCTTTATGCATAAAAAAGGCATGACGTTATGCGGCAAATTAGCAAAAGATTATCACTCAGTGTTCTTAACAAATTTAATTTCATGGTATATTTGGTTCTGCCACTTACATAATTGTCATTACAATGAAGATTTGTGGCCTTTTCCACGCATTTGCCAACTGCAGCCGTTGGGTCACTATCCGCGTCTTCCATACAAGACGGCAGTGTTTCTGAAATTCGTTTCATGACGCTCTGACTCAAAAGCACTCCAGATTCGAACAGACAAAACGATGGCGAATCCTTTTTTGCCATTTCGCCAATATAATTATCATGTCCGGCGCTCGTCTTCCGCACATACTCCATCAGTTTTTTCGCTCGAATGTACGTTGAATCCGGCACAATAAAAAACCAATCATAATTGTCGATATACTGATTATTGATGAGAAATTGAACAATCGACAAAGGTTTGACCCTAACTCCGGCGTCCGAAATCTGTACAACATGCATGGATAAGTTCTGATACGACTGCAGCTGGGGTTCCGAAGCAGTGTTGATAAAAAAGCTTAGCCGCGGCAAATATGCCGCGGATGTTTGGTTCAACGCTATTCCTAGAGAAGATAGAGTAGACACACTGCTACTAATAGCCACGAAAAGCGGTTCATGAATTCCCAGCTCAGATGAATAATAGCGCGGTCGGGCTGGGATGTATGCCGGCTGAACTTCCGGAGAGGATTTCATCTCTGAATAAAGTATAACGGGATCGTAATCATCATCAACAGAGTGTAGCGCTTTCGGCAAGCCGGATTCCTTGCCATTGGTCGGCGTGTGACATGGCACAGGCGATCCGGTGGTGAGATTGTCCATGCAATGATAAATCCCACACGTGATCCCCAAACAGAATCCAACCAGGATTTCGGGATGTCGCTGCCAGAGTCGGCGAAGTGATTCAAACCGCAGACCGGCCATGATATATAACAGGAGCTGCCGTCGCTTGCTCACGGGCGCGATGATATGTGCTGTCGCTTTTTAGTCCATGATCAACCTGAATTTTGACGACCACCGTCGCTCGTCGTTGGCATTAATGGGACAATCTTCTTAAATAAAAAAAAGTGTCGATTTGAAATGGAATTATAACAACTTCATATAGGATCAATGCAGAATCTATGTCCTTTTACTAATGCTCTGTAGCAAGCTAGCAACATTCCAGTAAGCAGCCGGAATAGCGCTCGTAGGGTAATTGGGGAATCACCAAAGCTGTTTAATTCTCTGCATGTTTTTGCTCAAGCTGATTACCAGAAAAAACGCTCAGTGGCTCCATAATGCGTGAGATTGTTTGCATTTTTCTGAACATGGTACTCTATGCTCCGAGTTGTCCCGCGCAGGCATAAAATTAAAAACCATTCACCAATGTCACCGTTCTTGAGTACAAGCAGTGCGGTACTTACTCGTACGATCACAAATATGCATAAAAAAATATGTATAAAAAATATAAAAAAACTGTAATTCTACAGCAGCGTGTTAACTGTATGTATGTTCTCCACTACGTGTTGTTAATGCAACCAGCCGTTATACACGAGTTTAAATCGAGGCTAAAGGTAATCCGGGGTTAACAGTAAAGGATACTCTACCGAGTCGGTCCCGTACGTTGTACAATACTCTCACCTTAACAGTTCTAAAGCTTTTTCCCATTTAATCACGAATGTATAAAATTGTAGCCCAGGCACTTATGGAGATAAAGACGTTAAGGTATAAAATATGGATGGCAGTTGCAGGCACGTAAGGACATATCGTAAGTGTTTTAAATTTGAAACATGGTAATTAGAATAAGAATCGCACGTTTTTACAAAACACTGGCAACCGAAAAAGGCTAATGCAATCTGCTTATGCTTAGCTCCTACTGTATGAATTGAGTTAACATACCATACGTGGGTCCGCAACCTGAATGTTTGACTGGCTTGCAGGTGTTAGACCTTGACCTTTTTTCTTTTTTGTCATCTGCCGGAGTGCGCAAAAGCCCCTGCACACAAGGCACAAGAACACCGCCACTTAAAGAAAAAAATTTGTGGTTTACGATCCGAAATAAAACTGCAAAAGCAAGCTATGTTAGCATTGTTATCAAAACCTTATGAGTCGTGCCCCGATATTGTGAAAATACGCACAGCACGGAAAATATACTGCCTTCTCAAAAATAATATGCCTAGTTTTTGGAAATTTCAGTGTATAGATATGAGTAAATGCCGTTGCTTGTACAAGTTTGAGCTTTAATTAAAACGAGTGCGCATATCCAGTAAATGCTATTAAGTACAGTAAATAAATATGTAATCGTGGTACTCAATTTATTACTTACCTCAGTAGGGATACACCGGGTAGCATTAATGCGCCACCTAGATATTAACGATAACAAGTTTGCAATAATTACATAACTTTCTAGAGAGAATCAAGGTACTTACTTGTATAGCCATTTACTATTTAGGTGGAAAAAAACTTTACGTGGACAATCGAAGATTGACCATGGTCCATAGTCCATTGAGGAGCTACTACTATTCTGGGTGCAAGATGCGACTCACTCGTTAGGACTCGTAATTGCGGTCTTCCAGCTTCTTCAAAACCTATTCGTAAATTAGGTTTCTCGTCATCTACTTATTATTTGTAACGTATAAACATTCATCAGTTTGTATAGTACTGAAAGTTTTTAAGTGCTTATACGCTGCATACGGGTCGTGACACAGTAATCAATCAGAATGCTTCAACATCGATCGTGTAAGAAGATCGTAATAATTACAGTTAAGTATTAATAATTCGGAAAACTTATCTACTGGTGAAATGCAATATTTATACGAAAAAGATTTTATGATTATTTGCTCATTATAGTGACAGTCATTCCTACTTACATAATATTTCCTATATGATGATTTCAAAATGATTAATTTTCTACTCTAATCATCAATGTTGAGTGTACAGATACAGAGCCAAGACGCTACTCTATAAGTATCAACCACAAAATCAACAAAAATTATGATTCACGCAAGCAAGGCATACACTACTCGTCATACAGCAGAAGGTGGAGGGCGGACCCACGAGCGACACGAATTATAACAAAAGCGGCCCGATATATAAAACTATAAAAGCTTGCCACAAACACACGTACCATTCTGCACAGCTGTTTTTAAAACGTAGCTTTCGAGTTTCGACGTTTCTTATAAAATTTTTTGTGGAGATTTACAAATATCCTGTGGAGTTCATCCATTCACCATGTCTGCTAATCGTAAACAGTTTTCTGCCAGCGATGCTCCTATCAGCAAAGTTACCGTCTACCGCGATAGAGCTGAGATTTCGCGGGTTTTGCGATTCAAAGCGCAGCCTGGCGAACACGAAGTAGTTTTACAGCAGCTGCGAACGCCGATTGATCTTTCTTCCTTACGGTACGTGATCTAAACGATGTTATAACTACGTGTACCCAGATTATTAAATAGCTGCTGTAATTAAGAACTGTCTAATTTCTTGAAATGGTCTGCCTAATTTTTTGGAAGCATGTGAATCACAGGCGATATGGTGGTCTGTTTGGCTGTTAGAACGAACGAACGAGGCACTGCATATAACGAGTTTTTTTCCTCCTGTGCGTGCTTATCGAATAATATTTTCCAGGGTGGAAGGACGCGGTCCAGCTACCATCACCGATGTGAATTTATCAAACAACTATGTGAACAAATCGCAGACGTCTGATGTGGACCAGAAAGAAAAGAAGCTGCGCGAAGAGCTCAACCGACTTGAAGAGCAAAAATCTATCGAAGATGCCGAAGAAGCCCGTTTGGGAAAGCAGCAGGAATTTTGGTCCAAATGTGTTGAATCTCTTGCTACGGTGAGAAAGCTTTAAATCGTAGTGAAGTAATAAATGCATGCATTCCATGTACCTAATAATCGCAGCTGTGACAGATGTTGATAACGATCGGACTTTAATACTGAATGCATTGCTAATGCTGTCAGTGGCAGCAAATTGCTCGGAAGTCGTAACTTAAAGGTTCGCTCATAGTTGTGAGTTTATCTTTCGGGTACACGTGCCCGTCTGATGGGTGACTGGCGCGCCTGCTGATCAATAGTAGTGTATGTATCGGCATTCTTTACAAGATGACTTTCAGTTGACCTTGGCGATTTTTATGGAAATTTGTGGGCGTACTGGTACTGCTAAACCAGTGATGCATCGCTTTTCGCATTGCTGCGCTGAATAGGAATTTTGTTGTTACTTCGTTTAATCAGAATTGCCGTTTCTGTGCAGGGCGTGTTTACCGTTAAAGATGGGAAATCGTATCCAGCGACTGCTGAGACATATAACAACATCACGGAATTCCTTAATTTCCAATCTGGCGAAGCTAGGAAATTGGACGAGAAGCTGCGCGAACAGCGTCATGTTTCAAAGCAATTAACTGAAAAAATTGAAACAGCACAACGGAATTTGAATGAGTGCTGCTATGGTAGTAGCAGAAACACTTGGTACGTGTCTAATATTATACAAATTTACATTGTGATCAAATATATAACACACAGTTTTTCTCTTTTTAGGGATGTTTTAGTTTCTCTTTGTGCTGAGGCGGAAGGGGAGTTGGAACTGAATATCAGTTATATTGTGTATGGCGCGAGCTGGAGCCCGAAATATGACGTCCGTGTCGCGTCGGACAGCAAGAAGTTGTCGGTATGGTAGCTTGAATATTTTTGAAATTGCCGAGTAGAAGTTAATTGCTGTAGCCACTAAATACTGGTCTCACATCACAGATCGCGTATTATGGGCTGATTACTCAAAACACTAATGAAGATTGGGTGGAGATTCCCATTTGTTTGTCCACTGCCGTGCCAGCAGTTGGTGGCAACATTCCTCAGCTGGGCACTAAACAGGTAACGGATTTTACTGCTATTGGAAAAATAATGTATAATATTTAGGAAGACTAACTGATATCATGACTACTACCTCTACCGCTACGTACAGAATCAGATATACAGTATCATGGCTAATTCATAAAAACTTTCCCGTGTTTTAGATTTCATTCAAACAGCCACCTCCTCCACCTGTGCCAACGCAACAGCTGTTTGGTTTCGCACCAAGGGCCAAGATGTCTAGAGGTTATGTCGAGGACGAGATGATGGAACGATCTGCTCCTATGATGGCAATGGCCATGCCAATGCGTGCAGAAATGGCAACAGCTGTTACCCGAGTGGTACATGCTCATTCAAAATTGAATTATAATTTTATAGTCAACTATTGTTTATCTACTCAGTCCGTGGAAGTTTGCTTGCGTATTTACCTATTTTATCAGAAACTAGAACGTACTATCTTGAATCTGACTGTTTCATACGGCAATGCTTCCACAGTTTTTTCGTGATATCAGCGGCATTTTGCTGTTCTGGTTTTTATTTGGTCGGTTTTATATTGTTTTCTAATAGGTCCAAGATTCTGGAATTACAACTTCGTTCGAAATTGCCAAACTGACAACTGTTCCAAGCGACGGATCGGAGCACAAAGTGACTGTCGGCATGCTGGAATTACAGCCACATATGCAGTACAAAGCGGTACCGAAGAAGGCAGAAATGGCATTTTTGGAGGCTAAGGCGGTTAATTCTAGTGCATATCCAATTTTACCAGGACCAGCGAGCATTTTCTTTGGGTCTAATTTTGTTGCAACGGTGAGAAATGTTGTTAAGAATAATCGAAAAATCCAGTTCAGGTTTTTGTTGCGTGGAAGCACAGGCTGCATTTGACAGTGAACATAAGTAATGAACAATAAATGGTTGAAGTTGGTTTTTGAAAAACTACAGATTTCGAATGTCGTTTATCATCTTAAAAATTCATTTTAGCGTCCTAATTTATTACTTGTGTTGAATAGGTGGATTTGAAGACCGTCAGTCCACAGGAAGAGTTTTCCTGTTCATTGGGTGTTGACCCCGCAATCAAGATTAAATACCGCCCTGTGCGCCGCTTCAATGAACAAGTGGGATTGCTGAATAAAATGAATGTCGTTACTTATGTGCAAGAAATCGAAGTGAACAACACGCGTAGCGATGCAGTGCATATCGTTATTGTCGATCAAGTCCCACGCAGCACGGAAGAGAAGTTGAAGGTAACTGTTAAAGGATCAGAACTAGAAGGGAGCCGACGTAGAAACCATGTTATTTGCAGGTTACGTTGATCGATCCACCGTTGACCCGCGAACGCCCTGATGCCAAAGGCTTTTTATTGAATCATGATAACAACATCGAACATGCGATAGATGTCAAGGAGCGATCGTCGTATACATGGACTGTGAAGTATAAGCTGGAATATCCGTCGGATAAAGAGATCGAGGAGACGGAAGTGCAGGGTAGCGATTAAGGAGTAAGATTTTGACGCGCTTGGATCTATATTATCAGGAAATCTTAATTTCCTGTACGTTTGCTTGTTTACCGTTCTGTATCTGGACATCGTACGTGGTAGCTACATGAAGCGCGGCTGATCTTTATTTTTTATAAATAGTGTTCTTTGCTTGTTGTCTTTAGTTTCTAACACGCTTCGTTAAAGTATTGTCTTTCATTTAGAGCTTTAATTTTTATCTTTAATCTATGCTCGAGTCTGCTAGATGGTATTGCAAAGTGCGACTTCGACATTGGTTACTAAATTTTAGAATTGTTCAAGTCTGTTACCAATATTCAGATAGCCATTGTAATATTTCCGCTGTGAACGGGAAAATCTCCTCCACGGCACTTTAGCATATACTGTAGTTTTTCCGTATATTCGATTGGGGTTCCAGAGAAAGATTCAACATTACCCGTAGGTTTTTCTATCGTCAGAGTATTTTCGTACGCTCTTTCTTCTTCGTCCTAAAATGACAAGATGGTTTTCCAACAAATGTTAATTATTAAGAGAGACTTTAAGGTCATTAACAGAAATTCGCGTAACTCGTGAGTAATAAAGAAGTTGTTCATAACGCACAGACGCTTTGCATAAAATAGTAAAACGAATAATAATAACAAAAAAGGAAACATAATGAAATTATGCGGCAATAAGTACTTACAAGGTACAATACTACTATGCACGCCGGTTTTTAGTGTATGAATTCGTAGATGTACCAAAATAAAAGCATTTCTACACGGCTTTACTTACATAGCGTGTACCACATTTGGCGAAAGAAGTGCCCCATTCGATCAAGTCGCTATCTGGATTCAACTGCACTGTACAATGCTGCGCCGCAGATCCTCCATAAACTCTGACCCGGTCAGCCTGTTCCTCGGTCATGTTTACTGCCGCTTTTAAAAGGGCAACCTGCATTTCCGTGGTCGTGCAGCGCAGCCGGTGTTGTGCTAGCAGAACAAAGTATAAACTCCCGAAGGTTGAAGAACCAGCAATTAATTCAGATGAATTTTCCTATTTTTGGCAAGAATTCTCATTGCATACCGGTGATTGTTATATTGGGCTTGTTGGCTGCATCTGGTCGATCGTAGTATTGCAACTCCAGTCGAGTGTTAGATCCGCGAGCTCTAACTGAATTCGCCCTACACATGGTAGCATTGGAAATGGACACTATCGTTTCCGTCCCCGACGATATACTATACTCTCCGATGCGCAAAACAGGACGCTCGCTTGTACATGGTCCTGAGGAAGGCTCTTGCAATCCGGGCCACAAAGCGGCACGTATAATTAATAAAGCAGATGGGTCTGCTGATTGTAGGTTCGCGCGGCATCCCGAAACCGGTAAGAAAAAGAGGCTTTCACCAGGGTGCACAATTCGGAATTCATTGCACTGTACTTCTGAGGGATCTTTTGCTGTTTCAACTGGAAAACATTTGAAGAGCAAGTTTTGTTAACCACTCAGTATTCAAAATGCTGCGTTTTTTATATGAGCTTGTAAGTGTGTACGTCTGGATCTAACGGGTGTACATGTCTGAAGACTCGTTATACAGAGCTTAAATATATTTATATCATATATGTGTTTTCAAAAAATAAAAAAAATTCTTACTCTTATCCTCGCATGTTATCCAGACCATGCGAGTCCTGCACGAATCACCCGTGCCCTCGAAAGTCTGCCTGGTGCACGCAAGGAGGGAATGTGGATCTGTTTGAACCCAAACAATCATGATGATGTTTGTGCGTATAATTGAAGAGCAGAAACATTCACTGTACGAATGATTAATCAGGTAGCTCTATCATAAAATATATTTATATTTTAATATGTCACTGTTGTGAATGTATACGAGTATAGCCCGTGAGAATTATATTCCGGCATATACCGGTATATATGCCGACGTGTGATTCTCACTGGCAATTCGCAGTTTAGGAATTAGGGAACTGGAACAAACTTACCAGGGGGACAGTTTGAGAACTGAATCCAGTATCTTCCAGGAGGTCCGTAACTTCCAACTTGAACTCTCACGACTTTATTATATCTTAAGCTACGACATGCAGCGATAGCTATACGATCGGTAACAGCCATTGTTCTGCTAGCATGGCAGACTTTCCTCCAGGTGGCTGTACTAGCTTCTCTGGCCTCTAACTGACCGGAAATGGTCGGGCTGTCTTGATCGGGTTCGGGATTAACGCGCACCAGGTCGTTCTGCTAAACGAATTAAGTAAGGTAGTTAATAGATAATCATACAAATTTCAATGACTTCTGAACAGGTAGACTGGACTGTAATTACAGGACATCTTACACAATTCATTATTTTAATCTGTTACTACTGTATCTGTATACTGTAATAACATATTAGGTACTATACCGCAAGCCTGTAGTCGTATACGTACGTACAAAGATATTCCGTAATATATTTTACAATATATTTTTATTTTGTAACATTGTCTACTCATGAAATAGTTTGAAATACGCAAATTACTGCAGATAGAGTGATACCTGGAGTCTGGCTGGAGAATCGTGGTGCTAACCGTGATTAACTAATTATATTCTGTCTTTACTGGGCAATGGCCACTTCACACAATAAAAAGCCAGCGCTGGTACACACTAAATAAATAAGTGTGCACAAGTTTCACGATAAAATTTTTATCATATTGTACTAATTATATTGCACTCGACTTACTGCACTCGCACGCGTGGCCAAATATAGAAAAATGTATACCAATACGGAAGTACAGCGCATTTGAGCAGCCATGTTTTGGAAGAGATCGACTAACTCCTTATCACAATACTAGGGTAGGTTTTCATCGGGATAAAAAATCGTCACTTATCAATTTTAGCAAAAACGAAAGTTGCTGGTTGTCATCAACATGTGCACTTATAGTTATGTTTAACTAGCCCAACACAAATCTGTTTCCGTCATTTTTACGTTTTTGGTTCTGTACTCGTACTTGATTATGGAGTTTGTGATCTATATTCTCGTATCAGCAACAAGTAACGACCAGGCATTACTGCTTTGCACTAATCATCTGTACAGGCTTATTTACAAGTTTCACGATAAAAGCAAGCGGATATCAATTAATCTATGCTGATTGATTTGGTTAGTATGTAATATCCACACGCGTTATTGTGCGGAAACCCGAGGGACATTTAATTTGACAGGATAACCTTATCAAACCGCAGTGAAGTACTGCACGAGATACAAAAGCTGCATGCACCCACTAAGCTACCTGCAGAAGCACAATCCTGTAAACAAACAACATACCGTGCATTACACATGTTGTCCTGATCAGTCACACAATAAAACAGATCACAAAATAATGTAATAAGCCAAAGTCTTAAACGGGGTGTTCATTAAAAATATTTAGAAGCAGCGGTTTCAGAAGCGCTAAAAAAATTCGTTTGACACATAGGACACATTTTCACCAATCTTATTGTCTGAATGGTTTAATGACTGTAATCGCATAATACATTTTACAAACAACATTATTGTAGTAACTGTTAATAGTTCATTCTCATCACGTCTCATGACCAAATCCCAAAATATTTATGACAAGTGTCTGCAAAATGAAAGCCCATTTGAACAATGAAAGAACCAAATTAAAAAAACTTTCAGGACGTAAAACTAGAACGTTATTCCATCTTCATCCGAATCGTCCTTGTCGTCCTCATCGCTACTCAATTTCAAATCATCCGCTAAAATGCAAACATTATGAAGGGTTTACTGTAGACAGCTTAACAACACAACTTTGGGAAAATCTGACCAACCTAAAGATGCCACTCTTCTTGTCGGAGCCGGTGCTGTTTGTTGAGGCTGTGTAGCAGCCACGTTGGCCAGTTCGGTTTTGTTATTTACACTTCCATTTGCACCAGGACGACCTGAAAAATAGAGATACCAATGCATTCGGACTGGCAGAGGTCTCCGATTCCGAAGCCTGAAAGTTCTTCGATTTGCGAAAAAAAAGAAGCCACTCCATTTGTACGTGACATTTCCGACATCATACCTTGCCGCTGAGTCGACTTAGGATCCATATCCAGCAAACTGTCCATATTATCGTCCCCATCGCTATCTGAATCACTTTCACTGGATGATGAGCTGGAAGAAGACGAACTGGATGAAGAGCTGTCCAGACGATCGTTGATCTTTCCTTTTTGAGCTTTAGACGGCAATGGAGCCTTCTCTAACGGTTCTAAAACAACAGTTGTGAACAAACAAGCCACTTGTATTCTTCACTGTGTCTCACGGTCGAACAAAGCAAATCAAAGAAATAAAAAAAACACATACTCTGCTGGGCAGCAACAAGCGCTGGTTGCTGAGAAGGTTTCGGAGGAGATGTTGCGGCTTTCGGGGCCGGCGCAGGCTTTACATCGGTTTTTGGTTTTACTGGTGGTTTTTTCGTGGTGTTTTGAGAGGCAACAGGTTGAGTTGGCGATGGAGTGGGCGAAGAGGAAGCCGTGGGAGAATAGCTCGGAGTGCCAAACGGACTCACATCGGATTTGTCGCTGAAGAGCTTCGGTTTATTTCCTTGTTCCGGGCTAACAATAAGGTAAAAATGAAACCAAACCCAGCGTCGTAAAAACTGGTTCTTCACATTTTTTACCGGGCTTTTTTCAGCATGATATTATCCCCAAGTTTCTCCAAAACGACTTCGCCCGTTTGTTCATCGATTATCAGCACGCATTCTTTAGTGGTGTAAGGCTTTTTTGATCCCTTGTAAACAGTCTGGCCATTCGAAGCTCCGCTTCCCTAAAACATTTTAAGGAAAACTACAACAGCTGTAAATGTGTCATTAACAAATTTCCAAAACAAAAAAATTACGACATTCCCCACATACTGAAAACTGCACCGCCAACGACTGAAAATTTTGTATACAGCGGCAGATGAAAAGAAAATAATAAAAATATGTGAAACAACAATGAGAAATAAAATTACTGGCACGCAAAATCTGCATAATTCCACGGAAAAGATTGGAGACTACTCCATATACTCCATATTAGTGGAACTACCTGCTTCGTACTAGTGCCGCCGGTCATTGTAGCTGTAACTTGCAGTCCGTTCTCACCGCCAATCTGCATGGTCAAATCCTTGCTAGCGCCCAAAGATACAGGTTTAAAATCGACTAAACAAGCATAAAAGCACTGTCAACATTCGGACAACGTACAAAGTACAAATCCAGCCAAATCGTCTTACAGCGCATGGTGTGGTATGATACATCCGATCGTTTTTCGAAACTGTTTCCCAGCTTCAAAGAGTAAGTTTTCCCGTCCTTTGCATTTCCTTTAGCAGATTTTTGAGACATGGAGAGATATGGTTAACTCCAGTAATAACAATGAACAAAAATCGTCCGCAACTGGCTCTTCAACCCTGGAAAGGCATAACGAATTCGTATAGCACGCAAAGTGCGCAATATGTAAGTTGTTCAAAGTTCAAACCTTTAACTGTAAAACCTTACACCACAAGAAAATCGTTCCATCACAAAATAACTACTTTATCGTTCAATATAATGCCAATGATCTTACGTCAAAAGAATAGAAGTACTGAAAACAGTAAAACCGATTAAAAAATGAAATTCCAAATTCACTGTGGTAGGCCGTAAGGAAATGCTGTTGCACAATACAAACCTTAAAATTCCGTAACGATATCCTAAAGCCGTAACGATATCCTAAAGCCATTAATTTTAACAAAGTCATAAAATAGAGGCTAGTGCAGTAAGCAATGCTTGTGCAATGCAAAAATAAAAACAGCCATATTTAATTTCCGACGCTAACAAGTAAAGCAGCTGTGGCTGACTTGTGAGAGAAAGAGATGGTCAAAACCTAAAGGCACAAAACTAGCTCTGTAATTTTTTACACCGTCTTCTACTGAAATTCGCCCTATAACACTAATAGCAGTTTTAAGTTTTAACCAACTCAATGGTATAACCGTATAAGTAAGCTTAAGTTACAGCGAGTACTGTGAAAATACAAGTTGAGAAATTCAATTTCGAAGGCAATAATACACCGCAAATAAGTGTTATAAGTCATTAAAATATTTTGTAGCTAAATTAATATTTTACAATAGCTTACCAAAAATATTCATTATTTTCTGTATTAAATAACACAAGCGAAACGTTAAAAATTAGGAGAACATCAGCGTCAATCGCAGAGCGATCTTTCACATAATCACATAAATGATGAACTGGTCAAAAGAACCACATTCAACATTTTAAACAATTAGATTATTCATTATGAGAACCATGAAGAATGTATACGGCGATACGCAGTTTATTACCAGAAAGGCTTTTTACCTTTGGGATTCGGGTGGATAATAAAATATTAATTTCCCAAATTAGCACAAATAATCTCAGAAATGGTGGCGACGGCTGACGGGGGGAAATGGCTCCTAGTTCTCGTCAAACATAAGCCTAATTAGTATCAGCGTCGCATCAAAATTATCCCAAGAAAACTATGGTCACCATTAAATTCAATGTCTACGACGAAGTTACAAAACCAACAACAACACAGTTCGGGCACATGAGCGACAAATAAGCCTTATGGCTTATGGCACCTTTGAACAGAAAGAAACCAACTTTAGAGTTTACGAGGTCGCTCGATGTTCGACGTGCTGGAAACTGCAAACAGCAAACCTCGTTATTAATTTACAAATCTTGTTGTCTGGCCAAATGTTAGCATGGCGGAGTCTTGGAGACTGACTCATCCGATCTGTAAAGCGTACAGTACTTACAGAAGTTTGATGTGATTGTATACTACGTTATGTACGCAAAGAAGCACAAAGCCAGTCTATGCTGTACTGTACACTTAAAAAATTTAAAGGAAGACGCAAAGAAATTTTTGGGTTGTCCTTTATAATTTGTTCGCTTTCCTTCCTTTTGTACCAAAAAATCTTTATCAGTTACTTATTATTTTACGCAAAATATTATATTGACGGGAATGCGAAAACAAGCTGCTGTCTGCGGCAAGTTTCAAGTTGCAGCGTTAATTCAGTACGAGTATCCGCCCAGCTTGTCCAAAGCAGCTTCAATTTTGTAAAAGCAGGAAATTCTACTTAAAAAAGACATGTGCGTACGAGAAAAGCAAAAGGAATCTGCACGGTAAAGTTGTAAATTCAAACGGCGATATTCGTAACTGCAACACGAAGGTAGCTGAGCAATGACACAAACATAATCTGAATTTCGGACATATTCGGCAATAACCCCCAGCTTCCCCCCACACCCCAAAACGATGTTGCCAAAATTTAAAGATTTTGGCAACATCACAAGCTGCCTGCCAGAGCCATGCTGCCGAGCACGGCAAGATTCCAAACGGGACGAAAAAGGCTAGCCAATCACAATCGTTCAGTGACGTCATGAATTTTTAATTTTCGCCGACAGCATCAAAAACATTTATCGCCAGCAGCACGCCCTGAGTTTTCGCATTCGCATCATTGATGTGTTCTTTTTGGCACACCGTAGAGTACAGTGTACATCATAGAGCACAGTGTAGTGGCGAAGCAGTCACCGCCGCTTCCGGTCTCGGCGTTCATTTCCTGGCTCAGGCTGTGTGGCCAACAAGAACATTTTTGAAGAACAGCCAACAAGTACAGCAAGTTGTTTCTTTGTTTCGTTTAATATTTTATTTTATTAAAACATAATGCTTGGCTAATGATGGATTGATTATTATTATATTATTTACTAAGTAGGATTGTAGGAATACCGAGTATTTGCGAAAATTAGTGCTCAGTCGAAGGCTAGTTAATGTATTTACAGTATGTACATACTACATGGTGTTTCCTAAAACTGTAAAGTGTAAAGCCAAGTTTACACGGCATGAATGATAGTTGCTACAATTAAACTTTAAAAATAAAAAGAAAGCAAGTGCGTCCTTGTATAAAACCTCTCAGATTTTTGACTCTGTCTGTACAAGAACCGTTGCGAAAGGTTCCAAAACTGCGTCTGTAGCAGTACAGCTCTGTATGTTTACGTATATCTATATCGTATATCTATATCTGTAGAAATTAATCGTTAATACACCTACAGTCGTTCTTGAATTTATAGGGCTGTTCAGCGTGTTCTCGAACCCTTCCAACTTTTCCGATTTTGATTATTGTACTTACTTCTTACGGAATTTTAGACGTTCTAGTATGTCACCGCCTTACCGACCAAGAACGATGAAGTGGTAAGTCACGGGGATCATGGGATTTGTACTCTTCATTTGGCGAAGCTGGCTGGAACTTGTAACTTAAAGTAATAGTAAGTTACATTGCGCTTTATGTTTTTTTACCATTATTTATCAGTAATGAGTAATCGTTTTGAATTCCCTGCCACTGGCAAAGCGATGCACTTAAATTCTGTTTTCCGTGGTATTCCAAGTACAGCGTTATTGTCATTATTTTCATGGTATCAGAAATTTTAAGAAATACGGTAACTAATTGTAAGTGTTGCGAACCTCTCACCTTGTCCTTAGTGCATGGTGCGATTGCAAACTGCAGTACTATAACTAACACGTTTCTCGTTTCAGAGGCTCTGCATGCATCCTCCGCTGTATATTTTTTATGCCTGTCGGTTACGATGTCGAAAAGTCCTCCCAGCAGCTCGGGGACTGAGCTGCCCTCTTTTGCCACGACAGTCTTGTCTAGAGCAGCTGATATTGCGAGTAATGTGTCGGATCTGTTGGCTGAATCCTTCAATCCGATCAGCAGTCCAGCGGTGTTTGAAAGCGATGCCAGTGTAAGGGAAAGCAGCAATGTTCCATCAGTCGCTGGGGATTCTGGTTCCCAGGATATCCGCGATGATCATAGTAGCAGTCCCGAAATGCCGATGAGCAACGGTAGTGCTTCCATTGATATCGACGAAGCGGAAGATGACACGCACGACGTCGAACCTAAATTTAAATACGAGCGGCTTTTCCCCGATAGAAACATTGAATCCGCGAATATCTTGTTCCGGGACAGTGCTACAGCACTCGCGGTACATCCCAAATTATTGGCACTGGGCACGAAAAATGGGGAAATTCACATACTGGATTTACAAGGGAATAGGTAATTAGTATTCCTTTTTTTTGGAAGTTTTATTTCGCATATTCTAATATATAAAGTAGTGAGCATTTTGTACGAACGTGCGTACTGTAATATTTTATGCACCAATATACAACAATTTTGTTTAGGAGGATAAATTCGAAATTGGGAAGTAAACTTTTACGTCGACTGGCCATAACCAGTCTCTTCAAAATTCAGTCCTTTTATGAAAAGCACGCTAATGTCCGGTTTTGAATTCCTGAATATATCTGTACGTCTTGAATGTCTGTAGGATATCGCTAAGCGTTCCTGTTCCGAAACATGCGGGTCCCGTTAACGATATATCCCTGGATGAAGCAGGGGACTACATGGCGTCCGCCGGTGATGATGGCAAAGTATTTGTTCATGGTTTATACCACACGGATGACAATTACCAAGTCAAGCATTCGGAACCAGTGAAAACTGTGGCCATTTGTCCGAACTTCACGGCATTCGGCCTCTCCGTAGCCAACAAGAGCATGGTGTTCGGCTCACGGCAGCTTATTTTGTGTGAAAAACGCTTTCTGGGGACTAAATTAACAACCTTGGATCCGGGCGACGGGCGAGTGACTCGCATTAAATGGTTTGGAAATTTTTTAGCCTGGGGTAACCGATCCGGTGTGAAGGTAATGGATATGAAAGAGAAACAGGTGATTGGTCTAATTCCCAAAGATCAGCGGGATGATGGTAATGATTACCCGAACAAGTGTGAAATTTTCTGGATGGATTCACGAACACTGCTGGTCGCATGGCCGCATGTGTTCAGTGTGTGCGCCATTCGGGATAGGAGAAAATTATCCAATTCATCCTTGAGTTCCGGGGGGCTAACCAAGCTGCCAAACTTTGAACTGGTGATCAACAAGCTCATTCATACAGAATTTGCTATTGCGGGTATTGGGCCCTATGTAGAAGATCAGTTTGTATTGCTGGGATATAATATTGTTTCCAAAGAGGATGACAAGAAAGTGCAGATGCGGATTGTAAGGCCGAAGTGGGAAGAATTTGAGGATGTGACCTGTGATGAACTTCCTCTGCGAGGAGCTTTATACGCCACGTATGAAGATTATAAGCTGCAAAGCTTGCCAGAAGATGGTTGGTCTACAATTTTTTTCTGTTCTAACTAATTTCAGTAATGGCAACCCCTTCACTCGATAGGCACTTCTTGTGCCATAACGATTTTTAGCAAACCCCATTAAATTTAATGTTAAAAAAGTTACGACTAATTTAGCAGTTAGGATTAGTACAGAGTATAAATATGTGCTGTCATAATTATGCTTTTCTTAACGAATTACGAGTACTGTACTAAAGTTACCAATTTTTTGTTGCTAAATTTGGTAGTTGTGAAGTTGACAGTGCTTATGACAGACAGCAAACGATATGAGTCGCCATTATTTATTTAGTGTTTATCACAAAGCACAGATTTTGTGGTTGGTTTTGATGTGTACTGTATAATTTCTCACTCATTTTATTGTAGTTTATATCTATAGTTTATAGATCCTGTATATCATCAGATTGCCTTCTGGCTTTCTAACCTTAGAAGATGCAAGAAATATAGTCATTACATTTCTTGTAGGTTTATATTTTATTGTGAGCCCAAAGGATGTCGTGGTAGCTAAGCCTCTGGACCTTGACGATGTGATTGACTGGCTACTGGAGCGCGGCCGGCACGAAGAAGCTATGAAAGTAGCTGGTAAAAATAATGGGCGCACGCTGGTACGACACAACATACGGGACATCGGACGACAGTACGTGGATTATTTACGATTGAAAGATAATTACGAAGAAGCGGCACGCGTTTGTCCTAAAGTGCTGGGTAAAGACCGAATTGCGTGGGAAGAGCAAGTGGCAGAGTTTTATCGTGCTGGCAAACTACGAATTCTAGCACCGTACATGCCGCGCTCCGCCGACTTCCAGTTGACCCCCGGATTGTATGAACTTGTGCTGGCATCCTTCCTGCAGGATGACCACGAGGGATTTCTTCGAATGGTGAAGGAATGGCCAGCGACACTTTACAATGTCCAAGCCATTATTAACTCTGTGATCGAATTCCTGCTCAGGGATCCTAACCAGAAGGTCTTGCTTGAATCGCTTACCACTTTATATACGCTAGTGGAACAGTACGATAAAGCGCTTAAAATCTGCGTAAAACTCAAACATCCAGACGTATTTGAGTTAATCAACAAGCGCAGTTTATACAAAACCATCGTTGACCAACAGTTGCTCGTAGCCTTAATGGATATTGATGCTGAACAAACTGTGCGTCTGTTGACGGACAATAATGAACGCATTCCCATTGCCAGTGTCGTTACACAACTGCAGAGCCGACCTCAGTATTTGCTTCAATATCTGGACAGGCTGTTCCAGATGAATAAGACCATCGGGAAAGAATACCATGACATTCAAGCTCGCCTCTATGCTGAATATGAGCCAAAAAAGCTGCTGCATTTTATGCAAAACAGCAAACATTTTATGCTCAATACGGCCTTTGAAGTGTGCGAGAAGAAGAATATGTTTCCCGAAATGGTGTACCTCTTGAGTACGTAGTCTGCTATCAGTCTGCATCTCGTGGTGTTTTTCGGTTTCATGCTATGATAAGGCATCCTGATTCAGCTGGATTGAGTTTTTTAATCCTTTAGCGTATGTTAAAGACAGTATGACACTAGTCCCCAAATTTTCTAGATAACCTTAACTTGAATTTTATTTTTTACAGGTCGAATGGGTAGGTAGTCGAAAAGAAGCATTGGATTTAATTTTACTACGACTTGGAGATATTGGACGAGCAATTGAGTTTTGCAAGGAACAGAACGATAACGAGCTATGGATGATCTTGATAAATTATTCCTTGGATAAACCTGATTTTATAACCGTGTTATTGCGTAATATCGGAACACATGTTGACCCTACCATTCTAGTCCGTAAGATCAAGAATGGACTACAAATACCTGGCCTGCGTGATTCTCTTGTTCGAATTCTGCAAGATTACAACTTACAGGTATTAGGCGTGTGTGTTCGGAAACTTTAGAAACTTTCAGAATCAAGCTTGATATTTACTGCGATAAGGAATTTCTGTGTTTAGTTTATGCATTGCTTTATTTACGATTTCGGTGGTTACTTCTGTGTAAAAAATGGCTTACTTCTACTCTGTAACTGCGTGTCAATTACAGATAACCTTGCGAGAGGGCTGTCGAAAGATTATGGTCAGCGATTGTTATCAACTACTGGTGAAGTTGCTTAAATTACGCCAACGCGGATTTTCTGTTGATTCGGAATCGGTCTGCCACATCTGTAAGAACCATGTCGTTCTTAAAAAGAATTCCTCCTCTGATCTTGATGGTGGAGTAACCGTCTTCCAGTGTAAACATGCATTCCACACAGATTGTGCTCTGACGTCTGGAGTGGGATGCCCTGTATGTGCTCCCAAACGGAAATATGATTTTTTTACTTAAAATTGTTATTTTATTTTTTTATCTATTCAAGAAATTTTCAGTCAAGTAATCGCAGTCTGTGATCCGGGCATATGTTTGATTCTGATTTGGTTGCATTGTTTTGAAAAATAAAGCGCGCATATGTGCAAGTATACCTAATATTTATTGTCAGTTGGGAATCCATAATATATCGGTAATTCAAATTTCATTACTTACTACAAAGCTGTTTAGTGTGACCATAATGCTTTTACTAGCTAAGTAAAAGCATTATGGTGTGACTGCTGGGTCGGTCGCATGATGCGAAGTTGGGTACCGTGTGGGTATTACGCAATGCCAAGAAATCATTTTCACTGCTTGTACATGCTTTCATGTGGATGCGTTATCGACTGATATCGAATGATCGAGCCGCCCTCCTTTGTAGGCGTTACCGAAATGAATGATTCACGTCCATTCTAAACAACCTACGGCAGATTACAGAGGAATTCGATGAATTCCATGCCATTTGCTTTTAGTTTGAGTTTGTTTTCGTAGTCAGAGTAAAAATAAGTGAGTTAACGTCAGCTGTTGTTGGTGTTTGCTTGACTGCTTTTTTTGAATTATTTTTAGGAGTTACTGTTATTGTTTTAGATTGCTGTATGTACCGTTTATTCGAAAATGATCCGCAAAGCTATCGATATAGTGCTCTCTGTCATCTTTCACGACGAAGCCTCTATGGACTTGTCCACATTAACTCCTGACGCTGATCCCCCTTTGCAAGAAGGACCCAGTATTCCTGCAACGAAAGTGTCCTCATCAACTCGGATTAATCTGTTCCAGTATATCCTCAGTACAGCCCGCGAAAATGCTGCGTATTATCGCACTCTCAGTATGGCTAAAGAGCCCGAAGATCCTAAATACACTAGTCTGCTGTCCACTTTGGCATTGCTGTGTTCCCACATTCCAGAAGTGGACGTGCAGTGTGAGAAAATTTCCAAGAATGCCACATACTTTGACGTGGCTCCAAACATCGAAGGAAACGGTTACCGCAGTCTGTTATCCATTGTGGATGCCTGCTTGATCAAGCTGCTGGAGTCGCTGCTGTACATGAAAGAGCATCGCGAGTCCTTCTATTTTCGACGGAGCAAATGCCAGCAAGAAATCGGCGACTACGTGGAGGTGCTGGGGATGATGCGGGCATTATTGAATTATGCTGAGAAAATGATTGATGCGGAACGCGCCAGTGGACAACATGATTTGTTCCCGCGGAACGGGCAAGAATTACTGGATGAATGGATGGTTAACGTTGAGACTCTGAACCAGCTGTGTTTTTATGGAAATTGTACGGCGTTTTATCTGTGTCCGAGCATCCGAACCGCTATGCATACGGTAATTACTACCGCGCTGGCAACATTTGCTGAGAAGTATCAGCAGCTGGAAGAAGAGTGCCCGGGAAGTGGTCCACAGGCACTGGATTATCTGGGAAGGAATCTGGTGGCATCGCGAAAATTTATCCTAAATCCCCAGCTCAAAGCGCAGGTTAGTCTCCCGAAAATGTTTGCCAACGTCGGCCCTATGCAGCGTATCTTTTTTCACTTATTTTTCGGTGTTGGTGGAAATGGTAATTACAATTTGCGACTAAAAGGGTAGGTGACCGTAGGTCTGATATTATTTTTGTACGAGTATTGTACTCAGTGCGTAGATGTTCATTTAGTCGGTGTTTTTATTTTCGTTCGGCTTGGATCGATTGCGCCGTAGGCAGTTATTTATGATTTCTGGAAATTGGAAATTTCTGTTTTGACGGCTTCCCATCGAAATTTAAAGCTTTAATCTGCTTTAGCTAGAGGTGAAGTTTTCGTCCGCAGAATATTTTGAATTTTTGTCCTACGGTCAGCTGAAGAGTACAAGAGCGAGAAATCCGGCTACTCGCAGAATCGCAGTATGCAGTTTGTGCTGCAATGCTTTTTTGCGTACATATTGAGGCTCTTGCTTTTTTGCGTACATATTGATTGATTGCGACTTCATGGGTCTCATAAAATCGATATTGGGCAGTCGGTGGTTAAAGACGCATGTAATCTGATACATGCTTTCCAACCGCGGTAATTCCAAGAATTTCGTGATGCTTAATGGATAACTGGATAAGTGAGATAATATAATATCAGTCCGAAGTATTCATACTGCATAGTGCATACTATGTACTGGAATTTAGAACTGGCTGCTCTTACGACTGAACGTCAAGCGGTCGAAACATCCTGGCAATGAACTATGGGTCCAAAAATTGAACTTTTGAATACACCGAGTAGGTGACGCGACCCCGGCGAGGAGATGCAGTACAGTAACTTTCTAACTTATTCATGTAAGGCGAGAGACAAGCGTAGTACGCTTGTCTTACACCTTACATGAATGAAATAACTAACGATAAGACTGCCATAAGTGCTTATCGAATTCGGTTCAACAAAATTTTTTTTTCGTTTGGCGATTATATATAAGGTATCCAAAATTCATCGGTAGAGTGCTTTTCCGCATTGTCGCCCTCGTTGATGACCTGTGGTCTACCGTTTATAATTAACGGATGATTTGGTTAAATAAGGATTTTACTTTATGCATGCAGTAGATAAAAACTAATTTTATCGGCACATTGTTTCCGCTTAACTGGAAATTAGACTGGCTAAATAACATGAACATACAGCAAAACAATGGTCCGTAATCACCCACGAGGATAGAATATTTGGCCTCTAATTGTAAATAAACAAACAACGGAGCGATTTTGTGGTGAACGGTTCGAATGGCTAAAAAAACGACAAACATGCAGCCTTAATACAGCTTTGTTTAAACGTGAATATATTCCAGGTGCTGGTTGCATCCACTCGCGAGCTGGACATTCGGTTCTGCAAGGCCTTCTGGAGCATTTCCGAATCGCGTTTCTGGGATCCGATTCACTGGTATTTGCTGCCGAAAATCGATCTCAATCGGGAGTTCTCCATACCCCCTGACAGCTTTGTTTTACCCCACTGCGATACCGGAGCGGATGTGACGGTATCACCGCCCGTTTGTCACATTGGACTACGACCAGTTCAGTGCCGATTAATGTCAGCTGGCATACGCGAAGGTCAGCTCTTCATCGATAACAACGATGGCGTCAAATCGTTCAAGCTGCCTGGGCGCGTGCAACCCAAATCCGAGGTCCTTCTTTTCCATTTGCATGGCGGCGGTTTTATATCGCAGTCGAGCAAAGCCTGTGACCTGTATTTGAGAGAGTGGACGAAAGAGATTGGTGTGCCGTTGCTGTCCATTGACTACACACTGGCACCAGAAGCTCCCTATCCACGGGCAATAGAGGAATGCTTCTTTGCATATTGCTGGGCGTTAAAGTATCCACATAAACTGGGATGGACGGGACAGCGTATTGTGCTCATTGGAGATTCTGCTGGCGGAAATTTGATCTTTGGAGTGGCATTTAAATGCTTTATGGAAGGAATCCGAATGCCTAGCGGGATTTTAGCGGCGTATGCACCGTTCTTGGCGCAATATACTCCATCACCATCAAGATTGTTGGCCATTATGGATCCGTTGATACCAGTGGGGATTTTGAATAGATGTCTGGGGGCGTATGCCGGTTTACCCGAGCCGAATAACGTTGGGGATATTCAGAATTTAACACATGATTCCACCGATTCCAGTCCTTCCCAAGCATCCAAAACTAGTTGGGATGAACTGAGCCCATCGGAATTGAAAGGTAGACATATCCATATTGATACGAAGCAAACCGATTTGAACATTTAATCTAGACAATATTTTTATTTGTTACTTGTTTTGGAATTAACTGTTGCAGTGGGTGTATTGGTATAAGTTATGGTTTTTAAAATTATCATTTCGCAATTTCTTAGTACAATTATAAATTTAGGTGTTGAGCGAAGACTCCCAGTGATACTTGCTGCAACTTTTTGCCAAATCGTAATTTAAACATTAATTGCAGGAATGGAGGAGATGGCTTCTTTTGCATCCTCCCCGGACAATGGAACTGTTGATGCTAGACAGCACGAGAAACAGAAAGAAGCCAGAGCTCAAGAAGCCATCAAGGCTGAACAAAATTTCCTATTCCGCATCCCATCGGCCCAACATTTTTATTCCGTGGCATCCCCTATTACGTCTCGCTTGACGAGTACCGTTTCCCGTGTGACTGGAGCAATGTCCCGGGGATATCAAGGTATCCGAGACACTGTTGAATACCCATTTCGGCGCACTACGACTTTTGCTCGACAGCGCGCAAAATCTATTATGAATCCATATGCCCCGTGGACGAAGATGATGAGTCCGTTGAAACGATACAATTTCAGCCAGGTCCCAGTAGATGATCCGTTGCTGTCACCAGTGTTAGCTGATGCTACTTTATTGAAGGCGTTGCCGCCGGTAGCGCTGGTTGCTGCCCATGTGGATCCCTTTTTGGACGATACGGTACAGCTGGCCAAAAGACTACATGACTTGGACAAAGCCATGACGATGGACTTGATACCCCATCTTCCGCATGGATTTTTGAATTTCGTTTTGGTCAGCGAAGAAGCCCGGCAAGGAAACCGTATTTTAATGCAGCGCGTGAGAGAGCTGATGGCACCAGACCTGGGCAGTTATGGAAAATCGACCCACAGTTAGAGTTAAGAGTTACAGGGAGCGTGCGAGTTGCGCTAAGAGTTAAGTTATTTATGCAGGAAAACCGAGTTTCGAGTTACACCGCGAGTTACGCTACCATAGACAATATATACTATTTTTACGAGAGTTAAGTTAGAGTTAAGTTTTCTTCCGAGCGAGTTACGCTAAAGAGTTAAGTTATAACTCAATAACTCGAAAATAACTCGCGTTAAGTTAAATAGTTAAAATTAACTGCCCAGGTCTGGATGGCACCAAAAGAGACATAGTAATGCCTTCATAGCTTCTTAATTTTTGATGTATTATTTTCCTAGTCGTCTTCTGATGCAATGCGTTAGAATTGTACCAGTGTAAAGTTTTGTGCTTCGTGTTATGTTATAATTATCTGAAGAGATTAGCTTGTCGGAACTTGGAATGCGTTCAAGACTTGGATTTATTTTGTTGTTGTTTATGATTTATCCGTAAAAATAACTAACACAGAAAATACCGTCTGCATAATTACGGTGTCCACCAGACAAGTACTTGCTTGACCCGGGCATAATAATCTTCGGGGTAGTGAAGTACCAAAACAAAATGTCGATCGGCCACACAACATACTCGTAATACTGTTTGACAGTGCAAGAACACTAAGAGTTATGATAAAATTCACAACAAAAAAATCACAAGGATGGATGTCTTTCAAATTTCGTCTGATGATCCTTCAATAAATATTTCCCGAACTTCTAGCTTTCGCGATATAAAGCTCCTGAAAAATTTTAAACTAGGAAAGTGCACCGCTTGAGGCTAGCACTATAAGACCGAAGCGAAGCTCTGTTAGAAACAGTAGAAGGGAATATAACCCAGCAAGGTCATACGTTCAAGTCTGCTTTTCTATTCTACATATACTCGTATATTGTAAGTAATACAGCAAAGTCTTTGATAACGATATTGGTACAAGGATGTATTTCCGAAACACTCGTATACTAGCGTTCATTACTCAGAATTTGTACAAGAATAAGATGCAAGGAATATTAACGCCGCTTTAATACTCCTAAAGGTACGAGTAAATGCCGCTTATCTTTTCTAAGTTGGAACCGTACTTACCGCACTCTTTATACTGCAAGTGATACGAGTAGGTTTTTTGAATATATTGGTCAGAAATATACATTTTCTCACATTCCTGTAACAACTTTTATTAACTGGAAATGGCTATTCGCACATCCTGGCACCTCCTTTGGCTATTCGCACCACCTTTTTAAAATTATTTTCTACACCACCATTGGCTATTGTCACCAACTTTCTACACCTCCTTTTGTTTTATTCTCACCTCCTTAGATACGGGCAACGGTGATCACTGAGTCCGTCTGAAATTGTCAACAGCAACAAACTGGTTATGACAGTGGCGTTTTCGCTACTGCTTTCGATCCGCGATCGAAATCATTAACAATCAAAAAGCAAAATTCAGTGATAAGAAGGCGCAAAAAAATTTGGTTAACAGATGCAGCACGGTGAAAACATGGTTCAGTACTTTTCCGGCCGACTGTGCCCCAATCGTGAAGAAAAAGCGCCGTTATAAATGGCCAAGCTGTGGCAATCTGTTAACCAGTTCTTTAGGACGCAAGCCACACATTGTTTGAAAAGTGTATTTAAGAGCTGGAAATAGCCAAAATTGTACGATGGTGGTGGCAATAGTCAAAAGGTGGTGTTAGAATTTATTTTCAAATGATAGAGCAGATAGCCTAAAGGTAGTAAGAACAGCCAAAAAGTGGCGGTGCGAGGGGGAACAGCCACACGCTTATTAATTATTACACGATGCATGAAATATTAGCATTCTAATTGCTACCAAAGCTATGAATAGGGAACCTTGTGCTGGAGCTACGGGTCAGCTGCAAACACAACACTAGTGTTGCTTTACTTAGTAAAAGTAAATAGTAAACCTTACTTATTAAGCCGTTTTTGCCTTTTACTAATTAAGTAAAAAGTAAGTAAACAGCAAAACGGAAAAGTAAAAGTAAAGTAAAAGTAAGGGCAGCCGAGGCTTCAGAAGTAAATAGTAAGTAAAAGTAAGAGGCGCGAAACGGGAATAGTTTAATTAGTAAAGCAGTCTTTTTACTAAGCGTCCGCAACAGATAAAAGTGACGGGCATCATCAGAATTCTGCTGAACATGCTCTTTTCCATAGCAATTACGTTTGGCAGTACAGGTTTTCTTCTGAAGCGCTAAAATTTCTGTACTGCAGACGCCTTCAACGCCTAGGTGGGCGAGTTACTTGACTGCCAGGCGCATTAGCTAGTGCTGCTTCACTGCAACGGATACGGTGTAATGACTTTTGCTAATTTTTGTTAAAATATTAAGTATCTGTACTGTAACTTTACACTGCCCAGAACCAAATTGCTTCATTGAAACAAATTTCTGAGCACAAATTGAAATTACGTAATCGGTGTGCACACTGTCGCATAATACAAGCAGTTATTTTTGTTTTAGATACGGAATAAGCTTAAGAAATGAATAATTATGGCAAAATTGAAAACTTTTGTTGCGTACTGCGATTTTTCGCAAAACACGACTAGTAAATACTAGTTTACTAGGGATTACTAAGTTAGTAAAAGTAAGTAAGGCTACGATAAAAAAAGTAAAAAGTAAGTAAAAGTAAGGAAGAAAGATTATGAAAAGTAAATAGTAAAGTAAATAGTAAAGTCAATAGCCAGACGAAAAGTAAAAAGTAAGTAAGGTTTTGGGACAATAGTAAATACAACACTGCACAACACCTACCTATTACATCTATAAAATGTCATTCCGCTTTATTTTGGGATGTTTGATGCGCGTGCGAAAGTATTTATCGCAAATTGCAACGAAAATGCAAAAATTCGAAATCACTGCGTCACAAACCTACTGCTAACAGCGTCCTTGCGCTTTTAAAAACGCAATGGCTTGTACGCCCATGCGCCAGTTCTGGGCGCCACATAAAACAAAAGTTGCCCGCGATGGGGCGTGCAGTGCTACTGTGCAACACTGCGGCAGATGCCGTATTACGCGTTGACCGTTCTGCAGTTTCTCAGTGTCTACACACCTGCCAATCCATTTTTTCTTAGTAAGAGACCTGAATCAATCTGAATGTAAGGATTTGCTGGGTTACATTCCCTTGTACTGTTCCGACTCTCGAGTCTCGCATCGGGCTTATAGTGATAGCCTAGAACGGTGCTAACCTCACAGTCGGTGGTAAATATTCTACCGAAAAAAAATAAGGGTTTATTTTTTGAATATAAAGGAACTTGATCTCAGGACCGTTAGGATAATAAGCACGTTAGGAAGCCCATGAGTGCTTTGCCGTAATGCTCGGTCAACGGCTTCCCTAAGTTGTAGTGCCTAAGTGTTACTGAGCGCTTGGAAGTCCTTTCTAAGTGCCCATAAGTGTCGGTCACGTTGTAACTGGTTAGGGCGTGACCGACAACTTAGTGCGTGACCGACGTGCGTGACCGACGGACAAAATTTCCTGTTTTCTTGAACATAGAGGACCTTCGCTTCGCTTCGGTCGATGATAATTTAACCTCTGCTAGCAAATGATAATTTAACCTCTGCTGTGGACAGGTGTAAACTCGCGGTCAACTAGTGCATGCAAGCACCGCCAAAATCATGAGGGCTCACAACGGAGAGGACAGTATAATCCACGTACCTGACGCGCTAGTGGCAATTTCTTATATATCTTCCTCAATTTTTTTCGTACGTCATCAATCGTACTGAATGGACAGTGAGCAAGGTATTCCAACTCATTTTGAGAAACGAAGTAAGAGCATCCGCTGAAGTCAGGTTTTTTCTGTTTCTTATCGCCCACTGCTTCGACAGCTTTCTGAAACCATAAATTACCTGAAGGCCTACTTGCCCGCAGAACAAATCAAACACAGGTGTGTATTTCCTAATCCTTACGGATTCAGCAGGGTTTAAGATATTTTCTTTGGCATTTTCCCCTGCCACGGTTTTGAGGGGCTTGTTATCAAGCGTTTTTGGGGTTTTGCGAATCTTGTCCCGCATAGAATCCCGCATATCTTCCGCGCACTGATCTATGAAATGCTGCGCTGCACTTTCGTACTGCTTCCACATCTGCAATTTCAATTTTTGTTAAAACTTCGGTCACTTTCAGATATCCTCATTCAGATAAATAATTTTATGAATATTTCGAAGCATGTTAGGGCTAAGCCGCTAACATACCGCTCTGATGCGTATCTGGTATTCTTCCTTTTCGTAGGTACACATTTCCTGCCATTTCCGGTTGACCAACGTTAGCCAGCCGGCAGATTTGATGTGTTTCGTCTCCTGTTCCATGATATATAGTTTATGTCCCGATGTGGCCCCTGGATAGGCCTCTGGATGGAAAGCATTTTGAGAAACTGATCTGTGGAACAAAAGATTCCGTTCCAGTGGATTCAACAGGAGGCGCTGCTTATCCATACGAATATCGGGATTCTCGGCAATAAATTCATCCATTTCAACCTGAAAGACTATTTAATATACACACGAACCATGATGTGCACACGAATTTTTTATTTCAAACCATCACTTGTATAGCTGTCAAGAAACCACAACGCCGAATCCCAATGTGAGTAAATTTACAATTTCTGGTGGATAATTTGTGATTACCAATCTCTCACTTCCTATTTTCATAATGCTCTACGAGTAATGACAAAACAGTATAGTACTCTGTACAATACACAGTACATACACAGTACACTAAATTTTCAGAATAAAAAGGCTAATTTTTAAAACCCCAGAAACTTTTAGCAAATTACCAGAACATAATTCGGTAAGTTTAAAAACTAAATCCGGTAATGATCACTTCATCTTTCGGTACCTGGTAGCGCTGATGGTCCATCATGGACTTGTCGATATATTCGAGCATTTCCGTATCAGGAAGTCCTAACCATGCAGAGCGGTAAGCTTTTAAAGCTTCTGTTCCCGTCAGCTATAACATGAAAAAGAATTCGCACCCCATCACAAAGCAAGTACAACAAAGTCGAACAAACAAAATTAATAACAGTAAAGTGTGAAATACCTTCAATCTGTTGTTCTCCCTTCTTTCGCTAACATAGATTTCATAAGGCGTTTGCGGGTCTTTTGGAAAATTACTAAAATATTTTGCTATGCGTCTACGAGGCATTTTTGTGCCTTTTCTTCCATAAACTGGAATTACGATGTTTTCGTCGACCGTCAATTCAGCAGGAGTACTAGGGATAAGCTTGATTCGTTTCTGAAAAGGCATGGTTTGTTCACTCTTAGATAAAAATTCTTGTATCACTGTACTTGATCGGATTCAGGAATCCGCTTTATTTTTTATTTTAAGAACTCCTTTTTCTGAGTATTTTACTGTCATAAATTAACGGTAATGAAATTGCAAAAAGGTACAGTACTTAATGTGATCAATTAAAACTAGGTACATGGTAAAAGCTAACTGTTACCAGTATGGCAGTATCTACCTCATCGTATTAGTACTAGTATACATGTATGCCAAGCAAGGCTGCTAAAAATCGTACCAGAAAAGTGAGAAACAGTACTACTATTAAATTTTGTAGAAAACCGTAATCCTCATACTCTGGGTTCGAAGTTCGGGTGATCTCCTCCGATCTCGTCCCAGTCTTTCCTTTTTTGGCGTTCGTGCCACAGTAATTCACTTAAAATTTCCGGCAGCGTACGATTTTTTCTTATCTGCAAAAAACACAAAATCTGAAATCAAGGAATATTATGGTTTTAAATGGTCGCAATGGATAGAAAAAAAAGGGTAACGCGGTACGAAATGATACGTAACGTCCGACCTGATTTTAATCATTAACTGTTAATGATTAACAGACCTTCGCTATGATTTCTTCCATTTTCTCCTTGCACTCGTGGGGTTCGCGGTGTTTCAGTGCGCATACATTCCAGTTAACCATGTTCAATCGCTTACGATAACCCATTATATCGTTAATGGTTAAACGGCAAAGTACTTTCTTAATCAAAGTCTTTTCCTCCTCTGCTGTCCACTCTGTTGAGGCAACACTAACAGGCATTTCACCGCCAACATCCAAACTTCGAAACCGTGACTGCGAACGAGTGCATCGTCTCGTTGCAACAGGCATGACGTCCTCGCACACAGTTCCCGACATTGTCAACCATCGGATTTGCAGCTCACTTGCCACGACGCAGTGATGAAGAACTTCTGCAGCAATTCAATCATAAATTACCAATTATTACTTATCATCTTCGCAAACTACAATGGAAGATGTTGCGGACTGTGAAGTTGAAAAATTTACATCGTAACTGCTGTCGCTGGTTGCGCAACGAGCCAACGGCAACAGAATGATGTACGGTATCTGAAGGGTGGCTGCCGGTTGTGGTAGGCTGACGGCGACTGCGCGTATTCAAAGTCAAACTTCGAACCGTTGAAAAATTGACCTGCCTGGATTTAATATCGTAAGTAAAATTAAAATTAATTAACTGTCTTATTAATCTGTTATTCTGTAATCTGTTTGTTTTACGTTTTTAAATTACCGTAAGCTTTATTCGTCGTACAAAATGTATTTCGGCATGTGTTGTATACACCTATTACGCGGTAGAAGGCTCTATAAGTTGTATTTCTAATTTTCCACCGCAAGTCACAAGTACTTCTAAATCTTAAAGTCTTTAACTCCTTAACTCGTAAGCTGTGTATTCAGTACAAATCTTTCACTTTTATAGAAAATTTGCGACAAATACTCGTGTACCTTGAGTTTTGAAATAAAATAATATAAGTGTAGAAAAAAAAAAAAAAAAAAACTCGTAAGCCAGTTAAAGTCACCAAAACCATAATGGGTATATATATATACCCACCTTGCTAAAACGTCACAATTTCGGGAAAAATGGCGCTGTATATTACTAATCCATAAACCCTAATACCTTATCCATAGTACCATTCAGTTTCAGACCATATGCCGCACATAGAGTATTGTATATATACGCGTACAGATATGAGTATGGGGACTGACCATGAGGAGCACAAACATACCAAATTTTGTTTTATTGTACCAACAGTATTATGATTGTTGAACAATGAATCGGAAGTCGCTTTCGCTAATATGCAGTAAAATATCCGCTGACCGATTGTGCACCCGTGATCACGCGGATAGCAGCAGGTCTGCACAATGTGATCATGTTCTGTACTTGTGCTTCGCAAATCCAGCAAATCACAAAAAAATTCAACTTTTCGGCAAGGCAGGTATTTTAATGGATTCTCGTTGTCAACTTGGTTTTATCCTTGCCAATGCTGCTACCGTACCTGCCGTATTATCATTTCCACCCTAGAGTGGCCTCGACGATACGGAGTTATTCATAAAATTGCTGATTCTGCTATAACACTAATAACAGCCTGTACGAAGTTTATTAACAATTTATTGTACTTGTAGTTTTGCTGCTTTATTTTGCGCTCCTTCAAAAGCGGTCGGAACACTCGTTCTGGTATAAAAATTTCTCATTTTATCCGATCCCAAAACCTTAACCGACGAAGGAAGGCCATCTGACAACATCTGCAGAATTTGATTTCCCAATTTCCTGTGGACATTCGCGAAGTCGATTCAACGTGTTTCCTTCGGTTCTTTGAGATAATTGTTGCAGCTGATCGCGAGTGTAGATTTATCGAACACTCCGTATTTGTGGTCGAAATCAGCAACATCGGCGGCATTCCTTTAGCTGATTGGAGGCAGTTGGCATAAGTTTGAATGGATTAATCGCGTCCTTATCTGGTCGCTTTTGAACCAATTGTCAGCTGAGACAATTACCACCGAGATAGACTGCGAAGCAAAACAAGCTGCAGCACAATGCATGATGTAAAAGAAAACCACAACTTTAAATCACGGCTTGGGTAAGTTGGAGAATTTCTGATTTTCATTTTAGAGCGAGACCCGAGTCGGTATAGTGCCGTTGAATTTGCTTTCTCCTGGGTTTATGATCCCATTTAATATTTTGCAGATCGGATGTAGAGGCTGATCCCATGTTGGAACCCGTTCCGCAGACGAAGAAACTTGGTTTTTACGGTGATGCTGGTTTAGAAAATGCAGTGATCACGGTTACCGAAGTGCCTCAGTCTAAAATCTTTGCGCCACCTGACGGAGGTAAATTATACTTCCTTGTGTGTACGTTATGATAAGAAGAAATTACTTTTTTCTGTAAAAAAATATATTTACCAGAAATTTTTTGTAAAAGAATAAAATTAATAATTTGTTTTGGTAAAAAATAAATAAATAAATATAATTCGTTTTGGATTTTGCAATCGACCGACTTACGGCGCTTTCCACTTAGTACGGCCGGTGGTTTATTTTCGGGTTTTTTGTTAACCCTTTGTTCGCCACTGAAGTTCTGATCCTGCCAACGTATGTGAACTGGAAGAGCTGGTAATTTAGTATTATAATCATACTTTTGTGAACTATTTGGCGAGTTACTGGAAACATCTTTAGTTTAGAAGATGAATGCATTCAGACTAAGTACCTTGCACAATATCTTAGCAGATTGCTCAGACTTCATACTGCTCCTGTATACTCGTGTATGTATTTACTTTTAAATATTATTCATATATAAATATCTACACATTCTAAGCATAAAGTGTGTCGAGTTTCTTTTAGTCGCAAGAGGACAGAATATGGTAAGAGAAATTAATTTTGTCGGTAACAGTTATGGTACTTGTGCAATAGTTGGGCAGTTTTAACAAGTCGGAAAATTTTTGTGTTACTAGTACTGTGTTTTCGAATATTTTTCTGTAGTTTATTCTTTGTAAAGGACATCTAGGGTCGCGCAAATGTCATCGTAACACCTAGCTATAACGTGATCGGCAAGCTGACAGCACGTGGCCGCGTGATTGAACTTGTTTACTGTTGAGTAGTAAAGTGGTTATTGTCGGCGGTCGCATTACGTAGTTTTTGACTTTTTTGTAGGTTGGGGCTGGTTTGTTGTACTTGGATGTTTCTTGATGAATTTGATCGTTAACGGCACATCGTATTCCTTCGGGGTAATATTTATGGAACTGCTGGCCAATTATGAAAGAACATCAGCTGATATCGCTTGGGTTTATTCACTGAACTGCGTTACCTGCAGCTGGTTAGGTAAGCTGGTGAAGGAGCGCGGAAATATTGTAGTAATTCATAAACATATCAACATTTAAATATTCTAGTTGCGCAATCTGTGTTTTCGTTCGACTGATTAATAATGACCATTATTAAATCATTTAAATCTACAATGGCGTTCGGATAATTTAAGTCTTTAAATGCCGAAACGATTTATTTAGGTACCGTGTTAGAATTTTTAAGAGAGGCACTTGTACTAATAAACTGTACTATATAGTATATTTGTTTTGGTTAGCAATTGAAATCGGTTTCAGTTCGAAACGGTTTCAGTAATTACAGAACGAGAAAGTTGCGACTGATCAGTAATAAATTTGATTTAATCGAGAGTTTATTAGTACGACCCTGTATATAAAATAGGCATGTGCCTTTTTATAGAACTATAGTACGATAGAATTTACTCTGTAGATGTATATTAATGTATGTGGGTACATATTTCGTTTTATTTTAGGTCCTTTCGCCACAGCATTAAGCAACATTTTTTCCTTCCGCAGTGTGGTAGTTGTTGGAGGTTTCATTTACAGGTAACAGCAACAGTAACATCGCGGTGCACTTGCGCCACTGTAAAGCGTTTTCATTTATTCAAGCAATTTTCTTGACAACAGTCAGATATAGAAGTGCAAATATTGCGTGTAAATTGCAGTGTCGGTATTGTGGCAAGTTCTTTCGTGACCAAATTGGAGCAGCTGTATATTACCTACGGTCTCATATCCGGTATGCACGGCATTCCCTATTATTCTTATTTAAATTTGTTGAGTATGTTGCAATTTTGTTCCATTATTACGAGTAGGTATCGGATCGGCTTTAGTGTATGGTCCATCAATCAGTAAGTCGACATTCGTGAACAATCAGGAAATATCTTTCATCCAAAATTTTGATTTTTTTTTAGATCTGCGGTTGAATATTTAAATTGGTAATACGATTTCCTTTGCAGTCATGGTCGGCCGTTATTTTGATAAGCGGCGTGCCTTGGCTAATGGTTTATCCGCTGCCGGCAGCGGTGTTGGCTCATTTCTTCTTCCACCCACTTTGCATTTTCTTTGTGATCAGTACACTATCAAAGGCTGCATATTGATCTTGGGCGCCTTTAGGTAATTAGCTTTTGACATTGTGATATTTTCAGCATTATTGTCTTCGTGTTTCTGTAATTCGAGTTTGGTCAATACGGTTTTCTCCATCTGACCTCTAAGATTCCAACCAGTTGAAAAACGTTCCATATTGGTTTAATGTACAACCATTTTAACGAACAAGATTAAATTTCAGAACCCCTTCTGGGATGTTTGCAATAAAGCCTTGTTTTTTTAGCTTCCATCTGTGTCTTGCTGGATTATTCTACCGACCCGTGCCCATGAAGAGATTGCAGAAGCAGCGCGAACCAGTTTTTTGTGACCTTCTGCATGAGCAACCGATCGAAAAAGATCACATTCGTATTACTCTTCACCCAGTTGGCTCAGTCGGAAAATCTCTTGCCACTGTACCTTCTCATCACTCGATCCGGGAAGAACTGTTTGAAACAGCCCTTTATCCTACTCGCGGAGCCGGCGGTCCGCTTGTTCTCGGTTCCTCTTTGCTTAGCATTCCAGAGAATGTCGTCACGGTCGAACAAGTACCGACCGCACGCTTCCGCCATCTCAGTGGTGCCAGCGTATCCAAACAGTTCAGAAAGTGGGCACTTTGGCTGTATGCCTGGCCGAGGAATCTCAAAAGTGGAATCGATTCCGGTTCGCTGTTCGATTTTTCGCTTTTAAAAAGCCGGTTATTTCTGATGTTCACGACCGCTGTGATGCTGGCTTCGTTTGGTTACCTCAGTGTGTATCTGATCCTCCCGGCTCATGCTCAAGACTTAAATATCAGCAAGGTTCGTAGCTTCGTATTTTATTAAAGCTTTCACATGGTTTGTTTTGTTGTACACTGCTGATGTCGGACACATAAATGGACCTTCGGTAATTGTTCTATTGTTACGTGAGGATTTTGAGTTGTTCCCGAACAACAGTCATAGTGGATTGCGGTCCAATTTTCTTTGCTTTTTAGGCTGAAGCAGTCTCGTTGATCTCGATTATGGGTGCATGTGATCTCACTGGGCGCATCACTTTTGGCTGGTTCTCTGATTTTCATCTGATACCTAGACGGTGGGGATACTGCGGAATGATTTTTTTGTCTGCCGTTGGCACCCTGTGGGTCATCTTCGTGCGGGGATACATACAACTAGCGGTGTTTGCCGGATGGTTCGGATTCTTTGGTGGGTCCTTTATGGTACTAAATGCCGTGCTGACCGCGGATTTGTTCGGTTTGGATAAACTGCCCAGCGCCATTGGGCTGCTGATTACCATACAGGGGATCGCTTTCCTTGTGGGTCCGCCACTCGTGGGCATGCTTAAGGACCAGCAAGGAGATTTTTTCTTAGCATTCTTTGTTATTGCGGTGGTGATGACGCTGGGAGCATGCTTGTTGGTGCTGGAATCTGTGATTGCTCATGTTTTACGTAAACCGAGACGTCCATCCGGGACTAGTGATAAATCGGACCAGACTATGACCTCGGATATAATCTCATAAATTTTTTGTATATTTGAATTTCCAAGCCGGTAGTTGTTTTTGGATGCTTTGAGCTTTTTTTGTATGTTTGTTGTATTTCAATTCAATAATAGTTGTATTCCTTTTCATGGTTGTATCCCCATTCCCATCCATTGTGCCAACGCCGCGCAGCTCAGTTCGTTATTTAACAATAAGGCGGTGTAAATTGTGATGTGTGTCGTGTTTAAATGTAGGTGTGTAACGTAGTATCACCCGGCGGCTATTAGCTACCCGGCGATGGAGTTGACCTTACCGGCACCATAACGAGGACAGCCTGGAAGATCAATAAGATAGTCAGTGCGTGAATTTAGTTGAATTCTAGGATATCACATCCGAAACACACACGCACGCGTAGATCTGGATCCATACGTGTACAATCGCGGACCGAACGGCGTGAATGCAGGCAACGTCCAGGTTTACAGTGTATGGCATCCCAGTGTTCGGATATCTCAGACTTCCGATCGATACGTACGGGCAACTAGCAACAAACTGATTCGGGTTTATACAAGACTTCCCATTAGTTACTACTTGATATCGTCATACCGTTCTCATGCAGTTACAGTACTTCTCATGCAGTTAGTGGTCCACTGTCCGAATTGGAAATAGGCGATGTGGAATAGCCGACAGCTATTTGACTATTTCCAATACGAGTACAGTACATCATTCAGTAGCTAACCATAAAGTGTTGCTGTTTCATTGGTATTTGTTTCGAAAAGCGCTATGGAGTACCCCAAAATGCACATGTCGCTTTAAAATAGCGCCAAAACGTACTGGTATTTAATACGTATCTGGAGTACGTAGATGCGACTATGGATTTTTCTGAGCTTATATAGATATCTATATATGCAGTGCGTGTGTACAGATATAGCTACAATTACGATTAAATTTTATTATGTCTTGTTATGTCAGTAAAACAGTAGCAACCATGGCAAGAAATACGATCAAATTTAAATTGTGTTGCTTGCGAAAAAAACGAATCTAGCACCTTGTCCTTATCCTTCACTTTATATACCATAATCTTGTGCATGGAAACTGCCAAATTAAAAGTTTGGCTGTTGATTTTTTAGCACTTTGTGCATTTAATTTTTTAGCACTTTGTGCATTTAAAAATAAGTTTAGCACATGCAAAATGGAAATAAAAAAGCTGCCGATCGAAGCCGCCCAAATGGTTTTTAATGCAATATATAGTAGTATTGTGTGATGCTCACCTATAACTGTAGCCGGTACGTACTTTATCTACGACTATGAGTACACTTAAATTACTTCAATTACATCACATGAGCATTGTTAACAATGTCAAATAATAGAACTATAAGGACAAGTATAGTTCTATACGTAATCGTATACAGTTAAGTGTACGCTGCTCTTCCTGTTAGCTGTTGCATAAACACAATTTTCTACATGACGTTATTTGGTTGTGGGCGGAACATGCAGTTCTTGGTTTAAGTGGTAAAATGATACACTGCCCCGGACCTCCCGGTAATTCCAGAGGATCGTGCTGCTTCACAGGATACATTTTCTGTGGTCGGCATTTGACTGCAGCCTCTTAGTGCGGGGTAGCGGCGCAATTCATTTGCGATGATCTGTAGATGTACCTAGTGACATACAGTCGCAATACTGCAGAGTGCATGCAGCCTGGACTTGTGCAATCTGCCAGTTATGGCAGGTACATTCTTGGCTAAATTTCGTTGAAACTGCACAGCACATGTTTTGGGACATGAGAGCGATCAAACCGTTGAAGAAACATACTCGTGTGTAAAGTATAAATGCTTATACTAATTTTTTCTGTTTTTATGGTGCTTTGTAAGTTTTGTACAGCTCAATGCAACATTTTCCGTTCAACAGTGCTGGACTTGCATCATTGATATCGCAAGTCGCAACCGTTTTGGAGCTTATCGTCAGACTGGAGATGCTCACTTCACAGTTCACATCAAGATCAGATTCTACACTCTACAGCACAGTGCAGGAAAGATGACTGGACTTGGAGCAGGGTCGAAGTGGCTGAGTCACTTTTCTTCTTATCATTGATAGATTCTCCGTCTATCATGACGGCTTCTGCAAGCTTATTCCTTATCGGATTCTATTGAATTCGGGCTCTTTTGGAGTTTTGCGAAAGTGCGATCTGCGTGATTATTGATTGTGCTTTTCAAATATTGACCGAATTTGCCGCAATTATTATCAGATTATATAGTAGTTTCCTAGTTCCTTCAAGTTTGCAATGCGATGTTGCCTACTGATCCTAGTTCTTCCCAGTTCTCCAGTCTGGTAAGGAGCTCTTTGAAATAGTCCACGTTTTGACTTTAGGATAAGATGTCAAAATATTCTTCGTAAAGTCAACGGGAATGTCGATCTGGTGAATCTTTACGGGTCTTTCTCAGTCACTGTTATAGTGTAATTAGAGTAGAATTTGCTTGCGCCGGCATGTTGGGGATTAGTCCTTACTCGTACCAGGTTGTTCCTTGCATAGCGTTCCATAGAAATTGCTGTGTTACACAGAGACTGTCGTTGCGCAAGTTGCAGGCAGAATGGTTTCGCAGGTTACTCATTGAAATTTACCGAATTTTAGCTAATTTAACCTGAAACGAGCTCCATGAAGTGTTGTAGTAGCCTAGATTGCCCCAGAAGGCAGGAGTAGTATTGAAAAAAATTTAAGGATTTACAAGTCTATTGTGGGTTTAGACTCCAAACACTGCAGATTCGAATCATTCGATAGGGTTGTTTTGATAATAATGGTCAGAGAATCCCTGTGGGACACGGCACAATCGACGCCGTATTCCCCATATATGTAACATTTTTGTGTGTTTAATTGATTTGATGTTCCTTGTTAAAATATAAGTAACAAACAATCCATGTGTTAACAGCCGGCCCGCACAGAACCGGAAAACTCACTCCCGTTCCTTTTCGCTGGCGTCGATGGCCCCCATACTTACCCCAAACTGCAGGATCATAATAGAAAAGTTGTAGTTTTATTGATTTGAAAAGCGAAGAAATTGACGTAGAGTGTGTTTCACTATGTTGTGAGTGTGTATGTGTTGCGCGGCTGTTTGTGAGGGGAGAGCGGCGCGTACAGGAACAGATGGCCATAATAATAAAAAGTTCGTTTACGTGATATACATGTCTTGGTTTGATGTTTGCTCCGTGTTTAGTTTGCTGAAATGGAAAATACTCCCTATGATGATGTTTTTTCGCTGCAATAATGTTTAATGCTTTTTACTGTTCGACGCACTCTTCATTGCCAGTTGAACTGTAATAGTTAGTGTGAGTGTTGTGGATGCTCGTCGGATGGAGACATTTCCGATTAGTTGCTATTATATTCTTAATAAGTTGGCTAAACCAGCCCGGCACTGCTCCTCGAGAATTTTTGTTGTGGGGTGTGACTGGCATTTTGCTTCGATTTGCCCACGGCAAATATGGTACAAAAGCCTATTTTTACTCATTTGCATATGCTCCGAAATAGGATTACCGTTCTGGCCGATAGATGTATTCTCCTGTCTGCAGTACATGGTATCGATTGGCATGTATTTTATTGTTGCGGCAGCGGATGTTGGAAATTTTGCATCGTTTTCTCCTTCTTTATCGGATTCTGCTCCCATGTGCGCCGGGGAAAGGCGCACTGCGCTGTCGCTGCACGGAGTGATGCTAATCTAGCTTTTTGAACTCTGATTTACGACGTAAACATTTAATTTCCCGATAATTGTCCAGCGTGACGCCATTGTTAAATTGTCTTACGGCTGGGAATTCGGATATGGTATGGTTTTGAAATGATGCGCATCTGATTAGATCAGATCTGGAGTTACTAATGCATTAAGGCTGTTTCCGAAGACGCCGAAACACGAGCACTTTTGACTTTTCTCTTGATAATTTATTTGCTGAGTTGAATTCGGTTCGAGGCGCCGCGCTGCAGCAGTGACTTGATACGAAAATTTATGCAGTTTCAAAAGAATTTGCTGATGTTGGAAATGTTAATCAATAAATATTAACAACTTTACGAGGATAGTAATGAAAGATCCGTAGTGTTGAGAAATGTCAACCACAGTTATTCGGTACTTTCGGTATGCGAAGCATACTTGTCCTGCAGATTTGAAAAAAATTTGAATGTCGAGTGTTCATTGACGTAATTTTGTTTTTCTATATTTGTGTTGCCATGCTTTTTTAAAGAACACTGTCACATCGCCATGTCATACATGCCGCGTTAGATTTGAGAAATAGCTTGAAGATACATGTATCTACAATTTATGTACTGTTTTTATTAAATTGCTCGTTTTTTCCTGTAGCGGGAAAGCATCAGCCTAAACTTTTTAAAATGTGAAAAATGTTTTCAGGCTGTCTGTAATTGGAAATTACGTCGAAATATTCATTTTACTTCAGATTATTCCGGTGGAGAATGTCAGAGCAGGACAGTCCATCGCGCGCGGCTGATCAACTCCGACCCGATGGTCAAATCCTTCGCGTCCGTCCTGCACAAGTGTCCGCCAAACTGCTGGGACATAACACCGTTCAAGAGCATGATGAGTTTATCGAAGAAATCGCGGACCCCACCTCGACATCGCGCCAAGATGTTCGAACTTCCTCTCCGATGCATCGGCCTTCCGATGTCCAGTTGCCTCATAAGGCGACAACCAATGCGTTAGATGGCGGCTATGGCTGGGTGAGGTTCACAGTAATTTTTGTACTCTGCATATTTGAATTTTGCGCGCTTACACAAATTTTCTGTTATCAGAAACTGATTTATAAATGACCGTGAAACGGTTGGCTATCAGTATCCTTACTTACTGTAATTAAACGTGGCACTATTTGTTGTGAGCCTGTTGTAGTTTTGCAGAAAGTTAGCAAGAGATATTACTGAGCTCCTGTTTTATTTAATTTAGTTTTAGTACCAGTAATGGTTATGAACATCTCTGCCGTTTAATCACAGTACGTTAACAACTTAACGTTGAGCGCCAGTGTAAGATGACAAGTTGTCTGAAATATTTCTTTTGTAGGTGGTGGTATTTGGATGTTTTCTGATGCATGTGATCAATGTCGGGCTCATTAAAGCATTTGGAATAATTTTTGTGTCTCTGCGGGAACAATTCGGCGCTTCCAATGCGGATGTTTCATGGATTTACGCTTTATTTTTAGTTTGTAGTACGTGGTTTGGTAAGTCAAAAATTCGGGTTACTGATTTGTAGACAGACATTTTTTAATTAACTTGTTAAATAATGGCCACTCGAGTAGACTAAATAAGATGTTTAATCCCCGGGATTTTCAACAGAGAAAATGGTAGTGGTTTACAATAGATGATCGTTTTACAGTGTCATGGACATGCAATATAAGAGGGTGCCTTTTCTCATCGTCTACTCTCTTTTATACGATGAATCTGAATTAAGAGAATTTGTTTTCGCTAGCGTGAACTCTAAATATAAAATTATACGTTGAGCTTGTGTGATGCACAGTGGGATAATCGATCGATGATCGTTAATCGATACCACTTAAGTTCAATATGGAATCCCTTTTGACGTTTATTAAGATCTTCTTATTAAGAAACAGTGAAGAATTAGCACATGATCAGATACTGAGAGCAACAGAGATTATCGGTTATGTTTGGGCAATGCATGCTGTTTCTACAGGAGTCTATGGAGATCAACAAATGTTTCAGTACTTACGCAGGCAGATGTTGTAAGAATTAAAAACACTATAAGCAGTTATTACCTCCTAAATAAAACCTAGGTCAAACATGGTACTTTCTTGCGGGTCATTTAACTACGTACACAACCATATATCTTAACGTCATGATATTTAGATGCAGCAGTAGTGGAACTGGATAGACATGAAAAAAGTACTAATAAATAAATTTTATAAGTTTTAAATAGGTGTTATACCAATCGTGGCGATACCACAGAGATCAGGAATTACGTGTTAAGTTATTTGGTTTGAAGGTTTCAGTAGAAATCGTAATATTTAATCGCGTTATATGTCCTTTTGAGTAAACTACGTACCTTTTCTTTGTATTTAGCTCCTTTGGCTAGCTTTTTGGCCAATGCCTTTTCTCAAAGAAGCGTTGTGATGCTGGGTGGATTGTTACTTGGAATTGGAATTTCACTGGGATATTTTGCCAATAGCTTGATGTTTTTATATTTTAGCTACGGATGTCTAAGTGGTTAGTCCAGTTTCTTGCCGTAGGCTTGATCATTACCATAATGAAAGAAAAGTAATAACATCTTTGTGTACAGGCCTTGGATCGGCGCTTTCCTATACGCCGGCTGTGGGTAAGCAGTTACGGTTAAGAAGTGAAGCGGCTTCTTGTAGCGAAATAAACATTACGAGCATATAAAAAATTCTGACGAAGCTAGAGAAATAACTAAAAATTAAGATTTATTTCGAGATTTGTTACCTGCAGACGATGGAATTTACTTTGAAATATGCTTAACATTTTGCGTGTGCTGATGTACTAAATTGTGAACTGTGTTGGCAGTTGCGGTTGGTTCATATTTCGAGAAGAGACGAGCTTTGGCAAATGGAATATCCTTGTCGGGAGCTGCATTCGGATCGATAACAGGTGGGAAATTTTACCCCATCGTACTGAGGATGTTTGATGTTGTGCTCGGTAGAACTGATGCAGTTTTGTCAGTGTACACATGGGGATATTTTGGGCCATATTCCGTTAAATGTTTTTTATAAATTCACGGTTGAAATAGATACAGATTCCGCTTTATTAAACATCGATTTCGCGATATTCCTAACATACGGGAAGAACCGTTTTAAAACTTTAAATGTCGTTAACTGCTTGAATTTTTTAATCATTTTAATTCTTCTCTACGAGCGCATGCTCATTGTTATCTGAATTGGCTATTGCCGAATATACTTTTTGTTATCGCTAAAGTTTTGCTTCGTATTAGTTTGGGTTGTTGTTTTGGTTCGTTAAAAGAGAACTGACGAAAGAACCTAGAACGAAATTAATGAAAGCAAAACCTTATAATCTTGACAAGGGTTTTATAAAACACGTCAGTAAAGCGATGGAAATCGCGGTTTTATGAAGCTATTCAGTTCTTCCTTGACATCTGTAGTATTTCCGTTGTTGAAAAACGGTTTCCATTTCCTGGACTTAGCTTTTTGCGTTTGTTGTACTTATCATTGAACGGTTCCGCGCCACTGGACAGTTACAAGCTGGCACATACATTAAACAAACGGTTTGAGCACAGTGGACGTATCAGTGAGTGTAATCGGTGAAAGAGGAAGTTGATTCTGCTGGAGCATTCCCATTTGATTTCCCAATATGCCAACTTGTTTTCCATAATGTTCCTATGCATATATTGCCGCAGTCTATCTGCGGCTTGTTGATTTTAACTGTGGCAACTGTTAGCGGATCAAGTCAAAAGGCGGCATTTGCCAGATGGGTTTATTGTCTGGCTGCGGGATGGTGACTGGTGTGGTGTGATGATGATTTGATTGCCTTGTGGCCGGAAATCTGTTTACTTGTCTGTAGAAGGAGGGAGAGGGAGTATAGAGGCCCTTTACTGATTGGTTAATCAGCGAACCGGGTCCTATTTGGGATGCCAAGCCAGTGGTGGCAATGACGTCATGGGATGAACAGAGAGGGCGGTAATGTTTAACTGTATCTATGTGTGTATCTCTCTCATGAGAATGTGACAACGATGCTTCCCAGGCATGCCATCAATTATGCAATGATTTTTGCTTCAACAATCGCGGTTTAAAAATAGTTCCGCCGCTGTTCGGTAACTATTATGGTCGGTTCGGCGTGTTGCCAATCTTACTGTCCAGGGTGTTGCCTTCTCTTGTTATCTGGGAGAGTTCGACCGGGACTAAAGCTCCCTAGAAGAAGGCGCATGATTAAATTTCGGAATATTTATAGCTGGAAGTTAATTTAATACGGCATTTAGTGCGAGATTGCCTGGCGTGTGATTAAGAAGTGTGCACAGATCTGGAGTGCGAATTTTTATTGATCAGATGATGAACACCACGACAACGTACAAGAATAACTGCAAAAAGGTTGCAGTCGATTAATTAATCGTAGAACAGGCTCGCATTTTTAAGAGATTCGATGGAAGGTGTTAGCTGTTTTTTCACTGCGACCGGGTAATAATTTATGGATGTTCGGTGCAGAAATATGAGAAACTGGTATACAAGTCTCTGTAGTGGTACAGATTTTAGTATTAAATTCGATGACCAGTAAAATGCTAAACCGAAACTCCAGGAGTAATCATTATAAACTTCTAATTTCGCTTGGCTGTTGGTTTCATAATGGCCGTTATGATGATTTATTTGTGCTTATATCATGCCTACTTTTTTTTACAGTGCCTTATCTAACGTCATATTTGGTAAAGGAGTTTCCTGTATCGGGCGCCATCCTTATATGCGGCTCCATCGCCCTAAACGTCTGTGTGGCGGGAGCGTTGCTGCGCCCCGTTTCTACCCACATGCGCATCCTGCGTGCTCAGCAACGTGCCTCCCATTTGCGGGCGTTAAGGGCGCTGGAAGCCACGTTGGATGATTCGAGCGCGGCGCACGCTCCTACGAAGGCCTTCAGTGCGCCGGCGTCGGCGCGAAGCAATGGTCTCGGCTCGTTATACGAGAGGGATTTGGAAGCGAATACGCATTTGTTAGAAACACCCTTGGCCGAGGATACGCGGAAGCGTTCGGCGCATTCCATGCCAGCTGAACCCCTGAGCACACGCTCGCATGGGCGGGAGATCACAGTCGGAAGGACCAGTCAGTCTGAAAAAGGGTTAACCTTCTTCCAGCGTTTTGTTAATCGGTTCAAGAGGAAAGAAGGCCAACCGCCGTTGTTTGATTTCGGACTGTTTCGGCAAAGACTGTTTATTGTCTATGCACTGTCAGTGATGCTCGCAACCTTTTCGTACATGAATATCTTCCTTATCCTGCCTGCTCACACTGTTGACCTGGGATGCACGAAAGACGACGCGGCGATGTTGATTGCTATTATTGGATTAGCGGATATATTTGCGCGGATTGGCTACGGATGGTTCTCGGATTTGAAGCTGTTTCATCGGAAATGGGGATTTTGTGCGGCTGTCTGTGCTGCGGCCGTGTGTAACTGCCTGGCGCCGGTGGCGACGAATTTTGTCGGACTGGGAATCTACGCAGCCTTTCTTGGAATGACGTCGGGAAGCTATATCTCCTTAGTGGCGGTGGTTTGTGTGGATTTTTTTGGTATTGACCGGCTGAGCTCCGCCCTGGGTTCCGTGATTGCGTTCCAAGGCGCCGCGTTTCTCGCCGGGCCACCGCTGATTGGGAGGTTGCGCGACGTTTCGGGAACGTATAAGTACGGATTTTGGGCGTTGGCGGTGTGTCTGGTATGTTCGGCTAGTTTGATTGTGGTGGAGCATTTTTGTGACAGAATTGTGCGGCGAAAACCTCGAAAGCACGAGGTAAATCATGACCACGAAATGCAGCTTATGACAGCGTCAACGCCGGCCTCGGAAGTCGTCTCACCCATTGTGCCCAGTATTTCCAATAGCGTGATTCCACCAAAAGCTCCGGTTGCTCATATGGATGAATTTGACCCGTTGACGCCCCGCCCCGTGTCTAAGCCGGTGTTCAAGCCAAAGTTAAAGAGAAGAATTTTTAAAGAGCACGTTCCCAATGCATAGTTTGTACATTGGGACTCGTTGTTTTGTTGTATTCATGTTGTTATGCAAAAGTTTATGTTCTTGATAATATTGTCGTTTGTTGAGGAAGCTACTTTTGTGATACATACATATAGCACGATATCGGTTTTAGTTGCGGAAATTGTCATTCCCGGTAACTTTACAAAACGGTGACAACAATTAAAAAATTTTGCTTATACAAAAATAGGAACTACAACAACCCACAAAGGTTGGTCCGAACAAATCACAACAGAAAAGAGAATTTAATCACACAATGTCAATCCTAAATCCTAATCACTCAGAGAACTATCCATTTTTCCAGGAAGTACTCGATGATCAGTCTGGATAATACCAGTTCGGGAATATCTTCATCGCGAGACGGATACCTGCAAAAATTATAAGTGTGTTACAACCACGATATTCGCATTACGTAGGTATACACAATATTTTTAAAAAAATATTTCACAGTAAGTACTAAGTGCTCGTAAGTGGTACCATTCACAGTTATTTCACGGCACCAAGAATCTTGTGAGTGTTGCTTCTAAAAAGTTTGATTGCTCGATTCTGCATCTACGTACACTGCACGAACACCACAAGGAAAAAGTACTCTTTCTATAATCTGTATACACGTCATAAACAAAGTGACCAAGTACTGTAAATGCTTACATATCAGCGCAGTGTGCGGCTCCTGTAAAAAAACAAAATTGTTCTAGCCTGTTAGTGCGCTGTAAACAATATGAAAGTAAATGTGCAACTAGGGTGACTTACCTTTAATTAAAATCGCCGGGGAATCATGTCCGTGTTTTCTGGTGATGCCCAGCGCATGCCATGGATCGATGTCTCCGTTGACAAACATTACCCGCTCCGTATGCAAATCCAAGCCGCCATAATACAGGTTTGTGCTTTGTATACCACGTTGTAAAACCGGCTCGCTAATGTTAAACAGATCTTTACACTGGTCCACGAAAAATTTTAGAGGGAACATCGAAGAAAACGGTTGTGAAGCCGAATCGGATGTTTGAAAAAAGCCAAATTCCGTGCACGTTTGATAGGTCCACTGGCGACCTGTATAATTTCGATAACTTTTGTAATCATACTACCACAAGACATTTCCATGATTAGCAATTTTATGTTATTATCGCAAAGTACTATAAATCAAGACTACTGTCACTTATTTTTACCTCCTTCACTAGTCGAATCCGACCACTGCACATCCAACAATGGATCCAAAAAGGACTGATACGTAAAATTCAGGCATTTTTGCTCGTATGCATTGAGCAGCAAGGCGTTCACTTGGGCATATCGCTCGAGAGCCGTTCCTTTGCTCGTATCGCCCATAATATCACATAATGTCTCAATGGTAATATTGGTAGCCAGTGCTCCTTCGAAAGCTCGATTATCGCGATTGTACTGCACTACGCCTTCGAAATTCCCGGCCAGTGATTCTACCAGATTCTGCACGTCCTTCTTCACCGTAACATCAATCGGCGTGCATAACTGAAACTGGGTTTGCAGTTTTTTTGTACTGACCGGCTTCTGCAAAGCCTCTTCCAACTGGGCACTCGCGGCGGCAACGTTATCCACACACTGCGGACTAAAGCGCGCCAGCGAATTTTTCACAACTTCTAAGTACTCTGCACAAAAATATGAAAGCATTTGTACTTACTTTGTTGTAATTTGTGAATGTCAAGAATAATTCGTATTTCAAAGTTAGACTATTTCCATCACTCGTACCACCACTAAAAAAAGGGATCCTAAAACGTCAACCAAATTGAGCTGAATTTTGTTTTGAGCTTTTAATAGCGCTATGCCAACCAACAATCGATCTTTTCCCACCTATATAATGACCATTATCAATATTATTTTTAAATCTGTACATACGCGTGAAATCTTCCACCGCTACAACCGGTGCGCTGGACGAGATGGCAGCATGCACAATGTGGGGATACTTCGATCTGAACCACGCCGACAAACTGCCGGGATACGAACCGCCGAAGGTGATGACTTTCGGCTTTTTTATACCCCGCGACGCAGTCTGGTTGGTAATAAAATTAGCCAGATCGGCTAATGCCTGCTCGCTACTTAAAAATCGTAAATTCTCCGTGGATAAGTCTCTAAAAATTAGAAGTAAGCGTACCAAGAACAATTTTAAACACGGAAATGCAAATGTGGACTGACGGTGTGGGATGACTTTTGCCGTAAAAACGATGTTCCAAATTGAAGCATAATGCGTTAAATTTTTCCGCCCACCGAATCCACTGCCCTTCGACCATCCAGATTGGATTTTCCGGTCCTTCTCCACCTATCCAAGGCACAAAAGTAATCGCTATATCTCAACACAACTTCGAAAAGCAAATTCCGATTCGTAGTTTACTCTAGGGTTAGAAACATCGCCACTTCACGTACCGATCATCACAAAAACAGGACCACCCGGCTTGTAGTATTTGTCGTTTACGAAAAAGCGCTGCAAAGAGATTGTTCTATGAATATATGACTCTCTCTTTTAGAACTGACAAAAGGCTTATAGCCGTCAGTAATATATAATATGTAGATAGAAACGAGTATTTCGCCAAAAAAAATGGGAAAACTGTAGCATGTAGGTTTTTTATGCTAATGTTTATCATGATATGTCTACTGAACATTGTCGAATTTCGTTGTCATCCCGAGACAGCTGCTCGCTCTATTCTCTGCTTCTGTCATCGATAATTTGATTTATTCGATTAGTTAATACGCGCGTTCACCTGTTGCCATGTTCTGTTATCAGCTTCATTAAAATGGTTCAATTGTTGCTCGAAATATTGGTCAGGCGGAAGGTCACCACTGGAAGTATACAAAAATTGACATTGTACAACCATCTTACAATATGCCAGTAAAAATCTATGAAATTACATACTATCAACCCCTATTACATATACACAAAATCTTTAAAAAAAATCTTAAAAATTTTAGTTCGTTTCTAATTTCTAACTGAAAGATCTGCCCGGCTAATGTTTATTGTTTCTGCAACTAATCTGCAAAATTAAATCGGTCGTCCTCGTCATACGAGTATATATATACATCTGTTTTCGAGAATTTTAGAATCCATACAAATGTAATAATATGCTCGTTTATCAACAATAAACTCGCAAATTTTATATAGAGTTTTTTTAGATAGTTTTTCCGAGAAACTGTACATTCTATATTTATAGTACGAGTAATCATATTCAGTGTTCCGATTAACGCTTCTATATTTTCTTCTTGTTTACGCATTGTTGTGAGATTACTAAAAATATTCACGTACTTACGTGTTCTGAGTAAATCGGTTCCTTGCTGGCTGCCCCTTTGCGCTGCCCCGATATTTGCCCAACATAAAATTGCTTCGGGATTCCGACACACCACATAACGCTATCAACCATAGGCAGCAACAAACAACGGCAAGCAAACTTATTCCCGATTCCATTATTTTGCAAGTAGCCTGGAATCAAAAATACTGTATTTCAAATGGGAAATCTAGATAGGTGTTTAACTAAAACTAAAAATGCATTCATAGGTAGCTGCTATCAGGTGCATGCAGTAAGCGAAAGCTGTGTCCTACAATACTCGTACCAAGTAAGTTCACCTATACGAATACCAACGGTACACCGGAATTTCGGATTATGCTGCACCGTGGTGCTCAACCTGATAATTTGAACCAGGTTTCTAACATTACATTATCGACTTGTGTAGCACATACTGTACAATATTCTAAATGCCGCCTTCTTTTATCTGGCGATCAAACTACGTTACTAACTCAAATACAGTACACACCATAGAAAGTGCTGACAGTGACAGTAATAACTTTTACAATTACGATACCAATGCATAAATTTCGAAACACTGAAAGCCTGCATATATCCAAGTCGCACATGTACAATAATGTAATTTCTAATAATTACATTGCGTAGTGATTGTGAAGAGAGTGTGAAGATTTACTCTCCACTTGATTTTTATAATATATATATTGATCAACCGTTGCCCAATATATATTGTAAAAGTGCAATATAATTACAATTTACAAGTACATACTATTTAATCCAGAACCCCAACCCCATGGCGTGGTGGAACATCGTTTGCAAATAAACAGATTAGGTGAACCAAGACTTTAAAATATATATAAAATAATTCGGCTGCTTCCAGAGGCAGGCGGCATTACTATACTGTTAACGCAGCACACGCGTAGGCTAAAAAGTTTTTATACAGTACGTAATAATTGTGAGTTTGGTTTGGTCAACGATGCATTTTAAATGTGTAATGGACAACTGACATTACTTTATTTCGATTCGCTATTATCACGGCTATAACCAGGCGTTATCGCTTCGAAATTAGGTTAAATGACCACTTGAATCTGTTCGATGAGAAAATATGAAATGTTACCGCACACACAAATCCTTAATATTAGTCTTGCCTCTGGATCGTGCCCATCTTTGCTTTGCTTGCCAGATCCCCTTGCTCCAGAACTTTCCTCTTTGTGCCTTTACTTTGCGCGCTAACTTGCTAATACTCTTCTGATGATCTAGGTTTTATGTTGCTTAACCGCACTGGGATGATCGTATCATCGACCATCGTGCACCCCAACCGCTGGACCCAAGTAAACGTCAGTTAACTTCCGGTCAGCATCACTGCCGCCTGTGCCAGACGTTCCCACACTGAAATAGCCCAGCGTTTACATGTTGTATTTGTATTAAGTGTAAAAGAAGAGGGGGCAAAAGACTGCAGCAGCATACGGGAGAAAGTCGATCACATGAATTTCTGCGTCAACGGCTATCGCTGGAAATTCAGCGCGGAAATGCAGCATCTATCCTTGGCACGATGGACGGAGTGGATAGTTTAAATGAAGTTTTGCTGTTATGAATAATGTACTCTGTTTATTTTTCTTCCACCTGATTTGTGCATTGATTATTAATAAAGACTGATTAAGTGTAAACTATGGTCAAGGAAGGTCACGAACTCGCTTTGGGAAACATATGGTTAAATATTCTTAAGCACATACTGTATTGAGATACGTCCAAGTCCCCCTTTATATAAGAATAACTTATGGGATCACCTTTTCCACGTCTGTGCGCATACACTACAGTGGAATCATTCCACCAAGTGTTAACAGTTTTCAATTGACAGTAAGTACAATCTTGCCAACATGACTTGGAGTTCGCTGGTTTTAGCGCTCCTTCGAGGTCAAGAAGCGAATGAAGCGATTGACGCTAAATGAGCGAAGCGAAGCACCAAACATATAACCATTTTGACGACACAGAAAATTACTACTAATACTTCTACTCTGTAGTACAATAAAACCGTGCTGGAATATAAGCTGATCATGATATTAGGTAAGGTACTGCTATAGATGTTCTGGGGTGGCGTATTGTCATTAACTAGCAGTGTAGGCCTTGATTAGCTGCTGGTCTAGTGGGTTGGTAAATTTGTGTACATCCTGTGCCTAACTAATTTTTTTTGCGGCAGGTTCATTGAACCGTGACAGGTTCTTATATGCGGTATACGACTAGAATCAGTCGTAGCATATATGAAACTGTAGTTTCGGTTTTTGGTCTTCGATATCCGTGTGTAAACAAAAGTAATTTTTGGCGCCCGTAGAGTACGGAAGGGTCCGGCCGGTTGAAGGAAGCGGTGGGGCCCAACAGTCATGTGACATGAGTCATGTGACATGAGTCGAGTAACGATGCGTGAAACTTGTAGATGGCGTTGTTAGCTCGGCATCTTTTTTAGTTTACATTATGTGCTCCTACATTATGTAGGAGCACATTGGAATGTGCTCGTACATTATGTAGGAGCACATTGCATCGGTTTCATCGGTTCTTGGAGGAGAAAAACGGAACGGAACTGTAGTATCCAAACAAACGTAATCCAATACGCTCCTGCAGTGTGCTCCTACATATGTAGGAGCACATTGCAATGTGCTCCTACATAATATTATATGTGCTCCTACATATGTAGGAGGACATTGCAATATGCTTCTACATAATGTAGGAGTACATTGCAGGAGCATATGTATGTGGAGATTATAAGGGGTAAATGGTAATTATTGGGGTGTGAAAAATGGTTGGAGCATAATGTAGGAGCATATTGCAGGAGCTTATTGTAGGAGCATAATATTAGATACAAGTATCGGGTAGTAAAGACTATATCAACAGAAATTGCTCTGTAGCCAATTTGAAAGGATAGTAGATTATATTAAAAGATGATATGTTTGAAAGAAACTGATAATGAAGGGGTGAATGTTGTAACAGAGGGAAGGTTGTGGGGGGTTTTACTGTAGTCTGACATAAGTGTATTCGACTTATTGGTTGTTCATACTTCATAGTTTAATGAAGTGTAACAGGAAGCAGAGTGTGTTGTGTGTTATGAGTTGTGGTGGTGGATGGTGATGGATTACTGTGAAAAATTCATGAAAGTTCGAGAAAGTTGATTGCTTAACAGAGCAGACCATGATGTTCTGATCTGATGGTTATGGATGCTTAGTAACAGGTGGTTTTTATATGGGAAGTAGGTTGCAATGTACATTAAAAAGTTGTTCGAGAAAGGGTTAGGGTGATTCGGTTTGTTGACTGGATTTTTTTAGTTCGGTAGGTATAGAAGGAATTCCGGAATAAGCAGAAGTTGCGTGTGAGCTGTTATGGATTTGAAGAAGTTTGCAGTGAAGAAGATTTTTCTTCTGTTGATTATTTTGTGGTGGTCGGTTTGGATTTTAGTACAGTGCTGATTCAGGCTGCCGTGTTTTGTTTGACTTTGGTACGTTTTTTTCGCTTCTGTATGGGTTAGTAAGTTTGCTTGCACAGAGATCTGCGTTAAATTTTTTTATGTATTATTATCCTTAATAAAATAATGAAAGGTGATTCTAATCGGAAGAAATATGCGTGAATACATGCGTGAATATAAAAAACGTAAAATGCAAATTGAGGGTAATTGGAGTAGGAAGATAATTGAAGTAAGTAATGATGAAGTAAATAGGTTTATGAAGCGCTAATTATTTTGATTTGTAATAATGTGTTTTATGCGAACCGTAAAATTCGTGATTTGGAAAATTTAGATACCAGTGAGGCTGAAATCATGATGAAAATCGGTTTTATGGATAGGGCTGCTTTATTAGATACGAATAATGTCATACCGCTTAAGTGCACACAGGGTTATGAACGTGTTTTTCCAGACCCAAATTAAATTATAATGATAATTTATTCTGGGTCTGGAAATGAGACCCTGGACTAGAAAAAAGAGCTTATCTTTGTTATGGTGGTTTACCAGGTGATCGGCTTTATAATATTTCACCTGAAAAATATTTTAAATTACGTCTTTAAAGTGCAGACAATAGGCTTCAAAAAGGTTGCCCCTACGTTTTTCGAGCTCTAAACCTCTGTCAACGGGATTAGTCAAAACGGAAAATCAATAATGTTCTCAAAAAGGACAGTTTTTGTATAGGAAAGGATTAGGTAACAAAAGTGTGGCTAATTATTTTTACCCAAAAATTTTGTACTATACTGTTCATGTACTATATTATTTTCGATAAAGTTTCAATTTTAAAGCCATCAAATTAAACGTCCTATTTTCATAAAGCCATTGCCGGCATTGGTGTTATCACTGCCACTAAACAGACCGACCGTTTCATCCTGGATAAGGAGCTTTATTTGAAATTAATTCAACAATGAACATATAATTTTCATTCTCATCTGGAATTCTGTATGTATAGCAAAAACTTGACTACTTTCAGTCAATACTACAGAATTCTGTTAGAAATCGTGCTGTTAGAAATCAAAATTATAAACCTCCTCGAGGCTGCAGTTAGATTTAGTTGGGCTCAGTAGTGCACACAGTTACAACATACGATACTCATAAATTATTCATGCAATATTATTGTTTTTTTTTATGAACCTGCCGCTATACAATCGAGTGAAACGAGATTGGGCCACGTAGTGTATTATCCTTAATATTATTATGATTCACAATTACTAGGTTTGTGATTTAGTGTGCACACAGGCTTCGCGTCACCGGACGCTGTCTTCGAAAAACTGCAAGATGATTTCCTTACGCCGGTGCAAGACAAAATAGGTAAGACGCCGGTGAGACAAAATAGGTAAGCAACTAGGTTTCCTATAAAATAATGAACAATTTCGGTTCGGTGACAACGGCAAATACGAGTATGCTGCGAAAAGTTATAATACCAGTTACCAAGGCATGTTATGGAGGTCATTTAATACCACGGCATACAAAGTCCAGCCGCTCCCTCGTCCAGTTTCTAATGTTCCCAAACAAGGATAATGTACAGTTATTTAATTTTAACGCCTGAATCGTTGTTACGCGCTGAGTAATGTAGATATGGTGTGATTAATTTTGATTTGAGGCAAAGTGATGAATTTGGAAAAAAAATGCCAAAGCAAAGCCATAAAAACGTACGGCTAAATCATTTTTATTTCAAATGCCGAAGATTTTTAAGCCCATCAGTCACCTTTCTAGAGCTTAGACATTATTTCTTTCCTCCACTTACAACGTGCGATTTACAGCTAACACCGTTGTGATTCGTATCCGGATTTTAAAAATGCTAACAGTAAATTGCTAGATTAATATTTGTTAATAGTACATCACAATTTGCGATATCACACGGCAGTGAACTTATGGCGACCTACTTTCACTGGTTTTGTAGTCTTTCTAACTGTATCCAGTACCCGCAAATACATTCTGGAAATCACAAATAAACATTAATGACAACAATCCGCCAGCAG